GTAATACTCGTAAAAATGCGCATTAAAAGGTTGTTAAATGAAGACGAACAGGCGCCACTGAAAGCGACCCCCCCCCCTCGACATCCCGGTTTCCAGAGGATCATATACGCCTTTTACAGTCATATTATCATCATTTTTATTTTTATGACACCTGGTATTACTCAAATCCCCCCTCTTCCGAAAAGCGAGAAGAAAAAGAAAAAAAGGCAGCGAAGAATCAAACAATCGTGTTTTGTGGATCCTCTTGCCCAGGTGCTGCTGCCAGCCAGCCCCTCCTCCCGGGGGCCGGTTTTTATGAGCCAATATTATTCGATCATAAACGAGGTCGGAATTTGTACACATTTCGCGTCTTTCTCTCTCCGGAGCAACTCGACTCAATTCAACACCACATTTTCGCTCAAATTCGCACTTTTATTAGGGCGGAGCAGTGTGAGTACGGTAGGCGGACTCGAACCATCGAGACTCGGCGCGCGCCACACCGCGCACTTTTCCAAAACGCAATCAACACCCACGCTAGCTGCCAGTGTTAACGCCGTATAAGTGCGCCCCCCGTCTCCTTGAAGCTATTCCACAAAAAATAACAAACTGGACCATATGGTTATATCGAAACCCCCCTTGGCTCATATGCGTTCGCTGATTTATTCGTCACGGAGGTCGCTGCTGCCGTATCACATTTTTTGCGACGTTTTTTTTTTTCGGTTGCGCCCCGGCTGTCCGTGGTGCCGTTCGTTTCGCCAGCTGATTTACGACTTATTATAATAGGGAGCTCTGGCACACATAGTTAGTTTTCGTTTTTTTTTTCGACTTTGCCCAAAACTCCGTCCCCCCGACCCCCTACCACCAATTTGTTCTAATTATCGTTGTGTGATTGATTGGCGTTTGGGCGAAATTGGATGAAGATTTATTTCGCTTTTTTTGCACATTAAAACATTATGTAGTAAATTTGAATTTCGCGCCAATATCTTTTTGCAAAAATAATGAAAATTGAGGAAAAAAGAGTTATTAGTATACATATATATTTTTTTCAAAAAAAAAATAATGTGTGCAATTTCGCGTCGGTGTGTACACACCAAATTTTTTTTTATTCCAAATAAACAAGACATCACTTAATGAATTTGAATTTCGCGCCATACAATTTTTTTTGCAAAAAAAAAATTATTGTGTGCAATATTGCGTCAGTGTGTGCACACCAAATGCGATGGAATCTCCAAACAAGAATAATTATTTTTTCAGGACATTGAAGCATAAATTTAAATTTCGCGATAAGACATTTTTGCGAAAAAAAATAATGTGTGCAATTTCGCGTCGGTGTGTACACACCAAATGTTTTTAATTTCAAATAAACAAGAAAAAAAATCAATTTTTCACGCATAATTTAATAAATTTGAATTTCGCGCCATAAAATGTTTTTTCTTGTTAAAAAAAATAATGTGTGCAATTTCGCGTCAGTGTGTACACACCAAATTTTTTTAAATTTCAAATAAATAAGAAAACACATAATTCTTTTTCACACATAATTTTATAAATTTGAATTTCGCGCCATAAAATGTTTTTTTTTTGTAAAAAAAAAGAATGTGTGCAATATTGCGTCAGTGTGTACACACCAAATTTTATAAATTCCAAATAAATAAAAAAATCAATTTTTCACACATAATTTAATAAATTTGAATTTCGCGCCATAAAATGTTTTTTTTTGTAAAAAAAAAATAATGTGTGCAATATTGCGTCAGTGTGTACACACCAAATTTTATAAATTCCAAATAAATAAAAAAAATCAATTTTTCACACATAATTTAATAAATTTGAATTTCGCGCCATAAAATGTTTTTTTTTTTTTAAAAAAAAAATAATGTGTGCAATATTGCGTCAGTGTGTACACACCATAACGTAATTAGTTTCCAAAATCATTTTTTTTGCACATTGAATCATAATGCATAAAAAAAAATAAATTGTGCATTATGGCGTCAGCGTGTTCACACCAAAAAAAAGAAAAATTCGAATAGCTCCTCTCAAATCGGGTTGGCGTCAAAAGCTCATATTTTATAAATTATTGCGCGCCGGTGTCGACGGGGTTCACCGATGGCGTGTGTGTGTGTGTGGTTGGTGGCGTTTCATCTCGCCGCCATTTCGACTACGGTAACCTGAGAGACGATCGAGCCGTTGTAATTTCCGGAATCCGTCGGCCACTCGTCGACCTCTGTGCGATTTTCAGGGCGGGCGGCCGCGGGGGTCCGATTTTTTGTCTCAAAATTCAATCCCAAAAATGTCTCGGCGAGGCGGCGAAACATCAAAAGGACCCCCCCCCCCTTCGTCTTCGGTGTAGTGAAGCAAGCAAGTTGAAAGAGAGAGATGGTGTCCTCAAAACGGACCCCCCCCCCCTTCCCTTCCCTCTTCGGTGTCGTCTTCTCATCGGCCACACTCGAAAACTTATCTTAATGGCATCATTTCAAGCAGTTCTTTCTCTCTTTTTTTTTTTCGACACGGGCGGTCCGTTTACCTGCGGGTTACGGTAGCCATCGTACTTTTCTCCACGCTCTCTCCGAATGTTGTTTGATTGGTGTGATTTGTAGGCTTGTCATCAAGATGGAAATTTGAAAATTTCTTACTTTTTTTTAAATTTTTGCCCAATGTCCGCAATTGTTCGTCAATTACGATGTTTCCCCCCCCCCCAAGTTGTCCGCAATTTCGCGTGAATCATAATGTTTGAATATCTAATTGTTTTGCTTCAACAAAAAAAAACGTGGATTTTCGCCGAATCATTGTGACGTCCGCAATTTTGCGTAATTCATATTGTTTCGCTCACCAAAAATTAATGCCGTGTCCGCAATTTCTCGTCAACTTCGATGTTTATTGTTTCAGCAATATTTTTTTTTGTCGTGATGCTCCTAATTCGTGCTGTTTTCTTTTTTGCATTTCAATTTTCCAACAAATTTCAACGTCCGCAATTTTTCGTCAATCGTACTGTTTGACACCCACACAAAAATTTTATTGTCCGCAATTGCTCGTCATTTGTGATGTTTCTCCAATTTCAAAAATGTTCGCCTCAAAATCGCATTTTTCCAACAAATTCAAACGTCCGCAATTGCTCGTCAATTAAAGTGTTTCTCGAAAAAATTGTCATTTTCGGTGTGTCCGCAATTGCTCGTCATTTGTGACGTTTCTCCAATTTCAAAAATGTTCGACTCAAAATCACAATTTTCCCGACAAAATCGTTGTCCGCAATTGCTCGTCAATTAAAGTGTTTCTCGAAAAAATTGTCATTTTCGGTGTGTCCGCAATTGCTCGTCATTTGTGACGTTTCTCCAATTTCAAAAATGTTCGACTCAAAATCACAATTTTCCCGACAAAATCGTTGTCCGCAATTGCTCGTCAATTAAAGTGTTTCTCGAATTTCAAAAATGTTCGCCTCAAAATCGCATTTTTTCCGACAATATCACTGTCCGCAATTGCTCGTCAATTAAAGTGTTTCTCGAAAAATTGTAATTTTCGGCGCGTCCGCAATTGCTCGTCATTTGTGATGTTTCTCCAATTTCAAAAATGTTCGACTCAAAATCGCATTTTTTCCAACAAATTCAAACGTCCGCAATTGCTCGTCATTTATGACGCAAAATTTTTTCGCTGGTTTTTTTCGTTATTAGACGCGTCGAAGGTTCGTCGTCGCCGGCCGAACTCATCTCCAACCGCCGCGATTCAAAGGTGCCAATTGGCGCGCCCTAATTATGCGTTTCCACCATCCACCCCATCCACCCACCCCACCAAATAGTGTCGAGTCGATATAAAGTTTTTTTTTTTTTGAAAGTCGCTTCGAATCGCACTACCTCCCAAATATGGTTGAGTCAGAGCCCAATTGGGCCTGTGAAAATTGGCACTGTAGGCTCATTCGGCGCCTTTTGAAATGGTGATGGTGATGGGGAGAGGAAGAGGGGGGGAAGGGTCCCGCCATCCCCCCGATTCCTCTACGCTCTCTAGCCTGTTTGGCGTGCAGCCAGTCTCAACGACTCCGCCCATTCCGAACCCCCCGTTTGCCTCCTTCATCCTCTCTTCGTCCTTCGTCGTCGTCAGCGCCGCCCTCCGCCCGCCCGAGGACCCCCCCCCCAATAATACCACCACATTTCATTTGTAGTACCTATTTTCACTGCTAATCATCATCATCATCGCGAATTTTATTGAATTCCCCCCTCCCTTCCATCATGCGGCCGATGGGGAAGAGGGGGGGGGTCCGATTTTAATGGGTCCCATCGCGATAATTGGCGTGCATCCCGTCCGATCATGTTGCATTCACCTACTACCGTACCCCCTTCCTTCTTTTCTCAAATTTTAAAGGCGCATTGTGTACTTTTCACATTCCGAATAAGGCGCAAACGTCGTCTTCCTCCACTTCGGTTGGTCATGCGTCAACATTTATTGCCCATTCCTCGTCATTTTTATGAACCGTCCGTTTTCTGACCCCCCTCGCACATTTTTTTTCTGCCTCCAACGATTCATTTGAATTTCGCTCGATGCCTTATTAGGCCAAAAAAATGAATTATTGCCAAACCGGCGGTTACGGTAGAGAAAATTCCGGTGCGCGCGCACACCCCCTTTAAACAAATATTGCACATGCGCCTTTAATAAGTACAAAACATTATCTATCGCGATCTGCATCTATAGTTTTTTTTTTGTTGGAATTCTCGTTTTCACTCCCGATCGGCGCCGGGCCACTCGGTGGCCACCCCTCATTACACGCGTGTTCCTCTCCTTCCCCACCCACTTTCCGTTTTTGCAACTTTCACGTTGATCAATCGCAAATCCAAAAAAAAATCGTTGAAATAATCATGGTTTATGATTTTTCCATTTTTCTTTTGCAGCCCCCCCCCCTCCCAACCGGCGACCGCCTCATCCAGCCAATCAGCGCTCGCCGCCACGCCCACATTTCGAGTGGGCTGCACACACACACATACGGACCGAAAAAAAAAATAAAAAATAATCGAGAGGAACGACGACAAATTCTAGAATAAGCGATGAATCAGACGACGTTCGAGTTCGGTTCGACGACACCATCGACGGCGACGTCGACGACGTCGTCGTCGCAACCAGACGCTAATGATCATCTCCAGGTACAGTATCGTCGTGCTTTTTTTCCCCACCAGCGTTTCGCCGCGGCAAATTCCTAATGATCAAGTGTACAGAGAGAGAGAGAAGAGTACAACCTGTTCTTGATGAGAAAATGCCTACCGTAACTCGTTGGCGAGGGAAAGACGATGATGATGATGATGATGATGTTGGGGGGGTCTGCATTATGATGAGAGTGGGGAAGGGGTGTCTTTCTTCTAGAGGAACTTAAAGGCGCATAGCTCAATTTTCAGAGGCTCGCCGCGATGACGCAAGGCGTCGGCAAAGAGGACGTCGAATCGTCGTCGACACCATCGGCCGAGACGACGCTCTACCCCGGTAGGCGATTCTATTTCAATGGTCCCATTGGATGATTGTGTGGTTTGCAGCGTACATGCAGGGCTACAGTTGGCCCAACTATTACGGTCAGTTCGGCCAACCATTGGGTCCGGCGGCGTTTCCGACGTGGCCGAATTGCTATCCGAACGCGGCGTGGCCGAACTACGGTGAGTGCGTCGTCGCTTCGGCGTCGATCAATCGTGTCGCAGATTTTTCAGCGGCGTCGAAAAAAGGCCGCCAAACGTATCAGCGCTATCAGACGTCGGTGCTCGAGGCGAAATTCCAGCAGTCGTCGTACGTGTCGAAGAAGCAGCGCGAAGAGTTGCGCCTTCAGACGCAGCTCACCGATCGGCAGATCAAAATCTGGTTCCAGAATCGGCGGATGAAGGCGAAGAAGGAGAAGCAGCGCGTCGATGAGCACAACGAGCACACGCCGCTGCTGCCGGCGAATCCGCCGAAGTCGACGCTCGACGACGATGAGAAGAAGTGGCAAATGGCGGCGGCGGCGGCGGCGGCGTCGCACTGGCCGACGGCGCCCCATCCCTATCAGTACCCGCTGTGCCCGCCGTGATCCTCTCCCATCATTTCGATTAGGTGCAAATTTCGATTCGAGCTCGCCATTCACACTAAATCGCCCCTTCACCCTTCCCCCCACCGCCGCATATCGCTTCATCCGCACAAAAAAAACCATTGTTGGCTTCCCCTCCCCTTCTCCTATCTTTCGGCCTCTCTACGGGTCGCGCGCTCAACGCACCAGCACACAAAAATGAATTTTTTTTTGTTTTTTGGAAACTACGATTCCTGTGAGACTTTTTCTATTTCGTTGACGGTTCCTCTTCCCCTTCCTCTCAATTGTATTCCTTTCATAAAATAGTTCCCCTCCCCTCCACTTCCCCCATCTTCCTCTCGTTGTTCACCTAGTCCATTTTATCATTATTATTATTATTATTCATATTCGTTTCCCTTTTGGATTTTTATGTCTCTCTCTCTCTTCCTCTTCCTCTCTCCTTGTGTGTGTGTGTGTGTTGTTCCCCTGTTCTTCCTCTTGTCTTGCTCGTCGTCGTACTAATAAACCGATTTTTGTTCCGATTCCCCGGAGGCACACGAATCGTCGACTGTGAATCGAGATAAATCTTTGAGATGAGAAAAATGTTCGAATAAAAAATCCCATTCGAAATGTCCATCATCGGACGCGCCGCGTTTTCGGATTCGCCTCCTGCAACCATCTCCTCCATCCCCCCGCAGGAACGGGGGGAGGGGAAGAGGCGCGGGGGAAGGGATGTTAATAAATTAAATTGGTTTTGAGGAGGTTGCCATTGGCAATTTCGTGGCGCCGTCAAGTCTACTCACATCGGCCTCAAATTCGACCAGGGGGGTGCCTTTCATTCGCTTTCAATGTGCAAACACCGACACGCCAAAATGCACACAATTATTCAAACTACAGTAATATTGTGATTTAATCAGGGGTAGCTCAAGCTTAAAGGGGGTTCACGCCGACGCCAAAATGCACACAATTATTCAACCTACAGTAATATTGTGATTTAATCAGGGGTAGATCATGCTTAAAGGGGGTTCACGCCGACGCCAAAATGCACAATGGATATTCAAAAATAGAGAGAAACAAAGAGAGCTACCGTAACCCCCCCCCCCTGGTGAGACCTTGTTTCCTAATTCAATGTCAAGCTTCCGGATAACTGAACCAACCGAACCGGTGTCCCCCCCCCCTCTACAACTACCGTAGTCCACCGGACTCCGCCTCTAGGTTCTCCTCGCGGCCCCCCCCCTCGTCGCGCCAGCGACAGATGTCATCAGCAGCGGAAACGAGGTCTTTGTAAGGCACGAATCCTAGTGGGCCGATGATGGAAATAGTGTGGCGTTCGATGAGACGACGAACAACCAAACACACAACGACACATCCCATTAGGCACGCACATTACGAGCATTTCGAAACGTGCATGTTCCGAGTCGGTTTTCGGGTTCGAACCGACGAAATAGCACGCGAGAGGCGCGAGACGCAGACAACGCATGGGTGGGGGTTTCGATTGTTTTTTTTCGGTTTGGCGCTTCTCGAAAGGTGATGGAAGAGCGCGATGCACTACTGTAGCGAGCGATGTCCGCAAACACCGAGGTGGCGCCGTGGTGTCGGCAGCGAGCACCCACCAATGGCGCCTAATTCGGCCGGTGTTTACTGCCATGTAAAACAAGGTCGTCGAGTTGTTTAAAGGGGGGTCTACTAGACGAATCGGTTTTTCGATTTACTATTACTCGACGGGGGAGTTGGTTGGGCTCCCAGTTCATTAACCTGGGAGGAGTCGAGAGGCAGCATAGAAAGGCGCGGCGCCGCATCTCAAAAATGCATGGTCTCATCGCGAATGCATTCATCGCCTACCGTAACCCCTAGAAATGTGTGTGGTGTCGAGATTGCCAATTAACACCGGTATTCTGTTGGGGGGGGGGCACGAAAAAAAAACACCAAATCCAATTTGTGTTCGCCACCGTAATTACAAAATGTGTTCGGCGCGTTTAAAGGCGCATAGCGAAACACGGTGAGGGGGGAACCGAAAAATTAATGCGGTACGTCTCGCCGTGGGGACAAAACGGAAAAAATGGAAGAGGTGTCTCTCCACCGGAGAGTATGGGAAGGGGGGGGGTCTGGTGTGGTGTTGCTTGCCAATACCATCTATCCAATTTTATTGTATTACCCTTTCTCATGAGCCTCTAGCCAAATGCACGCCATTCGTCCACTATTTCGCCGATTATGTGTTTTCTCATTACGCCCCCCCTCCCCCCCTTCTTCCCCTCCGCTTCCCCACCACACACTCCGCCTGCTTCGACTCCCTCCGGCATTTAGACATCGACGACGGCTTCACAATATACTGAGAAGCTGATTTTTGAACTTTCGAAATCCGACTCACTGCTCCCTTCATTCATTTCATTCTGCTTCTCGGTGATGGGTCTCGCAGCGCTTAGAACAAATATATATATAATTGTTAATCTATGCTAATTTCAGTTTAATAAAAAAAATTGAAGTTTCATTTTATTCCGAAGTCTGTCTGATTACACACCGACGCAATTTCGCACAATTTTCCTGACCGAGAGAAAATAAAATAATACAATCTAAAAAGTGCGATGGTCCATGCTTAATACAAGGTTGCCTCGTTTTGCATTTTTCATTAATTCCCAAACTTTTCCAATCTCCCGAAATACACCATTTCGCTCAATTTTCGATTGCAGATATCGCCGTCTCGACGAAACGCGTTGTCAACGATGCTCCGCGTGCGCCCGCACTTTATCGTAAATCGTCGCCGCCAACTATCATTTTTCGAATTCAAAGTGCCCAATTTTCTCGCAATATTTACACAATTTCTCGCCGATTTCAGACAATTCCGACGACTAAACAATGTTTGACGAATCGATTCGAATGCGGAAAACTAGTAAAGTATTTGAAATGCATTCAAAAATAGGCGCCAATGTGAATGCGCTTGTTAGTTTTTTTTCTCTCTCTCTTTTTGCAGACCACCTCGTCGCCGCCAACAACGCCACCACCAACCAATCGCGAGCCGCCATCATCGCCGCTTCGATGCCTATTCCGCACAATCACCGAAAATACGCACTACTTGCTAAAGCTTCTCGCCGGCGCCAACACGAAGCCGAAAACCGATTAAAGCAATTGCCGCCGTCGAATAAAAAAAAAACAATGTCTACATGGTGTGTGCCTTGTAACCAAGGAAACCTGGCCCCTAATTCGTCATCCATCTTATTGGCGCCCACCTCGTCAGCGAAACCCTAAACAAAAACCAAGGGGACCAACAAATTCATTGGAACAAAAAAAAAACAAATAATTCAATTAATCTCTTTTTGCAAAATTTCGAGTATTCAAGTTTCATGCGGAAAATGAGTGACTTTCATATGTGTTGTTAGACTTTCCTTATCCTTAAATTTTCTATCGCACATCTCGCATTGCACATGATAAAGTGCCGTCGGTCCGTAATGCGTTTTCATATGCTTATTGAACGCCGACGTCGTGTTGAATTTCTTCAAACACATATGACATTCCAATGACGATGTGCCATGCACCTTTAAAACGGGTCTTGACGCGAAAATCATCGAAAAATCAACGACCCACTTTTGAGTTATGAAGTAGCAGCATTTTGGCGCTGCTGAAATTCTGCGCGCACAGCTCACAGTACGTCGTGACGATCGTTTCTTTGACTTTGCGCTTGATCGTCTCCTCGCGCTTATTCTCTTTGTCCTACAAAAAAAATAAATGAAAGCGTTTCGAGACCCGACCACATCGACTCACATCGATCCCATCGTTCGTGCGAATAATGCCGAGATCCATGAACAGTTTGGTTTTGATTTCGCGTCGTCGTTTCGCCTCGTCGTTGTCCTTTCGGACGCTCGTCAACGGCGTCGATTTCGACAGCGATTTTATCGTCAATGCCTTCAGCACCCAAAAAAAAAGAAACGACAAATTTCGACGAAGATGAAGAAGGCAAGAGAAAAAAAAACAATGGATTTATGGGGTTACCGGTCGGAGTAGGTCGGGTTTCTCGCCGTGAAATGAAACCGTTCGTCCTGCAAGCTATATTAACGAGGGCAGGGTCTCGAGTGGAATACCTTTCGTGTCGAGCCCTTCAAACTCCACCATCGACTCGATCTTCTAGCAACAATTTTTAAGGAATCTTTTTTTTTCAAGCAAAATACTTCAAAACATTGACAACCCGCCGTTTCGTGATTCAGACTCGCGCATATCTCATTCGCCGCATTTCGGGTCTCGACACGATCCAAATACTCGCAATAACTCCTGTATTGCTCTTCAGCGGATCGCTTCGCCGGCGGCTCCTCCATTCGACTGCCAACATTCGCCAAAAAAAAAACGAAAAGAAAAGAAACCCCCAAAAAAGGTCAACACGTTTAATTCTTTATCAAATCATTTGAACCCAAAGACAATTAAAACAAAAATAAATTATTAAAGAAGGAAAATGAAAAACATACAAGTAACAACAAATAAATTCAATTTGGTATAGTATATCATTTTAAAAGCTTCGAGATAATGGCAAAAAACCCCCCACAGCGCTCCTCAAAATTATTGGAAGAGGAACGAATATGGATATCCGCGGTATTTCGAGCGGAAAATCGAGAGAAGAGCCGAGAAGAAGACAACGATCAGCGCTAGTCCGATAAAAGCCAATGCTGAAAATGAGTAATGCGGTCCGATTTCACCAAATTCAATTCTTACTAGTTGGGCTGACTTGAAGAAGCGACAGAATACTGTTCTTCTTGTTCTTCTTATCGCTCACAGTCATGTCTCCAGCCTCATTGATGCAAATGAATCCAATCGTGACCAACGCATAGAAGAAGGCGACGATATATGTCTCGGAAATCAGCTGGAATTGCGTCGATTGGTGCACAAATTGGGCCTCTTTCGTTTGCGGATTGGTGATCATGAATGGTGGTCCGCGAATGTGGTTCCACATTTGTCCCGACATGAAGGTGAATGTGATAGCCTTGAAAAAAAATGACGACAAATTCAAAAAATTGCGCAACTCGGCCGCCTACCAAGCAGAAAAGTCCCCAAGTGGTGCGATTGAACAAGAAATCCAAACTATTCCTCTTCATGTAGAAAAGACCGACGATCAATCCGACGAGGAGGATGATGACGACAGGCGCGGTGTAGTTTGGCGGCCGAATGACGCGAATCTGGAAATTTTCGCATAAATTCCTCATTTTTTTGGCCGAATTCTTACGTGAACTTCCGTCTGATCGGCAACAAATCGTCCAATCGCGTCGGCGTCGAACCCTTGCCGCTGGAAATCCATTTGTTCGGGCTTCTTCTTCGGTCCAAGCTTCTGACCGAAATGGAACAAAATCGGCGCCGTGTTCAAATTCATTTGTTGGAAAATTTGCGGCGCATCTTCATAATCGACAATTCCGAAGAACACTTTTCGTTTGTCATCGGCCGAACTTGTGTAGCGATGCGAATTCGCGACAATCATGAATTCCTCATAAGCGGGTCTGCAAGAAATAAACAATAAGATAAAAAAATTAATTGCGAATTGAGAACCTGCAAATTGGGCAATTAACATTTGGCGAAAGCGCGGTGAACATCACAATCATCGAATAATTTCTCGGTTGCGATCGAACATAGGTCTTCCATTTGTCAATGTTGAATTTGACAACCGCCGATCTTGCAGTAAGATCATTCAAACCTTTTATCTTATCCTCAATGGTTGGTGATTGCGCATAGGCAATCGCCAATAACAAAACCAGAACAATCAAGGATCTCATACCTAAAACATTTTCAAAAATTTAAAATATGATAAAACAAAAGGTAAAAGAGGTATAAAACAGTGGCAAACTGTACAGACATCAATTTTAAAAATAATAAAAAACTTAAATTTTATTAGTGAGCCTGAGATCGAAACAAACACATATATAGCAAAAAATTGATTATCGCTTGCTGGAATTGAACGATGAGAATCCCATCATCGCTCGTAATTCGGGATCCAATCCATCGTCACCATCCTCCTCCTCATCTTGCTTAATTTCCCGCTTCCGTTTTCTACTGTCGGTTTTCTTCTCCTTCTTGTAATCTGCTATTCGAGCTTCTTCCTCTTGCACGTCTTCTAATAACGCTTCAATTTGTTTCTCCTTCTTTTCCCGCTCCATTTTCTCTTTATTGATTCGGAATCGCGCACGCACATCATCCAGTGTGCTCTTCTTCGTTTTCATGGACATTCCCATGTTTCTAAAAAAAATTTAAAAATAATTTTTCTAACTTTATAACTTACCTTTGATGATTCTTTCCATTAATATGATCAAGAAAATTAATTGAATCCTTCACAACACAATCGCAAATATTACAATAGAATCCTCCAGTTTCAGCGGATGGCGTTGCTTTATTGATTACCACCGATTTTCCAACTTTCGATTCCAAATCAACTTTATAATCACGCGCTTGAAGTAATTCTCGTTTCACTTTCGGCTCAGTCGGCTTCTTTCTTCCTAAACGAATATCTTCCGCCTCTTTTTCCTCAAGAGCCCGCGCATGGGCTTTCAGCGAATATTCGTTCTAAAATTTAAAATAATGATTTTCAAATTATATTAAATTTACAACTTACAGTATCCCATGTCCTTCTGTGATTCGTGCCATCTGCTTTTGAGCCGCTTTGCTCATAAAACGACATTTTTAAAAGGGACTCGTGCACAATGAATTTTATTCAAAACTCGACGTGGCTTGGTAGGAAATTGGTGTTTGCGGACAATGCGTTCAAGTTGACGACATGGCGTCAGCGCGCAGGACACTGACGCATTTTTCGCGCTTAACACGCTTGACGTCTTTTTTGCGATTTTTTTTGTCCATCAAATTTTCGCGTAAAAATCATAATTTCTTGCAATTTTCAGTAAGACAACCATGGCGCTGAAAAATGTAGCCTCTTTGACGAAAGGCATGTTCGCCAAGGTTCCAGCTGCACAGGTATTGAATTTATCTCATTTTTTATTTTAAAATATTTTTTTTAGCTTGCCATTACTAGCACTCCACCAAACACTGTGCAGAAGAGAAGCACCTACAAGTACGTTGGATTGCCCGCCGAAAGTGACGGAACGTTCGCCGGTGATTTGAACTATGGTCTTAACACGGTTTTCTTCACCGAGCTTTTTCGAGGTAATTTTGGAAAGACAAACAAAATGAATGCGATTGTTGTTCTCGTCAGGATTCGGTGTGATGCTTGGCCACGTGTTCATGGAACCCGCCACCATCAACTATCCGTTCGAGAAGGGACCATTGAGCTCGAGATTCCGTGGGGAGCACGCGCTTCGCCGCTATCCATCCGGTGAGGAGCGCTGCATCGCTTGCAAGCTCTGCGAGGCGATCTGCCCAGCTCAGGCGATCACCATCGAGGCCGAGCCGCGTCCAGACGGCTCGCGACGTACAACCCGCTACGACATCGACATGACCAAGTGCATTTTTTGCGGCCTCTGCCAGGAGGCGTGTCCAGTCGACGCCATCGTCGAGGGGCCAAACTTCGAATACTCAACTGAGACTCACGAGGAGCTGCTCTACAACAAAGAGAAGCTGTTGCTCAATGGCGATCGCTGGGAGCCGGAATTGGCATCGAACTTGCAAGCCGAATACCTTTACCGATAAATTCAACACATTTTTTAATTAGAAAAAAAAGAATCGTTAATTCTAGTAGATTTTGGCTTTTTTTGTATCTCCTACTGTCTAGTTTGGTTAAATAAAAGAGGTAAAATTCTGAATATTGAATTATATTGAAGAGTTGAAACCTCTTACTAACTATTTGTTTAAACAAAGTTTTCCATTTTTGAGAACTTATTTAATTTTTCATTGAAAGTAGGATGGATCAAGGAGATGCAAAATCAGAATCCGTGATAGAAGACGAAGAAGTCGCGGCATTTGTCAAAGAAGCCGTCGAAAGAAGCGGAAAAAATCCAGTTTCACTATTCAACGAGCTAGTGGTGCAGGTTTTTCGCAAAACTTTAAATTTTTGGCTTGAAAGTATCGGTTTAGTTCAACAAAACTCCACCGCAATACGAATTTTACAATCGAAATTGTCCGAATGACAAGGTGCACAAAAATCAATTCATTTGTATCACAATGATAAATGACACGCGAATTGAGGGACGCATTTTGCCGCAAAAGAAGCTCGCCAAAGTTTCATGCGCTTTAAGAGGTCTTGAGGTGTTTTTTTCTTAAATCTCAAAAAGAAAATCATCGCAAAATTGAGATTTTAGGTGATTTTGAATTATTTGAATATGCAAGTCGAGCAGAAAATTGATTTCGGCTTGCCAACGACAATCCATGAGCTTTTTCGCCTACACACATACGCGAAATTCTATGAGTGAGCTGAAATTGAGCAAAACAAAAATGGAAATTTCCATTTTCAGACTCAGTCGAGACAATATGAATGCGTTTGGACTCGAAAAAGTGATCGCGTCGGTTTTCATAAAGGCCAACAATCAATTTCGAATCATCTCATTGGCGACGGGCAACAAATGTTTGATTGGTGAGAATATTCGAACGGACGGGAAGGCATTGAACGATTGTCACGCCGAGATTCTCGCGCGAAGGGGATTGATGCGATTCTTCTATTCGGAAATCGCCAAATTCCTATTGGACCCCAATAAATCAATTTTCGAGAAGGGTCGACAAGGTAGTTGGGTTTTTTTTTTGGAATATGCGAACGTCAATGTTCAGGACGCTTCAATCTCCGCCCGGGAATCACATTCCATTTGTTCATCAATACGGCACCGTGTGGATCCGGACGAATATCGGTGTGAGCATTGAGCGTCGAGCATATATATTCAAATTGTTGATGTACAGAAAAAAGTGAATATGAATGACGAGCGCGATGTGGTGAACGCGAGACGCCTTCGCTTCAAACTCGACAGAGGAATGGGCGCGGTTCTCGGCGACGATGTGGAGTTCAATGATCCGCAAACGTTTGACGGGATTCTCGCCGGCGAGCGCCTTCGAACAATGTCGTGCTCGGACAAATTGATGCGAAGCAGCGTGCTCGGCGTTCAAGGAGCCCTATTGAGCCATTTCGTGAATCCGGTAGATCAAATTTGAATTGCTCAATTTTCTCTCTCGCTCTCTCTTTCACTTTTGTGCAGATTTATTATACGTCTATAAGTGTCGCCGAGTTGAACAATGTGGAACGATTGACGACGGCAATTTTCGCGCGTGTCGCTTCGTTCAATCCGCCCCAACCATTTATGGTGAAACCGGTGGTGATTGGACAGTGTCAGACGGAGGATGTCGAGAGGGCGTCGACGGCGAAGAACTCGAATCAGTCGTCGAATTGGAATATTGCCGATGGCGTTGTTGAATTGGTGCGAACTAGCGATGGAATGGTGCACACGAGGAATTCGATGGACGGCACTGAGGACGTCGACGCGTCGCGATTGTCGAAATACGAGATGGCGAATTTATTGAAGAAGGTGCCGTTCCACGGGTTTTGAATGATTGATTGAGCCGCGAAATTGTAGATTTTGAAATTATCGCGGACGCCAATTGCGCGCGAATTGAGCTACGAGCAACTCAAATGCGGTGTTGAGCATTATCAAATTGCGAAACAATCGCTTCTTGATTATTTGCGGGCAAAAGGAATGGGAGACTGGCAGAAGAAGCCCGCCGAAATGGAAATGTTCAATGTTTTTTGAATAAAAACAATTTTTTCTTTTTTTTTTTAATTGAATCGACATATTTCCCATGTGAAACTTGATGGTTCTAGCCGACATTTTGATATCAAATTGAATTTTTTAATTTTTAATTAATTTCTTTTTCGAATGCACCCGGTTAGCCATGTGATTTTCGATTTTGACGGGCTTCTAGTTGATACCGAAAATGCGTATACGATGGCGAATCGCGAGCTTCTTGCCCCGTTCGGCGTTGAATTCACAATGGAGCTGAAGAGAAGTTTGATCGGTGTATTCCACACGAGACCCGTTTTTTTTTTAAATTGCAGAGCAAATGGGCATGAAGCATGATGAAGCGATTGGGTGGCTCCTCGATGAGGTCGGCATTGCCGACAAGATTACGGTCGATGAGTTCGGTCGAAGGTACGACGAGATATTGTTCGAGCATTTTCGGAGGAGCGAGGCGATGCCTGGCGCGAAACGACTCGTCACCAATTTGGTGGCGAATGGTGTGCCGGTGGCGTTGTGCACGGGATCGTGTAGTCGCACGTTTCCGGTGAAAGCAGAAAATCATCGAAGCTGGATCGATTTGATCGCGATTCAGGTTTTGTCTGGCGACGATCCGAAGGTGAAGCGCGGAAAACCGCATCCGGATCCGTTTTTGGAGACGGCCTCAAGGTGGATATTTTTTTTTTTGGGTGTGGCGCGAAATTTGATTTTTTTTTCTTGTTGCAGATTTTCCGAAGCGCCGAAATCGCCGCTCAACGTTCTCGTATTTGAAGATTCGTACAATGGTGTGTTATCGGCGTTGAATGCTGGAATGCAGTGCGTCATGGTGCCGGATCGATCCATCTTCGATCCGGACAGTGATCCAGAGTTTGCGAAGCGCGTAACTCAAATTCTGCCGAGTTTAGAGGATTTCCAACCGGAATTGTTTGGATTGCCTCCAATTTTGTGAATAAATTATTGATTTTTTCGCATTTTTTTTTCAAATGTCTTCATTGTTTTATCGATTTTCATACTTTATGGTCCTTTATTGTTGCGAACTTTATTTTCTGATGGTTTTTAGATGGCCGATGAAGGGGTGTCGAGAAGGCGGCTTGCATTCCGGCCGCCGGTTAAATTGGATGGCGACGAGAATAGTGAAGCGGCTAGCACGTCGCAGGCGACGCAGCAGAAGGCTGAATCGACGATGACGGCGACGACGACGTCAGAAGCGTCGAGTGGCGAGGAAATTGTGAAAAAGAAGACGGCGAAATCGTGGACGCCCGACCACGTGTTGGCCTATTACGATGGCCTCAAAATGTACGGAAAAGATTTCGAAAGTGTTGCGAGAATGTTGCAGAAGCGAAAAATCGCGAAAGACAAAGACCAAATCAAAAACTATTTCTACAATTCGCTGAAAGTGTTCAAACAGTTGTTGGCGATCGACGAGGACGACATGGGCGATGTGCCAAAAGACGCGAAAGAGCTGTTCGTCGCGTTGAACGCGTGCGAATGGAAAAAACGCACCGGCAACGCGAAATTGAACGCAGAAAAAGTGCGCGAGCTTCTGTTCGACGGCCAAACGTCGGTGCGTGTGAATCGCAAAACGATTTTGATCAAAACGCCGCCGTGTCCGAGTTTGGTCAAATGGTTCACCAGTGAGTCATTATAGAGTAGCGAGAGAAAAAAAAATGAAATGCAAATTTTTGAAAGGCACTCGACGCGTCGACAAAATTCCCAACGAGTTGACGATCGTGTTGCGGCCGAAATCGAACGGCGACGCCGCCCATCTGAAGCAGTTCATGCAGAACACGCTGGTGAAGATGCGCGTGAGCACGAACGAGCGCATAACGCGTCTGTTGGAGTTTCTCGAGCGCAAATGGACGGCGAACGCGGTGAGATTGTGGCCGAGTTGCGGCACACAATTGGGCAAATTGCGGATTGTCGAGACCGACGTGTCGCCGTTCGTCGCCGTCTCGTTGAACAAACTGCGCAAAGAGGTTGAGAACGCGACGGCGAAGAAGAGGGGCGGCACACGCGAAACGCCGGAGCCCGTCATTCAGCCGGCATCAAGCAATATTAGTAAGGAGGGCACGAATCGCCTGATTGGATTGATTTGATTTGATTCCAGATTCCAACCCATCCTACAGCGTCGTCTATCCGAAGCCGTTTGTGTTGAACGATGAGATCATGAAAGACGGCATAAGTGCGACGAATTCGGAGAACGCGATATTCGCTGAATTATATTGTGCGGTAAACAACGTTTTCTTTTTGCGCGTGGCCTAACGAGAACGCCAAAAAAAATTATGAATATCATCATTTTTTAATCCGTTTAGTGCGGAATGACGGATGAGATCGAGATGCGCTACGAGATAATCTGCGAGGCGCCCGAGTACGAGTTTCAGCGGCGCAAAGAGCCGTGGATGGTGATGGTGGATTTGTTGAGTCGCGACTACGGCGAAGCGTTGTGTTGTGCGAGACGCGACGGCGGCGGCGAGACGGCGACGGCGGAGAATCGGAAGCGCGTCGAGCGCGACGTTGTCGATGAGTGCGAGCCACCGCCGCCGAAAAAGCCGGCGCCGCCGCCGACTGAGATTGCTGTGGTCGCGGCGTCCGACGTCGTTCAACGCGAAAACGATGATTTTGCGATGCAGATAGCCATGCTGAAAACGACGAAAGGGACGAAGAAGCCGGTAAATTTTTTGATTTGGAAGAATAACAAAATTTGTGTGTGCAATTTCGCGTTTGGTGTTTACGGACGCGACACTGACTACAGTATCCTGGAACGCAATTTGTTTTAGTTGCAACTTCCACGACGCCGTCAGGACTCGGTGCGATCTCAATTCTCTGTGCCGCAACGAATACCTCAAAAATTTGTGCAGCCATTAAATACATCCACGAATTCTGTAAATAATCAAAATACAAGTAACATTTGAAAATAATGAATTTGGGTTTTTTTTTAATAATTTTTTTCAGGTGTTTCGAATAATGTTCGTTTAGCTGCGAAAGCTGAGATTGTTAAAGAGAAGAAAATCGACTTCTCGCATGTAATTAATTAATTGGTTATTTTAAAATGGATTTCATAGGCGAGCGTTTAGATGATTCCGACGGAAACGGTCAGTGAGGAAGTGCAAATGCAGCGGAATCGGGAGTTTTTGGATTCGTTGGCGACGCCGAAAAAAACGCCGCAGGCGAGAAGAATTTCTTTTCGAAAAATTATGATTTGTTGTTGCAGAAGTTGACTGCAAGTGTTCTATTCGGTGAGGATATTTCGATGTCGCCGTCGACGACGAAAAAATCGGCGCCGCCGCCGCCGCCGTCGCGCGACGACGAAGGGTCTCGTTGCGAATTGACGGAAATATTATTTGGGGAGATTTCGTCGACGCCAACGAAATATCCGGCGAATCCGCAAGGCGGCCTCGGATTCACCGATGTTGAAGTCCAGCAGAGCTATGAGGATCTAATATCGAGCTCCGAGGATAGTCGAGATTTTGTGCTCAAACACTTTACCGGTCGAAAGTGTGCTCCGAAACGAAAGCTGTGAATAAAATTGTGTACATTCTCATAATTTATTTGCTGCAATTTTTATTATTTTTTTTTTTGAGAGTCGATGATTGCTCTTTTATTATTTTTTTCTAACCAAAGTTGGAGGGGGAATTTAAATTTTAAGCAAAGCAGAATTCAGATGATTTCACTGCGAACCGTTGTCGCGCGACTCGCAAGAGCTCAGAGAATGCTCGCAACGTCTTCGGCAATTCCGACGACGTCTAGCCATTCGTTGGATTCGAGAAGGCGTCGGCATTATGCGACGAATCCGCAGAGGCACGAATTTCAGGCGGAAACGCGAAATTTGATGGATATTGTGGCGAAATCGTTGTATTCTCATAGCGAGGCGAGCGCGAATTTTGTTTCTCAATGGAAAAAATGTTTCAATTTTTTCAGGTTTTTGTTAGAGAATTGATCTCGAATGCTTCGGATGCGCTGGAAAAGCGACGATACGCCGAACTCAAAGGGGATGTCGCTGAGGGGCCAAGCGAGATTCGAATTATTACGGATAAAGTTGGGCAAAGTGGCGTTCTCATTATCTTTTTTTTTTTGTCTTGTTTTTCAGGAGAATCGCACAATTATTTTCGAGGACACTGGAATTGGAATGAATCGCGATGATCTCGTCGGTTTCCTCGGAACGATTGCCAAATCGGGATCGATGGATTTCATCGAGAAGAACGCGGAGAACGCGGAAGCCGTCATCGGACAATTCGGCGTCGGTTTTTATTCGGCGTTCATGGTTGCCGATCACGTTGTGGTGAAGACGCGAAAAGTTGGAAGTGATCCGAACGCGGGTCTCGTTTGGACGTGTAATGGGTCCCGATTGATGATTTTTGAAAATTCGCCTAATTGATGATTGATTTTAGCGATAACTCGTATGAGATTGCTGATGAAGGTGGATTGCCAACGGGAACTCGAATCGAGATCAAACTGAAGGCTGGCGATTCGGCGACGTACGCTGAAGAAGACAGGATCAAAGAGGTTGGACTCGATGTAGGCGAATCGATTTGATATTGATGCTCACAGGTCATCAACAAGTACTCGTATTTTGTCTCGGCGCCTATCCTTGTGAACGGCGAGCGCGTCAATAATTTGAACGCGATTTGGACGATGCAAGCGCGTGAAGTCAACAAGGAAATGCATGAGACGTTCTTCAAGTGAGCGAAATGAGCATTTTTTTTCTTGATTTTTGAAGACTTTTTGAATTTTCTTTTTCAAGACAATTGGTCAAAAATCAGGGCAAACAGGATATTTTCACACGACCGCAGTACACGATTCATTTTCAAGTTGATCTCGATTTTTTTAATGTCAGAAAAAATTGCGGTTTTCAGACGGACACGCCGGTGTCGATACGATCGGTGATCTACATTCCGCAATCGCAATTCAATCAGTTGAGCTTCATCGCGCAACAGAAAATGTGCGGATTGTCGCTGTATGCGCGACGGGTTTTGATCAAACCGGACGCGCAAGAATTGATACCAAAGTAAGCTTCTTCTTGTTTTTTTTTTTTGCTCGTTGAACCCACACATTTCGCGATTCTTTTTCCAGCTATCTCCGATTTGTAATTGGTGTTGTCGATTCGGAGGATATTCCGTTGAATTTGAGCCGAGAAATGCTTCAGAATAATCCGGTTTTGAGGTTTTTTTTTTAATTTTTCGACCCTCAATATTGATAATTTTGATTTAGAAAGCTGAAAAAGATCATCACTGACAAGATTTTGGGAAGTCTACAAGCGGAAATGAAAAAAGATCCCGTCAAATATTCGGAATTCTATCAGAATTACTCGCTCTACTTCAAAGAAGGCGTTGTGACCGAGCAGGATCAGACGATAAAAGAGGACGTCGCGAAATTGTTGCTGTTCGAGTCGTCGTCGAAAAAAGCTGGCGAATTGACGAGCCTTGGCGATTATGTGAAGCGAATGCAAGACGGGCAGAAGGAGATCTACTATATGTACGCCAATAAGTGGGTGCTTTTTGGTGTTTTTGCTGCTCGAACTCATCATTTTGTGTGATTTCAGCCGACAACTGGCCGAATCGTCGCCGTATTATGAGGTGATCAAATCGCAGAACAAGGAGGTCCTTTTCCTCTATGATCCCGCCGATGAGGTGGTGTTTTTGGGATTGGGCCAATTCGCGATGAAGAATTTGGTGCCTGTCGAGAAGTGGGCTCAAGAGGAGTCGGAGAAGCCGGAAGCGAAAGAGACGAGTGAGATTTGATTTTGTTGTTGTTGTTGTTAAATTTCAGCATTTTCAGAGGAATTCCGCGACGTTGACAAAAAGGAGTTGCTCGATTGGATGAAAGAGACGCTGGGAAGTGTGCGGGTTGCCGAGATCTCCGGAAATCATCGACCAAGCGATCATCCGTTGATGGTTACTGTATCGGATATGGGCGCGGCGAGGCACTTCCTTCGAACCGGCGAGATTAAAGACATGGAGCATTTGGTGTACTTCAAGCCGCATGTTCACGTCAATTTGACGCATTCGCTCATCAAGAGTTTGTACAAAATGCGGAAGAATGATGCGGAGACGGCGCGGATTCTCGCCGAGCAATTGTATGATAATGCGCTCATCACGGCGGGTCTCATCAAAGACACGAGTCGAATGGTGGCGAGATTGAACAAGCTTCTGACGTCGTTGGTGGAAACGAAAGGCGCGTCGACGATTTTGACGCCGTAAAATGACGCATTTTTTCTGTAGAAATTAGGATTTGTTGATTTTCTCGTCGTTGCTGTTGTTTTTTTTTTTTTATTATAAAATATTGTTTTCGATTTTTGTTGTTTTTTTTTTTTTCTTATCGGAGTAGATTTCCCAATTGTATACCTCTTTTTTTGTTCTTTTTGGTATAATTTAAAGTTTTTAGATGAACGGACTTCTTGCGATCTATGAGGAAATGCCACCGGTGACACGGGCCTACACGACGATTTGTGTGCTGACGACATTGGCTGTGGTATTTTCATTTTTTTTTTTTGAAGATTTTTGAATGAAATTAATTGAGAAGAAGTTGAAAATATAGGAAAAAATTATTAAAAAATTGAATAGAATATTGAAATCTGCATACAAACGAACGAAAAATTGCACACATTTGATTTTTAATTGATTTCTTTTTACGATGGAAATATTTTTTAAAACGATGGAAATTTTTTTAAATTGCTATTTTTCCTCTCTAATAAATGTATATACTATAGCTGGTATGGATGTCGTCAGACGCGTTGCGGTCTGCGTGCGATCACCTAAAATAATATTTTAGCAAAAACCGATTTATTTTCGAATTCAGTGAGCTTTATTGTATAAATTTATACAGTATCATAATTCACAGATATCTAATTTAAGAACGATGGAAATTTATTTTTTTTATTCAATCTCGTGCCCGAACGCGAGCCGCAGCGGGAAAACCGGGCCTAACTTTCAATTCTTAATTTTCAAATTTGAATTACCGCGGCCCGCAAAAATACGATGGTCCACATTAGTGCAAAATTTAACCAAATTTTGAATTTGTTTTTTCTCTTCAAAACCTCGATAGTTCCATAATTCATTATTTGTTTCAGCAATTGGATTTTGTCACGCCGTTCCATTTGTATTTCAATTGGGAGCTGGTTGTGAAACAATGGCAAATTTGGCGAATTTTCACCTCGTTTTGCTTTTTCGGCTCGTTTGGCTTCTCGTTTCTGTTCAATATGGTGTTCACTTATCGATATTGTATGATGCTTGAAGAGGGCTCATTTCGCGGACGACGCGCCGATTTTGTGTTCATGTTCATTTTTGGCGCGACTTTGATGGTAAATTTGATCAATTCTTTCGGGAAAAAGAAGAAAAATTCTAAATTTTCTTTTTTTCTTGTGCAGGTGATTTGCGGAATTTTCGCCCAAATGGTGTTTCTCGGCCAAGCGTTCACAATTATGCTCGTCTATATTTGGAGTCGCCGAAATCCGCACATCCAATTGAATTTCTTTGGCGTATTGTCGTTCACCGCGCCGTATTTGCCTTGGGTTCTTCTATTGTTCTCGCTTTTGCTTGGGAATAGCGCCGTCGTCGATTTTATGGGTAGAATTTTCATCGATTTAATTTCTTTTTTTGCGCGTCAAATAAAATGCGACGTGTGCAGTGCACACGTCCGACGACAAATTGCGTCATCGTGTTGTGATTTTGTTTTTTTTTTTCAGGAATCGCGTGTGGACATATTTATTTCTTTTTGGAGGACGTTTTTCCGTACCAGGTACTTATTTTTTTTTGAATTCGTAAAATTGTGAAATTGTTTATTTAAAGGAGCACGGCAAGCGTTTGCTCGTCACCCCGCGATGGCTTGTGTGGTTATTTGAGGAGCGTCGACCGGAGCCGGTCGCCGAAGCCGACAGGCCGGGCGGCTATGAATGGGGTGCCGTCGGCGAGAATAATCAATAAATGTCCTGTATATATTATTTTATTTATATGAATGCGGTATTATTGGGGGTTCGTTGCTCGTTGTTTTCAATGTTCTGGACTAGTTGTATTCTTGCCTCTTGTCGATTCCTGTTGTGATAAATTATTGTGTGTAATAAATTTTAAACGTTTCCCATTGTTTTTTATTGATTGCATTTGCGTGGAATTCGAAAAAAAAATTGGTTTTTTCTTCAATTTTTGCCGAACTGCAATTCGTGTGTAGGTATACGGTAGGCAAGCGTGTTTGCGGACTTTTTCCGAATTTCACTTTGCGATCATTTTTGCGCTGGATTTCCTTGTTTCGCGGCTGCCCCAAATCCAGTTGGAGGTGAATTCTTGTCTTGACATCACGAAAAGCTTCTCCCAATTATGTCCTTATTGATTTTGACAACTTGGAACCGTTTTTCCACGTCGCTCTAGCGCATTTTAGGCGTTTTCGAAATATTGCCCAACATTGCGCGTTTTCAGTAACGGGCCATGTCGACGGAAATTGAGAAGCAGATTGAAGAGCAAGGCGGAATTGTCCGTACGCTTAAAGCCGACAAAAGCGCCACCGAGGTTGGTTGAATAATTTTTGAAAATTTCAAATATAATCATTTTTAGGTAGCAAAGAAGGAAGCAATTGAGAAGCTTCTCGCTCTCAAACTGGCGTACAAAGAGGCAACCGGCAAAGATTACGCGGCTCCGGGAGCCCGGCAGCAAAAGCCGAAACAGGAGAAGCCGAAGAAGGAGGAGAAGAAGCAGCAGCAGCAGCCAAAGAAGGAGGATGGCAAAAAACAATCGAAATTAGGAATTGAGACGTCCAAAGATGAGAATTATTCGGAGTGGTACTCGCAAGTCATCACGAAAGCCGAAATGATTGAATACTACGACGTCTCCGGATGCTATGTGCTTCGCCCGTGGTCGTACGCCGTCTGGGAATCGATTCAGGCGTGGTTCGACAAAGGGATCAAAAAGCTCGGCGTGAAGAATTGCTATTTTCCGATGTTTGTGAGTCATGCGGCGCTCGAGCGAGAGAAGACGCACATCGCCGATTTTGCGCCGGAAGTCGCGTGGGTGACAAGAGCCGGCTCGTCGGAAATGGCCGAGCCAATCGCGATTCGGCCAACATCGGAGACGGTCATGTACCCAAGTTACAAGAAATGGGTTCAGTCTCATAGAGACCTCCCAATTAAACTCAATCAATGGTGCAATGTTGTGGTATGATTTCGAATTAATTAATTGAGCTCGATAATTATTATTTAATTGCTTTAGAGATGGGAGTTCAAGCATCCAACACCATTCCTGAGAACTCGCGAATTCCTCTGGCAAGAGGGCCACACGGCGTTCTCGAACGCGAAAGACGCCGAGGCGGAGGTGTTCCAGATTCTCGACCTCTACGCCGGCATCTACACCGATCTTCTCGCGATACCGGTGGTCAAAGGCCGCAAATCGGAAAAGGAGAAGTTCGCCGGCGGCGATTTCACGACGACCGTCGAGGCGTACGTGCCGTGCAACGGACGCGGCATTCAGGGCGCGACGTCGCATCATCTCGGCCAAAACTTCTCGAAAATGTTCGACATCTCGTTCGAGGAGCCGACGAGCGGCGAGAAGGCGTTCGCGTGGCAAAACTCGTGGGGATTGTCGACGCGAACCATCGGCGCGATGATTATGATTCACGGTGACGACAATGGTCTCGTGTTGCCGCCGCGTGTCGCTTCAATTCAGGTATTCATCTCTAATTATAGCCATTCTATTTGCGTAGACTGATAATTGCCAAGTGGGTGGGGAGATGCTAATTAAAGCAATTATAGAATTGTGATTTGGGATTGTGTTCGAATCACATCGTTTTGCAGACAATCGTGATTCCTGTCGGCATCACCGCACAGACGAGCGATGAGCAGAAGGCGAAATTGACCGAGACGGTCGAGACGATCACCGCGAGGCTCGTCGACGCTGGCGTTCGCGCCGAATCGGACTTGAGGGATAACTACTCGCCGGGATGGAAGTTCAACCATTGGGAATTGAAGGGTGTGCCGATTCGCTTCGAATTGGGACCCAAAGATTTGGCGGCCGATCAGGTCACCGCGGTCATTCGATTCAACGGCCAGAAGAAAGCGTTGCCATTGGCGCGTCTTGCCGACGAGGTTCCAGCGCTTCTTGACGACATCCACAAGCAGATGTACAACAAGTAGGGAATCTCCAAACTCTTGGCTTCAAAAAAAAAGCAATCTATACGAATTTTAGGGTGCTCGCTGCTCGCGATGCGCATCTGAAGAAGACGACGTGCATCGAGGAATTCAAGCGAATGCTCGACGACAAATGCATCATTCTGGCGCCGTTTTGCGGTTTGCCGGACTGCGAGGAGGAGATCAAGAAGGCGTCGACGCGCGAGGACGGCGAAGGAGCGCAGATGGGCGCGAAGACGTTGTGCATTCCGCTCGAGCAGCCGGACGAGCCACTTCCAGCCAAATGCCTCTATCCGACGTGCACTCATGCGCCCAAGTTTTTCGCCTTGTTTGGAAGAAGTTATTAATTAATTGCATTGTTTTTTTTTTGTTGGCGTTTTTTTTCCCGCAATATTTATTGTCCGTTTTGCCCCCGAAATGTGAGAAATTCATTTTTTTTCGTAATTCTAATCAATTTGCATAAAACGTGAACCAAATAATTGACCTTGGTCGACACGTGGCAAACAGTGAGCAATTAGGGCGCAAAATTGAGGGGCTCATCATTGAAATCATGCGATCGGACGCCGAAGAAGGTCAACTCTCGTCGAGCTCTGAAAGGTGAGCCGGTTGGCGCTTTTAGCTCACTCACTAAGCGATTTTCAGCACCGTCCCAGCGGCGTATAAAAAAATTGAAAAAGCGGCGACGAGCTCGAGCTCGACGACGTGGAGCTCGTCGTGCTCTGATAGTGATTGGCGCGATGGGCGCGATCATCAGCGAAAACGGCGGCGGCGAATCAAGCGGCGAAAAGATCGGCCGATGTTTCCGAAAAAGGATGAGCAGCTGAAAAAATCGTCGTCATTTACGGGGTGTGTGTGTGTGGTGTGATTGTGCGTCGCGGTGAATGCACACTCTCCTCGCATTTCTTTTGTTTTGGTCGATTTTTATCAAATTTTTGCGTTATTTTTTTTTCCTCGTAGACGACGCGATCGAAAATTGCCGACGACACGAAAACGAGCGCGACGCTGCAGCAGCAGCAGCTGCGACAGCTCGCCGACGGTGGTAGTGCGACGAGTGAGGCGGCGATTCAAATGCGAGATTTGTGATCACGTGAATTTCAGCTTGAAGGTTGGCTTTTGTTTTTCGTTGCTAATGAACAGAAGCAAACAATTATGATGAATTCTCTCTCAGGGATTTGTGCATCACGGAATGACCGAGCACAATTTGGGTGTCACATGTCACGTGTGCCGAATGATGTTCGCGAAGCGCGGACAATGGATGAACCACTACGCCGAGCATCATCCCGATGAAGCGGTTTGATCGACGCCGAAGACGTTGACGCGCGACGGCTGTGCTATTACAGGTTCAGTGCATTTATTGCAAGGCGAAGTTCGAGAAGCCCGATCGAATGAGCGAGAAGCGTTGGGAATTTGTGCACCAGCACATTTACGGCGAAATATTCTATTCGAGACTCGCCGAATTTGAGGAAACGCAGCTCTCGCCGCTCGAAAATCCGTTTGAATAATAAGTTAATTTTATTTGGCTTTGCGTGTCTGTATGTGTGTGTTTTTTTTTCGATGAATGATATATTGAGTTACCCTTTTGATTAACTGGACAATTTTTTGTCACAATGAGCAAAGAACAAATAATTCTATGTATATAATGGTTCGAAAATGAAGTTTTTGTGGGATACTGTAATTAAATTTTAAAGGCGCATGCGAACAAACGTGTCGGGTCTCGCAGAGAAACCCGACCTTTCACATTTCAATTTAGGATTTTCCATTGTTTTTCACCATTCTTAAAGCTTATTTTCAAATGTTGGCAATTTATTTTTAACAATTTAGTTTGGAAAATTTTTCCAAAGTATTTTGTTGAATGGGTGAATACGTGCAAAACGGCGCTCGGCAAAATTTCGCACCAAAATTTTGTGATTTGATTAAATTCATCTCTCTCCGGTTCAAGTCGTGTTTTTCGATTTCTGTGCCCGTATGACACATTTTTAATTGGAAGTTTTGCGCACCTGGGACTGCACTTGTTGTGCGCCAATTACCATAGAAACTCGTGATGAAGGCGGAGTCGGTTGATAGCGAAGCCGTCGCCGTCGACAGCGTTGAGCTCATTTTCATCGAAATGCCGAGACAGCAAAGCCCGCCGTCTGGCCAGAAGAAGGCGTCGATTCGTGTTGCGCCGAAGGCGACTCGTGGCCCGTCGCCGGACACAATCAAGAACACGCCGGCGATATCGAAGTCGAACGTCGAGTCCGTCAAGACGAGAAGCGATGAGGTGAAGCTCGCCGAAAAAATGGGAGCTGTCAAGATTGGGCGAGAAGGTTAAATTAAAAAATTGTATTATTGTTGTTTATTTGTTTTTTTTTTTTGCAGAAGTCCGCCAACTCGTCGGTGTCCCTAAAGAGTATCCGGATTCGGATCCGGAAGATGCCAAGAGCCCACCACCGCTAATGTACGGCACAATCTCGAAGCGACAAGCCGAGCGACTCGAACAGCTCTATCGCACCTATGACAAATTCCCGACGGGAAAAGTCGTCGCCGAGTTCATCGACAAGAACGGCGTTTCGCCGATGGACGTCGAGTTGTGGCTCGAGACGCGACGCGAGCTCACCTACCGAAAATGGCAAAAGTTGGGTCTCGACACGCAGGCGAGCGTCATGAAATTCTATTCGGAGGCGTTGAAGGTCTCGGAGGGAATTCGCCTCGAGCAGCCGTCGATTCGAATGAAATCGTTTTTTAGTCACGAAGGCGAAAAACAAGTCGAAGCCAAGGTAACAATAATAAATAATAATTATGACAAATGCAATAGACATACACGTATTTTCCGAAAATAGAAAGAGGAAGAGGAGAAGATGATCCCGTCGCTTACCGTCACCCCGAGCAAGATATTCGTGAGTCCCGACCGTGAGGAGAAATTCGTGTTGGCCGTGAAGAACACCGGCGAGGTCAATGTCGTCTATCAGATCAGCATGGTCAATTCGGAGAACTACTTGATGTCGCCGATTTGTGCTATACTTCATCCGCATGAGGAATTGAGTTTGAACATCACACGCAAGGTAATCGTCAAAATGCAACAAAAAACCGCACACACATAATTTTGGCCGTCTAATAATTTGTAGGAATTGCAGGTGGGACCCATCGTCGAGGAGCTGTTTCGTCTTGACTACGGCGCCGCTCCCGATGGGATTATTGACGCGCGTGAAGCGGCGAATCGAAGTGAGATGACGAAACGCGAGATCATCGAGGTCGTCACCATCGACAACAACGACATGAAAGTGGTCCGCTAATTTGCAACAAATAGCAACCCGTCTATATTTATTTTTTTGTGACACGAATTATTAAATAAATCAAAACTACGAGATCATAGCACAAACCAATCGGGACGTTTTTGGAAATACTCGATGGAGGGAAGGGGGAATGGAAAGAACGAATCGACCGATGTCCGTCGCGATTTCGGCGAACTGCTCTCAAATGGATCATCTGAAAACAATGCGCAACATTTTCAAGATTCTAATCACTGTCGAACCTTTCTCCTCATCGGTGAACTCAATAGTAGTAGTGCTAATAGTGGTGGTGCTAGGAGTCGAAGTAGCCACCTCTTCCATCATTGGGAATAGAGCACGAATGGCTCGAACATCGTCATCACCTTAAAAAATGAAGAGCCAATAATTTTCAGACCTCAAGGCATTTACCTAGAGTGAATCCTGGATCATAGGGCCGCTTGGCTGCATACATAGCAGCTCGGACATCCATTGAATGTTCGAGGCCGAGAAGGTGGCCGATCTCGTGAACGGCGGTCTAGAATTGAGCAGTAATTAGTCGGAGAGTGCGATGAAGAAGGTTACCTGAAACAGATTAACCCCTTCATCAGAATTGAGACTCCATTTCTCGTCGGCATCGAAATGAAGGCGTCCGTCTCGCGGGTAGAACGCGTGCGCCACAACGCCGTCTTCGCCGTCGAACGGATAGCCATCGTGATGTTCGCCTTTGCGAAACGCTATTGTGATGTCCGGCGTGCCGGCGGTCTCCTCGAACTCGGCCGACGAAACCGTTTGCCATTCATTGAACGCGCGATGAAGTGTGTTCCTTTAATGCGGCTCACAATTGGTTTGATCTACCTCGCATTACCTCACTATGAAGATGTCGGCGTCATCGAGATTGTCGGGCAGAAGCTTCCACGTGAATCGGCTTTTGTGCCAACGCTTCGCGCGAACCACTGAAAGACGTGAATCGAATTGGGCTTTGGCCGAATTGTCAAACCCACCGTATCGTTTTTCGCGTCGAGCGGGAGCCACAAAATCGGCGTCGAAGCATTGATGAGCGGCGACGACGATGAGAAGAAGCAGAATTCGTCGACGCATGCGCGATTTCAGTGGGAAATGCGCGCGCGGGCGCGCGCGATGTGGGAGGGTGTGAAACACTCTGGTTTGGCAGCCATCCCAGTTGATGATTTTGCCATCCGCAGTCTGTTTGATCTATGATGAGGATTGGGGAAGTTGTAATAGTACCTGTAGATGAAGAAGCCGAACACCGACCGACGAATGGCAATTCGCCGCCGCCGCACCTCTTCGGAAATTGCGCAACCGCTCCTCGTCGCGGGTCTCACTTTCGCCTACTTGCCACCACACCAACCTTATTACAGCTTCTTCTTCATCGTCGTATGCGGTGAACTGGAAAACAAGGTGTACGAACGAAATCAAACCACAAAAAAAAGAAAGCGATATCATGGGGTTTAGGTTTTTTTTTGGTGTTGTTGTTGCGCGAATCTGGACTTGATTTGGTTTTTTTTTTCTGATTATTATCTGAGCTGCAATGTTGCAATTATTATGCCGAAAATTATTGGAAGATGTTATGACGAGATAGATATGCGACAAAAACGAGATTTTTTTTCTCAACGCGCGTCGCCGCATGGAACTCGAGAAAATGGCTGGCGAGATGGGAATGATGATTTGAAAATTGGGAATGGAGAATTGAAAAATAGCGATTAAAATTGGAAGCGAAAAATCGATTTTTTTTTTCGTAAAAAAAAACGCAAATTTTGTATTTTCACTTCAAGAACCTGAAAAAAACAAGATGGAATGTTCCTTTAAATGCGATACGATAGCTAAATTGTTTTTTTTTTCAAAATTTTCTCCCCAAATATCATCTAGTGCACTTTTTCCCCGCAGAAATGTTGAATTCCGCTATTGGCTGTCCAATTTTCTCACACATAATGCGATAAAATGTTCCATTTTCTGTTGAGATTTGCATTTTTTGTTCTCACCAAAAATTTCTATTTTCATTAAACGCCATTATTTGTTTTTTTTTTTGCATAAAACATGAATTCCGGAATGCGTGCACTCATTTGATTTCAGGACGCGCGTTGTTATCGATCGTGTCGATACCTTCCAAAAAAAAAAAGAAAAAAGAATGGCACATGTGCATATTGTCAGCCATCTGCGTCTGCAAACCCACATTCGAACACCTGCAATTGGTTCTTCAGAATCTCAAGGCCTGATGCTTTTAGTGCAACAATTGGCATGAAATTAGCGACAAAAGTGAAAACTAAACCCAAATTTCTCATGCGCCTTTAAAAATTATTGCCAACATTTGCAATACTATTTTTTTTCAATTTCAAAAAAAAAATAGGTCCAATTTTCTCCAAGTTTATCGTCCCATCACCTATTCGCCTCATATTTTAATGGCGCAATGGTGCACCACGACGAAATGGTGTCGTGGTGAGTGTGCGCGCGGCACGCGTTGCGGTACAAATGATATCCACTACTCATTCGGCGTTCCCATGCCAACCGCCCCTGTCTTCTCCGTCTTCTTTGCAATTATTGTCAATTCTCGATTTTCAGCGTTTCAAAATGCCCACCTACGCTTGGCGTTCTCTTCCAAAAGAGCTTCACATCAAAATTGCCGAGGAGTTGGATATTCGCTCATTGTAAGAAATTTTAGAGTTGAAAAATTGTGCAAATCATGGTTTTTTTATTTAAAAACATACTTAACATGCAATTGTTAAACTTTTTTGTTTAGAAAAAATTATTCAATGTAAAATTTGCTGAGAAGCGACCGCCGCCCAAAAAAAATATTAAAATCAATTTTTAGGATTAAATTAAGCCGCGTGGCTCGCTATGAGCACGATCTGATGGATCACGTCTCAATGGACGCGACGTTTCTGTCCGTCACCGAGTACTTTCCGTCGGAGGAGGAGGTAAGCGGCGAACTCGATTCGCTCGAAACGCGTTTTTTAGGAGATTCGCGGCATTCAATTTCACTACGCGCGACGAAACGAGAGCACCGAGTGGTTCGTGAAATTCCGCGACGTCGACGGCGGCACGCTGGAGACGCGACAATCGGGATTCTATGAGACCGAGGAGTTCTATCAGAAGTTTCACGCCGACGCCGAGTTTCACGTTGTCGCCATGGATTATATGAGGAAGATTCTCAAACAAATGCGCTACACGGTTGACACGTTCAGCTCGAGAGGGGTACGAATTTCGCAAAATTGACATTTTTTGGGATTTATTCGCCACAATTTTTTTAGACCACAAAAATTTGAGAATCAATTAACAACGTAAAATCGGAGATTCTTATTGGTTATTTTTTTTGCGGTGCAAAATTCCACAAATTAAATTTGAATAAGCGCGCGATGGTCCGCAATTATTCAAGCTTCTCGGTTTTTTTTGCGATGATATTCGAAATTATAAGAATTGATTACGGTAGGCATTGCACACAATGCGCAGTGAACTACGCAATAGTGCGGACAATTTTTGAATGTTTCATATTTCGTCATGAGTTTTCGGAAATTTTAATTCAAAATTTTGCCATTTCAAAAAATTCCAGAACATCTTCACTGTTTATAGATTATTGGATGTTTTTGAGGCAGTATTTCAAATTGTGGGAATTCGTGTCGCGTTTTTTGCGAATTTTTTTTAGTAATATCATTTGACGGCAATTTAAATTTGAATTTAAAAAATGGTAATGCTCATTTGAATTGCCGCCAAGCACTCCAGCGAGTTCTCTTTTTTTTGGATTGTACGAATTTCATATTGTTCAGGTCGAATGGAGCAAAGTGCCAACGGTGCCGGTGCAAATTCTCGCCAACAAATTGACGATTCGATGCGAGGACGGCGACGAGGCGATGGCGCTGATCGGCCGATTCTTGCCGCGCCTCAAAACGCTTCAAATCGACGCCGAGGACAACTCGCAGCCGCTGGTGCCGCGTCGCATGTTCGACCTCGAGACGGTGATTCGCACCAGCGAGCAATTGTACTGCACCTACACCGACGTGACGGCCGTCCAGTTGCAGAAATTGAACGTCAAACATTTTGCGATTCGCGCCGTCACCATGGACTGCGACGAGATGAATCAGTTCATCAAGGTTCGTCAACATCTTCATTTTTTCCGATTTTCTTCTAGCTTCTTTCAGATGTGGACTGACGGGTTGCTGTCGGAGCGCATCATGCACTGTGTGTTCCGCGAATTCCGCAACATCGATCAGCGGGTGATGTTGAAGGACGTCGCCGAGTCCGCGACGTTCGACGGCTTCCGCAAACCGGAGCACGAGATGCGCGCCGAGTTCAATCGATTCTTCGAGCATCCGCCGCCGGCGAGCAACGTGCACCAAATTCGCCAAAAGGACAACATGCGCACGTGCATCATGGCGGTCATCAACACCGACGTCCATTTTCGATTCTCGAAGGACAACTCGAACATGACGCGATTCTGATGATTCTTCTTCGTCGTCGTGTTTGTTTGTTTTTTGGCGAATTTGATAAAGAACCAATTTTACTGTCACTCAAAAAAAAAAAAGAAAGAAAGAACGAGACGCCTTCCGCTGCATTCGTTAGGCCGCCATTTTTTTCTCGGTTGGTTTTCGCTGAGAGCTTTTTCTTCGCCCCCCCCCCTTCTACCCCGTGTATTGGATTTCTTCAATCATGCAACATTGCATTGACCTTGCCTATCAGCTTTCGCTTCTCTCGGCTTTTCCTTGTGCGATTCAAGACATTTTCAAAAAGTTGGGGGGGGGGGCTTGTTTGCGCACTTGAGGTGTTAACGAGGAAACGAAAAAGAGAAATGTTGTACGCGCCGCCCGTTTTAGGGCGGTTTTAATTAGAAGCTTCTGACCCCCATCAACTGCGATGATACAATATCGGATTTCGAAATGTGAGTCGTCGTCGTCGTCGTCGTCGCACGACAATTCAATCATCTATGGGCCGTCCGTTTTTCTTATTTTTTTTTTCGCCGCCTTTCAATGAAATTCCGATATTGTCGCCTTCAAAACAATAGCCTCCGGCGATTTTATGCCAATTTTTGGAGAAATTCGCAATTTCTCGCGGTTTTCTAACCTGAAAATTGCGATTTAAAAAAATTCGACTACCGTAACACATTTCAAGGCGCATGCGAATTTATTGAAAACAATTCAAACCTAAACATTTGATTTTTAAAGCTGATTAATTGTTTAAGCTAGTCGAACTAAATCGCATTTAAATTTTTTGAATTATCTCATATTCTTCGAAATTCTCATGTTTTATTCCAAAACATTTTCCTCCTTTCACTTTTCTTACTGTAGCGATTTATTTTGAAATTTTTGTCCTCTTGCGATGCGCCTTTAAATGACGAGAATTCGTCCGGCGCATTTTTGAAGCGGCCCGTTTGTTATTATGATTATTGCATTTTTTTTTTCCACAAACCAAACACCTTTTAAAGCCTCAAGGCAAACATATATAGAATATTCACACGTCGTCGCATTATTATTTGTTCCCACCCTTCATCTTCTTGTTCTGCGCAACTCAATTAGCCGATTGGAACAGAAATGTGGGTGGGCGGAGCCATCAAAGATGAGCAACAGAAAAAAAAACAACGAACCAGCGAAAATTGACAGGTTTCTTCGATGCCATAAAATTGAAAAAAAAATTGTGCTCGTCCATTTTTAATCCAATTTTTCGAACTTCGCTTTTCATTCCTCTTTTTCTCGGCCGGCTCTCAACAAATGTTTTGACGACTTCTGGCTTCTCCTCCCTCGCAATTCAATAATGCCATCATGCTCATCATCCGTCCACGCCTTTCGTCTCATTCGTTTTGTAATATCGCTATTCCTATTTCGGGCACACACCACGTCGAGCTCCGCCCCGCCGTTTTTGGCAATCGTTTCGTTTATTTCGAATAAACTCGCACGCCTATCGCGTTTCTCCGTTTCATTTAGACAGCTTAAATATTATGATTTTTCACTTTTTTTATTTTTGTTTTGGCAGGCCAACAAAATAAAACATGGGCAACGAGAGCTCAACGCTGGTGAAAATTCGCCGCAGCAGCAAGGATCCGGCAATCATCGAGTGCATGGACACGAATGGGTTCGTTTTTGCAGAAGCGAAATAAAAAACACAACGAGTTTCCTGGAAAATAAGCGAAAAAATTGAAAAAAAATAGGAAACGAAATAAAAAAAAAATTGGTAGTTCACTTTTGCGCCGCGGTGTACTGCACAAATCGCGTGCCTACAGTACCACCCATTGTTTAATTCGCCACTTTTTTTCTGTCTCGACAAAAATCCGCCCTAATCTCGTTTCCGCGTTCATTTTCTTTTGAGTAGCGTCTCCATCGCCCGTTTTTTGTTCATTCCATCCTTCTCCTTTCAACCCGCATTTTTTCGTCTTCGCGTTTCATCGATTTTGCTGCTCCATTAAAAAAAACCGAAAAATAAACAAATTAGAGTTGTTATTATTATATGTACAAGCCAAGTTTCGCATGATGAAATAATTATAAGCTCCAAAGCGCTCTTGTCATTCATTCACGCACTTTTGCAGCAACCATCAAGCGATTTACCGTAAGAAATCGCGGAAACGAAGTGTGACGTCGAGCCCGCCGCCGCCGCCAATTCCGATTCTCATTCAATCGCAACCGTCGGCAGAGCAATTCAGTGTTGATTCGAGGAAAAGCTCCGGTAAAACGTTTGGCCCAATATCGAATCTCCAATTTTTTTCGTTTCGGCTTCAGTTTCAAATTTTCGATCTTCTAGCGACGGCTCCGGCGACTCGCTTTTAAGCCCGCCGAATTTGGCATCCGACCGCCGGCGGAGTCGTAGTTTGTGCGCCGCACAAATAAAGGAGGACGCTCAAGTAATGCGCCTTTAAACTTTTTTTTTTGGGGTTGTTTTGAAGAGGCAGATTAGCTTCCTGGAAAAAAAAACTTCTTTTTTTGTGCTCGCAATGGCCTCTAGTGTGAACGCCGTCTTGTTCATATTCAAATTAAAGAAGGTGATCGAAGAAAAAAATTTGCATTTTAATTTACCGCTCTCATTTACCGAGAAATGGACCCAATAAATTGCGATGCGAAATTAAAAATGCCGCATTTTTTATTAATATTATTATTCTCTATCTCTCAATTTTTTTTTTCGCTCGCCGCATTCGCGTTTGCACGAGAAAAATTCGTGCAAAATTATTATTATAATATTAGGCGTGTTTTGTTGTTGACGGATTACGGTAGGCACTGCACACTATGCGCATTGAATTACGCAATAGTGCGGACAATTTTTGAGTTTTTCATTTTTTTGGGACGTTTTCCCGAAAACTTTTGCCATCGCCATGAAAAACGAGAACCTTCATGGCGGCAATTCAAATTTCGATTCAGAGTGCTCGCGTTTATTATTTTTGTGAGTGCAATAAATAGTTTAATCAAACACACGCGTCCATTTTGTCGATTTCAGGCGGTCGCTGCAAGCCAACAACAAGAAAAATCGTCGTCGTCGAACAACAGAAAACAGAGCAGCGGATTGGTGCCATCGCTGAATCGCCTTCGAATTCAACAATGCTATAAAGCGGCCAAGTAAGATTCAACGGCATCGTCGAGAATTGGCCATATTTGCAGACCATCCATCGGCGACGCGATAATGAAACGAGCGGCGGCGGCGCGCGTCGAAATGCGCGCGTTTCTCGCCAAAATGAACGCGACACAAATCGAGGCGCTCGGCCGTCAAATGTACGAGCTGATCACGCTGGCCGTCGAGAACGCCGACAAATCCGACAAGGTGCTCGCGCACGCGAAACAATTCGGCAGCTCCTACGCGGCGCTTTGTCCGCTCGGCTTTCGGCCCGATTTGTTCACGCCGCTCGCCGACGCCGCCATCGCCGAGTGCGTCAAACTCGACGGTGTTCATAAGCGCTGCGAGACGCTGTCCGCCTGGAGCCAACTGTTCAGCGCGCTGTTCACCGGCGTCCGCGACGGCTACTATCAGAAAGTTCGACATCAGAGGCGAACATCGCTGCCCCAAAATACCATAACCAAACAGGTACACTACAATTTGTTTTAAAGCACACGAAAATCCAATTTCCAGCTGTCTGTCGACTTTTCCAAAACATCTGACGCCTTCTCCCGCTGATTCTCACAAACGGTTTTCTTTTCTAAAAATTGTCTTCTAATGATCTCATTTATGGTAATAATAATAATAATAATAATTTTAATAGTCCATATAAAAACAACTGACATGGCAGAAAGTGGTTAAGAAGAGGAATCAAAATGATAAAAAGGGAGAGAATTTCAATATACAATTTCAACACGAATGGTCGACCCGAATCGGTTTTCGTCCTACTCATTAGAAGAAATAAACTCTAGACTAAATGAATGTACATTTAAGATTTAAATTCCGTCAACGACGAGACTCTGTCCATAGCGAAGAGGATCGCCGGCTTTGATTGCAAATTTGATTGTTGGCGGCGCTTGGAACACTAGAACGATGGTGGAACCGAGGCGAAACTCGCCGACGCGATCGCCCGGCACAAACGGCGCATGAATTTCGGTTTCCGTTTGCATCATCTTCTCAGTCTTCCTTCGAATCGTGTTCGTGCGAAGAGAGGGCTCCTATAAAAAAAAACAGCAGCAATCATCAATTTCACATTGTTCATTACTCACCGCATCGACAACAATATCGCCGACGTTGGTGGCGGCGACGGCGCTCATCGAGAAGAAGCCGTGACGCCATTTGCCGTTCAACACGACACGCTCGTTGAGGCAGAACAAGTGCGGCACATGGCTGAGAAGCGTCGGGCGAACCGATAGCAATAGTCCGGGGACATGACGACATTGATTGGCGACCCAGCGCGCCGGCGAGTGGAACGCGTGATAATCGCCGGGCGCAAGATAGATGACGACTTGGTAGAGATCGAGTTCCTCCTGCAACAACAGCCGAATACCATCAATCGCGACTCTCGCCTCACCTTTTGCGGCAAATCGACGTGGCCGAGGAACGATTCGACATCATAATCGTGGCCTTTGACATATTCGATGCGATTGTCTTCGACTTTGCCGAAATGCAAAACGGTGCCGTCGGCGGGCGAGACGAGCGGCGAGGCGCTGATCGGACGCGCCGTCTCGCGCAATTTGCGATTGAAGAACGCGCCGAACGATTTGTAGGCCTTCAGATCGGGCTCGACGACCTCATCGAGTCTGCAGTCATAGATTTTCGCGAACGTGCCGAGAAGCGGCTCGCGCAGCCAAACCGGTATCTCGCGATTCGCGAGGCCGCCGATGACGCGACTCGCCGTGTTGAACGGCAACGACAGATAGACGCGAATCTTCCAATTGCTATAATAGTGTTTCGCGTCGACAATCTCGCGCCAGTCCGGCGTGAACAAATAGCCAATGTAGGAGGCGCCGCCGATGATGAGCGTCGACACCGATAGCCATTTCATCCAGCTCCCTGAAATCAGAAAAAAGCAATATTTTTTGTTCTCTTTTTTCGCCGCATTTTTCTCGACACAATCTTCTCATTGGTTTTTTGTTTTTGTAGAGCGTCTGGGTCTCGACACGATATTAAAACTTACAAATCGCCACAATCAATAAGAACGGGTTGACCATCATCGAGTAGTCGCTGTACAAATATGAGCTAGCGTATTCATGATCCATTTTTGTCTATGTGTGTGTGTATGTTGTGTGTGTGTGTATATGTACGCGCACTTGTCTTGTTTTTCAATTTGTATGAACTCTGATTGCCTTTATTTTCGGTTTTCGGTTCTCGTCGTTGCTGTACAAAAATATCCAGCGTAAATTCACACCGGAAGTCGAGGGTAGCTAAAAAAAAATGAGAAAAATGATGATGGCTGGAATAGAAATACAAAAAAAGGCATAGATGAGAAAAGATGGCGGATCCGGAACAACGATCATTCCAATCAATTCAAATCTGAATTTTTGTTTTCAGCCGCGACGCGTCGCCGCGCCGCGGTCAAAATCAAACGCGCGCACTTTTTCTTTCTTCCACCTTCTCTCAGGTTTTCAGAAGAAATAGTGAACCATTGCGAATTGTCGTGTCGATTAAATAGTCCGCTCAACACAACAACAACAACAGCATTCCCCCACTCTTCCGCCCGCCCACCATCCCTCCACAATCCGATGAGTTCGCCGAATTCGGTGGGGGGGGGGCGGGGGCGGGGAAGAGGAGAGGAAGGAAACAAGATGAAGATGCAAAAAAAAAAGAAAATGAGGAAGGAAGAAATTTCGAGAGAATCACAATAGTTCATTTCATTGTCACTTATATTTTTGTTTCTTTTTTTAGATGCCAATGATCATCCGTCACATGGTCGGTCCATCATATCGACCTTCCACAAGGTCGCAAGATCCTTGAATTTTGAGAAAGTGAAACATTTTGAATGATGATGGATCGTTCCGGGTTCACAAAAACACAACACCAAAAGGATGGGAATAAATGAAGGGCGGTTTGGGGTGGGGGTGGGGGGGGGGGAGACCCGATGATCACAACACCATACACCATGTGGAGAGGGCAGACATTGGGTGGGTGAGTCATATGACCGGAGGTCGACGCCTTCCCAAACAAAACAAAACAAAAACATCTGTGTGTGTGTGGGTGAAAGGAGGTCATTATGATGAATTGTCTTTTTTATCGTTGAATCGCCTTCGGGGGTACACAGAACACTCTTATCAAATTTGAGCCCTCCGATGAATCGGGAACGTTCAATCACAAAAGTCGGAGGTGATCACGGGATGTACTCCGCGAGGACAATGCAACGCGTAGGTCGATCGACAACACGCGATTCCCAATTGAAATCAATTTTCAATGGTCCGTCAACACTCAGAGTCCCCCCTTCCCCCACTGCGGGGTTTTTCCGAAACTCCGAGAATCTCAGAGTGACTTCATTTAGGGACCAAAAAATGCAGAAGAAAAATGAATTTGCTCATTTTTTCCAATTTCGAAAACTGCGATTCTTAGGGACCACTGGATTTTCATGAAATTGTTTTTTTTTTTTGGGTTTTAAAACGACTGATTCTAGTTTTTTTCAGAAACACACTTTGCTTCTGAAAAAATCATGTTTGATATGTCGTCAGACGCGTCGCGGTTCGCGTGCGGTCTCTTTCATTATTGAAAGAAAGGAAACCGCGCACGCGAGCCGCAACGCGCCCAACAACATGGGTCTCTCAGCGATCTTGTTTTTCTTCCTTTTTTCAAAAAAAAAATACTTCGAATAAATATTTTTCCAAACTTTCTGATCATCTTATCTTTGATTATTGCGCCATTTACGTTCACAGATGAGAGAAAAACCGAAACGAACACGTCATTCGATATTTTTGGAATCGCCAAAAAAAAACCAGGTGCCAGATTGATAACATGCGGAAATATGTGTAAATTGTTTTCTTCTTTTTTTTTTTGCTTCTTCTTCTTCTTCTTAAAATCACACAATCATCACACCAAATCGATGAATAAATGGAATTTTCGGAATTCGTGTTTTTGGCCGCGTCGAAATGTTCTCGAAATGTCTTCAAAAGTTTTGCGCGCGCGCGCAAAATCGCGATCGCGTGATTATCATTCGACCGATTCGCCGAAATTCGTCCTTCAGCCTCGATTGGAACCGACAAGAAAAAAAAACGAAGAAGAAGAAGACAAAAAAAAATAATGAAATTGAGAACATAACGAGGAGATAATGATTGCGGTGGCGCTCGTTTCCCCACAACGAATCGGCCGTATTGAGCGGTAATCGAAACGCCGACTCGAAATTGGGTAAATAGTGGCGGGACAAGCGAGGCGTCGAACAACAGAACTCTCCCAGCGCGTTCGTTTCGAGACCCAACCCAACCTTTCGTTGAACAATCAAAAACAACTCACTTTTGCGTTTCGTCTCGCCGCCAATTATCTGCTGGGTGGCGTACACTCGACCATCGCTTAAAAATCGACGAGCAATCCCTTGTCCAATGAGCCGCGAGAGCATCTGAATTCAAATTTCGGCGTTTCGCGCCTTCTTGTTTTAGGTATTCCGGGTTTCGGGGCACCCATTTCTCGTGAGGAAACGACGACAAAATAATAATAGCAAAATTCAACAAGACAATAACAACTCAAACGATAACAATGTGATTGGATTCAACAATTGGATGACGACGGCTAGAGCTCGCACAGCGATTGCAGTCGGCATTGGATTTGCGCGAGCACGGCGAGCACGTTCTCCTCGACGCGTTCGCTTCGCGAGCCGTTCGGTAGTGGTGTGGTGCGGATGAGGACGTCGAACGCGTCCTCGGCGCGCTTCCATTCGGCAAGCTCTTCGGATTCGACGGCGGCGTCGACGCCGGCGACACCGCCGAACACGAGAAGGACCCGTCTGGAAAATTGGGGCAATCGATTGAAAGTGGGAATTGTGCGACGTCTTACGGCTTGTTCAACACACAAACATCGAACTCGGTGGCGAGTTTGCCTCGTGGCGAGACGCCAGCGATCACATCATACTTGTTGCGATCGATCGCTTGCTGTAGACCCGGCACCAGGCGAACACTGTAGCCCCAGTAGACGCCGGTGGCCTTCGTCACACACGCGCCGCTGCTCAGACAGCCGCGATACAATTTGCACTCGTGTCCGCTGTTTTTGATCTCGACCGTCACACGGGTGCCGGGCGGCAGCGGAACCTCGCGATCCACCTCGAACTCCTTGTCGAGACCGATATTGCAAATCGGCCCGCGGCCCTCTTTCGACTTCTTCTTCAGCACAACGCCTTCGCGGAAGCGGAACGTCGTCTCATTGGACTTCAAATGGTGTTGAGCGTCGAGCGGATTCAGAAGGCCGGCGTACTTCAACGGCTTCTGAATCGGGAACAAATCGCGCCGCAAGTATTGCGGGCATTCCAAGTATTCGAGAATTTTCGCGAGATAGAAGCAACCCTCGTAATTGGTCTCAGCGGGAACGATGGCGCCCGACCACGAGCCATCCCAATACGAATTAATTGCCCTGAAAATTAATTGCAATCGGCTCGCTCAATAAAAACTGCCAATTTCTCACTCTTGCGTCATTCTACAAGATTCGTCGTAAATAATAATTTCGTCAACTCGATATAATGTTGCGGCTCGCGCAATTTGGCCCGCCATATATGTCCGCAGCTCGCTGGATTGTGCATTATTCAAAAACTGTCCGGGCACTGCTATCGATATCGTGAATTGTGGCGCTGAATTGATAATGTTGCAATATTCACCGAAAAAAAATGATGGTTTTCCCCTTACAATAATCCACTTCTTCCACTTTTGCCTTTTTTGATTCCTCAAACTCCCTGATTAATTTTTCCTCGTGTTTCCGCTTCTTCTCTTCTTTTACTGCAAACAAAATTTGAATAATTTATTTAAAAATATGCGACGACTTACACTTCCTCCAATTTAATTTTTCTGCTTTTGTAGAGCTGTAAATTTTTTTGCGCGCCTCACTCTTTTCTTTTATTGTCTTTTTCTGGTCAGGATGCATTCTGAAAACGAACAAAATAAAAATAAACCAAAAAACAAATAAAAAAATCAAATAGTGTCGTATGGTATGATGTCGCGTACGCAGAGTTGGCTCGTAGTGTTTGCGGTTCACGAAATTTCTGTTTAATTTTTGCAACTCTTCGCAATTTTATTTCAATTATTTAATTAGTTGAGCAATTTTTTTTAATTACAAGTTCATTAAAAATTAATACAAACCTTATCACGTTTTTTAATTACCTTCATGTCGCGATAATTTCGCCAATTTAATTATTACAGCCAGTGAAAACTTATTTATTAGTTATCACGTAATAAACCTCTGCATTTTTATATAAATTTTTCAGAATGACTTCGAAAGTTGGGCCAGTTGCCTGCAAAACTTTCCGCGAGAAGCTCGGACCCGAAATCCTCGAAATATTTGATCAACACTTCAAATCATTCACAGACGTTCAGGTATACAATTTAATTTATTCAAAAAAAAAATTGCCAAAGAAAAAAAATCATCCAAAATTATTCTTTTTTCGTTTTTGTCTCCAATTTGCGATACTCGGCTGTCTGCCAAGGGAACCGGAATGGATCGGCAACGGCCGGTGTGCCCCAATCGCGGTCCACATAAACGTCATGCTCCTTTAATTTGATTCCGACGCATTTCGCAAGAAAAATCACCACCAAAATTGTGGCAATGACGAATAAAACGACAAAAACGTAGAAAGTTTCCTGCAAAAAAAATGTATAGCAATTCTAAAAATGGTTCAATTTGAAATTACCTCATCAAACAATTCGTTGAACGTCGGTATCGAGGTGTTGATCGAATGGATCATATCCAATATCCATCGCGTTTTGCCGTTTTTGCGTTTCCCTTGATAGTAATAATCGCCCCAGTCGTGTTTCGGCTTATTCATCGAGTTCGAGTGAAAATCGATGAGTCGGCCGAGCAAGCTGCGCGCACCGTCTGCTCGCCTCGCACCCTCTTCACTCCGACAATGCTCGATTGCAGGTTCTCGCCGGCACACATCTGCTCAACCATTGCGATGTGGTCGTCGAATCGCCGACCGGCTCCGGAAAAACGTTGGCGTTCGTTCTGCCGATGGTGCGCGTCCTACAGACGGCGCAATTGGGCAAAGACGAGATCGGCGCTCTGATTCTGTCGCCGTCGAGGGAATTGTGCACCCAAATTGTGAACGTCATCAAGCCGTTCGCCGACAAGCTTTCGCTTACGGTAGATACAGTAACCGGAGGGCAGAAGGTTGAGAAGAACGTGAAAATGTTCCGAAATCGGGGGTTAGAATTGAGAGCAAATTGTTGGAACTCATTGTTTCTTTCAGAACTAGCATTCTTGTTGCGACACCGGGCCGCTTATTCCAAATCATTCAACACGAGAAAACGCTGATCGCAAGAAAAATGAAGAATCTCCAACTTCTCGTCATCGACGAAGCTGATCGATTCAACGAGATTCAATTTGAGGATCAGTAATCCCATTCAAAAAAAAAACACGTCAAGAAATTTGAATTCCATACAGTATGCGCGAAATTCTCTCGTGTATCCCGAAGCAGCGACGAACCGGACTGTTCTCGGCGACGCAGGTCAAAGACGACGACGATCTGATGGTGTTCGGGTTGCGAAACGCGAAACGCGTGAAAGTGGCGCACGAGGCGAACTCGGCGGCGCCGTCGTCGCTCAACAGCTACTTCACCGTCTGCGATGCCGACGAGAAGACGAGCGTTTGTCTGGAGTTCGTCAGGCAGCGGAAAACCAAAAAATTTTTGATATTCTTCCCGTCGTGCAACGCCGTCTCATATTTCCACAAGGTCTTTATTATTATTATTTTTTTGTTTCTCGCCTCGAATTTCACCCGAAACATTTGTGGTCCGATTCTTCCAGATTTTCGAGCGCTGTCTGACGAAACGCCCGCTGTTCGCCGTCCACGGCAAATGCTCGAATAGTCATCGCGCCGCACAAATCAAGCGATTCACCGAGAGCGCGAACGGTGTGATGATCTCGACGGACGTGATGGCGCGCGGAATCGACATCGCCGACATCGATTGGGTTGTGCAATACGAGTTGCCGAAGCATTCAAGGTATATTCGTTGCGAGACCCTTCGACATCTGTGATCTCGACATTTTAGCTGGTTTGTTCATCGAGCTGGACGAACGGCGCGCTGCGGCCGCGACGGCAACGCGCTCATCCTCATCGCCACCGAACAATTCCCCTATATTGAGTTTCTCGATAAGCATGAGAAGGTGAAGCTCGAGGAGGTCAAAGTGCCGACGCATACCGCCCTTAAAGCCGAGGAGCTTCGCGAGAAGATGATCAAGATCCAGTGTTCGGATCGGGCGATCCTTGAAGCCGGCACGAGGGCGTTTGTGAGCCATATCGAGTTTTACGCGAAACATGATTGCCATATCGTTTGCCCGTTGAACGGTAAGACTTCTGAAGCGCGCCTACTTCAAACATTTCAATTTTGTGGCGAATTTCAGATTTGAACGTCGTCGGACTCGCGAAATCCTACGCGCTTCTTCGACTCCCGAAAATGCGCGAGTTGTCGCAACGCAACGATTTGGAGCAGTTCGAGCGAAGCGCCATCGAAACGTCGACGATCGCCTACGCGGATCCGAAGCTCGAAGCGAACCGAAAGCAGATGATGAAGGAGAAGCACGAGAGGAAGATTGAGACTCTCGCGGCGAAAGAGAAGAAGCGTCGGGAGAAGGAGATGCGGAAAATGAAGAGGAACGGATTCAAGAGCGGTCGACAAGCGAAAATGGAAATTAAGAAGGCGCAGAAGCGAAAAGCTGAAGAAGAGGATGACACACAGAATGACATCAGACTTTTGAAAAAGATTAAACGCGGAAAATTGTCGAAAAAAGAGATCAAAAATGTCCTCTAAAAATTCATTTTGTCATATTTGTTGTTGTTGTTTGTTGATTTTGTTTGTTAAATTTTCATTGTTTTATTGATTTTTAATAAATAAATAAATAATTCGATCAGACTAGAGATATGAGGGTTACCACTGCGGTTGCTGATAGTGCGGATTCTGAAGGACCGTGGTGGTGGTGGCGGGATTGTCGTCCCACGCGCCGGCGAACGGATTCGTCGTCGGCGGCGGAATCGGCGCCGCTTGATACGACGCCTGTTCGGTGCCGGCCGGCAGTGTGAACGTCGTCTCGGCGGCGCCGTAGCCGCTTCCGTTGATGCCCGTCTTGTTGACTAGCTTGTTGTTCGCCCACGCTTCCTCATCGTCGTTGGGCTCGGCCCAATCCTGAAGTTCGCCGGACGCGTAAACGGCGTAGAAGGTGATGCCGGTGAAGTGGATGAGGCTGGCGAGAAGGAACACCTAGAGTTGGTTGGAGTCTGAGAGATTGAGTTGCTCGATGAATTACGCTAGTCCATCCGCTTTTCGAGTTCGCCGTGAACGCTTCGGTGACGAACGGACACGTGAGACCGGCGAGCGTTCCGATGCCGTTCGAGAAGCCCATCAGAATTGCCGCATAGCGGGGAGCAATGTCGAGATGGTTGACGTTGAAACCTGACGTACAACAAACCGGAATTTTTCGTTATCGTTCGGCCGAGGTGTTTTTTTTTTCGTTCGGAGGGGCGAAACCCATCAATCAACACCAAATCAATGATACCTGATATGGCGAAACCCGACATTCCGACGGCGGCGATCAACGCGAGAATCGCGGTGGTGTCGCTGGTTGTGTAAGCGACGATCAGCATGAAAGCGGCCTCGCCGCCGAATCCGCCGCAATTGAAAATTTTTCGAACCGCCGTCGTTGAGAGTATCTTGTTGGAGCGTAGATAGTCGGCGAGTTGGCCGCCGAACAACACAACGAGTCCCATGACGGCGTGCGGCACCGCGGCGAGTAGTCCCGACTAAATAGCATTCTGGCATCATCATCATAAAGGAGCCTTACATCGGCAATCTTCATTCCCAGCGCCTCTTTCATGTAAGTGAGCTGGTTTTGAAGAAGCAGGTAGAAGGTCCATGATCTCGCGAAGTTGGCGACGATGATCGCCCACACCGGCTTCGAGGTGACGATGGCGCGCCACGGAATCGAGCGGATCTGAATTGGATCGTTGAATCGGATTGTCGAGGCATGAAAACCGTCGGATGCGTTTGCGAGACATGCCCGATGGCGTCTTCAATGAATATCTTCTCCTCTTGCGAAATTGTCGGATGGAATGCGGGCTTCTCAAACGTAACACAAAACCAAACGACGGCCCAGATTACACCGCAGACACCTGTAATCATCGATCTTATTTTTTTTTTCGTTTTTTTTTCGGTTGGGCGGAGTCTCGCCGAAAACAAACGTCGATGAGACCACACTATATTTGGGCAGTAATGCGCTGTACACTGTTGTTGGCCGCTCTTTTTTTGGGGATCGCCGTCTCGCAAGACGTCGTCCTTGTCGGGCAGCCAAGGGTTTTGGCGAAACGAGTACTACGAACCGATTTGGTAGGTGTGCAATTTTCATTTCAAACGCGGACCCGTCGTCATTTTCTAGAGCAATCTTCGAAATTTGGCGCGTGTTGAGGACGCGCTTCACCAAAATCACGTCAACGTGGTGCCGGCCGACGGTGAACCTTATCAAACCGGACCACGAAACGAGGTTATGGTTTATAAGCGCGTTTTGCGGCCGGCTCGACTTGTTAACAATAATGGGAAGCAGGAGATCGTCTACACCGGCGATGAGATTGTCACGGATCGCTGGATCGGCACCAATGATTTCGATGAGATTCGAGCGTTCAATGCCGCTCCGCGATCAGACATTGTTCAATTTTGATTCGAAATGTTGTTTTTGGAATAAATCAAATGTAAAACTTACGTCAGAATCGAATTGAATTATGAGTTTTTGACGCGAGCGAGAAATTTGAAAATTGTGTGCAAGTTTGCGTGCGGGCGCGCATGCACACGACAATTGTCGACAGTAACGCGCTAGTGAAATTAATTCAAATCTCGCCCCCTCTCACCGTAGAGATAAAACGGCGCCGCCCAAGTGACATAGGAGACAAGGAACGCGGAGAGTGGAAGGCCGAGAACGGCGCCGGCGTAGGAGCCAGTGAACGCGGTGGTGGCGAGCTTCGAGCGCTCCATTGGCGGAGCCCAATATCGCCAGACTCCGTGCATCGCCGGATAGCAGACGCCCTGCACGAGGCCCTGACAAATTTGAATTGCCGCCACCAGCACGTCGCTTTTCGTCCGGAAGCCGTATGGAAGGAGGATGTTCAGAAATGCGCCGACGCCAATTCCGAAGCCAAATAATCTGCAAATTCAATTTTTTCCGGGGAAAAAAAATTGGAATCGCCGACTTGTTGGGCGGAAATTTGGCGGCGAGAAATCCGGCGGGCACTTGCGTCACCAGATAGCCGTAGAAGTAGGAGCTCTCCATAACGCTGACCTCTTCGACGGTCCAATTGAATTCGTGAACCTGTGACGAGACAAGAGATTAATACGATTTCGACCCAGGAGGGGGTCCCTACATGCATTTTGCCCCATGGGTCCGAATAATTGCGAAACATGTGCGTTTTGGCGGCGCCGAAATTGCACCGAATCCCGAACGAGATCATGAAGCCGATGTTGGCGAGAACGGCGAGCAGCCAACGCTTTCGGCATTTGCCGATCCACGTCGTCTCGATGAATTGAAGGACGCGATTCGAGTGCATCTGAATCGGATTCTCGCCGTCGGCCATACCTGCAGAAAATTTGGGGGGAAAAAAAGTCAAAATCGAGGGCTTTAAAAGGCGAGAGTCGATTATAACAAAAAGAAATGGACCGGACCGGATGTCCGTTTGGCTGCTCGAGGACCAAAATTTCCTACTTTTTCATTTTTTTTTGATGACGATTGCACAAATGAAAAACAAAAAGGAAAGGCAAGAAAATGACAAGAAAACCCCAAAGAAAAGGAAAATAATATATAAATGCATAATAAAAGAAGGGGGGGGGGGAGGAATGAGCTTCTTCCTCCGTTTCTCATTTTATGATATCCTTAGCCAAAGTTGTTTTTCCCCCCCCCCCCCCATCCAACAACAAAAACCCAAAACCACCTGCTTTTTTTGTTGATTAATCGATGTCGGTCGTATTTGAGGTCTCGACACCCCCTTTAAGAACTAGTGCTACAGTAGTAAAACGCGTCCAGGTGTGACGAGCAGAGAAAAGCAAATGCGCATAAAACAAATCTCATTAGCTGATTAGAAATGTGAAATGGTAATGAGACGCGCATTTTTTTCTCCTCCTCCTCCTCGCTTTTTCGGTTTTACTTTCGGTGAGCATCTCCAGCCAACAGAAGAAGGAAAAAAAAAGGCTCGAGAGCTCGCCAACTCTCAACGTCAACAAGAATTTCGTATGCAACTAATCACTTTGTGCATGTCAAAAGGTGTTTCTCAATAAATTATAGGCGACATGTCGCACAAGTCGAACTCATAAAAAATGTGCTCCGGCCGGCGGCTCCTCGATGCAATTATTCTTTCGACAACACTCGATGGCCGAAGCCGTCGACGTCGAGGCGTAATTCAAAACTTTTTTTTTCCCCTTCTGCTTCTTGTTCACGCTTCACTCGCGCGCACGACTACTTGATGGCTGAAAGGTTTTTTTTTATTTTTGCTCGACTCGACGCCCCATTATAAATTGTGGATGTGCCATAAAGTGGCTTTTTGTGTTTAAAGGGGGGTGGTGATGAATGGTGGCTACCGTAAGACAGGTGGGGGCGTGGCAACCGCATGACGAATGAATTTTCAGACAAACCTCTTTTTTTCGGAAGCCACGCCCCCTCTCTACGATTACAGGGCGTTGCTGAAAAGCTGAAATTTTGGGCGAGAGCGCGACAAAAACGAATAAAGCGAGAAGTGCTTGAATGCATGACGACGAAATCAATAACAGGAAGCCAGATTAGATTAGCTCGAGCGTATTAATATGCATATCTATATTTATATAGAGATAGAGAAGGAGATTAATCTCGCAAATCAAATGATCGGAAATAATTTCGACATGTAATGCTTCGTTTCTCGGTAATATTAAAGTTTTTAATTTTCGCAAAAAATTGATTAAGCCTTTGGGTCGCGAACCCCGCTCTGTGGGTCTCAATTTTTATGCCATAATGTTAAGTGATGCGGTCTCACAACGCGTGTGTCCATTTACGCCGCTTTGTTGTCCGTGTGGAGTACACAATGCGCGTATAGTCTTCTCAAGACCATTTTTGGCCAATTGGTTGTATTATTTTTTAAAATACGCCATTTTGCAAATTTCGCAGCGAACTCCTGAATCAAAAGCAATTTCATTGCAATCATCTGCGGACATGTTTGCGGGATGCGCCACCGTCGCCTACTTTGTGTTGTCAGCGGTGGCGGCAATTCAAAACAGCCAAATTTTTTGGCAACGCTGATTTTTAAAAAATTGTTTGATCTAAAAGCCAAAGCAATGTGGATGGGGGGGGGTGGGTGTTGAGGATTCGTCAATATTGCTCCATGTATATTTTGATTGGTTGTGAAATTTGAAACGTTCAGGAAATAAAAAAAATTGCCGACGGCCACAAAGGTGCACTGAAAAAGGAGGGGAGTGGGAGGGGGCGTGGCCTTCGACGACGTCTGACGCGTCATTTTATATTCGCCTAGGCTCTCATTTCTCGGGCGAACCACGAAAAAAAAAATTGAGAATGGCGTGGCGACGATGCCAAAATGCGAAACGCGACGACGCCGCCGACGATGAGGAGCCGAACGTGCGATTCGACGGCGCGAAAGCCGTCGAGATACCGGCGAACTCGTACCAGAGTCCGGTGAGCACCCATCTATCGCTGATATCGAATCCCGACGAATTGTGAGCCCCCCGAGTTGTTTCTTTTTTCGACCGCCTCCAATTCTCTCAATTCCAGCAAATATATGGACGAGATCGCGCTGCTGAAACGCGGGAAAATTGATCGCGAGACGCCGAAACATCCGTACAATCGAATGAAGAAGGCGATCGAGTCGAGCGATTCGAGCGACAACTCGCTGTTCGGGGTAGGCCCACTCGGAAATGCATGGCATCTTCATTCGTCTCCAGGAGCCTGTCGCCGATATGACCGAATATAAGCTCGGCGACGATGGCGGTTTGAAGTATTGGAAGTTGGTGAATGGCGGCGAGCGGTATGAATTGACGAGCGGCGAGCGCTTCTGCTTCTATCAGCAATCGGCTGGACACACGTCGCTATCGATTATTCGAAAATGATTTAATGAATCGATTATTTTTTGAAATGCTCATTTTCAAAAAACAAAACAAAACCAATATTGTTTCGGAAAAATGCCGAAGAACGCGAAAACGTCGCTGGAGATTGTCGAGAGCGCCGATGGTGCGATCGCGCCGCCGCGAATGCCGAAATTCGAGCCGCCCGCTCCGCTGCCGTCGTTGGCGCCGGCCGCGCCCAAATCGGCGCGACTCAAGTCCAAAGTTCAATTCGATCGAGCCGGTATTGATTGCCGATTCGGCGATATCACATATGTTCGCACAGCATGCGTGATGCGTCGCAAATACCTCAGCGTTCCATCGCGCTATCGCGCCGACGACATTCCATCCGACGACTACATTCTGCTGGATCTCGTCGTTCCCGCTGTGTTGGGTGTGGTCGCGTTGTGCGCGACACTCGTCATCATCAAACATTTCATCATAATTGATGAGCGTCGAGAATTGGTCTTCGAGCGATGTTTCGGTTTTTTGGAATTTTTACAATTTTCGCATTTTTAGATCTCCAAAACTCAATACAATATGATACGAAGAGTTGAATATGTCAAATTTCAAGCGAAAAAGAAGCAAGAGGTCTTGAGTGGAAAATAGATTTTATTGAATTGTTTTAGCGTCCAACCAGACACGTCTCTGAAATCCTATAAATGCAAAGGAAGTGGGTCATTTTTAATTCATTTATTTGAAATGGGTGCAAGTTTGCGTCGGTGTGTATGCACCGAGCACAAATTTGCCCAATTTTTTTTGGCTATTTTTTAATATGCTATACTTTTCTGCGAATTTTCCAACTGCGTAAAAAATTCAGCTAATCGTAACCTTAAAAAATAACTTTTAAAGGTGCATGTCATAAAATGTTGAAGATCTTGGCGCGAAAATCGTAATTTGCTTTCACTTTATTTTTCGGAAATCATTCTTGTCGTGTTTCTTTCGATTTTTTATACTTTTTTTTTAATATAATTTTTTTTAAAGAAAACTTATCCTTTTTTACCATTTTTATAGAATCTATGCGAGTCGAAACAAAAAAAAACCATTATATTTAAAGTATATCATTAATTATTCTACATTTTTTGAGATTTTCAAAAATCAAATCGCTAACCTCAAAAATGTTAAATTTTGAAGAAATACATTTTTTAAATCAAAATCGCGCAAAATCCTGAAAATGTTTTGGCAATGTACTTTTTATAATAATTCAATTAGCGGCAATGCAATCAATATTTCAGATTTGACCAAATCACCGTCGAATGCAACGTTTCACCGTATTGGCTCGACTCTTACTGCCGGAGAATTGATTGTAATCCCATCGAAAATTTCGAAATCAGCTTTAATTATTGTTTCAGATGAATCTGTACGAGAACCTTCTCATGAATCTGCGCGTTTGCCCGGCTACGGTCAGAATCTAGAACAATTTGGAAATTCACATTTATCAACAACAACAACAACAACAACAACAACAAACAATGAAAATAAATATTTTCAAAGCGAAAACGTGAATTTAGAAATTGGCAACTGGTGGCGGACGACGCCAATTGGCGATAAGCGAGAAGTTGGGCGAGTTGAACGCGTTGAACGGCCACTCATCCTCCTCGCGCTCAAAATAGTCGGCTTCCAGGTAGCACGGCTCATCGGGAAGCACCACCTGCACCTCGAGGTTGGCCACCTTCGGACCATAGAAGCCCGTCAGCTCCTCTTCCTGACTGCCGATGAGCGCGATGGCGATGTGGCGCATTCCCGACGAATATCCTTCGAGGTGCATCTCCACCTTCTCCCATTTCGCCTCCTTGTCGGCGGGAAAATGCACATACTTGACCTTATAGTCGGGATGGTTGACATCGGTGTCGCGAATTCGGCCGAGCCTCAAACTGCGATAGGCGACCGCGGTGCGATCCAACTGCGCGCCGATGTTCAATTTGCCCTCGCGATTCTCGTGATGGTTGACCATCGCCGTGATGCGGATCTTTGGGCGAACGTGGTCGAGCACCCATGGCTGAAATGTGAATATTTGACAATGCCGTTGTGGCTGGCAAAATCATACGTCGATTCCGATGCGGATGAAGTCGATGTGCGCAACAAACGCCGATGGTCCGTTGGCGAATGCGAAGCACGTCTCGATCTGTGGGTTCGGAATGCAGCCGCGATCATTTGTCTGTACCTCGAGACTGAAAACAAAAAAAATGTGCGGCACGAAAAACAAACTTTGAAAAATTTGGTTGTAGAAAATTGCGTACCAAAACACATCATCCCACGACACTTTACACCAGTAGAAAAAAGTTACTGTAGAAAATTTTTAATTCAATTTTTTTAGCAAAATTTCGACAAATTCGCGTTGCAAATAGTTGTTTTTTCGCAAATATGGTTAATCCTGATTTTTAGTGAAAAAGAAACAACACTTACTTGGCCTTTCGATAGAGCTCGAGGCAGTTCTCCTGCGCGTTCTCGGTGACGCTCATGTCTAATTGGATTTTGTAGGGACGGAATGAGCTGTACCCTTTGCCGGTCTCGACCATCTTGCGAATGTTGAACGTCATTCGCTCGTCGTTTCTCATCAGCCATTCGAGCGGCGGAAGAACTCGCTCGAGATGTTGGATGCGGGCGCGTTCGATCCAAAACGATCGGCAATTGATGATCGCCTTGAATTTTTCGGTGGCCTAAACACAAATAAATTTTCATTTTTCGGTGAGAATAGCAATCGGCTCCTCACTTCCTCGAACGCCTTGATGCTGCTGTCGTCGGCGTGCAGCAGAACGCGCATCCAAACATCCTGCGGAAATTCCATTCTGAAATTGAATGGCATTTCTTTTTCGAAACGAGTGGCCTAGAATTTCGGAAAAGTCGGCTACGATATTTTTTTTTTTTGCAAAAATTGTGCGATTTGGCGTGTCGGTGAACACACACACATAAAGTGGATGGCAAAAAAGAATCGATCGCGGCGAGGATTTGACCCCAAAAAAATTATTTTCAAAATTTTATACTTCTCAACACTTCTGAAATTGTGAAGAAACATAATTTTTGAAATATTTGTTTAAAGGCTCCTAACGGGAACAATTTGATGGGTCTCGTTAATAATTAACACTTTGGCTGCGTATCAAACATAAGAAAAACTATAATATGCATTAAAGGCGCACGCAAAATTATTTCTATTCGTTTCCTGCCAAGAAGCAAAACGATAGCTGGTGTAAATTTTGAGATGTCGAAAATTGTGCATTTTTGCGTTTTCGGTGAACACACACTAATTCATACATAGCGGATATCAGAATTTTTCGCTGCAAGACCTTTTAGTTCTGTTCACGTTAAAAAAACGAAACGCGTTCGAAGAATTACGATAGCCTGGGAAACAAATTCGATAAAATAGCTAGGGGACAAAAAAAAATAGAAAATTGGTGACACAATAAATGATCGAAATATTGTCGATTACCTAGAAATGGACAAAATGCCAAAACTAGGTGTAGATTTACGGGTTTAGTAATAAGGATAGGTTAAAGGCGAACAAAGAGCTCTACTCTAATATTATGGCATTTAGCCAATTTTCCGGAGTCGCGCGACATCGACAATAGGGCTGGCCGAATGAGAGAGAGAAAGAGATTGGGCTCGCAGACGCCTAAAATTGCCGATGGGACGCGCGCGCGCAATCTGCGATGAATCATTTCCTACAAATCGTCATATGGAACGATTATGGCCAGACGTGTGCGTGAGAGCGACGCGCGGCGCGCTCGCGCCGCGTGCAAACTCGCGGCGGACATCAAAGGAATGATGCTCAACAGATGGCTCGCGAAAAACAAAAATCTTTTGTGTATTATACAATGCGCGCCACAATTCGGCGCCTATGAGTAATTCAAAATGGATACCGCCGAAATGTGTTTTCGTCTTTTTGCCACAAATATTCGCAATCCCGGTAGAATTGTGATGAATCGAATCGGGAGGGGAAAACTGTTTCTTTAATGGTCTCGACACGACGTGCTCCTCTCGTAAATCGACACACCTCCAAAAGTGTATTGTCGGCATCAAACGTCGATTATTTTTTCCTGACGAGTATATAATTTCCTTATCATTGAAATTAAAACAACCTGTCAATCCACACGGGACCATATCGAAGGCGCCTGCACGTAAATCTACCCGCTTTTAACAGTCGCCGACTACACACATACTAAAAATGTGTTATTTTAAACTATTTATATTTATTGTCTATTTACAAAATTCAAATTAATATCACATTCGAAATGCACAGTTTAGAAGTGAGCTATTCTCAAAGCGAAACGATTCCAGGCGAGTGGGGCAATGGGATGAGAAACACGTGACAAAAGCAACCAGGAACTAACAACCCTCATAGTTCTCCAAGACGGCGACGATTTCGGAAGGGCACCGCAAAAATGCCGTGTCGATTTGGCGGCGTCTCGCGGTATGGTCGCGTGTCGGCCTCATCCTTAGCTTCATCCTCTTTGAATGGAAGAAGCCTCACCTCGTCGGGAAGGACCACTTCAATTTCCATGTTGGCGATTTTCGGACCAAAATAACCTTTCCAGAATTGATTGTCGACGCCGATCACAGAGACGTACAAATGTCGAAGGCCTGATGGATAATCGGTCATTTCAAGGCTCATTTTCTCCCAATTCGCTTCTGCAATTCGAAATATTTCGATTTTGACTATAATCCTCACTGACCTGTCCATTGGTCCCAACTTCGATGCACAGACATTCTACGCGGCTCATTTGCGCGCTGCTGGATGAGCCCATCCTCATTTTCCCGATGTTTGATCTGCCGTTTTTGGTAGTTGAGCTCGGCGCTAAGCAGAACCTCGGCGGCACAATCATTTCGATGGCATACGCTCATACTGATGCGGATTTTCGGGCGAACGTAGTCCAAAACCCAACCCTAACAATTGGTAAATGAAGGAACTTCAAGGGAAATTGATGCTAACATCGATTCCAATTGCCTCGAGATCGACGAAATTGCCAATTGTGGAAAGACGGTAAGAGAATGCGAAGCAAGCGTCGACAGAATCATCAGGCTCGCATCCGACATCATTCGGCTCAACGCAAATTCTGAAAATGAATATTTCTCAAAATTTCACAATGTTTTTAAATCGAATTTACCCATCGCCGCCTTCTCGAACGCGAAGATTATATTTATTTTTATGAAATTGAATATTTTCATTTCTATGAATTTCGTATGGTCTGAATTTCGAATAGCCTTTTCTGGATAATACCTGGAAAAAAAATTCTATTTCAATTTTAGGGAACACAAATGGCTGATTGAAACCATATTCTTGATGTTGAACTTGGCTTCACCGCCAATTAAATCCAATTCCTGTTGGCTCAGCGTTTTTTGAGAATTGAGCCATTCTCTCGGCGGCAGGCAATGCTCCAAATTGCAAATTTGGGCCCTTTCAATCCAGAATGATTGTGAATCGATGATTTCTTTGAACGATTGGCAAACCTGCGAGAAGCGAAATTTTTTTTCTCAATAACTTTTTTTAATTTTGAAATTACCCTCCTGCAATTTTTGAGCGTTTCATCATCAACCCGAATGAGGACGTCTCGATAAACGCACGACGGTAGGGTAGCCGTTTTAATCGACTGAAAATGTCCGAAAAGCCAATTCATCGCAGCCAAGCGAGTCGAGATGTTTTAGGGAGAATGACAAAGAGAGAGAGGTGGGCGGACAACGAAAACCAGTTGGTGGAGAGGGCGGAGAGTGCAAAGAAATTTTCTCGTGTTCCAAAACTGCAATGACTCATTTATTTACTGCGAAACGGGAAGACAACCAATGATAACGCCAATCGAAAATTTTTTAAATGCAAAAAAATGTTAACGATTAAAGGGACACTCAATTAAATATTCAAAATTTTCTTACAGTGCTTATGTACTGTAACAATGATTATGATGTGCTTTTGTTTTCTTTTTTTACGTGGCTCGCTGACGTGTCGTAGGATTTTTCTTACGAGTTCGCCAATTCTTAAGAGTTCAGTTTTACTTTTCTCGGCTCTCCGAAGAGGTGAAGCTTAAATGATGTTTGTCAACATCAAACTATGTATTTTCTTTCTGCTAGTGGCGTATTCTACTGCCAATGAAGAAGAAGATGATTCTGATGAGATTGTTTTATCTCTCGACTCGGTAAGCTATTCATCTTTTTTTAAATTTTTACTTTTAATTTCAGAGCTCATTTAATGATGCCCTAGAACAAAACTCGTTTCTACTTGTGAAATTTTATGCTCCGTGGTGCGGTCACTGCAAGGTACTCAACACAGGAGACAATTTTTCATTTCAAAAATGTTTATTTTTAGGCTTTGGCTCCAAAATACCAAGAAGCCGCGAGAATTCTGAAAGAGGAGGGTCATAATGTTCGTTTGGCGAAAGTCGATGTCACTGAAAATAGCGACCTCGGCAAATTGTTCGACATTCGTGGATATCCGACCCTTAAATTCTTCCGCAGTTCGGTTTCAATTGACTATACTGGCGGACGCGAAACCAACGATATTGTCGAATGGATCAAGAAGAAAATGATGCCAAGTGTGCACTCGATTACCACCGATGAGGAACTCGAAGATTTCAAGAAGGATGAGGAACAAGTTGTTGTCATTGCTCATTTCGAGGTTTGCATACAGGCCAAATAGAAATAAAAAAAACATTTTATTGTTTATTATTAAGGACGAAGAATTGAAGAATGCTTATCAAACTGTCGCTGATAAACTCGAGAACCTGAAATTTGGTGCTATCAAGGGAGACAAAGTCAAGGAAGTCAAGAATGGAGAAATTCTGATGTACCGCAAAGGAGAGCTTTCGAAACAATTCACCATCGAAAACAAGGACGATATTCTGCGACTTGTCTTCGCCTACTCATTGGAAGCCGTTACCGAGTTCAATCAAGAAGCTGCTGGAAACCTGTTCCAGGGAATCATCCATGACTTCCACTTCCTTCTCATTTCGAAGAAACACGACGATTATTCAAAGATTTTGCGCGAATTCGAAGAAACCGCCGAAAAATTCCGGGCCAAAATCGTTTTTGTCACTCTCGATACTTCTCTTGAAGAAAATGCTCGCATCTTGGAATTCATGGGAATCAAGATTGAGGATACGCCAACATCTAGAATTCTTCGTTTCGGCGAAACTGGTGTTCTGAGATACAAGCCAGCCGATGGACAATCGTTCGTTGATTTCTCGAATGATTTCATCGACGAGAAGGCCACGTTGGATTTGAAAGAGCAGCCGCTACCAGAAGATTGGGACAAGAATCCGGTTAAGCAATTGGTCGCCAGTAATCTTTTCAAAGTTGTGCTCGATGAGAAGAAGGCAGCTTTTGTGAAGTTCTATGCGCCGTGGTGTGGCCATTGCAAGCAATTGGCTCCAGTTTGGGAGCAACTCGCTGAAAAGTTTGCCGACAATGAAAATGTCGTCATTGCCAAGATTGATGCCACTCTCAATGAGGTAAAAATGAAAATTCTAATTATTTTCGAAAAAATTGAATTTCAGTTCACCAACATTTCGGTCACCTCGTTCCCACTTCTCAAATTCTGGCCAATGGGTGCCAACAAGGTTGTTGTCGATTACAGTGGCGATAGAAGCTTAAAGGAACTCGAAAACTTTGTCAACTCGAAACTCAAGACGGAAACTGATGAGCCTAAATCGGACTCGGCAACCCATGAAGAGCTTTAAATTGTTAATTGATTTATAATTGTTTTTTATTTAATTTATTGCCCGCGTAACGAATAAACGCTTCTTTGGAAAGTAAAATAATAATATTAATTCTGCGGGATTCTAATTCATTCATCACTTGTAGACGTCGTAAACAGCGCCCTCGCGCGTACCAACTGGGAATGACTCCATCGAGCCGGTCCAAACGTCGTGGTAAACAAACGTCTCATAGTGGCGGATGAGCGCTTCCATCGAAAGAAACTGAAAATGCTGATATCTCGACATGTGTTTGTCGAAAATCGGCAACCTCGAGGGAATCGCCGCATTCGACTTTAAAGAATTTCTTCGTCATGTGCCCACTTGGATCGTATTGTTTCCTTTCGCTGATTGTAAAGTGATAGTAAATGTTGTTTGTCGATCTTTAAATGATTTAATTAGATGTGTGTGATTTTGAGACTGTTTAATTGGCACTTGTAGACCAGCATTAGCGGCATTCGCAATGGAATGGTCCCATCATCGGGCATTCTATAGTAAAGGACAAAACTGCGATGTCCGAGTAACTTTTGGGCCTTAATTGGATAATTAGATGAATTATTTCGGACGCTTGACGTACATTGCTTGATGTGGCGCCGCCCACAAACGCATCGGTTTCCGGCGATTCGTCGCCTTCGCTTTTCGTCGTCGTCGTCGTTGACAAATCGGTAAGCGTTGCGCAATTTGTGAAGCTGCTCGAGCAGCTCAAATTATCGCCGCCGCCGCACCGCTTCTCGAACTCCTTCTTCGAGAACGGACGCGGGCACGGCCATATGAGGCGCTTCTGACGATTGATGAGCTGTCCGTTTTTCGACTCCTCGACGGAATACACGGGAAGCGATTCGTCGACGTCGTTTCTGCAAAAAAAAACCACTACCAACAAAAATAGATGATTGAACTCGGAATTGGTTGATCGTCAAACTTGGTGCAATTCGTCGCCGATTGTCGTTTTGAGCTCATCGCGCGTTTTGAAATGCTCGACACACGCGGTTGTTGATTCGCTCCGTTTTTTTGGCCAACCTTCATTCCCACGCGAAATATATTTATTGTTTGAAAAAGGGCAAATTTGGGGGTGAAAGTCGCCCCAGAACTTATATTATATTATAATCCTATTTTTGGGCCATCTAGGCCTTGTTTTGACGATAATTTGGTTTACTAGCTCGCTGAAAATATGCACAAAATAAGCACTTGCAATTTATGCGAAATAATTTGATTGGTGCGTTTTGCCGCCGCGGTGTGCGCACACATCACCGCGCTACAGTAATCCTTCTTTTTTTTTTTGAAAATCCCGCTTTTGTGATCCGCCAACAAATAAACCGTTGTTGTTTTGCATTTCCCCTCATCAGATTTTGATGTATGCATTAGTTTACACCCTCTCCAGATGTGTGCCGCGAATTTCAGCCGTTAGACAAACAAATTGATCTGCATTGCGCTTTTTTTTAATCTGTTGGGTTGCAATTTGGAAAATCGAATTGGAAAAAAAAGTAACGTGTACGCGGTGAACTAAATACACTGGAATCCAATTTGTTTGGTAACCAAATTTGGGATCGATTCAAAAACCGAATTCAGTGTTTCAACAAGAAGGAGGAAAAATGGGTGTTTTAATTGAATTGCGAGCCACTAATTGTCCAGCTGTCTGAATAATTCACTAATATGTGGCCTGCGATTTTTTTTTCTTGCCATTCTTTCTAACTTTTTATGTACTCTTCGTGGCCTAAAATGCACAATTTGATTATGTTGTTGTTGTGTTCCCCGAGCTCCGAGATTCTTGCCATCGAATTTCATTCGTTTTCGTCTTTTTCGACACGTGCGAGCCCCCAATTCTGCAAATTGTTTAAAAATTCAATCGCAATTTTTATTATTCAATGCAAATAATTTATGAGAAGAAAGTTTGTGAAAGCAGCAAAAAACAAATTCCGTGGAATTGCGTGCGCGTGTCGCACACCAACCCCCTCGTCTACCGTACCACACGGCATTTTTTAATTGGCTCCGGAGCGAAAAAAAACTATTCAATTTTTTGTTCGGCTTCGCTTTCATTCATCTTCAAGATGAAAATAACGATTCAATAATAAAAATAGGAAGTATAGAAGGGGGGTATCGGGAGGAGAGTTTGTCGAATTTCCGGTGCACTCCTAATTAGGGGCCACCATTCGATGCGGATTTCGATGCGGCACGTTTCGATGAATAAGCGTATCGCATTTTCTAATATAATTTCTGTTTTTTCCCCCTCCCACTTCTCATCATTCGAGAAGATTCGCAAAACAACGCATTGGTATTTATTTTATGAGACACTGTAATGTAGATATTTTCAATTTCCGTTTGCGACGACGACGACGACGTCGTCGGCCCGCGGCTCCTTTTGCTCATCAATCGAGAGGGTCCGACGCGCAGACACGAAAAAAAAAGAAGGGGGGCGATTTTCATTTTGAGACGACGTTTACACTGCCTAAAAAATTATTATCTTGTTATTTTTTTTCCTCGCTATTTTTGTTGCTCCGGGCTGCTCAAACAACAATAATTAGGCGGCGAGCTTCAAATTTTTGCGCTGTGAGCTTTGGTTTCGAGCAAACTCGTTCCGTTTTTTTTTGTGGACCCCCCCCCCACCTATACAAATTGAGCCGAAAAGGCAAAAAAAAAGAAAACCGAAGAGAACAACTAAGAATTTTAAATAGCGCGGTTACCTATTTTTTTTTCTCGTTCTTGTTGTTGGTGGTGGTGAGACCCCAAAAACGAAACCACCAGAATCGGTCGGTCGCAACGAGACCCAACTCATGGTTCGCGTGATGCTCCTTCAATTTCCCTTTTTCTACTTATACCATTTGTGTTCAATTTTGAATGTGACCCGTAAATCGACGCCTCTCTCTTTTTTTCCAAACAAGTTCTTAAGGCGCATGCAATTTGTTGAAGGCGCGGGTCTCACGGCGATCGATTCTCGCCGCTCGCGTTTTCCTCAGACAACTAACAACATACATCCAGGTGTCGTCGAATCCATGGTCCGTGGTACACCGAGACCACCGAATGCTGCTACCGTAACCCGCTCGGACGTATTTCGGATTATCATGTCTAGGAACATCTCATTTCCGGCTTAAAGAGAGGGGGGTCCGAAGGGGGGCGTGAAAGTTCACGCGAGCAATTCTCTCACATTTCTCGTCGTGATATCGCGAAATTAGTTTCCGGAAACTCATTGCTCCAACGATGAAGGAAAAAAAACGAAAATGGAAAAGAGAGAAAAAAATGAATAAACGACGAAAAGGGTCCGTAGAAGGGGGGGGGACAGCTCCTTCAATATTTTTATTCTCCTCGCTGTTGTTGTTGTTGTCAACATGAGCTCAACACCGATTCATTTTCTCTGTCTAATCCGATTTGCACTTTACCCACTCAGATAAAAAAAAATTGTTTTACTTCTTTAAAGGGGTATGCCGATGTCGGTGATTGTTAGCGTGCTGTTCGCCGTCCTCTTCATCATCCTCACCGTCGTCGGCATCATCGGCAATCTCGTTGTGATCTACGCGATCGCCGGCGACGTCAAAATGCGCAAGTCCGTCATGAACATTTTGCTATTGAATTTGGTAGGTGTGGTGCAATTTTGTGGCGAACAATGGAATCCCAAAAAACTCTGTTTTGTTCAAGGCGATTGCCGATTTGGCGAATTTGATCTTCACCATTCCCGAATGGATATCGCCGGTGTTCTTCGAGAGCTCCGATTGGCTGCTGCCGTCGTTCATGTGTCCGGTGTGCCGCTATCTCGAGTGCCTCTTTCTGTTCGCCTCGATCTCGACACAAATGATCGTGTGCATCGAGCGCTACATCGCGATCGTGTTGCCGATGCAGGCGCGACATTTGTGCTCGCGTCGCAACGTCGTCATCACAATCATTCTCGCGTGGGCGTTCGTCGCGATGTTCGCGAGCCCCTACGCCGTGTGGCATTCGGTGAGGACGACGGTCTGCTCGAATGCGGCCGGCAAATCGAATTGGTGGCAGACGTTCAAACTCGTCGAGTTCCTCGCCTTCTATTTTGTGCCGTGTTTGATCATCATTGGCGTTTACGCCAAAGTCGCCACCGTTCTTTGGTCGAATGATCCGCGATTGGGAAATGAGAGTGAGTACGGTAGGCCGGTGGTGTGCAAACACCGACGCGTCTGATTGCACACAATTTTTTGATTCGCTTATTTCTTTGACAATTTTTTTTTGCATTTTTTGAAAGAAAATCGGCTAGCCATATTTTTGCGGTCACTTTTTTCTTAACATTTTTGTTTCGTTTTTCATCGTAACCTTTAGGATTATTGCGAAGAAAACGAATTTTTAGGATTTTCATGAATTAAAAAACATTTTTAGGATTCAATAAAAATGAAAAAAAATCGCAAACATCTACAATTTAATTTTCAGCGCGCAATTGCGTCGAAAAACCGGCACGGAATTCCGACGCGCTTCGAACGCGTCGAAATGTGGTGAAGATGCTCATCGCGTGCGTGACAGTGTATTTCATCTGCTACTCGCCAATTCAAATCATCTTCCTTTCCAAGTAAGTGCATTTATTTTTTTTTTAATTAAGAAAAATAATTGCGATCGCTTCATTCATCAGAGCCGCTCTCAATGTCACGATTCATCCGCCGTACGAGTTCATCTTGCTGATGAATGCTCTCGCGATGACGTGCTCGGCAAGCAATCCGCTTCTCTACACGCTATTCTCGACGAAATTTCGCAGAAGGTAAACGATGATGAGTGCGGGGTTTCCCCATCCTCTTTAGTTGTAACAACTCAAATTAATCCAAATAGGATTAAGCGGAAACTTGAGATTTTCTCCGAGCGTTTCACCATTTGAGAAGTTTTTTTTATTTCACCCGAAACGAGACAAGTTGAAATTCGATTGACGAGGGTTGTTGTTTTCTTGTTTCCATTGCACATGAAGCTTCTTTATAAAAAACGAAACGGATCAACTGTTTTGCAGACTTCGCGACGTGATCTACTGCAATTCGAAGTTGCGCATTCAGAAGGACAAAGAGCTGGTGAAGAAGAGCTACATATCGATTAACAACTCGACGATAACTGCCACACGGGCTAGTTTCAATTGAGCTGCAAAAAGAACGGCTGTTGTGTGGAATTTATATGTATTTGAATATGAATGATGGAAAATGCACGGGAAACAAAAAATAAATGTATCGCTATCTTGTTCATGCTGTTGCTTTGCCTTGTTTCATCGTTGTTAAGCTTATTCCTTTATAGTGGAAAATGGAAAACAATTTGCAGAGCTGGAGGCGAGTGGCATTCCGAAATCGGCATATTTTCGTTTAATCGTCATCAGAGAGACCGAGTAGCTTCCAATTCACCACCATCAACTTCTGGGCTGCCAGAAGCGCGTGGTAGCGGACGTTTGGGTCCTTGACGGTGAGAAGACGCATCATTGATTCTTTACCGCCAAGCTTCTCAACGATATCCTTGCCTCTTGGATAGTATCTTTAAATCGAAATGTTGAATAAATTTTCGAAAAAATTAAAATGTCGAACCTCACGTATTCTCCAACATCGTGCGCGGCGACGCAGAGCACTAGCGGGTCCAAACTCGTCTCGAGCAAATTGAGGAGCATCTTGAGCAGCTCGTTGCGATTCTCGTTCAATTTCTGCGCGTTCTCTGACCAGAATTTGTCGCACTTGTGCACCGGCGACCAGTGAAGTGTGCCGTGGCGCAACTCGTGCTCGTACTCATCGAACGATGTCAGCGAATGCACGCTGAGCTCGAGCTCGGTTTGCAGATATTGGATGTCATCGGCGATGTCGGGATCGTCGAATTTGCGTTTCGACATCAATTCGAGCTTCTTCTGCAGTTTACATTGAACCATTTGGAGTAAAGCCTGTCTGAAAAAAAACAAATTTTTTCTCGGAACGAAAATCATAATAAATATTTAAAAATTATACTTTCGATAGAGTTTGTCATCAATCTTCGTCAAAATATTTCTGAGTGTGGCTAGCACTATTCGAATAATTTTTTCCTTCTGACAGGTGCCCAAAATGGTAACAATTGTTGATATCAAGCTTCCATTGAGTGCATGCTCGGCGGCGTATTTATTGAACATCAAAAGCCATATCACAAATATAATTTGATACTGAATTTGGAATCCGCATTTGCGCGTCGAGTACAGCGCATGAATTAATGAGTCAAGTCCATTACTATGCGAAAATGCGTATCTAAAGAGTGCTATCAGATGTTGAATGGTTAGAATGACGGGCTGATACCGATAAGGGTCATAGCGAAATAGCGTTTGCATGCATCGAACGGTCGTCGCGATGAAATCATTGGCGGTTCCTCGATTGAGTTGCTCCTTGAGGAATCCAACGAAATATTCGAGCTCGTCGCCGATTAACCTTTAATCGTCTCATTATTACTCGGTGTTGCTCGTCAATTATTTTATTTTTCAACTCAACCGATGATTTCTAACCGACGCAATTCTTGTGATGATCACCGAGGTTATATGCGGAATATATGGGTCCGGCCGGTGCAAAAGACCGAGAAACCAGGAAAACGCGCTTCTGCAAGAAAAAATGATCGCTATTATTACATTCGCAAAAAAAACGAGCGCCCTCCGTCGATTTATTGCGATTTTGAATTTGAATTCAAACTGTTCCAATTCGAAATTGAATTACCGCCTCGAAATAGTGAAAATATGCAAGGCGCTCGTTTTTTTTGCGATGGTAATATTTATTTACCTTTTTTGGGCGTCGGCGGTCTCTTGGAAAATTTCGACGCATTTTCGATTCGTTTGCAAAAGATCGCTCAATTCGGTCAACGCGTATCGCACGTATTCATCCTTTGAAACCTCGAAAAAAGATTACTTTCGAATTATTTTGCGATATTTTTGTTGAATTTGCCTGTGTCACCAAATGTACAAACGCGTACACCGCCTTTTCTCTGTATGCGTTGAACACCACATTGCGCTCTTTTTCGGTCTCCGCTTCCTCATAGGTAACGATGAAATCATAATCGTATTGGGAAATCATTCTCGCTCTGTGTAACAACAATTTTTTAAGGGTGTAAAAAGGACGAGTTATCGATTTTCTTTCTCGCTTACTGTAAATAAGGTTTCCAGTTTACTCGCAACGCTCTGATTTTCGCCGCCTCCGCATCCAGGTGTGTGCGTATCAGCTCACTATCGTGATTCTCGCCGTAGCCCATCGTGTAAATATACTTGATACCGGAAAAATGGCAGGAAAAATTATGCATGGACAATTAATTTTTGCCACATGTTGCTTTAATCGCGGCAAGACTCATTGTGAATTTGCATATGCTCCCTTAATTATTGCTACCGTAGCACTTTAAATATTTCCAAATTTAGTAGAAATTTTGAGCAAATTTTCTTATTTTTTTCGATGTCCTTTTAAATTTCTTGACTTATAATTGTTACTTGCAAGCAAACGACGTGTTTTACAAAATTGTAGTTTTCTTAAATTTTTTTTTCAAAAGCGAAATTTACTCGTCCGCATAATGTCGTCGCGAATCTTGCGGACCATTGACAGATGACTCACTCATCCTCGCATACTCTTGTTTCTTCGCTTATTCACGAATAAATTTTTTTTTTTAATTTTTTTAAGTTTTCAGAATCAAAATGTGCAAATGCCTTCTTTTATTTTTGGCGTGCTTCTTGCCGGTGAGTAACAAAGTCGTTATCAGTGTTTAAAATTTAAATAAAATTTCAGCCAATCGCTATCCTTCTCTATGAAGGATGCACTGCGAACATGTGCATCAACATCTTGCTCACCTGTCTCGGTGGTATTCCAGGAATTATTCACGCGTGGTACGTCATTTTATGCATGGAGCCGAAAACGGTCACCAACGTCTACGTGGTAAGTGAAAATTTATCAAAGCAATCAAAGAAAACCGATATTTAAGCAGCAAGGTGTCCAACCACCACCAGCCTATCACGCATAGATCATTGACATCTCAATGGGCAGCTTTAACATAATTCATTTCCAACTTACCATTAATTTCAATGTAATTATTGAGCAACTTTATATTTTTATGCATCCCCTAATCATTTTGACCCAAATTGTGTATTTAACGAGTATGACGCTATAAGAATTCCAATAAATTTTGCGGTATTAAACGAAATTGATATTGGTTTTGCGGCCACGATTTATTGGAAAAAATTGCGTTCACTGTGAAGCAGGTGATTCATTTTCAGAGGCTCAATGTGCAAGTGCCTTCTAGCTCTATTGGCGTGCTTTCTGCCGGTAAGTCGATGCCAAATTTCAACCCATTCAAATAATTCCAGCCAATCGCTGTCCTTCTCTATGACGGATGCTCGGCGAATTTTTGCATCAATATCTTGTTCACCTGCCTCGGTGGAATTCCAGGAGTGATTCACGCCTGGTACGTCATTCTAATTCAGCAGCCGATGGTCGTCACAAACGTCTACATTGTAAGCATTCAGTAGGGAGTCGTCTCAATAACCAACATTCCCAATTTCAGCAGCAACAACCGCAACAAATGTGCCTCAGAGTCGAACCATCAGCTCCGCCGCCTTACGACGCTTAAGCATTCTAACTTTAAAAATAATTTATTTCAAGTTGTGCCAAGCTTTAATTGAATAAATTTCGGTTTCTGTTTTAAATTCAAATCGCCATCGATCTCCACCATTTGACCTTCAACAACCGCCGTCGCCCGTTCCCAACACATGTTTTATATATTTTTTTTTGCCATCTATTCTCTTTTGCGTCTTCGCTTCTCTCTGCTCATGTGACTGCGAGGGGGGCAAAGCGTAAACAAGTTGCGCGCGACGCGACGGCCACATCGTTTTTTTGTGGCGCTAATATTAAAATTAAGTTTTTTTTTTCGATTTTCTCAATGAAAAAAAATTATTCGAGAATGTGGTGATGTTCGCGTTGTCGCGCGCGCGCGTGCGTGCCCGCCTGCTCTTACAATAAACAACAACAAGCAACTGGCAGCGCGTAGAAGTTTCTCGAAAATTGCGTGCCGACGCGTATAAAAGATGCGTTTCCATCGATCGCAGCGCATTGTTTTTGATTTTTATTATTGCAATTCTTGATAAGGTTTTCCCTCCGCCTTTCCGTCAGTCACGAGTAGCCATCTTCTTATCGTCTTGATCATATTTGGAAGTCAATTCGAATTGTTTCAGTTCAACCACCCAACAATGTCATCTGCTGAAGCTATGGCTGCCGTCTACGAGCAGGAAGGCGGACCGGTATGAGATTAGCGTCATCAGCGTTGTTGGCTGTAATTCCAGCTTTCAGGAGTTTGTCAATGGCAAACGGTCAAAGGCCGAGCGTGTCGAGCACAAGCACGCGTCGCAGCCGGGCGGCGACACGCGCAAGGTCGTTCAGACCGCCATGAACGGCGAGCAGAAGAGAAAAGAGAAGTGAAGTCGACAAATGTGCTCCACTGGTCACCCTTCAACTAAAAAAAATGAAAAGCAAAGACGGCGTTATTCAATTTTTGTTAATTATTGTAAATTTGTTTCCCTTGCGCACTTTCCGGTAGAAAATCAAGCTTTTAATTTTCTCGCTCTCTTTAATCTACCGCCTTTCTTCAATAAATTTTGTAAATATATGCTATTGTTTGAATTATTGCGGAAAAACGAAGCCAACTCGTGGAATCGACGAATTTGATATTGAAGAAAGTCATCGAGAATGATTAATTGTCGAGAATTTGTAGAATGGATCAGGATGGCGTTTTTCCCAACTATGGCGTCGATCAATATTTGCCAAATGTCTCCGAAGCGGCTTTTATCGGTGAGGTTTTGTTGGAAATTTGGTTTTTTTTAGAACAATTTCGAAAATACGCACAAAACGTCGTTTTTAGTGGCTTGAAAGTGACGCGTTTGTTAAATTTTGCGCTAAAATAAAACAAATAGTCATTCAAGTTTGAACTCTGGTAACTCAAAACCAATCGGATTCGACAAAATTCGGCCTCCGATTGGTAGTTTTGTGGATAAGATTGGTTATTTGTCGAATCCGATTCGAATTGAAATATTAAAACAAAACGGATTCGAAAATCCCCAAAAACCAATCGAATCCGACAATTTTAGAATTACCAATCGGTTGATTCCGGAGTCGAATTTTGTCGGATCCGATTGGTTTTGAGTTACCAGAGAAACATTTGAATTTGGCGGTCGGTCCTTTAAATGGTCCTGCAACAAAGAGTCGCTGATCGCATTTTGAATTTGTATAAATTAGCTCGATTCATAATTTTTTATAGATAAACCGCTACAGTGGAAAACTTTTATTTTCATTGTATGAATAGTTCCATTAAATAGTGTAAATCTCACAATTAAGAGTGCTTTCCATACGAAACCCATGGCGGAAATTCAAATTATATTGTCGAACAAGAAAAATCACGTTTTGAACTGATTCCGATGTGTCAATCAAAATCGCAACAAATGATGAAAATAATGAGAGATGTTTTAGAAGAGAAGAAAGGAGTTCTGAAATGCACTGAAACGCTTGGCGAGAAGGATCCGATTCCGGAGATTTCGTTGAATTTCGAAGAAGCTTGGTCCAAAGATCGGGTAGGCAATTTTTGGCGACGAATTCTCATTAATTTTCCAACAATTTCTTTTTTTAAGAAATCGAACGCCCTATTTGAATCGAAATTCAAAACAATACCGCTTACCAAAGAGGATATATCGATAATAAACAGTAAAACGAAACAAAACGTTTGAGTTTCGCAAAAATTGCTTCCATTTTAGCCATGAGCAATTGTTCGCCTGACGACGTCGCGAAACTGATTCGAGGCGTTCAGAACTCGGTGTACTTGTTGGGCTTGGAAGAAGCGCGTCAATGTCGCCGCGGAAAAATATTGGGAGTTTTGAGCGACGAGGAGGAGCAGAAAACGCCGCCGAAATAATTGAATGATTGGTTTATTCGTGAAAGACCTGTATAATAATGTTGGGCAATTTTGTAATAAAGTCACAATTCGTTTAAATATTGTTCGCGATCCAGTCGAGCGCTTCGGTGAGACCTTGTCCTTTGATGGCCGAACACGCCTGGATTTGCCATCGTCGGTTTTTGATTGTCGTGAGACCGAGCTGATTGGAGATTTCGCCGGCGGTTAACGCGCTTGGGAGATCCTGCTTGTTGGCGAGAACGAGGATATGAGCTTTGGCAAGGTCCTGCAACGAATGAAGTTTAAGAAATTTCAAGAATAAAACTAATTACCTCGTGTTCTAACATTTTAAACAGTAAACTTTTAATTTCAGCTAACCTAATTACATCAGCACTATCGATAACTGAAAAAATTGGGAAATTTTTAAATTTATGAAAAAATAAATGAACCCTACCTACAATAACCACATTTGTATTATTATAATAAGAAGACCATGATTGTCGGAGCTTCTCTTGACCGCCAATATCCCACATTACAAACTTAAAATTTTTGTACGTCATTTCTTCAACGTTACTTCCAATTGTTGGTTTTGTGTCGACCACATCTCCAGTTACACTGAAATTCAAGCGAATTTTAGAATTATTTTAGTCGCAATTATTCACCTACTAGTGATAAAGTATTGTTGTCTTTCCGGCGTTGTTCAGACCAACTATTATGATTTTATGCTCTGCAAAAAAAAGTGAGATTGAGTTTTCGTATTGAAGTTCACCTTTTCCTGACCACCATTGCCTCCAGAATTTGGCCAGAATCAAACCCATCAAATCGAGCGTCGAGCTGCATTTAAAAAAAATTGAATTAATTAAAGAATGGCAAAAAATTAATTAACAATCCGGAAAATCTACTGTAAAAGAATAAAATGTGGAAAAGTGCGATGGAGCGCACTTGCGACAACCAGTGAAAAAGCATTCAAATATACTAACACAAGTCATTTTTTTCCAAAATTTTCGCTGAAAAACGCGAATTTCCCGCGAATCCTGGATTTTCTTTGACGCTAAACAATGGCTGCCAACTTTTGGACAAGCAGTCACGCGTAAGCTATAGTTTAAATATTACTAAAAACGAATTTTCGATTTTTCAGTGAGCAATGGATTTTCGATAAAACCGAAATATTGCGAAGTCGAGCGGAGGATTTGAAAATTTATACGGAAGATGAGTACGCGAAATTCAATATTTTCTGGGCGAATTGTAAGACAATGTTTAGTGGTTTATAATTATGCGAGAATTTCAGATATAACCGCCGTCGCCACCGAAGGAGCGCATACACCAGCGAATGTTGGCTGCCGTCTGCGACAACAAGTCATCGCTACTGCTGTAATGTATTTTAAGCGATTTTACATAAAGTATGGCTAAGATTCTGGCAATAAATACTGAAAATCGTTTCAGACGGTCTTTTAAAGACATGTGCCCATTCTTGGTGGCTTCTACTGCTCTATTCTTAGCTTGTAAAGTCGAAGAGCACACAACACTCAGTGTTTCAAGTTTTCTAAAAAATACTACCATTATTTGTAAGTTTTCCGAAAAAAAATTTAAGCGAAAAATCAATTACAGTGAACAAGCGATGGGGAGTTCAATTCGATTCGAGCATGTCCAAAAATGGAGTCGTTTATGACGCCGAATTTGTTCTCGTCGAAATTCTCGACTGTTGCCTCATCGTCTACCATCCGAATCGGCCGCTCAACGTTTTATTACACGTAAAAATTCGAAAAATGCTGAAAATTGCTGGAAAAATTGATTTAGGATCTCAATAAGGCAATTCAAATGAAAGATTTCGATCAAGTTGAGGCTCAATGCCATAAAGTTGTGAATGATACTCTTCGCTGCGACGTCGGCCTTCAATTCGCTCCACATTGCATTGCAATTGGTGCAAAAAATTCAAGTGTCTTGAATAATTTTAAAATTTCAGCTTCTTTGATCGTTGGCACTGAATTGATGGGTCGCGGTGATGAATTGCAGCATTGGCTCGTTGAAATTAACACGGATTTTGATAAAGTCACCGATTGCGTCGAACAAATTTACAAAATGTATAAAGTGTGGAAATCGTTTGATGAGAAGGAAGTGAAGCAGCTTTGTGCGAAACTTCCGAAAATCAACGCCCTTCCAAATATGATGTATACTGTTACAACTTCATGTATTTAACAAATAAACTTATTTCTTTTTTCTCGTTTCCTCCATCGCTTTGTGTGTCGAAAATTGTGGCCGCGCGAAAATTGAAAAACGCTGCGCGTCCGCAATGTGTCGCCTCGGTGTTTGCGGACATCGGCTCGAGTTCGACCCGAAAAATTATTTCTTGCGTACCACGCAATTCAAAATTCCCACATTTTCGCGTTTCTAATCGATTTGTTTGCGTTTCAGGCGCAGAAATGCAATCGTCCGACGGGTTCGCGTTCGACGGCGGACCCACCCAGCCGCCGCCACCGCAGATTCCCGCCGGATCGCGTTTGAATCAATATTTGGGCGCGAATCGCACGCAGCCATCATTCACCAGCAACTCGGTCCAATTGCACATCAATGTTAGTGCCCTCATTAATATTTTCGGGGACCACAGAAACGAAGGAAAATTCTAGGCGCCGCCATTCATCCCGAAACAGCATCAGGTTCAGCAGCAGTTTAGTCAATTAGGTATTAGTAATGCTCATCCGCAATTCACCACCACTCCACCGCCGCCATTCACCACACGCGCTCAACAGCAAAACCAATCGGCGTTCGATATGCAAAATAGATTTCAGCAGGTCGAATTGTTGAAGACGTGCGGCTTCAATCCATTGCTATTGAATTTCAGGAGAATCGCGGTGGAACAATGTATTTCTATCCGCAAGTCGGAGACGCCGTCGCGCCCGAAGATGAGCCTTTCGAAGAGCCCGACATTCACGACGGAAACATTTTAGTGGTAGCCAGAATTTTTTGTCGTTTTTTTTTTTAATTTGAGATTCTAGCACAATCAGGGAATGTATGCCTATCACTCGCCAATGCCGCTACCTCATGTTGGAAAATTTCGGCCAAAAGGTGCTGTGGGCAACGGGCAGACTCAATTTATCAATCCCGACCTTAAAATGGTAAATTTGATGTTCAAAAAAAGAATATTTTTATTTTTCCTATTCATTTCCCTTTAAAAAACCAATTGTTTTCTAATTCCACTCATCGGAATTCAGGAGCTTATGAATCGCCAACTCGCGATTGACGCGAAAGCGGATCCGGTGGCGTATCCCGACATTCCACATCAAGTCGAGCATCTCACGAATCTCGTGCCGCTCGAGAACGTCGCCGTCCACAATTTGTCGCAGACGACGTACAAGGCGGCGTCGATTCGCGACGGCGTCACGTATTGCATTCGACGGATTCATGGTAATCGTTGTGACGCTCATATTAAAGGCGCATCACAATCATTCCAGGCTATCGTATACAACCAGGCAAGCAGCTTCAAATTGTTGAGAATTGGAAGAAGCTCGTTCATGGCAACATCGTTCAGTTGAAAGAGATTGTGCCCAATTGTAGGGCATTTGGAGATACCTGTGAGAAATTTGAAAGTTCTTCAAAAAAAATTATATTTATTCATTTTTTTCAGCACTAATATTTGTTTATGATTATTATCCGTTGGCTGAAACATTAAAAGCGAGGCATTTCGATTCCAAGACTGGAACATTCCTTGATTCGATGAGTACGCATCGACGAATCGATTTTTTCTTTTTATGTCTCGAAATTTCAGCGGGATTCAAACTAGCGAATCCGGCGGCGATGGGAATGAATAACACCATCACGGAGGGCACACTTTGGGGCTACGTGATTCAGATATCGGCCGCGTTGCGAGCGATCCATTCCAGCGGATTGGCTGCTAGGACTATTGAGCTCAACAAAATTTTGATTTTTAGTAATAATAAGGTATCTTTTTAATAGTGCGCATTTCGCAAAAATAACGAACCCAAAAATCGCTATGCAGATTGCTGACGAAAAAAAAACTGCAAATAGTTCAAATTCGGCTGTGGTCGCGTTTTTTGAAGGCTACAGTACCATTGTTTTTATTAAATCGCTGCAAGAATCATGAAATTTTGTAGTATGAGCCTTTAAAAACTGTAACGATTTTATTTTTACCTAGCCTAGGTTTTTTTCTAATGATTTTCAGAGTTTATAATTTTGAAAAGCTTTTTGTTGAAGATTTTACTCACTTGCTGCGGCATCCAGGATGTGCTGAATCCCGACAATCACTCGATCCATCAGCATCAGCAAGACGATTTGCACGCGTTCGGCTGTGTGCTGGTGGCGCTCGCCACCGGCAAATTGCAAGGCTCGCGACGCGATCTCATCATGGCGTCGCTGAATCAAATCGCCGCCAACTACTCGGCCGACATGAAGAACCTCATCACATATTTGTTGTCGACGCCGTCGCCGAACAATCGCAAATCGATTCACGAGATTATGCCGATGATCGGAGCGCGATTCTACAATTTTGTAGGAGTCTTTCGATTTTCTTTAATTTTCGCAATTTTGATTTTCAGATGGAAAACATGCAGCAACGATCGGACGGTCTTGAAGCGGAATTGTGTAAAGAGATTGAGAATGGAAGGCTGTTTCGGTTATTGTGCAAAATGAACACCGTGCTGGAAAGAGCTGAGTAAGTCTCTAGCGAAAACAACAAAGACAACAGTGATTGATTTTTAAGGCACAATGGCGATGAGAATTGGGCGGAGACTGGAGACCGATATATGCTGAAATTGTTTCGAGACTATGTTTTTCATCAGGTCACCGATCAGGGAAAGCCGTGGCTCGACATGGCGCATATTGTACAATGTCTGAATAAGGTTGGTGGACAGCAAAAAAAAAGAAGAGAGGAAAGAAACAAATTTGAGTTATTGCAGCTTGACGCTGGTACGTCGGAGAAAATCGAGATGGTCTCGCGTGACGGCAGCACGCAAATCATCGTCGATTATTCGCAATTGAAACGGTACGATGTCGATTTTGACTCAAATCGAATTTTTTTTTTTAGTTGTCTTGAAAAATCATTCCGAGAGCTGTTAATAACCAATGTGATCGCTGCGCCACTTCGCCATTGAGAAAAAGAAAAATCAATAAAAGAAATGTTGTTCAGGTTGTATTGTTCTTGTTTCATTCCGGTGTTCGATCCGACCCCCCCCCCCAAATCTTCCGGATTCTTGTGCTATATCAATCATTGCAGTAAAAAACCCGTACCCCCTGGTCTCAGTTTTCTTGTTAGATGTTTCCAATTGTTCCTTTTTTTCCTCTTTTTAATTTTCGTTTTGACCAAAACGCATAGATTGCTAGCCGCTTCTGTCTAGTATTCTTCACCCCCCCCCCACCCTCTCCATTCATGTGTTGTGCTCTTTGTACAGTATATATTGTCTATTATTAATTATTTTTTAGCAATTTATATTTATAATATTATGAAAAAGAGAAAAGTTTCATGTCTAATGATTATTCTTTTTGTTTTATTCTTATTATTCTTATCAACACTATTTTTTATACATTGTTTTTCTTTTCGATACCACGCCCTCCTCTAAACCGTAAAAAAAGAAAGTTTTTTTTTCTTTTTTGCATAATTTTTTAAATGTTCTTTTTTTGTGTGTGTTTTTTGTTCAATTGCGATATGTAGATTGTTTTCCCCCCACATCACGAAATTTCTTGTTTCATTTGTTGTTTCAGCGCTGCTAAAATTGTTTTCGGAGAGAATCGTAGAGAATTCATATGTATTGGAAAACTAAAAAAAAAAAACAGAAAAACGCAAACGTTGAGACGCGGTTGAGTTGAATAAAAATTGAAACATGTTACCCATCGGGAAATTTTTTGTGTAGTTTGTCGTGAGTAGTCTTGCGGAACTTTTTCGACTACAGTATACAGTATCCAATGAGTTTTTTAAAATCCTTTTCTGACTTATTCCTGCAGGAAACGAAGAATATAGATGATTTGAGATTGCAGCTTCCTATGAAGTGGTGGAAAGCATTGATTATCAGTCAAGGACGAGCAGCTCGAACGGGGTTGTGAAAATTAAAATTTGCCTAAAAATAATTTATGCGTTAAAAAAATAACTTTCGAATTAAATTTTTGTCGTTTCCAAAAATTGATTGGTTTTTTTTTCGATTTATGAATTTTCTACATAAATTATCTATCAAATTTTCTTGAAATTAATTTTTTAAAATTCGCGCGTAATGCACGGCCGCAAAAAAAAATGCGCCAGACGCTGTGAGACGCAGGCGATTATACAAAACCGTGCATACACGCTACGCGCAAATGCACCACTCCCAAAACTGCGGTGCCCGTTCGTCGATTTGAATCATTTTTCGCGCGCTTCACTAAAACTTCTGTTCCGCGCAAATTTGTGTTGATCACTTAAATTCCGTCGAAATTTATCGCATAAAACAAAAAGAGTATTCAATTTTTCGCCAATCTGCGTATGATTTGCCATGGAAATGTGGGCGCGCTAGGCAACACTGGTGAAGTGCAATTTTAGGTGTCCACTCGACGCTCGTATTGCGCGCGCGCGCTATACGACAATGATTATTCGCTCGTTCAGTCGTACTAGTTAGCCTCGCGCGCGTTGCGAAATATTGTGGCACTCGCGGAGGGCCGAGAAGCAGACGGCTCACAGCGACGCCGTCATTCTAACGCGCGCGCCGCCGTCCGCGCTTGATAACTGTCGATTATTTATTATTTTTTGCGTCATTCTTTTTTTTCAGGCCACGCCATCAATTTTTAGCAATTTTGATTTATTCCAGGTAGCCATGTTAAACCGAAAATGGGTTTTTCTGTTAGTCGTCGTGTCATTGGCCGTATGCCAAGAAGTCGTCGAGGATGACGATGAATCGCCGCCGAAAAAAGAGCCGTTCATTCCGATCGAATTTGTGGCGCCGCAATTCAACAAAGAATCGCCAAAACCGTACTTTTTCGATTATTTTCCGAAAGGCGCGAAAATTGGAAATAAATGGGTGAAGAGTATTGCGAAAAAAGATGGTGCCGACGCCGAAATCGCCAAATATAATGGTTTCTTTTTCGTTTTTAACGATTTTTTTTTAAAATAAATTGATTCCTTCCAGGCGAATGGGATATTGGAGCACCGACTAAAGTGGTTATCGAAGGTGATCATGGACTTATTGTGAAAACTAAGGTAATTTTTTTGAGTGAAACAAAAAAAACGAAATTGCAAAACAAAACATGGGTTATTTTCTATTGGAATATTGCAATTTTTCAATTGTTCCATTTAAAATAGCCCGATATAATTTCGACTTCTTCACTCATTGGTCTCAAAAGTTTAAAGATTGATGAATTTAAAGTTTGAAACAATCAAATTTAGGCTCGCCATCACGCAATCACCGCCAAACTCAATCGGCCGTTCAAATTTGGCAACGAGAACTTGATTGTTCAATACGACGTGAAATTCGAAGAGGGCCAAGAATGCGGTGGCGGCTATCTGAAATTGTTGAGCGAGGGCGCTGAAAAGAATCTGGCGACGGTACAAGACAAAACGCCGTACACTATTATGTTTGGGCCGGATAAATGCGGATCGACGGGAAAAGTGCACTTGATTTTCCGCTACAATAACCCCAAAAATGGATCGATTGATGTAATTTTTGAGATTTTTATTCTAGAAAATTGATTTTTAAAGGAATATCACGCGAAGCAGCCGTCAAATGTTGGAACGACATATTGGGATGACCACAACACCCATCTCTACACTTTGGTCTTGAAGCCGTCCGGCGATTTTGCGGTGTCGGTTGACGGCAAAAGCTTGTTCTATGGAAATATGCTGTATGATCTCGCGCCGCCTCTCACGCCGCCCCTTCAGATTGCCGATCCGAACGACAAGAAGCCGGAGGATTGGGACGATCGCGCCGAGATTGAGGACGAGAACGCGACGAAGCCCGATGATTGGGACGAGACACAGCCGAAGGAGATTGTCGATGAATCGGCGACGATGCCGAGCGATTGGAACGAGGATGAGAACGAGCTGATACCGGATCCGGAGGCGACGAAGCCGGCTGATTGGGACGATGACATGGATGGCGATTGGGAGCCGCCGATGATCGACAATCCGGCGTGCAAGGGAATCAGTGGTTGCGGCAAATGGAAGCCGCCGACGATCAAAAATCCGAAGTATAAGGTATTCAAGAAGATGCCGATTTTGGCGCTTGTGCGAATGAGCAACAATTTCAGGGCAAATGGGTTCGTCCGAAAATCGCGAATCCGGCGTACAAAGGCGTGTGGAAGCCGCGTCTCATCGACAATCCGCATTATTTCGAGCCGACACCGTTCGCGGGTCTTGCGCCGATCACCGCCGTCGGAATCGAGTTGTGGACGATGAGCGAGAACATCGTTTTCGGTGTGGAGTTGTCGAATGTTTAGCAAACTTTCAATATTTGCTTTTCTCCAGACAATATTCTCATCACGTCTTCCGAGGAGGATGCCTCCGACATTGCGCGTCAAACGTTCAAAGTGAAACAGAATGAAGAATATCGATTTGCGACGGTGACGGGAGATTCTGTGGGATTCGTGAAGAGTATTGTCGATGCTGCCAATGTAAATGACGAGCCAATTAGGCATTCATTATTTCAATTCTCTTCAGGAGCGACCATGGCTCTGGGCGGTTTACGTGCTTTGCGTACTTATCCCAGTCATTTTCCTCGCCGTCTTCTTCTTTGGACGAAGCTCGAAGTTCCCGAAGATTGACAACAAGAAGAAGAACGATGATTCGACATCGGACGACGATGTTCCGAATTTGGAGGAGGAGGAGGGAAACGACGAGAAAGTTGCGCGAGCGCCGAAAATCACGCCGGAAGAGCGCGCGCGACTCCTCGAGGGCATCAATGAGAAATTGAACTCGATGCCGGAGGTCGTTGATGATGAGGAAGAGAATGAGGAAGATGAGGAGAAGGAGGAAGAAGAGGAGGAGGAAGACGAGGAGAAGAAGGAAGGAGTTGTTCATGAGAACGAGCCAGTGATGCCGACCGAGGAGCTCGCCAAAACGAGCCCGAAACCGTCGGCGGCGAAACGGCGAACGGCTCGACGCGGTGATTAATTGATTGCAATCTTAAACAAAATTTTCTACTTGCTATTGTCTTTTTTGCCCATTATTTGAATTTAAATTATTTTTTAAGCCAAATTGTCCCCCCCCTCTCTCTCTCGATGTTTTCTGTTCACCGGTTTCTCATAATTTAATTTATATCAGAATAAGAGAATAATAAAAAGTTAGGAGTTCTAGGCGGCCTTTTCGATTTCGTCGAACACCTGCTGCCGCTCGGCTTGCTCTTTTCGCCGTTGGTCGGGCGTCGGTTTCGCCCATTTGCTACCGCTCGTCTGCGACGCGTTCATTCCGCGCTTCGACGCCTGCCGCTTTTGCGGCGTCCGTTTCGTCGTCGGCTGATGCTCGCGAAACGCGACGTCTTTGTCGGTCGAGCACTGCATACTCAGACAGCTCAACTCGGCCGGAAACGCGTCTTTCGACAGGAGGACGAAGAGCACCGGCACGTCGACGGTGGCGACGATGCTGCAAATTCGGAGGGGTCTCGTCGGGCGGTGCGAACCACTCGCATCATCTTACTCGCGCGGTCCGTCGATAACGCATTTCCACAAGATTATCCGTTTCGTCGATGCGATCTTCGTCCATTGGTACAATTCGCCGTCGTGGCACTGTTTGAAGACCTCGACGCACGAGATGACGCGATCGGTGGCGCCGTCGATCGATTGGAACATGACGAAGCGATTCGACGCGTCCTGAAATCGTCGACGTCGAGCGAGACACCAAACAGACGGGCGAGCTCACCTCGAAGTGTCGATTGACGAACGCGTGCAGTTTGGCGAACTTCGAATTCTTGCCGACGCTCATCACCGGACAACCGTGAAACGCCTCCGGAAACGGATTCGCCGCTTCTTCGACGCGCTCCTCGGCCGGCACATAATTGTCCATATTGCTGAAAATTGCGTGTGCAAGGCGAATTCGACGAGACGTCGAGTTAAAGTGTGCAAATTAGGCAATTCGAATTTTGGGAGTTCAACCAATGGAATACACTGAATCGATGGAATATGAAAATGGTTTATCTTCAACAATTATTTCTTTTTTTAGTATGACCGACAACTGATGTCGTCGGAATACGAGGAGAACTGCGATTTTCGGCCGTCGGGCGAGTCGTCCTCGATCTCGAGACATTTGTACATTCCGTAGCGCGCGCGGTCGAGACGACACTGATCGAGGAACACTTTCAGTTTGAGCAGAAACTGTTTGTAGTGATTGCTGGCGCCGACCGCGTCGCCGTCGGCGCACGATTGCGACGCCTTCTGAACACTCTCGACCATCTGAAATTCAAAACAGATATTTTCGTTATCGTCGACATGTCGGCGGACCATCGAAATAATGACACCCGTCGTCATTCGATTGATCTTCATCATTATGGCGTCGGAGATTTCGCGCAAGAATGCGCGATGCGCGAAAAAGCACGCGTTCAGCCATTCGGTGCCGGTTTTCGGCCGACGTTGCCGCGCGCGCCAATCCAACGCTTTTTGCATTCGCTCGAACGCCACGTCGATGAGTCCGAGCATGTTCTTGCGAATCAGAAACACCGTGTTGTTCATGTGGAAGAACGCGTATCGAAGCGACGGCTCGTGGACAAGCGTCTCGCTTTTGTGCGTCTGAAATATTTGACGACGTCGCGCGACACTGGAAAATTGGAAAGGCAAAACGAATTCGCCAAGCCGTTGAATACCTCGAGGACGGCGTCCAACGCGGTGTGAAGCATTTGAAGAATGCTGAACATATTGTTGTAGATCTCCTGAGCGCTTTCGGACACGTAGACGTTTAAAGGCGCGTTCGGCTCGATTGAAATGTTGAAGTAGTCGGAGCGTTTGTCGCGCGGCACGCCAATCGCGCCCAAAAATTTGCGATCGTACCCGAAATTGTGCATTTTGTCGATGTCGATGCTGGTGAGAAGCGACAAATTTCTGCAAAAACGATGACGCCATCAGTGGGCTTCTGTTGGCGCGCGACGCCTCACATGTTTCTCCTCAAATGGACGTAGGCGGTTGTGAAGAATTTTTTGAGGAAGCCGAAAAATCGCACCGAGTCGTCGAGAACAATCCGGCAGTATTTGTCGATGAGCGTTGACGTTGGTAGAACGTCGAGCAGCGTCGAAATGCAGCCTTCGAGATCGTCGTGCTCATCGAGAACACGCTCGATGAGCTTCTCGAACTCTGGCGTTTTGGCGAACTGAATGAAATTGCGACGAGCGTTTGTCGAAGTGCCGTTTTCAGTGTCCTACCAGCTCAAGCTCGACGGCATCCTGAATGTCGGTCTTGCCAAATGTCGTCTCGTCATACTTGTAGCTCCCATTTTTGGCGGTCACAAAGAATCGATAGCCGATGACAAGATCGACGACGCGACTCGCGAGCGCCTCGTCGACGCAATTTGACGATTCAAGAATGAGTGGGTTCAAACGCTGCCAAATGCTAGCTGAAATTTTCGGGACTTGAAACTTCTTGACCACATTTTTCCCCCCGGCAAACGAATTACGTTCTTTGATGTCCTTCACGTCATCGACAGGCACGAACAACTCGAAGAGCTCGGCTTCTGGCGACGTCAGCATCTCGGCGAGCTTCTTCACGATGAATTGAATCATTTTGCGATTCAATCGCGACCACATCTGACGCGAATATCGCATGGCGGCTGATCGACTTCCAATAAAGGCCATATCATTGAGTCGAATCGGCTAAATATGTGAAATTTGAATGCGCTTCTTCTCGGTGTCCTACACTATACTCTGTCATTTCCTCAATCACATGAATCATTTGGTAGAGGACACTTGAATGACCAGCGGCGAGCTCGTAGAGGTTCGAGCACGCTTGAAAAATATTGATCGACTCGTCGAAAATTTCCAATGATTCGCTCAAAATCTGCCTAGACGTCAAATTAGTTTTTTTTTTTTTAGATTGAAAAATCTCTGTTTTGAAAATCCTATATACCAAAAAATGAATTGCTCGTTGTCGATGTACTTTTGGACGAGAAGCCTTAACGAATTCTCGGTGTTGTTGACCCAATGCTTTTTCAAATTGGCGCGATGATCGACCAAACTGAAATAATCTCAATTCGATCGAATCGGGTTAATTGGGGGGTGGTGTTGCCTGTTAGCTAATTGCACATGAGATTGTAGGAAGCAGCGAGTGGTTGATAGATTCCAATTAAGGACCCTTGTGGGTTTCGCCAAATAGAAATGATTCATTCCCTGAATTTTGGATTTTGGTTGGAATTGAAAGAACAAAAATCCTACGTCAATCTGAAAAACCTCATTGCTCGTTCCTCGGTACATTTCGAGAAGAAATCGGCCAAACGCTTCTCGAGAATCCAAATGGAAAAAATCGATGGACCTGTCTTTAATTTGGAATTGTCTTGGAAAATTTTCTATAATTGCCGCCCACTTTCATCGACACATTTCAAAAGCTCCTCGCTTTTCAAAATCTTGCGATACTCCTCCGAAATCAGTCCCCATTCGTCGATTGGCTCAATATTGTGCAAATCGTTGGGCGGTTCGGGCTCGTCGACGACGTCCAACGTCGCGTTGAGCGCCTTTGAAATGTCCCAAGCGATTTGCGGCACATTCTCTCGCATCAATGGCTCGGTGCAGGGTCGCGCGCGGAACGTGCCCTCGAATTTCAGCGCCAGATTTTGATCGACACTCAATTGTTTCAAACTCTCGGCGAATTCCGAATCATCTAAACGATGTGTGGCCACTAGCACAAAATAATAAAGGGCTTCATCGGCGTTTTCGAGTTTGTCTTGAAAATTTCAATCATTATTTTTGGCAATCATTTTCAAACCTAGAATTTTGTCGAGAATATCTTTCAGTTGCTCAATTCCAAGCCGCGCAAGCCTTTCATTCAACAACAATCGCAGTCTATCACTGGGTAGCTGAAAATCGATTTGTTGTTTTTTTTGGAATTCAAGAAAAAATCATTTCTTACGGCCTTGCCATTTTCATCGCGTATCGGCTGGTTTTTATTGACAATGTACATGTAGGAGACATTTTTCAATTTTCGTTTCGGTTTTCCGCGCTGCTCGCCGTATATCAGAAAATCGAGAGTGCTAAGCATCGAAACTCGGAAAATAGTCGCGGTGGACTACAAGCGTCGGCATGGATGGCCGCCAAATTTTCTAGGCCACGTCGATATTTCGAAATATTCAATCCGAGCGCGCGCGCGATTCATCGCCATCAATTCATTGTTTTCGCCGTCCCGCCTCGATCTCTCTCTCTTATCAACATTGGACAATAAATTGTGTCCTCCAAAAATAAATGTGTCGTAGACAGTTCAATTCGCATCTTTAAAAGATTGCCGCCAATATTTCGCGCGTCTCTCGCCTCAGGAATCTCACATCATAATCCGGACTCCGCCCCCGCAAATTTTTTATCATCAATCGCCTCCTTTTTTTTTTTCGGCGGCGAATCGGCCCCGCCCCATTCTGCGCGCGCGCGGCCCTTTTCACATGACCTATCAGCCGTTTTTGCCGACCAACCTTATTGTCGTCGTCACGTTGTTCGTTCGATCGGTCGACCGACGCGTCTACTATCATCTTATCGCGTTTCCTCTTCATAAACCCACGTTGTTGTTCATTTCAGAGACACTGCCAAAAATAAGCGAAATAAATCAACGAGTATCATGCTTCTCAAATTGCAATGCAAAGTCAACAACTACGCGTGGGGTGTGAAAGGCGATCAGAGTATGGCTGGAAATCTCGCGTACGCCGGAAAACACATCGACAATATCGACAAGAGCAAACCATATGCCGAGGTTTTGCGCGCAAAATCTTCAATCAAGTCGAATATTTCATTTTTTTTTGCAGTTTTGGGTTGGCACGCATCCAAACGGGCCGTCGGTGGTCATCGACTTGAAGAAATCGCTTGAGCAAGTGATCCTTGAGAACAAATCGCTTATCGGGAAACACGAGGCCGAGAAGCTCGGCTTCCTCTTCAAGGTTCTTAGTGTGGCCGGTCCGCTCTCAATCCAAATCCATCCCACCAAAGAGCAAGCGCTTTTCCTTCACACCAAAGATCCGAAGAACTATCCCGATGATAATCATAAGCCGGAGATCGCGATTGCGCTATCCGATTTCGAGTTGCTGTCCGGCTTTCGCCAACATTCGCAAATCTCCGAATTCTTGAAATGTAGACGGCGTTGTTGGACAATTGCAATCGAACTGATTTGTTGATTGCAGTGTACTCGGAGGTTCAGGAGCTTCTCACCGACGCCGAACGCGAGTATATCGATCGGCTCGGCTCGTATGGCGATAGCAGCGCGGCGGCGCTCAAAATCATCTTCTCGAAAATTTGGCGCTCGTCGAAAGAGGATCTCGAGGCGGTCGTCGGCAAACTGGCGCATCGTATTCAGGCGCAAGTCAACAAATCGCCGCTCGATGAGATCATCGTCTATCTCTACTCGTTGTACCCTGGCGACGTTGGCGTCTTGGCGCCAATCTTTTTGAACTACTTCAAACTTCAGCCGGGAGAGGCGACGTTCCTCGAGCCGAACATGCCGCACGCCTATCTTAAAGGAGGTGATTTTCTGGGTGGTTTTTTCGTGTTTTTTCAATTTTGCCACATTTTCCAGATTGCGTCGAGTGTATGGCTTGCGGTGACAACACGATTCGCGCTGGTCTCACACCGAAGTACATCGATGTTGAGTCGCTAGTGGAGATGCTCAACTATAATGAGACGCTTCTGCCGAAATATGTGCCGAATCAGCTTGACGATGGCTCGAAGCTATTCACACCGAAAGGAATTGACGAGTTTTGGGTGCAAGAGGTGAAGACGAGCGGCAAAACGCTTAGACTGCCGTACGCGGACGCCTCGTCGGTGTTGACGGTGCTCGAGGGAAGCGCGACGGTGCGCATCGGCGACGAGACGACCGAGGTCTCGCGCGGAACCGTCCTCTTCATTGGAGCGTCGACGAATGCCGACAAACCGCACATCGAGGCGAGCCAAGATTTTCTGGCGTTCCGCGCATTCTCGCCGTCGCCGAAAGCGCTTCAAGACCTCTCGAACCATTCGCTGAGAATTGATTAAACCCTTAGATTTTCTCTTTCCCCATATATATATATATATATATATATATAATTAATCGATTTAATGTATAAATTTGCTAGTCTTCCGGTATTATTATTATTATTTCTATAGATTTCCCATTATCCCCCCGCCACCGATGTATGCTTTATATTCAACCTTCACCGAAATTATATTTATATGCTAATCCCTCCCATTTGCATTATTTTTATTCTGATTTATGAAAATTGACACTGAAAGTGTGATAGTAAAAAAATTAATAAAAAAACATAGAATAAATGAAATTCGTTTCGGGGTCTTGTTGAGCGTTTATCGTTTGTTTTTTATTTTTTGAGTTGTTCGACTCAGAGATATATCCATTATTACGAGGGATTTATTGTGCAAAGTACTAGAAATTTAAACAAAAAAAGAAATAAAATAATCGGGTTCATGTGTATTTTGTCGTCACGGTGTTTACACACGGGCAGCGACAGTAATATTTCAGGTGTAAGCAATTTTGGCGGGAAACACTTTTTTAAATCGGGGGAGTTCGATTTTTTTAATGAACTTGATTAGGAAATGTATTTTTTATAAAAAAATATAAAAATTGCATTGAATTTGCGTTTTTTAATTGTTGTATTTGAAAAATGTGTGCATTTTTATTGCATAATCGATTTAATTTTCAGTGGCCCCCATGGAGGAACGAAAAAACGCGTGGGGTAAAAGCGAGGAGGCCGAGCGCGACACCGAGCCGGTGGTGAGCTTCGTCGATTTGATGAGCGAAGATCTCGCTGAGAGTCTGAACCACGAGGAGAAGCTCGAAGAGGAGCGCTACTTGAGGAATCTCGAGAAGGCGCTCAACGCATCGGCCATCGACGCGATGCTGCCGTCAACCGACGGCATGACCGACGAGGAGATCGCAATTGCGCTTCAGCGTCAATTCGACCGCGAGGCCGATGTGGCGCGCGCCGTCGCTTCATCGTCGACGGTGATCTTCTCGCCGGAGCGCTATCATCCGAAAACCGCGCAGGAGACGGACGAGTCGGAAGAAGAGGACGACGACGAGTTGCGTCAGATTGCCACCGACATGCTCTACGTGAAGGTGAGCCCAAACAAATAAAAAAACGAATTTCTCAATGTTCTGCGTTCAGCTCGACACCGCCGCCGAGACGGCGTCAAACTTGACGGCCAGCGGACGCCGAAACGCCGATAAAACGCTGAACGTGTGTGATTTATTGCTTTCCTTTTTTTTCATCTATTTATTTTTTTGTTCTGTTTAGGACCGCATGACAGTGTCGACGGGCGATATGGCGAGTGGCAAAATTAGCGATCGAGTGTACAACTCGCTGGTCGCGTTCGGCAAATCGGACGCGAAACGCCAATTGCGAATGAAGGACAAAGAGGAGAAGGCGACGATGGACACGTCGGTGGACGCGAACACGCGAATCGCGCTGCTCAAATGGATCAATCAGGGCGTGTTCGATTCGGTCGAGGGCGTCATCGCGACCGGCAAAGAGTCGGCGGTGCTTCATGCGAAGCAACTCGACGCCGACACGAGTTTCGCGATCAAAGTCTACAAGACGACGCTGTCGGAATTCAAAAATCGCGGCGAGTACGTCAAAGACGATTTTCGCTTCAAAAACCCGCGTGGCGTTCTGAAAATTTGGGCCGAACGCGAGTTTATGAATTTGTCGCGAATGACGAAATGCAATTTGCCGTGTCCGGCGCCGATCAAACTCAAAAAGAATTTGCTGGTGATGTCGTTGATCGGCGACAGCGGTTTGGCGGCGCCGCGCCTCAAAAACGTCGAATGGGAATTCTATACGGATGACGAACGGCGAGCCGTCTATGATCAAGTCGAGAGTGTGAGTTTCAAAAAATGTTTGATTTCGCCTTTTCTTCATTTTTTTTTCTCGCTGCTGAGGCCGGGCCTTCAACAAACCCGTTTATTTCTTGTGTTATTCGCCATCGACTAGAAATCGACTATTTTTAGACGCGACGCCTTTAAATATAGATTTATGGGTTCGCATTCGGCGCAATAAATTATGGGCGTCGTGTCGCGCGTATTGAAGAATGATGCAATCTGATGATTAAAAATCGCACACGCGAATTGTGCATTTTTGCGACGCAGCGATTGCGTATAGAAAGTTTTTCGAGACGGGTACTGTAGAATGATGTTTGTGCATTTTTGCGACGCGATGATTACACACAATTTTGAAAAAAAAATTTTCAATTTTTTCTAATTTTTTTGTTCAGATCATGTGCCGAATGTACAAAGAATGTCTACTTGTTCACGCCGATTTGAGCGAATTCAACCTGCTTCTAGATTCTTCCAACAAAGTTTGAATGAAAATGAGCTTCATGAAAACTATTTAGTTTTTTTTTCAGGTTTTTGTCATCGACGTCTCACAGGCGATGGACCTTTCGCATCCGCGAAATCTCCAATTCCTGACGCGCGACATTCACAACGTTTTGGCATTTTTCAATCGCATCGAGACGCCGTCGCTACCAAGCGCCGTTCAGCTGTTCAATTTGATCACCGATTTGAATATGAGCGAGAGCGATGATCTGAATGTGCAAGTCGAGCAGTTCTCCGAGGAGAATCGCGCCGCGCATCTACGACACGACAAATCGCGTCCGGCCGATTTCGAATTGAAGACGTATCAAGAAGAGAAGAAGCTGAATCGCGGAATCTCGCCCGCGCGCGACTATAATTAACCGACAAGTCGTGATTTTGTTGATAATGTTTGTTATTTTAATTTTCTTCAAATTCAAAAAAAAGAAACCATTTAATATTTGCCGGCAAATTTAGCGCGGAGCGCTTCTTGCTTGGCGGCGTTCTGCTCGGCGTCGGGCGGCATCCACGTTGCATACTTTTGATCGCGATCCTCGCATCCGACGCCGTAATCCTCGGCGCCGGCTATCTTCTTCTCAATATCGCGTTTTCGGACGCGCTGATTTAATTTTCGACGTTTCTCCTTCTCCATTTGTTGCTCGACCTAAATGAATTTCGATTTAAACACAAATTGAATATTGAAAAAGAAATTTCAACTCACCTCCAACTCATTCTCCCATTCGGCAACTCGTTTCTGCAATCCACTCGGCTCTGATTGAGGTGGAGGTGACGAACTTGAAGGCTGCGAAGTTGAACCAGCTGCTGGTTGCTCCGGAGCTGGAGCATCGTTCGTCGCTTGTGGCAAGCTTGAAGGCTGCGAAGTTGAACCAGCCTCTGGTTGCTCAGGAGCTGGGGCATCGTTCGTCGCTTGTGGCGAACTAGCGACTGCCTGATTTTTCGCGCGCTTCGCCTCCACCATTTTGCGGAGAAACGCGCGCTTGTCGCCACTCGTCGCGCTCAGCGCCTTCATTCCCGACAATTCGACGGGTTTCGCGATTCTCACGAGCTTCTCGAGCTTCTGCAGCTCGTGTGTGGCGGCGACGAGACGCTGCCGCCATTTCGACTTCTCGATTTTGGTTTTCGCGTCGACACCGCGACCGCCCGTCTTCTCCAATTCCCGCACATAGTCGTCGAGCGCGTCGCCGCTCGTCGCCACACTCGCTGCCGCCGCCGCTTTGTTCGCGTTGAGCTCGTCGAGCCGCTTCTGACACTCGTCGATCTCCGCCTTCGCCTCGTCCAACTTCTTGCACAGACTCTCATAGGTGTCCTTCTCGACGTGCTTGTGCGCGATGCCCTCTTCGGCCCATTGCTTGCGCTTCTCCCTCTGCTTCTCCAATTGGCCGGTTCGATCCAGATAGAGATCGTCGTCCTCGTCGTAGTAGTCGTTCTCCTCGAGCGTCTTCCTCTTCATCCGCATTTTGCTGTTCGATCGCCGCAGAACACCGTACGAGTCCAGAATTCGGCACGCTTCGAGCGCACACTGAACTTGCGCGTCTTTTTTCGATGTGGACACCGTCGCCGACGCGGTGAACGCGCGATCGACGCCGTCAATTTCGACGGGCAGTCTGGAAACATTCAATTTTTCAAAATGATCATCATTATTGGACGCAATTCGGCCTACTCGATACTACAAACCCATTTGTGGGTGAGACCTTGGCCTTGCTCATTGAAATCGAACACCATATCGAAACCCTCGCGCTCGAAAAACTTCGCCAACGCCTTTTTCGGATCTTGATTATAAAACGCCTCGCGGTCTTCCATTAAATGCTCGTCAGTTTCCATCTAAAACGGACAAAAAATAGATGAAAATAATGCGAAATTTGCAAATTCTAGGTAAAAACCATCATTGGCAGCGGCTTCTCCTCGTCGCCATAATCCATTCCCCAATTGCATCCCTCCTCGTCGATCGCGCGCTTCTCATCGTCGGCCATCTCTTTCGCGGCGGCCGCTCTCAATTTCGCCTCGAGAATCTTCTTGTGCGCCTTCAATTTCATTTCCGTCGGCGAGCAATCCCATTCGGCTTCGGTGTCCTCCTCGGGACCAAGCAAATTGTAGAATCGTGAGCTCTCGCCGAATTGGAAAATGAAGCCAACCTTTGTTCGAATATACTGCTTTGGCGGAAGTTTTTTCTTGTTCATCTAGAAATGTTGATTATTATTATTATTTTATAATTGATTAGAGGGACCTTTGATCCATGGGTGCTTCCTAGCTCGTAAATATGCCAACCCTTTCCTGACCTTGACATGATGTCTTCGCCGTATTGCAGAATGCAATGATGCCTTGATATCGATGGATGCTCGAGCACCAAATCGCACGTCTGTTTGATTCGTCCGATCACCACGTACGTCGAATTCCGGCGATTTTCCATATTGAAATGGCCGACGATTCGGCCGTCTTTGACGATTTCCAATTGATATTTGCGATTCTCGTCGGGTTGGCACGCCCACGGCGGCGGTGTGTAGTGGAGAATCGGCGCTTGCACCGAAATTTTCGTCTCCTTCTCGAGTTCGACCTCGGCGGTTTCGAGCTCGTCGATGACTTCGGCCACCGGCTCCTCGCGTTGCGTCGCCGCGAGACCGATGTGCTTTTCGGCGGCTAGCGAGTGCGGCGGAATTGGAAGCGACGGCGATTTGAATACATCATCCATCTGGAAAAATGATTGGTTTCGCTGGGAAAAAAATAATGCTAAAAAAAAGTTTCTACAATTTGCACATGATTTCGAATTTTTTTCAAAAAACTAGTTCTTGAGAATGTTTTATTTCAAATGCATCGCAAATATTTAAAAGGAAAGAAAAACAAAAATAAATTCGAAAACATAGAACAACGCGGACTAGAAAAATATTGTTCGGCCACGGCCGCGAAAAGATTTAAATTCAAAAAAATGTCTCCGCCTCTCGAATTCACACACTCTAATCGACTAAGGAAGGAAAAAATCGAAAGAGAAAATTTGCATCAAAATCGTAGAATCATTCAATAACACTGTCAGCGACTCATCGATCAGCACACTCTCTCAATTTATTTCACCTTGCACCATACCACCACCATACCGACGCCAAAAAATTGTATTTTTTCTGTCCGGCGAATCGACGCCGAAATCAAATGCGTTGGTATGGTCGACAACCAAAATTAGGAATGTCTCGCGAAATCGATTTTTTGCTGTCAATGAACGACGAAGACGGTCGAAAAGTCGAATTGAGCAAGCAGAATCGAATCGTTATTTTTTTTCGAAAACAATGTTAAAGTATTTCGACTTGAATGCGCCGCAGACGAGTATTTGCCGAATATTCCATTGAAATTCGGATGAGAAATTTGTAAATTCGAATTCATCAAGCAATTTTCGCATTATTTTAATTTAACATATTTAGAGTTGGCATTAAGAACAATTGGGATTCAGAGAAATAGAAAAATACCTGTAAATTTTGATAGTTTGTAAAAAAAATGATCATGTAATTTGAAAAAATTGATTTTCGGCAATTCTGAAAAAAAAATTCGGCGCGGCACAATTGCGTCAACAAATTGATGGTTGACACATTTTGCGATACACAAAAAAAAATCGATGGATTTTTTTTTGAATAAATGCGAAAGGATCAATCGAAATTATCAAGATTCTTTCGTCGAAAGGAATGCTATGTTTTTCTTCTCATCAAGGGAAAACGACTGTGCTCCCACAAAAGTGTAAGATTTTGACGAAATTTTCGTGAAAATACCCTTTTTTTTTGGCGCACCACAATTGCGCCAATACACTGATGATTGGCACACTTTGCGATTCTCTCTGTAAACTTCATGCAGAATCAAGAAAAAAATATTTATTGTGATTGATAATTTGTTGAATAATCGCCTTTTAGACGTATTCCGAGAGCATGCTGTAATAAGCCCAGTAGAATATGCTGAAACGTGAAAATATCCATTTAAAAAAATGAATCGGAATCAGAAGGCTCACTTAAAAACCACAAAACACACGGGGAACACAATCCGCGAATATTTGTCGATTAGATTGACATCTCTCACGCGTATCGATGGTATCACTTTTCTCGCTTTTCGCCCGATTCCTGATATGGATTGTTTCATCGAGACATTCATTTTCGCCAATGTCATTCGCCGTTTTGCTCTTCAACTCTCAATTATGCCATTTTTTTGTTTGCGAGCAGAAATGAAAACCTCGAAGCCATAAAACTTTTCCGCTTTCTAACAATATTGTTATTGGCGTGCATCGATGCCGACGGTCGTCCACCTCGAAGCGACGTCGATGAGTACCTCGGATAGTCGGGACAATCGATATCCTCGTTGATCGACGTGCACAGCGGCGCGATTGGGCTCGAGGCACGCTTGCGATTGCGCACCTCGTCGGCCTCGATTTCAACCTCGTCAACCTTCGGTTGGCAAATTTTCGTGCTGCGGACGTTTGTCTGGAACACAAAATACGCATAGCGAGATGGACAAAAATTGCAAATGTCAACATCAATCAAACCGGAAGGCATCCATTTCTCAACGTTCACCGCACTCTCGCGATCCTCTTTATTCGCGCCATTCACAGGCCATCTGAAATTGGGTTTTTTTTAAACAATTGAAGCGACAACGGTTGACATCGAAAAAATCGAATTCTCACTCATTGGTCGGATCTTTTCCGTCGGCGCCGCCACCGCCGCCGCCGCCGCCTCGCTCTCGTCCCCAATAGGAATAATTGACGGCGGCGTATTCAAGGAGGGCGGCGAACACGAACACGAAGCACATGACGAGATAGATATCAATACTCTTCACGTAGCTGATTCGCGGTAGCGATTGTCGAACGCCCGTCGAAATTGTCGTCATTGTGAGCACCGTGGTGATGCCTGAAAACGAAAATGGTTGGGCTATCGGAGAATAACCAACGCAACAAAAAAAATAGGCAAGAATCGAACCTAGTGCAACTCGGGCGCTAGTCGCTTCATGATTTATCCAAAACGAGACCCATGAGAGCATGACGATGAGAACGCATGGCAGATATGTTTGAAATATGAAATAGCCGACGGAGCGACGCAATTGGAACACGAGCGATAGTCGCTGATAGGAGCCGGTCGCCGTCGAGACGATGCTGTCCTCCGTCTGACATCCGACGATGGTGAATTGCGGCACGTCGGCCTGCTCGACGCCGTGCACCGCGTTCGGCTGATTCCACTTCATAAGCACTTCCGATGTCGTGTAGCCGTCTAGAATCAAACCGATTCGCGGGTGTCTTTTCAGCGAGACTCACACGACTCAATTTCTACAGTGCAATTTTGAGAGTCGAGCGGAAAATTGCGCAAATTCATCGAGCAACTCAACGTCGACGTCAGCCGCATTCCGTACGCGACTTTTCCCATCGAGTTCACTCGCAGCATTTTGTTGCGCTCGGTGACCTCATGAAGATATGAGTGCTTGTCGTTGGCGAGAAACGTGTCAGGCACCCAGATATGTCTGAAAATAAATGAATTACGCCTAGTAGAGCAGTTCTAGTGAAGCAAAAGCGCAAAACGTCGAAAACCCAACTGCGAAAATTCGCCATTCAACGTCATCTCGTCAATTTCGATCTCGTCGGTCCAACTCAAACGCTCATCGGTCCAATATTGATGCAAATACATTGTCAGCGTGTAATCCATGTCGACTTCCGATATCGAATCGAACGAGGCGATGATGATGTCCATGGTGAGCAGAAGTGCATCGCCTGATACAAAAAATTAGAATCCATAAAAAAAGAAAGATGCGGTTGGATTGTGAAGAAATTTGGAGAGGGGGTGCCGACAGCCGATAACTCATCCCGTGGGACCGTTTTCAAAATCGGAATCGGCTGCACGCTTCTTTTCGTTTTCTTCGCCTACAACTCTTGCGATTGTTTTCAATTCAAATGGTGAAGCACGACTAGACAGCTGACCCAATTTCGCGTGGAAAATTCATTTAAATTCGGCGCCGTTGGAAAAAAGAGTACCCTTCATAAGAAAAAAAAAGAAAATTATTGGCGAAAAATTAAATAAAATTGGGACAACAAAACAAGTTGGTGAAATTTTATGCCTCGGTGTGTGCACACACACACATATCCCACTTACAGTAACACACATACAAAATGTTTGTTTAAGAATAAATTCCAAAAAAAATGAAGAAAAGCCCTCTCAATCCTTTCTCAATTCCGATTTTGATGATGTTAGGTGTCTCGGCGAGGTCATCAAATCGAATTTCATGTGAGAAAACGAATCGAATTGGGCAAGAATAGCGTGGAAAAAAAACCTCCAAATCCTGGTCTGAGTCGAATATCATAGTCAGAGAGCAGATCGGCAAGAAGTGATGAAGCATTTGAATAGCGGAGCCCAACACTGGAATAAAATAACAAAAAAATTGATATCACAGCTAACCTCGACGTCAAGTTCGACGTGGTCTCCGTGCGATTCGAGCTACTATAGCAAAACGTCGTCGACAACATCAATAATGTCAATGAAGCCGCAAAAATGTTGCGAATCCACCATCTCGTGGAGCTCATCATCACATCATCAGGTCTGAAAATGTTTGAAAAAAAAAAACAAACAAAATGGCTCAGTGAAGAAGGCGTCGCACGCGCGCGAAAAGAGAAAAACGCGTAGGAAAAGCTGAAGTCAAAAAAAAAAGTGGGCGGGGCAATGTTGAGGGGGTCCCTGAAGGGGCGCCTCAGTCGGCGACACGAAATCCACGTTTTTGGTTTCAACTATTTATGTCCCCCCCCCAATTCCGATTCGTCGCGAGACCCGCCTTAATTAAGAAGGCGAATATTGTGTTCTCATCATAGCAACATGTTTTGGTTCTCCGGATTACTGTATTCGCTAGTTTCCCTTTTTTTTACGATCGCCAACCAATCAGGAATGCATGCTGAAGCCCCCTCCCCATAATAAAGCCATAAAAAAGCTCGCCTTCCAAAATTTTTCGAATTGTCTTATGCATTTCGGATTTCGTCGTCGTCGCCCACATAATTATGGCGAGACGAACCTTGAGCCGAAATGTGTCAACCTCGCTCGGACCCCCCATGGGACATAATGACACCAAAAACATTCCGGCGGCAAGAAGGAGGGGGAGAACTTGAAGAAGTCTTCTTCTTCTTCTTCACTCTCTCATTTTTTTTCAATTCAAGAATTTGAAACAAGACAAATCGAGCCGGCGAAATAGTGCGATTAGACGAAGAGACCCAGATAATTGAGGTCCCCCCCCCGCTCTTTTTTATTTTCGAAATCTCGTTTCGACTACCGTAATCAATTTTGCGTCCAGATTGCGATTCTTCATGGTGAGCGCGTTTTTGATTCCAATTTTCGCCATGATTCACGCCCATCAAACGGCGACATTGCTGGATTTTCGACGCGAACGGTATGCCGTTGACTAATTCGGCCAATTAAATAATTAAATCGAGATCGACAAGCTATAATCATACGCTGATTCGATACACGACGAAGATACTCGACACGATCCTTTTGAATCAGGACAAAAATTTTCGACCGCAGAATCCCGACGGCTCGCCGCTTCGCGTCGAGGTCGACATCAGCGTGCGATCGATGGGGCCGATATCCGAACAAAACATGGTGGCGTGACAATCGCGCATCAATTCGATGAGCTTCTTCGTTTCCAGGAGTTCTCGCTCGACTGCTACTTTCGACAGAAATGGCTCGATCGCCGTCTCGCGTTCACGCCCATCAATCCCGACAAGCCCGAAATTCCGTTGGCCAGCAAAATGCTCAAGGACATCTGGGTGGGGGAGGGCGCGAGATCAGCCTATCAGCAATTCAAAGCTAATATAGTGAGAGAGAGAGAAATCGAAGAGACACAGAGAAAAAAGGAGAGAAACATAGAGAGGGGGAGAGTGAGAGGGTGCCATACAACGAGACATTTCGATAGAGCGCGTTTGTTGGATTCTAACAGGCGATTCTTGAGATTCCCGACACCTACATTCGAAATGGGCGTCGTTCGTATCTGCACACGCTGACGGTGCCCAACATTCTGTTCCGAGTGCGCTCCGACGGTCAGGTGCACGTCTCGCAGCGGCTCACGATTCGCTCGCGATGTCAAATGTTCCTGAAGAAGTTTCCGATGGACACGCAAGCGTGCCCGATCGAAGTCGGCTCGTTGGGCTACTTCTCGAAGGACGTCGTCTACAAATGGAAAGACGTCGAGTTGGACACGAAGATGGGCAACATGCTGAGCCAATATCAAATTTTGAGCCTCTCGAAATCCGAGCACAACGTTACCGACTATCGATATCCGGATAGAAGTAAGGCGGCGAGTATGGATGTGAAAATTATTGCGTGATTTCAGATATCTCGGTGCTCAACGTGTATTTCAAACTTCAACGCCAACAAGGCTACTACATTCTTCAGATTTATACGCCATGCACCCTGGTGGTGGTGATGTCGTGGGTGTCGTTCTGGATCAACAAAGAGGCGTCGCCGGCGCGCGTCTCGCTCGGAATCATGACGGTGCTTTCAATGTCGACGATCGGCTTCGGCTTGCGCACCGATCTGCCGAAGGTCTCGCATTCGACGGCGCTTGACATCTACATTCTGTTGGGGCGTTCTCGATTTTTCGATATATTAGCAAACATTGATTTCAGCAGCTGTTTCGGCTTCCTGTTCGCCGCCATGGTCGAGTACGCCGTCATCAATTACGCGCAGTTTGTTTACATCCGCAAACAGGTCCACGATTTGAAGGGTCTCGAGCAGAACAGCGCGGTACCGTAATCCATACGCGATTTTAGTTTTGTTATCATCCAGATGGGACAGATGCGAATGTTCACCGCGGGATTGATGGGCGCTCGTCGCGACACCATACAGGTCGACGATTTGGCGGTGGAGAAAGAGGAAGCGCGACTCAAAGCGATTCCATGGTACAAGAAGCTATTCCATGAAAACGATCAGAAGAACACCTCGGGTAATCGAGAGGCGAGTGTTCAAATGATGAATCAATGATTCCAGTGTTCTACCGAATGGCGGTGAAGGCGGCAATCGCGAAGAAGAAGCTTGGGAATCGAGATCCGGCGCGAGTTGTGAATCGCATCGACAACGTCTCAAAGGTCCTCTTCCCTCTCATGTACATCGCGTTCAATGTGTTCTACTGGATCGCTTATTTATATTGGATTCCTGATGAGATCGATGGGTTGCCGAATATATCACAAAGCTATTAATAGAATGATATAATTTTGAATTGGAATTATGCTTAATATACTATATGCGTCATATCTTGCCCAAACAAAAATAGAGTTATTTCGCCATACGGTAATTTGTAATAAATGTCTCCAGAATTTCACAATCGCAATTCGATTAATTTCATTCAAACTGCGCAAAGATTCGATTATTTCCACCTGCTCCAGTTCGATTCCACCCTCAATGACATCAAAAAATAATCGCGCGTCAACGCCAATGATCGTCAATTAGTGCGCAAGTGTGTAGACACCGCGCCATAAAAGCGCACCAATTTCTCGCCACAATTCACATTCGCTCGCAAATTTCTGCCTTCCGGTCGGCTTCCCTCCAAAAAAAAACATAGAATAACCACACACACACTCACAAAAAAAAGAACTTTGAATTGGCCGCCCGAGTTGTCTCGGTGATGGCCGACCGGAGGGCCGAGGGAGAGCAACATTTCGACGCTCTCAATGTCTTGCCTCTGTGCGCAATTTGTGCCCCTCACCATTCTCTCTCATTGTGTTCCTTTCTATTCCATAAAATATTATGCATTTATTTTAGATGAGCCATGTCATTGATCAATTCGCTCAAGCTTGACAATTTCGCCGATGTCGTGTTCGCCAGAAACGAATGTGAGCTCATCACGACATTTCTGTAATCATCAAAATTCGATGGCTCAATTTATTTGATTGACTTTCAGCGAGGAGCAAATTGAAGGCGATCTGTCGTCGGTGGAGATTCGCGATCTCACAACCCATCTGATTCGGAATCGGCTTTGCAGTGGCGACTTCATCGAGAATCGGCCGGCGAAAAAATGGCTCTTCCTCATATTCCGCCTTTCGCGTGTTCTATTTCGCGACAAGACCCGAGTCGCGCAGTTCCACACAATCGATGCGCATTCCAATTTTGTGCGAACCGTTCAATTTATTGCTTCTAGATTCCTAAGGAATGAGCAAGATTGGAACGGGACAATTGTTAATACTCTAAGTAAGACACCTCTCCAGAATTCATGAAAATTTGATTGTTAAAGATGTGATCCAAAAACTGGTCGATTGCGGCGACACCGCTCAAAAGTTCGTCGAGGCGGGCCTCGAGAACATCGTGCTCATGCTGCTCGCGAGCCGCCAAATGTCGGTCCTTCAACATTCGCTGGAGATTCTCGGCCGCCTGTCGGATTGGTCGGACGCGTGTCGCGAGCATCTGTGCGAGACGAACACGATCGACGTGTGCCTTCAGCTGATTCCCGACGGCGACATTCTCACACAGAAGCTGTGCGTCAGCCTTCTACGGATCCTCTCGTGCGAGGAGCAGGCGCGCGAGCAGATTCGCATCTACGACGGCGTGCCGACGCTGTTGGGTTTGATCTCGTTGAAGAACAGCCGATTGCAATGGCACGTGGCGTGGACGTTGGCGCAACTCGCCGAGCAAGTCGACACCTCGCTGGAAATCGCGCAACTCGGCGGAATCGGTTTGATATTTGCGGAAATCGCGAATCCGAAGCCGCCCGAGAAGGCGGTCAGCGATTGGATCGCCATGCTCACCGGCCTCACAGCACTGCTGGCGCAACTCTGTCAAACTAGCAGCAATCAGCAGCTGATCACCAACAGCAACGGCGTGTTCATTCTCGGCAAACTTTTGGGAATCCGAACGTTCGCCAAAAATCCGGACACTTGCGACTCATGGCGCCTATTGCAGTGCTCCATATTTCGTGTGCTTCGCCTTTTGTATACGCTCGAACGAGCGCGGAATCTGTTGAAGAAGGTGTTCGACACGAGCATCTATGAGCTTTTCGTCGACATCGGCAATTATATTCACGCGTTGTCGAGTTACGAGCAAGTCGCCGAGCGCTACGAGACCTACATGGAAGAGCATCCGGAGTTCGCGAGAGACTGGGAGCCGGTCAACGAGAGGAAACAAGCGATGGGCGAGGTCGGCGAGTACGAGCTTCTCGATCAGATCGGCGCCGGCGCGTTCGGGTGCGTCTACACGGTGCGCAAGAAGAACGGCGATGTGCCGGCGAAGCTCTACGCGCTCAAAGAGATCTTCATGACGAATGTGAGCAGCAGCGATCGGGGCGAGGAGAAGTCGTTCGGCGACATGATCAGCGAGGTCAAAATCATCAAACAACAATTGAGGCATCCGAACATTGTGAGATATCGACGCATTTTCGTCGAGAACCATCGATTATACATCGTAATGGACTTGATTCAAGGCGGATCGTTGCGCGACCACATTGTGACGATGAAGGAGAAGCGCTCGAATTTCGACGAGTCGCGCGTCTGGCGCCTCGTCGTCCAGATGATGTTGGCGCTTCGCTATCTACACAAAGAGAAGCAGATTGTTCATCGCGACTTGAAGCCGAACAATATAATGCTAACCGACAACGATCGAGTGGTGATAAGTGAGATTCGCGATCGAAGGCGTCGCTGAGAATTGGTGACGATTTTTTTTTCGTTTCAGCGGATTTTGGACTCGCGAAACAAAAAGGCGTCGAATATCTGAAATCGGCCGCCGGCACCATCATCTACAGTTGTCCGGAGATTGTGCAAAACGTGCCGTACGGCGAAAAAGCGGACATCTGGTCGTTCGGTAACAACAATCGGCTATTTTGATTTTGAGGCAATTGCTATTTTTCAGGCTGCTGCGTGTATGAGATGTGCCAATTGACGGCTCCGTTCCATTCGACGAACATGCTCACGCTGGCGATGGAGATTGTCGAAGCGCGCTACGAACCGATGTCCGATTCGTGGGGTGCCGAATTGCGCGATTTGATTCGATCGTGCCTCACACCGAATCCGTCGGACCGACCCGACATCCTTCGAATCTCATCGCTGTGCGGTCCGAAGATCCTCGAGTATCTCGACGAAGTCGCGAGAGATCAGGCGTCGATGTCGGAATCGCATAAAGAATCGCTGAACAATTCATTCAATTCGACGACAAGCCTAATGCCGAGGCGATCGCTGGTGACGCTGCCGCCGATCGAGGTCAGCAAGCCGCGACGGAATCAGTCAATGTCGGCGAGCGACTTTAATCGAAACTCGTTGCCGCCGATAGAGACGAGCGTGGCGGTGAGACGACGGGTGAAGACGTGCTCCACCGAGCATCCGGCGCGAAGCAGCAGCACGACGGATTTGAAGCCGGCGGTGAAATTCGATGGGCTTTGTGTTCGCAGCAACGCTCTACGACCGATTCAGGACCCGGTCCTCATGATTCTGGATCAGATCCATCGCATCGTTGTCATCACCGATCGGGAGAATCCGGCGACGGGCACGAATCATCAAAGGCGTCTGGTTGAGATGTTTCGAAAGAAGCTGCTCGGCCGGGAGAGCACCGCCGAGCAAATGAAGAAGCATTTGCGAAAGGTTTGAAAAAAGCCCGTCTTCTATAGATATGGGGACCATCATTGCAGCTCGCCGCTGAATCAAGCGACGAAATCGACATGAATCTCGGCTTCTCCGATTTTCGTCCGGTGCTTCTTCAAGCGCACCTCAATGGCTATCAGAAGGACCAGAAGGTGACGCGGATCACCTACGAGCAGTTGTCGGCGTGCATTCAGAGTCTTTCATGAGCAAGTAGTATTGTCGAGACCCCCACAGCAAATAAAAACTCGCCTGCGCCTTTAATTACGGTAAATGAGACGAATTTTCTTAAAGGCGCCTAACGCGAAAAATTTGCGCGGTCTTGTCGCGAATGACATATGCATTTTGTTGTCCTTTATTTATTCACAATAAAATTTTTTTTCGAATTGCCCTGAGAAACTTCTTCTTCTTCGTTCTGCAAACACGTACATGGTGGCAGGTGCACAAATAATACGAATTTTTGCGAACAAAATTTCGGTTCACTCAATTTTTTCCACCACGCCATTTTCGAGAATGCTCTTGCCAGTGTTGCTCGCGCTTTTCCACACGGCCAGCTCGAACTGCCCGCCTGGTCTAGCTCCCGTCGCCACCACGACGTCGAGCTTCCAATCGTGCACACCGCAAGACGCGTGCAGCTGCTATTCGTCGTCGATCGGCGCGATTTGCCAATACTCGACGATGTATTCGAATTACATTTGTTGCGGCTCGACGAGCACACGTAAGTCAACCAATTCCAGCGCATCGCGATCGTTTTTGAAGAGTGCGGTCCGAACACGAGTCCACAAGTGACGAGCGCCGGTCAGCCGGTCGCCTGTCGGACGGCCGGCGAGTGCGCGCCAAACTATTTGTGCACCGCCGGCATTTGCTGTCCGAATCTCGCCAACAGCACGTGCGCCACCGGCTGCCTTCAGGGACAGATTCGTGTCAACGGGCAGTGCTTCAATTCGGTGGCGATCGGCTCGGCGTGCGCGCGCAACGAGCAATGCGTCGGCGGTGCGAGCTGTGTCTCGCAAGTGTGCCAATGCGCCGCCGGCTACGTCAACGTCAACGAGCAGTGTGTGATCAGCAACGGCGTGAATTGCCCCCTGGGAACTGTACGCCAGTCAGCCTAATAGATTAATGAGGATTGATTTGTAGATCTCCTACAACTCGCGTTGCGTTTCGCTGGCGGCGCCCGGCGAATCGTGCGTCACCAATTCGCAGTGCATCGACAACTCCGCGTGCACCAATAGCGTGTGCACGTGTCCGACTAGCCAGTAGCAAGCCCCTTCCGACGCCATCCGCCCAAACCATTCATTCTTGCAGCAATCTCGTCTATGGCTACTGCCTGCCACGTCCCATCGGCTCGTGCCAGAACACGCAGGCGCTCATCAACAACCAATGCGTGTTGTACTCGATCGTCGGCGAGACGTGCCTAGCCGACGCGCAATGCGCCGGCGGCTCGGTGTGCATCGGCGGCGAGTGCGCGTGCCGCTCGCCGACCGTCGCCATGTACGGCTATTGCATCAACGCGCGACAGTGCGCCGCCGGCGAGGTGCTCGTCAACGCGCAATGCTATCCGAAGGCGCCCGTCGGCGGCGTGTGCACCTTCACACAGCAATGCCTCAACAGCGGCGTGTGCACCAACTCGATATGCCAGTCGGGTGTGTGCTACGCGAGCTGCGCCGCCAACCAGGCGTGCGTCGGCAGCCAATGCCTCAACTACGTCGCGCCCGGCTACCAGTGCGTCGGCTCGCAGCAATGCCTTCAAAACTCGCTGTGCATCAATGGTGTGTGCGCGTGTCCGACGGGCACCGCCCTTCAGAACGGCGTGTGCACCACCACCACCACCACGTGCAACGCCAACCAGGTGCTCTACAACAATCAATGCTACACCACTGTCAGCGTCGGCGGCCAGTGCCAAATCACCCAGCAATGCCTATCGGGCTCGCAGTGCCTCAACCAGGTGTGCCAATGTCCAACGGGAAGCACCTATCAGAACGGGCGGTGCTCGACGTCGAACTGCAACGTCAATCAGGTGTTCTACAACAATCAATGCTGGAATACGGTGGCCGTCGGCGGGCAATGCCAAATCACGCAACAGTGCCTCGGCAACTCGCAGTGCCTCTACTCGTACTGTCAGTGTCCGGCGGGCACCACCAACCAGAACGGCTACTGCTCGGCGAATGGCGGCGGCAACTGCAACGCGAATCAAGTCCTCTACAACGGCCAATGTCTCAACAAGGTGAGCATCGGCTCAATGTGCACCGTCAGCCAACAATGCCTCGGCAACTCGCAATGCCTCAACTCGTATTGCCAATGCGGCGCCGGTTTGTCGAACGTCAACGGTCAATGTCAGACGGGCAACACCGCCAATTTGTGCCCGTCGGGCCAACAAGTCCAACTCGCCGCCAACGGCGAGCCGATCAATTGTCTCGTCGCCGTGTGCTCGACAAACTCGTTCTGTCAGTACTCGGCCGCCGGACAACGATACGTGTGTTGTAGTTGAAAAAGAAATAACAAAAATAAACACAATTAACAAAAACTGTTCATCTTTTTAGTTGTTCAGTGAGACGAACGCGCGAAACAAAAAAACAACAACAATGATACACAGTGATTGTCTTCGGGGATTTTCAAAAAGGAAGGGGGGGGGGTCTCGCACATAAATTTCGGAAAAAAGCATGAAAGAAATGAAATGTGACTAATTACAATTCTTCTAAGCGACAGTTTCTAGTAGTAGAAGCGGACCTGCCGCGAAAGGAAAAATTAAGGGGAGGGGGGGGGGTCAATAATACAAAGGGCTCGGGGGAATTTGTGCGAGATTTTCGAAGAAAAATCCACTGAATCATTAGATAAATTGTATAATTAGAGGGAGGAAATTGAAATTTGCAAAAAAAAACAACTGAAATTCCTCTCCTCTCTCTCTCTCTTTGATTCTCTATCAGCAGGGTGTCGGTTGAAGTGCCCTGGGCATCGGCATCGGTTCGTCCTCGGCGAGAATGTGGAACGTGGACGGCATCGGCAGAACGCGTCGCGACCACAAGTTCGAGATGCGCACACGGCAACGCGACACCTCGCACATAACCAATTTGGCGTTTTTGCATATGGCGCCAATCGGATGCTGCCAATGGCGATTGATCGCCTCGACGAGCAGCGAGACGAGCGATAGCGCGAGAACGCTCGGACGAAATTGGGCGACGATTGTCGAATCGCACAAAAGTGTCTCCATATGGCATCTGAATCTCACACATCGATTTTGTTTCTCGAAATCAAATCACTACCTAATGGATGGTAGAAGGAATGAAGCAGCTCCCAATTGCGACAAGAACACCTCAACAAATCGATAAACGTTCGGCAGATGAGCGTCCCAATTGAGCACCTCGAGAATCTTCAACTCCATTCGCTTCAGCTCGGAGGCGCTGTACTCAAGTCGAAGGCGTCCGAGGAACACCGGCGCGTCCTCCTCGTGATCTTCGCACAACTTTTTCGCCAAACTGAGGCACGCGACAGCCACGCAATTCACATACCTGAAACAAAGAGAAAACAAAAAAATTGGCGATTAAAATTGACGCCTACTTGTTTGGCACTTTTGTCGAGACGATCACTCGGTCGAATATCGCGATGGCGAGCGTCGAGGCGTCGATGTCGAGTCCGAGGCGTCGCGCCGACGCGCACATCCACGCGCATTCGCGATTGCGATCACGCCAACCGATTACGCCGTCACCCTGGGCGAGACTAAGCGGGAAGTTCTGCAACCAACCAAATCTAGTAATTTCGTTTCGGGCATTTTCTTTAGCAATCAAAACGCGCTCAATGGAGTTTTCGATGAAATTACCTGATAAAGACGTTTCTCTCGATGCAGAAGCGTTTGGAGCAACTGCGCTGAGGAGATCTCATCTTGCATCAGCTTTCCCGCCGCAGCCGAACAGCCGCTAGTCAACCCTGAAACGGAATATTATTATTATTTCAGAAAATATGGAGAGAAAAATGCAAGGTCACGAACGTTTTTTGAGCCTTCTTCGAATCGGTTCTTGACGCGAATATTTGATTGTCATTTTTGCTCACTTAAGACGAATAAACAGAAAGTGTTATCGCGAAATGAATATCATTTCATTGCGATTTTCGAAATGTTTCGAAATCGAATGTTCGGGGGCGCGGACGACATTTTCGCAAAAAAATTCCTCTGCGTCTCTGGCACTCTCTCTCTCTCTCTCACGCAAAAAAAACCGATGCGTGTTTCGCACAAAATTTATTCAATTTTCAATCGATTTTCATCCAACACCGATCAATAGAAGCAAAAAAAAAACAACGAAATGAACGAAAGAAAGAAGTCTAAGACATTCGGCGCTGCGCCGAAGTGACCAAAACGAGGCAAATATGTCGAGGAGGCGAGACGTGTCGGCGAATGCGCGCACACACACACACACCGATTTTCGTATCCATCTCTCGACACTCTCACGCATTCTTGGCGGCTCGATTCAATAGAGGAAAAAAAACGCGCGATGCTTGAAGCTCGTATTTGGAACATACTAGAAGCGCAAGAAAAAAAAATTCGTTTGAATGAGAAAAAAAAAACGCGTGAGCGTGTGTAAAACCCACGACGCGATTTGGAATGTAACAAAATAGTTGTGCGCACCTGATCGCCGGTGACAACACGTTTTTCTCTTCGCCCCTTCCCTTTTCTAAATCAACAATCACTTTTAAAACAAAAAAGTCAAATATGGATTAAAAATAATTGCCAGTGCAACTTCGCGTCGGCGTGCATTGCGTACATTTACCGCTACCGTATCCAAAATAAGTGACAAATTCAATTCAATTCTTACCTTTTTTCGCTAATTTTTCCATTATTATCATGAATTGTTATTGTTGGTTAGTAGAAAACGACTAAGCAGGTACCAGTAAGTGTTAGAACATCTGAAAAAAATTAATTATAGGTTAGAAGAAGAGACAAAAATAAGGCGACGGCGATTAAGAGGGCCCGTCCGAAACGATTTTTGCACCCTCGTGAATAATAGAAAAGCGAAGGCGAGTGCTCGAGCGCGCAAGGAGGGATCTCCTAATTAAGCAAGAATGGCAAATGTGCGCGCCATCGGGGGTGGAAGACGTGTGCGGGGTGTGTCGACGACACCTGCCACACTGCAACTGTGCTACAGACGAAAAATGGTGAAAAGGTGGATGAAAAATAGATTACTCGGAAAAGTAGATAAAAACTAGGAGAAAAATGGGCGAAAAATAGATTATCTCAAAAATTGGTGAAAAATATACGATAAATGGATGACAAATAGATGAAAAATTGGGAAAAAATAGATAGAAGATAATGATAAGAAATAGACACTGAAAGGGTGAAAAATAGATGGAATTGTGCAGTTGATCGTAATGTGAATGCAGATGGCGCCATGTTAATCACAATTTTTTTAAAAATCAATTTTGGAAATGCCTAAAACTCTTCGCCATCGATTACCCAAAGAAGGTCTCAAATTGAGGAAAGGTAGGTTTGTTTCGTATATTAATATTGCTGATTGTTTATTATTTTAAGATCAAATTGCTGGTTCGCGATGCATGCCGACCAAACGTGTGGTCTTTGCTCGAAAAAACGCCCGGCTTTCACTTCGAAACAAATCGTCGAACAACGAAAATAATGAAAATGATGCATCAACAACATCCTTTCTCATGAGAGAACGATCTGAAAGCGAAATTGAAGAATTCTCCGAAGTAGTCGGGCCGTCATGCGTACCGAATTACCCCGCACATGATCGTGTATCGGAATTGGCCGATGAACTATTATTGTGCATGTATAGTTCGGTACTCGGAAAAGATACAGAAAATGGTAAAACTAATACTTTTCCAAAGACAAAAAATGGTTGCAGGCTTTTTGAGACGACTGGCAACAATTAAAAACTTCATCCCGATTGAAAGAGCCCGCTCATTGTGGTATGATTTCAAGAAGAATATTATGAAGCGTTCAATATGCGAAAAGTGTGGATGTCGAAGAGAGAAAGAATGGTAAACACATATACCACATTTCAAACATTATTATGATCAATTTCAGTTGCGGCGATTTGGCGACTTTTCTTATGCTGCCTCTCACCGAACAAATTCGCGGGATTGTGGAGTCGTCCTTTGACGATATAATGGAAATTCGAAAGAAATTGAAGGAAAAAGCACCAAACTTCACACACAATCTTCAAGGAAGTTCTTTTTCCAGTTCATGGAAATACGAGGATGAAAATCATTGTGATCTGAGCATGGTGCTAAGTCTGGACGGCGTCAATCCCCGAGGACATTTCAGGTATTATTATTATTTGTTTATTAAAGATGTGCCATTTAGAGGAAGTTTGTGGCCAATTACTTTACAGTTAGTGGATTTGCCTACAATGAAGTCGCAACTTTCAATTAATCTTGTAGTCTGTGGAATGCTGCAATTAAAAGCTAATAATCCAACAACCCTTGTTTTGAATACCGTCACGGAAATTATAATGAATCGATTGGAAGGCGAAGGGTCAACATTTGTTGTAAACAATATTTTATTTTCTCCATACCTCGTGTCACTCGTTTCTGACCAACCAGTAAGGATTAAGTGATAAAAATTTCTATAGATTTCAGTTTAAGGCAAAAAGAAAAATTCTTGGAATGAGCGGTTTTTCAAGTCCACAAGCTTGTTTTTATTGCGACTCTCACGGAACTCTGCACAAACCACTACTTGGAAACGGTAATAATCAATAATAATTTTAAACCCTCTTATTCATCGCTTATATTGATTTAAGATCGACGATTGGACAGATTTGGGGATAAGACTCTAGAAGATAGTATTCGCGGTGTTAATGGATTTGGTCCTGTTGCGGCGAAAATGGTGCAATATGTCAAGCCGTACAATACAATCTTGGATGTTCTTCACACTTGTTCAGATGGAATTGTAATGTTGATACTAAAAGGTATCAAAATTAAGTGTGACCAAAAAAACGGCAGAAATTCCAGAGCTCATGCCTAAAAAGTTTAGATGTTCAAAGAAAAAATCTGCAATGTTCGAATGCGATGAAACCATGCTCGAAAACTTCGACAAACATCTACAATTGCCAATTGAAGGAGCCGATTTGACTCGATTGCTCACTAACGGAAGGCAAAAACTAGATGTATGTTTCAGATATAATGTTTTAGATTTTTCTTATAGTTATTCAGACTTCAAATTTTCTTGTTTGCTATCTGCAATTCAAGTTTAATACATACATATGTGAACAATGTTAAAAAAAAATTAAGAAGCATTGTTCATTGGATTAGATATTGCTCCAACGACGGATCAAGCTACTTCAGTTGCTGTGCAAATCAAAGAGTCTGCGATTACTTTCATGTAGTTATGCGAATGTTTCACTAAATAACACCATGTACTTTTAGCGATCGCCTTCGTTCAAATTATAACGATCAGAAAGGATCTCACCACGCTAGCAAAGTTATGGCGCATAGTTTGGCTATCAAAATTGGAAAAGAGCACCAACTCAAAAAACTGAAGCCCGATGCCGCTGAATATTTCAATCAGCATTTTTCTATTTAATTGAAATTTGATATTTCTAATGTTAAACAATTTATTGTATTTTTCTTTTTTTTTATTTTGTTGTTTTCCGTTTACTGTTGTTTTTTCATAAAAACCATCCAGACGACAAATAGACGCAAAATAGATGAATAAGAGACAAGAAGTAGACAAAAATGGGTTAAAAAAGGATGAATCATGGATGAGAAATAGATAGAAAACTGATGAAAAATGCAAGAACGAGGGACAGAGACAAGACATAAAATGGATGAAAAATAGATGAATCCAAGATGCTAAATAGATAGAGAATGGCTGAGAAATAGATGAAGCGCTGATGAAAAATAGACTTGAAAATAGATCTGTTACAGATCCCTCTTTCATCCAAAGTCTGCACTATTTTTCAACTATTTTTTAACTATTTTTCGTCTGTTAGCGCAGTTGCAGTGCCATGCCCAGATGTGCTATATGAGGTCAAATCCGTCAAATGACGATCAAACAACCAAATAATACTAATCATATTTCATTTCCCACCAATATTGTACTATTATTATGAATTTCACACAACATTTTTTTGTGTTCAAAAAATGCATATGTCGGTACAAAAAAAATTTTTCAGGGTCTCAAAGCGAATTTTTCATTTCCGGGTTCTCGAAAACACCAAACCTCAAACTATAATTATGGAAAATGTTCATAAATCAACAATTCTAAAGGGGAGGAAAACCCCAACGCAAAAAAAACAATTCAAAGAGAGAGAGAGAGAGGAAAAACCCAATAATTATAAATAATTGCGATATTCCTAGAGCTCAACGGCCGCCGATCGCCTCGAGACCTTTTTCTCGCTGAGCTTTCGCTTCTCGGCGAGGCGTCGTTGCGCCGAAATTGCGGCTCGCTGAAAACGCGAATGCGATATTAGATGGTATTGAATTTCGGTGTGAACCTGTCGCAAAATTCGCGTGTCGTCTTCTGTCGTCTGCCTCTTCGCGAGATTCTCCTGAATCGCGTAGATTTCCGAACGCAATTTGTCGAAACAATCGGCGAGATTCAAATGACGCTCGCGCGTTCGATCGCTGTCGATGATGAGCTGAAATCACCCAGCAATTTTATTTCTCCTAATTCACAGTTGGCCGCCTAGGGTCTCGCATGGAAAACCAAATAATTGTCAAATGGCGACGAATTGAAATTAAAAGGCATCGAGCGAAATTCAAATATTTTAGATTAAGCAACACACCTCGCCGCGTGAATTAATTCGATGCGCAAATTTCTCAGCGATCGCTCGCCGCAACTCATCGGACAGCCATTCCGCCTCGTCGACGTTGAATCGAATTTCGGCTTTCGTCGCGTTCTTTTGCACATTCTGACCGCCGGGACCGCTGCTCAACGAGAAACGCTTCGCGATTCGCTCCGTCGGAATGACGCCGTTGAAGGTTTGCGTCGCGCACGATGCCGTCGACTGAATTTGACGGAGTTGCGGCAATTTGCGAAGACTTCGGAGCATCTGCAAAAAATAAAAATTGAGAAAAATGCAAATAGAAAAAAAAAATGGTTCAAAACAATTTACGATAAATAGCGGGCGGTGCGGAGCATCGTAGGATCGCGTGCGCGCGCCATATTGAAACTTTCGCTTCGAAAATTTCTTTTTCATAAAGCAAACAGATAAATAAACAAATAAACAAGTAAATAATGATGCGGCTAGATTTTTGAAGGTCGCCAGAAGGTTTCCGGTGTAATTCAACTCTCCAGAAGAAGTGAATGGAAAAAAAACGAGGAAACTTTCGCGCGTTTCCTTTTTCCGGTAATTAGGCCGCTACTTGAAATTCTGCCGTAGCCCCATTATGCTGTACAATACAGTTGCCCAAACGGCAACGCCCGCCTCCCCCCGGAAAATCCAGTTGGCATGATTCGGATATAAAAAAACGGCGGGAGACGGAAAACGCCATCGCTTCGTGTACGATTAGTAGTATTATGATTCAACGCGGTTCTCTAGTATTCGCCATTTTGGCGGGTGTCGCCAACGCGGTAAGACGCCAATGAAAAATCGCCCACCCCAGAAATCCCAAACCGAAAATTCAGTGCGTCTCGTCGGGCGTGTGCGGATCGTCGTATTGCGCGGCGCCGCCGGCCGTCGCCTGCTCGCCGTCCACCTGTCAGCCAGGCTACTCGTGCGGACAGTACGGTTGCGCGAGAAATCGTGCAAGAAGTGCGTTGACGAAAAAAGTGGTAATTTCGCTGAATTAAAAATCGAATAAATGAGCTTCTCGTTCAAAAATTGTCTCCCAGGACGGAATTTTCATCGACGACACCAAATTCGAGTCGTCGTCGTCCGACGGCGGCAAACTTCCTCGCCTCAAATCGCGCAACAACATTTTCGGCATTCGTCGCGAGACCAACACCAACGCAAATTTGCCGCCAATCTATGAGAATGTCACACTAGCGCAATACACGGTACGCGATTCTCCCGGTTTTTTTTTAATTGGCGAATTCGCGTTTCGACTTTCGATTGCCAATGAACCGCGCAAAATATATATATATATATAGTAATAAATATTGCAGAATCCGAATTTCATATTCCGACAGTGCTGCGAACAACGCGGCCTTCCCGACGCGTGCCTCAACAAGTGCCATTTCAACACCTACACCAAAGACGCGGTAGGACGCCAATGATTGGTTGGCGACGCCCCGGAATTAAAATGCTCGTTGCAGTTGCAAGGGATGTACTTCAAAACCGACGGATGCCCTCTTGAAGCCGCCGCCGACATGCACTTCTGCGCCGCGCAGGGCCGCGATCACACCCAGTGCTGCCTTCGCAATGGTGTCACCACCACGCTCGCCGGCGCCAAATGCCTCACGTTTTGCGATCAGCGTCCCGATCGCGTCACCAAATTGGACTACTCGTATGTGCCGTGCTACGATCGCTTCGAGAACATGAAGCAATGCTTCTACAATGAGATAAAGCAGAAAGCCGTCGAGCAATACGGGGCAACGCGTCGCTGAATGCACAACTCTCTTAAATTATTTTGCAAGTCTTTCATTTTAATTCAATTATTCAAATAAAACAGTCCGGCAGACAGAAAAACATTGGAAACATTAAATTAGTATGTTCAAATTATTCAAAAATGAAAAAAAAAAAAAACGAATTATTATATAAAACTTGTCGAAGCTTATTGCTGATGCGCATTGCGGTAGTACTCGGTGGGAGCTACAATGTAGTCGAGTTCGGGATCAAAGTATTTCGACGCGTTCTTGTTAAGGTATACGACGAAATCGAAGAATGCCTTGTCGACGGTCTGAAAAAATCAAAACGTTTCAATTATTTATGAAAAGCTATTCGAGAAAAAAATTTGTCGAACCTCGGAAAAATATTGCTTTTCGTTATTTTCAGATTTTTCCGGGTTACTACGCTTCTGTAAAAAGAAAGAAAAAACGTCAAGCTAAACGCTTAATAATAATGATATTGTTTGATCAATTAGCGAATTCAAAATTTAATAAAAAAAAATTACCTGCAAAAGACGTTGATCCCATGGTGTGAGCTTCAAAATCGTCGGCAGTCTCGACAATAGGCGAAGCAAATGCGCGATGCCGTAGTATTTCGACGGTTTGAAGTCGTCGTCGGGCACGTCGGCGGCCGCCGCGCTTCGTTTCGCCTTGCGCGGCTTCTCCTGACTCGCCTTGTCGCTTTCCATTATCTCCTGATATTGAGCGCGCTCGAATTTGTAAAGCAGCTGATAGCTGAAATTTATTTCATAGTAGTTTCTTTTGAGCTTGAAACTGTGAAATTCAATTCCTACTTGAGAAGCACGTTGAAGTAGTCGACGAGTCCGAGCGCTGAGCACGCCAGCCCTCCTGCGGACACCTTCTGACTATTGTTATCATACTCGACGTACATTTCATCAATATTCTCCATTTCTTCAGGCTTCAAGTTCAATGTCTTGATATACTGCAAATTTTTCATTGACACTTTCAAAAAAAAAAATATGGAATATTACATCTTGAACGATAGAATCGACTGAATGGCGTGCTGGAAGTTTCGCCAAGAAGCTCTTATTCACCAAGTCATTGTCATCGACAAGAATTTGGCGCAACTCTTTTGGCAGCTTCAACATTTCGCCCGGGGCCGGCTTGTTTGCCGCTGCCACCGCCGGCGAATCCTGCGCTTTTCGTTTTAGCCCTTTTGCTGAAAAAAAAAACCTTCAGAATGCCTAGAAATATTGGATCTTCTACTTTTGATGCTGTTCGTGCTTGGCGAACTGCCGCGGCTGCCGGTCTCACTCTGACGCACATCATCGTCGGTCACGTTATCGAGGCGATTCTTTTTCTTCTTCCTCGTTTTCTCATCGGAAACGCGAGCTCTTTCGGCCTAGAAAACAAAAATCAATAAAATCTCGCGACGTGTACAAATTTGCGCTTACAAGCGCCTCCTCAATCGCTTCCGGTGTGGCTTCGAAAATTTTTCCAGGAATCTCGCTGCGCTTGATATGCTCGTCGTAGCGGCTGTTCCATCCGTGATAGTGGACCAAATATACCGGATCGGCTCCATCGGGATCCCTGACGTCGAGAATTTTCGCCTCATATTTTAGCCCTTCGTGCATGCAAAGAATTTGTGTGCCAACGTCATAGTGCGGTTTTGCTTTCGGCATTTTTTTGACCTAAAAAAATAGAAAATTTTGAAATAATCAAAAATAAATGAGGAAAATCGACAAGAATGCAATGAGAACACAAAAAAAAAGACGCTAATATTTTCAAATTCGAAACCAAAATGCGGCGTCGTCAATTGGTGCGCATTCGGTTCATACACCGAGACGCAAAAACGCATACGCCTGCGTGCCAGCGTTTCTTTCTGCTGACGTTTGTCTCGTCGTTTCCTCAATTTCCGCAAATCTCGCACATTTTTCCAGCGATGGCAGGTCTCGACGACGAAAAAATCACGGTAATTAATAAATGGGACGGGCCAACGGTGAAGAACACGCTGGATGACACTGTGCGAAAGGTAAAACAAATTTAATTTAAAAAATTATTTTTTTTTCTCCCAAAAAAATCAATATTTTAGATTTTAAACGATCGCGTTGGATGGACTGAATGCCATGCGTTAATGAATATCCGCTTACTTATCTCGTTCATCGGCGTCACATTTTCTGGCTTCGCTTGCGCTTATGACTTCTACGCGCCATTCCCAAAGTCAAAATGGGTAAGAATTCAATTTTAAAAATAATTTAAAAATCGCATTAATGCTAATTTTCACATTTTCGACGTTTGAAACCCCCAAAAAATGAGGAAATCTCACAATCCTCGCGAGACCCATCTCATCACGTCTCCTAGTTGTCGATTTACGAGTATTCCAGGTGCTCGCCATCTGTTCGTGCTCCTACTTCTTCTTCATGGGCATTCTTCAACTCTTCCAATGGTACGTCGAGAAGGGCTGCTTCTACGAGGCCTATGAGAAGGACAACAAACAAATCCGCAAGTGGTCGTGGAGTTCCGAAATGAAGACTTACGACGACAAGTACACACTGCTCGCCGAATTCAAAAAGGAGGGACGCTCGGGACAAGCGAAAATCACCAAATCCATCGGCGCCTACATCGACGAAGACGGCGAGGTGATCATTCCGATTCTCAAAAAGGAAGTCGACGATCTCTACAATCGTTTGGTGCGCGTCGATTAAGTCTCGCTTTATCTAATTTATTCTTTTTGTTATCGCTCGTCTCTGGTATTTTAATTGTTCGCATTTTCACTATGGGGGCTCGCAATTCAATAATAATAATAATGATAAACAAACTTTATTGAGAAAAAAAATAGAAAACGATGTAACAAAATTGAGGTAATAATACAAGGTAAAAGATACAATCAAATTCGACCCATATTTTCAGAAAGTTAAGGGGGATATTGCACAGAGAAAATTAAAGTATTGAGCTGAATACCATAAAAAACAGTACAATATTTACACGAAAAAAAAGTAACGGAAATCGCCATCATGAGTGCATGCTATTCGTCATTTCCAGTTTGAACGGATCGCTGAACAACGAGGGACTCTGCCGAAAGTTGTAATTATTCGATGACGATGGCGTCGACTGGTTGTTCCTTGGCGACGTTCCCGATTGCACCAATATCGGCGGCTCCCAGCCGGTGGTGTCGGTCGGCTCGGAATCCTCGCAACCGCGCGACGATTCCGTATTCGATCCGTGATCATGGTCCGCTTCGACCGCCGACAATTCCTCTTCTACAAATATTTGTGTCGGTTTAGGCGATTGCTCGAATTGCCCACCTCCAAATTGCTCGAGCCGATTCGCTAGCAGTGGATGATCGCTGAACGGCGACTCGTCGTCCGATTGCATATTTTTGAGGATCTTGCCGATTTTGTTGAGCCTCAACGGTGTTGTCGCCGTCGAGACATCCGTCAGTCGACCCGTCGACGATGCCGGACTAATCGGATCCGACGATCTCCACGATCCAAATGATCGTAGCGGGTAGGCGGCGAGCACCGATTCCGCATAGATGTGCTCAGTGGCGTATGGATCGCGAATGCTTTGAGTTCGATGATGTTCGAGCAACGATTGACTTCCATTACTATCGCGCGATCGTAGACTCGCCGAGTCGCGTTCGTCAGCCTCGGTGATTCGATTGAGAGCCCCATAGATGCGCTTGGTGCTCTTCCGCTTTCGTTTCTCTTCTCTGGAAGTGACGCATTGAAAGAATCGAAAGTCATGTAGAATAGTAAATACCTATAGCTCGGCATGTTGCCAAATTTGATTTGTCTATCCGGCTCGTCGTCGACCTTCTCATCGCTCGGCTTCGGAATCTCGACGACACTTTTTCGACGATAGCACAACATGAGGCAGACGAGACATAAGAGGAACACGATGCCGACGGCGAACAGAATCGCGAACAGTGTCGCCGTTTCGAGTGTGGCGCCGATGCCGAGCCTCGGAATGAACACCGTGTCGCCAAACTCGGACTTATCCTGAATCGATAGACCATGACGAGTTTTCAGAATGCTGGGACTCAAACCTCCATTTTGTCGACACCGAATCCCATGCTTCCCGAATATGTCGATGTGTTGCTTCGAATATCGCACGCATTTCCACTCCATCCATTGAAGCAGACGCATTTCTGAAGAGACGACAATTTAACAATGAATCACGGCGACTTGTCAAAATACTACCGCCGTCGTCGTGCAATGCCCGTGTCCCGAGCACAATAGGGCGAGATTATTGGTGGGACATGCGATCGACGACGTCACCGACGACATTTCCACACAACTTCCGGCGACGCACACTTTTCCGCTGCCGCAACTCGCGCCGTCGCCGACGAGTCCCACCGTCGGCGACGCAATCGATTTGCACTGAATCTGTTGGGCGTCTTGCATGAAGTGGAATGTGAACGCCTTCAACGACGTGTCGACGGGAGCAAGAAGGCCGTCTGAAAAATCGCGAATTCGATCAACCGTGCCAATCGACATCGGCGACAAACTTTGACAATGAAGTGTTCCGCATCGGGTGTCCTCGTGTTGGCACGGATGATAGGATCCGTCGGATTGGAATCCGCAATTCGCGTATTCCGCTCCTTTCGTGTTCTGCTCGAAGCATACCGCTTCGGCGACACGCGCTTCTCGTCCCCACAATGATTTACACTGCGATTCGGCGTCTGGAAAAGCGAAACAAAAAAGAAAAATGCAATTGTGACAAAAAAAATTTGCCTCAAAAACTCACCGCTACAATTGCCGCGCCAACACTGCCCGTCGCTTCCGCACACGGTGCCGTCGATCAAATGGCCGTCCGGCGGACAATCGCCGGACTTGCCGTCGCACTGTTCGGCGACGTCGCACGGCGAACGCGACGCGCGACAAATCTCGCCGGCGCGCCTCAACTCGCAACGATGGCAACATTTTTGATGGGAGGCGCATTGGGCGTGCGTTCGCAACGTGCACGTCAGCGGATCGCAGCACGGATCCGCGCACGTCTCGCGCGTTCCACAATCGCATTCTTCCGACGCGTCGACAATTCCATTGCCGCATTCGCGCAACTCCGACACCTGACAAAAATCACACAATGATATTCTTGTATGTGGGTGAGGGGGAAAAGAAAATCACCTGGAATGGCTTGTTGAGGAGACATTGAATGTTGCCGTCTTGCCAGATACCGTGCATTCTCGCCACCGAGCATTTCGAAAATTGCCACGTGAACGGCGCGCCGAGTTTCCCCGGCTGCTTCCTCATTAGGCATTCCGGCGACGGCTCGCACGAGCACGCGGTCGTGTCGTGCTCAAGACCGAGAAGGTGTCCGAACGATTGCGACACGAGTACGGCGTTCCATTGTGTGCTGAACGCGTCCAACGCTTTGACGATGATCGCCGAACGCGCCGTGCAAATGCTGCGAAGCGCCGAATTCGCCACTTCGGCGTTCGCAAAACTTCCAGATGTGAAGAAGACGACGGCGTCTTTTTCTGAAAAAGAAGAAAAAAATTAATTCAACCACAACAAATAAATCGAACAATCTTTTTCTCGTTTTTCATGTTTTCTTTTTTGCTTCACAACTTTTTCGCGTCGCGTGACGGATTTTTAGCTCCAACTCAACAACAACAACCAAGCAAGCAACACTCACGTATATGATAAATATGGCCCGTCGAATAGTCGACAACCCCGCTCAATGTTCGCTCAATGTCCTCAATCAAATCAACGCGTTGAACATCGGACCATAATTCGGCATAGACAACACTTAGTCGAATATTGAGATCTCGTGAAAGCATCTAAATAAAGAAGCATTTAAAAAAAAATGTGTTTTTTTTTTAAATCTCATACATAATCCGCCATATTGATCGATTCCAGCATATAAGTGACAGCGTCCAAATCGTTGAGTCCCCGGAATTTCATCTAAATTCATTAATTTGTTGTTGTTGTCGTGTTCGAGACAATTCAATGCCGCGCCGAGCGGCTCGCACAAAAATTCCCTCGGGTCCGTTTTAATGTCGCCTCTCATAATCTTTTGGCAATTCTTCTTCTGCTGCTGTCTGCTAGCAGTTTCGCGCGCGCGCTGCGATTAACACATGGTATGTTCGCTGGCTGGGTGGTAGATTGAAATCTTTTTGATTGACGCGAGAGACAAGCCAAGAGAATTTTTGCGCGCGTTCTATATGTTAATTAGGATGAACACCGGTCGGCTCTTACAAATTCATAATCGCCAATCAACGCCACTTCGATATACTTCGTCCTTTTCGAAACATCGCGCCTACGATGTCGCCGCAATCGATGAGCGCGTCGTTTTATCTAAAAAAAATAATAATAAATAAAATCAACGATTTTTGCTCAAACCCTTTGCACAGCAGAATGCGCAAGTGACGTCCCACACCTCGCTTCCTGGTTCCATTCGGTCCTGCAAAACAAGAAATACACGGTGCAAAGTTGCGTCGCGTGCGCACAACTCGATTACTGTACCACCTAGTTGTGTGCCATTTCGCGTCGCGGTGTACACACGCACGTGTCAATTCTCGGTTTTTTTTTGCCAAATTTTTTCTCGCGTGTTTTTTTTTCATTTCTACCGATATATTTTACGTAATAAATATATATGTAAAGTGTGGCCGCGTTTTTTTTTGACTCTCACGTCACCCCTCAACACAACACAACACACATACACGCACGCCCATAACATATACACATGTACAGAGGCGAGCGAGAGACGCACACACACACGCTCACACACACGTGTTCTCCCTCTATTCGATTTCGGTTTTTTTTTCGCGTGTAACGGCCCGACGGCCCGGCCCGGCCGAGGCCCCGGGCGCAGCAAAGCGGCGTGGTTCAATCGATAGTTGCCCCATCGCACACTTTTTTTTGACGGCGCAAAATACAATAACACCGCTCACTTCGTTCGTTGCAGAGCTTGGCGCCACCACCGCCGCCGCCGCCGTCGCGATGCTCACTATCGAGGGAGATTCAAATCACACGAGCGTCGAGACCAAAATCGAACCGTCTTGTATTCCGGTAATCACTTTTTTTTCCGCGATCCATCGAACATTCTCAAAACATAGATTCAATGCGGCCTCCTCGAGGGCAAACTCCACGTCAAACATTTCTTCTGTCCCGGCATCCACGAGAAATGCATTGAGGTGTGCGGCGAGATCGAGTTGATCACGCCGAAAGAGTTCACGATACGCGCCAATAAGGACAAACAAAAAGATTGGAAGGGCAGCATTCGAATCGGCAAATCCAATTTGCGGACACTCATGGAGCGTCGAATTTTCGATTTTCACGATCACTTGAAATTTTGCAATGGACGCTGTCAGAGTCGAAACTATATCAGCAGCAAGGAAACGGAGCGATCGAGGTCCGGTCTTTCATTTTTTTTTCGAGGCGTGGGGGATTGATGAATGTGATTTTAGTTCTCGAAAAGGCAGCGCGTTCAGTGTGCAATCATCGAACGAGACGATCGATCAGCCTCGGCGTTCCGTCGTCGAAATTCTCGCAGGTGCCGATATCACCGATCTCGTCAGCAAGGTTCTCAACAACTCGAGTTTCGAGCTCACCAGCGTCTCCTCGTCGCCGTCATCGTCGACGCCGATGACCGAAGAGGCTCACGACGATGACAAACACCAACAATCGCCGATGCTTCACGATCTTCCCAAGATGGTCAAGCAGATGGAGTCAAGTAGGATTAAAATTCAAACATTCTCGAAATCGCCATTTCTCTTGCAGATCCTTTGCTTTTCTGGACGTTCATGTCGCAAAACGGTCTCGCCAACATCGTTCTCGATCATATGATCGAGAAGATCAACGAGATGCGCGGCCTTCTCGCCTACGGTCGCGTCGACGCCGTCGCTAGCACATTGTCGAAGGCGGTCGAGGCGCTCGGCGTCGCCGACGGTGTCGCGCCACTCGCAATTCTCACGCAACTCGTCAAACGAACGACGAACGCCGCTGCCTCGACATCTGCTGATGACGACGACGACGATGATGATGCTGATGACGATAATCATGATAAGGCTGATGATGATAGCGGCGAGACGCAGGCGAAACGACGGCGACGATGTGCGGATCGCGCGCCGTTCGATATCACCAACGAAACGTTTGCCTCACAGGTTTCTAGCACGAAATGATGGAGAAAAAAAAACATTTTTTTTTACAAATTTAGAGCCTTAAACTCATCGCAGACATGGCTCAGGAGCACAAACCGGCAATCTAATCTCATCCATATTTGCACTACACATTTCATACGCTAGCTTTATAGATGTACCATCATCATCTCTTTTGTTTTTCATGCTTCTTGCCACCTATGCACACGACCTCAGTCAAAGAAAAAAACAAACAAATTCGAAATCTTCCCAAACATATTTATATATATATATATATATTTAATATACCATGGTTATACACAAGTTTTTTTTACTGGTACTCGTCTAAAATAGCCTTATTTAGACATTCCCCGTCCCCCAAACTCAATCTGTTTTCAATTTTTTTTCGTGTTTTATTTGGTTTTAGTAAAGCTCTCCCTCTCTTTCTATTTTCTGGAGAATCGACTCACTTGTAGAGAATGTGCGGATGTCGGCGACTGTTGCGATCGGCGCCGTCAAGCGGCCAAATTCCATACGTTGTGCCGTTGGCGAATGAGATCACACCGCTGGAATCATTGATTTGGGTCTCTCGAAACGATTAGCAACAACAAAAAATGATACCGTAGTCCGTTGCACGACGAAATCGCGACGAATGATGATTGCTCGCCGCCAACCGTGCCTTGATAGTAGCAATTCTCGATTCGCGTCGGAATCACGCGCTCGCCGTCGGCGTCGAGCTACAAAAATGTTTAAAGGGACATTGCAGAACTAAATAAAATCGAGGAAAACCTTGTGAAACGCGGTCTGATTGAGAAAAATGTAATTGTTCCTCTCGAGAACCAACTTGAGGCGTCCGAGTTGCGTGCTTCGCACGACGATCGTCACGTGCGCATAGTGCTCTTGCGCTTTTAGAAAATAGTTGCGAGTGTCTGCAAAATGTAATACTATACGGTAACGACGATTTCGCCGCGAGACCACTCACCGATTCCGATTCGTTCATTTTTGTCGCGTATTTGAAACGGATGAACCACTTCATAACCATCGGGTCGCATCGTTTCCATAAATGCCTTATTTGCGGACGTTTGACGAAAATCGACTAAAACGTGATTGATTTTTTTTGGGGGTTTCCTTTTTTGGCGGCGAAACGCCCGAAATGTTAATAATTGGTCCCGAGGGGAAATTGCCACCCAAAAAAAATTAATTACATTTCTTCTTTGGTTCTACAAATTTTTGTGGGAGATGTCATTTAGTTAAAATCCATTTAAAAAAAAAACACGAAACAGACAAATTATGCGAGAATCATCCTCGGCTCACCTTTGGCAGCGATTGGCGCAAAATTGGCGAACGACACCAAAACGCGTATCGACATCAAAACCAACATCATCATCGTGGCGTCTCTAGATTCGTTTCCACTTCATACTACGAAATTTCGAATTTCGGCGTCTGCAACAAAACAAGAAGTGCATAATATCGAGGAAAACGCGACGAAAAAAAAAATTTTGGGTGTATTATATGAAATAATCAAATTTTTCCTCGTCTCGAACGAATTACGCTGGCGAAAGGACAATACGCGACGGGCGTGGTCGACTGCACAAATTCAATAAGTAAGCTCTTCAGAAGGCATGAAGCAAAGGAGGAAGAAGACAATGGGCGTGGCGTTTTGCTCGCAGCGAGCCATAAATGGTCATGAAGCGCGCCGGGGTCCTCCAACCAAGTTTTCGGAGATTAGAGCGTATGTGAAATAGGGGGAGCGCAATGAATTTGCATATGAATGCCAATTCGCATATTGATGAATTTCGCGTCGAGACCACCGCAACGCGAGATGGTCGTATGCATTTCATAGATATATACATATCGATGTTCCATATATGGGCAGACATTGACCCTTTGCACACATCGACCGACAGGTGGTTGGAGGTTGGACGGCCAACAAAAAAAAAATACGCATTTCAATTCGATGAGCTGGACGAGGTGGAAGAGAGAGAGTGAGAGAGAGAGCATGCGCCGATTTGTTCACAAATTATGCAAATTTTGATTTTCAAATTGAAATTTTTCCATGCGAGACCCGATGCGCGTTGAAATTGTGTGCATTTTTAGCACAATTCACAATACAAATCGTCAAACCTTCGGAAATCTGGCGAACATTTGAAAATTCTAAATTTTTCCACCAAAATATCTTATTTTTTAGTAGAAATCCAAAAAAAATTCAATTTCATCGACTAAAAATCAAAAAAAAAATTCCAGATTTCGAAATAATATATCAAATTCGAGCAAAATCGCCTCATATTTTTCATACAGCTAGCGTTCAATAATATTACACAAAGAAAAATCGGTTCCGGAAAATTAACGGGTTTTTTGAAGGAGGAGCAGAGCGAGCGAATTGTGTGATAAATCGACATCCGAATAAATTCATCAATGCAAATTTTTGGGGCGAAACAAAAAGGCAAAGAAAATAAATGGTGAAACCGAATTGGCGCGCATATTGAAGCAATTATTTCGAAACGCGTCGCCATCGCCCGTTTTAATCCCTGCCCCACACAAAGTTGAGCTCGAACACTGGACAATGGTTGGGTTGGGTTGAAGGGGGTCCGACCCATCACATAAACGATTAAAACGAATGAGTGTCGCGCGAGCCAAGAATTTCACAAGAATGACTCATTGCGAGGGGCGAATTGAGCCTTCGCTTTAAAATATTCATGAAAAACCCCTCAAATTTTCAAAAACTTTATTTATTAGAAGACTTTTTTGTGAAAATTTTAATAATTCGACTTTTTTTTCAAGGTTTTGGCCTACTGAGATGGTCTAGAAATAGCCGCCAGTTTCTTTAAAGGAGCATTGAAAATATTTTTGAGAAATGTGACGTTTTTTCGTATCTGAAACTCATCGGAAATTATTTTTCAAGTAAAACCCTTTTTTATAGTATAAATTACAGCAGAATTTATCCTGGCGCCAACTTTTTGAGACAGTTTGAAACATATTTCTGAAATTGGCGGCTTGAAATAATTTTTAAGACACTATGAAGATTTTTTGGTTAAAAAAATCGAAAAAATTGTCAAAAAAGGGTTTCCATATGATTTTTACTAATTTTTGTCTCAAAAATTTCGTCAGAAATATTTTTTCCCAAAAATTGTGCATTTCACCATTCTTTCCTCAACAAAATTTGACTAATTTTAGTAAAACTGATGGAAAAAATTGAGCTACTTCAATATTAATAGACGTAAGCCGGCAAATAATTGAGAAAAAAACTTCGTCAAATAGCTTCGTTAAGCTTCATATAGAAAAATAATAAAGAAATTGGCTCGATTTGTCTTTTAAAGCAGCAATTTTTAGCGAAAATTAATTTAATTATTGGGCTCTGCAAAAAATATTGTTTTTTTTTTTTTAAATTTAGATTAGAAAATTTTCTGCAGATATAAAGAATTTTGGAATTTGATGAATTAATAAATTTTAATGGCAATTCGGAGAAGAATACTTTAAAAACAGTTGGAAACTTTTTAAATTTTGCATAAACTTTCATTTTTATCCCATTTTTCCAAAAAATTGCGCATACTTCAGTTCGTCTGTAAAAAAAATGAAATATTTCTTCAAATATTTATCTAAAAATTATTTTCGACTACAATTTTTGTAAAACTAATTTAAAAATTTTAAATAAAAGCGAAATTCTCTAAGAAATGTAGGAAACTGGCAATTGGCGTGTGAAAATGACCAAATTGTTGCCGACGCCGAAATCATTAATGCGGCAAAATCGGCATGTGGTCAAAAGGCAATTCAAAACCGCCGGCTCGGGGCCTCATAAATCGTAAAATGAGAGCACAGATGCGAACCGAACACATTTGCGCATGATTTTAATAAAAGTACATATTGCTCTTATGGAAATCTAGATGGCGTTCCGGATTTTCTTTTTGAGTGAACATTAATTCTAAATTTTTTATTGAATATATTTCTCTGAAGAAATATAAACAAAATGCGAAGATTTTGATTATATTTAAGGGGTTTATTAAAAAAATAACGGAAAAAAATAATTTAAATTAATGCAGCTAGCGCGCTGTAAAGAAGTTGGCAAACATCCAAGTGCTAGCGCGGCATTTCAAAAACACGCTGCGCTATTCGACTGCGGGTGTATGAAACACGCTGCAGATTTGCGCCGCTTCTCGCCCGTCTCTGTTATCGATTAATATCGCTCGTATACCTGATCTCTTTCGCCACTTTTTGAAAATATTTTACTTTTGAAATGTTTTTAGCATATTTGAGTTGCTAATGATCTTAAATTCATTAGTTGATTTCTTTAAATAACGTTAAAAAATTGTATATAATTTTTTGTGCCGAAAATCACGTATTTTTGTTTATATAAGGTGTCTACGTGGATTCCTTTTCTCATTGCTCATTTCTTGATAGATATTCAACTTTTTTTAGATAGTAAGATCTTTATGTTAAAATGTAATTCCTGTTTAAAACTTAAATTTTTGTGTATGATTGTAAAAATTTTGCTCGCCGCATTTTTCTTCCGTTTATTCACGATTTTGCTTTAAAATGAAAGGAATAGTTTTCTGAAGTTTCAGGTAACATGGCCTCGCTTACATTCCGCGCAATTTCGCGTTTGGCGCAATCTGGCCGTCAGGCTGTGCGTACTATTGCTACCACCACTCCAGTCTCTGGACACCAGGACGACATCATGGAAAAGTGGCCAGCTGAGAGTAAGAAATGCTTTGAATTGTGAAAACATCATTAATGTATTATTTCAGAATTCGATAAGCACTTCATCGACTATCTTAGCCGCCCAGAAATTGACGGATGGGAGGTTAGAAAAGGTAATGTATTGTCGAAGTCAAACGACTTGACGAAATTTAAAAAATTATTGGCTACGTGCTAATGCGTCTTGAGGCAGCGAGATTGCGTACATTGCATTATAGCGTACGCGCATTTAATATTCAGTCAACAATTAATTTAAATCTACACTGATTTCGGGAATTTGAATGCTCCCGCATTCCTTCAGCCGTTTGACGCCGACAATAAATGTTTAACATTTTTAATTTTAAACCAAATCGAACCAATTTCGACTTCCTTAGAACTCAGAAATCCCAAAAAACGCATTATGTTTGAATTTCGTTTAGGCTATTCGATACGTCTTATGAATTTTACATAACCGACATTCATTCCTATTGTTCTATTATAAGTTTTTCTTTAAATTATGTTTCTTTCAGAATATCGAATGGTATAGCTTACGTAATTTTTAACCTAAATTTCTGACCAATGCTCTTTAAATTTTGAGCGAGTTGTTATCATATTCAAAAGAGTGATTATGAGAAAAATTTGTTTTCGCACCATTATTTCCGAAAAGTGTATTTTCGGAGTCTACGGTAATATGCCTGAACGCCAAACAAAGATCTGGCCCCTAATTTTTCGGCAATTAACCAATTTTCCGAAGTCGGGTGTTGTCCACAATAACTACGGTGGTAGTTTTCTGAGAAAATAAACACTCTACAGTAATATCGGAAAATCTCATCTCCCTGAAACATTTAACATATAGAACTTTTTTTACATTTTCAGTTCAACACTACATTGATGAATAGTAGTAAAAACCTCGAAATTCAATTGGAGTGTTGGACTTACCACTCTGTAGAGTAAAGCGTTCAGAAGTTTTCGGTACTACTTTAGACGCGCCCTGATAATCTAGGGAGCTCTATAAATTTGTAGTATGGTCGGATTATAAGGGCTTTACCCGTCTGCACAGAGTTGACAATTTTCTTTGGATTTTTTTGCGAAAAATGTTCGGGTCATCTTTCCTAATTCCATCTTCGTTTCTTTGTTTTTGGCTTTCGTATCAACATGTTTTGTGTATGCATAATCCCGCAATGCCACATCAACCTAAATGAACAAAAATGTACAATATTCTTTTTTATGAAATGTTTATCGCAGAGTCGGCGTGGAATTCCAATGCGATGTTAATTAAAAAACTAAACAGAAGGCGAGATGTAGTAATTACCATGCCACCAACGTTAAAAATTTTTATTTGGATCGCTGCGAATTCTTTCTATCGGCCATTATTGCGCAGAACTTTGTTGAAATTAAGAAATTCTCTTTTTTTTTACTATTTGGTCGCGAATTATCTTTACATAAATATTCGATTAGTTTGTTTTGTTTCCCCCGTCTTTTTCGAAATTAATTACATCCTCTTTCAATTTTTGCGCAGATTCCATCTTCGAAAACACGAAAAAACAAACAAATCAGTTTTACGGTTGAACACATGCGTTAAAAGGTAGCAATTTTTCTGTAACATGAAAATTTCAGCTCTCACTGAATTGCATGACTATGACGTCATCCCTGACCCCAAGGTCGTCGAAGCTGGACTCCGAGCTTGCCGTAGAGTTAACGATTATGCGCTGACCATCCGATTCTTGGAAGCCATCAAGATCAAGTGCGGATCCCAGAAGAACCGCGATGCCATCTACGGATATATCGTCAAGCAGGTGAGAATTGTTATAAATAGTTTTTCCCCCGCAGAAAATATTAAGTCCATATTCAAAAAAAGTTTTATTCTTTGAATTTCATGAACAATGGAGCATTGATTGAAAAAAAAAACATGGTGAAACGTGCCATTCATCCCTTAATTTCGCCTCATACATCACTTATTCTAATTTCTTTTTCTTGGTGGCTTAAAGAATTTCTAGTCGATGAACTATGCTTTTTAATCGTGCAAAGTTGATTTTTTTTCAGATCAAGCCTGTTTTGGACGAGCTCGGCATTTCGACTCCAGAGGAGCTTGGCTACGACAAGCCGGAATTGTTCATTCCACAGCCAGAAATGTGGTGGGAGAAGAAATGGTAATTGGCTGCTGTGATCGTTGAAGAAATCTTATTCGCAATTTTAGGTACAAGGAGTATGGATTCGATAAGCAACCAAACTTCCAAATCTAATTTTGGATAGCTTAGTATAGTGGTGTATGGATATCGCGACGATAAATGTTTATCTGACTGTTAGCTCTTATTGTTGCATTACTTGATACATCGTATGAAAGAAAATAATTTAGTGCGTGTGTGGACTTTTAGCAAAAAAAAACAACGAAAAGACTGCTCAGAAATGCATGACAATGTTTCATCGGTGTCGGATGATTAATGTGAGACGAATCAATGCCACAAATTTATTTCCTCCCATAATGGGGTCGTGGTTTTTGACGAGTGTGCTCGTTTCGTGCGATCATGCACCCCGTCCGATGATTCACGAGTTCATCGTCGTTTTGTTAACATGTCAGAATATTTTCTACGGTGTCCTCGGCCATTATGTTTCATCGAAACATGTCGGTTGCGCGCCAATGGTGCGCGACGAACAAGTTGAATAGGAGGCGATTTTAATTGATGAGCAAAAGGAAAACATAGAGCTACCGTAGGCGTTGTCAAAGAAAAAAACGAAGGTGTTCACACGTAATCGGATTTGAAGGCACACTTCAAGATATTTTCGATGGTGTTGTTGTTTTTTGGCGGATTTCGTCTCTTGGGTATTCATTAGAAGGCAAAATGAAGACACTTTTGTTCTAAGTTCGTTAGAGTTCAATTAGTCGCGATGAAAGTGTTCTGGAAATTTTGGGGGTCCCAGCCGCTTAATTGCAATTAGAGAAATAAATCAAATTGCGCATCATTAAAGCGTCCTGGATGTTTTTTTTTTGTCGTTGTGTTGCTTCTTCTCATTTTTGTACATCACATTGTTAATCCCGTCATGTTGAAACCAAATTAGGCACCGTCTGTTGAGATATTGATGGAAGAGGGGGAGGAGCTCCTGAAACCCCAAGGATGACGCGCTTCATCGTGTGTGTGTGTTTTTTTTTCTGCTCGCCATCCTCGCTTTTCCTTTTCTACGAAGGCACGCGAGGCCACGCCCACAAAAAAGGGGAATTCCACGGGGCCCAACCCCCTCCTCCACCCCGCCAACGACTCACTTCATATCATGATCTGCCTGCCAACTGTGCTGCTGCTTTCGGCGTTCGCCTTGGCGATGGGCCAGGAGCAGAGCGCTGCTGCCGGTGTCGTCGAGCACTCGAAAGATTGTCGTACGGTAAGAAAGGTGTCTAATAGCGAAAAAATCGAATTGTATTCGCGCAAAATTTTTTTCGTGCAAATTTGCGGCACGGTGTTTGCGAACTGTCGTTGAGTACAGTACCACATTGAACGCAGAAATTCAGGCGAAGCTCTTTTTGTGTGTGTGTGTTAGTTTTCTTAGGGCGACGCGCGCGTGCAAACTTTTCTCATTTTCATTTTTCCCAACGGGACCCGAAAAACGAAAAGTAATTATGAGTGGCGCCGAGGCGAGTTGATTATGAGTCGTTGCAGATTCTCGCCAACAACGGCGACCCGCAAGAGGCACTGTTGTGCCAGTTGAGCGAGAGCAGCATGCTGCTCGCTCAACTCGGCGCGCTCGTCTCCGAAGGTGTCGAGCGTCTCGTGCAGACCCACGGTGAGAAGACCCATTAATTGCGCACGAACGCAACGATTCATTTTTGTTGCAGGTTTGACGGTTGACGACGATGGCGAGAGCGGCGATATGGAGAAGCGCAAGCACGAATACTTGCGGTTCGGCAAAAGGAAGCACGAGTATTTGCGTTTCGGAAAGAGGAAGCACGAGTACTTGAGGTGGCCCACCACTTTGCCATCGTGAGACGGTTATCGGTCTGTTTCAGATTCGGCAAGAGAAAGCACGAGTATCTTCGCTTCGGCCGCAAATAGACGCTCGGAAACAGAAAATGACACTCGCGCGCACACACACACCCATATTCCACTCGAGACCCATCTAATTCAATTTGCAAACTGTAATAATTCAGAATAAAAATTGTCGTTGTCAAAACATTTTATTTCGTTTTTAATATCAACAATATCGATCCGATTTGGTCTTCTCGCGACGATTTAGAAGAAGCTCGTGGGCGCTTCCTTCCGCTTGCGCTTTTTTCACCGATTTCCGATCGTTGAGATCCACGGCGATATGTCGACCTTTCAAATCGACTTTGGAATGTTGGAACATTTTTCTGGAAGACAAAACATTTGTGAAATTGAAGAAAAATCCGACGTACACATAGGCGAGCTCGCAATCCTTGGCGCTCTTCTTGTCTTCCGCTGAACGCCAATCGACAGGTCCTTCTCTGACGGCATCGGTTCGCACCTAGAAACATTAACTTTTAAAAAACGGTTGCAAGTCGATTGAATGGGTTCAAACACCAAAACGAAAAACAAGGAACTCTTTTGTTTTTCTTCCTCCTCCAAGAAAGAAAAAGACGACTTTTAATTGTTTTACGGAGTTGCGTTAAACCGACTTTGCAAGTGTTTTCGAAATTTCCGAGAACTCGAAAAGACCATTTAATTGACACTTCAAAATCGACAACCTACATTTATCATTTCATCGTCTTTTGCCGTCCGACTTGCTACATAAATGTAGCCCTCTTTATTTGGTTGTGTAGAGAGGAATAATGGTGAGGCGACAGCTTGAATGGCGGTTTTTCCCTAAAAAAATTGATTTTAGAAAAAAGAAACGGATTCTTGTACTAAAATTTGATAGAAAAAAAACGAACATCCTGGAAGACGACAAGGAATTGCTCTCTGGCACCGATTGCTTCGGCGACGGCGACCAGTTGATATTCGCTGTCGACGCCGACATACTTGCCATAACCGGTTTTGAGACTGTAATTTTTTCGTCTTCTTTACACCTATAGCTTCATTCATTTCGCTTGCCTGATTTTACTGTCGTCTGGAGTTTTCACCAACGCAAAAATCTCCTCTGGATTCGGGCCTTCTCCGTCTTTATGGGGTCCACCCACGGTGAACTTTCCATTATCCAGAGCCGCAATGTACATTTTCTCAGAACCTGACGAAGCGCATTCGAATGCTATATTGATTCCACCTTTCAAATCGAATTCTTCTTCTATCCGACGCCATCCGCCTAGAACAATGTGATCAATGTGTTTTGTCAAAATTTTTTAATCCATACCATGACTTATTGTGTCTGGGTCTACTTTTTCGTTGTCGTCTTTATTTCTATGTTTCTTCTTTCCTTTGTCGACTTTAAATCTAACACAGTTTTTTTTCTAATCCAAAAATTTAATTGTTACTTACAGATTTTTCTTATTCCCCTTTAATTTAATTCCACCTCCTCGGATTTGCTTATATTCATCTTTTGACATTCTGAAAACAAAATTTTAATTAAAAAAAAAAGAAAAATGTATGCAAACAAAAAGAAAATTCGAAGAAATAACGCTCCCCGTAAATCTACAACGCTTGTGTCTCCTACCGTAGTGTCGCTGTAAACGTGCAATGTCGTTGCGAGACATTTGTCTGCACCATCTGCTCCCTCCTTCCGCGAGGTCGGGCCTAAAAATTTTTCTTGGTTTTTCGTCATTTTTCCTCGTTTCTCTTGGCTTTTGTCAGTTTAAAAATAGTTTAAACCGCATTTTTTGCATGTAAATTCATTTGAAGAAGAATATTTCACGTTTTTTTCTTAAAACTATTGATGTTTTATCTCGCCTTCATGATGTCAATTTTATTATTGATTTTCTCCATTTTCAGTCATGCAAATTTTTGTCAAGACTCTGACGGGTAAGACGATTACCCTCGAAGTCGAGGCTTCTGACACCATCGAAAATGTCAAGGCTAAAATCCAAGACAAGGAAGGAATCCCACCAGATCAGCAAAGATTGATCTTCGCCGGTAAGAAAAACGATTTCATTCAGTGATTGTTTGTTTTAAATTATTATTTATGTTTCATTTTCTAATTACCGTGTTTTTTTTTTCAGGAAAGCAACTTGAGGATGGACGTACTCTCTCCGACTACAACATCCAGAAGGAGTCCACCCTTCATTTGGTTCTCCGTCTCCGTGGTGGTATGTTTCACATTGGATAAAAACGGAATTTCTAATAAAATAAAACAAATCTTCAATGTAGTCGAAAACCTTCCCCTGTGGAAATGAATTGTTGATTATGACACAATCCCGTCGATTTGATAAATATTTATATTTCAGGAATCATCGAGCCATCGCTTCGTCAGCTTGCGCAGAAATACAACTGCGACAAGCAGATCTGCAGAAAGTGCTATGCTCGTCTTCCACCACGTGCCAGCAACTGCAGAAAGAAGAAGTGCGGACACTCGAACGATCTCCGCATCAAGAAGAAGCTGAAGTAAATGTTTGGCTGTTAAATCCAATAAATCGTTGTTTGAATCAATTCTTACTATATTTATCACCATAAAACGTTATTCTCGTCAGTATTGAAGACCAAACTTCGTCAAAAGATTAACAAGATATGATTAGGATAGTACATAGTTAGATGCTCAAGAATATATTTCGTTCCGCCTTCGTGATTCGTCAACGTTCGTCACAAATCGCCCGGTAATTGGGAGTTGTAGTTATCCGTAAATACAAATTTGAGACGTCAGTTGTCGTTGGGGTTGAACCTGAAGTCTGAAGCTAAACCAAATGAAGCAGTTATTCAAGCAGAAAGGGTACGAAAACTCAGAAAGAGGAGACCAGTAGCAGCACCAGTGCCCAAAGTGGTAATTTTGAAAATAGTTTGTTTAAAGTTGGAAATAAAATTGAAATTTGAAGAATCGCGAGCCGTCGGTGGTGTCGATGGCGATATCAGAGAGTCTGAACCTTCAAGAAGTCATAGCAGATAACCATTTAAACAGTATGTACATCATAACCTGCATAGATGATGGTAAAATTGAAAAAGTTTCCAAAAAATGAAAATCGCCGAAATTCAGATACGGACGATACTCTGCATTTCGTCAAAAAACTGGAATACACTATCAATCCAGCCGAATTAAGCGAGTTGTTCGTGTTTCGCGACGGCGTCGTCGTTTTCTGGAACGTCGATTCGAGTCAAGTATCGTTGCCCCCGCATTTATCCAACATAAACATTGAGCGAAGTTGCAGAGATCGCAAATTTTGCGGGACCTCGAGAAGTACGTCGACGGGCCGTATGATTCGATGATTGTGATGGACGAGCAAGACCGAATGTTCTATAGATTCGCCGAACAGTTGGTTTTTCGTCTCATACTCAACACAAATCATTCCCGAGAATGAGATTCTTTAAATATTACGAGTAATCAGTCGCCTAAAAACGCTAAGCATCGTCAAAACTGAATATATTCCAAAAAAATGGAAGACAAGAAGTGGAATCTCTCGATTATTTCTAAGAAAAACGTCAATCAATGATATTTTCAATTTAAATCGAAAAACTTTTGCGTCTTATCAATACGATCGTGATTATCAGAGATGCGGTCTCGTCAATACATCAGGATCGATTCTATTTGTCATCGAAACACACAAATTCGTTGTCGAGCTCGAACGAGGCGATTCTTGAAAGATTTGCGCTGAGTCAAGCGTTTGCGGCATCCGGTAACTCGATATAGTTGTTGTTCTTTTGAAAATGTCAAAATATTGTTTTTAAAGTGAAAATTGGAGTTTGGGAGTCGTTGTTGAATAATCTCGCTGAGCCGCTTGCCACAACTACAAAGGTTGCAATTTTTTCAATTTGTATGTATTATCGATTTTCAGTCTCTAACTCAAGGCATTGTTCCGTGGAACCGAAAACAGGCGTTGATGAAGTCCGGAGAATTTGCAGCGTTGAGGTTTTTCTTGACTTGTTTCTCTCTCTCTCTCTCTCTCTCTCTCTCTCTTTCTCTGTCTCTGTCGATACACCAAATTTAGGCATTCGATAAATCTCGACTGCACAATATTGAACAAGGATTTCTATTGGGAGCGGCCGGAACTTGAGAAATATTATCTGATGGCTGGAAGGCATTTCTCGCTGGAACGCCGCATCGGGTAAACGCACGGGAAACGTCGGCAAAAAAAAATTTGCGTGGTTCAGAATGCTCAACAAACGTCTCGATTATTGCGAGGAGCTCGTCAAAATGGTCGACAATACGCTTGCTTTGAGACATGTGAGATTTTGACAAATTTTATCTCAATCTCTTGTTCGATAGAGCGCACTTGCCGCGCTCAGTGTGTTAATCTTATTGAACGAATGCCTCCCTTCCCCCCAAGGGAAATCAATTTTGCTTGCAGGCTTCCACTCTTGAATGGATGATCATTGTGTTGATTGTGATCGAAGTCTTCTTCGACGTTTTCCATTTCGTTGATAAAGGCCCGAAAAAAGTCGTGATTGTGTCAGAAGCCGAAGCTCAACAATGATTTTTGAAATTTACGTGTATTTCGTCCCCAATAAATTTTTGTCTTTGTTTTCTCATTTGTGTTTTCAAACGCGTTTTTCTGCTTCGCAATTTTACATTTTTTTTAATTGTTAATCGACTCCCGTCATATTCAGTCCGGTTTTTTTGCAGCATGTTTCGCCGAGTTTTGCCGTCGGTTCGACGAATTTCAGCGGCGAAACGTTTTTCCAGCGGCGTCGACGGCGATTCGTATAGGCTCAATGAATACAGCGTCAAATATTTGGGGAATAGAGAGGTTTTGGAAATTTTCCAACAAAAAAGAGAACACCAACAACTAGCGTTCTAGGCGACGTTCACTGAAAAACTGAAGATTCATGATGATAAATGGGCGCCGACGATTCCAATCTATCGCGTCACCGACGCATTGGGAAATGTGCTCGATTCGAGTCAAGACCCGAAATTTTACGAGCAGACATCGCTGAAAATCTACAAGACAATGACTCAATTGAATATTATGGACCGAATTTTGTATGAATCGCAGAGGCAAGGAAGAATCTCGTTTTATATGACCAGTTTTGGCGAAGAGGTTCGAAATATGCGCAATTTATAAGTATTCTAATTATCGTGGAAAAATCAGGGAAATCACGTCGGATCGGCGTCGGCTCTCGAACCGCAAGATTTGATCTACGGCCAATATCGCGAGGCTGGTGTGTTGCTGTGGCGAGGGTTCAGCATGACGAGCTTCATGAATCAGTGCTACGGAAACTCGGAGGATATCGGTAGGAGGCGTTGAGATGGAAAAACGAGGAATCGCGAATTTCAGGAAAGGGCCGCCAAATGCCGATACACTTCGGCACCAATCAACTCAATTTTGTCACCATCTCGTCGCCGCTCACCACGCAATTGCCGCAAGCGGTCGGATCGGCGTACGCGTTCAAACGAACGCCGAACAATAATCGAGTGGTCGTTGTCTATTTCGGAGACGGCGCGGCTTCTGAAGGCGACGCTCACGCCGCATTCAATTTTGCCGCCACACTCGATTGTCCGGTGATCTTCTTTTGCCGCAATAACGGCTACGCGATTTCGACGCCGACGAGCGAGCAGTACGGCGGCGACGGAATTGCGGGCAAAGGGCCCGGCTACGGCTTGAACACGATTCGGTTGGTTTGTCGACATTTGGTGAATCGAATCATCGTTGAAGTTCAGCGTCGACGGCAACGATGTGCTCGCTGTCCACAATGCGACGAAGGAGGCTCGCCGAATGGCGTTGGAGAACAAGCCGGTGCTCATCGAGGCGATGACGTACCGCCTGGGACATCATTCGACTAGCGACGATTCGACGGCGTACCGATCGGCTGAGGAGGTCGAGACGTGGGGCGACAAAGATCATCCGATAACGCGATTCAAGAAATACATCACCGAGCGCGGATGGTGGAATGATGAAAAGGAGAAGGAATGGCAGGCTGAGGTATATACATATATCGAGTAGTCGGTCCGTGTCGGTTGGTAATTTTTGAATATGGTTTAGGTCAAGAAGGAGGTTCTGTCGGAATTCGGAAAAGCTGAACAACGAAAGAAAGCTCATTACCATGAAATGTTTGAGGATGTGTATGATCAGCTGCCGCCAAGACTCGTCCGCCAACGAGACGAGCTCGACAAGATCATCGCTGAGTACAAATCGGAATATCCGATGGAGACAATATTGCCGAAATAATTTTTCGCTTCGCCCCCTCTCTTTGTGATTTTTTCGTGTACCATGATCTAAATCGCGTTTAAACCGTGTGCCATTCGACTAGAATAGAGAAGTTCGGAATGAATTTTTGAATGATTATCGAATAAGGTGTCGAATTGCCTTGATATCTTTTTGAGAAATGTTTGACGGAATCAATTTCGCGATGGGGTATTGCAGACGGCCGACAGGCAGGCGCAGGCAGGCGGTGTGTGTTGTTATCAGTTGAACACGGGCTTATCGCAAAACTAGTATCGATTTTGTCGCCTTCTGTTCTCATTCGCCTGATTTTTGATTTAGAAAATGGAGAACCCGAGTTTTGATGAGAACCAAACGGAACATACGCGGGTTCGATTTGAGCGCAATGGTATGATTTTTTCAACATTAAAACATTTTTTTTTGAAAAATATTGATTCGCGTTGCTCAAAAAATTCAAATGCATACGCGATATTTAATTGTTTAAATAATTAATCATTTGAAAATATTTTCAGTTCGGATTTTATTTCGATAGATCTCGAAATAGTTGAATTCGAATCGAAAATTTTAGGCCAAACCAAAAATTGTTTGATTACGAACTTCTTACGCAATTTTTTTTTGATAACGCGATTTTTTTGTTAATTGCAAATTTCATTGATTTGTGAAAATTGATGAGTGTGCAGTTTTTGTGGAAGAATGTCTAGAATCAGAGGATTTAATGCAGGTTCTTGCCTTCAAAATATATTTACGATAAATTGAGGGCGAGTGCGTACCGAGGGAGTATCGTTGCAATCAAATTTTTAACAATTATTACCAGAATCCATGGTGTCTCGAGGCAAAGAGACGTGCATGTGTGCCTAAATAAATTTCCCGCTACCGATTAGTCAGACTTCGGTTTAAAAGAAAATTTGAGGGGTAATATTTTCGATACGATAATTAAAGACGCACACAGTTTTTTTTTGCGTTGAGTTTCATAGCTCAACCCAACAAAGTGGGTTTTTACAAGTGTGACTTTGCAAAAAAAAAGGGGGCTACAGAAATTTATCGTCGTAAGACCTTGAAGACCCCGTTCGGACGCGTTGCGGTTCACACGCCTGCTAATTGGTTGGATTAAATTGGGCGAATCGAAATTAAATTATAGTGATTAGGAGGAAATCGTTTTTTTTCTCATTTTTTTTATTTTCTGTGTTGTTTTTCTGCGATTTTGAAAGTTTGAACTTGAGACATTCATTCCCCCTCCCGTGCCCTTCCCCCTTCCTCCAACGTTAATTCGCCTAATTGTTCATCGAGCGAAAATTTGGGTGTGATTTGTGTCTCAATGGACAATTTCAGCAACGCCGCCGCCATCATCGACTGTCGATGGTTATCAAGTGCTGCGCGGTCATTGTCACAATTGGAGCGACGACGACGACGACGACGACGACGTGATCGACGACGTCGACATGCTATCGCCGACGCAGCTCGACATTCAGGTAATCATTGAAGCTCTCTCGTAAAACTACACCTAGCGCGTTTATAAAAGAATCATATCGAAATTCATGAGAATCGTGCAATTCGCAAAAAATCGCATAAACTATACCTATAGTTTATGATACTAGATAAGGAAAATACTAGAAAAGGACGGCGAATAGGGTCAGGTGCTCATTTTTCCAAAGAAAAACATTTTTGTTTAATTTCAAACGAAAACAACATTTTTTTTCTGTGGATGTTTGATCTAGCCACCACCACTCCCCATAATTGGCAGCCAGATTGTAATTTTCGGACAATGATTGATATCATTCAATTTTTTCGCTGCACACCCTCTCGATTCACAATGGTCTCTCTCATTCATTCGCTTGCCGGCGGCTTGATCATGCGAATTCGCAAAATTTCTCCAATAGTTTGTTTAATAATGGGGCATGTCGATATATGGAAATTGTGTGTGTGTGTGTGTGAGTCACTCACTCCTTCTTCTTCTCCCATTTTTTTTATCAATACACTTTTATTTGTGTTCCCACCTTTGTTTTTGCTGTTCAATAGATCTTTGCCAAGTTTTTGAGGTTTGCCTAAATACGGAAGTCGAAACGCGACGCTGGGATTCATATGACGCGAATTTCAAAACAGCATGAATCCTCGTTTTGATAAGAATATCGATAAGCATGACGTGAGAGCTGATAATAATAAAATTGAATTTCCTTTAAAAAGAAACCCCCCCCCCTCCATATCAGTGCGTTGAGTAACAGAAGAAAAAGTCGCACCCCCAATTCTATTCAATCCTCTCTTTTCACAATTCGTTTTCAATAAATTTTTCGCCGCCCCACCATAAAAGGAATTTATTCATTTATTTATTTTCCACAACACATTTTTGGGTCAGTTATTATGACGATCTCGCTAACACCGCCGTCGTTGGTTGGCGACAAGACGAACTCGTCGACGTCGAATCTCGCGCGACATTTTGAAAGCGACAACGTCTCGATGGCGTCGTCGGCCGAAAGTTTTGAGCATTGCCATGAGCCGAACGCCGAGACGCAAAAGGTATCTCGGTGTCGATTTACGAGCGGCACGATATTTCTTCTTTTTTTTTTGGTTTGCTTGGTCCAATCTCAATAATTCTGTTTGTAGGGCCGCCGCGCCGAACGCGTACTCTGGGCGGTCGCGTTGCTCTCGATCGTCTTCATCGCCGCCGAGTTCGTCGGCGGCATTTGGGCGCAATCGTTGGCGATAATGACCGACGCCGGCCATATGCTCTCCGATTTGCTATCGTTCATCATCTCGATATTCGCGATTCGGTGCGCACGAATGCCGGCGTCGAAGCGCCTCTCGTTTGGGTACGCGCGCGCCGAAGTCCTCGGCGCGCTCACGTCGATCATCATCCTTTGGGTGCTGACGACGATTCTTGTCGTCATCGCCATCGAGCGCATCATCAACAACGAGCACGGTAACCTCATTGATTGTGTTGATTCGTTGATAGGGCGATGGTTTAGACGTCGACGCGAACATCATGCTCATCACCGCCGGCGTTGGCGTCTTCTTCAACGTTGTAATGGGCCTCGTACTTCATTTCGGCACCGGCGGCCACAGCCACACACACGGTGGACATTCGTCGCACGGGTATCGCGTCGTCGCCGGTCCATCTGAAACCCGCTTGACATTAATTTTCAGCCACTCGCACGACGGAAAGAATGTGAATGTTCGCGCAGCGCTCATCCACGTCATTGGCGATTTGGTGCAATCGATTGGTGTGCTGGTGGCGGCGTTGATCATCAAATTCACCGGCTGGACGCTGGCCGATCCGATTTGCACGTTTTTGTTCTCGATCATCGTGTTGTTCACGACGATCACTGTCATGCGAGACATCATTTTTGTGTTGATGGAAGCCACCCCGCGTCATTTTGACCTGCAGGATATCAAAAAGGCGCTCAGCGGTTTGGACGGGGTCCGTGGCGTTCACGACCTCCATTTGTGGTCCATCGGAATGGATATGACGGCGTTTTCGGTGCATTTGGCGCTTGGTACGAAAAAAAGAACGATTTTGAATTGAAACAACAAATTTACAGAATCGAATCAGCGCGCAATGGAGACGGTCGCCGCGGCGCGTTCGCTAGTCCGCCGCCAATTTGGTGTGAATGTCGCCACGGTGCAAGTCGAGCCGTTCGATTCGAGAAGCGACTCGTGCGATCAGTGCCAGAATCAAGTTTGAGATCGCCTTCAAACAACCAATTTTTGACTTTGAACTCGAAAAAAATTACGTGAAGCACCACTATTTTTTTGGATTGAAAAATGAAAAAAAAAAGAAAATTTTGTTTTTGTTGGTTTTTTTTACTGCAACGGGTTGTATTTTGCTATATTTTTTTTACTCACATGTACGTTTTTTCTGCTCTGTGTATATATAAAAATTTTTTGTATTTTGTCGACGTGAATTGTTAAATTGGCGTAATGTCATTTTGTAATAACACTTGCTCAAATTAGCCAGATTATGATTGTCCGAGTTCTAGTTACTGTTGCAATTTCGTACATATCGGCAAGAAGGTATTTTATTTAAAAAAAAAAAGAATTTGTTGGCATTTTTGGAATATTGTCGTAGAATCCGGCGTATTTGGTACGCAGTACACCGAACATACCGTAATCCCGGTGGCGATTTTTTCTGATAATTCTCGTTTTTTAAACTTTAAAAAATCCCAATTTTCCGATTGAAATTATATTTAATTTAGTTAAATAATAACAGCAAGAATTCACTATTACATGAATAAAATAGAAAGAAATTCCAAAATACTGTTTTATGAAAAAAAATCGCGTTAAAATATATTAAAATTGCGAGCAATTATTGAGCCATGATGATAATTTTCTCGGCCATCCTTGTTTTTTTGTTGTTGTTGTTTTGCTAAAACCCATTCGTTTTAAAGTATTCGATTGTCGGGAATTCGCGATGGTTCGACAACAGCCATCGAGGTCGATAGTCTCGCGAAATTCTCGCTGGAAATTTTCGGCCGAAATCTCGGCGCAAGCGGCTATTATTTGACAACGGCGGCGCGATGCGAAGATTGGAATCGAACCGATTTAGGCCCACAAGTCACTTATTTTATCAAACACGCGCATTCATATGACAGGTTTTGCGGCCCTTCACAACTAATTACAAAATGCGTGTTTTTCGTTTTAGGTACGCTTACATCGAAATGCCAGAAGGTATCGAATTCAATTCCACCGCCTCATTATATCATTTATGTTATACGCCGAGCACTTTTTACATCTACAAGGTCTCTAATTTGAAATTCAACGCAAAAATCCTAGTATGGTTTACAGTACCTCGTCATAAAGCAGCGGGTTATTCCAAGCACAAACTACTGGCCGAAATATTTGCTATGCATTTATTGTGTGGTTTGTCATTGATAAATAATTTTGATTGAAAAAAACGAAAACCATTTTGAATTGCAGATAATGGCTGCTTATAGTTCGGGAATGACACTCGGTTTCATGAAATTTCCGATTGCCGAATTGAATCGAATGATGGAGATGGAGGAACCAACGAAAGTGGGTGCTTCATTTTTTCTTAAAAAAAATTGTTGCTTTATAAATAGCGAAATAATTGAATTTCAGACGCGCGCTCGACGAATCCTCCCGTTTCGAAAACGATCCAATTGGCTGGTGTGCACGTTTTCAATGTTTTCCACACTTCACACGGTTATATTCACCACTCAAGTCGAATCATTCTTCGCCGGGGTTTGACGCAAATTGAGAAAATTGCCATTATCATTAATGTTTTTTTTTTGCTAAAGATTAAATATGATGAGGTGCTTTCGATGTTGGTCCCAACTGTAATTCTTCTGGTTTTCGCCGAAATGATCCCGCAGGTTTGATTCGCAAAAATATTTTTAATATACTTAATTTTCTACCTTTTCGATGCTCTTCCCCAAGCTTTTTTTTCTAGGCTGTTTGCAATAGCAAATTCGGATTTGTGTTGGCTTCGAGCCTCTGGCCGGTCAACGTCGTCATTTTTCTGATATGCGCGCCGATTGCGTGGCCGGCGTCGAAAATAATTGATCGATATTTGGGACGGGAGGTGAGAGAGGTGATGACCGAGGAAGAGAAGATGAACTATGTGAGGAATATGGCGAAGAAGGCGAATCGAACTGAAAGAAGTTTTGCTTTTTTCTTTGAGTTGAAGATGTGGAATTTTTTAATACAATTGTACAGAAATCCTCGAAAAAGCCACCGAATTCTCGTCGAAGAGCGTTGAAGACGTGATGACGGTGATCGACAAGGTTTTTCTGTTGCCGTCGTCGCAGAAATTGAACAAAGCGGTAGGAAAAAAAAAACAATTTTAGCATTTTATTTGGCGTTAATAAAAATGCAAGTGTGCATTCACGCTGCACACGCCTCTGCGGACTTGCGCTTTAATCGAAGCCTCTTTACAAGAAGAACAATTTTAAGTTCAGATGATCCTGACGCTAGTCGAGAAGGGCTTCACTCGGGTGCCGATACGCGATGAGAAGGACAGCGAGAACATCTACGCGGTGCTCAACATCAAAGACCTTCTCAGTATGGATTTGTCGCATTCGCCGACCGTCTCGAAGATTCTCGCGAAAATCGACTCGAAGACGGCCCAAATGAAATACGTGATGGCCAACATGCAAGTGCAGCTGCTCATGCAGCAAATGCGCACCGGCGGGTTCCACATTGCCACGGTTATCAAGTGCACGCATAGCAAGTTGGTGTAAAATTGATATTTTCGAAAAAAAAAGAATAGAAACATTCCAAATGAAAAAATTGATTGTTTTATTACTTTTTATCATCTGACAAATTAAATAAAATATTTTTAGGCCTATTGAGAGACTATCCTGTCTCTATTTATATGTAGTAATTTAGAATTTTAACTGTAGCAACAGAGATGGGCGGAATGAAATTTTAGAATGTATATTGAGATAATTTAGAATATGCTCAAAACGTTTTTTGGAAATCCTAAAAGGATTAAACAAAAAAGGTTTTTAAGTACATTGGATTGCGGAGCCGAATTTTGTCAGCTCCAATTTCGAAAAAAAGCAAATTTTTGTTTTCTGGCATCTGTTGAATTCGATTTTACAGCTATAAAGTTGTTGGCATCATCACAATTGAAGATATTCTCGAGCAAATATTCGGCGAGATTGTTGAGAACCCCGAGAAGACGCTACGCCATCCGTGCACCGGCGCCAACGATGATTACGTCATCAATTGGTGTCGAGAGGCCGGCACCGAATCGCGATACCCGTTGTCGTTTTCGCAGCAGTTGCTTGTCATTCAGGTACTTATAGTGTGATCGACCGCGCTCTACCCGGGTAGATTTACGAGGTGCGTGGTCTCACGCGGAACGGTACACCCCGTAAATCTACCGCAGTCGTTGGACGCATACTATGACTACAATGGTGTAATAAAATTGAAAAAAAAATTAAAATTTAGAGTGTCCTCGACGAGTGCCATTTGTTCCGACGATTGGGATTCGACACGCTGAAAATGAAGCTTCTGCTATCGACAAGCCGAATTCGCAAATGTATCAAAGTAACAAAAAAATATATATATATATATATATGAAGAAGCAAGAAAAAAAAATGTTTAGAATGAAAGTTTGCCTGTTAAAGATGTGATGATCATCGTTTTTGATGGTACGCTGGAGATTAAGCGCGATGGCGAAGTGATACCGCAAAATTTGCTCGTGAAAAAGATTGACAAGTGAGAAATTTTGTGCGAATTTTTGATTATTTGTCTTTTTGCTCGAGTCGAGTTTAGGCGTTGCAACATTGGAAAAGTCGAAGGTGTTCAAGTTTTCATTGTGGGACACTTGGTTTTGCGAAAAGTTGCCGAGGTGACACGAATGAGATAATATTTAATTGATTTTTGTTTTATTTTGACTTTCAGGGCCTCCATTTTGCCAATAATTATACGGTTGAGGAGAAAGTTTGCGAGGTGATTTGTCGATCGGAAACGTGCTCGTTTTTCAAGGTTCGATTCAACAATTTCTCTCGTTGGCTCACTTTTCTTATATTTGTTATTTTTAATACAGCTTCGCATTCGAGACATCACTGATTTGGTGAATGAGAACTCGCAAATGTCGCGAACTGACGAGATGCACAGCGCGTCGACGGACGGCGAGGTGATCGATCGCGGATGGTCCTACAGCGAATTGAGTGAGTCGTATTTCAAGCGTGATATTTAATTTTTTTTTCAGTGAAAGCCATCACTTCGGAACGAATGCAGTATGGGCTAGGTAATTGTAAATTAAAAATTGGGTTTTTTTTTCTGAGAAGAACTTTGCCGATTTTTGGAGATTTTAAGAAAAAATTTGAAAAACAAACAACGGTTTTTATTTTTTTTTAAATGTCCGCTTGCAGCCAACTCGATTCTGCCGCCAATTTCGGATTCGTCGACGACGAGTCCCGCTGCTAGCGATTCGCTCGAGAATGTCACAAAATCGATGGACACGAACTCGAAAACGTACCTTCTTGAGCCGCGCGTCGCGTCGATTCAGAGTGTCGAAAAGCGGCGGCGGCGAAAAAAATAGGAGTTTTTTTTATTATTCTTTTTTTCTTTTTCCCTATGCAGAGATTTTTTCTCGAATTTCAGACCGTTATTGTTTATAATTCTACTTCCTTCATTTCATTTTATTTTTGTCACTTACAACACCAGAAAACAATAAATGCGATTATCATCATTCCAATGTTCATTGCCAATATTGTGTGATTTTATGGCACTATGCATATTTTTCAAAAAAAAAACCCTGAAAATGGCGAATGAAAACTTGGATAAAAAATAAAATAGTTAAAGGAGCATTTTATAAGTCCTTCTCTTAAAGCAAACTGCGGTTTGTTTTTGGTTTAAACTTTGCGATTGCACGAAAGTTTCCAAACAATTCCAGTACGACACTCCAATTGCACATCGCCCTCAATTCAGCGAGTGGCTTTTTGTGACTTTTTGCAATGTACCAAAGTCACGTCAACACAATCACGCAGAGGAATCATGTGACGGTTGAGAGCGGACGGAGACTTGTGCGAAAAAAACTGAGGCAGTGTTTGGTTAGAGGCTACTGGTTAGAAGGTGCACCCTGAGCTCGTACTAATCACAAAGAGAACTAGCTTAAGACTCAGCTCAATTTGTTGGCGAGTGGAAAGACTGATTATTTTGAGGTTAGACTCGACTTTTTTTACAATCTCATATTATCTGAGAATCGTTTTCATTTGTTTTTTTTAGATGAAAAGCCACGCGCCAAAATGTTCGGAGTTGAAATTCCAATATTTCGTTAAAAAGAGAACATTCCGCTGGTCAAAACTCTTCGAAGCCTCGTTCATCACACTATCGACGTCGGGAGAACCATTCTGCGGCAAATGTCAGTGCTATTTGAAGTTGGTCAAGGCGCGACCGCAACGTTTGTTCAACGCGATGTCAAGAGACGTACGCGGACGGCGTGTTGCTGATATTTTGCGATGCGAAATGCTCTCTTTATTAATTCGAGCTTGTCTATTGGCAGGTAACTCGTCTTAATTTCTTATTTTGACATTTTTGATTCAATTATCCGTTAATATATAATTAGAAAGCCAATTATGGGAATGTTGTTATTAACTGATGATTTATTCACTCCAGAATATTAATGATAAGCTAAATCCGACCTACAGCTAATAACCCAATCAATGGTGGCTTGAACAATTAATAAGGTGATAAAACACAATACTTCTAAAAAAATATCGATGTAAGGAATTCTTATATAAATGAGAATGTTGTCCGCGTTGATTAGATCTCGTTTGGTAGTGATCCCTAGAATTCCATCGTTTGTCCTGGGTCATGATAAGGATCCGAGCAGAAAAATAAATATTTTGCCATTCTTCTTTGAATTCTTCCCCGGAAGGAGGATCCTAGTAGCAACGTGGAATTTCTCGTATAGGTTGCTCTTGGATGGGAGGAACGGATTCGACTAGTGATCCGTCTGGCGACGGTTATCACCTTTTTCTTTGTTCGGTTCGGTCCGGATAGGGATCCGAGTAGCGAATCCACGAGCCTTTTCGTATTAGAATTCCATCATTTGTCTTTAGTGGGTCTTGCTAGATCCGAGCAGTGCAGAATTCTGAAAATGTGTAAAAATTGATAATTCTTGTTTTTGAATGCACAATTGAGCTTATGACATACCTGAAGCTGGCATACTTGTGATTGACTCATTTCTCCAGTTTGAGTTGCCATCTTCTTGAATTTCTTCTTTCGGAAATCGATTTCGCTGAAAACGAGATGTATTTGAGGATAGAATGGAACGAATACAAACTTGGATGTGAATAGGCGAATGATAGCTGTCCTTCCTTCGTCGAACATCATTTTTATACCGAAAATGTGATGTGGAACATTTTTTGGCGTATAATCGCATTAATAATTCGATGATTGAATTATTGGCGTGATGGGAAACCACATAGAACAATATATTTTTCGAAAATAGAAAAATGAGCGAAGAAATGTGGGATGGCCCGATCTTTTATATGGGAAAATGGTCGTAATTTTTAATGTGATTTTTTTAATGGGAGAAAATGAGAATCGAAACAATTTTGTAAAATTTCCGAAGGAAAACGAATGATTTCCTATGGTCCATTGGATTATGTTCATTTTTGCAGGGCGTCGACGAAAATTGGCGGGAAATTTTGAATTTGGCGCGAAAATTCAATTTTGTTTTTAAATTCAAATTTTCGCGCGCTGCAAAAATGAAAATAATCCAAAGGACCAAAATTGTTTCGATTCTCATTTTCTCCCATTAAAAAAATCACATTAAAAATTACGACCATTTTCCCATATAAAAGATCGGGCGATCCCACATTTCTTCGCTCATTTTTCTATTTTCGAAAAATATATTGTTCTATGTGGTTTCCCATCACGCCAATAATTCAATCATCGAATTATTAATGCGATTATACGCCAAAAAATGTTCCACATCACATTTTCGGTATAAAAATGATGTTCGACGAAGGAAGGACAGCTATCATTCGCCTATTCACATCCAAGTTTGTATTCGTTCCATTCTATCCTCAAATACATCTCGTTTTCAGCGAAATCGATTTCCGAAAGAAGAAATTCAAGAAGATGGCAACTCAAACTGGAGAAATGAGTCAATCACAAGTATGCCAGCTTCAGGTATGTCATAAGCTCAATTGTGCATTCAAAAACAAGAATTATCAATTTTTACACATTTTCAGAATTCTGCACTGCTCGGATCTAGCAAGACCCACTAAAGACAAATGATGGAATTCTAATACGAAAAGGCTCGTGGATTCGCTACTCGGATCCCTATCCGGACCGAACCGAACAAAGAAAAAGGTGATAACCGTCGCCAGACGGATCACTAGTCGAATCCGTTCCTCCCATCCAAGAGCAACCTATACGAGAAATTCCACGTTGCTACTAGGATCCTCCTTCCGGGGAAGAATTCAAAGAAGAATGGCAAAATATTTATTTTTCTGCTCGGATCCTTATCATGACCCAGGACAAACGATGGAATTCTAGGGATCACTACCAAACGAGATCTAATCAACGCGGACAACATTCTCATTTATATAAGAATTCCTTACATCGATATTTTTTTAGAAGTATTGTGTTTTATCACCTTATTAATTGTTCAAGCCACCATTGATTGGGTTATTAGCTGTAGGTCGAATTTAGCTTATCATTAATATTCTGGAGTGAATAAATCATCAGTTAATAACAACATTCCCATAATTGGCTTTCTAATTATATATTAACGGATAATTGAATCAAAAATGTCAAAATAAGAAATTAAGACGAGTTACCTGCCAATAGACAAGCTCGAATTAATAAAGAGAGCATTTCACGTGAATCGTCGAAAACCGAAACAATAGACCTTCTAACAAATTCGACAATTTTCCACTATAAAAAAAGTTTGCAAAATCACAGAAAAAATAGGAAGTTATTTTTAGAATAGTTTTATCTAGAATAATTTTATTTGGAAAGAGTGAAACAATTGTGAAATGAAGTTATAGGTCATCAATAGAAAAAAATGAAAAACGCAGATTACGGTACATGTGTGCAATCACATGCTCAGTGTTTACGGACTGCGTGCTTTCTAATTTTTTTTCCTATTTTTCCATTTTTTTACTGCTCTTTGCGGCTTTCAAAAGCTCAGAATATATTTTATTTCTAGTTTACTTAGTGTGTTACGATTTTTGTATCCAAATATCATTATTTCGCATACTCACAGTTGAAATTAACGTTAATTTTTAATTTTTCGTTTTAATACAGCTACATTAAATTTTACAGATTTGAATTTGAAGATCTTCCTGAAGAACACAATACTGTCCGCATATTGAAAATTTCGACACATTTTATCATTCTAGAAGGTAAATTTTAGTTTATTTCTTAGTCTTTTTTTTTTTAATTTTTTGACGCGTTCCATACTAAAATATTTGCAGGAAGGTGAATCGTCGAAAACCGAAACAATAGGCCTTGGCCGACTTAAATTCTTAAATGGCAATTATTTATAGTTAGCTTCCGGCTACAGATGTATGAGAGGGACGGTAGATTTACAGACGCTGTTTAATACGTCACCCAAACGGGATACTAACGTTACGTATTAGATAAGGTACGCTTCATCTATATTATTATTATTTATTAATTTATTAAATTATACGTGTAATAAGGCGCGAAATTTGAATACTCGCCTTCAAAGCGACAAGTCTGATGAGAGACTTTTTTTGTCGATTGTTGTTGTTGGGCTATCAGACAACAAAAAGCTGCGAGTTTCGTGGTGACGCAATCACGTCATATGACGCGAAACGCGGCAGTTGTGAACGGCCCATTCATTTCGGCTCATCATCATCATCATCGTCGTCACTAATTGTTTAATTGCCCTCGCAATAATTGCTCGTGTCGTTCGTGCGTGTGTGTTTCATATGTTTACACACAAGTGTCGAGACTTTCACCATCATCTTCTCTTCTCGCCAACAAATACCATTTATGGAGGCAAATAAAAAAAAAATGCGGCGAGACGATCTTTCGTCGGTCACTCAAAAATGAAAGCGCAATTTGAGACCTCACAAAATGGTGGGGGCAAAAAAAAACATTTAAATAGGTGGGGGGGGGATGGCGAGAAATTTGCATAATTGCACTTTGCAAGGCTCCCGCCGCGAAATATCCATTTTTGGTCACTCGCCTCGTCTCAATCCGAACGAAATCTCGAAAAAGATTGAATATGCGTGTGTGTGTGTGTGTGTGTGTGTGTTATCTCATCCTCGAATCGTCCTTGATTCCCCTCCCCTCTCGCCCCTCAACTTCCTCCAACACCTTCTTCGGCTTCGCTCACATTTTTTCTCGCTGTGTTTCATTAAGAAACCAAAACGCTCGTCCAAATTGTTTTGTGGTGGACCGTTTGGTTCGTTTCAAACTGATAAATGGGTCCCATGCGGAATAAATGGTCTCTCTCCGTCCCTCCACTCCACCCTCCAGCCTTCCAACAAATGTTTGGCTCCTTGGCTCGGCTCCGTGTGAGCACACACACACACAGGAGACAACTGTCGTCGTGTGCTCCCGACGACAAAACGCGACCGAGACTTTCTTCATCTCAAAACATTATCGATTTTTTCGTGCTCCCAATGTCCGCAGATGTTTCGAAAAAAAAAAAATAAAAGTTGTGTTAATTTCTCGTCGCCCGCTGATTGCGGGCCTAATAAGATTTGTGCGTCTGTCAAAATTTTTTCCTCGAACACGACTTCTCCTCCTCCTCCTTTTTCTTTAGTCTTTTTTTTTGTTCAGCTCGCAATTTTTTCCACCCAATTGCAATTATTTAATGTTGAACCCAAATTTCAAAAATCCAACAAAAAAAAAAAACTCGTGCCCATTCGGTTTTTTTGTCGTTTTCAGATGAATATATGGCCGTTCCGGTGTCGATAATTTCATACGGCGGCGGCGCGACGGCGTTCACCGCGACACCGCCAACTTTCGCGCAGGTAATTAACTAATTAGCCTAAATTGGCTCAACAAATTTGTGATGTTCTTCTAGGTTTACTATGGTTCGAATTACGTGTCGGACAAAATCAATTATTGCGCTCCGTCGTACGTGCAGCGTATCAAAGTAGGCGGGGAGGGGCAAAATTTGAAACAAAACAAAACCGATTCCAGAAGCGACTTGCCGCCGAAGGAAGTGCCGCCGATCCATCCGAGGAGAATCAAGAGTAAACTGAGTTGCCACCCAAAAAAGGAAACCAAAATTTTCTTTGCTTGCAGCCGTCGTGGCGCACTTTTCTGCCGATCCGGCACTTGGCTCGAACTAACACCGTCCGAATACGATGAGACGTTGGTTGTGCGCGGCACAAAAACCGAAAGCTCGAAATTCAGTAAAAACGTTTCGTCGCGAGACCCTCTCACTCACGTCTCACCGAATTTCAGGCATATTCGATTTCATCTCGGTCGCGATTGGTCTCGTCTCGATTCGTGGCGTCGAGACCAACAATTTCGTGTGCATGGACCCGTCGGGCAAACTCTACGCGACGGTATGCGCCTTTAATCGACGATTCGAAAAAAATACAAAATTGAATTCGATTTCGAATTATTCCAGCCGGCTTCGAACTATTCGACGGAATGCGTGTTCCACGAGGAGATGATGGAGAATTACTACAATCTGTACTCGTCATGTGCCTACGGAAATCGCTCGGCGCCCTGGTATCTCGAAATTCGACGTAGCGGCAAACCGCGAAAAGGCTCGGCGAGTCAGAAGCGGCGAAAAGTGAGCGATTTTCCATCATATTTCCACTATTTTGGCACATTATGGCGTCACGGTGTACTGCACACTTCGATGTGTCTACCGTAACCGAAAAAAAAAAATTAATTCAATTTTTTTTTAAAGGCAAGTCATTTTCTAGTGGTTCACTACGATCTATCACGGTTTAAAAATCCAACGAAACCAAATGGAAACGTAAGTTCAATAAAATATTGGCGCGAAATTCAAAAACGAAAGAAAAACAATTACAGGATGTCAGAAATTTGGTGGTCGCCAGCTTATACCACCGACCGCCAAGTCATCCATTCTTTCAAGGGCCGAATGTTCAGAAGCCGACAATGCCAACGCATCGAATTTCCAGGTGAGACCCAATATGCGAAATAATTGCTATCCAAAAAAAAATATTGCAGTTTTCGAGCGCGAGTGAGCCACGCCGACGAGAATGTCCGATTGCAAAATCACGCCGAGAAGAAGAAGCGCAGAGAGAAAAAGAAAAGGCGACGCGAGGAGAGACTGCAGCGCGAGGAGAGACGCAGGCGGTGAGGATTTCAGAAAAATTGAAATTTTAGCAACAAAAACGAATTCTAGAGAGCGCCAAGAAGAGTTGAAGCGACTGCGCGCCGACGAGCTGCGAAGGTCGAGGCATCATCAAATGTACCGAAATTCGCTTCGCCAGCATCAGCTCAACAATCGCAACAATCAGCAGCAGCAACAGCAGAATAGCTACCAGCAGCAACAGCACAAATACCAGCAGCAGCGGTTGCAGCGGCAGCATTTCTATCCGCCGCCGACGACAGCGACTACACGTCGCTATTCTCCATCACCACCACCACCTCCGACACCCTACTACCACCATCCCCATTACCATCAATACCATCATCATTACACTACTGCGCGTCCGCGCCAACCCTATTGGCCCCCACCATCACACCATGCTCAGCCACCATCTCATGTGCCGGCGCGCGCCTATCCCTATTGATCTCTTCACGAAAATCAGAAAACTGCCAAATTCGCAGCGGATAAACCAAACTCCTAATTTCCTTCTACGGGTCATTCATTCACGGGTGTCATAAATATTTGTTGAAGTATCATTTTATTATTATTATTTTTTCGGGGGATTTCACTATTCCGTAGAAAGAGTGACGTGGAACAAACGAACAATGGTGAACACAAAATCAACAAAAACTCAACAAATGAAATGAAGCTGAAACGCGGCCAAGAGATGTCTGAAAATCCAAAACTGGTGTTTATTGCGCCAAAAACGCACCCCTCCCACTACCTCTAATGATTATCTCCAACAAATCCTCGCGTCTTGAACAATTTGTTCGATTTGACGGCGACGCGAAGATCAAATCGTCGTCGGAATCTCTCAACAAACTTCATATCACGCGCAACTTTTCGAGCCTCGACAACATCTAAAATCGATAATGATCACACAGTCTGAACACAAAAACTCGAATACTCGTCGTTCCGGTCCAAGCAAGAGCCTGGTGAATTCCTCTTGCTTTATCTAGGGCCGCTCTTGAGGCAATCCGCTGAGCGCCATCCACCGGTCTCAAATACTGTTTGAAATAGCGGAAAAGACTTCGATGACCAATTTTGGCGCCCGATGGAAGTGTCAGGGTCCATCCATCGTCAAATAGTATATCCGCCGCATTTTCGTCATCATTATCGTACATTGAACTGAAAGATAATGTGAATTCCGAAAAGAAAAGAAGGAAAACGTCCAAAACCAACCTGTAGTCATAAAAATCGGCGAGTTCGATCATGCTTTCGGGATCTCGACGTAATTTGCAATGCTGCTTATCGCGCATGTGCTTCTGACAATCGGCAACGCTGGCGAATCGCGCTTTCACGTCCGGACAATAGATGCAACATCGTCCCGCTCCAACTTTGAGTCCGAGGTAGCTCATGCAGCCAGCCTCATCGACAAGATACTTCTGATCGGGCAATTGGAAGTCGTGATGGAATCGCATGTGCTCCTTCATTTCGTCGCTCGTCGGCTTCGTCTGCGGACAGAACAGGCATGACGTCATTGGAAGAGCCTCGTCCTCATTCAGCTCCTCGATTTCATCGTCTTCACCGTCATCGGTCTCCCAACCCGACGACGAGTCGGTGTCGTCATTCTCCTCCTCAGCCGGCTGCGCTTTCTTCGGCAAATTTTCCGGCTTCTACGAGTGTCAAAAAATTGATGATGAGTTCGAGCTCAAATTCCGATTTGCCTACCTTTCTCGGCTGTTTTGGTCCCTTCTTTTCAGCGCTAGCCAGCAGTTTCTCCGTCTCCTTGTGTTTCTTGCTCGCCAGATGATCGTTCATCGCATTTTCCGTCTAGAAGGGAACAAATAAAAAACTGTGGAATTTGAGAGAAATCGAGAAAAAAAAACACACGCCTACTTTAATCTGTTTTTTGCACGCTTTGCAATAGAGCGGCTCGATTTTCACTGGTGCGCTCGGTTTCGGCGCGTTGAACGCCGACGACTTCTCATTGAACAACGCGAAATCGATGGCGGGAAGGTCGGCGGCCTGTCGTTTAAGATTGTAGCGATGCCATTCGGTTTTGTAGTGATCGCGTTGTAGATCGGCGTTCTCAAACACGACGCGACATGTGACACACGTGAAACCACTTGAGCCGTCCATCTGAAAATATATATTATCTAATAGGGGACCATTCACGAAATGCACACCAAATACTGTATATTATTTCAAAAATGCTAAAACAGAAAGGAACGAGCGGAGTTAAACCCGTTAAAAACGAAGCAAAAATTGAAATTCTCTACAATAATGTTTTATTCTCCTCAATTACATCTATTTAAAAAATAACGAATATTTTTTCTTCGAATAAAAAATGATAATCGAATTCTAATTAGTCGGCAATTTCGTCTGAATCGCGGCGATCTCCGCATCCCACGCCTTCTCAATTTTCGCCCAATGCGCCAAAAGCTCCTTTTTGCGTTGCTCGCGCGTATTGAAATAATACGGGAACTGCTCGCGTTCGGCCAACGTCCATTGATCCGAATCGACAATCTCGTCGGGCGATTCGCGCTCGCGATCGTAGCTACTGCCGCCGGGATCGAGCGCAAAACGGAACGGCTTGAAATGACGCTTCTCCCACAATTGGCGGCAACCGTCGGCGAGCAACAATTGGCTCTTTCGCGTGTCCTTCTCGTCTTTGTTGGCGTCGAAACGAGCGCGAATAATGCATTTCTGGAAGCGCACTTCGAGATTGTCTCCGCCGTACCAATTGTCGACTTCGCGCAGACAACGCTTATAAAGGCGGGCCACCTGAAAGCACCTTTTTTTGAAAATTCAATTTCATACTGTTTTGAGTTTTTTCATTCGAAGAAGTTCACGAAAATCTTGACGTTTACATAACTTGTGTACGGAAAAACTTAATATCGTAAAAAATGGAATAAATCCAATTATTTAAATTCAATTTTGAAAATTATGGTATTTATAATCGAAAAGGATTAAATGCTTGCATGCACCTTTAATGTATACGGTAATATGACAATGTTTAGCGGATAAAAAGGGCCAAGACTAAAATCCAGCCCGAATTTTGTGCAATCACGCTTGCATACTCTGCGGACTTGCATTTCAATTGACGCGCAAAACAATTCAAAACCAGCGAGTTTCTCGCAAAATTCGAGAAATGTCATTTCTGATTAATTTCCAAAAATTATAACCTTTTGTCGGTGGCTCAACGCCTTGGTGAACATCCAAGCCGGTGAATCCATGGCAATCTCCCCAGCAAAACTGCAAAAAAGCAATGCTTCAATTCAATGTAAAAAAAATTTCGTAAGTATTAATCGGCAAAAAATAACCGAAAATAATGAAAAATTTCCAGAAAAAAGATAAGTCTGCATTTTTTCCAAAAAAAAATTAGGAATGAGGATAACAAACAACAACAAACAAACAAATCGAAATTTCAACAACGAAAAAAAAAGCAAAGAAAATTATGATTTCACACGCTGGCGCGCCTCCGGCTCGTGCTCATACTCAATCTCAATATGAGCACGCTTCTTTATCTTCTTCACCGGCTTCTTCTTCGGCTTCTCCTCCTTCTTCTTCGGCTTCAACACCTTCTTCGCCTTCTTCACCGGAGGCTCCATCGCTTCGTCGTCGTCCTCATCGTCATCGTCGTCATCATCTTCCTCCTCCATTCTCCACGCCTCATCCTCCTCCTGCTCGCTGTCAGTATCCGGCGGGCTCCAATGCCCACCATCCTCAATGTCGCCGGCGTCCTCATCATCAGAACTCTCGAAATCGGCAACGAATTGCGTCTCGCCCGTGTCGGGATCGTCTTGCTCAATCTCCTGCTCAATCTCGAGTTGATTCTCGGCGTTGTCCAGCATTTGCTCAAACGCTTCCTGTCGGAAATTGTATACATCGCCATATGTGCCTTGTCTGTAAAAAAATTAACATTTTTCTATTGAAATTTCAATACAAAGAAGGTTCCCTACTTGAGTCTCGCCAAAAGCTCCTTTTCAATGGCGTTATCAAGTTTCGCTGCCACCAACGCCTTCTCTTCTCGACGCTTCTCACGTCGTTCAACTTTCCGACCAATAGGTATCAATTTTTTCTGGCTAAAATTCACAATGAGATTTTTTGCCCATATAAAATGAATTATTTTTTCTCCCTACTTTCCGCGAACCGCCATCTTCCGCATTCGAATGAGATATTGATGGATTCGAATCAGTCTCGCTTTGCACTTGTGCCGAATATACTCACTCCAATGGATGAGCTGATCGCTAATCTGTTGAAGCGCCTTATTCATGTCCTTCGACAATTTCGTCTTCTCCCAGAGTCGTCGCGGATAATGACTGCGTTCAATCACTTTCGCATACAAATAGCATACACCTTTAAAAATGACATTTTTTTCAAACCCATTTCAACTCTCGATTACCATTTTCTTCGCGAACCGTCGCGTATTGCGAATTGGCCAGCGGACACGACGCGCGATTGCACATTCCCGTCAAATTCATCTCATTCCTACAAAACATTTTCGGTTTCGACCATGCCTTATAAGAGCATTGGCCTTTGTGCAGAATATTCCAAGTGATGTCGTCGCACTGCATGTTTACCCCTAAAAACCGATTATAGCTGAACTTAAAAAAATTTGAATTAAAAAATATTCAATTGGTCACATTGAACCAAAAATGAGGAAATGCTCAAATAAAAAAAAAACGTTGAAATAATTTATTATACCGTATTAAAAAAGTGTCACCGTATATTCAGAAGACCATGAAGAACATAACGAATTTCAAAAATATGAAATTGTAAAAAGAAAAATCAATACGTTTTTTACAGACAATACCATAAAATAATTTACAATCAACTGAATCCTATGAATCTATTTTGACATCATCAATAGACTTCAGAACATTTTTGACGTCGTCGCTAGATTCTACAGGGTTCGTTTCCTTCGGACTCTCTTCCGGACAATCCTCCTTCTCATCCTCCCAAGTTCCCTCCTTCGATTCCCCAGTATCCTCAACCAACACCTCAACCACCCACGATTTCGGCTTCACCTCTGTCCATTCCTCCGAATTCAACGCACTTTCCTCAGCTGATTCCTCCTGATTTTGCGTCGTCTGCTCATCCCACCAATCTTTCGCAGGCTCCCGTTTCTCTTCAGCTTCATCATCATCATCATCATTATCACTTCTCAAAACTGCGAACTTATTCGAGTGTTGAATCGGAGCAGGCTTCGAAATCTACAAAATGCCTCATACTCTCATTAAAACATGACTACAAATTTGCTACCATAATCGGCTTCGGTTCTCGTTTATAGACAATCTTCTCACTTCGGAGCAATCTCATTCCTTCTTCTTTTTCAATTATTCTCTTATTTTCATCGCATTGGTCCCTATAATTTGAAAATAATCAAAATCAAACACGAAATATTCACTTTCGGATGCAAGATGGTCCCGGCGTATCCAAAACGCCTTTATAATTGACCAATTGACTAAGAAGGACAAATGGTGGACGAGACTTCGACCTAAACAGTAGTTTGCGACATATAAGGCAAAATCAATTCAAAATATACCTGTATCCATAAAGGACCATACTTCTTTTCGGAGGACTATCGACACTCTCAGTGTCAATATTAAAATATGTCGCATATTCATGAATAAATCGTCGTTTATCGACATTCAACGGAGGAGTGTGGTATCGGGCGACGTCAGATTCTTTCGTCGGCTGAACACAAACACACACATGATCAAAATTGTATTAGGGAGCAAAAAATACTCACATCGGACAATTCGGAGAAAATCTCCTGGAACACACTTTCAACTTTTCTCACAAACTCCATGTTCGTTTTGACGACATCTTTCAGATAACTCGGATACATCACTGATGGCGACGTCGTCGATTCCCCAAATTCATCAATCTCGATCCCCAGCCCATCGGCCACCTTCTTGTTTCTCTCAAGCTTCTTGCATTCATCATCGCATTCCAAACAATTCAATTGGCTCAAACTCGACGTTCGTTTACGCTTCGGCTCGCTGAGCTGAGCAACGCCGTCCGTGGCGTCTTCGGACAGCGTCTCTTTCATATTGATAAGTTTGTCGACTTCATAGCACGCATAGTTCTTTTTGATTCGTCCGCATTCACACGTGATGCGAACCTTTTGAAGACACGGCGAAGGCGCACAAGGAGTCGAACCATGACAAACGAGAGCACAAGGGTGCTCACAACCATCGCGTATCGATTCGCACGGTTTTTTGCACACTTCTCCGGCCTAAATAAAAAATTGTTGTTTGACATTTTTCTGCGCCTTTTCGCCATACTTTTTCACAATCGTCTCCATGACAGGTTCGAGTGCACGAATGCACACCACACGACAATCGCTTATTGCATCGAACACCACAAGAGACCGCTGGGATATGACAAGGCACATTCGCGCGCATCTCGTGTTTTCCATAGCACCATTTTTTGGTCAGAACCGTACAAGGTGGACAGATTACTTCCGAATGACAGCTGAACAAAATTTTGTAAAATATTTTCTTGAAAAAAAAAACAATGAGGCTTACTTATGATTCACCGGATGATCGCAAGGATGCGGTCGAGCGCACTTCTCAACACACTCCGGCGGTTTTTGTCCGCACGCGATTGGCGGCATTCGAACCGTTTTGCCGCAATGACAATATTGCTCCTCGAAGCTGGCTTGAAGACACCTCGGACAATTGCCGGCATGACAAATGTGCTCGCAATTGTGAATTCCGCACGAGAGCCTTTTGTTACATATCTGTAGGCAAAAGTGCTCGTCTTGAACACAGCACACCTCCTGGCATTTGTGCAAACCGCAAGATTTTCGCTTCTTGCATCGTTTCGTGCAGAGAAACTCGCCGGCTGAAACCAATGCGATTTTGTTGAGCGTTGAGCCGCCAAAACTCACATGTCCTCATAATATTGAGATATTCCTCGCATGGCAATTGGATTTTGCTGCCGCCACACCGACACACTACAACGGTATTGTTAGTGCACGGCGGACATGGTCCCTGATGGCACTTCTCCGCGCACCGATGCGGTTTGCCCTGCGAACCGCATTCAAGCACCTTATTGCAGATGGCGTCACAAGTCGGAATCGGGTCCGTACATTTCATTCGCGTCGTATTCAATTCTTTGAGGCTCCTCTTGCCACAAGGGCAGTGTGTTATTCGCAAAACCGACGTCGCGCATTCGCCGCATTCATTCGGATGGCATTTTCTCAAGCATTTGTGGATTCCGCAATTGAATAAACGCGCGCATTCTTTTCCGCAACTACATTTTTCGCCAACATCGGTTCCGCATGGCACATCTCTTGGCGCATCACCGCAAAAGCATTCTGTAATAATGATTATCAAATTCTTTTCTCTATAGTTTTAATTTTCAAATAACCTTGACTAATCGTGATTTCGCACGGATGGCACTCGCCGTCGTGGCATATCTGCGAACAATTATGTTGTCCGCACGCCAACAATTTTCCGCACACCGAATCACATTGAATATCGTCGCCGGAAGCGCATAGCACACGCTTTCGCGTTTTTCCACAATTGCACACCTTCATGACATACTGCTGACAGTCAGTGCATGGCCCCGGATGGCAAATGTCGGCACATCGATGCGGGCAGCCCAATTTTCGTTGTCGACCGCACACATCGCCGCACGAATGCGGAATTTCGCCACTAATCAAAAAAAAAATTGTCTTGATTAGCTCTTCGTCAAGTTCACAACAACTTACAGTCGAAATTTGGGATTCCTCAATTTACCGCAAAAACAATAATAATCTCTCGGCACAATTTCGTTCTTCGACTGACATGTCGGACATCGCCAACAGCCATCAACCTCGCGTTCCTTGCTCGATCTTGCCCATGATGTCAAGCATCCACTAGTAATATGGAACAAATGGTAACATGTCGGACAACTCCAAACAGCGTCGTTGGCACGAATCTTCTGATAGCAAATTGCGCATTCGTAGCTATTATTCTCCAACTGCGATATCATTCGCTCTGAAAATCAAGACATTTCATTATTCAATCACGTTGAGCCTTGCCTCTTAGCGTTTGATCTTCATGATGGTTCCTTTGTGTTCTGGGTCTTCGAGCTCGTTGCGGATGTCGTGTGCCGCGTTCAGCATTCGCCGGGAGCTCATTTCTTGACCCTCGATTCCTCGGATTTCTTCGTCCTCGATTATTTTGGTTCGAATTTTCGGGCGGTATGCAGCAGGGAACAAACGGCGTCGCATTCGCGTTGAATGTAAATTCGGAATTTGAAGCATTTGCCGGAATGAGCGTCTCTCTAAGATGATTATTTCCTATAAAAACAGAGAATTGAAGAAAACAATCGATCAAAACTAAATAAACAACCTGTATTTCTTGGTGGTCTCGGCCGGAAATTGCCACGCCCTCGTCCACGTCCACGAAAATTTTCGGTTCTTTCTTGTCCATTCTCCTGATCATTATTCGATGTTCGATTCTGATTATTCCTTGAATAATAATTACGCCTTGAACCACCGCGACCACGAGTATTGGCACTTGATGTTGTCGCCGATGTTGTTGCTTCGGTTTCTGCCATTATCCCAAGAATTCGTGGCCTAGAATATGTTCTAATCAATTCTGCGATTTATTTCCTTTTTATACGATTCGCACAATAATTACAAAAATTGTGGCTAAAATACGCAAACTTGTGTAAACTTACGAAATCTGAAGGAAAAAATAAAGAGCGAAAGGCGCATGGCCGGCGAGTGACGAGTCCCTCGTCCCGAGAGACACACACAACCTATTGCTACCGTACCTTTCAATGCGCCGTTGCCTTTCAAATTTGTTTTGTGCGCATTTTTATTTGCAACTTCGACGTTTTACCTTTTCCATTACGTTTTCTAGCACTAATTTATTTAAATTTTTTCGCTTGTAGGTAATCCCGCTCGCAGCAACATGGGTCGCATGCACAATCCAGGAAAGGGAATGTCCAAATCGGCCATTCCCTATCGCCGCTCCGTTTCGTCGTGGCAAAAGCTTACCGCTGAGGACGTTCAGGACCACATCGTCAAGCTTGCCAAGAAGGTTTGATTACGGTCTGAGGAGTTGATTGGTGCGATTCCGACAACTACCATATGACCATTATCCGAATATTCACATGACTGCGGTGGTTGGGTTAGATAGGAGTCGTGGTTGTCGCCTTGCGGTGCCCTTCTCCTTATTGCATTGTGTACCAGTTTTAATCCTTTATTTTCAGGGTCTCCGCCCATCCCAAATCGGTGTGATCCTCAGGGATTCGCATGGAGTTGGGCAGGTTCGTCGCCTCGCCGGAAACAAGATCTTCCGTATCCTTAAGTCCAAGGTGAGCATTTTAAAAATGAAACTGAGATTTACCTAATTAGCTCCTTCAAAAAGCACTGGTTTTTGGATCCAGACTGATCCTGGCCAGCCGTCAAAGTGAGCAATAGAAAATATCTTGTTTTTGGGTGAGGTGTGATTGTATCTAGGTCGGATCTCAATAACACGATGACAATTAAACCACATAAAGATTTTTGGACTCATTGAAGTAGCCCGGACTTACAAGTTTTATTTTGCAGGGAATGGCTCCAGAGCTCCCAGAGGACCTGTACCACCTCGTCAAGAAGGCCGTCGCCATCCGCAAGCATCTTGAGAGATCCCGCAAGGACATTGACAGCAAGTACAGACTCATTTTGGTCGAGTCGCGTATCCACCGTTTGGCTAGATACTACAAGACCTCTCGCCAACTTCCACCAACCTGGAAGTACGAGTCTGCCACTGCTGCCTCCCTCGTTTCATAAGATGTTTCTTGTTGAGAATAAATCGTTGTTGGAACAAAAATTGTTTTATCTAACAAATGGCGACAAAAACAACAAAGTAAATGTTAATCATTACAAAAAAAGAAGATAAATAAATAAAAGTGGACACGTAAAAATAACAAAGCGTTACCGATTGGATAACCTTTTCTCCGTGATTCTGCTTCGATCTTTCTCTTTATCGCGGCTTTTGTGTTGTGCTTCAGCAATTTTCGTCACTTTAACATCCGCACTCTTACGATCCTTCTTCTTCTCAGATCGATCTTTTCTCGAGTGCGAATCCTCATGCTTCTTAGCTTTCAGCTTCTCATCGCGTTTGACAAGGCCTTCCGGAATTTCCGGCCCAGCAACATCTTTCCCTTCTTTTTCTTCTTTGGCATCTCCATTCTCCTTATCTTTGCGTTTCACCTCGATTTTCCGCTCTTTCACATAATCATTCGATGATTCTTTCTTTTTAGAGGCCGTCTAAAATTAAGTTCTTTTTGAAATGTGACATTTTTCAATAAACCTTTTTATGCTTATCATCCTCAACCTTCGACTTTTTGCTCGGCGGCGGTGATGGCGAGTCGACTTCGCCTTCTTCGGCGTCCTGTTTGTCATCCTTCTTCTTCTCGCGATTCCTCGGCGCCTCATACAGCTCAATCTTGGGACGCTTCTTCTTCTCCGACGCTCCATTAGCCATCAAATGTTCCGATATTCGAATCTTCTTCACCACCGGCTCTTCGACGCCTACTTCCGGCTGCTCGGACTTTTTCGCCGCCGCCGCCGCCGCCGTCACACCGCCAACCTTTTTGACGGTGATCGGCGCGAATTCCGACGCTTCCGCGTAAATTTTCACGTTTCGCATTTTGAGTTTTCCCAAATACGAGGCAGCTTTAAGCGACAAATCGTCGCGTTTGCCTTTCTCGCGATCGCGAACCTTCGTCACCGTCGCTTCCATTCGCTGAACAAAATTCTGAATAAGCGGAAAGACGGGCGTGAGCTGAAACGATTCAAATCATTCGGATTTGTTGTTTTTTTTTTGAATTTCAATCTCCCACTCTAGCCATTATGATGAGACAATTCCTGATCGCCACATAATCGCAATCGTCTCGCTCCAACACCGTCGTGAAAGTTTTCGTCATTCGGGACTGAAAGAAAAACATCGCAAATTATTTTTTTAATCGAAATGCCAATTTCAAAATCAAGCCCTCACCTGCCAATTATAATTCAATTTTCGAAAGCTCGCGTAATCAATCGGATTTTTCGTTATCGAGCCCGGGAATCCCTCAAACTCCTTCTTGAATATTTCATGGTCGCCGTGCCAGCGAACGGCGAGCTGCAATAGGCTCTCCATGTAGCATCCGAGCGAGTTCGCCTCATTCTCGGTCAAACCGCAAATCAGCGGCAAAATGTTGTTGAACGTCTACAACACAACGCATTATCCATAGAAAAAAACAATAATTGCAGCTCACATGATCAATGGTGAACACCGTAAAATGATACGCAGTCTTCTGTTGGTGCAACAAATGCACCAATTTGGCGCAATACATCGCGTCAAGTTCCGAGAACAAAACGCGCGGCAAAATGCACGTCTGCATGAAGAAATCGTAATTCTGCTCTGCAAATTTGGAAATTGAAAGTCGAAAAAAAAATCAAATCTACTTGGATGCGCCTTTAAAAACAAATCGTCTTTGACCGTTTCCAGCCACGTTTTCACGCGCTCCACATGCTCGGTTTGTCGTTTCTGCTCATCGCGCAATTTCGCTTCCATTTGTTTCAATCGCTCCTCGGCGCGTTTTCCACGATTCTACAACAAATTTAAAAATAATAATAATAAATTGGACATTATCGAGAAGCTAGTCGTCAAATCAAACGCATTCGGTTCAAAAATTTGTTTCGCTAAAAATTGCTCACATTCTCATCGGCCGCTTGCTTCTTCAAATTCTCAACAGCTCGCTCATACGCGCCCGTCGGCACTTCAATATCATAATTGGAGAGAAGCCAAAACGTGGCGAACATTCTGCAAACGGCATAATTAAGCAAATCGAACAAAAACCAAAAACGCGCCTCGCCGACACCAACACCATTTTGCGGTCAATTTCCGGTTTGAGCTCATCGCAGAGTTGCTCGATCGTCTCATTCATCGCCCGATTGAATAGGTCCGTCTTTTGCGCGCTCTCCAACTTCACCTTCTCGCCGCCTTTCAGCGCCTTCTTCGACGAATCATACGCGTCGGCGAGTTTCGCCATCAATTTCGGCCGCGTCAAAAACATGGCGATCTCGATGCGCAAATGATAATCGACGAGAAGCGCGCGCGGCGACGGAAATCGCCGGCAATACTCGTCGGATTTGAGGTACGAGTTGAGGAACGTCGCCAATTGGCGCAGTGTGTCGTTGCATTCGTCCACCATTTCGCCGACCAACTTCAACGGCAAATTCTCGCTCTCTCTGAACACGATGCAATCCTTTTGTTGGCCGATGAGAATGCACAAGCCGACGGCGAGATCGCCGGTGAGAAGCGCGTCGCGGAGGCGTTGAGCGGCTCGTTTATTCCGCGCCGTCGAATAGCCGCCAGCCTGCAAAAATCAGACAATCTCAAATTCCCACTTCACGTGAAAACCCCCATCGACAATTTTCAATCTCATTTTTTTTCTAAACTCAACAACAAGAAAGCGTTCGAGTTTTTGCGCAGAAATTTCATAATCAAATCAAGTTTTCAAGAAAAGAAAAACCCGATAATGTCGCGAATGTAAGTGCGAAATTTGGCGCGAAATGAAAGCCCAAATGAGTTTCAGCACAAAAAAACGAAAATCGCCGACCGTTCGAAAGGGAAAGGCGACGTGCGACGATGAGGAAGATACCGGCGTCGTAAGACAACAATCACACAAGAAAAAATTGATATCAAATTTCAGGATCCCATAATGGGTCCCGCCGAGAAAACCGTTCGAGCTACCGTATCATGGATAACAAAAACGCGTAATTCAAAATTTAGGAGAAATGTCGAGAAAATTTGAAAAGAAAAAATAGTCAATTTTCTTTAAATTTGTCCACACTGCCCCGATTAGAATCGCCCCCCACTTCCAATCAGCAAAATTGCAGAGGCGGCCGGCGGATTGCTCGACTGGTACACGAGAAACGTCGAGAAATGCTCGAGCGCCGAACCGATGCCGGCGGCCACGATCTGGACGCAATTCAAACCCAAAAATCGAAGCGTCGATCTTCCGTGCATCGACGAGACGCGCGTGAAACTCAAAGACGTCGGCGATCCGTCGAAGGACTACATCCACGCGAATCACATCAAAACGCCGGGCACCGATCGCTGCTTCATCGCCACCCAACATCCCATCGACGTGTGCTACGACGACTTCTGGCGGATGGTCTTCTATGAGAACGTCGACACAATCGTCGCCATCTATTCGCCCGACGAGCAACTCCCGTGCTATTTTCCCAACGAGACCGGCAAATTCGCGTATCACGGCGCGTTTTTTGTCAATTGCCGAAAAGTGGTGGCGTCGACGACGACGCGCTTCACACCGATTCAGTACACCATCGAGGTGTTGCCGGAGGGCTGCTCGAACAGTCGAATGGTCACACTATTGCATTACACGTATTGGCCGCGCGGAATGGTGCCAGCGAATCCGCGCGTCATTCTGCGCACGTTGAAGCTTGTCAAAGTTGAACGATAAAAGAGACCGATGCTCGCGTTTCATGGTGCGCTCAATTTGCAGGTGGACCGCTCGACCAAAGGACCCGTCGTTGTTCATTGCGCGTCGGGAACGAATCGCGCCGGCTGCCTCATCTTCACCGACATGCTCATCGATCTCACGTTCCGCAATTTGGAGCCCGACATTCACGCGCTCCTCAAACGGTGCCGCGCGCAACGCGCCCAATTTCTCGCCAACAAATTCCTATTCGCGTTCGCGATTTACACGTTCATGGAATACGTCAAAATTCGTTGCCGCAAATACAAAACGCTTCCCGACGTGCTCAAAGACATCGAGGCGTTTCAAGCGGCGATGGTGAAGGTGAGACGAGTCCAGCGACGATTTTGATTTTTTGGTTTTTGATTTTCAGGATTTCGCACCATTTCTCGCCAAAGAGCCACCAAGAAAAGAGGGCACCGTCGCCGACGACGTCTAATAAATTGATTTTTTGTGCGAAAAAAAAACACCCACCTCCTGTCGGAGAACCTCGCCGCCCGACAACGCCTCCAATTGATCGCGCGTCGCTTGCGTGCAACTCTCGACCCACGACATATTCTGGATGATCTCGCGCAACAGCAACATATCGAAACTCTTGCACATCTTGAGCTGATTCTGCACGTACTCGAGCATTCCGTTCAATTCGAGCGGATAGCGTCGATACAACGAGCCGACGAGCGTTCCCAGCGCCTGAAGCCACGGCGAAATTGTGGCGTCCGTCGATTTGAGCGCCTGCTTCGACGGATCGGCGAGCTGCGAGATGATGCAGTCTACAAAATTGACGAGTCAAAAAAAAAACGCGGGCGGCATCTTACACGTCAAAACGTCGAATTCAAGGCTCGTCAAAAATCGTAGACCATCGACGACGGGACCAATGAGATTGTCGAACGTTTGCACTTGACTGAGAAGGTACGAGAGTACGGTGGTCGGATGAACATGGCACAATTTGCCGAGTTGGCGTCCCATAACTCGTACCGTTTCTTTTGAGAGCCGCCTAGAAAAAAAAATGTTTTGTTTTGTTTTTAGACGCGAAAAGAAAATCGACAAACTTGAGGACATATTTCGTTCGTCCATAGATTTTTCCCCTCATTATATTCAATTCGGGATGTCGTTGGGTTTCCGAATTCCATTTCGCGTACATCCAATAGCGCCACGTGTAGGGGAACAACTGCACCAATTGCCACATCTCTTCGGAGAGGGCGACGTTCGTCTCGGCGAGCGTCAACGATGGCAGAATGCACTCGGAGACGACGTCGGTGAATATGCGCGATACTGCAAAATCGGGGCCATCAAAAAAAAATTGCGCGCAGGGGGGTCTTAAACAAAAATGTCTGCTGCGGACATTTATAATGGTCCATGAAAAGAGCCCAAAACAAAAACAATTTTGGCGTTCTATTTGAATTGGTTTAAAAAAAAAGAACGAAAAACACCCACATTTTTCATCCTTCTCGTTTCCGCGAAAATAGACGGTGAGAAGTCGAAGGACCTTGACGCACGTCGTCGCTCGATAGGCAATTCTGGGTCCCAAGTACCAGAGAACGCTGGCGAGTTTACCCAAATCGTGCCACGAATCGATCGGCAGCAATCCGCCGCCGGCGGCGCTCGCCTCGTCTGCGTCGTCGTCATCGTCGCCGCGTTTCAGAAAATCGGCAAACACGCTTTTGGGCCAGTGTTTCGAATAGAATGGCTGCAATGCGTTCTCGACAATTTTGCACAACGCGCGGCAAAGTCGCGCGCTCGACTGCACCGCATAGTATTCGGGTAGGCGATCGATGAGCGTCTGCGCTTGTTGCCAATTGCCCGACTCGAGAAGCGCACAAGCCAATCCGAGCTTCTGATTCGTCGCCAACACATAGTCCTCGGTGAACTTCTCGGCCAATCGCGCGTCGTCGTTCTCCTGAATCTGCGCCACCGTCGTGAACGAGATGGTGGTCGTCGGCGCGCCGCCGCCGCCGCTCGCCTCCTCGATGCTGCGCGCGTCCATCGGCATCTGCGCCGTCGCGATCGTCTCGGCTTTCGATGATCGCTCCAAAGCGTTCGACATTCGCGCGCGATGCCCCTCTTTTATTGCCTCCGTTTTCGGGACCATCTAAACCACGGCGATTGTTTTCGTGAATCGTCGTCAAACTCACATAGGCGAGAATTTTCATCGTGTTGATCATGTCATTCTGAATGAGGGCCGCCGTGAGGGTGTACAATGAAAACGGCGTCTTTTTATTATTGCCCTGAAAAAATTGCATAATTAAGCGAGCAATTAAAGAAAAACAATTAAATAATTAACCTGATAGAATGAGTATTTGAATCCAAGAATCGCGCATAGGTATTCTTTGACAACTTGAATCTTTTTCAGAAGATTTATGAAGAATTTCTGCAATTGATTGATTGGATTTCATTGCGAACTCGAAAATCGCACCTTATTTTTTTGGCAATGCTCGAAACATTCCAAAATGATGTCGGTGACGCGATTCGGATCCAAATTGAATTGGCCGATAATCGACAAAACGCGATTCTTCATCAATTCCGCATAATTCTCCGACGCGTTCTGCTCGGCCTCGATCAATTCGGTGATTAGTTTCGCGTAGCCCTCGGTTTCTTCGCGCAACAAATTGAATTTCGATTGTTTGAAGCTGAAAATCGACAAATTTGTTGGCAAAAATTCACCAAAAGCAACCCACTAGATTCGCGTTTTTAGGCGCACTAGCTGCTTGGCGACGTCTTGTTTGAGCGCGTCGAAACACTCGAGCTCACATCGTAGAATATCCTCGGGAATTATTGTATTCTGGAGGAGAAGCGCGAATTTTTGAAAATTTGGCTTCGTCGCCTCTGTGCATTCGCCTTCAACGGATATTAGAACATCGAGAAGTGTCGAGCCGATATTTTTTCGAGTTTTCTGCAAAATTGGCAAACGTAACTGTTTTTTCCTCAAATTTTTTTTTCAAAAGAATATCCAATAAATTACCTCAAGTTTGACAATTTCCGCGTATGCTTCGAACGGCGACTTATCGGCATTGATCACATTTACGCATAAATCCGATAGTCGCTCATACAAGTCTAATACACTCATTCAATTCCTGAAAATATCGAGAAAATCAAACAATCATCTGGTTTTCAATTAATTTTCACAACAATTCCGCAAATTTTCGCATTAGATATTTAAAAAAATGTTGCAAAATACGACGCGAAAAAAAAAGAATTTTCAAAAATGCAAACCCCGCGAGTTGTCGTGTCGGTGTTGGCACCAAATGCATCACACCTTTCGAACATTCCAATTAATATTGTTTCCCAAATGTCTTTCGAGTTCACAACTCTTAAAAATCGCGAGGATTTATTACAAAGTAGCGTGAAATTATTGAATGAGGTATATTTGAATTTTTCTTTTTCTTTGGCACACTTGAAAATCGCTAAAAATCGTTGTTTCAGGAGTGGCCGCGAAGCGATGGCTCACGTGAGCATTCGCAAAAAAAATCGTGTCGTCACGAGCCGCCGATGTCGTTCGTTTTGGTGTGCAAAAAATCCGATGAGCTCGTCGGACATGCTCGAATCTGCCGTCTGCCAAACAAGTAGGTCGCATTCAAACACACAAAACGACAGGAGAACGATCTCAGCCCAGCGGGATTATGGATCGAGTCGGTGCTTATCCGCAAAGATTTACGCGGAATTGGTCTCGGCCGATTTTTAATGGAGAAAATTGAAGAATGGATGGCCCAAAATGGATTCGATGAGGTGCGAAGCAAATTTTTCTTTTTTTCTTTCTTACTAGAAAATATTGCCATCATTCTAGTAGCAAAACTATGCGCCTTTAAACAGTTCATTCTGTATAAATTTGTTGCGAATTGTCAATTTAAAAATATCGAAATTCTAGCCTCAAATTGGTGAAGTCGTCTTGGAAAATTTCGAATTTTTCCTCAAACCGGCACCAACGAAAAAATTCGATAAATGTCTCCGTCTCTCACAATCGCGCACTCTTTTCCAAGAAAAATGAAAAAAAAATTGGTCTTGCCGCAAAATGAAAAATATTTTGTGTATGCGCCTTTAATGTGTATTGTTTTCTTTTATTAATTCTCAGCCAATTTTTTGTTGTTGCGAAACGCATGAAGCGTTGTTCAAATTTTTACGCCCCTCTCGAAAATTTTGGAGTTTTCGCAAAAAAAAAATCGTCCGACTTTTTTTCTTCTTTCCTCGATAATTTCAATTTAAAGGCACATATAGTGCGTCCGGCGACTACTGTACGCGGGTAGATTTACGCGCATGCGTCTTTCGAAATGGTCTCGCAAGGACTAACAGGTTATTTCAAATTTTATGGACCGGTTCAATAATTTTTTAATCAAATGAGGTTGGAATTTCAAGAAAATGCGAAACTCATCAAGAAAAATGAGGCAGTTCACGTGAAAACAGCAAAATAAGCATTCACGCGTGGCGAGACCTTTTCAAGGCGCATGCGCGTAAATCTACCCGCGTACAGCCAGTCGCCAGACGCCGACTATAACATAAAATTATTCGATTAAAAAAAAAACCATTCTCGATTTATTCGACAAAATTTTCAGGCATATCTCTCAACGGACGATCAAGTCGAATTCTACAGAAGGTGCGGTTATTCGGAATGCGATCCGATTCTCCATTCGACCACTGCCACCTCCGTCTTCCCACCAATCTTCTGTAATGCGCAACCAACACCACCAAGGACCACCTCCTCCATTGCAAATGTCTCAAATGGTGCAGCTCCACTACCGCCGCCACCCCCACCACCAACAACAACAAAAAAATCGTCAATATCAACGACGGACCATCAATACATGTCAAAACGCATAAAGCAATGAAGAAAATTTCCATCTTTATTCAATTTTTTTGGCAACCGCAAATCCATCTATTAAAACGAAATTATACGGGAGATTTTCCAATGTATTCGTGGGATGATATTTTACGCAAATAGAGGGGTTGGGGGAAGGAAAAAATAATAGAAATCTCTTTTTTTTTTTGAAATATCGATAGAGGGGGAGAATTTTTATGGATATGAACGAGAACGATTGGATAGAAGGAGAGCGTGTATATCAGCGTTTTTTTTTTTGAGGAGGCTTGGATTGATGATGGACCTGGTTGTCGATAGAAACAAAAACACGATATAATGAAAATTACAAAGAAATTTTTAGCAGTCAGACAGACGGACGAAAAAAAAACAAGAACAATATCTACTAGTGGAATTCTAACATTTTCGATGGCGCCGGAGGAAACGTCAGGCAAAACCACACAAACGACAGCTTGGCACAAAGCTACAGGATTTTCAGGAAACGAAACAAAAAATAAACGATTCGGGCTGCCATGTTGTATTGGCACCCAAACAAACAAACAAAACAAAACAATTTGATTTGATTCTCTGCGAGTTGGAATTGGAACATAACACAAACTACCGTATCCACCAGCACAAGAAAGTAAAAAAAAATTTAAAAAAAAAAGGGAGACAGGGAATTTGTTTGAGAGGGGGGAAGGAAATCATGAACACCAACAATGAAAACGATGTTGATAAATTAAAACGAAAAGAGAGGAAGGGAGAGAAAAAAACGAGTAACAAATCTAATAATGATAATAATAATTATAATATTAAACCTATGATAGAGACTGACAGACAGACAAAACGATGATAGATATCGGGTGATAGAGAAAGAAAGAAAGATAGCGCGGTTCTTGGGCGATGATGATCTACTTCATTAATTCTCTCAGCAAACCAATGTAGTTTGTGATGATTGCGTCGCTAGGGATGGTCGTTTGCCGGAAATCGAAGCCGCCGTCGACGAGGATCGCAACAATTTTGACGGGTCCGCCGTGCGTGCAAAACCCTTGTCCAACAAATATTGATCGAAACGAATTTCCTGAAACAAAAAATCCATTTTTAAAATTCTCCAATTCCCAATTTTCAAGGCCAAAATTATTGCGCAGTTTCAATGTTTCGAGGTCGGGCTTCTTTTTCTAAAGAAATCCTCCAGACATGGCCCCCTCTTTTGTGCACGCAATTCTCTTTGTCTGCAAAACGTCTGGGAAACCGCGCGTACGTGTGCAATTGAATAACGTTGATTTCTTTTTTGAGCGATCTATCTCATTTCGCACACTTTCAAATCCATTTTCGAATGCCCAATAATAGACCTCCTTTTCACATTCAATACTCGCGCGCACATTGTTCTATTCAACATACCACAGTCTCAACAGCGCCATCGCCAATGTGCATTGTTATCGGCACATAGAGTTCGACCATCGGCACACGTGTGTCAACCTCATAGCCGACCATTCGAAGCGAAATCACTTTGCCGGTGCACAAATCGGCAAACTCCAGCATCGCCTGCGCTCCCCAACTCGACGTGCCATCAATCGGGCGCACGTGCGCCAATTTGACCTCGATCGATTGGAATGGCAACGACATGAGGTCAGTGCTGCAAAAAACGCACATTTTCACATATTGAATGGATCGTAAAACTTTGGCGTGATGGCCATAAATCAAATTGCTCAAATAAAGAGCAAAAAAAGAGAGAGACGGAGAATCATTATTGAATCTAATGTAAACTGAAAGAACACCTCCAAAAAACTAACCGAATCTGTCTCAAATTGCATCTTGGCATCTTCGTGTAGCCTCCATAATCGACAAATTTCACAAAAACTTCGTCGGTGTCCTCATAGTATTCGACGGTGACCGCACGGAACCAAGCATCCATCACCGGAGCCGCACACAAGAGTCCTTCTAAAAGATATCAAATTCACAAATCATGTCATTGCAGGTCGCCCCTCGTGGATGGCCTATCAGGATCAAAGGCCTTGAACCCATCGAGTTGATTGTAAACCGTCATTTTCAAAATCTCAATTTGCTTCCTTGTCACCCTGTCAGACCCTCCCCCACCGCGCTCTCAACGCTCTTCTCGGGGCGTTGAAAATTAATCGACGTCACGGTCGTCTTCGAAAAAGTGAAAGAATGACAACACGAGATGAGAAAATCCGATGCGTTTCAGAGATAATAAAAACGGGTAAGGGTTACTGTCTCAGGTGATTAATTACCCCCACTAACCCATCGCCAACCTCTCCCCCCCCCCCTCTCGCTCCAAACTCGATTTGTACTTCTCTACCTTCCTCATCCCCCTTCACCTCTCCTACATATTTTCCCCCGGCATCGCCAAAAATTTTGTTTCGCGAAACAATTCAATTTTTCACCTTGGCACGGGATCGGCAATTCGGGCAAATTCGTGTGTTCGCCGTACAATCGCAACATGTACAAGTCCAAAATGCGCAGCGAGGCGAACGACGGATGCGTCGGCTGCTGTACGAAAAAGTGCGACGGGTCGATGATCGACGAGACGGCCACCTCGCATTTGATCTCCTCCGGAAGTGTGAGCTGAAACCAACCAATACCAAAATTTCTTATCCCCCCTCCCCAGTTCTTCGAAAATCCCTCAAATTCTTACCCAAGTTGGCTGGGTCGACAACATGTCAAAGCAATTGTTCGGCAATGGTGGCGGAAGAACTGGCTGCAAGTTGAGCTCCGGGAATCGCGGCGACGGGAATCGTCGTCGCAACATCTGGAGACAATGGTTGATCTCCTCGCGTTTTCCGCGAACTTGACAAATTTGATGCGTCTTGACCTTCTCCTGAGTATGGTGTTGACGGATGAGCATTCGCACATTGGTTCGTTGGCTCAATTCCTATAACATTACAGGACTGATAAGGTTTTACACACACGGAATCGCACCTTAATCGTTTTTCCCTTAATTCCGATTATCAATCCAACCAAACTGTTCGGAATTTCAAACTCATACATTGGGGTCGGATCGAGCAAATCATCTTGAATTTGTTGAACTGAAAATCAACGAGAATTTGAAAAACACTGAACTTGAAGCAGTATAACTAAAACCATTTGCAGCATCATCCATTGGTGGCGAAAGTGATGAGGCCAGGCCGCCTGTGGCACGTCCAGAATCTTGCGAAGAAGCCTGAAAACAATGAAATCATTAATGATAGTCATTTGTCAAGTCAATAAATCTCAGAATATTTCAGTCTCCCCCAACCACATTTGTTTTCGTTTTCTTCAATTAATAATATAATGACAAGTAATGAAATAGCAAACCGTGTCGAAATAAAAGTCGGACGTCGTCGGCGCAGTAGATCCATCATAGACCGACGATGGCGCCGACGAGCCGGCCGAATTGCGTCGCGTGCGTCTCATTAGCTTGGCTTCTCCCTGCGCTTTTGCGTACTGTCTCAATTCTTCGTCCTCGTTTCCAGTCAACGGCACAATGCGCAGCTGGACGGCCGTCTTCGTTGTCGGCAACACAAAACTCTCGGTGACACTCGGCACCGGCGAGCTCGATGTTTCGGATCCGCCGCTGCTACTAGTAATGCTGTTGGCGCTGCTCGACGTCAACGCGTGAAGCTCCTCCTCGTCGGAAACCGCCGGAAACGGTGGCGGCAAAAAACCGGGCGGAAAAATGAGCGTTCCGTCGGCCGAGATGAAGCAAGGCGGTGGCGGCAAATGGGTCGGCAAAGCAGCGGGATGCACAAGAACCGGTGGAGCGAATGCTGGCGCGAACATTCAGTGCTAGTTGGTGTGATGATGGTTAATTATGACGAGATTGAGTATATGGAAGGTTTTTGTTTTATAATTTGTTTGTAGAATGAATCGAGTATTATATTTGTAGTAGTAGTAGAAGTAGAGTAGAGAAGTATTAGTTCGACTGCCTCGAAGGGCCGAACCCTGTAAAAATTGCAGCTCACGTAAAACGAATGAGAGTAAGAGTAATAGTAATTATGAGGTGAATAACGTATGAAGCGAAGAATAGCCTATACCGCGGAGACACAACGAGACACAAGTGGGCCCCCCCTAAAAAGTGGGCGTGGTCACGATGACACTAAACAAGGACGCAAGAGAGTACGAGAGATGCGAGAAAGAGCTAGAGTACAAATTTAGTACAATAAAAAAATTTTTAAGGGAGAAAAACCCTTTTTTTTCGACAATCCCCCCCTCGACTCGGGCCAGCCAGCTGACGGCGCAGGCAGCGACAAAAAACCATTTCTATCTCTCGCCCTCTCATCGCAAACATTTTCGAAAATCGACGAAAATCAAAATCAGGCAGGCAAAAGACGGAAAACGGGCGAAAAAAAGTGGGATTTTCGAAAAAGAAGAAAAAAGATTTTGGGATTTCAAACGGCGTTTGTTCCTAAACGCGTCGCGTGTTTGCACACTTCACACTGCCTACCGTACCACGTACATTCTAAAATAATTATTTTAGGCCCCTCGCAATCCTATTTTTTCTTTGTCGCCACTCTTATCAGTCTCCACATTATCAGGATCATCATAAAAAGGACACAAACGATGCTCATCAACCTTATCAGCTGCTCGTTATCACTAAGATCAAGTCTGCGCGCTCCCGTACAAATAAAAAAAAATTAATTCATATTTTGGCCTAAAAATGCATTTCTCTTCTTCTTCTTCTTCTTTTTTTTGAATGACTGAGCGCCCATTTGTTCCTCATTTGCCGTCTTCAGACAGTTGTGCAAATAGACCGAAAAAACCTCCCACAAACCGATTTGCGCAATGGCAAACACCAATTAATTTTTTGTAGTAGAAAAAAGCGATAGGCTATATAACAAGCGATAATGAAACAAAAATGAGGAAGCGTGTACTCCGGCGATCGAAAAAATCAAAAATTTCGGTGGGCCCCTACGATGGCGGCGCCGTCGAAAAGTTCAACCGATGGGCGTGGCGAATCGAACAACGAAACACAAAGTGAAAACGTGTCTCGTCGTCTCGCCCAGACGACAGTGAGCGCAGAGGACGACGAAACGAGATTGGTACTGTTCGAGCTGCTGCTGCTCATATGATGTCGTCGGTCGTCGATCAAAAAGATCAAGATCAAGATAATAATGTCAATTCTCTTCCTTTACAGATTACTATACTAATTCCGATTCTTTTTTTTTGTTGTAAACCATCGTGATTCCGAGAAGACGAAGAACAAGTCGATTTCGCACCAGCGGCAATAAATTATTTGAAATCAGCACCTGACTCGATTTCTTCTCATTCTCGACTCCAATTCGTCACATGGAGAATCTCACGCGTCCACTCATTTTTTTTCTCGTCTCATCGCAGCTGACCAAAAATTGGGCGACAGCCAAAAGTGTCGATGATGATGTTGAACGAAGGGGGATCAAGAACAATACGTGCCGATTTCAACATTTTTTTCCAAAATCATCTTAAGAAACGGAGGCAACATTGGAAATTTCCCAATTTGTGTATTTCTTTAAAAAAAAATCCTATATATATTTTAGGCCATTCAATAGTGAAAATCGCGTATCTCTGATCGGTGCTCTCTCTCTCTCTCTCTCGCGCTTTCTCTCTCTCTCTCCATGTCTCAAGCTATGCGTCTCCTAAAAGTGCAACACGAGGACAACCCAACAAAAGCGGGACGGGGTGCCTATGGGGTGGTGGCGATGGTGATAAATGGGCAACAACCATCAGGGAGAACGAAAGACAAATCGAAAGAAGCAAATCTTGAAGACAGTCGAATGTTGCGATTTGAAACCAAAAAAATTTAACCGCGCAACGAAGAAAAAATAATAATTGTGCTGACTTCCTTCGTATCGTTTACATATCTACCGTAACCTTACACATAGATAATGATCGTTCCAAAAATGAAGCCCAACAAGCGCGAAATTTGAAACCACTCTAAACCGGGACTTGATTTGTCTGTATTCGTTTTATTCCTTTTTGGGTCAAAAATAGGTCGAGGGGATTGGGATGTGATGGAGTTCTACAATTCTCACGATCAATTTTTGATCCAAAGAAGAAAAAAATTCAGGCGAGTCCAAAAAGATGCCCCGGCTAGACAGACAGTGGTCTCCGAACCAGCCAGCGGGTTTCTACGACGTTTCCTCTCTCTCTCTCTCTCTCCGATCTCTGACCGACCATAAACTCGTGAAATAAAAAGGAAACAACAACAACAAAGGAGATGATGGATAGATAGATACGAGGACACGAAGGTGACACGCCGACAGCTCAGACAAGAGCCATATGGACGGGATGCCTAAATGGCGATCATATTTCAGAGCAGCAACAACGAATGATTCGCTTTTCCGTTGCCAAAAACAAAAAAAGAAACCGTCTCTCTATGACAATCGACATTCGGATTGAATCAAAAATGAGACTTAAGTGCTCGTTTTGCATAACTAAGAGGTTCCCCTAGATTAATCTTTTGTACAACACCAACTCTTGAATAGAGATAATTTCCCATTTTTGGTTATGCCATTCATCTTTCGAACTTTGATCGAACACATACGTTGTGAGCAAAAAAAAGTCGGTGATTCTCAAAAATGCTTAATTTCGCTGTGGGGAAAATGAGAAAAAATTTTGCAAACAAAATTCTTGAAATTGTCCAAAATTTCAGCAGCGTCTCTTTTGTCTGCCAATATTTTCTTCTACTACTCGCCCAATTCGCTCCCAAACTACACATCTACAGTACCGCCGCTTCAGATTCGATTTCTGATTTGCGATGAGACATCATCAAAAAAAAAAAGTGAAAACCGCGGTAGGGCAGCTGCAACGAAAACGCAACATCGTCCGTCGGCGGCGTGATTTCGAGGTCATCGAAACAAATGACACGTCTATTATACGATATATATACATATATCACATATATTGTATAACTGCCATCGAAAGTTTGCCCGCCGGCGACGCCAAAAATCGAATCTCATCAATTTCTCTTCGTCGCCTTTTCTTCCATCGAGAAAGAACAATATTATTCTTTCAAATTCCGGTTTTCAGGGTTCTATTGAACAAAAAGAAAGAGAGAGAAAAAAAAATATATATATATATATTAATAATAGTTCGAGACTGAAATATTCTTGCTCCCCCGACAAAAAAAAAATAAGAAAACCAGTCAAACCTCGCTATTCTGACTCTCAACTCCCGGCGAGTCGCTCTTCTCATACTGTTCGACGTCTTCGCGAATCTCCGACTCCTGTTGCTGTTGTTGTTCGCGCGCTGGTGGAGCCGGCTCCTCCAATTTTGGCTCCTCAATGACGAATCCATTTGCTGGAAAAAAAACGTGTCTCAACAATTTGTGGTGCATTTTTTTGACATCAGAACCCCCTCCCACCCGCCACAAAAAAAAAGGAATGCTTACATCTCTTCGAATCCGAATCGTCATTTCGATTGAGTCGCCTCTGCGACTTCTTCGTCTGATTTAATGTCGATCCACGTTGCTTTCGACTCCTTTAAAACAAATAATTGAAGCCCAAAATCAAAAAGAAGAAGCCACCAACTTTTCATTCTTTCGTCTATTCTGCGATTGCTGTTGATGCTGCTGCTGCTGATTATTATTCGGCTGATGCTGATGCTGATGCGATGGAGAAGCTGGCGACGGTTCCATGTCGCTCGAATCGAATCGCTGAAACTCCTCTTCGCTGCATCTGAACGACGATTTGTGAATGGCAAAACCCAACAACAAAACAAAATTTACTTTTCCATTTCCTCGCTCCACGAGAACGACGCCGGCGACATGTGCGCAAAAATGTCCAATGTGAGCGGCTCGCTGATGATTTTCGTGGGCGTCGGCTCCTCCGGAATCTATAATTATAGCACTAAATTGCATTTAGGAAAAAAAATGAAAACATATGATTTCTTTTCTTAACAAAAGATCGAAATTGGGTTCAATTTTCAAAATAAATTCCAAAAAGCGAAAAATGTCTCCTCGACGCGATCATAAAATGAAGGAAAAACCAAATATGGCATCATTCTTCCAATTTTTATGTGGACCAAGGAGAAAATGCGAATATTTCGAGGAAATAGCAAAAAAAGCGATAGTTTTTCTTGTTTTCCTACACGTCATCGGGAACAAAAATCAAAAAAAATTGGTAATTTGTTAAAAAAAAATCAAATTTTTGGGAATCAAAGTCCACAATTCCTAACGTTTTAATTGTTTCATGAAGAAAAAGCCCCCAAAATAAAACACATTTCGAACCTGCTCATTCTCAAACGACTTTTTCTTTGGCATTTTGCTATTCTGCTGTGGTGGGGCACTCGTCTGAATCGGCTCGATCTTCACCTTCTTCACAGGCTCCTCTTCAGCAGCCGTCTGAACAGTGAAACAAAATGATAGCATTAGAAATTTTCAAAAAAAAAAAACTATCCTCGGATCGTTGCGATACTCAACACAAAAAAAAACTTTTAAAAATAAAAAACATTTTTCTTTCTTTTCTGCATTGAAATGTTCTCTATTTTTTTCATCTTTTATTTTCTCTGATTTCGCGCTTTTTGTTGAATCTGCAAATATTTTAACTCCCACAGTTCCAAATATAGAGCAATTTTATTGCAAATTTTTTAAAAAATTGATTAAAGGCGCATACTTTTTTCCAATTTTCCATTCACCAATTTCAAAAATTAAAAAAAATGCCCACATTTTCGCCAAACTCGTCCGTTTTTTTCTCTTCCGCCGCTTCAATAACAACCTCGTTTTGCTGCTGATTCGAGCTCTCGTGCTCCACAACCGGCTGCTCCGGCTCGTCCGCTTTTGCCTGCAAAATAATTCAATTATTTTTCAGAATCTTATTATTACTCTATTATAACATTTTAAATTTCCGCTATTTTCAAGCTTCAGCAACAATTTTAGGCAAAATGAATGCTATTTTCGTAAAAGAAAAAATTGAGTCTGACTTCAAAATATCAAAAATCGCCTTCTTCAAGAATTCTTCAAGGAAAAAAAATTAATGCGACCAAATATTTGGGCCAAAAATCGCGGAGAAATTTCTTCCTAAAGAAAAACTAATGTCGTGAACACACTACGCTAATCAACTAACAAAAATTTGAGAAAAAGAAACAACAGAAAAAAGCGAGAGCAAAGAGAAAAAGTGTTCTCCAACAGTTCGAGGAGTGTTTGAAGGGCACACCAACCAAAAAAAAAATTTGGAAAACGCGAAAAAGAAACAAAGACGAGACAAGCAGGAGGCAGGTAGACGGAACACACACACTCTGTGGGAAACACAGAGACAGCCGAATTGAAACGGGGCACACGTGGCACGAAGTACTACCCCAAATTCAAATTTCAACTCAAAGCAGAATATCAATCATCAAAATGGAATGCCAGTTTTCTAGTTTTCAAAAAAAAAAAAAAATTCGCAAAATTAAAAATCAACTCATTCACACGGATCTAAATTGTTTGAAATTTTTAAACGAAAACTTCGAATTTTTTTTCAAAGTTTACCCAAAAACAATTTTTAAATTTGAAAAAAAAAAGAAGAAAAATAATAAATCAGACGCATGCTCGAAAATTTTTTTTTCAATATATTGTCGACAACCAAATACTGGAAATTCAGCGAATTTCGGCCAAATCCCATTTTTTCTTTTTTTTTTGCATGCGCCTTTAATGCATACCGTAGTTTTGCATAAAAGTTGCCGAACTAAAAATTATTGGCGAGACATTCGGCAATATTCTCATAGCAAACATTTTTGAAGAAAATCATATTTTCTTGGGTGGCGGCAATTCAAATTCAAATTTGAATAGTGGGAATTATGACACCGCACTACGGATAACCTGCGAATCAAACTCACCCAAAAAAGTTTATGGGAGAGATCTTTTCCGAATTTTTTTTCAATTTAGATACTATCAAAATAATTTTTTAAGTGCTTCATATTTTCAGGTTTTTTTATCTGCAATTCTAAGAAAATAGTCCAATTAAATAATTGAAATTTGCATTTGAGTGGAAGAAATTGAAGCATTTCCCGTGGGAAAACGTCACAATTTGCTATCGTTTAAATCGTTGCAATTTCTTCAAAAATTTGAATTTTTATAAGACAATTGGTTGCTTCTTCTCAACATCATATATTTCAATAATTCTCAACATCAACATCGATTCCTAATCGAAAACAAAAACAAAACGCTCAATTTCCATTCATGTCGTAAAAAGTGAATAAACGCGCAAATTGGTCCCCCGCAAAACAAAACAAAAAAGCATATATATAGCTTGACGAGAATCGACAGCAGATATTTCCACCAACTCCGCATTTTCTATTCATTTATTCGCCATTTTTAGGCGCAAAAAAGCATGTTCGTAGAGAAAAAACGCGCTTGTGCGCGGCTATTCCATAAATTAGTACGCCAGGCAACCAAAAAATCCAAAATAGTAAAAAAAAAACACACATATTTCTATGGTTACTCGCCGAAAAAAAAAAACAATAACAATCTGGAGAAATCGCACTAAATTTGCTTTAGGTCGTCTCAAACTAAAATTATTCCAAATTGGCGGCAAACAACTGGATGAGGGGGAGCCATTTTGGATATCACTCATGCCTTCTCAAATTTCTTCTCATTTCTTCCCAAAACAAAATTCAACAAAAAAAAAATGAGGCAATAATTCAAAAAATCTCTCATCCGCGTCCCCCACCCCATTCCCCTCCAACCATTCATTCATTCTTCACACGCATGCATGCGCGCCGCCGCCGCGACACAGGAAGGAGTGATGTGAGCGATGAGCAGGAAATCAGAGACTAGGACGAGAAAATAACAACAAATGAAACAGAAGCATTTGACGACGTCACTACCGTGATGCATATTCAGAATACCTCAATTTCGACGACCACAACCTCTTCTTCCACTTCAGCATTATCATCCACTTCAGCATTATCATCTTCTTTTTCCTCAATCAATGGCTCCATTTCGACGTCAACGACTTCAGAAGTCTCACCGTCGCTGAAATTCGCTCAAATTCAAATTCCAGCAAAAACAAAAAATTTGAAAATCAATCTACCAAATTTCCGGCTCGCCGACTCCAGCTTGAGCACGTATCTCATTCGGCTCGTACGTCTGATGATTTGCAGCGTTTCCATTCAACGCTTTGAACAAATGATTCCTCCTTTTGTCTTTCTCGCGTTTCGCTTTATAATACCTAAAAGTTGATGAAATTCATTTTAGAAAACACAAAATTGTTCACAATTATAAAAAAAAAGCACCATGAGCCGATTAACTGCGAGTTTTCTCACAATCTAAATTAGCGCCTCGAAAAAAGACGATGGTACAAAATTTCTCAAGGTGCTCGTTTTTTGATGTTAAAATTGTAAACGAAATCGTGGGGGCGGAGCTTACCAAACAAAAAGCGCGGCAATCGAAATTCCGCCAAGAGCTATCAAAAGAGCCTGCTTGGAGCCAACAGAAGACATTCTGAAAATGGATTCAAAATTTTTGAACGAAAAAAAAGTTGAAAATAATCTTGCCTATTTTCATGCTCACAACAACAAAAAAAAACCCAACAGTGAAAATTTCAAGTTCACGTATGGCAATTTCTTTTTTTTTGAAAAAAAAAAAAACAACAACAACGAAAAGAAACATTTTGGTATGAATCACGACGAATATGGAAGAGATCAATAGAATTGCGAGTCAAAATAGGAAAGACGACGACGACAAAAAATTCACGACGACTAGAAAAAACGAAAAGAAGACGAAGATCGGCCGGCTGAACGATGCAGCCAAAACCGGCTCGCCAGGTGCTGCTGTAGAACAACTCACAGGGTTCCCGCGTTGGCGGCGAGCCGCTCGCATCGTCGCGTGTCGCCGGCGATGAATCGCGCGAGTCTCGCGCACAATTCAGACATCGACATGAGAATCGCGACGAGATGATGAGTTAGCGCGTCGCATGTCGCCTCGCTGAGCGACGACGACGACGACGACGACGACGGCAACGACATCGCGTTGTGTCGCAAATTGACGATCAATCGGGCGCGTTGAATGCCAAAATCTGACAATTCATCGGCTCTCAAATCAAAAGCAAAGGAGAAGAAAAAGAAGAAACAAGAAAATAATTACGAGCGGCAAAAAAAAAAGCAACCAAGGCAAAATCTCAAAGGGGCGACAATCTATGTTTCGTTTCGGGTCTCGTGTGGAAAAAGAAGCGATGATCGAATTTTCGTAGTTTAACATTAAATGTGATAAAAGCTGCGAGCAGAGTGACGGCCAAAAAAATGCGAGCGCGCGCAGCAGGCAAGTCAGCGGAGACATAATCCGATTCGAATGGAGGAAAAAAATAATAAAAATAATAAAAATTTGCCTAGCCGACGAGAGACGCAGACATTACGAACGCATTTTTCTTTTCATTCGATCCCAAAAATGACGAGGAGGAGGTGTAGGATAATAAAGGGGGACTCGCGAAACGCATTCGAATTTCTTTTTTTGTTGAAATATTGCTACCTATTTTGGGCAATCCTGCGAGCAAAGATGAGCAATTTCGGGAACAATACAAAAAACAGCCATTCTTCAACATTTTTTGAGCCTTTAAAACAACCAATTGTGAAAAATTTTCTTCTGATTTTTTTAAAAACCATTCTCGCTATTCTCTCGAAGCTCAATAATTTTGACAAAAAATTTTCAATTATTGCCCAAAAAATCCCAGTTCATACGCAAATTCTCAATTATGAATTAAATTTTCCAGAAAATAGAGAAATACGAAATGAACAACAACAAAAAAATCTGATTAAAAATTCGTCATTCATCCGCGACGACACACAAAATTCGATTTGAGCACACTCACACACATGTATATAGGGGACCGCAGCGAGAAAGAAAAGCTGAAAAAAAACGAAACGTGGGCGGAGCCTACGAGCGAACGGAATTTTCTAGACGATGACGTAGGCGCTAATGATCTACCATAGGCGCAAAAAATTTGCACCAAAAAAAAAGAGAATATAGAAAAAAAATTATTATTTTATGTTGCAGCTAAAATTCGTTGAGTAATCCCAACTAAACAAAAATTAGCTTTGTCAACAAAATTGAAGAAGCCAATTAAGCGCGCCTAATTAGTCATTGGCGATAAAAATGCGAAAATCGTGGGGGATGAGGGGCAGGAAACACTAGAAAACCCCATTTGTTGAGCTATTTTCAGCAAATTCGCACCGGAACAAAACAAAAACTCATGAGCACCTCATTAATTTCCGGTCTCCAATTGCCGACAATTGTTCTCTTATTCGCATGCGCGCCTTGAATTACGGTAACCGGGGGGGGGGCGTAGCTCTAATCGAATCGAAAGGCGCATCACTATAAAAAAGTGGGCGTGGCTGGCGGGAGATGTGGCGGAAAAGCAGAAGCAGCAAAAAAAGAAACAGAGAGAGAGAGAGAGAGAGAGAAAAAGATCTCGAATAACAAATTTCCAGGCGAGCGCGCCTCTTTCCCTTCGATGTCGCTCAATTTTTTGCTGTCGCCGCTGCGCGACGAACACGAGATGCCGACGAAATAGCGTCGAAATCATCGAGTGGAGCTCACAGAAAGAAGACGACGAAAAAAAAAAACGCCCCCTTTCGGCTCCGGAGCGAGCCTTAATTGCAATTTCTGACGCCAGATGACGGGCGGCTTTTGACTATATATGTTATTCCCCCCTCTTCTTCTGTGTGCCTACTGCTGCTCTGGCGAGCCACAACAAACCAGCACATGACAAAAATCGCGCGCCGACAAAAACAAACCAATTCGTTTTTTTTATGGGGTTTTCTCAAAGCCACACGAGCAGCAACAAAAAAAAACGTCATCTGAATTCGCGATTTTTGATGCACTTTCCTTCGTTTTCGAGAAAACAACCCGAATTTTCTAAAATTTTTCCAATTTTTTTTCCAAAACAAAAATTTGTCTGAAATCGCAATTCTAGCTAAAGTTAGTTTGAAAAAAAGCAATTTTCAGCTTGAACAAACCCATCGACGCAACTTGTCTGCAATTTGCAGACATCGAGAATTTCAGCGAATTCGACGCAACCAAAAGCCTACATCGCATAATTTTGGTAGATAGAAAAAAGAAAAGCAAGACTTGAACTTTAAGGGATTTTTTCTCCACAATTTTCTCAGCATACTTTCCGAGCGAGACCCAAGAGCACACACAGATATAAAGAAGTCAGTTCGAGACCATAAATAGAAGAATTCAAGAATAGAAGAATTCAAGTGAGTGCGAACAAAAAACGCGAGGAGGGTGGGGTGGAACAGATGACGAATTCGTATAGAATTGAAATCGAATGAAACGCGGGCTGAAAATTTAATTAATGCTCAATCGACTATTTTCGAATACGCGTTTACCTTTCAATTTCTACATACTACAATATTCTAGGTCAACCAAGATAAGCGAGGGACCATTAATTGCGCGGAATTCCAAATTAGGCGGGCCACGAGCGAAAGTCAAACTACAAACAACAAGGCAAATTTGTCTTAAATTGACGGAAACAAAAATTGGGACCATGTGACGTGTCGGACCAAGAAAAAGAAAATATGTGGCGGTGTCCAATTTCCCAACCACCATATTGGACAAATAGGTGCATTTCGAGGATCGAGTCACGTCATTCCAAGAAAAAATTGCCTCTGCGACTCTAACCCAGCTACTGCTCGTGAACTCGGGACCCGTTTGAATAGAACCCAATTATGAATTTGATAGGTCAGACAAAAAACACAAACACACCCACCCCTAGCTGCCAAATGTATCTTTTCAACATTTAAATGACGTCAATTCGAAAAAAAAATCGAAGGAAAGAAATGAGCCAGGAGGGTGGGACCCTTTATATGTATAAATACAGACACATATATATATATACTAAAGGGGTCCCTCACTTCCTCCGCTCAGCTGCGCGGAAAAACAACACATGAGAGGCTCGGAGGCACCGGCGAAGCGAGGGACGCCTCATCAAATTTTAATCAATTTTCGAAAATGAGCATAAATATTGGCACAGTTTTTCGAGAAACTGGTTAGGCTTTTTCCAAACCAAAAAAAAAAATATGAAATCAGAAGAATTTATAGGAAAACAACAAAAATTAATAACAGAGAGATCGATTAACAATTTCTAAAATTCTAAACTAGACGAAACGCGTATTTTTTTTGGCGCAATTGCTATATTGTTTGTTTTCGAAAAATTTGCACTTTTCCATTCGAAATTGAATTTCATTAGGATTTGACTGGAATAATCCATCACAAATTTCGCATTCGATGAAAATCTCTCAAGGATTTTGCAATCGTACTGCATTAGTTAATTAAAACGAAATTTTTTTGCCCTTTTATAATAATAATAATCAAAAATGGCAATTCAAAAATTGATGGGGGGGGGAATTTTAATTATTTTTAATCGCATAAATCGCGCCAGCGCGCGCACGCCGCATAATTAACAACATAATTCATGAATTCTCAGTGGCCGCTCGAATCGCCTCAAGCAGTTCCCTTCGCTCTTCAATCATCGCTTTTCGCTTCGCGGCTCTCATCTGAGCGCGCTCATCCTCGCTGTGATCGATCAAATGGCGTTTGCTGATATTCCGATGAAGCGCCGTGTTCCAGTCGCCGCCATTCTCGTACACATCGCGAATGACATTGACGACGTTGGGAATCGGCAGAAATTGCGCCCCCGACTTCCATTTGACGTAACGATGAATCGGTAGACGAACGGCGCGTATGCCGGCTCGTCGAGCGGCTCCCAACGATTCTCGCTTGTGGTCCATCGAGACGCACAACGACACGACGTCGGCAGTCAATGGTCCGTCAATGACGTCGCGCGCGTATCGCGAGATGTACACGATTTGATGGTCCTTGGGATTGAATATTTCTTTGATGCCTACAAAAATTGCCCGAAAATCCAAAAATGAGAGGAGAACCGCCGAAACATCGAGCCGTTACCTTTTTGCGAGAAATCCGGCAGCAACGTTTGATATTGATAATCGCCGCGATAGAATCCGACAAACTTCTCGAACCATTTCTGCATGAATTCGGCTTTGGGCGAATTCACAAAATTCATCGCGAACGTGGTTCTCGCCGCGAAATTCTCGCTGATCGCGTACTGTAGCTGCGTGCCGAGCTCCGATCGCTGCCGATGCGGCATCTCGGCGACATATTGGACGTCGAACGCGATTCGCGGCGCGTTCGTCATCATCGCCGCGTAGACCTTGTACCCTTGGACGTTGTTGATCTTCTTGCGATTGCGCAGCGGACTATGCACCAGCTGGTACATTCCCGGCCCGTAGCCCATTCCGCCGGCCTCATAGATCGCCTCCTGCTCCTGAAGGTGTCGCTTGTAGGCGTCGGCCTCCTCCTGGTTCTTCGTCTTCTTTCGCTCTTCGCGTTTCTGCGTGAGCCCAAGAAACTCCCAGAACTCGACGCGCGTGTCCAAACTCGATTCATCAATCGTTCGCCGCCAATGCTCATCAGTCATGAATTTCGGAACAATTCGACCCATATATTGAAAAATCTCGAATTGTTTTAGCGTTCGGTCAAGCTCGCGCTTCTCGACGTCGCTCAACGAGTCGCGGAACTGCTTCGAGGGTTTCAGAGAGCTGACTGAGCTGTACCAGCATCGGCTCGTGTTGGTAATCGCGCGGCGGAGCAGCATAATTTTTTTGTTTGTTTGGCCCCCTGCAATGGATCATTTTTGAGCAAATTTGTGGAAAATGCGCCATTAGAAAAAGCGTGATATTTGGATGACGCATTTTCCGCAAATCGGCGACCCATCGCAATATCGCGCTTTTCAAACCAGCAGCACAAATTTTAAACAAGAAACGAAAAACAAAATCGAACGCACCTCGAAAAACTTTTTCTCACTTGCAGTTTTCTCCGATTATCGCTTCAACGATTGATATTCACTTGACAATTTTCTGCAATCGAATAGATTAATATGATTTTTATGACGATGAACACACAAGACGACAAATTCTCAAGGTCGATGGTGATATGACAATAGGTTTTGTTTAAATTTTAGGAGAAATGATGATAAATGACCATTGGATATCACGTATCTTCAGAAAATTTTAACAGAAATTGTATTTTTTCGTGATTGGCCTAAAACTGGAAATAATAAAAAATTAGATCAATTTTTAAGATCTATAATACATAAATAATTAAGAAAATAGGTGGAAATTGTGGGAAAAATGATCAAAAAATTAATAATTGTCGATCCTAAAATTTCGCGAATTTTTATCATTTTATGCAATTCTGCGCTGTTTTTCGGCGATTTTTCTTGGCAAAATCGACATCTGTCCGCTTCCGACAGCAATTTCTCGGTGAGTACTTCGAAAAATTCGCAAAATTACATTGAAAATGAATTCAAAACTGACAATTGTGGGCTGTGATCGGCCGGCGAACCGCTGATCGAACGAGACAGTGTGCGAAACGCGGAGGGCACAATGTGTGCACACACGCGACTTGCCGATCAATTGCGGACCCGTCGGATTTTTGGGCGATTCGAATATTTTTCGGCAATTTTTGCTATAAAACAATAAAATCGTTAGAAAGAAACATCATTTCAGCGATTAGAAAACAAAATATGTAATAATTTATTAATTAATATAAATAAAAACAATTGAGAAGGCTGTTACAACACATTTAAATCGCTAAATCCTTATTATTATTATTAATTGAACTATTTCGAAAACTATCATAGCATTATATCGCTGTGTGGCTGCGTCGTCGGTATCGGAATATATTCCGTCTGATTGGGACGACGTCGATACGGCATCGTCACCCTTTTCCACTTCTGAAATCAATTTGCATATTTACTTATGTGTTCAAGCGCGTTGCGGCTCGCGTGCGGTGGTTGAAAAATAAAGGAAAAAAAACTACACCTCTGAAATAGTATTTCCGCGGGCGTTGTAGAATTTATAAATGCCGACGAGCGGTATCATCGAAGCACCAGAGAGCGCGAACACGATTCCGATGATGTTGGCAATTCTCGGATATTCGTAATCCTGGTATCTCAGCGGCTGGTAATTCACAAAATGCGACGTGATCATACTCTAAATATCGCAAATTGTTGTTTGTTTTTTCTTTAATTGAAATTTACAAGCAAAATGAATGGGGCGGCGAGGCTCCAGCAGAATTTCCAATAATTTCCCGGACGGAAGCCCATCATTTCTTTGACGTCTCTCACAAATTGGCGAAGTCCTTCAAATTTGGCATCATTATTCAATATGAATATCATTTTTTTTAAATTCGACCATAAATATATGAGATGACAATCGCCTCACAGAAAACCGCAATGAGAAGCGCCCACGTGGTTCCGAAGACGATGAGCCATTCCATTATGAGAATTCCACCCTGAGAATGGTATTGATTTAGTGAATTTTTGATTTTGTCTTGTTGGCTCTCACGTCGGTACACATTGAGATTCCGATGATCATGTAGAACGTGAAGAGAAGCCCAACGAACACTTCGCGATGCTTCTTGAGCACCGGAAACTCGTCGGAAAGGCCGGTTATGATTGCTTCCGAGCCGCCGAACTACAATAATGTCGCTTTTTCTTTTTTCTTTGATTCTTGGAGTTTCGACCTACCGAGCTATCAAGTCCCAATGTCATGAGCATGAGAAAGAAAAGAACCGACCAGACGGGTGCGTACGGCATTGTTGAGAGCGCCTGATTGAGACAAAATGCATACAAGGAATAATTCTGCGAAAAATCACCTCGGGATAGACGACGAACACCAGACCGGGACCTTCTTGGGCGACCGATTCGATCGGTTTTCCGCTTTTGCACGACATATAGCCGAGAACCTGCAAATTATTGAGAATTCAGGTGAGAGCCGATTAGGCATTTCACCGAGAAAATGACGAATCCCGAGAGGAACGAGGTGGCGCAATTGATGAATGAGGTGAACAGAGCATCGCTGAAAAAGAAATTAAATTAGAGAATTTCGCCAAATATTATTATATAATAGTAGAAAATGAATTTTCAACAAAAAAAAAAATGGTTTGTCGTCAAATGAAATGCACAAGTCCGCGAATTGCACCTAATGCATTTTATTAGACGACAATTTTGAAATGTACAATTTATGGTAGTTGGTTTATGCACTCCACACGGTTTCGGCAGTCGAGTTTTCATTTTTCTAATAATGGTCTCGAGACGACGTGACGCGTACTCCACTTTACAACGCGACGTAAATCGACAATTATGTGAACATCGATGTCGATTATTGAGAAAACTCACACATAGACATTATTGTGAAAATCGTTGTAAGACGAGAACGCCATCAATACACCGAAGCCGGGTCCCAACGAGAAGAAGACCTGTGTGGCGGCGTCCTGCCACACCGACGGCTCTTTGAGCTTCTCGAAATTCGGCCGCAAATAGTACTCGATGCCGTCGCGCCATCCGGGCAGCGTCACGCCGCGAATGAACAGAATTCCCAAAACGACGTAGGGAAACAACGCGGTGAACCAGACGACTTTGCCGCTCATCTGAATGCCTTTCCACATCGAGAAATAGCAAATGAGGTAGACGACGAATAGACTCAAAGCGATGTCCCAATGGACGACGCCCAAATCGGTGAGGGAGCGCGCGACGTGCGAGTTCGCCTCGCCGGGTGTGTGAAGGCCGAGGAAGCCTTTGCTGAAAATCAAATCGCAAAAATTAGAATCAGCGAGAGCGGGATTACTAGAAGTATTCCTCGGCGGCCGAGATTTTCTCGGCGCTCACTGACTCGTCCGAACTTCGACATTTCGCTGTGCCATCTTCACTCCAACTGAAAAAAAAAAAACAATTTGTGAATCGACGTTCTTTTTTTTTTGGTACGCAGTACACGGGGGAAAATTGTCACACGGATGTTCTCGAATTCTTTACAAAAAAAAAATAATTTTTTAAACATTCCCAAAAAATTATTGGCTATGTGCCAATGCGTTTCGAGGCAGCGAGAAGTACGCAAGACTGCATACATTGCATTATAGCGTACGCGGATTTAATATTTGTGAGAGGTGGATTTTTCAAACTTCGATTTGAACTGGGCGAATTTGGGTACTACGTGTGATTGAACCTGAACACTTTTTTGCAAAAAAAAATATATTATAGGACAATGAAGAAAAAATAGATGAAATTTTCACATTTTTTCTTTATTTTTTCCACTTTGGCATTTTATTTTAAAAAAATGTCAACAAAAATAGCTCTGTTACGGTATGCAAATCGGTCGGTGCACTGCGTACCAATGCGCACGATTTCACGCCAATTTCCAAAAAATCAAAAAATCAAATGTGTTACTGCGGTTCATAGCACGCCGGTGAGTTGTACGAATTGTTGCACGAGGCCCACGGCAAATTTAAGCTAAACGACGTGTACAGATAATGAAGTCCCCACGCGAGGACGACGTTGTAGAAAAAATCGACATAAAACGCGGTGAGTATCACACAATATCCTATTCCTGCAAATTCTCAACTAGGCAACCGATCCGATGAGACGCGCACCTTTAAATAGGGGACATATTCGTCCCCACGTGGTGATGGCGCCTTTTCGATAATACTGTCCCAACGAGAGCTCCATGTAGAACAACGGCACACCGGTGAGCAGCACCATTATGCTGTACGGGATGAGGAAGACGCCTTGAGGTTGAATCAATTACGTCACGTCGACAATTTCAAACCTCCGCCATTTTTGAAGCACAAATAGGGGAATCGCCAAATGTTGCCCAAATCCACCGCGAAACCGACGACCGATAGCAGAAAATCGAGTTTGCCGGCCCATTGCTCGCGCGCCGTCTCTTTGACCTCCGGACGCGTCGCCTCTGTCGGCGCATTGGCCTCGTTCGCGTCTGAACGTAGATCAAACTTGCGCGCCTCCATTAATTGAATGCGTTCAATTGGCGTCGGGTTACTGTACCTGCCAGCATATGTCGGGGGGAGAAGCACGAGAAGTGGTGATGGTGGAGATGGTGGGGGGTGGGGGGGGGCCAAAGTAGAAAACGATGAAGACGGCGCGGGAGACGTATTATATGTCAGGTATATTAGAATAATAATAACATAGTCGGGCAAAAAGAGAAGACGAAATTTTTTTTCTTGGTCCCCCCCCCCACCCCACACAACCCGTCCGAATAATTGCCGGAAAGCATCTATCTGGTGTTTCTTGCTTGCCACTGAGCGGTCCGTTTTTCTCCATTTTATACATATAATAATAATAGTGAAGGCCTGTCGTCGGCCCTCGGCGAACAAATCAAACACAGGGAATTCCGGATGATGGTGTTTATTATTGATTACATATAGTTTGGAATGCATGCTTTGTATTTTTCGAACGTCGGCAACGCCTTCTGGCGGATTTTCGACAAGAGCGGCTCATTGATGTTGAACGAGTTCGCCATTATTTCTTGCCTGCAAAAATTTTCTTTTTTTACAAAACGAAAAAAAAAAGAAAAAGTTCAACATTCTTTCTTTCTCTCTTCAAAAATAATTGGGCATATTGTTTCTCTTGACGGGAAGCGAGAATCGATGGTGCGTATATAATAATAATCATTATAATGGCGCGGAAACACTTACATCGCCGTTGGGCTCACGAGCTGCTTCGCGTCTTCGGCATTCAGAAGATAGCAACGACCGGGGGCACGCAGGAGGCGATTCTCCTCATGAAGTGCGTTTTTGTCGTCCTCGTCGCAAGAATACTGTAAAAATAAAACATTATGCGTCTTTAAAGCTTCAACGAAAAGCTCAATAATAGAGTCTTACTCGGAAAATTCGAGGGAATTTGTTGAATAATATGGAGACGGGGAGATTGAGAAGAGCGGCAACCTGCAAAAAAAAAATGAGCATTCCTTCGTTAAAAATTGTTCTCCCAGACTCGATTTTCAAAAATTCACCTTGCTCGCTGTTATAAATCTTGTGGCAAAATCAATCCTCTCCGGATTCCATCGAAGAACATCGTTCATTGTCGGCGGAGCCATCTCCAATCGATATGCTTCCTCGTCTTTCCGAGGTCGGCCACGCCGCCGCTTCGCTTCTGAATTGTGACTGATCGCGCTGACGTCAGAGCCATCTGATTCATATCCCCTCTAAAAAGAAAAGGAAAATTAGAATTTTTTGAGATAGAATTTAATAAGTAAAATTGAGAAAAATATAAAAAATTTTATCTAATTTTTTCAATCTATTTTAAGCCTAAAATTTTTCTATTCATTTGAAATAAGCTTTCAGTCAGTTATTTTAAATGAATAACAGAAAATAGGCCAAAAAAAGAAATATTTCGCATTAAAACGGTACTACGGTAGTCAGTTGGTGTGAACACTTGACAACACTTTGCGGACTACGACGATTTTTTTGCTGGATTGATTTTTTCGAATTTTTAGTAAAAATTTTAACTAGTTTTGAGCTAATTGTAGAATATTTTTAAAATACTTACTTTCAAATTATTCTCCTGATGATTATTGCCATTGCGAAAATCGACAAACGTCTCATTCGAATTATTATTGATTACCGGCTCCGAATCCAAATTCAAAAACGGTTTTTTCGCGTTTTCCAAAATGCTCACATAGAGCCCATTAATGACACTTTCATCGACAACCTGCAATTATAAAAAATATTTTAAAATTGAAACTATTCAAAAAAAAATCTCGAAATCTTACATGCCCGTTTCTTCTGAGGTTTTCAATTGCGGGAAGTAGAGTGGTTCTCGTGTGTCGATCCATTATTTGATGGATCTCACGCGTCATTTCCGTTTGGAATATCTAAAAATTTCAAATGTTTTGAGATTGTTCAAGGATTTCCGGCTACCCTTCGCATCAGGTCCAGCGACGTCTGCGCATCATTTGCCATGTCTGTTTTATTCCGTTTGATCACTTGTTTCAGCGAGTTTACCTTCAAAGTATTCAATTTCCGGAGAAAAAAACATAAAAAATGTTTTTTTTGCAAAATCAATTAATTTTTTAATTCCTACTGTAGTTCGTCAGAAGTTGTGCATACACTTTATTTGACGACAATTTGTTTTATTTATTATTTTCTTGCTAAAAAAAAATCCCCCACTCTTGCCGACGTTCCGTCGCTGCTCGTCTCCATTTCCCGCGAGAGTAAATCTTCCAATATGGAAATTCGCATATTCATTTTGTTGCCATTCCCATTTCCAGTCATTCGTTCGAACATTTCAGCTGGAAGACGAAAAAAAAATATCAAATCGAAAACATATAGCTGAAGGGGCGAAAAAACGGCGGCATCACATGACGAATGAATTGAGAAGAAGCAACAAAAACAAAACAAAACAAAAAAAACGGCATAAAAATGTTTAAAAAATACTGAGAAGCCATGAGAGAAATGCGGAAATTCGTATAGCCGTCGCGCGTCTCTATCAATTCGTGTGCTCTCTCTCCCTCGCTCGCGTCATCTCTTTCTCTCGCCATTTGCGGCTGCCTGCATGTCGGCGCCCCTTATTTTAAAAAATCATAATTCGATCGATTCGGTGTTGTTGTGGAGCTGGAGCACCTCGTCCAGCTCGCTGGCTCGCCCTCCCTTTCTCCGTCTACCCTTACCTAATTTCCGCCGCCAAACTTTCTTCGCTTTTCGACATTCAGTCGACGCGCACCGCCAATTTCTAATTTCAGACAAAACATGGTGCAAACCTATCGATCACCCGTCCGCATCTACAAACACCCGTTTGAAATTGTCATGGCGGTAATTAATCAATTCGTCCGATTCATCATAATTGCCCAATTTCGTTTAGGCGTATGAGATGCGTTTTCCAACGTGTCCACAAATTCCAATTTTCGTCGGCTCCGAAGTCACGTATGAGTATAATAGTCCGGACGGTGCCGAATGGGTGATTGAGCGCAAATGTCAGCTAAACGTTGACGCGCCATATTTGGTGAAGAAAGTAAAACGAAAAAAAAATATATAAATTGAGCAAAAATTTGGGAATTTTCGAATTTTTTTCCAGATCGCCGGCGTTGATTACGTGTATTTCACACAGAAAAATTCGCTCGATCGCCGAAATCGAACGCTGAACATCGAGGCGACGAATATCTCATTCTCGACGCGAATCGACATCAAAGAGAATTGCACATACTATGTGAGGGACCATCAAAGGGCACGCGCATCGAAATTGATGATTTACAGGTGCACGCCGAGAACGATGATTGGACGTGTTTCGAGCAATCGGCGTCGCTCGACGTGAAAAGCTTCTTCGGCTTCGAGGCGGCCGTCGAGAAGTTGGCGGTGAAACAGTATGCGGCGAATTTGGCGAAGGGCAAAGAGATTCTCGAGTATTTCATCGAGGAGCTCCTCAAAAAAACGCAACACATTGAACGATGGAAGCCGCCGGCGGCGACGACGACGACGACGAGCGACGATGAGCAACACATCGAATGCCGCGAATCCGACGACACGGTGATTGTCGAGAAGACGCGACCGCCGCCGTTGGCCGCGTGCAAATCGATGAGCGTCAACGATGAGTTGAAGACGGCGCGTGGAGCTCAATGTTTTGATGATGGTGAGTTTTGGAAATACTAGGCAGAGAGCCGCAGAAAACCATCCCCCCGAAAAAAATTGCTGAGAAGAAGAATCATGAATGATACAAAAAATCCAAATTATTTTCTTTTATGCTTTAAAGGCGCATAGAGGAAAAATTTTATGACTCTTTAAGCGATTTGATGAATACGTGGCCGCGGCCGAGGTCTTCCGAGTTTTTTTTTCTCTCAGCAATCTTTTTTCAGTGGATGTTTTTTTGAAATCTGCATAATACCATAAAATAGTGTTTCGAGGAGAGATTATTTGAAGATGAATGTGATCCACTCGGTCCTCCTCAAGCACTATTTGCTCTTCCTCCCCCCCCCCCCGCCCTTCTGTTGGGCGCACTATTCTTCCCTCCCCCTTCAAAATTATTGATTTATTCCGTCGTAGGCATCTAGTTATTATTTTTTATTATTATTATATCTAATATAGTTAGTTTAACTATGCATATTATATTTGCGCATAATCGCGTGCAATTATAACAATGTTGGCGCGAAAATATGATAAAAGTGGGCGACGGCGAAAATCGGTGAAATTTGTCATCGGTTAGTTCGAAATGAATTTTTTTTCTCGTGTTAAAACATCCAGAAAATTTAATTTTTTTCTTCTCCAGCTGATTCGAAACTCGAAGCTGAATATATTCGAAGATTCTTGGGACAATTGAATCCATTGGAGGAGTCGAGACTCTGCGAGCTCAAATATAGCCTTCAGAATCATCATAAAGTGAGAAATGCTGAAAAATCGACCTACATATTAATATTCGTTTGGGTTTTTTTTTAGGGAAAACTACCCAATGACGCGCATTTGTTGCGGTTTTTGCGCGCTCGCGACTTTGACGTCGGCAAAGCGAAAGACATGGTCCACGCTAGCATCATCTGGAGGAAGCAGCACAACGTTGACAAGATTCTTGAGGTACGCGCACACACACAGGCACTTTGCCGATTTCAATGGTCCCTAGAGGCGTCTTGCAGGAATGGAAGCCGCCGGCGATCATCAAACAATACTTTCCCGGCTGCTGGCACAATTCCGACAACCAGGGCCGCCCGTTGTTTCTCCTTCGTTTGGGACTCGTCGACACGAAGGGAATGGTGCGCGCGTGCGGCGTCGAGAATCTCGTCAAACTGACGCTGTCGGTGTGCGAGGACGGGCTTCAGCGCGCCGCCGACGCGACGCGAAAACTCGGCGCGCCGATATCGTCGTGGAGTCTGCTCGTCGATCTCGACGGCCTCTCGATGCGACACCTATGGCGTCCCGGCGTCCAATGCCTATTGAAAATCATTGAGATCGTCGAGGCCAACTATCCGGAAACGATGGGACAGGTGTTGGTGGTCCGCGCGCCGCGCGTGTTTCCCGTATTGTGGACGCTCATCTCGCCGTTCATTGATGAGAAGACGCGAAAGGTTTTTTTTTGAAGGGGGGAGGGGGGGGGTCTCGAAGTCGATGACGCCCAGAACTGCCAATTTCAGAAATTCATGATAAGCGGCGTTGGCGGCGGCAATTTGAAGGACGAACTCAAGAAGCATATCGATGAGGCCTATATTCCCGATTTTCTCGGTGGCTCGTGCCTACCGATAAACATGGGAATCGGTGGACACGTTCCCAAATCGTTGTATCTTCCCGTCGACGAGCAAGACGGCGCCTCGTCGTCCACCGACGATCCCCTTCATTCGATCTACACGACGGCGGTGATCAGTCGCGGATGTCCCGCCGAAGTTGTGATTCCCGTCGAGACGCCGGGAAGCGTTTTGACGTGGGACTTCGATGTGCTGAAGAGCGATTGCGAGTTCACCGTGTTCCATACGACGAAGGTTTGTTCGAAAACGAGCCGCTCGAGTGTTGCCAACAAATTGGGGTTTAGCGAATCGAGGCGAAAACCGAAGCGCCGCACTCGCCGACGACACATCTGAATCCGGTTGAGATGGTGTCGGCGGCGATTGGCACCCATCAGCATCCGACGATTCAGTGCGCGCCCGAACTCAAAACGGGAACGCCGGAATTGAGTGTCGAAGAGAAAACGGTTCTTTTCCAAGAGGGTGACTCAATGCAGGTAGCTGATTTGAGAATCAGAGAGCAATTGGGATACTATCAATTGGTTTAAAGGGATCTCATTACTGTAGTCGCGTCGGGACCTATATAATGCAGTGGAGGGCGCCGGAGGCCGGCGCGCAACATTCGTCATTCGATTTTGGGATGCACAAATGCAAATTGATGTATTATTATGAGATATTGAATTCGGATGACTTTAGGTAATAATTGAAATATAATAAATTATTTTGAATTGTGAATGTTTTAGAGGGTCCGTCGCCTCGCTTGAATCGTGCCGCAGCTCATCGTTCAGCTCGATTGCGCCGCCGAGCCCACAATCATCCGGAACGCCGTCGATTGTTAAAAAATGATTTTGTAAATAATTTGAATTTTCTTTTTTTTTGTTTTGCCGCTGTGATAGATTTTCGTTTTGTGTTTTTTTTTTTCTTTTGACTTGGTACGGTTCTCTGCTGTCCAGAAATTTTCTTTATTTATTTGATTTTAGAAACGCATACCCCCCCACAACTGTTGAATTGTTTCATTGTTGCCCATAAATGATAGTTTGATGAACACCATTCGGTTTGGCGCAGCAGGTGGCGCGCATTCGAATATATTCAACACCATCCTGGCGTATTGTGACGTAGGCGGTGACGTAGGCAAGCGCCGCCCATATGGCGCAACATGGTGCAACATGGAACGCGCCATTAATTCGAAAATTGTGAGACGCGTTTAGTATCACCGCGATGAGACCATTCGGATGTGTTTGAGTGTGCGCCTTTTTGGATCCCAAAAATGTTGGCGCAATTTGAGTGACCCGACGAAAATTTGAATTTTCCATTTTCCCGCATTATTTTCGAATTTGACGCGCCGTTATCACCAATCTGTATTTTTTTTCGATCAATTCGCGTCGATTTTTTGAAAACCAAAAACCCCGCGACGACACGCTGCTCGTCTGCCACCCTCCACCGCCGCCAACACTATCTCGTCGGCAGGTTGAGTTTGCGCGCGAAACTCGCACGATTCAATTTTTGCGCGCGCGCCGCCGTCACTCGTCATTTCAATGTTTCGACGCGGGTTTTTTTCAAATTCCCTAAAAGCTAATAAATTTCTTTCAGATTATGCAACGCCATAACAGCACGTACGTTGTGAAGCGCGATGGTCGACGCGAAGACGTGCATTTCGATAAAATTACATCGAGAATCCAAAAGTTGAGCTATGGATTGAACATGGATTTCGTCGATCCGGTAATTTTTTTCTGTTTTGCTTTTTTGAAATCCACTTAATCACAGGTGGCGGTTGCGATCAAGGTGATCAGCGGGCTCTACAAAGGCGTGACGACCGTTGAGCTCGACAATCTCGCCGCCGAAACGGCCGCTTCGATGACGACCCAACATCCCGAGTACGCTTTGTTGGCCGCGCGAATCGCCGTCAGCAATTTGCACAAGAAAACGAACAAGGTGTTCTCGGAGGTGATGAAGACGTTGTACGAGTTTCATCATCCGCACACCGGCAAACACGCGCCGATGATTAGCAAGCAGACCTACGACACAATTATGCGAAATGCTGACGTAAGCATTTAATTAAATTCATTATGTTTATTGAAAATCGATTTGTGATTTTCTAGAAGCTCAACTCGGCAATCGTCTATGATCGCGACTACTCGTACACCTATTTTGGATTCAAGACGCTTGAACGCTCATACCTTCTCAAAATCGACAAGCAGATTGTCGAACGCCCGCAGCAGATGCTGATGCGCGTCGCCGTCGGCATTCACGGCGACGACATCGACGCGGCGATCGAGACGTACAATTTGATGTCGGAACGCTATATGACGCACGCGTCGCCGACGTTGTTCAATTCGGGCACGTGCCGCCCGCAAATGTCGTCGTGCTTCTTGCTGACGATGAGCGAGGACTCGATCGGCGGCATCTACGACACGCTCAAACAGTGCGCGCTGATCTCGAAAAACGCCGGCGGCATCGGTTTGAATGTGCACAAAATTCGAGCGACCGGCTCGGTGATCGCCGGCACCAACGGCACGTCGAACGGACTGATTCCGATGCTTCGCGTCTACAACAACACGGCGCGCTACGTCGATCAGGGTGGAAATAAGCGGCCCGGAGCGTTCGCCATTTATTTGGAGCCGTGGCACGCCGATGTGTTCGAGTAGGGCGTTATAGAAATTTTTTGGTTTTGCCATTAAAATGAATTTTGCACGTTTTCAGATTTGTCGCTCTCCGCAAAAACACGGGACCCGAAGAGGAACGAGCGAGGGATCTGTTCCTCGCCCTATGGGTACCAGATTTGTTCATGAAGCGAGTGGAACGCGACGAGGATTGGTCGCTGATGTGCCCTTGCGAATGCCCGGGACTCGATGAATGCTGGGGCGACGAGTTTGAAGCGCTCTATGAGAGGTGAGTCGAGTATACATTTTTTTCTGGCAGTTAGCCAATCGAAGTGCGATACCCGGGCAATCTCGTCTGTTTTTTCGGGCTGCTCGGCACTTACTGACTTCGAATATTAACGAATCAAACGCTTTACGATAACCCCAAAAATTTGTCGATGGCTTTTTGGGGACTTTTATGAGCTGACATTCAACGATTCACGATTCTGTCGTTTCTTTCAGATACGAGAAGGAGGGACGTGTTCGGAAGACGGTGAAAGCACGCAAACTCTGGGAGCACGTCGTCTCGAATCAGATCGAGACCGGACTTCCTTATATCACCTACAAGGACGCGGCGAATCGCAAATCGAATCAGCAGAATGTTGGAACGATCAAGTGCTCGAATTTGTGCACCGAAATCATGGAGTACTCGTCGCCCGATGAGGTCGCCGTGTGCAATTTGGCGTCGATCGCGTTGAATCGCTTCGTGACCGCCGAGAAGAAGTTCGATTTTGCCAAGTTGGCGGAAGTCACGCGGGCGTTGACGCGCAATTTGAACAAAATCATTGACATCAACTACTATCCGGTGCCGGAGGCGAAGCGATCGAACATGAGACATCGGCCGATTGGATTGGGTGTGCAGGGATTGGCCGATTGCTTCATGCTCATGAGGTACCCGTTCACGTCGCCGCAGGCGCGCGATCTCAACAAGCGCATCTTCGAGACGATCTACTATGCGGCTTTGGATGAGAGTTGCGAGCTCGCCGCCAAGAATGGACCGTATGAGACGTACGAGGGTTCGCCGGTGTCGAAGGGCATCCTCCAGTACGACATGTGGGGAGTGACGCCGACGGATCAATGCGATTGGGCGGCGTTGAAGGCGAAAATCGCGAGGCACGGTGTGCGCAACAGTTTGCTGATGGCGCCGATGCCGACGGCGTCGACGGCGCAGATTCTCGGCAACAACGAGAGCATCGAGCCGTACACGTCAAACATCTACTCGAGACGCGTGCTGTCCGGCGACTTTCAGATTGTCAATCCGCATTTGCTCAAAGATCTCGTCGAGCGCGGACTTTGGGATGACGATATGAAGAATCATCTGATTGCCAACAATGGATCGATTCAGAATATTGAGGTTTGTTCGGTTTCGTGTTGAGACCCTCATCTGGTGAGAATGGTTCTAGGGCATCCCGCAAGAGCTCAAAGAACTCTATCGAACCGTGTGGGAGATTTCGCAGAAGGACATCATCGAGATGGCCGCCGATCGCGGCGCATTCATCGATCAATCGCAATCGCTCAACATCCATATGGCGAAGCCGAGCTACGCGGCGATCACATCGATGCACTTTTATGGTATGGGTCCTGGCACGACGGGACGATTGTTTTGTTTCTTCTTGTAGGCTGGAAGAAGGGATTGAAAACGGGAATGTATTATTTGCGCACGAAGCCGGCTGTAAACGCGGTCCAATTCACTGTAGACAAGGCGGCGTTGAGGGCGCGACTCGAGGTTCAGACGGCAGCCTCCGCGACGACGACGACTACGACGACGACAGCTGCTCCAGAATCGCCCGACGAGGGATGCGTGATGTGCTCGGGATAATTTGGACTCGTGTTTTTTTTTTCGCACTTTTTGAATTTTTTTCTTGATCTGACAATTTGCAATAAATGATTTGAATTGAAATGGCCGTTTTTGTTGATGGTATTTTTTTTGTTTGACCTAAACGCTTTATTTATGGACAACACGACGACGAAATTCGGCGATGAAGAAAAACACACCATTTTTTTGATTAGATTTTCGACTCGATTATCTCCTCATTCATAACCCAATCCCTAGATATATTTTTTTTCATCTTCGCCTTCCTATAAATATAAATATGTATATGTGTTCGCGTATTATTTTTCCATTTAGCTTCTTCGACTTTTTTTCTTTTTTTTTTTTTTGTTTTTTTTCGATGTTGTGCACCACATTAAGCCGGAAAAAATAGATAAGCGAAACTCATTATGGCTTTGGATTTTTCATTATTTTTCGCGTTCTCCGTTTTTTTTTGTTTTTGAAATCAGAAAATTGGTTGGATGGAGGTTGCGTGCATGTTGGCGTTGGGACGATTGCGTACTTTTTTTTTGCTATTTAAATTCGCCGCATTTTTGCGATAGTTTTAATTGAAATATTAATTATTTTGGATTTTTTTTAATTAAAAAATTGAAAAAATTTTCTTCGATGGTTAATTTGATTAATTTCGAAGTAAATTTGAGAAAGTTTAGGATCAATTTGAGTTTTTTGAAGAAAAAATTTCTGTAACGAATCTTTTGCGAGACAAAAATTATTTTCCGCGCGATGAGCCTTTAATCAATTATTCCTTTTATTGGAATTGAGCTTATTCAGCATTTTCATTAAAAAAACACTTCCTCGAATTCGAGCAAATCAAAAAATTGAAATAATTGAAAAATGCTCGAAATCAACGAGCAATTTTTACAGAGTTTTTGATTCATTTTGTTGGATACTGTAATTAAAGGCGCAAATAGGTTTTGGGTGTCCCGATTTTTTCGTTGCTGCATTTGTCGACGTTTAAAATTTTATTCATTAAAAAATTTGATGTTGTCTGCAAATTTGGGTTGCGGTGATTGCGTACTTGTTTTTCATTTGAATTTTTGCAATTGTTTTTCCACGTTTGAATTTGTTTTTTTTTGAGCGAAATTTTTGAGTTAATTAGCATCTAGCTGAAAATAATGAAACTTGCAAAAATTAATTCCGTGTCTGTTTTTGTTTTTCTTAAATCTGACCCTCAAAAATAAGCCTCGGGTGTTCGACCGTAACCGGCTCACAATTAAAGAAAAAACCAATGTACTTAATTGTTTCACTTTCTCGTTCCAATGCGCCAACAACCGCAGCAGCAGCAGCAATAAACAAATGCGCGCCTAATCGAGCGTAAGGGGCACTTCATGCTTTTTTGAGCTCAATGAGCCGAAAGGCCGAATTTTGTTCAGTGCGTTTTAGCTGTTTCACTAGATAAGGTTCGCTTTTTCTCCTTCTTTTATTTTGGATTTGCCATGATTGATGATGGTAGCACTTTTTTCGCTGGAAGGGGGGCTTTTAAAAAATGGCCAATTTTGACGGATTGGCGATTTGCCTTCTGCCACATAGCGGAGAGATGTTCGCCGAATTCTGCTGCCTAACTCGTCTTGTTGCCGCGGACACCTTACGGGTCTCGCCGCCATCTATATTTTGCATTAGGCGCGGTTGTGACGCGGTTTGTGACGTCACAATTTCACCTTTGCATGACTGAATATGGTCCCGCATTCGTTGGGCGCTTCGAAAGGGTGGATTCGAAAAATGCATTTTTTTTTCTGCAAGAAATGATAAACAAACAAACAAGCCAATAATCCTACTGTAATGGAATACTCGTCATTCGCGTTTTTGTTTGCATCAGGCCTGTTTGCGAAGACCAAAAATCCTGCGCCTAGCTAATTATGTGAAACGCGGAAAAAAGTATGTATAATTATGTATACGTATAAATGTATATTCTGCGAGCCGCGAGAGTTTTTCGTCGAATTCGCATTGTTTCATTGAAGCGCGATTTTCGCTAATTGGCGTCGCCCCGACGCGCTCAAAACCCGCCACAGAGAAACGGAAATTGACATTTTTTTGTGGGTGTGTTGCGTTTGGTCTCGAAACTTTTCAATTATTCATTCATTCATTTTGTTGGCCTGTCAAAATGTTTGAAATCGATTGAAGGTAATTCGAAACTCTTGCCACTGCAACACCGCCCTCATTTGACCCATTACTTATACGCCATTTATCGAGATGCTACTGGTTGCATCGGTCGTGTTTTGCCTAAATGCGCCGGTGTTGGCGCGTTGGGCCGCGCGGGTTCGACTCTCGGCGAAACGTGCCTGCATCGCATGGATATCAACACAGATAAACGGCGGCATAGGCACAATGGAAGCATAGTGGAACGGCTGTGGATATCATAGGAATCTTATATGCAAGTTATATGGAAGCATAATGGAAGCATTTTTTTGCGGAACCGCGTGTTTCGTATATGGAATGAGCCGTATGCCTTCCATATGGGAAAATAAGAAAACAATTTGATTGCTGTATTCAAAATTTATTTCATATTAACACATTTATTTAATTTAAAATAAAAAAAACAACAATGAAATGAATTTCAATTAAGATATAATCAAACCATTAGTTACTGGCAACTGCCGAACTATTCGAATCATTGTCAGTACTGACATCGAGCGGGACGCTGTAATAAGTAGATTATAATGGGCCTATTAATTTGAAAAACTTGTAAACCATTGTTACGTAAACTAAATTTTTCGAGAAAATACAATCAGTTTTTTTACATCAATAATTTTCTTAAAAATAAAAATAATTTATTTTTATTGCATTTTTGGAAACCCTTTAGTGCACAAAATAAAAAGTGAATTGGCGGAAGAAAGAACAACTCCAAAATTTGAAGCAAAAAGGCATTTTGGTTAAAATTTCAAAGACATATGAATACTCACATCTGAGGGTTGCTGGTAGAATCAAGCAGCTTCCTTAATTGCGCCGCGAGCGCTTCCGGCGCTACACCAAATTTCCTTTAAAGTCGTTGGCGCATTCTATCGCTTAATCAAATAAATAAATTAATAGTCATAGCTCAAAATCTTACAGAAGATTATCCATGACTTCTCGAACCATGCGTAATGCTTTCGCTTTGAAGTCATTTGTCGGTTGTTGCCCAAAGCCATGGATAAGAGCATCTGTAATATAGATATTTGCAATAAAGTATAGGATCTTTATATAGTCGGCGTCTGGCGACTTCTGTACTAGAGCCCCACTTAAAAAGATAAATGCCACTGAATGATATTGGTACGAAGGCTGTACGGCAATCGGAAATTTCGGCGATTCGGCTAATGGCAAATTACCGATCGAAATTTTCTTCGGCAATTTGAAAAACCGGCAATTTCGGCAATCGGCAATTCCATTGCCGCACAGCCCTGATTGGAACCAAATAATCAACAAGCTTTAAACTTAGGAAGTACTTTATAAAGACTTCATTGCGCATATTTTTCTAATTGAAACCATTTCTGGAGTCGAACAGGCCAATTTTTGATGATAACAACTTACAAATTGGGCGTACGAAGGTTTAGGAATTGGCGTTGATTTTGTTGTTTGTGAGGACTGTGGAGAAAAATTTTTTTGCTGAGTTGGCGAGTAAATTGGACTATCTGGATCTGAAGTGTCGAGCGAATTTGGTTCCATGTTAGGGACTTCTGGTTCTTTGTTATTGACTTCTAGAGCAGTTTCAGTTATATCTGACAACACTCTCGATCTTGTCTTCATCTGTAAAAAATTTCAAAACATTATGTTTTATTAAAAGAAAAAAGCGAGCGATAATAAAAAATATGTTAAAGTAAATAAAAATAAAACGGATTCGATGAGAAATTAAACACAATTCGATTGAGAAAATATTTAAATTCGATTTTAAAAGTGTCGAAAACGATTTGAAAACATCGTATCGATTTTAAAATTTTCGAATGCTATCAATTTATTTTTGGTTTCGATTTTGATGATAAATATGAAAATTTTTCCATTATTTTTTAAAAACATTTTTCCTTTAATTTTGAAAAAAATTCTTTAATTTTTGACAAAAAAAAAAACACAAAAAATCTTGAAAATTCATTGAGAAAAAGCAAAAGGACAAAAATTTTGAAAACGAATTTCGAAAATGTGAGGCGTGGCCGCATTGTGCAAAGCGGCGCACGGTTTTGCAATGCTGCGGCACGCCTCTTCTACGCGCGTCTGCTACCAGTTTGGAGCAAATTGTGAGTAGTTTGCGATGCCAATTTCGGAAAAACCGGCAAAAATATATTAATACGACTAAATTGTAGTTGGCAATCTTTAAACAAAGTGAGGAACAGTTGACTGAATTAACATAAATCTGAGTAACATAAGTCATTAAATGGTAGAAGCTAAATTTCGTCCGTTGTGTATCATGTAATTTTCAAATTTTCATTGTTTATATGATAGCATAAGTTTTTTGTATTGATTTTTCTAGAAATTGTCTTGGTCTGCCGTCCAGACGCCAATTGTATAATGTGTAATGATATATGATTATTTTATCCATATTCCATCCATATTTGTTCCACGGCTCGCAAACACCGGAAGCATATTCATCCCGTTTTCATTCCATCCATATTCGTCCCATTATTCTTCCACAGCCACTAAGAATTACATTATGCTTCCTATATGGAAGCATTATGCTTCCGTTCCACAGATTTCCCACAATGCTTCCATTACAGGGTGCGCTATAAATACGGAGCCGCTTTCAAAACGGTGTAAAAAGATTAGTTTCAAAGATTTTTTTGTGAGATTCAACCAAAATGTTTATTAAACTATAAGAAAAAAAGTAGCATTAACAGTTTTCGAATCTTCCCCCTTTCGCCTTGATCACAGCTCGGAGTCTCTTCGAGTAGTTGTTAATGACGGCACGCAGGTAATTGTCGTCTAAATCGTCCCATGCATTCTCAAGTGCAATCTTCAATGCTCCCAAATTAGGATAGTTTTTCGTGGGAACCTTATGGGTTAAATATCCCCACACCGAGAAGTCCATAGGGTTCAAGTCCGGGCTGCTTGCTGGCCATTCCGCGGCTGTGATGAAATGGCGAAAATGAGTTGCGCACCACTGTTGAGTCGCTTTGGCACGGTGGGCAGGTGCCCCGTCTTGCTGGAACGTCCAATCTCGATTAGCAAAGTGAGATTGGGCCCACGGAAGTACTGCCGATTCGAGAATCTTTTCCATGTAGTAATTGTGATTGATTTTGGCGCCCATATCCACGAAAAGCAGTGGTGTCTTCCCATCAGAGCCGGTACCTCCAAAAACCATCACTGAATCCGGGTGGGAAGTTTTATTCAAACATTTTCCCTTCTTGACAGCAGTCTCGAAGTCCTTAGCAATGATTCTGTGGTTTTGGCCGTTCTTGTTGGCTTCCACAGCGAATATCTTCTCGTCAGTGAACAAAGTTTTCAAGTGCGTGCCTTGACGCGTGCCACGAAGAAGAGCTTGTGCTTTGGTCACACGGAGAGCTTTATTTTTCTCCGTAAGGAATGCTCCGTTTTGAAAACGATAAGGAATCATACGAAGCTTGTCTCTGACCACTCTTCTCATCGAATTTTCACTCATTCCAAGCTCCAGTGCCATCTTTCTCATGCTTCTTTCCGGATTCCTCCGAATGCGCTCCCTGATAACTTTCACCACCTTCGGAGTCGTCACAGTCACTGGGCGTACAGATCTCTGCTTGTCTTTCAAAGTACCAAGCCCTTTGAACCGATTGAGAGTTTTGTTTACCACCGATTTAGCCACACCGAGCTTCTGAACGATCACTGCCGAACGCATTCCAAACTTCGATAACTCAACGATGGTAGCCCTGAACGGGGAAGCTGCTGTTATAACCTTAAAACGAATTATATCGAGCTGGAACTTAACAAACTAGTAAAACATAAAATAAACTTCAAAAAAAAAAAAATAATTGTGCCCAATTAAATGGGTACTGTAGGCGCCAGAGTTGACGCAAAGTTGCGGCTCCGTATTTATGGCGCACCCTGTATGCTTGCGTCGCGCTTAATCAGTGAAAAACAAAATGAATCATGCCACGCCCCAACCATGTCCTCATCCATTCCCAATACGTGTTGTGTTCTCATTTATTTGCCTCGGCATTCTTCAATCCCATCTAATCGCATTCAGATTCCAGGCTTCATTCGCGCCATATGCAATTGTCGAATGGCGATGAGTATATTGGTTGGACGCTTATTGAGAGAAGAGTGCCGTTTCAGGTCAGTCATCAAAAAATTGTCTCACTGGTTCCGTGCTAATCATACTCATCAGCGCAAGCCCCCCTCCCCCCGCCCCTCATCGGCTCTTTCATTTCATCACAAATTGACCTAATTTTGCGAGACACGTGTTTGTGTTGTGACGTTTTTGCAATTTTTCTGTTTCTTCTTCATTCGCCACGGCAAAGAATTGACATGATCGCGAAAAGGGCTAAGACGTGTTCGTCGTCTCTTTGACTCGACAAATAAATGAATTGGAAAACGAGACAAAATTTGCAACAAAAAAAATACGCAAACACATTTTGTTGTTGTTGGGCCGGAAGTGCATCGAAAAAGTGCAACAAGAAAACCCACGCGTGTGCTCAATTTTTTTTGAATTCCTTGAATTCATCCTACCTGAATGAATTGCACATTTCCGGGCGGATTTTTGGCGGCAGAAATCAATAATAATTGGGTAGATCAAACAAATCAGTAACGCGCGCGTCAAGCTATGGCATAATCATGCGCTGCTTCGACTACAAACTACAAAAGGATGCGCTGCTTAGACTGCAAATGGTAAACGTGCGCGCTGCTTAGACTACAAACTACAAAAGGATGCGCTGCTTAGACTGCAATTGGTGAACGTGCGCGCTGCTTAGACTACACACTACAAAAGGATGCGCTGCTTAGACTGCAATTGGTGAACGTGCGCGCTGCTTAGACTACACACTACAAAAGAATGCGCTGCTTAAACAACAATCTACCAAGATAGACGCCCGCTTTTATTTACACGAGAATATTTTCAAGGGTCCCAGTCGTCCCATCGAAAAATTTGACGTCGCTTCGGAAATTTAATGAATCGTGAAAAATTCACGAGTCGGTGCTGTGCTTCAAAAACGTGTATATATATTTTTTGAATTTCGATTTTTTTCGCAAGAGCTTTGAAATATTCATAGTTGACATAGATATATTTGACGTGTTTTTTTTTATTTTATTTTGTGCTCGACTTCGAAATCCGAGAGACGTCGTCCGAGCCATCATAAATTAGTCATTGCCACCGATATTGATGTTTTCCTAATTTTTCTTCTTCGGCGCGAATGGCAAAAAAAATTGAGGAGGGATTGCCTGAAAATGAGCTCGACACCCGCCGAAAATAAATGAGATTACATTCATTCATTCGTTCGTTCGTACAAGAAGCCGCGAGAGGAGCCCGAAGAAAAAAAGAACTTGTCCCATCTAATTAATTTTTTTCCCGCTCCGTCAAACGAGGTTCCACAACGCCCGCCCCGTCGGTGATTCCGAAAAAATTAGAGCCACGCCCACTTTTTTTTCGCGGCGCCGACGACCATTTATATATTTAGCTTCTAAACCCGACCCCTCTCTAACATTCCAGTTTCTTATTCGCTTTTTTTCCCACCACCCAGCACGAGACGAAGCATCCGACGAGAGGTTGAGCAACTTGGCACCATGAGTATTGTGAGCCTCACCATCCACCGAGCTTGACCTTTCAATGAGCTCGAATCGACGTTTTTCTTGCAGGGCTATCGCACCTATGTGGCGTCGACGTACATCGGATTTAATGTCGTTGGATTCGCCATCAACTCGTGGGTACTGTATGTCGTCGCTCCGTTGCTGTTCGCCCCAGCCATCAAGGTGCCGAAAAGTATACTTTTCTACATTTTCGCATTATGCGTTGGCGATCTGATGACAATGATAGGTTGGTTTGAATAGAATATTATTATTATTATTATCATTATTGTTATTATTAAATTTCAGCCATGTTGTTTCTAATAATCGAATTGGTCATTGGAACTTGGCAATTCTCGTCAATGATTTGCACGTCGTATTTGATTTTGGACTCGATGAACAAGTAGGCCATACGGTAGTAAAAGTGGCCGTGTGCGAAATTGCGTCAAACGCGACGTTTGAAAAAAAAAAGACTTCAAGAAAAAGTTTTTGTCGCCACTTATTCAATTAGAAATGCACCACTCGATTCAATGCCAGTTAATTCATTTTGAACACTTGACGAATAACGAAGAATAACGAGGAATCGATTTTTTGAAACATTCGAAATATGCGCTGCGTAGACTACCAACTACAGAAGAATGCGCTGGTTAAGCTAGAATTACTTGAATTATTTCAAGAATGCGCTGCTTAGACTACAAACTACTGAGGAGTGCGCTGCTTAGACTAACCATTTTCTGGGAATGCGCTGCTTAGACTACAAACTACAAACGTGCGCGCTGCTTATGTTGTAAAAGAATGGAATGACGAATTAAAAACCATGGGGTTAGTGAATATTTCAAAGTTCTCGCAACTTCTAGATTCATCGCACCAATGATTGTCTTCCTTATTAGTCGAACTTGCTATACTACCGTATGTCTCGACATGAAGCGCGGCGAGAAAGCGTCAACATTAAGGGTGACTTGAAAATTTCGAGAAAGAATAACGTAATTTTGTATTCAGTATGCGATAATGCAATTTTTGCTGGCCCTTGCGTGTGTTATGGTTCTCCTCTGGCCGGTATTCGCCTACTCGCAAGTGTTCACATTTTACATGAACGCGAACGCGACAAGTCAAGAAGTGATGGTTATGAGGAAGTGCGGATTTTTTCCGCCGCCACGTAAGCATTTAGTTTTTTTCGTTTTGATCTACCACGCGCCTTTAAGGAATTGAGTTTTGGTTCAATTTGATTGCCTGTATAACCTCATATGCTGTTCCCTTATTTGGCATAATTTATTGGTAATTAATTTGCATCCAATTAATTCAGAACACGTTTATACCAATTTAGGTATGTTTCTGTTCCGTTCTTCTTGAAAAGAAGAGCTCTCACGACCCTGGTGGCTTCAAGGTTCGTTGAATTATTTATTTACTCGTGGGAGATCAAAAATTCAACTTCCGTTTCTTGTAGCTCAATGGATGCCGCTCTTAAAAAAGTAATTACTACCGTACTCCTGCTTACCGTAATCTATGTACTTTGCTGGACACCTTATTGGGTTTCAATGTTCGCCAATCATGTATGGACCATGGAGAAGAAAATTAGTAAGTTTCGATTGAATGAAATTTGCGTAACCGTAATCTCTACAGTAATCATCATATCCTACTTCATCCATTTGCTGCCCTACGTCAGTTGTGTTGCCTATCCCTTGATTTTCACGCTGTTGAATCGCGGAATTCGGTCAGCGCATGCGAAAATCGTAGCCGATCAGCGGCGACGATTCCGAAGTCTGACGGATGAGGCGAGCTCTCAAATTCGGACGGCAATCCGGACCATTCCCGTTGGCGGTGGACCTAAGCGAAAATCCGATATGCTGAATAGGCTCGATGAGGTAAGAGCGCTGCATAGACTACAAACTACACAGAGAATGCGCTGCTTAGCTAGAAAGTGCGCTGCATAGACTACAAACTACACAGAGAATGCGCTGCTTAGCTAGAACGTGGTGCTGCTTAGACTACAAACTAGAAACACAATGCGCTGCTTATCCAGAATGGAGCTATACAAAACGCGGGTTCGATTCGATTCCGATCCCAAAATCCTCTCGTCCATTTATTTATTCATTTGTTTTTTGTTGACACATCCCATCGGCGGAAAGAGATTAGACATTGTCATCATCATGTGTCGTCCGTTCATTCCCCCCAATTCATTGTCTTTGCTTCAATATTGCCGAAATTGAACCCTTTTCTCTTCATCGGCCATCTCCATCCACTCAACGCGCTACCATTTGACCTCTTATTTGTGCTTTATTGATATTCAATCTCGATATCGATATATTTGATCGCGGGGTGTTAATGTGTGGTGGCCTCGCCACTTCTCTGCCACACATACACGTGAAGAGTGTTCGCAAATAGAATTCGCCGGCGTTTTCGGCGAGGGCCTCAAAAGTCAAAACCGCCCAAAAAAGGGTTAAGGAAGGAGGAAGAGGGGAAGGCGTAATTTGATATTTTGTCATATATGAATAAATGTATAGGGGCCCTTTTTTTATTCCTCCTTCTTCGCTTTTTGTTGTTGTTGGGAGCGCGCGGGGGTCGAGGGCACCAAAGCGGAAAAAAATGTCGAAAGAGCATTCTCGTTTAGTAGAACAAAATTCTATATTATGCGAGCGTTGGTTGTTTTGTTTCGATGCCTCATCTGCGAAAATTCATAAAGCCGTATATAGCCGTATATAGTTATATATAGCTATAATTGTTGGATGTGGGAAAAAGAAGAAGTTAGAAGTGAAGTGGGAAAATGAGCATGGGTAGCGGGATTGTGGAAGTGCATAATAATGAATATTGAAAACAATGCGATTTGGAGAGAAAATAGAAAAAAAAACAATAGTTGATGAAAACATGGAGAAAATTACCGATGGAAAACAAGCACTACAAGTACTTCAGCTAAATTGCGCTGCTTAGACTATAAACTATGAAAAATGCGCTGCTTAGATAGTAAATTGCGCTGCTTAGACTATAAACTATGAAAAATGCGCTGCTTAGATAGTAAATTGCGCTGCTTAGACTATAAACTATGAAAAATGCGCTGCTTAGATAGTAAATTGCGCTGCTTACACTACAAACTACACAAATCGCGCTACTAAATAAGGGATCGAAGCTCGCATATCTCAACAACAAAAAATGTTTTTTTGCAGGCGAGCGTCTCCGACAAGGACAATATGGTGAACATCTCGCTATCTTCGTTCCCCGAAGAAACGCTTTTATAACCCGCCAAAAATGGGAAGAAGAAGAAGTTGAAACTAGTCGCCCACATTTATTCACGGGTTCCGCATTCATTTTTTATTCAATAAAAACCGCTTTGATTTATTTATTCGAATTATTTTCATTTTTCGCCCCAATTCAAAACTTATTAATGAGGTCCGCAACGAACGTGATTTTTCCGATATATTCATCATTCGTCAATTCGGCGATCGTCTGATCCAAATGCTTCTCGGTGATCGGAACGGAGTTCGAGCGAGTCACTTCACCGATGCACATTGAGAGCCGCGGGGCAAACTGCTTTTGCTTTGTTCTAATATAGGGACCATTTAATACAAAGCAAGATTAGAGGTGGGGGGGGGAGCGAGGTGGTGCTTACTTCATACGGTAGTTGCCTTCGAATTCGGCGATGACTTGCCGAAGTGTGGCATCGGATGGGAATTCGTATTGGAATGTGTGTTGAGCTCTGGAGAAATGTAATACCAAAAGGAACAATTGGGCTCGCTTACTCTTTTCCAAACGAATCCGTATAAAAGATATGGAATTTGATCTGAACCATCATGACACATTTGACCTTCTCGCCGCACTTGGCCGGCTGAAACGATAGGCAGCTGTTGCACGCCGTCGATGAGCTTTTCGTGGTGGTCGTCGTCGGCTGCTTCGACACCACCACCGTGTACTTGTAGCGAAACGCGCTACCGTCTGTCGTCTTCTCGCATTCAAGCTCGTGTGTGTGGTAGGCGAACGCCGGCTCCAGAATCGTCTTGATAAACGTCGGCAGATTCTCGGTGCCGCTCAGCGTCACCGTCTCATACGTGGTCATTGTTGAAGAAATGACGCGACGATGGCATATTCTATCAGAGCGATGCTCAAATCGGTGTCACGGCGGCTCGCTCCAAAAATGCCAATTTTTAATTTGCAAATATTTGAGCTCGTGAGCTGTCCGCCGGCCGCGCACCTCCAACAGCCACAACTCTCGTCCAGCTCATCAACACAACACAGAGGAGGAGCTGGTTGTATGCTCAAGCCTCCGTGAGCGAACTGTCACTTATTTGGATATCCTCTATCGCGATTGATTCTCGCCTCGCTTTGCTCATCGACACATTGACCAACATTCTGCGTTATGCTGCTGGCCGCCGTGCTCATCGGCATCGTCTTCTACTGGATTCAGCCGGCTTACAGTACTACTGAATGCCTGGATCGTCCATGTGCTGAATGTCGCTATTATGTAAAAGTTGATGATCCTTGCTTGCACCACGGCACCAATCCAATGCTCTATTGCAATCCAGAAACTAGGTAAGGCATGCGTTCGATCCAATTCGTCGAGTTTACTCCGATTCTAGCCTCATGTCGAAATCCGACACCAATTTTCTCGAATGCGTTCGCAATCGTTGGCTTCTTCGCGAATGTGTGACCGGCACATTCTACGAGTCCGGCAAAGGATGCGTCGATCCGACACTTCAGCCGTTCATGCAAGGCTTCTCGGTGTCGGGCTCGGGACGAGTTGGCGACGTGTGCCAGTACAACACCGACTGCCTCGGCGGAATGTACTGCGCGACGGGTCTGTGCACATGCCTGAGCACCTACATTCTAAGGGAGTCCTATTGCTATGAGAGTGAGTTGTTTGATTTGAGAGCGTTGCGCGATATCGCCAACTTCTTCAGAAGTGAATCCGAACCAACCGGGCTGCACCTACGACGTCCAATGCGAGGCAGTCTGGCCGGGATCGAAATGTCGAATGGACAGCAGCATCGGAACGTGTAGGTGTCCTGAGGAAACGCACGTGGCCCGCGAAACGAGAGACGGCTGGGTTTGCATTTCGCTGCGGGACAACGCTTCTGGTGGAACAGCCCCTTTGTACTTCGTGTGTCCGCTTCCAGAAGGCGCTGGCTTCAAAATTTGTGAGCACACTTGTTGGCAGCCATCTTGATATTAATGGAATTCAGCGTTGAATGATCCGAGTCCTGAAATGGGGGCCTTCCCTGTCGGATGTACTGTCGGCTCGTCGGCAACAATCGAGCCAGTGCAGGGATTGCATGGCGGCGGCGCGTGCATGTGGCCAGCCGACGGCGAGTTCATCGGTGATATCTATGATTGCATTCATACGAGTCCACACGTGAGACCTCGCATTTCAATTGATCCTCTTGATTCTCATTTCTTCGTTCAGATCACGCTCGCCGAGAAATTCCCGCAATCGAATTACGCGCCGACAGCCGATGGCGTGTGTTGTCCGAGTCGCGCGCTCGCCTGCATTCAGCCGCAGCTCACCGGCCCGAATCCGTCGGAGCCGAGATGGTGGTACAATTCGGTGACCGGCACCTGTCAGCAGTTCATGTGGGACGCCACCGCCAGCGAGGCGCGCTATCACAGCGCCAACAACTTCAAGACAATTCAACATTGCGAGTCGTACTGTCGAGACAGTGAGTTTGGCTTTGTACACGGCTCGATGCAAATGCCTGGTTTCAGCGTGTCAGCGAGGCTCACCACAGTACTCCACCGAAGCGCAAGCGCATCAGGAGCGTGCCATCACCTCATGCGCGGCATCGGTGTCATGCGCCAATGACTTCCAGTGCACTGCCATCGGCAGTCAGCACCTGTGTTGCCCGACACCGGGTTCGGTGTGCTCGGCGAAAGGCGGCCGCCATCTCGACTTGCAGCCAAGAAGCTCGATCTTCCATCCAGGCTTCCTCGTCTACACCGGCAAAGAAAGTATTCGATTCTACTACGATCCAGGCACTGGCAGATGCCAGGATTTCGTCTACAAGGGCTCCGGCGGAAATTACAACAACTTCTTGTCGAAACATGAGTGCGAGATGTACTGCGCCAGACGTAAGATTACTGTAGGCGTTGGGGGAACCAGAGCATTAAACGACTGATTGCAGTACAATGCGAACGTGGATCTCCGTTGAGGATCGGCGAAGAGTCGCAGAGATGTCAGAACAACGCGCAGTGTCCGTCGTCGCATGAATGCAAAGCCGATCAGGGCGTGTGCTGTCCGAGGAAACGTGAGCGCGCCCCGAATGGGAGCCGGAGGAAAATAGTCAAATTCCAGAGACGATTTGCGCGCAACCATTGAGAATCGGCGATTGCACGGAGAACGTGAAACGCTATTGGTACAACGCGAAGACGCGCCAATGCCAGATGTTCGAGTACACCGGCTGTCAGGGCAACGACAACAATTTCGACACGATTCTCGATTGTCAGAATTTCTGCAAAAACGCGATACGTACGTGACGATTCAATCATCAAACCGACTACAGTAACCCTTACAGCTGAGCCGAAGTGCATTCAAGGACAAGCTTATAAGGATATGTTTGGCAATTTTGTCACATGCACGAATGGAATGGGCTGCCCGGCCAACTATGAGTGTTATTACGATGGAAGCCAGTGGGGTTGCTGTCCGACGAAATCGTACACTTGCTCGCTGAATCCAGACTCTGGCATCCAGTGTGGCGCTGGAAGCACCTTCAAATACTACTATAATCCGCAGACGCAGAACTGCGAGTCGTTCCAGTACAATGGATGCGATGGAAACTCGAACAACTTTGCGAGTCGCGACGCGTGCGAACAGTACTGTAGTGTTGGTGGATGTCCGAACGGCGGCACGCCGATGAGAGACCATTCTGGAATGGTGATGGTGTGCGGCGGACAGCAATCGACATGTCCCGACTCGCACGAGTGTGTGCCGGTGTTGGCGGGAAACTCGATGATCAACCGATGCTGTCCAACGAGAGGTATCACAAAAAGAAGCAGTGGCGAATTGAATTGCATGATTTCAGCTTACATGTGCGGCCTTCCACCCCAACAGGGCACCCAGTGCGGCGCGAATTTCGTTCAGCGCTATTACTTCAACATCGTCACCGGCCAGTGCACGTCGTTCCAGTTCGGCGGTTGCGACGGCAACGCGAACAACTTCCTCAACATTCAGCAGTGCCGCAATTTCTGTATGAGCAACGCGTGTCCGGCGGGCAATGTTGCCTACGTGGATCCGAACTCGCAAATGCCGATCAATTGCAACGAGGCGCTCAGTAATAGTTGCCCGGCCGGCTATTCGTGCACGTTCAATCCGCTCATCAATAATCACGTGTGCTGCGGCGCCACCGATTCCGGCGTGTGTCCGGACGGCGAGAAGGCCTTCATTGACACCATCGACATGTCGCCGAGGGAGTGTCTGATTAACATGGAAGCCTCGTGCCCGTCAAGCTACCTCTGTCGGTTCAACATGCAAAAGAACAAATACTATTGTTGCACCAATATTCAAGGAAGTGAGTCCACCCAGCCAGCCCCCCCTTTTAAGCAAAAATTGCAGAAACGTGTCCGATTGGCAAGTTCCTGTTCAAAGAGACGCGAACGGGCCAGCCGATTCGGTGCACGATCGGAAGGAATGACCAGTGTCCGGACAATTACTCGTGCCAGAGCTATTTGCCGAACGCCTTTCAGGGATTCTGCTGCACTGCCAACTGTAAGCTCCTCCTCCTCTAACGTGCGTATCATTGGTCTTGCAGCGGTGTGTCCCGACAACGCCGACTATCTCATTGACGATCAGTCGCAGCAGCCAAGAGCGTGCACAATGGGCACATTCGTGTCATGCCCCAATGGGTACACGTGCCGATCATCGACATCAAGCTCCGACGGATTCTGCTGCAAATCGGGAACCGGATCGTTGCCGCCGTCGGTCTCCGACGGTTGCCCGCCTAATAACTATGTGTACATGGTGGCCGGTGAAATCGCCCAGTGCGATCCGTTCAATCCGCCGAACGCGCCATGCCCGCCGGCGTTCACCTGCCAGTGGTCGCTGTCGAACCAGCGATACCAGTGCTGCGGCTCGAATCCGGCGCCGGCTCCGGTGCGCACCAGCGACGGCTGTCCGAACGCGCAGGTCGCCTTCAGAGACCTGGACACTGTAAGAGTGTGCAGTGCAGGCGCCGCCAATTGTCCAGCCGGCTACTTCTGTCAATTCTCCAGCGCCAACAACCAGTTCCAGTGTTGCGGTGTGTCTGGCGGCTGTCCGGAAGACAGTGTCGCGTTTGTGGGAATGTCCGGCGAGCCGGAGAAATGCGTCGTCGGTCAGTCGAACTGTCCGAAGGGATTCGCTTGCCAGCGATCCGTTGCCGGACACCATGTGTGCTGCACAGTGCGACAGGTGACGTGTGAGCCGAATGAGGTGGTCATCGAAGGCGCCTGCTATCCGCAAGTCCCGCCGGGAAAGCCCTGCTTCGGAAACGAACAGTGCACTGGTGGATCGGTGTGCGATGAAGGCACGTGCGCGTGCAAAGCGCCGCTCAAACTAATCGGTGGATTCTGCCAAGAGGAGATTCGTAGGTTCCTCGTAGGGGGACCCTAGAAAATCGGAATTGTTTCAGAATGCTCACCTAATCAGATTCTGCACAATGGTTTGTGCCACAACAAAGTCGGACTTGGAGAAGCTTGCCTGATAGTGAAACAATGCCAAGAAGGGGCTGGATGCATTGACGGCACTTGTGAATGCAAAAAAGGCTTCATCGAGAAGGCTGGCAAGTGTCTTTCGCAGTCTGACAAGAAGAAGAGTCTTCCGTCATCCGGCAGCAAGGGTAAGTTCCTTTGACTAATTGATTCTCATATAGAATTCAGTAGTGGCAACCGGTGCGACGTGTTCCAAGGCTGGCTGGAATCCATTGATCGATGAGCACACTGAACGCCCGAAGCATTGCAGTCCGATTGGTCGAGCTTGTCCGCAGGGTTATGAGTGTCAGATCAACAATCGCCGAACGCAGTACCTGTGCTGCGCGCCAGCTGATGGATCGTCGACAACGAGCACCACTACAGAGAGGGCGACGACTAAGAAGCTGGGAGCCAGGGTCTGCCCGTCTGGTCGCACCCCATATTTGTTGAACGGCGCCCCGCAAAAATGCACAGTGTCGCGGTGTCCAGCTGGCTACGAGTGCACCTACCGCAACAATGGCTATCATTGCTGCTCGATAGTCAATAAGCCAACGCCAGGTACTGTAACTGGTACTGCCGGCGCCAAGTCGACACCAGCGGCAGAAGAAAAATGTCCGCGAGGCAATCCGCTCATCTATCCGACGACGAGCTCGCCAGTGCTGTGCCAACCGGGCAAACGCGGATGTCCAGTGGGATTCGGCTGTATGCAGAGCAGCACGACAGCGAACTACATTTGCTGTCCGGCTAGGCATTCCGACAAACCCGAAGGATTCGGCCTCGGCGCGTATTATAGTCGAGGGCCGCCAGCGGCAGTGAACCCGTGCGAGGGCTACATGGTGCTAGTGACGCGTGTCGTCAACGGAAGAGTCGAGAAACGATGCGGTTGGTCGAATGACGGCGAAATTTGAGAGCATTCATTAATTTGCAGAAAGAAGCTGTCCGTATCCTCAAATTCCAATTGGCGGTGTTTGCTATGAGATGAAGCAGAAATCGAAAAAGGCGAAAGTTTAGGTGGGCAAAAAGGGACCATTTGACACAAAATCATTATTTGAACAGTTAAGCAGCGCATTCGATTGTAGTTTGTAGTCTGTGAATTTTGTCAAAAGGTAGTGACAAAAACCATCATGACAAAAAATCAAAACTCCTCTCTAGGCCATTCTAGACTGCCAAATCGACCTCTCGTAAGGATAGGTTTCTCAAGACACAAAAACCAGCTCGAACAGTCCCAAACTGCTCGAGCTTATAAGAGAGATCATTTGTAAACAGCCCTCGGCCGCGCTTCAACGCCCTGTGTAGAAATACGGCCACATTTTCGAATTTATTACTTCCTTCCTTTTTTTTCCATTTTAACCTCATTCTCATTTTTCCTCGTTTCTGGTTAAATCGTCCAGAATTTGACATAGTCTATGCAGCGCGCTCTTTAACTAAGCAGCGCATTCTAGGTGTAGTTTGTAGTCTATGCAGCGCGCTCTTTAACTAAGCAGCGCATTCTAGGTGTAGTTTGTAGTCTATGCAGCGCGCTCTTTAACTAAGCAGCGCATTCCAGGTGTAGTTTGTAGTCTATGCAGCGCGCTCCACAACTAACAGAAAAATTATGATAAATTCATTTTTTATGTGATTTTAATTATTTTGCAATGAATATAGCGAAAAAACTTATTAGCGAGCAGTGATCATTGTTACTGAAATACAAAACCGAACAATGAGCGAAACGTAACCCTAAATTTTAAAATCTTATTTTTTTCAGTAGCGAAAAATCGCTCTATCTTGGCAAACAGCAAATTTTTGTGTGTAGTTTGTAGTCTAAGCAGCGCATTTCGCATTAGATTTCACATCTTTAGGTGAGCTTACAATTTTCGCAACATCCACGAGCCCGCCCTCGTCGTTTCGTTTATCGCGCGCAAATTTTTGACATCCGTTCCATATTAGTACATTCGTGACCGTACCATATTATATATTTACAGACTTCCACGACCACTGGTCACCACAAACTGTTTGCTTCCACCACCTCCCACCGATAAAATTTTGACATGTTGATATGTGCGCTGGCTCGACCGCTCCGCCTTTCGACGTGCGGCGACAACTCTTAGCCCATTTTTGATTCAGCAGGACCTTCCACCTTCCTTATCCCAAGTTGTCGTCGTCTTCATTTTACTAAATTTCCCTCAATTTCTGAATGCGCCTTTAATTATGCAATCAGCATTGATACCACCATCTATATTATTATTATTATTAGTATCATTATTCACCAATTGTGCAGGTTTGATCTATTCCTTATTTTTTTTATTTTTATTGTTTTTTGAACCGCCCGTTCAGTTAGTACTGGTGGTTGATTATTGTGTAGGTACTATGTGACCAAATTGTTGCTAGGAACTCGATTCCAAATAAATTGTTTCATTTTTTGATTAGACGCCAATCGCGACAAGAGACAAACTGGAAGTGGGCGTGTTGGCGATGCATGCGCCTTTAATACTGACTGTCTTACTGTATGTCCCTTTGAATTCCACACTATCTCGATGTTTATGGTTTTTTAGGGAATGTTTTGTAATGGAGGCCTGTGCTCCTGTCTCACAACCTACATAGCAGCCGAGAGTTATTGCTATCAAAGTAATGAACACTCTTAGGATCCTCAAGGCCTTATCCCAATCATTCCAGAAATCGATCCGGGTCAGCCGGGATGCGTCTACAACGAGCAATGCTCCTCCGTATGGCCGGACGCCTTCTGCGACACGTCGGCCGGCGTCGGCACCTGTCGATGCGGTGAGAACAAAGTGGAACGCGCTACTCGTGACGGACATGTGTGTCTCGACGTGCTCGACGCCAACCATAACACGCTGGCGATCACGTGTCCGCTTCCCGAAGGCGCCGGCTACACGTCGGCGCTATCGGATCCGAAGCATCCCCGACAGAATGATGGACCCGGGCCCGTCTTGTGTAACACCGATAGCACCTCGACAGTGCAGAGCGACGACAATCTTGGCGACGGCAACTCGGCGTGCATGTTCCCATCGAACGGTCAATACATTGCCGATCAATACGATTGCGTCGAGTTCGTCTCGACATTGGATCTCACTTCATCGGGCTACAGCGAGAAGGCCAACGGCATTTGCTGTCCGAATCGCGCGTTTACGTGCATTCAGCCGACAGCGACTGGCCCGAATCCGACCGAACCGCGCTGGTGGTACAACTCGATCACCGGCATGTGTCAGCAATTCCTCTGGGATCCGACGGCCGCCGGACCCGGCGAGCACTCGCCGAACAACTTCCGAACTGTGGAGCACTGCGAAAGCTTCTGTCGCGACACGTGCTCGCGTGGAGTCCCCGAATACGTGCAACGCTCATCATTCCTCGAGCAGACGCCGATCACCGGATGTGCTCAGACGAGCTCGTGCGGTCACAATTTTGAATGCAAATCGGTCGGCAGCACGCAATGGTGTTGCCCGTCGGTGGCGTCGGTGTGCGGACCGATCGGCGGACGACCGCTGGATCCGTCGATCAATACACGCGGAAGCGTTTATCACGCCGGTGCCGAGAAGCAAGGAACCGCGCCGTCGACGCGATTCTACTACGATCCGGCGACCGGCAAATGCAGTCCGTTCACGTATCTCGGAGCGGGCGGCAATTATAACAATTTTCTGTCGAGAATCGATTGCGAATTGTACTGCGCCAGGTGTAAGTCGTTGAGTTTTTTTTTCTCTCATGCCGATCTTTTTCAGTACAATGCGATCGCGGAAGTCCGCTGCGAATCGGCGACGTCACCCAATCATGCGGATCGAATTCGGATTGTCCATCGTCGCACGAATGCAAAATGGATCAGGCCGTGTGCTGTCCGAGAATGCGTAAGACAATCCAACAAGAGTCTCTCGATTCAATTCTGAACCTCATTCAGAAACCATCTGCACCCAGCCGCTGCGAATCGGCAATTGCGATCGATCAGTCCGTCGTTACTGGTATTCAGCAGCTACCAGGGAATGCCAGTCCTTCGAGTACACTGGATGTCAGGGCAACGACAACAATTTCGAGACGCTGGTTGATTGCCAGACGTTCTGCAGAAATGCGGCGCCGGAGCCTCGATGTCTTCAAGGCCAAGCCTACAAGGACAATCAAGGCAAGTTCATGGCGTGCTCGACGAATCGGCAGGCGTCTTCATGTCCAGCCAACTTCGAGTGCTACTTCGACGGCACAATGCACGGCTGTTGTCCGACGAAAGCGTTCACGTGTTCGCTGTCGCCGAGTCCCGGCAAGACGTGCGGCCCAGGCGTCTCGTTCAAATACTACTACAATCCGCAGACTCAGGAATGCGAGTCATTCGAGTATCTCGGCTGCGATGGCAACTCGAACAATTTCGCGTCGCGCGCCGAATGCGAGAACTACTGTGGCGTTGGCGGATGCGCCAATGGCGGCGCGCCTTTGAGAGACAGCAGCGGAGCGCACCAATCGTGCACGGAACGAGACGGCGGATGTCCGAGCACCCACGAATGTCAGGCTGTCAGTCTGGGACCCGATCACACTTCGTACAGGTGCTGCCCCACCAAGAGTAAGCTTCCGGGTTGCTGTCGAATTGAGTGACACTTGATTTTCAGCGTACATCTGCGGACTGCCGCCGCAACAGGGCTCATCGATGTGCGCCGGCGGGCTGACGGTTGTCACTCGCTACTACTTCAACATCGTCACCCGAAAGTGCTCGGCGTTCGTCTACAACGGCTGCGACGGCAATCCGAACAATTTCGCGTCGATGAACCAGTGCAACAACTTCTGTATGGCGTCGGCGTGCAACGCCGGCGACGTCGTCTACCTGAATCCGAACACGGCGTTGCCGATCTCGTGCAACGACGAACTCCAAAACAATTGTCCGAAGAACTTCCAGTGCATCTATGACAGCCTGACCGATCAGAGCGTCTGCTGCGGCGCCACCGATATGGGCGTGTGTCCGGACAATGAGAAGGCCTACATCAATGCGATGGACGGCACCGTTCGCGAGTGCCTCATCAATGAGCACAACTCGTGCCCCAAGGATTATCTGTGCCGGTTCAACGCGCTCAAGAATCGCTATTTCTGCTGCGGCTCGCTCACCAAAAGTAGTCAGTTCACGCCCCGCCCATTATTCTAGTGACCCTCTATTTTTTTTTCGCTTCTTGCAGATTACTGCCCGGTGGGTCGAGCACCGTACAAAGAGCAAACCAGCTTGCAACCGATGCGATGCACAATGCACGCGGCGACCTCCTCGTGTCCCGACGGATTCACGTGCCTCAGCGATCTCAAGGACGCGCTGCAGGGCTATTGTTGCTCGGTGTCGGAGATTTGTCCGCATCGCGAGGAGTACTTCATCGACGAGTCGTCGGGAATGCCGCGCAGCTGCACCATCGGCCATTTCGTCACGTGCCCGGCCGGCTTCATGTGTATGGCGCCGTTCGACGGCACCGTCGGATATTGCTGCAGGTGTGATTGTTTGACAACCAAAGGCGCCCCCGACTCATATTATTCAGAGGGCAGCCACAAATGACGACCAGCGATGGATGTCCGCCCGGCGAGATCGTCTACATGGAGCGCAATGAGGTGGTCACTTGCGATCCGTTCAATCCGCAGAATCAAGGATGCCCGACGACGTTCTCATGCCAGTGGTCAGTGCGGACGCAAAGGTATCAATGCTGCGGTGCCGATCCGCTTCCAACACCGCTGGAGAGTGAGTCAATCCACTGCAAGCCATCATCCGATTAGGGGGAATTGTTCAGACGATGGATGCCCGACGCGTCAGATCGCCTACACCGATCCGGACACGAAGAAGCCGAAGATATGCACGTCGGCGAGCCACTCGTGTCCGGCCGGCTATTTCTGCCAATTCTCGAACCAGAACAAACAGTTCCAGTGTTGCGGAATGCCCAGCGACTGTCCGGTGCAAATGGTGGCGTTCATCGGCATCTCCGGCGAGGCGCAGGCGTGCTCGATGAGCGGCGGCCAAGTGTGCCCGGAAGGCTTCTCGTGTGTGCGCGGCAAAAGCGGCTACGAACTGTGTTGCGCCGGCGGCGAGAGTGAGAACGATTCGATAAACGAATTGATCATCGCAATGAATTGTTTGCAGCTTGCGAAGCGTCTCAGGTGTCCGTCAACGGCGTCTGCATGAATCGTGTGCTCATCGGCGAGACGTGCGAGGAGTCGCCGCAGTGCGTCGGCGGCGGAATGTGCGTGGCCGCCAAGTGCGTCTGCCCGTCGGGCACCGTCGAGCAGAAGCAGCAATGCGTCGAAGCGGCGAAACCAATGCGTCGATGCAGCGAGCGGCAAATTCGCGTCGACGACGAATGCCTCCCGCTGGTGACGCTCGGCAGAAGCTGTGTGCACTCGGCGCAATGTCAGGGAATGGGCAAATGCATCGACGGCGTGTGCGATTGCGACGATCAATCGACGAGAAGGAATGGGAGGTGCGAGAGGAAGATGCCGCCGAAGAGCGTCAACCTCATGAAGCACATCCAGCCGGGCACCACTGGCGCGCCAGCGCCGCCTACAATCACAGACCAGCCGATCAACGAGGGAATCTGCCCGTCGCCGAGGCTTCCGTACCTGTCGAACGGAATCGCGCGGCCTTGCATCAGCGGCCAGCCGTGTCCCGCAGGCTATTCGTGCACGTGGAGCCCGCACGCGAGAAACTATTTCTGCTGTTCGGCCAACAAGCTGACGATGCGCACATACGTGATGAAGGACGTGTGCGACGGCGGCGAGGCGCTTCTGTTTCCGGCGACGAAGGCGCCGGTGTTGTGCACACGATTCACCTCGTGCCCGCAAGGCTATTTTTGTAGGCGATCGCCGAAAACGCGTCAGACGCACTGCTGCAAGAAGCGACAACCGCTCAACATGCAAAAATATATCATACAAATCAAAGAGATTACGATGAAGAAACCGCCGCCGCCCATCAATTATATGCATCCGGGACGACGCGCGAAGAATCCGAAGAAGGCGGCGGTGATGAAGAAGGGCCAATGTCCGGCGCATTTGGTGATGCTCGAGCTTGAAGTTAATCGCAAAATTGTCAAGAGATGTCGTAAGTTTTAGTGTTTTGTGTTTGCGGAACACGCGTTATCCGACGACAAATTTCACACTTTGGTTTCTATTTTTTTTCATTTTTCAATGTTTTCCAGAATCCAAATGCCCAATGTCAATGCGTCTTGTCAACGGCGTGTGTCGCATTCAAAAGCGTCGGCCTTAATTATATTAATTATGCGATTCTAGTCCGAGCAACCCGAGCACGTTTATTTCTTCCAACTATCAAGCTTTTTTTCTATTGAAAGCCGTCAGTGTGTTGCTCTCAAAAAAAACGTTGTCTTTCTTGTCTCTACTCCCGTCTTTCCGCCTGTTTCAAGGTGATTTATTCATTTTTTGTTTGTTTGTTTGTTTATATTCGTAATAATATAATAATTATAATTATAATAATGAAAATTAATTAGACTTGAGTGACATTGACTTTTGGAACGGGTACTGGCAATCTGGCAATCTCGTTGTACGACGGAGGCTCATCGCGATAACTAGAATAATTAATTAATTAATTAATTAAGCTTGATTAGGGAATGTAGAATAATTAACCTGGAAACCGCGTCGCTTATGAAGAATGGACTTGCCGGCACGGTGAGCGAATGGCGGTAGAGTAGAGGGTTGAACGAATTGGTGGATGCGGTCTCTATCAATGATGGCGACGACTGAAAAAATGTTCGAATTCATTACACTAGACAATTGGTGGGACCAGGCGAGATAGCGTGCGAAACGAGGAGAGGGTTCGAGAGATTGGCGGCGGCGGGTGAAACGCCACTTTGCTCCTTTTCCGTCTTCTCCGTTTCTCATCGTTTTACTACCCTCCAAATGTTATCTTCTTTTTTGGGGTGAAATCGACCCCCCCACGGCTGTTGCGCTTTTTCTTTTCGTTCAAATAAGCGCACTTTAAAAAAGCTTGAATGTTTACTGTAGTGAATTAAAGGTGCCTATCCTGTTTTCGATGTTGGTCTTACCACAATGATTACTGCCATTGATATATATTTTTTTTAATATTACACATTTTTGCAGAGATTTTCTTTTAATGTTTTCCAGCCCAATTGCGCGGCGAATTTGATGAATAGAAAATCGAGCGGCTGCACGGTCAGCACGGAGGATTTCCGGAAATCGTTCGAAAATGTGCCGAAATTGGTGAGCTCAAAAATAATTTTTGTCAATAAATTTCTCCGCCGCTGTTTTTTTTTTCGCAGGTCCTCAGGACGCCGGCCGAAATTCGAACGAAATTTGAGAATATCAAAAATATTCTCTCGAACACGAATGAGGATTGGTCGAAAAGACACGAGCAAGTTTGCAAATTTTTTTTTAATTAATTTAAAATTGAATTTTATTGCAGTTAAAATTGATACGAAGTATTATTATTTATGGGGAAAATCTAATCGATCAGCAATCGATGGTTTCCCATGTGCTAGACTTGGTGCATTGTCTGAATTCAGCAGTGCGAGACCTGCGCTCGCAAATTCTTCGCGAGGCCGCAATCACGTGCAGCTTCATCATTTCAAAGTACGGACAAGACGCTCACACGATCGGCGAGGAGATTCTGAGTTCGGCGATGGCGCAAGTCGCCGTCAGCACCAAAATCATGGCGACGTCGGCCGCCGCATTGACGGCATTCATCGTCGAGTTCATTCAAACGCGTCAAGTTTTCGCGATTATTTCCACTTATTCGACTTCCAAAGACAAAAATCAGCGGCGACAGCTGGCCGAGCTGCTCGACGTCATAATTGCAAAGTGGAATGAGAGGATTAAAAAGGTTTTGTGTTTCAATTGAAAAATCGAATTGTAAACAAATTGCAGCAAATTCTTCGTCAACTTGCCGAGCTCATCAGATCGGCGATTTGCGATGCCGATTCCGAGACGCGAATTGCCGGACGAAGAGCGTTCGCACGATTCGACGAGCTTCATCCCACCGAAGCTGACGCCATCTTTCTTAGTCTTGAGCCGGCTAAGCAGAAGCTGCTGCGAGCTGGCGACGCCGCTTCCTCATGCGCCAGTGTCGGCAGTGAACGCGGATCGACGGCGATTCGATCCAAGCTGCCACGTGGCGTTTTGAGCAACACCAGATTTCTGGCGCAACGCAGCGCATCGGCGATCGACCCGAATTTTGTGAGAGTGCCCAGCAGTCGACTGTTGAGGCCGACGAGCTCGAAAGCGGTTGGACGAACGGATTTGAGTCCCGGCGGTGGTGGCCGGAAACCGGAAGCGTGTCGGGACGCGTCGCCGCCGAGAAAGCCGAGAAGAAGCATCGGGCAAAGTCCGTTCCTCTCGTCATTGAGTGTAGAGGAGGCGAATGAACTTCAGCGAGCCATGAAGAAGGCTAGGGACCAATTGGTACGAATTTTGCATATTGTGTTGACTTTGCAATTTTTATAGAGACAACCATCTCGCAATGAGGACGACGATTTCCTACTTCCAATGCTCCAGCCGAAACCCCGAAGTCCGGCTCGTCTGTCCGATAGTGTCGAGGAGACGCTGAAACGCTGCACGTCGTCGAGCTCCGCCGAGAAGAGGGAAGGTGTTCGCAGCCTGTATGAGGTTGTGAGCAATCCGAATCTCAGTGACATCGAAGTCAAAAACATTGGATCGATTCTGAATCGCCTTCTTTCCGATCCGTCGAATAATATGATTTTGGAAGCGTACGCGCAATTCATTCGTGTTCATCATCAACGGCTCAATGATTGGCTACGATTGGCGTTTGCGAAATTGTTCGCCAAAATGGGCGCTGATCAGCTTCCGGCGACTCGACGCCAGTTTGCCAATGTGCTCACGGCGATCCTTGAATCGTTTGATCCATTATTCCAACTTGGATCGGTGTGCGAGCTCATGTGCGATCCGATCCATCTAATGGTGCCCAAGGCCAGATGCGCCCTTCTAGAATACCTATTCGAATTGTTCACCGCCCATATCGAACGAGGATCGTTGTACAACCGAAAAGAAGTGGTCGGATCGGTTCGGAAGATGTTCGCTTGGATGTCGGATCAACGACACGCCGCCCTACTAACCCCGCCCATCGAGCGTTTGTTCTGCGCGATGTTCGCGGTGAATTCGGCGCAATTTGCTGACATCCTCAAAGAGTTCGACGCCGACCATCGACAATGGGCCTATCGAATTGTGCAGAAGAAGGGCTTCGATGAGAGGTAACGCTGCCAGAAATGGGAGAATGTGAATGCATTTCTAATCAGCCTCGTGTTTTTTTTTGTAGTTCCATCAACTGCAGCTCGGAGTTGCGAATTCCGGAGCTCGCGCGCACGCCGAAAAAATCGACGCCGACGCCGTCGCTTGGCGCGTTTTTGTCCTTCGACGCTTCTTCATCGACAACGTCTTCGAGCGCTGATATGCCCAATGTAAGTGTGAAGTCAACATTTTCCAAACGAAACGCTATAATCCAATTAATTTTTTTTTAGCTCAATTCCACTGTGGAGCTTAGCGAGGAAACGCTGGAGCAGAAGCGTGCTGCTCTGGAATTGATCGCAAGAATGGGTCGTCAAGCGGATCCGCAGGATCAGCATCAGGCCCTCACCGTCGTTCTCTCGATGATGACCGAGGGCAGTTTTGACGTATGGGAAGCCAATTATGCGAAGCTTCTCCTAACAACATTCGAGGTTTCGGGCTTCACCCCATCTGTCGGTTTATTTGTTGTGTTATCAATTGCCTTGTTCGCAGATTCTCTCAAAGAGCGAATGGGAGGCTAACAAGAAGTTGGCGCTTCGTGTGATCTCGAAAATGTGCACCGCGCAAGCGTCGCGATTGTTCGATTCCACCGAAATCGCGGTTTGTAAGGTCCTCGACGTCGCTGTCGATTCGAAGGATGTTACGACGACTGTCGCTGTCGAGGATTGCCTAAGAACGCTGGCTACTCATCTACCGTTGCCAAAGATTATCAATATTGCACAAGTGATTTTGAATGAGGTACTAGTTCGTATCGGATCGGACCTGATTACGCACTGATATATTCTAGGAGCCGCTCGATGATCAACGCGCAAGCTTGATTCTCAAAATGGTGGCGAAAATGTTCGAAGACCTTCAACACGACGAGCTAGTATATGTGCTTGACGACATCGTGCCGTGCGTCACCAAAGCTTACAACTCAACGAGCTCGAGCGCACGCAAAAACGTGATCTACTGCTTAGTGGCGATTTTGAACAAAGTCGGCGGCAAACGAATGGACCATTTCCTCGAGAAAATGCCGAAACCAATGATTAATTTGATTCATGTTTATGTCAATCGAGCGATCTCAAACAGTGCGTCAAGGCTTTAACCATGTATATTATCTAATAATTGTGCAAATTACGGGTATTCAATTGAATTATTCATAACAATAATAATAAACTTGACTCACCGGCGCTGGAGAAACTGGCCGACTCTCGCTGACCCAGCCGTTTGTGGCCTGCGGTAGAACAGAAGAGAATTGTTTGAAATCATTGGTGTGGAGGATATAAGCGAATTTGGCGAAACAGCCGCCAAGGATGATCAGGATCCAAGAGAGAATGTAAGGAAGCATGAGGAGTAGGGCATTTCTTAATGATCGCGAATTGAGATCGAGGATTCGGACGGGACTCACTGTTTGCAAATGATTGAGAGGAACACGATATTCTCGACTACGATGAGAACGGCGAAGAAAATTGCGATAATCGAAATGCCGATGAAAATCTTCCGGTAGGGACGAAATTTGCTAATAACTCCCGGCGTGAGATAGTCGTTGAGATTGCACATTCGCAAGACGAATGGAATGGATTGAAGGCGGCACCGGCAGGCATCTCAAAGAAGCCCGTTTTTTGCTCTTTTATGGTTTCCCCTCCTCCCGTCGAATGTCTCGATGTTTTATGAACCAAAAAAAAATGATAATAACAAAAATATTATACCAGTTTGATGACAAAAATCTGGAGAAAGTGCTCAAAATAAATGTTGGAAGAAAAAAACAAATAAGAATAATCAAAATACTATATGGGACCCGTATGTTGATATTTAAGCATATGTCACATATCGGCTCCCGGATGGCCGCCACCGCCGCCTTCATTCTCTTCGGCCGTTGAAAGATCGAGAGTTTTCGCGTGACGGAGGCGGAGACCCGTGCGATTTCGAGTTTCGCCGTCGTCATTGTCCAGCGAATTTCCCTGGATTCCGCGCTTTCGTCGAGCCATCGCTTTGTATCTAAAATTCAAGTTCGCAACAATGATTCGGGGCCAATGTGACGTACTTGCTTAGATAGCCTTCAAGCAGCTCAATTCTTTTCAATAGTTTCGCTTCGGTGCTTGAATGTTCGGCGATGAGGCGGGCCATTCGGGTTTGGAGCACTTTGACAGAGGTATTTAGGGCTTCTGCAACTTCTTCCACGGATTGCTGCTCTTCGGGTGCATTCTCGTCGAGGAGATTGTCTTTTCGTAGAATTTCGCGTCCCTGAAAAATGCGCCGCTTAGACTACAAACTATAAAAATCGCGCTGCTTAAAGGGGGAGGTACGCTGCTTAGACTACAAACTACAAAAAATGCTGGGCTTAAATCTACGAATGCGCTGCTTAGACTACAAACTACAAAAAATGCTGGGCTTAAATCTGCAAAAGCGCTGCTTAGACTACAAACTATAAAAATCGCGCTGCTTAGACTACAAACTACAAAAAAATTCTGCGCTTAAATCTACGCATGCGCTGCTTAGACTACAAACTACAAAAAATGCTGTGCTTAAATCTGCAAAAGCGCTGCTTAGACTACAAACTATAAAAATCGCGCTGCTTAAAATGGGAGGTGCGCTGCTTAGACCAAACTACAAAAAATGCAGGGCCTAATCATTCTCACCTTGGCCAATAGCAATTTCCTGGCGTCCGGATATTCTCTTAGCGCATTCCACAAATCATTTTTATTAAGAACAAACAGATCAGTATATCCGACAGACCGGACATTGGCGGTTCGTCGATTTCCGTTTTTACTACCTAAACCGGAGATGAGTTTTCATCATCAAAATTTGCAATTCAATTGTATACCTGCGATATTCAAAATACTCAATTCGCCGAATACGGAGCCCTCGGAGAGTGTCGCGAACACCTTGTTTCCGTCATCGGCGACGACTTGCAAGCGGCCGCGCTTCACAATGTACATCTCTCGGCCGATATCGCCTTTACGGCAAATGTAATCGCCGGGTGAGAACACTTGAAGCTGGAGCTTCAACACAAGCTCGGCGAGTAATCCGGCCTCACAATCCTAAAAGGATTAAGATAAGTAGAAATCAGAAGATTAAAATCAAAAAATGGCTCACCTGGAAGATTCTGACTTTCCGCAGGGTCTCAAAGTGCACTTGCATTGCAATTTCGGCCTGAAGCTTGTCCGGCAGAATTCGAAGAACCTGCTGATCGCTCAACGACTGCTTGTTCGCCCAGAGGTAGTCGAACCATTTGATGACGCGCATCTCGAGCTGCTTGCTCACTTTCCGCAACTCCATATACTGTTTGATGCCGTCCATTTTGTTCTGGAATTCCGTCCTCGCTGCGCTCATGTTCGATATCATCGATCCGACGTTTCCGACAATTGTGGCGAATATCAAAACGCCGCACATCAAGTCGAGTGTAACGAACACGAATTCGACATTCCGAACTGGGCTCGGCACTTCTCCGATAGTGGTTAGGATCAACGTGGACCAATAGAAGCTGTAGATGTACCTACGGACCAATGTGTCCGGAACATCCCTGAAAGCGCAATGATTTCAAATAAAATTGCGATTATCCTACTCTGGAAGGCTTTGTTTGTTCAAGCAACCGTACACCCAATTATCCGATCCTAATCCGATCCACTCGCTGATCCAGAAGTATAAGCAGGCGTTCCAATGAATAATGATGATGATGTAAAGGACGACGACAAGGACGCGAAACGCATTCGGGATTGAGCTTCTCGTCTCGGTTCGCTCCATGCAATCTTTAACGCGCGCGACACGAAACAGCCGATTGAGCCGAACGATCGGAAGAGGCTTCCACCAAGTCGCCGGCCACGGCCATCCGACAAAATAATCCAACGGGAGAATGCTGATCAAATCCATTTTGAATTGGCGGCTCGAGTAGTACAACTTTTTGATTTTGTCGATCTCGCGGACCACCAAGCCCTGCTCCAAATAGCCGGTTCGGGTGTTCACAAAAATATCCAACGCGTAGATGAGATCCATACTCAAATCGGCGAGAGCCCATAGAGCCCTCGTCCAATAATGCTCCTTCCAACCCATATCCGGATATGGTTTCGATGTCGGCATTCTCTTCATGTTCGTCAACATCTCCAGGGTACACTCGACGACCGTTGTCCGATTTCCGGCAATCGGATCATTCTCGAATACGGTGCACAGTGAAATCGCTGTGGGACCCATTAGATCAGTGAACACTTGACGGGCGATGACGAATATTAGATTATAGACAAAAGCGAAGGAGACCTGAAAGTTGCATACATGGGCGATAATGTTTAAAGGCTGATACCACGACAGTCCAATAGTAGAATATGTCATTGCTAGGATCGATTGTGAAAGTGCGCAAGTTATCGTAACATCGTTGAACGAAATTCTTGCGGTCCGCAGGATTCGTCGTAGCCATTTGAAGATCTTGATTACTCGTGTTCCCATTCACCCCGTATTTCTAACATTTCAAAAGTACGCACATTATTCTTAAAGGAGGGCGGCCTAACCTGCATGAAGTCTGACTGAGCTTGAGATTCTTCGGTGTTATGAATGCGATTCCGACGCTTCAGGATTTTGCTCAATATGCTGAATTTGGTGGCGGCGGATGTTGGTGCCGGTGGTGGTGGTACCACCGGACCATCGCCATTCGTCAACGCGTTCGGATTCGAGGTAGTTGCCTCGTCAGGCATCCACACTCGCCAAAATAAACTGAAAATAATAACAAATCGAAATTGCTTATAACGGCGATTCGGTGGGACGGGGGGGGGTTGGACAGGAAATTGAGCGCAATTCGGAAAAGGGAGTAGCGAGTGACTGGATGAAAAGTTGAATTATGGCACGCAATATTTTTTTCCTCGCTTAAAGCGAGGGAGGAAGGCAACACCAAAACTGATAGCCAAATGATTTCCATGGCAACGTCTCGGAGAGATAAAGCTGATTTGCGATAGAGACGTAGTGAGAGAGTGTGTGAAATGTGGAGAACGAGACACGATGCTTCCCGAGGGAAACTTTTCTTTATTCATTTCTTTTTCTGTCCTACTATCGATTTTGGAGAAAATTCTAAATGAGTCGGATGAATTATGACGAGGGAGAGAAAAAAAACGAGAAATTTGTATACATGGAGATTATCTATCTCTTGTCGCTTAATAATAGCTTATAATGATGCGAAATAAACGCTTCTCGGAATTCGTATATTTCAATTTCACGTTTTTTCGGTGAAAAAGGTTCCTTCCTTTGTGGGATTCCATTGGATTAGTGCGATTTTTTGGTTAATTATAATCCTGGGTGGTAAAGAGAAAAATGTGTAGGGCTTGCCAAAAAATATGCACCAATTACGATGAGATGCGCTGCTTAAACTATAAACTACAAAAAAATGCGCTGCTTAGACTAAAAACTACAAGAAAGTGCGCTGCATAGACTACAATCTACAAAAATGCGCTGCTTAAACATACGAGCTTAATCAAATTTAAAAAAATTATCAGCAACCCTGAGAAATTCTGCCGGTTAGTGTTGAATTTCGAATAAAAAAAATGCGCTGCATAATTATGCGCTACCTAGGCCTCAATTAGGTGCACAAGGTTTAAAACCAACTCAACAATGCCGTGATTAGTCAACACATCCGCTGTTGTTGTTTTTGCTACTATTTTCCATTATTTTTTCGGTTTTTTTTTTGGTTCATTCACGGAATTTCCCATTGAAATAAAAGAGATTATCAAACTCATTCGAAAGCGGATTTCGAAAAAATCCCCCGGCCTATTCAAATGCTATTTTGGGTTGCTTCTTCACAATTTCCGTCGTCGTTATTGAATATTTTCAATTAATCAAATTTGTTCGAACGAAACTCTTCGTCGTTTTTTTTGTGGGACGAGTTTGACTCTTGTAGTAGTTGAGTGCGCATATGTCGCGGCGAGGCACTTGGACCATCTGCCCAAGTACGTACCAACCAGCAAAACTTTCAGTTGGAAAAGCGGCAACAATTTTTGCGCGACAAAACCGATTTGTCATGTTCAAATATGAAGATGATGATGATGGTCCGTTGAATGTGTCGTCTGCGTCTCCGAACACATTCCGATATTATTCCATGATTTATGCGACACTTTTTGGGAGGCGAGGATTGCGCAAGGCACGTCTTAGTCAAGGACAAAACCCCCAAAACCGTCTGCCCATCTGTGCCTCGCATTCTCTCTCTTTCTCTCGTTTCGTTCCCCCCACGCTGCCCTACTATTCATACAGTCATTCTGTTCGCCAAATGTATCATCCAGCGTCGTCCCAAAATCAAATCAAAACCGCGCTTCTGAAACTTTGAGCTGCGTCCTTTGCCAACCTACCTGGACGCAAGCTCTTATTACTCTCATCGGCACTCAGCCATTCGCACACTATTTCGCCGTGTCCTCCACTCTCGGAGAGCATTGTTTACCCGGAGCCGCCGTCGTTTCGGGGTCATCGTTGGCCACCAACAAAAATTTTACGCTGCTATATATGTATGCAAATTGTTGGGAGCCCCCCTCTCTACCACAACCACCTTATTTATTTTCATTGTTCAAATTGGTCGACACTCTTGTCAAGCTTTTGCGCACGCCCACCCACAACCCTTTAATTGAAACGCATTCTCGACGGATATATTTTGTGAAAAGAGGCGAAACATTCACGCCCAAGGGAGCCGCCATCATTTTTAGTGGGTGCCGAACAACTCATTTCGAATGCAAAAATGCTCGCCACACAACATTTGCGGGGGTTTCTCTTTTCGACGCGCCGATGACTCATCGACGACCCCCAATTGCCGTTTCTTATCATTCGATTGCCGTTGCTATTATTATTATTATTATTGTTGCTCGCCGCCAACTTTCATTTCTTTCAGATCTTCAATCTTGCCGTATGTCGCCATAGAATGTCTAACCATTTATTATTCCTATTATTATTATTATTAATAATACCATGTTCTATAGTAGACACATTCAATTTGGATATTTATGCGCCAGTATACCGATTTGGACCATCAGGTTCCAAGTTCGGCTACGCGGTCGCCCAACATTTTCGCGGTGAGACACCAGTGTAAGTTTGCTTTTTGTTTTTCCACTCATGAAAAGAAACTCGAATTCGATTTTCTCGCCATTTCAGAATGCTGATCGGCGCGCCACGTGGCGAATCCGGTCAAACGGGCACCGAAAGGGCCGGCGCGATGTATTCATGCGACATTAATTCATATTATAATGCGGGAACACCCAAATGGTTTGTGATTTATTCAAAACATTTTTTTACGTTTTGTTTGCGTTTCGTCCTCGAAACCATAAAATGCTTGAAGGTGCGACCAAGTGAAATTCGAATACGAGAATGCCGAAGACTATTTCAAGCGACCCAACGAAACACGCGGACGAGCTGTGCATCATTTGGGCAAAAATGACCAGTTGCTCGCTTCGACGATTGTCTCGAAAGGAACGAAAAATGGAAGTGCATTGGTTGGTCGCACGTCTCGCAGTACATCAATATTATTATTTTTCTAGGTGTGTGCGCCTTTAATACGATATCATCAAACCGCAGCCTATCCGCAAGGCGTTTGCTACGAGTTGGCGTCGAATCTCGCCTTTACATCGGCGTACTCGACGTGCGCTCAAAAGAATCTGCCGACGACCGATCGCCACAACGAATACGGGTCGTGCATGGAGGGATTCTCGGCGGCGATCGATCGCGACACCATCGTGACGGGACTCATTGGCGCGGTGAAATGGACGGGCGGCGTGTTCGCCAAAAAGACGAGCGCCAACATTTTCGATTCGGTCGTCGAGAAATACACGATGAATCAGCCGGGCAATCCGCACAGTGTGCGCAGTCGACTCGTCGCTCATGACTATCTCGGCTACTCGGTCGACATTGGGCGATTCGGCTTCTGGTATGAAGACGGCAAACCGATTACGGTGGTGTCGGGAGCGACGCGGTTCGGTGAGCACGGCGCCGTGCTCTTCCTGCCATTCCAACAGGTAAGACAGGTTTTTTTTTCGCGTTTCGTTGGTGATTCGAAAACGCCCATTTGACAGAATCCCGATTCGTCGCTGACACTAACCGAAGACAAATTCATGCTCAATGGTTCGGCAATGGGCTCGGCGTTCGGCTATTCGATCGAAGTGGTTGATCTCAACGCCGACGGCTTCGACGATCTTCTCGTCGGCGCGCCATTCGAACATCGCACCGGAATCGACGGACAATTCGGCGGAATCGTCTACGTCTACTTTTCGCAAGGTGTTCAGCGTCGAAAACACGAATCGAAACTCGTGTTTCATGCGCCGAAAATTCTCAAACATCCCGACTTCTTCTCGCAATTCGGCATTTCGATTTGCAAATTGGGCAACGTCGACGGCGATCCGATCGGCGTCAACGATTTTGCCGTCGGCGCGCCGTTTGCGTTCGACGGCGCCGGCGCCGTCTACATCTATTTGGGCAACAAGAATATGAACAAATTTCGACGAAAACCGGCGCAGATTATAAAAGGCAATGAGTTGCCGAATCTGCCGCCGACGGGAATGCGCTCATTCGGCTTCTCGCTTTCCGGCGGCGCCGATCTTGACAACAACGGCTATCCGGATCTGCTCGTCGGCGCGCCTTCCAAAGACTTCGCCGCGTTGTTCCGCGCGAGACCCGTGATTCGCATCGAGACGCAACACCGAATGCAGAAGAAGTATGTGGACATCGACAGCGGCTCGAATTGCCCGCGCGGTTCAACGACGTGCTTCCCATTGGACATGATCATCTATGTCGACGAGGAAACCAAAAAGGGCGCCGAGCTTGTCGACTTCTCTTCCGACGTCTTCTTGTGTAATCTTGAAGCGATTCCACATCATGTTGGCGGCGCGACACGTGGATTCATCGAAGGAAGCCATTCGCATAATCACACGTGGCCTTGTGGAAGCAACTCGCATAAACAGAAGAGGACTTATAGCCAATTGATCTATCTGCCGGTGAGTTGAATGAAGCACACTTCGATAAATATTGACATCGTTGTAGACGCAAGAATCCAAGGATTGGATCACACCATTGAAGTTCCGGTTCAGTGTGAGCATTCGAAATGAGAAGAAGCCGATTCAGCCGGGCGAGGGAAGTTCGCTCGTCGACCTCAAACAGTATCCGGTGCTTAACAAATACGGAGCGAGTTATGAGTTCGAGGTGACGTTCAACACATTGTGCGGTGATGATCACACATGTCAGACCGATTTGGTGTTGAAGGCGACATTCAAGGATATCCCAAAGTAAGATGCCGTCAGCACTACGCAGTTGTATAATTGATTCGTTGCAGGACCAGCCATGGGTATGTGTCAAATGTCGGCGAGACCGACCATTTGGACATGACGTTTTCCGTCGAGAATCGCAATGAGAAGGCGTACCAAGCCTCGTTCTACTTGGAGTTTAACAATGAGGAGCTTGAGCTGCCGCAGCTCACCGGAAGCCGACGACTCGGAATTCATACGATCGGCAAGAATACGATATTCATCGATTTGGGCAATCCGATGGAGACCGGCATGAAGCACAACTTTGAGATTCGATTCAAATTGACGCGCGGACGAACCGAAGGAATCGGACGGGCTCTCGAATTCTACGCCAAAGTCAACTCGACATCGGAAGAAGCGAATCTCGACGACAATGAGTGGAAGTCGGAAGTTCAAGTGATCAAGAAGGCCGAGCTCGAACTTGTCGGTGCTAGTGATCCGAAGACGGTGCATTTCGGCGGTGTCGCAGTCGCCGAATCGGACATTGTCGATGAGGAGCACATTGGGCCAATCATCCGACACAACTACACAATTCATAATAAGGGACCATGGACGGTGAGGAATGTGGTCGCCAAGTTTGATTGGCCCTATCAAGTGCCATCGAGGTTCGGTCGCGGCGAATGGGCTTTGTATCTTCTCGACATGCCAATGATCACCACGTACAACACCGACGGCACGAAGGATGTCCGCAGGTGTTCAATTGAAAGGGCTTACCTCTATGTGAATCCGTCGGACATTCGAAAAGACACGCGAGGAAGCACACAAGAGACGAAGGTGCCGATGGGCGAGGAGGATGGTCCATTGAAAAAACGAATGAAGCGGTCCGTCGAGGTGTCGAAGGCGGGCTTGTTCCGCGTCGCGCCACATATTCGCCAAGAGAATGGAATTGACGTCAAAGTTGTTTCGTTGGTAAGCGCGAATGAATCTAAAAATATTGAACATTTGAAATATTTACAATGACGAGCATGAAAAAAAATATAAGTAGGTTGTTGCTGAAAATAAAAAGCTGCTATCTGAAAAAAATTTTAAGATTTTCTATAGATTTGATTATCAAGAAATTTCGAGGAAATTGTGAAAAAAAAAAGAAATGTAATTCAATCGTTAAATTTATATAACTTATTAAAGGCGCATAACGTGGAATAGCAGTAGAGTCTCGCGCCATTATAAAAACTTAAAGTGTTTGCACACATTGCACCACACTCAACGACATTTTGCAGAGTTGCACCGACGGCACCGCCAAATGCTTCACCGTCACGTGCCATTTCGACTTCATCGACGCCAATTCGGCGCCGATCATCGATTTCCGCTCGAGATTATGGAATACAACGTTTATTCAGGTATTTGTGGTGATAAATAAAATTGGAAATTGCGCGAAATTCGTTGCAGGATTATTCGGATGTCGAATTTGTCGAGATCAGCTCGTTTGGTCGATTGGAATTGGATCCGTCGCAAGGAATTGACGACGATCCGTCGAATAACGCGGTGTCGGTGAAAACTCAAGCGTATCCCGACAAGCCGGCGATTGGTAGGAATTGAGAAAAAATAAAGCGAATGAAAAAATAAAATGAAAATTGTCTAGGCGAAACGCGACCCGTCGATTGGTGGATATACGCGCTCGCCGTCGCCGCCGGCCTCCTAATTCTTCTTCTCATCGCGCTTTGCCTCTGGAAATGCGGATTCTTCAAACGCAACAAACTCGATCAGCCGTCGCTTCACACCGCCCAACTTAGACATGAGCGCGAACAATGGCAAGACACGTCGTTCTAGGCAAAATTTTTTGTATACTCATTACGTGTTCATTTATTTCTGTTCTCTTTAACTTATTCTTGTGATAGCCATCCACAGTTGTTCGACCGACCAAAAACAAAAAAACATGACTTAATGGTGCTAAAGCACACATTGTGATACCGGTGCGTTTTTTTTCTTAAAATTTTTATTATTAGTAAATTATTATTTCTTCAGCATTTCTCTTTGTCGTTCTTCGTGAGAATATCCAATGTCACATAGGTCATGTCATAGGTCTTGCCAATTTTCTCTTTCGGAATCACAAACTCCGAGATTCGCTTGCATCCTGCCTTCTTCACATTGCACTCATGAGTGATGAGCAAGTACGGGCTGATCGAGCCGATCTCGTTTTCTGTGCCGCTCACCGTGAATTCGCCTTCTTTCGATGATTGCACCTTATGGAGGAGATCGTCAGGATCCACTAGAATCAATCAATCAACGCGACTAAAGATCAACACAACTTACAAGTGTCCTTCTCCCAAAGTTCAACTTTCGCCGAAATGCGCTTCTTGTTGCAAATTGTTGTTCCTTTCACGGTGACCGTTTGATTCGCCGCGTCGACGGCGACCAAACCGAGAACAAGAATAGCTCCAGCGATGAGACAACGCATTCTGTTGAGGCAGGCGTACCGATTCGAAATCGACCCACACTTTTATATCGTTCAATGTTATCAACAAAAATGGGCGGCGTCGATTTTCAAGGTCGCTTCGGTTCGAGACAAAAGATGGGTAGAAACAAAACAAAAAGCGACGGTCGATGCCTCCCACCATTTTTGGGGAAAGCGTGAGTCAAACACGATGATGTCAATTGTTGATTTTTTTTTCCATCGATTCATTCCGAAATCATCAAGAAAAACCGGTTGGACCGGGCCGTTCTCGACATATCCACAATAGTAGACGCAAAAAAACACACATACAGCGAAAAAAACGAAGACAAAAACAGGAAGAAATAAATTATGCGAGTATAATACATCAATTGAGCATCATATATGTACATACATGGATTGTTTGGTGTTGGGCAACAAGGAGAGGTTATTTGATACTCGCTCCGCTCAATATCATCCGGCCGCCAACGACGATGCTAAACACGGCGACCGCCGCCGCTGTCATTCCGTACACCGACCATCGTCGCCTCGATTTTCTCATCGTTTCCGCATTCGCCACATTCTGCTTCTTATCTCGAACCGCCACGCCGAGCTCCATGAATCCAGCCTACAATATGGTAATTCTTTTCATTATTTGCACACCCTATAATTATCGGATATCATTCGACGACATCGAATGTGTCAAGTGCCTCCATTATGCACCCCCCCCACCCCGGGTTTCTTCCCTTATTTGATGGTCCGACTCGCGTTGAGCAAACAAACAAATATCATACCCAGGTCTTTTTGTGCTCCTTCCACGACGATCTAATGCGCGATTTGATGAACAGCGATGTGTAGACGGCCATATTCCGCACTTGTTCCCTTAGAGTTGGATGGCTGATCATTTTTGAAGCGACAAGGCCGCCAAACGATAAAAGTCCCACTAGTCTACCGTAGCTCATTGGACAAGCTTCTGATGCGGAAAATCCAACACTTTGCACTATCTGGAGAAAAAAAAATCAAATTGCGAACAATTGACATAATTATTTCGCATTACCTCCTGGTAAACTGAAAATGTGACCTTTGGACTCGCCATGAGCTGTTCGGCGAACTTCTCCAATTCTTGCGAGTTCTTCTCTTCGAATACTGATGCCACACATCGCATCACCTCATGTTCCGGTTGGGTGCCGTATGGTAATTCAGGAGCATCGTACCATTCTAAGCCTTCTTTCCTAATTCGGAATGTGAAGTAATCAACGACGAATCCCTCAATGTCGAGCCGCTCGAGTTCCCAATCATTGATCTCCCGCGGCTCTGCTAATGATCTCGCGCAGCTCTCATTTCCGATCGACATTCGACGCGTCGGCATCGGCACAATCACTTCCTCATGCTTCACCGCCAGCCCGTCATGCTCCATGGGATCGGAGCCTGAGCTAAGAAGCTCTTTGATATCACCAGTGGCCATTGTCCTTCTGTAGAACAAAATAGAATAGTTGGGACCATAATGTATTGGTACCTTCGAAACGCGAATGTTTCCTGCGAGCAGCTCGGTGTGGCGTTGTCGCGTGTCATTCTCGGAAACCTAAAAATTCTTTATTTAATTCCATTCTACATAATCTACATTCACGAAAAACGATAAACGGAAGAAGAATACGGCGAATGAATGAAGAACAACAACGAGGCCACGCCTCCTCAACCGACCGACGGACCATCATGAGAGCCCATTGGAAATGGTGGAGGGGGGCGGGACCACGGAGAAATATACAAAATGGGCTCGGAAAATAATTATGGACGACGATAGAAAAGAAGAAAACACAGAAATTGGTCGTTTATTGCTTCTTATTCTTGTTCTGGCAAGCGTTAAGAACAACGAGGAACGCGATGACTGCTGACAATCCGGCGACAAGGTATCCGGTCTTGTAGACCTGAAAACAAATTGCTGTAAAAGAATCATTGAAATGTTTTACTTGTCCGATGTTGTCGACACCCTTGGCGAGATCGAATCCGATGAATCTGATGCCGTTCAAAGTATGGAAAATGATTGGGAACGCAATGATGTACTGAAATTTGCAAGTCACGTAGACCGTTAATATTGTTTGGTTGGCGACCAACCTTGAACACGGCGGTGACCGCGCATGGAAGATTCCAGCTTCTAATGTAATCGACGAATGTGGTGAAGTCGATGGGAAGAAGGGCGAAACCGACGCCGCCGAACAACAACGTGCCGGCCATCACGCATCCACTAATTCTGTGGAATCCAGAAAGCTGTAATTATTTTTGTTTCCATTTTGGAAAAGACTTAAATGACAATTTTACCATCCAGGTGAGCTGCGGCTGGTAAATGGTGAGATGTGGGGCAATCGGACGCTTCAAAGCGCGTTGCTTCATAAGGTATTCCCATCCGATCTTTTGGATTGGAGTTTTCGCGTCCGACTGAAAATAAAACAATATACAATTCAAAATAGTGAATTTCGGCTATTAATATAAAGATTGGTTCAAAACTATAAAAGAATTTTGCGAAAAGAAAAAACAACGCGAGAAATCAAAACATCGACAAACCTTGGCGATCACCGAGGTGGTGAAGGATCTGGCAAATGTTGGTCGCGCGGCGATGCGGCAGAGAATCGAAGTTGGAATATTGATCATTTTGAACGCTGAAATTCAAGAAAATCCGAGAATATATCGGTTTTTCAAATATGCACGAATCAAAACACCACAAACGCGCCAGGAGGCGGGGCATTGCACGCTGAATGCGTCAGCATCGGCACCACCTGACGCATTCTGCGTGCATTATTTTTGTTCAAATATTTCCATTTATTTTCTATTTTCTAGGGTTTTTTGTATGCCAAGCGTTCCTCGAATCCCTTCAACAACCCCGTGGCTTGAGATTTTAACGGATTTTGGGTTTCCCAACAAGCCGTTCATTCTCGAATCATCCGCTACCGATGAATGGCCAGCGCGAAAAAATTGGGTTTTGGGCGATGGCTCTCCCAATCTTCAATATTTCATAGATAATTATGGTATTTATCACATAAGTAATATTTTCAAAAAGCCGATTATTCGATTAAGGCGACGCGATTGTTCCAATTCTTGACGGCGATTGTTATGAGAAAGTGGTTCTGCGTGATTATTTGCAAAATCTTGACAAAAATCCGCAAAAATATTTGAAAGATTGGCACTTTCAAAATGATTTTGGCGCCGCTGATTACAAATTGCACCCGTTTTTTGCTAGGGATTTCGTGAACTACGAGAATTTCGCTAAAGAATCAAACCCGTTTGGAGACGATTATAGATTTGTGTATTTCGGATTTAAAGGCTCATGGTATTTATCTCATAGCGAATTTCTTGATTACTGCATTTGATTTGTATAGGACCAAATTCCATTCGGACGTTGTTTCTTCGCATAGTTGGTCGGCAAATGTCTGCGGTGAAAAGTTGTGGCTCATGCTGGAGCCAGGAAAAGAGAATCTGTTCAAAGCCGCAACAGATTCGGGATTTGTTGAGGATCTCAGGGAGCATGAGGATCGTTGGGAAGAAGTCTCAGACCTCCTATAGTGTTATATAAAATCGTGTTTGATATAGGCGGGCCTCATGAAGTTCGTGCAGCACGCCGGCGAAATAGTGTTTGTGCCGACTAACTGGTATCATCAAGTGCATAATTTGACGGACGCGATATCGATAAATCACAATTGGATGAATTGCACAAATATTGAAATTGTTGGCGAGTTTTTGCGGAGGCGCGAGCGCGATGTTCGAAATGAGCTCAGCGATTGTGCGGCGATGTTCGACAAGGATGAATTTGAGCAAAAAGTCGAGGTCCCTTTATTCTACTGTTGTCGATTAATGGATTTTTTCGTTTTAAGCTTGTTCTATTCGCCGATGCCCGTCTGAATCGCTCTCGATTCCGCGACCTGCTCCAGCTCCTTTTGAGAAATAGAAAGAGTCCCAATTTCCGATGTCCCGTCCATAAGAAGGACTTGAGATCCTGTAGAGAATCTGAGGAATGCTTAAAGAGGATCCGATCCATTTGCACTTGCACTAATAGCTTTTGCAAGAAATGCCTTGAATTTGTTGTCTCCATGGAGTGCTGCGTATTAAATCGATTGCTTGCAGTAGATGAAGCAGCTCAGCGAGCATGAGCTTCAGGAGATATTTCAGCGAGCCAGTGGGTCTATGGAAAGAGGTCCGCTAGATGTGGAGCCGGAAGTTTTCACATATTATGGTATGGATTTCAAATTTTGGTTGCGATAAACTTAGAATATTCAGGAAAAATCTTCGATAAATGCCTTCGCGGCAATTCGGAATCGCCGATTTCAGAAGAATCGAGCCATTTGAGCCCTGCGACCAAGGAAACAATGATTGCAATATTGCGCGGCGGTCGAAAAATTGAAGAGAAGCCCGTCAAATGGAATGTCAATATTGGTATTCGGAAATGTACAATTTGTGAAACCTCTCGAATTTACAGTTGTCGGCAACAAGTACGTTTTGAAAAGTTTGCGACCGGTGGTGACAATGGACATTCCCAATGGGACCAAAGTGGAGAAACTCGAGTTTGATCTCGACACATTCTCGCAATTCCGAATGCAATTGGCGAAAGCTGTGATGAACACATTCCATAATCAAGAATAGTTTATTATTATTATTATTTGATATGTTTTTTATCGTTTTGATTTTTGGTTTAGTAGAGTCCTGAGAGGGCTAATGATCAACCCGTCATTCAAAAAAATGTTCGAGATCAACAACAACAAAAATTAGCATGTAGAGAAAAACAAAAAAATGCTACTAGAATTCGAACAAGGACGTCGACCATTCGGGTGTTGTCGTCGAATCCTCATTCTTTCGCCGCTTTCGAAGAAGCTCGGCCTCCTCTTGACTCACGTAGCGATTCACGTTGAGATCGAAGATGAGCTCCTCTTGTTTCTCGTCGCGGTAGCCGAGATCGCGTGCGTCCTGGTCTTCACAAATTGGCGCCTCGAACGTGGTGAAGTCGATGATTGGTGGCGTCGGCATAAGGGGATCATGCTCGGGGTCTGGTGTTGGATGAGGTGTGTTCTCTGGATCGGCGTAGTAGGCGAGAAGCGCCTTATCCGTCGCATGCGATTCTGCAGAATGATGCTATTATCGAATCTCTAGGTGAGTGTCTTACCGTCTAAACCATTTTGTGATCCTTCGGGCGCGATCTTCCAGACTCGATCAAACGCGCATCCCGCTGTGATTCTACCGTATGCTTCCGGCTCCCACATTTCTTCGGTGATAGTTTTAAGCTCACGCGTTTTTGGATGATTGCAGATGTCGTCACGGAATTCGGGTCGAAGGCGTCTCGTCACGACGATGCTTCTCATCAATCCGATGTGCGGATTCTTGCCGACCTCCTTCTCATAGGGCAGCTTGTATTCGGGCACTTGGTCCGGTTTTCCGTCGACGCACGTCCTTGACAGCACCTCCCACATCACCAACGCCATGGCGTACACGTCCATCTGCTTGAAGGCGACCGGCGTGAACTCAGTGGCGCCTTCGAGCACTTCCGGTGACATGTAGCGCCTCGTGCCGACCTGACCGAGAAGATCGGCGTTCTTCGGACGGCCGTATTCGAATTTGCGCGCCAAACCGAAATCGCCGATGCACGCGGTCATGTCGCGTCGGATCAGAATATTCTTGGACTTGATGTCGCGATGAATGATCACCGGCTTCTGATGCCCGAAGTAGAATGGTCGCTCGTCGTGCAGAAACTGCAATCCGTCGAGCATTGTCATTATGATTCGGATGGCGGCGCGAAGGCCGATGACGTTGGCCGAGACGAGCTCATGCAGGCTGAGACGCTCGTGAAAATCGGTGATGATGTTGAATTGATCGCCGATGGTCTGTGTGGCGATGCAGTGCAGAATCGACGGATACCACGTCGGCAGATCGGCGAAGATCTTAAACACGGCGCGTTCGGATAAATAGCTTGGCGCGTCGTTGACGTTCTGCTTCTTGACGGCGACGACTCTCGACGAGCCGTCGTCGGAATGCATGATGGCTCGGTAGACGCGCCCGAATCTGCCATTCGCCACTAGCTGCTCATTCGTCAGCCGGATGTTCTTGTTATCCGTCTCCTCACAATCCTTGATCAACTTCATAAAGTTCTTCCGTCGCCTCGCGCTCTCGGTAGACGCGTCGACGTCCTCCATCGGAATCGGATCTTCGGCGAGAGCTGTCCGATCCTGACAATCAAGAATTCAGACGAGGCATTCGTTTGATTATGCTTACACTTTGCGGACTCCTCCGCTTTTTGGCTGTCACCGCGACAAATAATCCAGTGACCACGGAGCCGATGAGAAGAAGAATCACCATGGCTGAGATGATCATTCGAGGCGTCGAAAATGGCATCGGGTCATGTAATAGATGCGCTTTTGCCTCGGTGCTCGATTCTTGTAGTTCTTCTTCTTCCGGTGGAGCATCTTCAACAAAAAGAGGCAAGCTTAAATAGTCGGCAGTTTTGACCTACTCGGATCGACATAGTGCGGATTCATCAGCTCGAGTGTCCCCATCGCATTGCAGTTCTTCGTATGACAACAACAATACCCATAGCCGCTCTTCTCTTTCGACTTGCGCTTCGCCTCGTCTCTCACCTCGCCTTCGCGCGCCGTCGTCATTCGTGTGCTCCTCGCGCGACACCCATCCTCGCTACAATAATCGTCCTCGTGCGGCTCGCCGGTGAGACTGAAGCAGCCGAGCAGCATTGTACCCTCATCGGGCACCGGCAAATATTGCGCGGTTCGATTGATCTCGTCGGGCTTCGGATTGTAATAGAAGACGCCGAGGCATGAGAGGCGTCGATGGACGTCGCCGAGATAGCAGTTCTCTGTCGTCGGGCAATCCGAACGAACGTCGGGATCGCATTCGGCACGATTGAGATACTAGAAAATCGATTTGATGCTTACCAATTGGAGGGCCGCCTACCGCACACGTCAAATATGGTTCGGTGCCGTTCATTTCATAGTTGACACCTTCCACGCCAATAATATGGTCCTGCTTGCGTGGTCCCACATCGAGCACAATATCGTCGGCGCTTCCGGTCTTCTCAACACTCAACGCGGTCTTCTCGATTTCGCGGGCCCACTGAAAAAAAAGGATGCGTTTCGGTGAACCATTGAAATGTTCTCACTTTCTCTTCCTCTCGTTGATTGTCGAGGGTGGCGAGCGCCTCCTCATCGAGAACGACGGCAGCGGGATGGCAGCGCGCCAGCGGCGACGCGATGACAACAAGAACGAATATTAGTCGATGTTGTGGTTTGAGTTTGACGGCATTCATCAAACTGTAAATCGGAGTAACACAAAAAAAAACTTGAGGTTGGTTTAGTTGGGTCGTCGGTGAGTGCCCGCGCGCGTGTGTGTATGTGTCGTAGTGTGCGTGTGTGTTTAGGAGAAACAAGATGAGAAAGAGATAGATTGATAGAAATGAGGCAAAACGAGAGGGAGGCGGCGAGAGAGTGCGGCGAATTGAGAGCGCGTCAGACATTGTAGGCGCCGATCCGTAGAAGGCTTTTTCGCGGGGCGACCCACCTGAGCATCTTTGTGTTCGTCCTCGACTTTGCGACAAAATTGCTGGGTTGGTGGGTTTTTTGTGGAAAATGATACCACTGAGCTGTCAGGGGAGGCGGGACAAGCGGCCTCTTGGTCACACCCCCTCCTCTCCTCACAGAGTGAATTAGACACGCCCAATTAATAAATGTATATATCGTTTTATTATTTGGCTAGTAATTATATATAAGCGATTATTATTGGGCAGGTGACGTTTAGTTGCATCACTCGATACAGATGCCAGCCAAATGGATTTAATTGAGCGCATCGGCGAGCTCGTAGATCACGTCGCGCGCGAAAATTATGTCGGCCGCCGTGGCTAATTGGCTGCACACGACGAGGCGAATGAAGAAGGTCCCTTGGACATTTGATGGTACCAGATGGATGCGGCGATCATCGTTGATCGCATTGCACAATTTTTCATTGTCCGCGTTGGTCGACTACAAAGTGGTGAGGATGGTTGAGCACATGACATTTTGGCGCTTACGTTTTTCAATCTGAAACAAGTGAGGCCGATGTGCGGTGGCACGAACAACTCGAATCGGCCGTCCTCTACGATAAGCTCGGCGAACATTCGGCCAAGGTCGTTAATCTGTGCAAAAAATCGGTTCACTTCTTTTATTTTCATTTTTCTCATCATTCAGTACCCTCCTCAAATACTCTCGAATCTTCTCCACACCCAAATTGCGCAATACAAACCAGATTTTCAATGAGCGGAAGCGTCGACCGAGCGCGATTTGAAGATGCTGAAATTTGAGATTCTTTGACATATTGGAGTTGCTGCGCCGCGAACAAAAAAGACATTGCTTGCCAATATTTTTTGTAAACTGCGACGGAAGCACGGGGGCGAAATTGAGATTGGAGCTTATTGCGAGTTATTGCGCTGCTTTATTTTAGATTTCAAACTACAAACAAATGCGCTGATTGGACTACAAACTACAAACAAATGCGCTGCCTAATTGAGGGAATGCGCTGCTTAGACTACAAACTACAACAAATGCGCTGCCTAATTGAGGGAATGCGCTGCTTAGACTACAAACTACAACAAATGTGCTGTCTAATTGAGGGAATGCGCTGCTTGAACTACAAACTACAACAAATGCGCTGTCTAATTGAGGGAATGCGCTGCTTGAACTACAAACTACAACAAATGCGCTGTCTAATTGAGGGAATGAGCTGCTTAGACTACAAACTACAACAAATGCGCTGTCTAATTGAGGGAATGCGCTGCTTGAACTACAAACTACAACAAATGCGCTGCAAAACCTATTTATTAACAAAATAAATTTTCCTTGCGAGACGCATTTGCTATTATGTTTTCGTTGCTCAGATTACACGCATAGTCACACAAACACCGAAAATATGTAGATGAAACTATTTACCCGATAATCCGAGGCGGTCGATTGGTACTCATGCGCGAGATACAACGCATCGACATTGAAAAACTTGGCAATTTGGGTTCCATTCTTCAACCACATCGGCGAACAATCGAAATTGACCATTCCCGCCTTGTGCACGTTGAAATTGTACGAGTCGGCGTACTCGATGCCTTTGAGAAGATAGGCGAATTCCGGACAGAAGGCGAAACTGCCCGCGTAGGCGGCGTCGACGTGAAGGAATAATCCTTCAGCCTCGCAAATCGGACCCAATTGGTCCAATTGATCGACACCGCATGAGCATGTGGTTCCAATGGTAGCCAGAAGCATGAACGGGACGTAGCCTCGAGCGCGATCCTCCTGAATGGCGGCCCGCAAAGTGTCGGCGGCAATTCCATAATTGTCGCGGAGGCCCCTTGAGGCCTTAAGTTTGCGGAGTCGCACTCCAGCCAGCATTGCGCCTTTCTCAACCGAGCTGTGCGCTTGGTCCGAACAGTACATTATGAATTTCTCAAAAACCGAAGGATCGTGGTAATAGGGAACGATGACGTCATCAGGTTCGGTCTGAAATTCATTGTCCGAGGAGGTTTTTCATTAGAAAAAATACAATTAGCCCCTTTCAAAATTGCCTTAAATTATTCACAACACTACATCTAAATTACCATGGTGGTCCGGACAAGCTTCTAAATGAAACGAGCAATTGCAATTAATTGAATTTCAAAACAGCGTTTCCATACCTTGTTAATTCGTCCTAAAATTGAAGTCACCGTTTTTCCGAGGTCGGTTTGCGCCATCCATTCCAGCAACTTGGGCGTCTGCTGCTTGATCTTCTCAACCTGAGCGGCTCTGGCTGCCAGTATCGCAATTGCCGTGCTATCGCTGGCAGTGCTCTGGATGATTCCGCAACCGGGCCCGTTGTGCGAGTTCTTGAAGTGCTCGGGAAGATTGAGAAGATCCACCAGCCAATCAAGCGAACGCATTTCGAGCTCGGTCATCGACGGACACGACTTCTGAACACGTCAACATGAGATCCAGCGGTTCATCGTCGACGCCTCAAACCCATGTGAAGCCGATGCCGGCAATTCCGCCGCTCAGAATGTCGGCCATTATCGACTGATAGCTGCACGCCGTCGGGAAGTAGGCGAAGAAGCGCGGGTGTTGCCAATGCGTCGCGCCGTTCACCACCACATTCTCGATGTCGTCGAAAATCGCCGACCAGTCTTCGGGTGTGTCCGGCGCGCGGTCCGACACCAGGCTCGTCAAGAAGCCCGGCTTGACGTCGGGAAGCGGCGTGCGATCGCGAAGCGTTTCCCAATAATTCGCCACAAAATCGACCATCTGTTTGCCATGCACACGAAATTCGTCGGAATTCATTATCACCTAATGTATGTATCTAGATAAATTTGAATTGCCGCCTTGGGTCTCGTATGGAATAACTCTGAGGAGCACGTTTTGCGTAATTTATGAAAAAAAGAAATTTAAAGCATTTTCATAATTTAAGAAAAATACAAAGCCCGCGAAATTCGAATTCCTCAAAGTCGTTAAATTATATGAAAAAGGAAATATATAAATATTAAGAAAAATAAATATCATGGGAATGCGTCGATTGCTACTATGCCAACGAAATGGGAGATGCAAGGAAACGAGGCGGGTTTAGAAATGGGGGTTTGCGACGACTACTACTTCCGATACCTATCCATCTCGAATAATGTGATGAAGAGAAAACGGGACGTGGGGGGGGGACACAATGGTACTGAAAGACGAATAATGGAATGCAAATAAAAATGATGCAAAACAGCACCCAAACGCTTACGTGAATTATTGAATGCCACTATGAGATGCACTGGTTTGTGGGCGAATGATACCGCGAATCGAATTTATACACTATGATAACAAAGTGCAATTATTTTCAGTGATCAGAGTTTAAGGAGACCGGCACATATACAGTGGTTATCTGAGATTCAGCAGGAGGGTTCGCGTAGCAGTGCAAATGGCTTTTGGCGATGCGTTTTGTCTTGCGGGATCGACCCCAAGCAAGATCACAAAAATTTTTGTTATTTATTAGGACTCATTTGATAACAATATATGGCATCTGGTGATAAATAGATCATAAATAAATGCGGATTATAAAAACATATAATTATTGAGGATAACCTCGATCGTATTTGTTGTATCTTGAGCGTCGTTGAAGGATTTTCTCGTTGATCACGTTCAACGCGAAAATCGCGGCGATTCCCAAAAAGCAGCCGGTGTTGAGGCCCGCCATCGCGCCGATCCATCCGAAACGCTCGCCGGTCTCAATGATGGTCCGTTGAGAGATGGTGCCGCCGATGCCGATGATTATCAGCCAGCCCATGATTCCGGCGGTCGCGAATATCACCTCCTGTGCGAATCAGCGTTGAGTTATTCGGTCGAAGCCCAATGCAAACAAACACTCACCGACATGGCGCAGTTGGTGAGCGGCGTGTCCTCGCCGCGTTTCGACAGCAAGAAGTACATGACGACCGAGACGATGCAGTAGAGCAGCGTGAGAGCCGACACAATGTAGATTATCACAATTTCATAGTTAATTGAAATGTAGGCGGTCACGTAGGCCGGATCGAGAAGAATCAGCGTCACAATTGTGAGAAGCTAAAAATTTGAAAAAAAAATCATTTTAGGCTTAAATTTGTCGATGATGATTACGGTAGGTTCAATGGACGCAAACACCATAGCACAATTTTACACAAAGACAATTATTATTTTTGGACATTTTCAGGTCGAATTTAATTAGAAATATCGATTTGCTATGCGCGCACCGCATATTTGCATATGCTATCAAGGTGACTCATGTTGTTTGTGTTTGAGAGAATCATCCAAATTGTACAATTTTGTTGGAAAAAATCAATAAATTGAAAATTTTGAAGAGAACGGAGTTTTTGTTTTAAATTTTATCATTTAAACTGTTTTAATGCACTTATTCATGCAATGCAAACTTATAGAAATGCACATTCAATGTAATTTTTACAATTTTTGCAAAAAAAAAATAAATTTCATGAATAAATCGATTTAAATATGTCAAAGCGCGGGAATTTGAATTTTTTTCAAAACAATATCGCCTTGGTGTGAAATTTGTCGAAAATCGCTTACCACAATAAGGACCTTGATGGCCGAACAAATGAGCAATTGATTGGGAATGGCCATTTCCTGGAAATTGAAATTCAAAACAAAAATTGTAACGGCGAAACGTAAAATGAAGCAGCGGTGTGCGGCGCGCGCGTACAAACATCGCAGAAAGCCATAAATGTTCTCTCTGCCTCTTTCTTTCTTTGCCGTAGGGGCGGCCGGTGAATCATGCGAAGAGCAAACAATGCGTCTCAGGTGTCGCAACGCTGTTTCGCCGCCTCACTCTTCTCATCGTACTGTATGACCTGGGGTCCCATGTTTGCGTTACATAATAATCAATAATTTTATTTATCGATAACAAAGAAGTAATTATTCCAAAAATATTGAGGATCACAGAAGAAATTGCGTTTAAGCGACCGTCGGCGGTGCGAGACTTGAGATGAAGCTGATCGCCTTCTGGATGAGACCGCGCGCGAATTGCGGACACGAGTTGGCGTAGGCGATTTGCTCCAAAGACATTCGCATTTGGGCGAACGCTTGTCTGAAATCACATTTTTGATGAAAGGAAAATAATTTGGATCACCTGGAATGCGGATTTCTTCTCGATGAATAGCGAAGGGTCAAGAAGCGATAATAGACGAACGGAAGCATCAATGAGCCGCGGCCGCTGAAAAAAAATTATTGTTGTCTGTTTTTTTTTGTTTCAAAAAGACCCCCCTTGGGTCCCCTTACCTCAAAATCAATGAGACCAACAGGGGCACGAGGAAAATCTCGGCGCACGCGATAATTCCCAACACGTTTTGCGTTTGCGCCAACTGGAATCGCTCCAAATGGTCGACGAGCGGCGAATGATGGCCCGTCTCTTTGAGAAGTTTGACCAAATAACTCGAGCTGTGCAACGCGGCGTACAATGTGACGGGAAGGATTGCCATCGAGACGGGCGGTGCCATTAGGAATTGAACCGAATAGATCAGATAGTGGAACGCGTCTTCCATGACGAGCGTCGATAGGAACTCGCGTGTGAACGAGATTCGGCCTTGAGTGCGGGTGTGAAGACGCAGCGCGAACGTGGCGGCGGCTGGAAATTCGGAGAAATCGCTTTAAAATCGACACGGCACCAAATCGGGCTTACAAGCGGCGAAGAGTTTGTAGTAGGCGGCGAATGGATCGAAAATTGCGAAGATTGGAAGCATGTAATTGATCGCGAAGAACACGGTGAGCAGCCTTGCGGCGAACATGACACTATCGATGGTGTGCGACGAAACATATTGCTGGAATTTGGAAATTTGCGAAAAAAATTATCCCAAATTTACCACAATTGTTGGCATGTTTGCGGGTTGTGGGCGGCTCGAGCTCGCGCCCGGCTGGCTACCATCATCGGGCTCTTCGACAATCTCAACCATCTGGAACTTTAGAAAAGCGAATTCGACGCGAAATATGCGAATATCGGGAAAATTCCGCGCTCAATGAGTTGGTCCGCAAACACCGTTTGGTGTGTGCGCACCGCGACGCAAAATTGCACGCCTCGTTTTCGCCGCTTCTCAATTTTTTCATCAAACTGATTTATTTTTGTCGCTTTTCAGATGCTCAAATCGTGTAGAAGCTTGATTTCCAACGCGTTAGCTGTTCGAGGCGTTCGAACGCTTGCAGCTCCCGTCAATCCGCACCAGCAAAAGCCGGTTCAAGCCGTTTTACCGGATAAATTGTTCAGGTGAGCATTTTTTTCTCAATTAAATTCCGCACTTTTTTCTGCAGTTCTATCGAAATTGAATATCGCGGACACGATAAACAGGTGCTCAAATCCTACACAACATTCCTTGAAGCCGTCTGCGGGCATTTGGAAATTCCAAGAGGCAAACTCGAAGTGCTGCCGTATATCAGGTTGATATTAAACGCATTCTCAACAAATCGAACTCAATCGCTCGATTTCAGATGGGTTCAGCCGGCGCTTCGCTCAAAGTTTGTCCACAAGAAGTACAAGCTTCATTACGAAACGCGAACACATATAACGAAATTTGAAATCAAAAATGTGACCGGCTCAACGGCTTCAACATTCCTTGAATACATCCAACGCAATATTCCAGAAGGCGTCGGAATGCGTGTCGGATTCGTCGAAATCCAACCATTGCCACTAACAATCAAGCAATAGTTTTTTTTTTAATGATTTATATTCATTGTTGTAGAACTCTTTAGAATGGTTTGTTTTTAGACGAAAAAAATTCAATACGGTTCATTGTTGTTTTCATTGAAATAAATAATATCATATGAATTTTAGCGTCGATTGCTGAAGCTTCCATGATTTCGATAATCATTCCTTCTAGGGGTTTGCTCATATCGATAACTCGGCGCCGAATTCTGTCTCATATAATGTGGGGCCGGTTGAGATGGAGTAGTGAAGCCATGATTCTCTAAAAACTCAATATATTATAAATTTCCCTATTTTTGGCTTCATTCTTACGATTTCTATTCCGATAGCTTGGAACTCCATATGGCTGCGAGCGATGATGCGACGATGACGATGAGGGGCGCCTGAAAATGCAAAACATTCGATATTTTGGCAACAATTCGATTCGTGCGCGTATAAATTCACATTTGGCGACGATTTATGAGAAATCAACAACGATGATTCGCACGCTCACAATTTTCGGCGTTCTCCTCGCCGTCGCCTATGGCCAATTCGATTTCGATACCGGCCGAATTTCGGGATGCTCGCTAAGTTTGAAATCAAAATTCTCCTACACCCGGCGACGAACTGAAATTGTCGAAACAATTTTCAGCGTGCTCCAGCAACGCCAAATTCACCGCGTCGATCGACGGCACGACAACGACAGCGCGATGCTCGGATAATAAGGCGAATTCGGAAACTCGATGTCCCGGGTGTTGCGCCGCGGTGGCACTGGCTGCAGGCCTTCCAGCAGTAATATCGTCTTTCCTTATTTAAAAAAAGGATTTACAAATATTTGAGCATTAAAGGCGAATACGAAATTTTGCTATTTTCGCGCTTCAAAATCGAATTTCAAATCATTATTATTTCAGGACAAGTCTGCTGGCTTCCCATCAACCTCGGGCAAATGCGTCTGCTGCATTCGCGGATGCTAATCGATCAAATCAAAAATTTCCAAAATAAATCCATACCAACTATCTCTGTCCCTTTCGCGTTCTCTTTCGTAGGCTCTTGACGGCGTCGAGTGCGTCGACGACGCCTGATTCACTCGCTGTCGTTTTTCGATCATCGGCCGAATTTGCGCGTACTCTTTTTCCTATGAATACGATTGGTTGCAAAACTAATCGAAATTAAACACTTTTTCGATTTCTCACCTTATTTGTTCCGCGACTTGGCTTCACATTCAAACACATATTATACAGCAAAATTCCATCGAGCGTCTCGACAGCGAACAATACCGATTCCTCGTCCTCAAATTCGACCATTGCGTAGCGTTTGTCGGAATCTTTCAACGTTTTCATTATGACACGTGTGACGGGTCCCACCTGGCGCGGAAAAAATTGCAAAGATAATTCAAAAATGTGAAAAAATATTTTTAATACCTGTGTAAATAATTCTTCGAGTAAATCGTCGGAAACCTTGTCGCTGAACGATGAAACATAGCACGTTTTTTCACTATCTACCAACGTCGTCATTATTTTCTGAAGAAATTGAAGATCAAACACGCAAAAATTCGGCAAACAAACGAGAAATTTTGAAAATAAAAAAAAAAAACTCAAATAGTTCATAGTTGCAGTGTCGGTGTTTGCATATAATTCGTGTACACCGTAACACCATTTTTTGGAAGGAGAGATAAGACGATGTCATCACAAGATTCCAGACGTCATTTCCATCACGTTTTCCTCGTTATTTTTATTTCTCGTTTCAAAAAATCGATATTTGTGTAATAAATATTAGTTTTTTGCCTCTTTTTTCGAGTTCATGTGATGGATTTTAAGATATGGTGGAAAACAAGCGTGTAAAGAATTTATTTTGAGTTATTTCTGATTTTCATCGAATTTCATAGCATAATATAAATAATTATACGAAATGTTTGCTATGTTTTTTGTATGGACGCCTGCGTCTCTGACGGCGCTCTCGTCGCGCGCCACATTTCGGCCCCGTCAACGTTTGCTTATGACCTCGGTATATTATTTCAAAAAATCGATTTGTTTTCGTTCCAGGCGAACTGTCCGCAGCACATCATGGGTAAGAAGAAGACGTCAATCGATAAGAAGTCGGTCGGATTCACAGATCCGGCGCCGAGCCCAACGTAATTTTTTTTTTGAAAGATTAAAAATAGATTTTTTAAATTGTGATGCCTTTTTAGGGAGAAGCCGTCTTCTGGCCTCAAACCGTCGCCGTCGATGAACACGCTGAATCGAATGGAGCGCGACACGATTGTTTTATGGAAAAAGCCGTTCACAACAATTTACTATGCGATTATGGAGATTGCCAATATAATTATTGAATATTTTTACAAGTATGCTCAAATTCGAAGTTGTTCGACAAAAAGAAAAAGAATATTTCAATTTTCTAGGCTTCTAAACCACAAAATTCTATTGTTAGTGGCACTTGTGAATATTGGATTAGCAATTTACGGGTATTACGCGCCGGGTCCACATCAGGTTCATGTGCAAAAAATCGAGAAACACATTTTATGGTGGACATGGTAATTTTTGGAATTCGCCAATTTATTTCAAGACCCAACTTTCATCAGGTGGGTGTTCCTTGGAGTTTTATCATCGATTGGCCTCGGTTCGGGTCTTCACACGTTTTTGATTTATTTGGGACCACATATTGCGGCGGTCACACTCGCTGCTTATGAATGCGGAAGTTTGGACTTCCCGGAACCGCCCTATCCGGAAAGGTTGGCGTTTTTTTTTTGTAAAATAAAAATGTTGATTTGGAAGGTGCGCTTGCTCATATTAGGACCGCGTCGCCGGCCGCAACGCGCCCAATGACATATTTCCATTTTGCAGCATCGCATGTCCGGACACGAAATCGAAATCGGCCATCACGATATGGCAAATCATGGCGAAGGTGCGCGTCGAGTCGCTCCTCTGGGGAGCCGGAACAGCGCTCGGCGAGCTTCCGCCGTATTATATGGCGCGTACCGCTCGACTCGGCGGACAGCAACCCGACGATGAGGAGTATCGAGAGTTTCTGGCGCTAATGAACGCCGAAAAAGCGGGAAACACGGATGAACTGGTAGAATAGGCATTTTTACATTGAGACACCAAAAAAAAAATAGGAGCACCTTGAAAAATGTGTTATTCTAGTCATGGACGGATCGCGGCAAACAATGGGTGGAGAAGTTCATCTCGCGCGTCGGCTTCCCGGGAATTTTGATATTCGCCTCGATTCCGAATCCGCTTTTCGATTTGGCCGGCATCACGTGCGGACACTTTTTGGTGCCGTTCTGGTCGTTTTTCGGCGCCACACTCATCGGAAAAGCGATTGTCAAAATGCATGTTCAGGTCGGCGACAATTTCCGTTCGATTTGTTTTTTTTTTGTTTTGTGATGGTTTCCCATCGCTTAATTTCCGGACCCTCATTATCGCCTCTTTTGATTTCGATTTCTCTTTTGCAGATGCTATTCGTGATAATCGCGTTCAGCGAGCATCACGCGGAGAATGTTGTCGATCTACTCGGAAAGGTATCGCGGGTCCTTCGGACGATCAAACCGCATCGTTTTGCAGGTGCCAGCGCTCGGTCCGCACATTCGACAGCCGATTCGCGATCTGCTCGACAAACAACGCAACTCATTGCATCGGACGCCCGGCGAGCACGTCGAGACGAGCTCATCGATGCTCGCCACCGTGCTGTCGGCGATAGTGAGCCTCATGATTCTTGGATTCCTGTTGTCGATCATCAACTCGCTGGCGCAATCCTACCACAAACGTCTGTGGGATCGCACTCGGAAGCAGCAAAAGGTGGCTTAGGTATTTTCTGGTGCAACAATGTGTGCTTGTGTGTCCGGGTCCCATGAATTAAAACGAAAACGATATTTGACATTTCAAACGAACGCTTCTTTCTGGTATGAATTTTAGATTTGATTGCAGATTTTGGCGAATAGTGAACCGACTGCTGATAGTGCTCTGCTCGATGGCGAACAATTGGAGAGTGTGGATGTTAGAAAATCGTAGAAATTAATGCATGCATGCATATTCTTCCACCCAACCCGCAACTAGTCAATTTGCTAATCTATTAAAATTGCGCGCAAGAAGAAAAAAAAGCGAGCACCCTAGAATTTCAAATTTCGTTTTTTTAGCTGTTCAAATCCTAATTTGAATTACCGCGCTGAAACAGGGTTCTCGGTTTTTTTGGGTGTTTAATTCAACAACTTTTCTTTTTCTTTTACCCAGCTAACGAGCACGAGCACACGGCAGAGGTTCACTAACGTCTACTTCTTTGTTATCATTATTATTATTATTATTATTTTAATTTTTATTATATTATTTTATTTTTCCTTTTCCCCCACCCGATTTCACTTGTCAATTGTGATCCGTTGTTGTGTCTTTTTCTTATTGTTTTTTTTTCTCGCTGCGAAATAAAGACGACTCGTTTTTCAATGGTCCCATCACTCATTATGGATTACCGTAATCCCTTCTTTTTGTGATGCGCTCAAACTTTGGGGGCGGAGCCTTTGTTGGTGATGGAGGAGGAGGAGGAGCTGGAGGATTTTTAGTGGTCCGTTTTCATTTTATTCATTCTTTTTCGCTGCGTGCGAAAATGTCGTCTGATGAGATTCTTGAGAAGCTTATTGCGAAAGGTTTGTTGAAAATATTTTGTATGTGCGATAAAAGCAAGAAAAAAGAAACGAATTCTAGAAATTCTGCCGCAATCGCCGAATTGGGAGGGCACCGAAGCGTTCCTGAACCAGATCGTCCAGGTAGGAACGAGACGATGGTCCAGCTCATTGCGAGCCTCAACCGAACATTCCAGGTGCTGCTCAAGTACATCAAAGAGCAGAACGATCGAAGCTCGAAAATTTTGGAGTTTCACCATCCCGACAAAATGCAGCAATTGATTGATTTGTCGATACCCGAGAAGCCGGAGAACCTGCTGCAGCTCGTCAAGGTCGGTCTTCCATATATGAAGCACTCGAAAATCGCCGGAGGGCTTGTTTAATGGGTCCCCCATCATTTGCGTCGCATTTTTTTTTCATTTTGAGAGCACCAAAAAAGAAGGGATGAAATGAAATGAATGAAAAGGCGGTTTTGATTTGAATGGCCCACTGCTTGCTGAGTGCTCTCATTACAGTAGGAATTATTGGTGGTGCTTGAGATGGTCCCATTCAATTGCGCAAATATTGAGCGCCTGAATGGAAATTTCTATTTTCGGAGGTGTTTATGAGAATTTAAAATTTAGGATTCCGAGTAAACGATTAGAATCGGAAATTGCGATTCACAAAACTCAAATTTTATCCTTAAAAAATGTGAAAACTCTTGAAATTTTTCATTAAAATTTGATCTAACTAATAGAAAATAATGTCATTTTTTAAAGGAAATTTTTAAAATTAATAAATTTTTTACATTCAATTTGAAACAAAAAAAAACTTCATGTAGATCAAAAAATCCAATTGTTCATGTTTTTTGTTGTTACGTCATTCTCGAAAAAACGATACCATTATCTTTGCGATCGCCTTAAGACCCTCCGCTGCGCCTTTAAGTCTTGCCATTTATTATTTTTTTCCATGTGATGTCATGCGCCGATTGCATAATCTTACTTAAGTCTCGTATGTCTCATCGGCCCATGATAGTTCCAAAAATTTTTTTTGAGTCCCGCGACGATCTTCGATTGCGTCATTTCTCCAAATGTGCCTTTAAAACAAATAATTTAACATACAATTTGTAGAGCTGCGAGCATGTGCTCAAACTCGGCGTCAAAACCGGTCATCCGCGTTTCTTTAATCAGATCTCGTGCGGTTTGGATTTGGTCTCGATGGCCGGCGAATGGCTCACGGCCACGGCCAATACCAACATGTAATCAAATACCGGAATGGAATGATGATTGTGAGACGGTGTTCAGGTTCACCTATGAGATCGCGCCAGTCTTCATTCTCATGGAGAAGGCGGTAATGGCGAGAATGTGGGAGGCGATCGGATGGGATACGGAAAAAGCTGATGGAATATTCGCACCCGGTGGCGCCATCGCCAATTTGTACGCCATGAATGCCGCCAGACACCATATGTTCCCGAGAAGCAAACATCTTGGAATGAAGGATATCCCAACACTTTGCTGCTTCACTAGCGAGGATGTAAGCTGTGAAGAAATTCACCTCCAATTGTATTGCTCATTATTCAGAGTCACTATTCCATCAAAAGTGCCGCTACTGTCATCGGCATTGGTGCTGATTATTGCTTCAACATTCCGACGGATGCCAACGGCAAAATGATTCCGGAGGCGCTTGAGAGGAAAGTGATCGAATGCAAGAAGGAGGGCCTCACGCCGCTTTTCGTTTGCTGCACTGCCGGCTCAACGGTGTACGGTGCGTTCGATCCATTGGAGACCGTCGCCGACATTTGCGAGCGACACAAAATATGGTTCCACGTCGACGCCGCTTGGGGTGGCGGTTTGCTATTGTCGCCGGAGCATCGCTACAAACTCGCCGGCATCGAGCGCGCCAATTCGATCACGTGGAATCCGCACAAACTCATGGGAGCACTTCTCCAATGCTCGGCGTGTCTTTTTCGACAAGACGGATTGTTGTTCCAGTGCAATCAAATGTCAGCGGATTATCTGTTTCAGCAGGACAAGCCGTATGATGTCAGCTTTGATACTGGCGACAAGGCGATTCAGTGTGGAAGACACAATGACGTTTTTAAGTTGTGGCTTATGTGGAAGAGCAAGGCAAGTGTTGCTTGAACTGGAAACGTTATTAGAATGCGCTGCTTAGACTACCAACTACAGAAGAATGCGCTGCTTAGACTACCAACTACAGAAGAATGCGCTGCTTAGACTATAAACTACAAAAGAATGCGCTGGTTAAACTAGAAATATTTAAAGAATGCGCTGCTTAGACTATAAACTACAAAATAATGCGCTGCTTAGACTATAAACTACAAAATAATGCGCTGGTTAAACTAGAAATATTTCAAGAATGCGCTGCTTAGGCTACAAACTATAGAAGAATGCGCTGCTTGAACTCGAATTTTTCAAGAATGCGCTGCTTAAACTACAAATTACAAATGATTGCGCCTTTAAACTACACATAATATGCGCTGCAAATGCCAAAAAGCGTAGGAGAAAACTTCTCACCTGTTTAATGAATTTAGAATGTGACGCATTACTATTAAATTTCGTTCAGAATAATAAATGAAAAGACGAAAAAAGCATTGCAGGGAATGGACGGCTACCGTCATCAGATTAACAACTTAATGGATCTCTCGCATTATTTCACGCAGCGAATCAAACAAACCGACGGCTTCGAGTTGATCATCGAGAAGCCGGAATTTTTGAACATTTGCTTCTGGTACGTACCGACGAAAATCCGCCATCTCGAGCCGGCCGAGAAGAAGGCGCGCTTGGAAAAAATCGCGCCGAAAATCAAGGCGGGCATGATGGCACGCGGGACGACGATGGTCGCCTATCAGCCGGACAAACAGCGGCCAAACTTCTTCCGGATGATCATCTCGAATCAGGCGATCACCCGCGCCGACCTCGACTTTCTCATCGATGAAATCGTTGCCATCGGCGAATCATTGTAATTGCGTCATCGTTATGCTTTTTTTTTTGCAGCTGCCCTTTTTGTTGTAATTCCCGCCGCTCTATCCGCCCATATTCTCTCGCTTTAATTGCTTGTCTGCTCCGCCTAAATTACTCTTAGTTGTTAGATATTCATTCGGCTTCTTCTTCTTCTCCTTGCTTCTTGCTAGTCGCTCTCTTTTTTTTTTTGCTGAAAACAATTGCCGAACACAATTTTGTGCAATAATAATAATAAAGGAATAAATCGTAGCATTTAGCTAATCCGCCGTTGACATCATTATTCAGCTGCTTGAGCATATATGTTGAGCCACCGCAATAATCATTTACAGCAACGAGGAACTCTCAATGCGTTCATTAGTCGTGGCGCTGATTGTGGTGTTCGCCGTCGCTGAATCGTCGATCGTCCGTCCCGCGTACTATGTGAGAATCGCGCGTGCCGATGATCCGGAGCACACATTCAATATGCTTGGACCTGCGCAATTCTATGATTATGATGTCGGCGGTGGAAGTCATCGCGAGACGCCGTCCGATCGCGAATCGTTCAAGTTCATGGAGGCGCCGGTATGAATCGAGGCGAGACATTTCCGAGTTTTCATTCGCTTCCGCCCAAATGGACAATCGCTGGAAAGAATCTCGGAAATGTCCCCCCCTTCAATGTTTTTCTTTTCTTTTTTTTCCATGATTGTTGTTGCAAAAAAAATTTGCCCGGATTATTGCAGGTGGCGCTGAGCAATCCGGTGTGGAACATGTTCTCGAAAATGACAGATTTCTATCGATGGGTGCGCAGGGATTAAATATTTGGGGTATTCTTTTCGAAAAAAAATAATCATAAATGAATTGCAACTTGTTTATAAATTACTAATTGGGGAAAAATAAATAAAAATAATTTTTCGACAAAAAAAATTAGGAAGGGTTTAACCGCGACATTCTCCGTTCGGACATCCACCGCCTCCCCCGTATCCGCCGCCTGGTCCGTATCCGCCGCCGCCGTAACCGCCGCCGCCATATCCGCCTCCTGGTCCGTAGCCGTCACCACCGTATCCGCCACCGCCGTAGCCTCCTCCGTATCCGCCGTAACCGCCGCCGCCAGGTCCACCAAATCCACCGCCGTAGCCGCCGTCACCGCCGCCGTATCCTCCGCCATTTCCGCCATAGCCGCCGTAGTCGCCGCCGCCAAATCCGCCCATTCCGTAACCGCCCGGTCCGCCGCCCATTCCGCCGTATCCGCCGCCACCATAGCCGCCATAACCGCCGCCATCAGGTCCACCGTAACCGCCGCCGTATCCGCCGCCACCGTAGCCACCGTCACCGCCATATCCGCCTTGACCGTAGCCGCCATTGAAGCCTCCGAATGGGCCGCCACCTCCGCCGCCGCCGTATGATCCGTATGATCCGCCAAATGATTGGAATGGATTTCGGCGGCCAACACCGCGACCTCGCATGTCTTTAGCTAACACAATAGGCTTGACATCATCCTAACAATTAAATAATTAATGGGCAATAAATAGAAACGCTCACATTTTGAGGAGTGAGAGGGGCATCCTCTTTTGACGCAGCGTCTTCTGTGGAATGTGACGAATCAGCGGCAAACGCCACCGCTCCCAAAAGAGCAACAGCGACGAAAGATCTAATTTAAAAAAAAATGAAGAAATAGAAAAATCGGATGAATTATTGTGTGTCCCTACCTCATTTTTGATGTCTAATGAAATTCGATGATATATGCTGGAGTTGATTCGACGCCGCTCATTTATATATTGCACACCGATCCAGATTCGTTGTCAGTTTTTTGTTTCCGCGGGCGCGCACCTGTCATCATTGGCTCGGACACCGCCCCTCAAATGTTTGCTTTTTGGAACTGATCCGGTGACGACGAAAAAGGAGGCGCCAATCAGCGACTGGGCGAGTTGGTCGCATAAATCGTGGCAATTGGGGGGACAGGGGGGCGATCAGTAGAAGTTTCTCGCCGGGCATTTCCTCTCCCATCGATTCCCATGACTAGGCAAACATTTACTTCCTTTTTTGGGTAATCAAATCGTTTGTCGCCCAACCATCGGCAAGCACCACTTTTTGGGTTAATGTATATTTGCCGAGGAATGTGCCAAAACACTAGACATTGGCTCTTCATATGCGCACATCGCTCTCTTTAATTATAGGGTATTAAAATATTATGCAAATTAGACTCACCAATTCCATCTTCGATAGGCCCCCCACGCCATTACAAATTTATTGGGTCCGCGCGTGTTTGCGGTAAAACATGGACGTCGGAGGACTCCACCGTCTTCCACTTGTCGTCGTTGCCGAAAGACACCTGTCACATGCAAGATGGATGGATTACTGTTTCTTGAGTGGCTTGGCGGCAAACGGTTGAGATTTGCATACACGCCACATTTTGCCGAAATTTCTCGAAGATGCGTGCAAACACCGAATAGGTCTACAGTAATTGCTGGCATTTTAAATGACGACATTTTTTTCGATTTTTCTGATTTTTCACGTTAAAATTCAATTTTTTGAATTTTCTGTGAATTATGAAGTAGAAAAAAAAGGTAATATTGCAATCTGACCAATAAAAAGTGTATTTTACTAAAAATATTGCCGGAATGATAAATACGTGAAACATTCTTCTTTTCCATTTTCGTTTTTATTCTATTATGGCGCAAGCCATTTTCTTCATCTTCTCTCTCGCCGCACCCAAAGGTTTTTAGGCATCCTTTTCGTTTTACAAAAAGCAAAACGAAGTTTGCCATTTTTCTAATTTCATTTCAAAAGCGCGAGTAGGCGCGAACCACTTAATTTCCATATTTCGAAAACTATTTAACAATTGTGAACGTCAAGTACGCTCAAGTGCTTAAACTCAAACGACTAGAATTGTACCTTTAAATCGTCGTAAAACTCGAAAAAAAAAAACAATTTTTGTCATAAATAATCTCATTTTTGCAGCAGCGCGCGGTGGTGCCATTCGAACAATGGCGGCTCGTCAACGGCGACCTGATGGTAATTCAATTTTTCTTCGTCACTTCCAAATCTGACCGCGCTCGCTCAACGGTGGTCCATTCTCCTCCCCAATGCATATGTTAGAAGTAGGCGGTGCCTCGTACTAGTAGTAAATTTGCAACAAGAGCTCCACCACCAACCCCCCGCCACCACCACATTGTCGCGTCCCACTTGACCAAACAATTTGCCAATTAGTCGAGAACAGGCCGCCGACGGCAAAAGTTTTGCGGAATCAAGACATCATCATCATCATATTGGTTGTCGTCTTCTTTTCGCACTTGGCCTTGACTTGAAACCCGAACAGTTATTCGTGTATGCGTTACCGAACAGCGCGCGCTCTCTCTCAGTCTCTCCTTAAAAGGAATGGGACGACGACCTCTCATTAAGTAACGGGGCGCGCGCTGGAGGTTTTGTCGAATTCCTTTTTCGGATATGCCTACAGTCTGCTGGGAATTGGGCGATTTATCATCGAAAAAGCGTTTTCGCGTTGCGCCCGCGCGAAAAATTGAATATGTTGACATTCGGACCACGATGGTCTTCTTTTTCTTCTTCTTCTTCCCACCACCATGCTGTCAATTAATGCCCTATTTATTTGCCTAATATGGTGCTCACTTTCGTCTCCATTTCATTCAATTAGCTTACTTGGGGTGTTCACCCCACATTTGCGCATTTTCGAAAAAAAAATAGAATCTCCAATTTTTATTTTTTGCAGTGATGCCGACATGACGATTTGCAATTTTTATCTACTATCCCTATTATTATTATTATTACTACTACTAAATGATTGCGAGTCGTCATCGCGACTAGTGGTGCCCGAATCGGCGCCAATCGGACACGTGATCGGCTACGTTGCCGGAAAACCCGAACAATCGCAAATTCCGAGATATTTTGTCGTGTTTCCCGACGAGCAGACATCAAAGGTGAGGTGATTTGAGCAATTTTTCGGGGGGGGGGGTCACAAAAAAAAACTAGATTTTAGTGTGAAATTATTTTCAGGTAGCCCATTTATTCCCCACGGGAATTTTGCGACTCGCCGCTTTTTTTTTATTGTTTCCCCCCCACAAAAAAAAATGAAGAAAAATGCGGAATTTTCAATGAGAAATATGGCGGAATTTTAAATTCTTTCTTTTTTTTTTGCGCACCCATTTATTTCTTGCCTTTTTTTTTCGTTGTGAATGATTAATTGAACATGAAATTGGTGTGAGAAAAGATATTCGAATGGCCTTGAATACGAAGAAGAAGGCATCAACGTGTTTTTGGGTAAATGCATAATTGAACACATCGTCCGATGTCCCAAGGTTGGGACAAAAGAAATCCAACATGATGGCCGCCGCCGCCCGTGAATATCCATTAAACCGGGCCCCAACGTCTCAAATGGCACAAAATTCCGACGATGATGAGTTTCAATCGATTCATTTTATTGTCTCGATGACCTTATTTGGTGGAAATTCATTGGCTTGTTGACAAGCCACCGAAAAAAATTTGCAATTAATGAATGGTTGAATGATTAGCTGTCGCCTGTAACATATATACAGCATAATTTGCATAGTTGAGCGACCTCACATCTGCTACTCCCACACACACACACGCGCGTGCACAATCATATGTTTGCTAGGTGACAGCCTAATAAGGGAGAAGGGGGGGGGGCTCGACGAGCAGCACCAGCTAGCTCAAATTGACTTTTGCTTCTTCTTCTTCTTCTCCTGATTGCACTACATAGTACTCGGAAATTGGGGGCATTCGACATGACGACACTCTAATTTGGGCATCTACATCATTTTTGACTCGAGCAATTTGCGTTTTAATCAAGAAGAAAAATACACAATTTAAAAGTTTCGTTGGAATTGTTTTGAGCAAGTGCGCTCTATCGAGAATTGAGCGCCAATTCGCCGATTTGAATTTTGAATTTTTGCAGTTCATCAAAGTCGACGAGCGAAGCGGCGAAATCACGACAATTGCGCATCTCGACTATGAGAAGCGCGCGAAATTTGAGATTGTGGCGGTGAAAGTTGACAATGATGGCGAAACTATTGATGTGAGCATCGAAGTTGAAGATGAGAATGATAATTCGCCGAGTTTTGCTCACGAGAATATCAAGGTAGGATTCTGAAACACATCTCGATGGTCCCTAGAAGTACCCCATTGTCGTTGCAGCTCAACATCTCCGAGTTTGCGCAACTCGGCTCCGCGTTTCCGCTTCCCGTTGTCACCGATGGCGACGGTCCGAACTACGATGTCCATCGATTTGCGATTCTCCACGGCAATGTCAACAATGTGTTCAAAGTGGTGTCGCGACGCGTCAATGATCAACTACAAGCGGACCTCGTCGTCAACGGGCAACTCGACCGCGAGTTTCGCGACAAATATGAGTTGGTGGTTGAAGCCGAAGACGGCGGACGACCGCCGCGCGTCGGCCAGTGTCGAGTGCAAATCGAGATTCTCGACGCCAACGACAACGCGCCGATTTTCGAGAAGTCGCGCTATTCGACGACGATCGCGGCGAACACGTCGATCGGCACGACGATCGTTGTGGTTCGCGCGAGCGACGCCGACATTGGCGACAACTCGCGCATTCGATACGAGATTCGAAAGACGGCGTCTCCATCGAACGGCTTCTTCGAGATATCGCCGGAGACGGGTGTCGTTCGAAGCGTCGGCCACCTATTGCCGGCCAGTATGCACGACGTGATTGTTGTCGCCACCGATCACGGAACACCGGCGTTGAGCTCGTCGGCGATTGTCAGCGTCAGTGTGCTCGGCGCCACGCTGTCGGCGCCGCCGATCGACGTCATCTGGTTGGTCGAGTCGAGTTTGATGGAGAACGCGACGATCGGTAGTATTGTGGCGCGCGCGAGCATCGCCGACGAGTACCGCGACACGCGTTTGAAGCTCATCGGATGTCCGGTGATATGTCCGCAGCAGACCGACAAATCGCATGTCTACCTATTGCTTCTTTGCGGGATTCTCGATCGCGAGACGACCGACGAATATCATATGAAATTTGTGTTGGAGAAGGATGGGCACGTTATTATCGAGCATCCGATGCTACTCACCATCGGTATCATTTCGTTTCGATTGTTTTTTTTTTTTGAATTCGGAATCGGTTGCAGGCGACGTGAATGACAATGCTCCTCAATGGCACAATCGTCAAATCCACATATCGCTGAATCGGACGCAAGGCGGCGCTCGAACGCTGACGGCCAAAGATCCGGACCTCGGCCAGAATGGATGGGTACGCTATTCGGTGTTGGACACGGATCTCGTTGCGATCGACAAAGAGACTGGAAGAGTCTACGTCCCGAAAGCGGTAATGAGATTAGAGAAGAAATTGAAATTGGTCACAATTGAATTCAGATCGATTGCGATGTGGGTCCTGAGATCAAATTTCGGATACGCGCGGAAGACGGCGGCAATCCGCCGTTGTTTAGCGATCTTCAGGTACATTAAATGATGATGCCCCAAAAATGGTGTTGTGTTAGGTTTTTGCGGATCTCGTCGATGCTGAAAGCCAACCGCCGCAATTTGTGAAGCCGCTTTGGCGTGTCGAGATTCCCGAGGACACTCCAATCGGCACTTGTATTGTCAAGGTGCGTTTATTTTGATCAATGAGAAAAACAAAAGAAATAAAAGTACGGGGTTAATTATGCGCTCTTCTTTTTCGCCGAACCGGCTCGTCGTGGTCCGGCGCTGGGCGCACGCGATTCCGGACGCGAGCCGGAACGAGAACGCGCGCGTGTTGTCGTCGTCGTCGCCGACGACGACTCGCTGCGCTTTTTGGGCTTCGCCGTTGGCGGCCGAGCGGCGGCCTCGTCGAAAAGGTCCAACATTGCGGCGCCTTTGCTTTTTTTCGGCTTCTCCGCCGTTTTGGGTCGGCCGATTTTCTGGAATTGTTTGGATTGGCCCGCGTCCGAAATGTCGTTGGTCCGTTACCTCGTCGACAGTGGTGCTCAGCGATTTCTTTTTGGCGGCCGCGTCGATTCTCATCACGTTCATCTCTTCGGTCTGTTTGACGTAGGTGTTCTCCTCGTTCTCATTGTCGAATAGGCTCATGCCCATTAGATCGTTTTCTGGAAAAAATTCAAGTTTTGCGAATGTTCGACAGAAAAATTTCATTTTTCTGCCATGACGTTGGTTTTGTTTTGTTTTTACTTTCGGCTTTCCTTAATTGCATCAAATGCACGCGATTTGAGCACTTTTCATCGTGTAAAAGCATTATTGATTAATTTTTCAAATTGGATTTCTCTTTCTTTTTTTCTAGACATGAGTCATTCATTATATAATCAAATTTGTCAAGTTCTCAATTTTCATCGAAAACAAATTTATTGGGCAAATTTGCCACAAAAAAACGAATAATTTGAAGAATTTGAGCCAAAATCATCGCTGAGCTCAATAGGTCCTGAATCGGGCGGTGGAGAGTGTTTGAATTGCCGTCACCACCACCAATGGCAACAAAACTGGCGATTGTAAATGTCCGCAGATGTTTATAATGAAATTGCTCTTGTTGAAATGCAAAAGGAAGAAAAAACGGGTAGGACCTCCCATTTTGAAAACCAAGGTGTTTTTTTTACAAAGAAAATGACAATAAACGCACAAACCTCCCAAATCGAGAGTTTTCGTCGACGACATGATCGACGCCATGAATTCCATTTCGTTGCCCTCGCGGAATTGCTCGGTCGCCGTTCCGCCGCCGCCGTGAATCTGAACGAGTCGAATGCGCGCGATAATCGGCGGCACGCGAGCAAAACGGAAACTATGACAACCGCGCCCGCCAATATATTTTTATTACACGTCTATTCAAAAAAAAAAAAGAAAAAGAAAGAAATTCGATCTATCATGCGCCACTAATTCCAATTATTCACGCATTTCGTTTGGTTTTTGAGGGAAATTTTTGGCGACAGTTGTCGATTTACGGTCTCCGATTTTGCGCGTTGAGACCCAACTCACTCTCAATGATTCGGCGTTTTTGTAGACATTCGTTCCCAGTGTTGTCGAGCGTTTTGCGACGTTTAAAGTGTCGGGCTGAAATTTCATTTTTCTGTCTCTCCCATTTTGTCTATATCTCTTCGTACCATATCCTCGAACTCCTTATATTCATAATACGTTGGGAATGTTGATTGTTCGGAGACGAGGCCGTTGTCGAAGTACTAAAAAAAAAGAAAGAAGTGGTTAGTGAAAGGATCGTTGTGTGGGGGGGCCTCACGCGCGTCGTTCCAACCGGCTCGCCGTCTTTCGGCAATTGAACCGGCTCGCCGTCGATGAACAAATAGAAGTTGCCGGTCTTCGATTGGCGCTTCTCGCGTAGAAGCATCGAGATTTTCACGCGCGTCTCTTGAAACCAACACAAAAGCGCACATCGCAACATGTGCCAATTGTGTGGGCTCAGACTGCGGTAGAGTGAGAATGTCTGCAAAACGTCGAGTGAGTTTGACACCTTTTTTTTTAAATCAACCCCATGTAATTGAAATTGTGCTCTTTCATAGAATGTTGGTTGAAAAAAAAAACTAAGAGTTGTTTCCATACGAGACCCCCGATGTGGAAATTCAAATAGCGGGAAATGGTCCCAAAATTGAAGAGCCCTGTTTTTACAAGTAGTCGAGCGACAAATTCAATTTTTGGTGGAAATTATTTCTTTAAACGTGCTGCTGTAGACGCGGTTCGAGGCCGAAAATCTGAGTTTTTAACATTTTTTTATGGAACGAAAAATCGTAAAGTCGGAGATGTTGTCAATTTCCGCGCGAGCACAAATTGCTAGTTTCACACGAGTTGGCGTGAATGCGAAAATCGCGGAAATGTCAAATACGGATTACGGTAGGGTGGCATTTGTAGGGGGGGGGGGGGGGTTGAATCATCGTATGGGTGTGTATGGGTGTGCGTACCATTGTGAACGCGTGCTCGACGGCGTCGCGGACCTCGACATCGCCGGCGACGATATCCTGCATTCCTTGCAAATGATTGACGGTGACAGTCATCAGCTGGAATTTGTGGAAATCGAGAGCAGATGCAATTTGTTTTCTGGTGTCTACCATCTCCTGCTCACACAAACTCTCTCTCTCTCTCCTCACCTGTTCGGCCATCGTGATTTGCTGAAACGCGAATTTCGTCGACATGGTGATCAAATCGAACAATTTGTCCATGCTGTTCTCATTGAGCCGCATAATGCTGACGTGCGCCAATTTCTCGTAGAGCATTTTCAAGCTTTTTCGCGACGGGAGTCCTTTGGCGCGAAACACTTCTTCGAGAGTTGGCCGCGCGAGAATCGCGAGCACGATCTCCTTGAGCACTTTGGTTGTCTTCTCGCGATTCTCGAGATTCTGATTTGTCGATTGAATGATGAAGAGGTGCTGATTGGCGCTTACCTCCTTCTGGATTCTCAAACGCTGTTCGAGAATGTACATCATCTCGCCGGTCATATTCAAATAGAGGCATGGAAGCGCGTGCTCTGTCATCGTTCTAGGAACACGCGATAATTGAAAACAACGATAATGAAAAAGAAAAACTAATAATAATAATAATAATAATAATGATCGTAAAACGAAAGAGAGAAAGGAGGCTTGACCACGAGCAAATGAAACACAAGCGGAACCTCGAGAGCGCTAGAAAGAGAGAGAGCGAGCTGGACGAGGTGGAGTGTTGTCACGGGCAACACGAACCGGCCCGCCCCCTTGAGAAACACACCAACATTGGAATTCGATTATAAATGTTTTGGGCGCCAGCGAGCACATAATTGGAATTTTGTCGATTCTCATTTTTCAGGTGGCGGCGACGAATCGCGAATGCGGCTACTCGAAACGCATTCGATTTGGCATATCGCCGCCGGCGGATCAGGTTGGATGCGATGCGCGAAATCGCAATCGTAATGCTTCTCACTTTTGCAGTTTCTCTCGATCGACTCGATATCGGGAACCGTGTGCATTTCGAAACAATTTGATTATGAGACGACGAAATCGTTCCAGGCGACCGTGACCGCGACGAATTCGAGTTGGGACCATTTCAATAAGCAACTTCATGTTTAGCTTTTAATTTTTGTAGATGCCGAATCATCGACGTCGCTCATTGCGATCAAACTCACTGATGTCAATGATAACTGGCCCGTCTTCTATCCGAACGAGTATCAGCTAACGGTGCGCGAAGGCGCGATGCCGACCGAGGCGCTTCTTGTCGTGTCGGCGACGGATGATGACGATGGGCTTCTTGGCGACGTCGCTTATCAGATTGTCAGCGAGAGTCGAAGTTTCGCGATCGACTCGAAAAGCGGCGAGATATTTGCAAAGAGGGATCTGACGAAGGGAAGGTATCATCTGGTGGTGTCGGCGAAAGACGGGCAAGGATTGGCGGCCGAGTATCCGGCGAATGTGCACATCACGGTTGTTGGGCCGGAAGCGAGAACGCCGGAATTTAGTCGAACGAAATATGTGATCCGAACGACGGAGGACATCCTTCCCGGAATTGCCATCGGATCGGTGGCAGCGGTTTCGGAAGGCCGCATTCGGTACAGCATCTATTCGGGCGATCCGCAGCATCAGTTCTCGATTGATGAGGAGAGCGGCAAGATTTTTGTGACGAGAGATTTGGATGCGGACGCGCAAGACTCGATCCTTCTCAACGTCCAGGCGACCATCGACGGCGGATTCTCGAATCAGACGCAAGTGTTGGTTGTCATCGACGATCACAACGATAATCCGCCGGTGTTCGCCAACTCGATGATTGAGATTACTGTAGGAGAGGATACGGTGGTCGACGAGCCGTTTTATGTTGTTCAAGCGAGCGACAAGGATAAGAAGAATGTGAGTTTCGACAATCGTTTGAATCAATTTGTTGTTGATTCCTTTTTTGCAGAATGGCAGAATCACCTATTCAATTATTTCGACGCATCCGACGAGCGCGATCGCGATCGATTCGATCAGCGGACAAATCACGACGAGGAAGCCGTTCGACTATGAATCGGTTCGGGATTTTCGCGTGCGAATCAGGGCTCAGGATGGCGGCATTCCGCCGAAATCGTCAAATATGACGCTGTTCGTTCACATTGCTGACGTCAATGACAATTCGCCGGCATTTGATCGCAAAACGTATCGAATGGAGATTGTGGAGAATTCGCCGCCGAAAAGTTTGGTTGGCCGAGTGATTGCTAGCGATTTGGACAGCCACGAGAACGGCCACGTGGTTTATCGGATCACAAACGGATCGGAGGTTGGATTCTCATCGGGTCTTCTTCCCCAATTAATCGCTCTTGCAGTATTTTGGAATTGACGAGAAGCTCGGAACGATCTACACGAAACGATCGTTGGATCGCGAGGTGATCTCGCATGTCGACATCACTGTGAGCGCCCACGATCGCGGATCACCGCCGAGATCGTCGAGTGTCGACGTTCGCGTTGACGTGTTGGATGTCAACGACAATCCGCCGTCGTGTCAATCGATCACGCCGATCGTTGTGCCCGAGAACGCGCCGCCATCGCTGGCGATCGGCACGATTGTGGCGAGCGATCCCGACAAGGGCCAAAACGGAAGTGTGCTCTATCGCGCCCAACTTCAGCACTCATTATTTGTCGTCAAGGCGAATGGTGGGCTTCGCGTCGTGTTCATCTTCGAATAATGCTAATCTCGTTTCAGGCGATGTCTACCTTCGACGACAGCTGAATGCCTCCGATGAGCAACTACAACGATTGTCGGTGATCGTATCCGATCAGGGGACGCCGAAGAAGAGCACCGTGTGCCATGTTGGTGTGAGAGTCGCGAAAGGCGCCTCGAACATTCGACTTTACGAACCGATTCCGCGAATGGTGGCGATACCGTCGGAATGCGTCGCCGGTTGCCGCCTCGCGTTCATCAATGCGACCGGCGTTGCGACGTGGCAAATTCAGAGCTCGGAGATTTCGAATCATTTCAGCCTACGCGACGGCGTGGTGGCGATGATGTCGTTGCCGGCGCATCGGCCGCCGTACTCGTTGGTTGTGGTGTTGTCCGATTCGCAGGGACGGCAAAAGTCGTTGCATTTGAGAATCACGTCGGATTCGAGCGCCGCGCGTGACGAGGTCTTCAGAATCGCCGAGACGACGTCGATTGGCTCGAAGATTGGCCGCCTCGGCGAGCGATTGTTGGACGCGTTCTATCGACGCGTCGATGAATGTCCGCTGGAGCTCGACGAGACGTCGGGAGCGTTGTACTTGGCCGATGGGATTCGCAGCAGTCGACGAGCCGACAACTACTCGTGCACATTCGAGAAGTACAACACGACCGACGGCAGTGTCGAGGAGATGCGCGTCGATTTGGAAGTGGCGCGAGCGCGCAACGATAAACCCGCGTTTGACGATGAACAAGTGACGTTGAGCATCGGCGAGGACACGCTTCCGGGATCGATCATCTTCACGGCGAATGCGACGAGTGTCGAGGACGGTCCGATCAGCTATCGATTCGCGGGAGCGGTCGAGAATTTTGCGATCGATCAATTCACTGGCGACGTCTCACTCGTCGATGCGCTTGATTATCGCAAGAAGGCGCAATATCATATTGTCATCGAGGCATTCACGACGAGTCGGCCCACTTCGATGCTGCTTACTCTCAACGTCGAAGAATCATTGGGTGTGCGAGTGCCGAGAATCATCAGCCCTCCTTTGATATTGATCTCAGCGGAAGTCCGAAAAGGGGCGATTGTGCATCGAGTGATTGCTGATGGCGCGGCGAGCTATGAGATCAACTCGGACGATTCGGGATTTGAAATCGATTCGGCCACCGGCGAAATCAATGTTGTGAAGACGACGGAGGTGTCGTCGGAGATTGTGGTGCGCGCGCGGAACGCCGACAAATTTGACGAGCAGATTGTCGCGATTCGAACGATCAACGACACGTCGGCGAATCATTGGCACTTCTTCGAGCAGCAACAATTAAAGGTTGAGATGAAGGCGTCGCCGGCGGCGAAGAATCAACCGATTGCCTCGTTCCTGTGGCGAGGTGCTGAATTGAGTTTGGTGCCGAAGAATGACGCGATGTTTGAACTCAAGGATGGCTATTTGATCGCGAAATCCGACAATATCCCACCGCAATCGTATCATCTGACGGTTCTTGCCGAATCCGAAGACGGCGGCGAATTCGATTGGTGTCAAGTCGAGATCAAAGTGACGTCGTCCGAGAACACGGCGAAGCTCGCGTCGGGTTCGTGCGGAGCTATGACGATTGAGGAGAATGCTGATTATCATGGTCCGATTAAACGAGTCATTGCCAGCGGAGCGACGCCGAACGCCACGTTCAGATTCCAGGGTGTCAAAGACGAGTTTACGATCGACGCGAAGACCGGCGAGATATTCGCGAAGGCGTTGGATCGCGAGCGAGCGCAAGAGCACCTACTAGTTGTGATTTTGACGGATACGCTTGGAAATGATTCGTGCACAATTCGGGTTTCGGTAGCCGATGTGAACGACAACCGGCCGATATTCGACGACGTCCCACAACAGTTGGAGATCAATGAGACGGCTCAAGTGGGCGATGTGATCTACCGATTCTCGGCGTCCGATAAGGACATTGGGAATAATGGAAAGATCTCGTTCGAGCTTCTCGATGACCCGTCGCAATCATTGGATGTGATTCCCGAGACGGGAGCGCTCGTGTTTCGACGATCGTCGTCGAACGAGATGAAGGCGTGGAACATTCGTGTCAAGGCTTTCGATCATGGCAATCCGTCGCAATCGAGCGATCAGGTTATTCAGATTGTGAGCCGTGCGAGTCGCGCCGCCTCGCCGCCCACCTTCTTGCGTCAATCATACTTGGCGTCGGTTGATGAAGGAATGCCGCGTGGGCAGTTTGTCGCCAAATTGGAATCGTCGCTTGCCGAGGATCACGGCATCACGTACAGTATTGTTGAGGGGAACGTCGACGCGGCGTTCAACATTGATTCCGATGGGATCATTCGAACCAATTTGGAATTGGACCACGAGATTTATGAGCGCTACAATCTGAAGGTGATCGGAATCGGGAAGCAGCAAATCTCGACGAGAATCGATGTGAAAGTCAACAATCTCAACGACAACATCCCTTCATTTCCGGTGTTCCATCAGCGAAAAATGTCGGAGGCGGCGCGGATTGGGAGTTTTGTGGCGTCGATTGCCGCCAAGGATGTCGATCAGCTGGCGCCACTGCAATACTTTCTGCACGAGCCCGACGAGAAGTTCCATTTGGATCGGTTCACCGGCGTCGTTCATTTGATCGACGCGTTGGACTATGAGACGAAGAAGGAGCACGTGCTGAAGTTGCGCGTCACCGATGGCATGTTTGACACTTATTCGAATCTGACGATCAGCGTGATTGATGTGAACGACAATCCGCCGGTGTTCGGCAAACCGATGTATGAGATTCGGGTGGCGAAGCACACATTCTCGTCGAGTGTACCGGTGGCGACGATTGAGGCAATGGATCTTGACGCGACGTCGCGAATCGTCTACACGGTGAAGCCTGGTGATCTTCTAAGCATCGATGGGAATGGCACTTTGTATTTGGCAGAAGCTCGCGACGTCGTTGGAACAATCACGGCAAGTGATGGCGAGTTGACGTCGCACGCGCCGGTTGTCATCAGAATCGTCGATGATCAGAAGTTTGAGCCGATCGTGTTCACGAGGAATGTGTTCAGGTAATTTCGACGTAATTTCTCGTTTGAATATGAGTTGATTCAGATTCAAAGTTTTCGAGAATTCGCCGATCGGAATGTCGATTGGCAATTTTTCGACGGAAAATCGCGAGCGATTCTATCGGATTTTGAGTCCGCAAGCGGCGAAAACGTTTGCGATTGATCGATTCGGACGGATTTTGATTGAGGCGGATGTCGATCGCGAGACACGCGCGTTCTACGAGTTTCACGTCGAGACGAACAACGAGAAGTGTCGAGTTGAAATCGAGATTCTTGACGAGAACGACAATTCGCCGAAATTCGCGCAAGGCGTCGTGCACGTGAATCTGAAGGACGGCATGACGCACGGACAGATTATTGGATCGTAGGCGGCAATTCCGAAATGAACCATTCGCATTCTTCTTTTCAGATTGATTGCCCATGATCCGGACGCGATGGAGAACGGCCGACTCACGTATCGAATACTGACTGGCAATGATTATGGGATTGTGTCGATCCATCAGGATTCGGGCGCGATAGCGTTCAACGAATGGAACGACGCGCAACTTTTCGAGCAGCCAAATGCCACGTGGCGAATGATTGTCGAAGCCAGCGATCACGGCAATCCGAGTCTATCGTCACTTGCCACCGTCATTGTGTCGGTGAAGATGTCCGCGTGGAGCGGATCAGCTCCGTTCTTCGTGTTGCCCGCCTATGAGATTCATGTGTTGGAAGGGACGCCGATGAACACGATGGTTCAGAAGGTGCGAGCCAGCAATCGGCTCGGATTGAAGAATAGCGGATTGATGTATTCGCTGAAGGACCACAACGGGGTAGGAATTGAAGTTGAATCGAGATTGATGGCAACACATTGATTTTTGTAGAAGTTGTCGATCGACGTTCTCACCGGCGAGATTAAGCTGAAAACGCATCTCGATTGGGAATCGGAACCGATTCACTCGATGCTTCTCTCGGTGTCTGACGGCAACGGTCGATCGGCGGTGGTGCCGTTGCGATTGATCGTCGAGCCGATCGATGAATTCGCGCCGGTGTTCACGCAGCCCGCGTACACGTTCAAAGTGCCGCTGTCGACCGAGCCCGGCGAGTCGATCGGACAGATTCGCGCGATTGACGAGGACGGCGGTGTCCATGGAATCGTGCACTACTCGATTCTCGATCGACAATCGACTGTTGAGATTGAGAAGACGTCTGGAGTTGTAAGCGCATTTCCTTTAAGACTCTCATCGTCATTCTCATTTTTTTCTCTTTTCAGATCTACCTCCGAAAAAGTCTTGAGAATCGCCGAAATCTGACGATTGAGCAGTTCAACGTCGCCGCTTTCAGTGGTCCGTTGAAACAGAGCAAGGCAACGGTGCGGCTCGAGATTGGACCATTTGAATCGCATTCGAGACTTCCGAAGATTCTCGAAATGCGGACGGTTCAGTTTGGCATCGCGATTCTCGTGCTGCTTGTCGGCGTTCTCATCGTCACCATCGGTTTGTGCATGTGTCGAAGTCGTCGCGACGGGAAGGCGTCGAGAAGTGGCGGCGGCGGCGGCGGTGCAATCAAAGTGGCCAACGTGTTCTCGGGACCGCCGAAGCCGCAGAAGCAGGTCTACTCGGTGCAGACGGGCGAGATTCGCGTGCTGTCCGGCGACATCGCCGCGTCGGAATCGATGCCGTCGACGACGTCGTCGTCGGACGCGCTTCGAGGCGGCGTCGCGAGAGGCTCGTCGCGATCGCAAATCGATTCCGGCATCGATCCGGACAACATCTCGGTGAGCTCGTCGGTCACCGATTATCTCGTGTCGCTCGGCGTCAACGCGAATCCGATACCGCCCAAAATTCGGTATAGCTTGGAATTGTTGAGATTCGCCAGAAAATGGCATTTTTGAATTTCAGACAAACGTGCACCTATGATTCGCTTAAAACGGCATCGATGAATGATTACATCTACGCGAGAGTTGAGGACGTCCTTCCGCCGGGTCCGATCAGCCTCACCAATCCGCATCATCATTCGCTTCTAAGGCAGCCGCTATATGTAAGCGGCTTCTCGTCGATTCATTAGTAGCTCGATGATTTTTCAGACGTCAGCTCATCAGAAGCGTGCGCCGGTGGTGCCGTCGTTTGAGCCGCTCACAGAAATCTTCAACGAGATAATCGAGATGAAAAAGGATGAGGAGGAGCAGCAGCGGAAGCGGCGAAAAGAGTATGTGCAAGTGGAAATTTAGATTTTAATTGGATTTTGAAAAAAAAAAGAAAATTTTTGGAAACTAGTCATCGCTCAATTGTTCAGCAAAAAAAAATATATACGGTTGTGAATATTGTTTATTCTTTCATTTTTGATACTCAGGGTATTTTTTTCTCCCTTCCAAACCACTAATCTTGCCAAATTCTCATGTTTTATTCTATTTTGTGGCCATTGATTGCATTTTTGTGAATTCGAAATAAATTTTTGTTTGTTTTTTTTTTTTCTGATTCTGATCGAATCCGTTGATGCTGTTTGCTGATGCCGAAGATCTAGAAAAACCTTTTTTTTATCTTTTCGAAAATATTTTTTTTTGGAAAATTTGAATTCATAGAATAAGGCGATGGGCGGAGCTTATTCTACCGTACACATTGTAAACAAATACAGTATCCCTAGGTGGACTTTTTCTATTAAAAGGCAAAAATGATCATTCTTCATTTTTCTGTAATGAAAAATCAAATTGTGTGCAATCACGCGTCATGAACATTGCGTACTTGCATTTTAAACGACGCCAAAATGGTGTCAGAATTGTTTTTTGAGGCGCAATCCTCAATATTCGAGCGAGTTCTCGAGAAATCTCAATTGTATTGTGAAAAACAGTGAAGAAAAAAACTAGAAACAAATAATAAATATATAACAAGAATAATAGAATATCGTCACAATCTTTTGAGCATCACAAACGCATCCGGCGGCGAACATCGATGATAATAATTCTTCATTAATTTATCGATTGAATATCCTCGTTTCTCGTAGAATTCGATTGCCCGTGTGTTGCTTGTCTGGGAAGAAAAAAAACGAATGAGCAACTATTTCGAATGCACACAATAATCTGGAGTTTTTGTGAAATAAATTCTAAAATTGGTGTTTTTTTTTATTAACTATAATTTTATATCTTATACTATATAGTACTATTATAGATTTCCAAATTTCGTTTCTTCGAATCTTCTGCAGTGTCCCTTTAACAATAAAAAACCGGCAAAAATATACCTGAACATGAAGCATGACTACTTGTAATCCTTTTTCTCGGCATTTCACATCGACAAAGTTGAGCAATCGCGCTCCAATGCCTTTTTCGCGAAATAATGGATGAACTGAAAAAAATTTGAAATTTCGTAATTTCTCCTTTATTGAGAGATAGTTGAATGCAATTTTCTGGAAACCACAAAATCAGGGCGAAAAAAAAACACCGATTTCGAAAAATCGTGTTCGTTTGTTTCCAATTTTTTCTAGATATTTGAATATTATTGAAAAATAATCCGAAACAGTTGATTAAAGGCGCACAAGTGCAGTGCATTGTCCGTGTGGAGTACACAAACACGCGACTCGAGACCATTTTTTAACCAAATTGTCGCAGTAGAAAATTTCCAAAAAAAAACTGAAAGTGCTTACCTCCGAGACTCCTAACATATAAAACATCGCCATATTCGGTCTGTTCGGGTTTGACAGCGACTATCGCGATCGCGTCGCGCTTTTTGTAGATCACCCGACACAAATCATTGTTCAAACACTGCAAAAATGTCAAAAATTGGAAATCGATTTCAAATTCGCTTTGCTATTTTTTTTAATTGACAAACTTCCTGAAAAAACTTGTCGCTATACGATACGGGAAAAATGCTAGTGACTAGAGCACGCAGAGCCCAGATATTCTCCGGCGAGACGGTGAGCAGCGGCTCGTCGTCCATTTCTAATTAGATAAATTTAAAAACAAAATTGCCACACACACATTTTCGAAATTAAATATTATGATCGAAATACATTGCCGGTGGCGGGCCGGAAATTGAAAAATTCAAAAAGACGAAACCCGGAATATTTTTATCGAGCAAGATTTATACAATTAAAGCTCTTCGTGCAATTTTTTCGCGAATGATGACGTGAAGGCGGGCGGTCGGAGAGGCTCGTGGAATGCGATTTCCGTCGTCGTCGTCGTCGGCTTCTTCTTATTCTCGATGTCTTCATCGCAATCGTCGTCGTCGTCAAACTTCAACGATCTAGCTACTTGTTGTGGTTGAATTGTCATATCTACAACAAGGAAAAACTCGGTTTCCTCCAAATTTCCGCCGAAAAAAATAATTTCTTACTCATATCATGCAATACCGACTCGTCAAGCCTTGATTTGATGTTTGACATGAATTTTGGTGCTGAAAATGGTTCAATTGTTTTTTTTAGAAAATATTTCAGCCATAAAAAACCTACAGTCGATCACCCGCATTTCTTTGTATTTCTTCATTTGCAACTGCGCCGCTGTTAGTTTCACCTCGGGTTCAACGATTTCGGGCTTTGGCGGCACCAAAAACTCGAAATTATCCGCAGCGATTTTCGAATTACATTCTGAAAACCGTTGAAAATTCAAAAATGTTTCCCCCACAACGAAAAAAAAACATTAAAATACCTTCTACTGATGCGGAAATCTCAACAAACGTGTCTTCAAGAGATTTCAGCGATTGACTGAGCTCACAAGCCGCTTTTCTCGCGTTGATTTGTGATTTTAAATACATTTTCTTACGTTCCATCACTTTTTCAATGTTGGAGAGCACATTTTCCAAATATTTCGCATCTTGTTTCGCTAGCGTCTGAAAATTTACACTAATTTTTGATGAATTAAAGATAATTACCTCAAATTGGTCCATCGTCAATTTATTAAGAAGGCTTACGGGCCGACGATTTTGTACCGCGACAATTTTATTAATGAGACGCTGCAAAACCAAGTCGAACTTCTCCACATTATCATCCATATCTGGCTAAAATTTATTAAAAATAAAATTTTTGCCTGTTTTCAGAAAATAAAAAAATATCATTGGCGAATTACATGAAACGGTTTTTTTGAAAGAAAATTTTAAAAAAATCAAGCACAGAAAATTCAAATTAGCACCGATTCCGTTTACTGGAAGTGCGCAAACGCGCTCCGACGAGAATCGCTGCGCATCAGCTACCAATACATGTGATACGCAGTGAAAGGCAACAGGAAATTTTGTTTCAGAAATAGTTTGATTTTTTGTTCTTGGCCCAAAAATCCAGTTTCCGAATTTTCATTTATAGATCTTCAATTCAAAATTTTTCTATTTCTTCATATCCTTCTCAATCCTCTCTTTTTAAAAAATTTCGTTTTTCAGGTAAGCTCATCGAGGACTCTTGCCTACGAACAAAAATGGCTGACGCAGGAGGGTTAGTTTTTTGCTCTTCTTATTTTTTTTCAAAATGCATACTAAAATTAAAACGGTTTATCTAAAATTGAGGTAAACCTTGTCTAGTGTGCTAGATAAATTGTTCCTCTGCCACACGGGTGCTGGTTTTGTGCTGTATTCGTTCCAAAGATGTTCATACAATAAACGTCGACATGAAAAATTTTCAATGTTCTGCGTTTTTGGTTGAATAATGTTTAGTTTGCAGAGATGAAGTCCAAGTGGCCCCAGCTGTCGCCCAAGGACCTATGGATACCAATCAGGCTCTTCGCCTTGTTCTTCGTGCCGCCAGTCACGCTGATGGTCTCGCCAAGGGACTTCACGAGACTTGCAAGGCTTTGGACAAGTATTAAAAATTTTAAACAAAAAAAAATAATGGTTTTTTTTAGGCGCGAGGCCCACTTCTGCGTTCTTGCCGAGAACTGCGATGAGCCACAATACGTGAAGCTCGTCGAGGTCCTCTGCAATGAGCACGACATTCCATTGATCAAGGTCGCCGACAAGAAGATCATTGGAGAGTACTGTGGACTCTGCAAGTACGACAAGGAGGGAAAAGCCCGCAAAGTTGTTGGCTGCTCATCCGCCGTCGTCAAGAACTGGGGTAACGAGGAAGCCGGACGCGCGGTTCTCCAGGAGTATTTCAACTCCAGAAAATAAGCTGTTCCTTGTTTTTTGAAAAAATAAATTGTTATTTGTTTGAATTCTCGAAGTGTGTGCTTGTTACTAACAAATTTGCAAAATCAAAACAATAGGATAATATCTCACCCATCGCACCGGTCGTTCCCCAAAATTCGTCGCACGCTGACAATAGCGCGCTCGTGTGTCGACTTTCCCCCGAAACAACGTGGCAAGCGTCCTATGAAATGGATGCCGAAAAGCAAACAGACAATTTCAGTGCGATGCTTCCACGACATTTCAAAGATGATGTGGAACCGATTCATTTACTGGGTTTTAACATAGCCCATAGGTAAACTTTAGCTTATCAATCTAATGATATAAAAAAAAGAATTCAGGCCGAGATGGGTTCAATTTATTCTACTTTCGGGTGCAATTTTCATATTATATGTCGGATATGGTTATATGCAAGAACTAATGTTTAAACTGCCCGGAATGAAGCCATTCGGTTGGACATTAACATTAATCCAATTTTTGATTTATAGCGGGTGTGGATATACGGAGTGTAAATTATGGCATACAACGCAAAGAATGTGAGTGAAAGAAAAATTCAAAAATTTTAACAATTCATAGATTTCTCAAAAAATCCAAATTGAGAAGAGAAAAATGCATTATTTACGAAAAGAAAAATGTAGACATTCATCGTTTTCCAGGATTCCAATACGAGTTTACATGATAATTGCATTTTTCACTGTCGCCACAATGGGATTATCAAATGCTTCTGTTGGTTATTTGAATTATCCGACACAGGTTTGTCAAAATTCGCCATTTTTTTGCCGATCAAACGCGGTTTAGGTGATTTTCAAATGCTGTAAGCTGATTCCGGTGCTGATCGGCGGAATTCTGATTCAAGGAAAACGATACGGATGTCTCGATTTGTGCGCCGCCGCTCTCATGAGTCTCGGTGAGCATTTGAATGAAATTTGAATTTAAAAAAAAAGTCAATTTTGTGGGATAAAATTTCAAATTTGGCGCGAAAATCAAAATTTCTATTGAGAAAATTGCAGGAATCATCATGTTTACCCTCGCAGACAACAAAGTCGCCCCTAATTTCGATTCTCGCGGATATATAATGATTTCTGGCGCTCTGCTAGCCGATGCCGTCATCGGAAACATACAGGAAAAGAATATGAAGCGATATTCTGCGTCTAGCAACGAAATGGTACAAAAAAAGTGGAAAAATAAACGTAGGGCGGTACTGTAGGTGTGAATGTCCGCAGTACACCGTCACGCGAAATTGCGGAATTATTTCAAATTTTAACATTTTGTATAAATTATTTATTAAATTATATTTCAGGTGCTTTATTCGTACGGAATTGGCTCAGTGTTTATTTTAACATATGTGATTTTAAGCGGAGAGATTTTCAGCGCAATTCCGTTCTTTGTCGAGGTGAAAATCGCCAAATTCGCAAGATTTTAACGGAAAATTTTCAGAATTTCTGGAAAACCTTCGGCTATGCGTTAATCTTCTCCTTATTGGGATATTTGGGAGTCAATGTCGTTCTCACCCATATCAAAGTGTTTGGCGCATTGGTGGCGGTTACCGTAACCACACTGAGAAAAGCGTTAACCATCATCCTCTCGTTCATCGTTTTCTCGAAACCGTTCACAATCGAATACCTGTGGGCGGGGCTTGTCGTGCTGTTGGCGATCTATCTCAATCTCTACAGGTGATTTGGTTGTTTTTTTCCACACTCTGAAAATTACATTTGTAAATTTCCAGCAAAAATCGGTCGTCGTGGGACGCGAAACTTCGCGAAATGTTGGCGAATCTCGCCGGCTATCATTCGAAAGCGGTCTCGTCAACGTCTCGAAGCGACCTTCTAATGGTCTAACAAATTTCCACATTTTATGTACATTATGCGAGCATTGGAAAACAAATATAATAATCATCATAAGAAGACGAAGACGGATGCCAAAAAATAAATATGGAGAAAGAATAATGTAATGTGTAAAAATAGTACAGAAACGGGCGCTGCTTTTGAAAAACCCGATGAATGTGTGTGTGTGGAGGAAATTCTAGGCAACACACACTTAGAACGTTGAAATTGCGCAAAAGAAAAATCGAGGATTTTGAACGGATTAGATTCCATTGGCCGGCGAGCCGGGACGAGGTGTTCGAGGCATTTCGACGGCCGACGGTGCGTCGAGCGGCGTCTCGCACGGATGGATGACGATCGTCGGCGTCGACTCGTCGCCATTGTGAACCTCGTACCTAGAAACTCGACACGTTATCGGCAATTCCGTCGCCCATCGACTCACTTCTCGTCGATGGCGAACGAAGCGAGTCGCGCCATCAAATCGAAATCGCACACCACCGGCGCCATCTCTCGGGTTTGAGCCCATCCAACCGGCGGCGAGCACGGCGGTGAGATGAGGAATTGTTTTTCGAGTGGCGGTGGCTGAAGAAGTGGACTCGCGTTGCTGCTCAAGTAGACCCGCTGGAAAAAAAAGAAGATGGGAATTTTCAATATTTTTTCCACGGAGCACCAAAACAAAAAAAGACGTAGTTTCCCGCCGACATTCAGAATTTTTATAAAGTCCGCAGTACACCGTGGCGCATCATTGCGGAGAAACAAACCTGTGCAAAAAATGCCTTCAATTCATGACCCTTGAACGAGAAACCCTGTACGATGAGTTTGGCGGTGGTCGCGTTCTCGGGAGTGCTGGAAATTGAATGTGGGTTTAAAAATAGTAATAAACAAAAAAAAACCTGAAAATGACGCGAACACGATGAAAACTTTTGAGAAAATCGAAATGGATGTTCTCCTCGATTTGTGTGAACAATTCGGAGAAGTGCGCTTTGTCGTCGGGATTCGTGAACACCTCGATCGGCACCTGCGTCACAATTATCGAATTGGGCAGCTCGTCTTTGCTCGACACCGTGCTGATCAGCGAGCCGTTCGCCATCGATTTCGTCGATTTCTCGGTGTTGTCGGCCACCATTTTTTTGGGTTCTGAACCGAAACAAAAAATTGGGAACCAATTAAGGCAAAAAGAAAAATTGCGGCGATTGACTTAGAACCCATCAAATAATTTTTTTGGATTGGAACGGCCAAAATGAAAAAAATTTGAATTTTAATCAATGAAGTCCAAAAATTGCGCGACACATACACAGAAAAAGAGAGAAAAATGAGCAACGTGCACACGAATTTGCTCAGCGAGGCTTAAAAAGTGCAAAAGTCGTCTCAAATTTACGTCATCACAATCCGGTGAGGAACGCGCGGCGAACATTTTCAAGACAAATGAGCGAGCGCATATGAGGCAAATTAGAAACACAAATTCGAAATGAAATGAATAGGTGAAGGAAAAATTGGAAATCGCGCGAGCACAACTCGCAAAAATCGCCTAATTAGGCAACTACGAAAAAAAAACACCGGCGTCGACAAGAAAAACGAGCCAGCGGCGCGCGTTTTTCGTCCTTCTATTAATAGGACTTCTCAAATTTTTTTTGACCGCCGCCGCTTCTAATGAGGCATATAAGGTGACGAAAAAAAACAGATAGCGCACTCGCGTTTAAAAATAGATGCACAGAATTTGTCATCAACTCGCTTCATTGCGAAATATTCGTGTCTAAAACAATATTAAATTTTTACAAAATTGTAGGCGATAAAACCTCAAAAATTCGTCATTTTCTCTATTTCCGGTGCGATTTTCGCACAATATCCTGCAAGATATATAAATTTGAAATGGCGAGTTTATTTCGGGATATTTTATTTTAAAAAGACGCGATAAAAATGGCGAAATTTTCAACCAAATTGCGTCATTTTCCAAAAAAAATCGAAATCAAATAGCGGTGCAATTTCATGTCGCTGTGCGTGCACACTGACAATGTCCACAGTAATTACACAAAAAAGTTGGTTTTCTTTTTAGAAAATTGCAAATTTTGGATAAAAACAAAACGTTTCTCAATTTTAATTTTTTAAAAGATAAAAGAACCAATATTTAATAGCGGAAAAATTCAAGAAACCCGAAAATTGCTTATTATCGATTGCTAAAAAGAAAAAAAGTTGAAAATGAAAATGATTGAAAATTTTTGGGCATTTTTTGGGGAAGGTGGGAGTGTTTCGCATAATCCCCTCATGGGGATTTGCATCACAAAACAAACACGACACAAAAAAATAGAAAAAGAAGAAGAGAAGGCGCACTTGAAGGCAATCGGCGCATTCAAAAAAAAATTTGAATAACCGAGCATTTTTTGATGAGTTCGTCCAAGAGTTTCAGAAATCGTCGAATAAATGGAATCGGGATTTGAAAACCAGCGCGCAGCAATAACAAAAAATAGAAAACAAAAAAAACCAGTGATTTCTTTTGAGGCAAAACGGAGGCGGCGGCATTCGGCGCGAGAGAGTACGGCGAGACGAGAGGGCGGCAGACGACGAGACGCGCCCTGCTCGCTGCGTCATAACCCGATTGGCTCGAACGCACAAAACTGGAAAATTGATACAGTGACGCAAAACGGGCGGTGGGAAATTTTTTTTCGGGCAACATGAGCCTTTGATTCACGGTTACGGTAGAGCGGTATGTGCATTCACCGGTTCGTCCAAGTGCACAACGACGCATTTTCGCACGCCACATTAAATATCGGCGAGATGACGCACACACACAAGCCTCAATGACGTCTGCACCTACGCGTTTCGGTGTTTGCAGACGAGGTATTCAAAGAGCTTCTCACAAAATGCAAAAATTTGGAAATGATTTCAAAAAAATGTGGCGAAAACAAAATCTGGGAAGAAACACAATTAATTAAATTCGAGTACGGTATACGCGGTGTCATGTGCATTCACCGATTCGCAAAAACACACACAATTATCGAGGGAGGCAATTATTTATTTATTGGCATCATTTTACACGAAAAAAAGGCAATTATATTGTTTTGAGTGGCGGATTGCAAATAATCAGGCATTTGCGGTTGCAATTATATCGCTTGCACATAATTTCCAGGGAATAATCCGGTCACACCGTCCAATACTCCCTCGTACCATCCATCATCATTCTTGCGGACCACGTAAACGATGGCGTTTTCGCGCAACGTCAATTCATCCGCTTTTTCGGCTTCATAATCATACAGAACAACCGCTGAAATGCGAAAATATGCAAATTGGAAAATCGAAGTCGTGTCGCGTGTACTCCACACGGACTAGAAACAGGAATTTACCTTTTTCGATAAACTCGCCAACCGGCACCCAATCCGAATGCACATCAAACAAATTGGCCGACGAGCTCGACGTGTTCGCCGTGATGCCGAACACCCCATAGGCCGACGAGCCGCTGACAGACTCCGGAGGTGGCGGAAGATCGTCGGCGTCCTCATGCGTCGATTGAGACAGCAACGAACTTGGAGGTGGTGGCAATTCTGGAAACAAAAAACAATCTCGATATAATTTCTCAACATTGATTTCATTTTTTTGAAAACCATTTTTCGCGTCCAACGCCGTCGGCGGATTGACCATCGTTCCCCGAATCGTTCCATATTTGTCGTGTTGGAGAATCTGACCCGGCGGCACGTAGCCGCCATAGTGTTGCGACGTCAAATTGGGCGGCGGCAGCGGTAGAGTCGGCGAGTCGTCGACGCCGCCTCGCGTCGTCGGTCTCGACGCGCGAATCGTACCGTACTTCTCCGACGAGTACAAATGATGATAATCGGAGTTTGAGCCGTACTCCGATGAGCCGCCATGGCTGATCTGTCGACTCACATTGCTACCGCCGCTGCCGCTGCTGCCGCCGACGTGCGGCACACGATAATCGGACGCCGGAATCGCCGATGAAGCATATCCCGGTCGAATATGGGCTCGACCCAACTGAAATCAATCACCAATTGGCATTTTTTTTTCGGAATTCCATGTGACCCACGGTGGCTGTTCTTTCGCTGTATGTCCCGTAATCGCTAGGCGAATTATGATAGGCGCCGCTGATGCTCGATGGCGCGCGAATTTGCGTTTTCGGCGGCTCGACGGCTCGAACGCCGTGTCCGATGCCGTCCAACACCGAATAATCGATCGGCGTTCGCATATATCTTTGTTTCGGCTCGACGATAGCCGGCGCAATGATTTTCGGCTGTTTTATTAGTGACTTGTTGGTTGTGAGCGCTCCGATTTCGCGTCGAGCAAGCTTCTCCTTGTGGATGTCGACCACCTAAAAATTTCTTTCTTTCTTCTCTTTTTTTGAAATGACAAAATTGGAGTTTTTTTCCAAACTGCATTAATTTTAGAGGGTTTTTGGCGAAAAATTCAAAATTTCTACTAGAAATTTGAATTAATTGGTTTTTTTGGCCTAGAAAAAATCATTTCTCAAGTTTTCATCAATTCTTTTATAATACGAACAAAATTGGCAGTTTTTGTGAAATTTAAACGAAAAATTTATTATCTGCCGATTTTTTTGGTTAACTTTTGAAAAAAAGTCTAATTTTTAATGGTACTGTTAAGATTTTGAGATAAAAATATTAAAACCCGATTTTTCTTCAAAATGTACATTGAAACAAATCAATTTTGGTGGAATTTTCTCAAAAAATCAATGCGCCACCTGATTGACAAGACTAATTCGCGTCGACAACGCTGAAACCTTGTCGGTCTGCAATTCGAGCATATCCAGCAAATCTCGCGACATCGTGTTGATCTGATAAGCGACGCTCGCCAACGATTGCACCGCATAATTTTTCGTCTCGTACAACGCCTGCGCTTTATCCTGAAAAACACGAGCAATTCCATTAAAATTGTTGGCAAAAAAAATATAAGACAAAACCCGATGATTGAGGTAATTTTCCTCGCAATAAGCGGCAACATTCTCCAAATTCGCGTGACTCGTCTCTAATTGATTGCGGTGCTCGGGTATTCGAGAATCGATGAGCGCTTCGAGGTCCGGCATACTCATTCCACCATCGTCATGCATAATTCCTAGAGAAAATTTCATTTTTGACTTGAGCAATTCAATAAAACACGGAAATTCAATGAAAAAATTGATGAGTAATCGGCGTCGAAAAACCAGCGATGTGGGCAAGTGCGCTCCATCGAACATTTCAGATTTCTTCAAATTTTTTCATTGACGAATTTGCTCAATTTCACGCGTTTTTTGCAAATTCAAATGAAGCGAATTTCAGAAAAATGAGCGCCAACGATATTCTTGCCGGAATCGCGAACAATATTGGCGAAATGCTTGATGTAAATCAATCGAAATATGCCAATTTTCTCAAAAATTTGTTTTAGCATGAATTTGAGGCGTCCACCTCGACGCCCGAAGTCGCAATGGAAATTGATAATCCGGTAATGGCGGTTGACGACACCACAGAGATTATGGAGTTCTTCGGAGGCGGCACTTCTGAAGAAATGGCGAATTCTGATATGAGTTATCAGCAAGTTGGTGAATTTCAAACCAAAAATCGTTGGTCTTGAATGGAATTTTTTCAAGAATTTGCAAAATTCGCTGTTGACACGCGCGCGACGGCCGTGCAAAATGGCGCGCGAGATTCAAAGTCTCTCGTTCCGGAATCCCGGCAGCGAAATGTCCAAGTTCCTGCCGGACTCCGTCGACATTCTGAGTCGGACGCGCGGCCGACGGACGAATGCGACAACAAAGCCGAACTATGAGGATGGCGAAGAGGAGTTCCCAATGTACCACGAGAGGGCAGGTGAAAATGACGAATCGCTGGTGAGAGACCACCCGGCGTATCTCGAAAATTTCAGGAAAACTCGTGGTTCGCAAAAACGGCGAAACGAATCAATACGACATGTGCGATTGTTTGCGCGTTGAATGCTCCGGATGCCATTGGCCGTGCTCTTCATGCAAATGTAAGCATTTTTCGCATCTCCGAAACATCCATTAAAGGCGCATGGCGCGATTTTCAGCGAAAAAATGCGGATTCCAATGTCGTCAGAGTCGGCGTGAGGTGATCGCGAAAATTGAGGAGATGTGCACGACGTCAGACGCCAGCGCTCATCAAATCGTTCTAAATCCCTATATGGACCTCTCATTGGCATCTGATTGAAAAATAAATTATTTTTCTATCCAATATTTATTCGCAATATTTTTTTTGGTTAAATGCCAATAATTATCGCAATAGTGTTTTTCATTTAGCATCCCAAAGGCCTCCTCTCGTTTTCAGAATGGCGGCTTATGCATTGTATCGGAGCACGACACTCGGACAGGCGTTGGAGCAGACACTCACCGATATGGTCCGTAGTTTATAATTTGCTCACAACAACGAAAATTACATTTTAGGAGGAGGAGGGTCTCATTCCGAAAAATTTGTCGGCGAAAGTGCTCAATCAGTTCGATAAAAGTATGAATAAGGCGATTTCGAGGATTCCGCGAGAAAAGGTTGGTTGAAAAGGCGGAGTGGTCACAAAAAAAACGAGTTTCTATGAAAATTTCGACATTCAGATTCAATTTTGCGCCGAAAAACTCATCACATACCGCTATTGCGATAATGTTTGGACATTTATTCTCAATGATATTGGAATTAAGGACCCGCATCGCTCATTTGATCATCCGATTGATAAGTAAGTGGCTCCAAGCCTTATGGGCCGATTCATGCAATTTAAAAAATTCCACATTTTCCATCTGGGTACTGTGGTTAAATAATTTAGAATCTTCGAGACCCATGAGAAGATTTGTTGGTTTGCGTCTTTTTTTCCAGGTTACGGTATAATTTTTGATTATTTTGCTAAATTTAAAACGCAAATAAAAAATTGTCTCATGGGTCTCGCTGTTTTCTTAATTATTTAATTACAGTACCCCATTTTTTACAATTTGCTGTAGGCGTGTAGAGTTACGGGATGCACCTATCGAAATGGTCTCGTCACGCGTGAATGCAACAACTGTTTAATTTTAATATTCTCGAAATTCAAAACTAGCGGAATTTTTCCTGAAATCTAGAACAACCAGTTTGTCGGTGCGAGACCACAGCGAGAGGCGCATCCACGTAAATCTACAGCAGTCGTTGGCGGTCGACAATAGGTCGATTTGAAAAAAAATCATTCTCATCATCGCCAGGCTGAAAATAGTTGCTTGCGATGGTCGCCAGAATGTGATGTTGGCGAACACGGGCCTTGCTAGCGGCAGTCAGGCGCCGGTCAAGAGGAATGCGAATGACGACGACAGCGACTGACGGCCGACGTCGACAAACTGAAACCGAATTGCTGCAGAATCGCACACCACGCATTATTATTATCCTTAATTGTCTGATTTGTTTCTAATTATATGTATCCATGCGCGATCTCTATTTTTTATTTCAAACTTGTACTTAAATGAAAATATATTTTTTTGCACCTGACGAATAGGCAGTTTTTTTTTGCTGATGAATAAGTGAGGTTTTTGGCGTGCCTACAGTAACCAAGGCTAAAAAAGCGATTTTTTTCTCAATATAAAAAGGTCGCGATGTTTATCACATAATAAGCTTTGGCGGAGAAACAAATGGAATATAAAATAAACACAGATAAATATTATAAGATTACAGTAATATGATCACATAGTAAGGGTGTGAGAGAGAGAGAGAAGAGAAGCAGAGAAAAAAAGAGCGAACCGGTAGATCTCAAAACGAATTTTTATAAATTATAAAAAAAGGGAGCTGGTTGGAGGGTGATTTGATCACAAAATAAAATTGTTTCTAGGATTTTTGGCGCAATATTGGTATACTCGTCGCGCGGAAACTCTCCGACGTCGACATTATCGACGACGTCGACGGCGGCAAAAGGATTTCCGACGAATTCTCTGAGTTCACGTAGAATTCGCTTCGCGGACGTTGGTGTTGTTGAAGTTTTTTGCGAGCTCTGAAAAAGAAAAAAAAATGATTTTCGACACTTTTGAACTCGAAAAAATATTCTGATCTAGTCAAAAATCGCAGAAACTAATCGGAATTTCCCAAATTTGAGTAAAAATTGCAATTTTAAGGGGCTTTTTTTCGTAATAAAATATCCAATTCAAAAATTACCTTAGCGAAAGCCGCTCAGGCGTTTGAATATTGGCGGATCGGCGATTTTCTGACATGGCAAGCGGACGAGATGAAGCTGACATACGCATTGAAGATGAGGCTATTGGGAATCTGCAAAAAAACGCAATCTTCAGATTCTTCAGAAAAAAAACGACTCACCTAGTACTGGGGAAAACGATGACCTGCTGTGGCTGTAGCTGTGTCACGTCGACGGAACGCCGGTGATGCTCGTTCGGGTGGCGGTGTTGGCGATGGTCCGACTCCTCCGCCGCCCGACCGATGATGGTATCCGGCAAACGCGGCGGCCGCCGCAATTCCGCCAGCATGTCGCGGAATGAAGACTCGCGAGCTCGACGAGCCGCTTCCGGCGAGTCGCGTCGCCGCCTCTCGATCGCGTATCCCGTTGGCAGCGGCGATTCGAACCGGCGACTGTTTGATGATCGGAGCCGCTCCGATGCCGCCGCCGCCCGTGTAGGCGAACCACGAGTTGAACATCCGATAGTAGTCGCCGTTGGCGGCATTTGTTGGTGCGGCACGCTGCCGTCGTTGATGATGGTGGTGTTGGGCGGCCGAACGCGTCGCGGTTCCGAATCGAGACTCGTCATAATCGAGGGCGACGCCGGCAGCGGACGGTAGAAGCTGCTGCTGCTGCTGCTGTTGGGCGTAGGCTCGACGCAGCGATGCTGACGAGACACTGCCGCCGGCGGCGATCGGAATGTCGTGGTATCTACAAAAAACGCAGTCGTCAACCAAAAAAATGCGAATCGATGAACGAACGCTGATAATCCATAGGCCGACGGTCCCGCGGCATACATGAGATAGTCATCGTCGTACTGCTGCTGGAAGTGGGCGTGATGGCCTGCTGGAAGATATCGGTGGGCCGAGTAACGGTCGTAGAGCTCTGCGTCAGCGTACGATTCGTAACCGGCAGCGGCCTGCAATCCAAACTGATTGGCTCCGATCGGGTAGCAGGAGGAGGATGGCCAGAGGGGAGAGAAAAGAGGGATCGAGAGAGACAGAGAGGATCATGCAGGATCAACACATGCAGGAATGGAATGCGTCGTGCAAGCGTGTCGCAAATCAGAAATGCGATTGTGTGTCGATACCTAGTTCGATCAGGCGCGTCGCGACAACTCGAATAGAATCGCGAATTTCCGAAATTCGTGACAATCTCGTCGTCGTCGCCGCCGCCGCCATCATCGCGACGCGGCGTGTATGAGATCAACTGAATTCCGCAATCATCGTCGTTCGGCTAGAATTAGTGTTTCACAGAAAGAAAAATTATAGCAAATAGTTAGAGAGAGAGTGAGAAAGAGAAAAAGAGAGAGAGCGAGAATAGAGGGATTGATTACTGTAGGCGTCTTACCGTATTCAAGTACGGATCTCCATATGGATCAGCGTAGGCAGCGCGTCGAGGAGGGCTCACAGATCTGCAGAAAAAAAAAAGAGAGAGGAACGTCGTGGAATTCAAAATGATGCTGGTACCTTTGGTGTTTTGGCGCTTTTTCCGGCGACGAGTCTCTCGATTTGGCGGCGGCGAAGCCGAAAAAGCTTCGCATCGCGTCGCCGACACTTTTGCGACGCGATTTGTCGGCGCGTGTCGCCGCCGCCGTCGATTTGAGGCGCATCAGCGGCGAGCCGCCGGGCGGAAACGGATGCTCGGCGGCGGCGGCGACGGCGGTGCCGCGCAGCACACTATCCGCCGGCCGATTGATGCTCTCCATACTCTGCGATTTGCGATGAAGCAATTGTTCGCCAAGCGGCGGCACCGCGAGATTCTCGCCGTCGGGCGTCTTCGGTGATTTCGAGACACGTTGCGAGTAAGTGCGCGGTTGCGATCGACTTCGCTTCTCCGATGGCCGCGACGTTGGTGGCGCTTCAAGAAAAAACAAATAGGCATTGCCTCTCAAAATCGCCGACAAACTCACCACTATTCTGCCTCTGATGCTTGATATCCTGGAACAACTTGATGTGTTGCGGGTCCGACGCCGCGCCGAGACCCCTCTTCTCGCTGAGGCTCTTCCGACCGGGCGCTTCACGATCGAACGGGTCCGCGTCCGGCGGCACCACTTCGGAATCGTCGATTCGCGTCGCGTCCGACGCGACCGATTCGCGTTTCTTCAGCGAATTCGACGACGACGCCGCCGAGTGCGGCGACGGCAACAACGAGCCCGACGAGATGCGCGACGAGGGCGACGGCGACGGCGCGTCGACGGTGATTCGCGAGGCGTCTCGCGAAATCGCCGCCGCACCCGACGGCGGATCGCGAATCACCGTCAGTTTCACGTGCGCGCTCGTCGGACCAATCGATTTCAGCTTTCGCGTGAGCTGCTCGCTCGCTTCGGCGTTACTCATACGCTCGAGATCGATCTCCTCGATCGCCACAATCCGATCGTTCACCGCCAATCGACCGTCTTTGAACGCGGCGCCGCCGTGCATCACGTTCTTGATGAAAATGCCGCAATCGTGTCGAGACCCGTCGCTTTTCACCGACACGCGCGCCTTCAACGAGACGCCGAGACCCGCCGAGCCGGTGTCGTTCAACGGTATCACAAGATTGAAGCGTGCTGGTTGTGGCGGTTGGGGTTCGGGCTCGGGAGTCGCGACGGTGACGGCGGCACTGGAAGTTGTTTGAGCTGGAGCAGGTTCGGGCTCATGGCTCTGAGCCACTCGCGAAACCAAAAATCGCGCTTTTCCGCCAACCATTGTCTCCTGAGAATATAAAAAATTAGATATCAATGACCCCAAAAAATTACCTTGAGCTTCTCGACAATCTCCGCCTGCGTCATTGTCGCCGTCGATTGTCCGTTCAATTCGAGAAGCCGATCGCCCGACTTCAAGTGTCCCAACGCGACGCCGTTCGGCTTCACCGTCCCGATATAGAACAGCTTCTCGCCTTTGACCGTCTCGCGGCCGGTCACCGTGAATCCGAAGCCGTTCGTGCTTTTCACCAATTCCACCAACGTCGTCTGCCCAATGTACTTCGTGTTGTTCGCCTGTTGGAGCGCCGAAAATATTGGCTTCTGCAAAAAAAGGGAATCGAAACCAATTTGAGTCGCCGAAACGCGCTAAAACGCCTACGTTGAACGATTCCAGCGATCTGCCAATCGTCAGTGTGATCTCCTCGTCGACGCGTGCGGCGAGTTTCGCGATCAAATCGCGAGCGCGTAGAATCGACATCTGAAAATGCGAATGTCTGAAAGTCAAAATAAAAACGCGCTCGCGCACCTCGCCAACTGGCTTCCCATTGATCTCGACCAAATTGTCGCCGACTTGAATTCGGCCATCGCGCGCCACTCGACCACCCTCCTCAATCCGCATTATTTGCACCGCGCTCAGTTTCGACGTGCTCGGCGTCGTCACGTCGTCATAAACCGCGTTGATCTCGATTCCCAGCGGATCCGCCGCTTCCGACGCATCCAAATGATCGAGCGTGACGATAGTCGTGTTCGGAAGCGGCCCGCGAATCAGTGGCGCCCGTCGAACCGTCTTCAGCGACATTTTCGCGTCGAGACTCTCGGCCAACCGATCGCGCGCGTCAAGAAACGCGTCGTTGATGCGCGACTTGCGATCCGAGCCGCGATGAAGACGTCCCGGATTCTTCTCATATCTCGGCTTCTGCTTCTCCTCGATGCGCTTCTCGACGTCGGGACTCAGTGTGACGCCGCGCTTCGGCGGCGTCGCGCCCTCTTTTCTAAGCGACGAACGCAACGGCTCGTCGAGATGATCATTCTTTCGACTCTGATGGCCATACGGCGAGGCGTTGATCGAAACGCTTCCTGGAATTTGAAATGAGCACACACGCACACACACGTCAAAAAATTGTTACCGTATGCGCTTACTGTAGGCGTCATGTGAATTTGCGTGAGATGGGCGTGCTCGTCGCGTCGAGACGCCGGAATCGGCTGCGCGTAATGATGTTGACTCGTGTTCGTTCGCTGCACCGTCGCGTATTCGGACGAACTCGGCGGCTCATCGGTGATGGCGAGAATCTTGAAAAGAAAAATGTGATAGAAATGGGCAAATTTTGAGGCAACAATTGAAAAACGCGAAATTCGTGTAAAACAATCAGCATTTCCAAATTTTAAGTTCGAAAATTGCTGAATTTATCCCCATTTTCAAAATTTAGCTCATCAATTCAAAAAAGATATACATGTAGTCGTCAAACCTGATCAAAAGCAATATCAAAAACATCATCAAGCTCATCATCCATATCAAGAATACCGCCATCCGAAGCGCATTCCAATCGCAAAACTCGTATCGATTCGTCGTTTTTCGCCTGAATCGAAAAAAAAATAAAAAAAGATTCTTACCGTAATATTATCATTCGCGGCTCGCGAATCATACATTGGCGGCGGTTGGCGAACGCGTTTTCGAATCGTCGCCGCCGCCGGCGGCGACGTCAAATGATTATGATGGTACGGCGGCGGTGGCGCTTCGTTCGGCATCATCAGACGCATCGACTCATCGCAACTACGCAAATTCTACAATTCCAACAAGAACAGTCAATTGTTAAACCGGAACCGAGAAAAAAAATGATATATAGAAAGTGTGGAATGGTTGTGTACGTCGAACGAGAATCTCTCTAACTGTCTGCCGCCCTCTCATACACCTTATATTGACATTGTCAACCTATGCGGCAGGTGCGGGGCGAAAGCAAGGTGTTCCAATGAGCATCACCGATGACGTCATCGGGTGATATGCTCGAGGGGTCCTCAGAGAAGCAGGAAAACCTAGGCGCTTCGCAGATGGTCCACCCCAAACCCCCCCCCTGCATTACTATACATATAATAAATAATTAAAAAATGCATCAAATATGGTCGACAAATGGCTAGTCGATGAATCACGCCAAAAAAAAACCCGTCGCCGATGCCTTATATAGCGAATTGTCACTGTATTCTCACACTATCTCGCGCCGATCGCCACTATCATCAACGCGTCGGGGTCTCTCGCCATTCCCATTGTCTCTCATCGGCAAGCACTTGAGGGCTACAAGCAAAACAAAAAAAAACACACACACATTTTTTCCGATGACATGAAAACTATCTTTCATTTTCGAGGGCTCTACAGTAACTCGTTGGGTGGCGCGTCGCGGTCGCGTTGCGGTCAACAAAAAATGAAAAGAATGAAAAAAAACTTGATTTCTGGGCCATCAATATTTTTTCCAGCGAAAATCGCACAAAATCAATTTGATAACCAAATTGCATTTTCATTTTTCGAAAATTGCAATTTTCAATCTGCGCAAAAAAAAAATCGAATGGAGAAAAATAAAATGTTAGGCAAATAATCAAGTTTGGCGCGAGAAAAATCGAACAAACACAAAAAGGTCGGGCGGAAAAAATCGAATATTTCGGATTTTGTGGGGCAAATCGACTAATCGGTGCCAATTAGTTTCCAATTTGTTTGAGCACTTTTTCGGATGGGAAAAGGGAGCGAAGCGAATTTCGGAAAAAAAAATCCCCAAAAATTCATTTCAAAATTATTATACTGGCTTAATTATCGCTAATTATCAAATGTGGAATGAAGACTTCACAAAATCAGCCACTAATTGCCTCTAATTATCACCGAAAATTGTGCAAAAATTGCGGAGAGAAAATCGCTGGAAATTCATACGAGGCTCCGCCCATTTTTTCGAGATTTTTAGCCAAAAAAAAAATCAATTTTGATTCAAATATTGGAGAAATTGATGAGAATTCGCCAACCAGCCAAATGAATGATCTGCAAACGCGAAAAAAATTGGAAAAAAGAAAAAACTCACAAGTCCTCGCGCTTTTTTATATCGAATTAGCGCCTGTTCGGCGAGTTGTCTGACAGTCGTGTGATTCTGCAAACAAAAAAATATAAATTTCCCTCTTTTTCGATTAAAAATCGCAGTTTTTGGTTAAAAATTGGAAAATTTCGACGATTTTTCATTTGAAAATTGCACTTTTTCGAAAAATCTCGCAATTTTTCGTCGAAAAATCACAAAATTCCACAATTTTCGATAAATCGCTAAAATCAGTCAAAAAATTGGCGATTATCCAAATTTTCGATCAAAAATCTCAATTTTTAGCCAGAAAGTGTCAAATTTTTAATTTTTAATCGAAAAAAAAAATGTCAAAGATTTCACAATTTTTGGCCAAATCTTCAATTTTTAATCGAAAATTTCACAATATTTTTTTTTTAATAAAAAAATAATAATAAATATTGATAGACACCCACACTCTCTTTCCACGGCACCACAATTCTCATGGCGCCAAATTGGACGGTGACTCGTCGGGCGCCCGATATCGACAAATGCTGATATTGGCTTCGGTCCAACGTCGACATCGACGAGTTCGAGAACGTGTGCGCAATTGTCGAATGGTGCAACAGCTTAGTGGGACAAGTTGGTCCAGCTCCCTTCTCATTCTCATCCGGCGATGTCGACGACGATGCTGATGATGTCGACGAGGCCGACATCGACGATAAAACTAGTGCACTGCAAAAAAGCTCAGATATTAATTAGGCTCGTAATTAGGCGCCGCCACTGATTTGGGGTGTTAATTGGCGCAACGAAAAATCGAATCAATTGGGCGACCGTGGGAGAAAGTTGCGTGGGCCGCGTGGGGCTCATCGAAAAGAGCAAACACAAACAAATTGAGCCGAACGAAAATTGATACTCGCAAAGCTCATTTTGGATCGCGTTTCGAGACCCTTTGTAGAAATGAACCAATTTCGAATAAGAAGTCGTCGAAAATGGATTCTCGCAATTTTCAGACCCCACAAAAAAAACAAATCATTCTCAATTTCTTTTTAATTAAAAAATTCGAATTTTTTATTAAAAGCAATCTTTGTTTGTGAAAAATCGCAAATTATTAATAAAAAGCTAAAAAAAAATTGCAAAATTCCAATCGAAAAAAATTTAAAATGGCAGTTTCCAGACAAAAAATGCTCAAAAGCCTCAAATTTTCAATAAAAAATTGGCGATTTCTAGTCAAAAAACAGTCAAAAATTGGCATTTTCACCTCAAAAATTGCAATTTTTTTGGCGAAAATCCCCAAAAACCCCGTTTGATTTCGATAATGTGGCCGCCGAGCCGCGTCATCGTCGGAGCACGTCATGACATTGACATATGCCAATAAATTAGACCCCCCCCTTTACGTGAACAAAACCAGATGTTTCGGAAAAAAATGTAAAAGTTTTGCGAAATTTGAATTTTCGCCGACAAATCCGACAAAAATTAGGATTTTTGCCAAAAAATCGCAATTTTTTGAGAAAATTTCGAACATTTTGTGTCAAAAAATTGATGAATATGATAGAATTATTGATATTCTGCTTGAATATTTCATAAAAACGCAAAAACGAAATTGATAATATGGCAAATGCGGTCAAATATACAAACATCTGGCGAAATTCGTGATGGTCGTTGGAAAAAAAAAATGCAATTTTCGGGGACAAATCACTAAATTCGACGAATTTACAGTGAAATTTTGATGCTGAATCGCTGGAAATTCTCAAAAATTTGTGATTTTGTTGGAAAAAATCACAAATTTCACACTTTTCTTAGTCAAAAATTGTCTAGAGCAAAAAAGAATTGCGCAAATACTCATAAATCCGTCTGATTTTGGTCGAAAACGGCAAAACTCAAAGAAAACGCGATGAAAATTGTCGGAAACGCGAAAAATTGCCTAAAATTGGTCGCGAATCACATAAAATTTCGAGAAAATGCCAAAAAAAAAGTGGAAGAAAAATGTTTAAAATGCATTTTTGCCCAAAAATCGGATTCTTTTTGTTCTTTCTTACGACGAAAAAAAAGTGGAAACAAGAAGAGCAAAAGAAAATTCGAGCTCGAACCGCCAAAAAAAATAGGAAAAGATGAGAATGCGCGTGTTGAGTTGACCTGTCGGAGGTGTTTGTCGATTGTGTATGATGGGAATAAAGAAGAGAGGTCACCTTATAAGGGGGGGGGGCAGCACATATTAGAATATTATCGATCGGGCGCGACCGGTCGCACACAAACCATTTCATTATCAAAACCCTAGAACATGATGTTCGAAAAAAAAGTGAGAGAGAGAAATTCGATGGTCGTTGTTGGGGAGGACCAATCCGACGATGTCAAGGACGGTCCGTATTCGATAATTACGCGGTCATCGAGCCGAGTGTTCAATGCCATCCGTTTTATATCCAAAATGAAATATTTTTAGCTGCTTACTCGCAATTTTTACCCAAAAAATTGGCATTTTTGACGTGAAATTTGAGACTTTTCTAGTAAAAATGCAAAAAAATGACAATTTCATAATTCGGGAATCCGCTTTATCGGGAAATCCGAAATGATTTTCTCTCGAAGCTCGATTTATCCGGAAATTGCGTATTTCCTTTGCAGAAGCTAAAATTTAGCCAATTTTTTAATCGAAAATTCCGAATTCCTTCATTTTTTCGGCGTTGTCATTGCGCACTTCGTTCTCATCGTTTCACTTTTATGCCGAAAAAGTGATAAAAACGCGGCAAAAAATGGGCAAGTCGTCAATCAATTCGACAAATTAAGCGTATTTATGAGAAATTATCACAAAATTATTTGAGAAATTCAAAGAAAACATCGGAAAACTCAAAAAAATATCAATAAAAAATTCATAATTGTCATACTGTAGTTTTCTAAAGGCGCACGCGGAACAAAATAATGTGTCTCATCGTGATTGATACTGTATTTTTTTTTAATTTTTTGTTTCGATTTTTTTCCAAAAAATAAGAAAAGACTTATATTTTTCTTATGATATCTTCCGATTTTTCCAACATGAGCATGTTTTTTAATTAAAACTTCCATGAAATTCGCAGATTTCCCATAAAAATGGAGAATGACACAAATTTCAAACGGAAGTCTATAGGAAACTTGAAAATTTTCATTTTAAATGTAATTTTTTCGAAAAAAATCTAATTCAAAGTCGCAAAAAATGTGAAAAATTGATTCATTAAATCAATTGTTTTCCTTCTTTCTAGTTGCAAAAAAAATCACGAAATTTCTTTTTGACTCTTCCTATTTTTCAAAAAAAAAAATGTTTTTTTTTGCAATTTCAAAGTGAAAAATACGAAAATCCGTCGTAAAATTCATATTTTTCGTTCAACTTTGAATTTTTTTGGAATAAATTTCAAAGTTCCTCCAAGTGGCCGTGGCCGGGAAAAATCTCGGCCATCATTTAAAAATTTCGTAAAAATGAAAAAAATAATGAATTTTCATAGTTTTTGTGAAATCCAAAACTGAAATATATTGAATTTGACAATTTTCAGTCCGAAAAAAACAATGGACACACGCAATCTCGACTGCAATTTCTACGAGGACGATCTCAAATCGCACGTCGTCGGCAAACTCTGGCAAAATCCCGAAGATTTGCGTCGATTTTGCGAGTTTCAAGGAAAATCGACGGTATTTCGACGAGAAATTCGTATTCTGATGTATTTTTTTTGTTGAAGATTTCCGAGGATGATCGCCAATACCTAGTAGATCAATGTGTGAAATTGGAATATCTTGATCGGGTGATCGCCTGCGTCGGCCAGATTCCCTATGAGCAAACATGGGAGCGAATGAGCGAATGCTGGCAAAAACAGGTTGAGAATCACGAAAAAACGTTCAATTTGAGTCATTTTTCAAATTTTCGACGAAAATTTCTGACAAAAATTCAATTTTTGACAATTTTCAGCCAAAAAATTCGAAATTTTTCAATACGTATCAATTTTGCGCAAAATCGGAACGAAAATCTTAACAATTTTCCATAATTTCGATTTTTGTCGATTCTCGCTGAAAAACCACACATTTTCCTATAAATTTGCGATTTTTAAACCAACATTTTAGGAAAAATGAAAAAAAAAATTCAAAAGCAATTTTTTTTTTGCATTTTTAAAGTTCAGGTCAAAACATTGAGGAAAAATTGGCAATTTTAATATTTTTGAGACAAAAAAAAAACTCACAATTTGATGAAAATTAAACGGAAAAAATCGAATCCCACAATTTTGATTTGATTTTTTCGCAGAAAATCCCGCCAGTGTTCGCCTCGATCGACGATTTCATCGAATTCTCGGCGAATTCGTCGGCATTTTTCCACGAGATTCCCAATTTCGAGCCACCTCGTACCACATTTCACGGCTATCGGTGAGCGATTTCATTTGATCGAGAAATGAAAACAAAAAAAAAACCCAAAAAATCTCTTAGGCTATTCATACAGTATCTGGCGGCGATTTTACTTCGAAACTACGAGATCAACGACGATAATATTCTAAAAGTGTACGGTATTTAAAGGGGGAGAGGGGGTAACCTTGAAAAATCAAAAATATCCATATATTATTGTATTGTCGTCAAATAAAATGCACAAGTCCGCAATGCCATTTCCAGCGGCTTCGGCTTCAAATTCAGTGTGAAAATAGGTATTTCAGAGCAAAAAAAAAATCAAATACGAATTTTTACGCCTAATGCATTTCGATGTCGCAAAAATGAGTACGAATGAAGAGGAATAAATCATTGCGGACTTGTGCACTTTATTTGACGACAATTCACATGTTGTGTACTTGGCGACGAATTTTTTTTCGGATTTTCAATATTTATATTTCAGCGTCGAGCAATTCCAAGAATCTCGCGACTATTTCGATACGCCGTTCAAAAAATCGTCGATTTGGCTCGATTTTCGCGGTTTGAAGGCGCTCGCCGCGCGCAATCCCCAATTTTTCGTCTACAGTACCCCAGAGAGCCCCCAAATTTTACGAGAAACAAAAATTTTTGATTTTTTTTGCCACAGACAAAAATCGCATTGAGTTGACGAAACGCGGCGAGACCGCGTGGATTCTTCACGTCGCCGCGGCCGTGCCAACATTTTTGGCGAACGCGAAACGACGCGACAACTCGCGACGATTCGTCTTCAACGCCGTCGTCACGAAAGCCTCGAAATACTATGCTACGGTAGGATTGCGCGAAAAATGGTCTCGCGACGACAATTTCTAGGCGCTCGTTTTGGACCCGCGACTCGACAATTCCAGAGTCTACCTATCGGCGAATGTTTTGCGCAAAAATGAGAAGCACGTGTGCGAGTTCGAGTTCGGCGCTCGCTGCTTGGTGAGAGACATTGAGGTGATGATGATGAAGATGCGAAAATCGGTTTTCAGATCTCGGTCACGTGCGTTCCCAGCTACAACGACGCTCATGAGTTTGTCGCCTATGATTTCGACGACAAGCCGATCGACGTTGGGAGTCTGGCGAGCTATGTGAGCCCGAATTGGGCGGATGTCGAGGAGCGACGCGTCGAGTCGCGTCGACATCATTTTGAAAAAAATGCGAAAATCGCGAGAATCGAACACGAAAAAGCGCAAGATTTGAAGAGAATTGAGGTTTTTTTTTAGGGCTTCTTTCCTTGACATTTTCCTATTTTTTTTGACTTTTTAGAGAATTCGCCAAATTTTTCGATGGAAAAACGCGAGCGTCATGACGATTTCGCGAATTTTCGACGCGAATCGCGAGTTTTGCGAGAAGCGACACGAGCGATTCGTGCGTGTTCGCGAATGCTCGCCGCATTTTCGCCAATGGGCTCAGCGATTGATGGCCTATTGGATTGTCGATGATTTTTTCGGCGATCAACGCGACGTTCGCAATTTTGTTGAGGATTATCCCGAATATTTTCAGGTTTCAAAATTTTTTTTGACGATTTTTAGAGTGAAAATTGCTTTTTTAAAATCGAAATTGAGCAAGATTGAATATTTTCAAAAATTTTTTATGAAAAAAATTTTTTGAAATCGATTTTGCGATTTTTTGACGATTTTAGAGCGTTATTTGTTCTTCAAAACATTCTTTTTAAAAAAAAAATTCAAAAATTTGTCGATTTTCAGCTCAAAAACGACGACGTTTCATTTTGGGACGAGGCGACCTCGGAAATTCTTCAACTCACCGTCTTCGTCGCCGAAAACTATTGCAAATCGTTCGACGAGCTGCAAAAATTGTATGAATTTCGGATTTTTTGCCGAATTTCAACTCGACCAACTCAATTTTCAGAATGAAATCGAATCGCGAGTTTCGAAACGCGAAAATTGTCGAAATGATTGATAATGAGCAATTTGAGGAATTCCTACGTGAGCATGGACTAATTCTTAGTTTCGCTTAAATTATTACCATAATTGTACATATTGACGATAAATTGCTATAAAAATTACTGAAAAAAGAATTGCGAAAAATAAAAATTTGAGAAAAATCTGCACGTGCGCGTCACGGTGTACCGCGCACAACCCGATGTCTACCGTACCCATCATTGAACAAAAACACGTCTAAATATTTTTTGCATATCAATTTTCGATTTTCCTCAAACGAAACCTGTTTGCGATAGTGATTGCGCAATTTGTTCGCCGCCAACCCCCACCAAAAAAGGCAAAATGCGGCGATTCGACGCGATTTTCGTAATTCTTCTTCAATTTTCCACTATATGCTGCGAGATATTCGCGCGAACCAAACGGCAGGCTCAATTGGCGACTCATGACGGCATCGATATCCCGTTTACTCTAAGGTTTTCGATAATTTATTTGAATTTTGAACACAAAATCGAGTTTTCAGAAGTGCTATCACTTGCTTAACACCTGGTATCCGCGAAAATATCTGTCTGGGACCACGAGTCCAAGTTCTCAAGAAGGATCGAATCGGACTGACTGATCGAGCTGGAGCAGCTTATGGCTATCATAATGGCGTCGATGTGAGGGTTCTTCGACTTTACAATATCCCTCTAATTGAGCAGGATACCGAAATTGGGCAAAGGTCTGCAAAAAAAAAATCAAATTTTCGAGAATTTTTCATTTTTTCTAGCGTTGGTGCAGTCGTCGATGTCACCAAAAACGATGGCGCAGTCGAATTCGGCACAAGAGACAAGATTTTCAAAGTTTGGAAGCATAATAAGTGAGAAAATTGTGAGGAAAAATGAATTCGAAAATATTTGGTCCGCAATATGTCGTCATGGTGTGAACACCGAGTGACTACCGTACTCGATTCATAAAAAAAAAACGAATTGTTGCGTTTGCTCCCAATTTTCGCGCATTTTTCAGAGGCGGCGTCGTCGAATGGGACACTCAAGGAGCCGGCGTCGACATCGGCTCAAGGGCATCGGTCGCCGACGATCTGATCAAGCTGAAAGTTGGCTGAAACTCGAAACATTCGTCGAATACCCTCGATTTTCAGCATACCGTGTTCGGCGTCAACGTGGGACCCACATCGCGACGATCAATCGTGGGACCATATCAAGTTGGAGGCACCAAGGGTCAAAGTCCAATCTATTGTTGTGGGAGGTCCAAAAAAATGGAATTTGTTTTCTAGATTTGAAAGTCGACACCCCAATCCAACACCTCTACCACGGCTACTACGCTGGTCGCGGCGATTGGTACCGCAATCAATTCGTCAGACCCGGCGATCAATATCGAACGTTCGAGCAGAAGGCGTGTCCGTGGTGCTTCGCCGTCGACGCCACCTATCCGACGCAAACAATGTTCAATCCAATTTTTACGGGAAAATAGTTTGAATAGTTTGAAATAGTAATAATAATAATAATAATTCGAATTGTGAATTAATTATTTATTGTGATTGCCTGATGGCCGAATTTGGCGTGGCCGTGGCCGTGTCTCATTATTGTGTGTTTAGCGGTCGCCTACTACAATTAAGCTTCTTTTATATTAAAGGCACATCTCGTTCGTATGCTCAATTTGGGTAGATTTACGGGATGCATCTATCAAATTGGTCTCGCCACGCGTGAATTGCCTAGCTTGGAAATTTCCACAAAAACTGTTCTTAAGCTTTCTTGATGGCTCAAAATTCACAGAATGCCATTTAAAATGCGAAATAAACATTTTGTCGCGGCGAGACCATTGTGAAGACGCAATCGACCCAATTTCAGAAGCGAATGGATCTTTGATGTTCTGAAAATGGAATTCGGTGCAGCTCGGCCAAGAATGAGATTGCAATAAACTTCTTAGTGACCAAAAATCAATTCGGGCATCCCACCCGACGCCAAAATGGTGTCATTCGATTGAAGACGAGCAAATTTGAAAAAAACTCCTTCCAGATTGCGCAAAAGAGCGAGTTTTTCGTGTGAAAAACGATTCACCTTCAAAATAAATTCATTTAAATTTGTTATCTTTTGACATTTGCCAGCCGTAAACATCTTCTTATCAAACCGCAATCATTTTGATTGAAAATCAACATTTTTTTCGTTTTTCGCGATTTCATTGAACACTTGTTTCGAATTTTTTTTGATAATTTCAAATTATTTCAGATGTCCAAATTGTTTCGCTCGATCGCCCAAGGGTAAGAAATCGTGTTTGCCTTTTAACTATATATATAAATCGAACATTTGACAGGTACAGTAGTAATAATGGCGCTGAATGGACGCCGACGATTCGATTCATCAGCTACGACGAGAATGGCGACGTGACTCGGACGCCGCCGATCGAAGCCGACGATCTACTCGAGTTCTTCGACGAGCAAGGCGCGAGTGCTGAGGTCATTGTGAAGGCGAAAATCTGGAAGCACCAATTGTTCGACGTGTTCCCGGCGTGGTTCGGACTCTGGCACGAGTACATCGTCGTCGAGACGACCAACTGGTTTTGGTCGTTCGAGAAGTTCTCGTGCTCGTTGTTCGTGCAGCGTTCGCGTCGACTCGACGACGTGCTTCGACGAATCGCCGGCAAATCGCGAAAGCCCGAGAGGCCCGAAGGCCGCTGGGACGACGACGTCCGATTTGGCGAGACGATTCAGAATGTGATCGAATGGATTCTGAACACCGGCAAACTCGAGACCAACTACGACACGTTCAAGAGCAATTGCCATTTTTTCGCCTCGCTTCTCTATGAAGCCATCACGAGAACGAAAAAGTTTGCGTCGCTCAGCGTTAAGTACAAATAATAAAATTGTGATAAACTATTTGTAGAATGCTGGAGATGGCACATTGTGCATTGAAAGTCGTTTGATTTTGTCGGATACGACGCGTGGCCTAGAAAAAACGCCATCGAAAATTCGGCCACGTCTTGCACCAAATGAATGCGCTTCTTGTGGGTGTTTAAATATGAAAAAAATCGATTTCAAATGATTTTTTTCATTGTGGATACTGTAGGCACGCGATGTCCGCATTACACCGACACGACAATTCGCGGCGTTTTTTCAAGCAAATCGTGTAGGAAAAAGAAGGAGAATGTCTGCGTCTCTCGCAATCACACACACTCTCTCTGTCTAAAACAGATTTCACAGAAAATCGATGTTTTATAATAAAAATTGCCAACAAAATGTTGCAAATTGGCCGATTTATCAATCGAACTCAATTTCGTTATCGCTTCTATTGAAATGAGTCATAAGGCACTATCAGGTCACTCAAACAGCGACCGGAAGGAGACATCTATTTTAGTCAAACCATGAATAAGGAATAATGCTCCTCGAATCGCGCACTCTATATTTATATGGTATACATAGTCTCTCTATATCAGTTGAATCAGTTCAGAAGAATATCAACCCAAAAATCGACCTTGAACACCGATTGTGTCTTGTTTTCTTCTTCTTCTTAAACAGTATTGTTTTTTTTTTGTTTCAAATGACCAAGCCTGAAGGCCGATGAGATGAGGATTCTGAATACGGGTAGAATCCGCGAGCGGAGATAGATTCAAATAATTCTTCGATTAATCGAAGAGGCTCTTCGAGATTCTCTGGGGACCAAGACGTGACCGCAACGCATTCAAACAAAAATTCCAAGGGACCCAAATCGTCTATATACTAAAAATTGTAGAATTTCGCTTCCTCACTTCTCAAATATACAATAGAGATATAGAATTGCTATCAATCTCTTAGCAATAAGCTGCCTCGAATTGAACCATTAGCAGTGTTGATAACAATTTTCTCATTTCTCGCCATCAACAATGGGCTCGTGAGTCGTTTTCGCTAAAAAAATCTCCAATCATCGCCAATTTGCAGAGGCTCAAGCAAAAGCGTCGGCGGACAATGGCAGCCGAAGATCACATTCGTTTCGTATCGCGGCAACACGGTCGCCGAACGATTGACGCTGTGCGGCTTCTCGAACATTCTAGAATTCGGCAAATCGATCGGAATTGACGACGAGGCGATCATCGGCGTTGAGAAGCGAACACACAACCTGTTTCGGGGTGTTCCGTCTCTCGGATTGCTCTACCACGAGTTCATCATTCTCAAAGCGATTAGCTGGAATTGGAGCATCGAGAAGAACTCGGACGGCATTCTTGTGCAGCGAGCGAAAACCGCTGACGTGCTCTACGACAACGCCGACGGGATCCGCCGAACGTCGAGGACGAGCAGCTATCTCAGCTGGCGGAACTACGACGATTGCAGGCACACCATTAATCATGTCTTTCAGTGGCTTCTAAACAACGAAGAGCTCAAGAGGACCTATCATTTGTTCGAAGACAATTGCCAAATTTTTGCGGCGCGACTCCACCAAGCGATTTTGAATGAATTGGACAAATTGTTGACGGAATAAGCAAAATAAATTTTTGAATTTTTCATCTTTTGTGTCGATTTGAAACCCCCCCCCCGGTCTGCCAACCCCCACTCTTATCAATCGCATTTTTTGATTTCATCACACTTTTTTTCACGAATTCTTCCAAATTGTAAGGGCAATAAATGAGCTTGTAAGTCATTTGGTTTTGTCGGAAACGCAGCGTGGCCTAGAAAAAAATCGACCACGGCCACACTTGTTGAATTGAATGAACGCGTTGAAGTGAAACCATCGATTTCAAATGATTTTGCAAATATTTTTATTTTTTGCATTATGGTTACTGTAGGCACGCAATGTCCGCATTACACCAATACGACAATTCGCGGCATTTTCAAGTGTGGCACACAAAATTCTGAGGAAACAAATTTTTTAAATTATGTGTAAAATCCAATTTTCTTTTATTTCCACAATGCTTGTGGCTTTTAAAATTTTGATATTTCGTTTTTGAAATCATAAGCCCAATATATACATATTCATTTAGACCCACTGAATTCAATTAACTAATCTATTAGTGGTGGCCGTGGCCGAACCTTATTTTTGTGGGCATTATTTCTAGGCCACACCGGGGTTTTCGAATTTGTGCAATCCAAAGCTAATTTTCGCAGCGTGAGCGGCATCTCGGAAGCGCCGCGCGAGGCGCGCATCAAATTCGCCTCGTACGGCGGCGCGACGGAAATGAAAACGAGTCGAAAAGCCGACGAGCTGGTGGCGTTTTACGACGAGACGAATCGCGTCGACGAGCGCATCGACCAAGTCAAACTATGGCGACATCCGATGCCGTCGAGATCGTTGTTCGACTTCAATCCGCCATCGCACGAGTTCATCACAATCAAAACCGGCGACGTCTACTATTCGTTCGACAAATATCCCGACGCGCTCTACATCCAAAAGTCGGCCGATGAGAAGGATGTTCTGGCGATGGTCTATTCGAAACCGCGGCCGAATCGCGAGCACCTCGTCGCCGATGGCCGGTATTGCACCAAATTGGCGTATAATGAGTCGGTTCGTCATATCATTGAGTGGATTGTCAACACGAGATGCTACGAGAACGCCAAAATTGATCCGCACACGTTCGGATCGGTGATCTATGATTCGATTACGAGGCACAAGGGACGCAAATTGAGCGACAAGTTTTTGAAATGAATATTTCCTTATTTGCCAATAAAACGGTTCGAATCGTCCAATGGACCCTCAAAATTTCGGAAAATCGCGAAAAATTTGACCGCACGCGTCTCACCAATCAATTTTTGTATAAGATTATATGGGCGGTTTACACAAGTGCGGTTTTCGTCGCAATGGACCATCCACAAATTTTTTTTTGAAAAATGAAACCAAAGATTTTTGACTTATATCATAATAGAGGCGCAGAGAAAAAAAAGCGAGAAACATAGAGAGAATGGGAGAGTGAGAGGCTGCTAGACAACGAGACATTTCTATAGAGCGCGTTTGCCGACTTCGCCATTTGTCGTCCGGCATCGAATCGACGTCGTTCGTCGTATTGGAGTATGGAGAGGAGCAACGTCATCGCGCAAATCACGAAGACCGCGAACGATGTGATTCAGAAGCTCGGTGATTCTCGAGCAGCGATCGATTCTTGGCAATTCGCCAGACAATTATTCGACAGGATTCACTGAAAATTGCTTATCAAATTATGATTGAGACCCATTGATTACCTGTCAAAATTGCAAGTTTCGCAATCCATTGCTATTCCAAATTTGATATAAAAACCCATCACATTTCTAATTTTCACTATTTGGTTTGATCGTGGGTCTCGACGCGATCTATTCTCAATTTTGTTTCATTTTTCTTCCAGAAAATGTCGTCAAAATTGAGGTGAGTCAACGCCATCAATATTGGGTCTCGACGCGCGTTTTGTCAGCTCGACGACTCGCCGACGGCCAACGGTGCACTTCGTCGCCTACCGCGACGGGTTGGTGTCTCGCAGCGACGAGTTGACGCTCGACGAGACGTCGAAATTCGTCGCGACGCACTACGACGCCGACGACGCGAGAATCGTTTCGTCGAAAATCTGGAAGACGCCCTTCTTCGCGTGGTTTCCGCCAATCTTCTGCGTTTGGCACGAGTTCGTCATCGTCGAATCGTCGTCGAATCGCTATTGGAGCTTCGAGAAGCACGACTACACGCGCGTCATCATTCAGACGTCGACACGCGAATCGGATGTGAGACATCATTCGGAAGGTGTCGGTCGGCATTCGCCAACGATTCCCGAAGGACGACATTGCGAGTCGATCGCGTTCAACGAGACGATCGTCGATTGCGTCGAGTGGATTCGAAGGCGCCACACCAAATCTGCCGCCTTCACCAAATTCTGCCACCATTTCGCTTCATTGCTTTATGAGGCGATCAATCGCCAAAAAGGACGCCGACTCGATGATGACTAATTGCTCAAATTTGTGATGTTTGCAAATTTTGATATGAAAAATGTGTGGGAATTTGATTGAAACGAAAATGTCCGCATTCGTACGCACGCAAAATTGCACATTTTTTCTCCAAATTTTTCTCGAGGTTTTTTTTCCAAATTTTTCTCGAATTGTATATATTTTAATAGATTTTCAACTAGATTTTAATTGGAAATGGATTTTATAATGATTTGAAAGAAAATTGATAATTTTTGGCGAAAATTCGATTTTTATAATCCCCCTTATGAGATTATAAATACCGCCCATTCTTTTTTCATAAATTTCAATTTTTTGACGATTTCCCACAGTTTGTTAATATTTTTGAATTTTCGCTCAATCATTTCCCGATTATTCATAATAGCAATATTCAAAAAAAAAATGTAGAAATATCAAATTTCGATGGCGAGGGGGTCCTTTCATCATAAAAAATTTCACAATTGTTTTCTTTTGTTTGTCGCACACACACACACATTGATGACTCATCGCGAGGAGTGTTGTTGAAAAGAAATGGGCGGTCCTGTCGCGGCGCGCGATTATAAATTAAACAACGGCGCCCCCGGTGGCGCGAGACAAACAAAAAATCCGATCCGATCCGATCCCTTCAAAATTATCGATTAGTTTCAATCGGAAGGCCTCTCGCAATAATGTCGCTCAAAAAGTTCGTCATGTCTGGTATTCAAGATGTTCTGGTGAGTGCCATTATATTTGTCTGCTCGTCTAACCTCTCTCTTGTTTATCAACACTCTCGCCTCAATACGTTCGCTTGATATTAGTTTCACATTTATTCCGTTCAGGAAAGCAAACTTGGAGGCAAATCGTCATCGCAGCAGCAGCAATCGCACAACTCTTCTGAAGGCACTAGTATGCATCCAGGTGAGAAACCCTTGAAAAATTTCTGGTTTAAAACAATTTCAAAACATTCTGAATTATTGATTTTGGTACTGTACTCTGATAATTGTGCAACGCGTTTGCGGGCCTACCGTAATCCGCAATTTGAAAAATGTCCATTTTCTTCCAAATTTTCAATTTTTGGGTTAAAAATAATGTTAATTGTCCCCAATTTTCAGCATAATTACCGCATCAATGATTGGTTTTTTTTTATTGCAGGTGGCTATCCACAACAGCCAAACTACGGCAACGCCGGCTATAATCCGCAACAACCGCCGCCGCCGAATCAGCCGCAATATGGAAACGCCGGTTATCCGCAAGCGCCGCAATACGGTTTTCAACCGGGCGGCTATCCGCAACAAAATCCCGGATATCCATCACAGAATCCCGGATATCCGCCACAAAATGCCGGCTACCCGCCTCAGAATCCCGGATATCCACCACAAAATGCCGGCGGCTATCCGCCACAGCCCGGATACCCGTCACAATATGCATCACAAACGCCCAATTTCTACCCAAATCAGGGATTCAATCAGCCAGGTTAGTCATCAATGTTTGTCTTTCCGGCGAGGCGACAAACATCAATAAGCGTTTATTCTGAACATCATTTTTCAACAGAAAAAAATTAAATGTCATTCGTTGTGACGACCGGCCGAAAACTGGTTGACGAGTCCTAATAATTGGTTGCTTTTTTCCTCTCCGTTATCCAACCATGCGCCTTTAAAGTGTACTGTTTATTGAACCACTTGTGGTCACACAAATGCATTGTTTGACGGAAAGACGGAAACAAGGTCAATTTCTATAGTATTGCGGGACCGAATTCCGCAATACTATACGATTCTTTCTCAACATACAATGGAAAAAATCAATATAATTTTTTCCCTCGAAATGTACCCTCGTCAAACACTTGAGATTTCTCCTATTTTTTTTTCTAAACTACCTGATTTTTCGTGACAAAGCTGCGCCAAAAAATTATCTAATATTTGTTCAATGTCTTCTCGTTTTGAAATCAATCTCTATGGGGTTTTTTTTCTTTTCATTCAATTTTCAAAAATTCAGTGATGCTCGGAACACCGTCGATCGTGCCGACGCCGGGATTCAACGCCAACGCCGATGCCGAAGTGCTGCGAAAAGCGATGAAGGGCCTTGGTTGCAACAATACCAAAGTGATCGGCGTGCTCTGCCAGCGGACCAACGCCGAGCGTCAGGAAATCGCGCGCGCCTTTAAAGTAATGTACGGTAAAGATCTGATCAAGGAGCTCAAAGGCGAACTTCACGGCGATTTCGAGGATCTCATTCTGGCGCTCATGGAGCCACCAGCAATTTACGACGCCAAACAACTCCATCGGGCCATCGACGGCATCGGAACCAAAGAATCCGTGCTCATCGAGATTATGACCTCAAGAACCAATAGTCAAATTCAAGCGGTTCGCGACGCCTATCGAGCATTGTACAGAAGAGAACTCGAAAAGGATTTGATTGGCGATACCAGCGGACACTTCAAGAGACTCCTTGTGTCATTGTGCGCCGGAGGAAGAGACGCATCACAAATGACCGACGCCCTCAGAGCTAACCAGGACGCTCGAAGGTTGTACCAAGCTGGTGAGAAGCGGCTCGGAACTGATGAATCGACCTTCAATGCGATTCTTGCCAGTCAGAATTTTAATCAATTAAGACTTGTATTCGAAGAATACGCAAAGGTAATACAGTTTATTCTTTTAAAACTGCCGACTTTTAAATAATGAATAACTTGCAGGTGGCGAACCATCAAATCGAGAAGGCCATCGAGTCGGAATTCAGCGGCGACGTTCGTGACGGCCTTCTGGCAATCGTCTCAGTCGTCCGCAATCGGCCCGCCTTCTTCGCCAAACTTCTTCACGAGAGCATGAAGGGTCTCGGCACACGCGACACCGATCTCATTCGCCTCTGTGTGACTCGCGCCGAATACGACATGGCCGACATTCGCAACGCGTTCTCCGCTCTCTACCGCACCTCGCTCGAGAATATGATCAAGGGCGATTGCTCGGGCGCCTACAAGGACGGACTCATCGCATTGGTGAAAGGCAACAGAAATTAAACTATATGTATATTATATGATACAAATGATAACCGTAATAATAATAATAATTAAAATTATGAAATATAAATGAAATTGGCAGCTCAAGATCGATTGAGTTTGCCTAATATCCGGCGACCCGCTGATTCGTCTCGCTCATCGTGCGAAATTTGGAATGACTAAACGAAATAAAAAAAAATGCCAATTTTTTTGAAAAAATAGTGAAAAATATACCTTTTGCTGCAAATCCTTATATAGCGAATCAATATCCTTGTGTAGTAATTGAGCATCAGTTTGCGCATTGAGCCTCTCCAAATTCTCATAGGCAAAATCAATGAGCTTCTGCCTTCTGTAATTCTTTCGACGCAGTTCTTGATTCTTCTCCTCCATGCTTTTGACACTATTAATGAGTGAATCCATTGTTTCTCGGTCGAATTTCTGAAAGAACAAATCGCTAGAAAAATATAATACAGGCGACGCTCACGCGTTTCTCCTGAAGAACCTCAATCTCCTTTCTCATTTTGTCGAGTTCCGCTTTCATCTTCACAAATCGCTCATCGTTTTCATCCTCCGCATTCAATTTTTCTCGAATCTCTCTGCAAAAAAACACTCACGGATTACTGTACTTCGTATTTTTTTGGCCAACTATGACCAACCGTTGAAGTTCAGCTTCGGCCTCTTCTAGTCGCTTCCTCAAGTTCCTCGTCTCTTCCTCCCACAACTTCCTCTGTTCCTCACGCTCATTGCATAGCTCGTCAATGTACTTGTTTTTCTCAAGACAGTCTTCATAATGCTCCTGAAAAAGCGCAAATGGCTCAAATTTTCGGAAAACGGGATACCTTGCAAATTTTCTGGAATTCCAATGCCACATTTCGGTTCTCATCCGCTTCCGACGCCTTCTGATGCACAATCCTCGTCAGCTCGTCGATGCGAATTCTGGAAATCGCGTAAAATAAGCTCAAAATCGGCGAGCTCGACCTACTCCAGCTCGCGGTTCGTCCTCAACACCGCCGCGTGCGCGCTCATCTCCTCCGTCGCCTTTTCCTCAGCTGCTTGAAGCTTCTCCTCAATCGCAATTTTCTCACGCTCCAACATCTGCTGAAGTTTCTCCATCGGCCTCTCCGAGTCGAACGCCTCGAGAATCTTGTGGCCCAGCTCGCCGAGCGCCTTCAGCTTCTCCTCGATGCGATTCTCATCCGTCGATATCAGCGATTCGACAACAGACACCTCCTCGTTCTCCGTCTGTGTCGACTTGTGCGTTGTCGAAATCGAAATATTCTGGCCCGGGTACGTTTCAAGCTCAACGAGACGATTCTGCAGCTGTTTGATCATCTCATCGCGATTCGAAATCTCGCTAAAATATTGAGCTTCCGCGTTTTTCTGCAAAAAGAAAACTCGATTTCTTGGGCGGTTTTGTTGAAGAAGAATAAGAAAAACCTTAAAATCTTCATACTCATCGATGATTTTCTCATTGAATTGCCTCAATTCCTCATAGAGCTTCATATTCTCGGCTGCTTCTCGTACAATATTCTCCTATGAAAAAAAAAACAAATTTTTTTCGGTAGGAAATCGTAATTTACCATCGCATTCTGCTTCGATTCAATGTCTTTTTTCAAATTCTCGCATTCGACTTCTTTCGACGCGCTTTCCCAAATCATTTTCTCCATTTTTCGGCGATTCTCATCGACAATCGCCTCGTTCGCCTCAAGCTTTTCGTCGAGCTCCGCAATTTTCGCGTCGCTCGCCCGAATCGCCGCGTTCAGCTCGTCAACCTCGTCGGCGGTGTGAGTGCGACGCGCGAGCTCCGCACGCAAAAAATCGATTTCTTCTTTGCTTTTTCGAATCTCCTGCAGCAATTCGCCGCATTTCGTCGCCTCATCCTCTTTCTAAAATTCGGAGAAAAAAAAACATTGCCAAAAAAAAATTTGGGATGTTGAAAAAAATTTCAAAAAACCGTGCATTCGAGACGTGCTCGGTGTTTGCAGACAACCGCCACCTACAGTACCTCAGACAACAAATTTTCCATTCTTTCGATTTCCTCGCTCATTTTTCGAATCTCTTTCGCGTTTTTCAGCGCCTCCACTTCAAACCCCTCGATTTTCTCATTAGCATTCGCCAATTCCACTCGAAATTCGTTATTTTCGCGTTTCAGCTCCATATTCGTCTCAATCAAATTCTGCTCGGCAGCATGCAAGTACTGAAAACCAAAAGATGAGCATTTTCAACAAAAAAAAACCTCATTTTCTTTTCGAATTTTCGAAATCTCCTCCAAATACTCATCAGAATCGGCTTGAATTCGCTCAAATCGCTTACATCGCTTTCGATTCTCGTCAAGAATTCGCTCGATCTCCGCATTTTTCGCCTTCAACGCCTCGTCGAGCTCAATTCGCAGCTCGCTCTCGCGTCGTTCGGCTTGCTCGCGATTCTCGTGCTCCTCGTCCAATTGTTGCTCGAGCTCTTTGATAATATTTTTCGATTCCGACGATTTCGCAAGCAATTCCTCGTTCTGAAATTTCGCGATTTTCCGGAAATCGAAACCATTAAAAAAAAATGCGATTCTTACATAATTCTCGGCTTCTTGCAACGACTCTTCGACATTTTTGAGCTTCTCAATCAATTTCCCGTTTTCGGTTTCGATCTCTTCGCGCTCTTTTCGCGATTTCGCCAACCTCTGCTCCAATTCATCGATTCGTTTGTGCGCTTTCTCATTTTTCGTCGCCAATTTCTCGCCGGTCTCCTCGAATTTCGATTTCATCGCTTCATAATCGAATAATCGATTCTCCAATTCGATTTTTTCGTTTTCGAGTTTTTTGATTTTCTCCGACACTTCCGACTCGTCTTTTTCCGTTTGTACATTCGCGTCCTGCAATTTTTGCCAATTTCTCCTTTAAAATGGTCTAAAAAATACCAAAAATTATGGGATTTTGATATCAAATCTGAAAAAATGTCTCAAAAACATAATTTTTTTTGGAAACTTCAAAAAAAAATCTCAATTTTTCAAGGTTGCTCATACTTTTTTCGAAACAAACCCCGACTATTTCAAGTTTTCTTTGTTTTCAGCAAAAAATTTTTTGATTTTCCAAGCAACGCGAATTATTCCTGATAAAATTCAATTTTTCATTTTCAATCTTAATGATTTTATTGAAAATCGTATTTTTCAAGAAAAAATCATTCAAAACTCAATTTTTCTCTTTTAAAAATGCGCATTTCTGCAATAAATGTGTTTTTGCTCACATTTTTCGGCGTATCAACTTGAACGATGGCGCTAGCGGTGATAATCCTCGGTTTCATATAGCTCTGATTGGCGAGCATCTGAAGTAAAATTGACAAAAATATAAGCTTTCAAAAAAAAAATAATATGAAGAGCGAATAAAAAAAAAAGAAACCTGATCGAGTTTCTGCTCAAAAATGCACGGATCGGCGTCAATTCGCAAAAAACTCGACGTGATTTCCTTTTTGATTTCATCTTTGAGTTTCAATTCGCCGATGTCGCCGAAATCGAGACGCGGAATTTGCGGCGCGGCGAGAATCGACGAGTTCAACTCGCGAAGGCGTCGCGTTTCGTTCACCAGCGACTCATTCTGCTCGCGAAGCGCCATATTCTCGCGTTTGCTGTCCTTCAGATCTTTGCTCAGATTCACCACATGCTTGAGAGCTTCTGAAGTCGAAAAAACACTCAATTTTCCAATTCAAACCCATTTCTTCTACCGAAAACGTCGCCTCTCGCTTCCGATGTATTCAAAGACCTCTCCGAAGCTTCCACATGATGTAATTCTTCTTGAAACGATCTGAAAATGCTCAAAAGGATTCCAAAAAGAAGTGCCCTTCGAGAATTACGAGAAATGCTCTTTTAGTGATCGCCTCTGCTCTCGTGTCCTCAATGGCGTTGAGGTTATTGGTGCAATTGGTGTTGAGGTGATTGGTGAAGTCGAACGCGACTGAAACTTGCGATTTTCAGCGGTGTTTTCGATTTTCGACTCACTGTTGATGGAATATCATCTCTTGGAGTCGGATAGCCGCTGTCGGGAGCTTGAAAATCGGGCGCATCCATCGAAAAACTGCAAGAAATTGAACGCAAAATTTGAATATTCCGAAATTGTGTGCATACACCGAGCGCACACATTGCGGACTTTTAGTTTGAGCTGCTGGATATTCTTTGGATTATATGTATATTTGAAAATTGGATTCATTTGATTAAGGATTACCTAAATTTGTAATTAAAAATAAAAATATTAAAAAAAAATAATTGTATTCAATATAACGAAAAAAAAAGAAAATTTTCAATAAATCTTTCGATATGATTATTTCAAGTAAATAGTGTAGAATTAATTACGAATTCTTTAGTTGATTTGCAGAAAACACTTAAAAAATTAATTCTTATCAGAAAATCACGAAGAAATGAAGAAAAATTCTAAAAATTGGAATTTCGAAAAAATAAAGTATTACCGTAACCTATGTAAAGGCGCATAGAGTAAATTGTTGAAAACTATTTCACGTTTAAATATTTAAAAATTTTGAAAATAAAAGTTTGGGGGAGTATATTGGGAATTGCGCGAGATTCCCATAAATTATCTTGTCATGTCGAAACAATAGGTGCTAATTGGGCCCCCAACTGTTCGGATCAACACGGACCACCCTAAAACAAACTATTGGTGGTCCGTTTGGCTCTCAATCGATAAAGTCATATTTGTCTAATCGACGAATGCCGTCTTCTCTATATTCGTATGATTTTGTGCCTGAAAATCTTGTGAAATTCAAAATTCGGCACGAGGTCCCCAATTTCGACAATGATTTTTTTGAGGCGGAACTCGAAACGAATGGAATACAATGGTGAGTATCGGCAATTTTTGCCCGAAAATTTCAAAAAACCCTCGTTTTGCCAATTTTCAGTCATTTTTTTCCAAAAATGCGCACGAATTTCGTGTAGAATTGGGCAAAAATATCCCAGTTTCTTGATTTTTTCAATTGTTTCCCGCGTGCGCCTTTAAACATCGATTTTTGATTTTTTTAAATTTTTTCCGCGAAGTTAAATGGCTGTGCATATTTTTCAAAAAAAAAAAAAGGATTTGAATAAAAATACCGTGAGAAATTAATTTCCATAATTGGCCAATTAATTAATTCAGGATAATTAACATCACGACGGGACTCATGGAGAACGCCGACATTCGCCTTCACATTTCAAACGGGATAAGCGTCGAGTTCGACGTGCAAACGAGTTTGGCGATTTTCCTCGAAGACGCCGACGGCGGTGTGGTCTCGAAGCGACATCGGTTCGACGAGAAGCTGAACACACTGGCCATGGAGTGGCCGGTATGTCTCGCATGCGATCCGTGGGAACCCACACAAATCCCATTTTCGAGAAGCGAGAGGCAAAAAATTTTTTTTTATTTCTTCAAAAAAAAAATTTGCGATTCAGAATCGGAAGAGTGCTGGTTTATGAGCTCGAATTGGCGGCAATTCGAAAAATCGAAATTCCCGAGGATCCGATGCGTCGAATTGGAGACATTCGCCTAAAATTTGGTCAAAAAATGCTCGTATCGAATAGAATGGTTTAAAAATCGAAAAAATTCAGTCAATTTTTATCGTTTTTTTGAAGCTTCTCTCAATCAACTCGTCGGTTTTTCGCGAAATTCTCCAAAATCGCGAAATTTGCGAAATCGTGTTGGACGACGTGGATTTTGTCGATTTTGCCACACTTCAAAATGCGATCATGCCGTTGCGCGAGCCGATTCCTAGTAATTCCGATTTGAGCCTAATCCGATAATCGACAATTTTGGGTTCAGAAACGAATTTGAGAGGCGTCTTGAAGATTGCGCGGCGATTCGACGTGCGGACCATCGAAAACGAATGCAGGCGATTGATTAAAAAATTTGGAGCCATCTGAATAAATATTTAGACTATTTTTTAGACTTGTAAGACACAATTTTCAAGCAGATTTGCTCTAGAAAGCCGCGATTTTCTGAAAAATTCGAATAATTTCATTATTTTCAATTAGTTTTTTCTTTGAAAACCCATTGAAAAATGGTTTTAAATTCTCAGGGCGTTTTTTCCCATGACTTGCGCAGCACGGGAAGGGGGTGGCATGTAAACGGCAGCCTGCGCAAAGACGTGGCAAGCTGCGGAAGAAATGCGCGAGGTGCCGTAATCGCGGGATTGTTACGGGTATGCTGCCCGTGGATATCGCATGTTGCCCGCAGGAAGCGCATTAGGTGGGCATGTTGGAGACGCAGACAGTGAGGGGATATCCGCTCTAATCGTTTAAACGATTTTTAAATTCCACGCGCTTTTTAACGCAAGTTAAACGTTTAAATTTTAATTGAATTAATTTTTTTTTAATCGATTTTTTATAAATTTTCAAATTAATATAATCTTCGTGATTTTTACAATTGTTCTAATGCATCTATCCATTCAGTGTGTGTAAATTTTTTTCGAATTTGGCGAGAAAACATCAATTGAAATCGAGAACTAAGTAAAATTATACGACGCAGAATTAAACAAAATTTTTACGGACCTTTTAATAATTTCTCTATTTTCATCGTTGCATCATTAAGATTACATTTACTTCCAGGTTATTGACCGCGACCAAAGTGGATCGACGAACCAAAACTCTAGGTAAGATCTAAACAATTTCTGGATATCTATATTTGTGTTACTTAAAAATGGCTACGCATATCTAAATAGGGATAAGCAATATTAAAAATTAATTAATTAAAAAAAATATTCTTTCAGCACATTCATTGAAGAGAAATAAGAGGTCGAGGGCATCGTCTAAGATAACGTGGGAAATGATTTGCGGCACGAAAGACTAAATTTGCTGAAAGTGTAGCTGCATTCGATCCTTGCGAAAGATTAGTTTGGTCCGTAAAAAATAGCATGAAAAAACTCAGCGTTTCTGGAATGCCTTCACCCTTTAAGGTAACAATTATAATTAATGCATTCTTTCAAATATCTCTTCAGAGTCTTATTATCTTGGATATATCTACATTGATTCATCCATCGTCAGAAATTGATCCAAAAGCAGTAATTTCATTTTATCTTTTTCAGATACTTCAAAATGTTAGGGAAGTTTTTGTGTCAAATGACTTATTCAATTTTCAGCTGACGGAACCGGTTCAAGAAATTCAGAAATTCACAGTTCGCGATCGTCAAGAAAGTAAAAATGCGACACTGGAAAACTTGCCGCAACCAATCGTGGATGTAATAAAAAGTAAAAAGCTGACAATTGAAAAAAATACTAATCGAATGTTTTCAGGATTTTTCATTCAATTGTTCGGATTGAATTCGAACATTTATTCAAATCTTTGCTTGACCGACATTGAATTGAAGGATAATTCGTAAGCGGTATTAATTAGACAACTATAACAAGTTATTCTTTAAGGGACTACATGACGTTTTGAGTAAACAAAAACGAAAGAAAAGAAATACTCCACGTTCGTCGAGCCATGCATTATCGATTGCAAAATGTAATCTTGCCGGCGAAGTTGAAAGCGGCAATGTAAGATTCTACTCAATTTAAATACATAGAAATATATAAATTTTTAGGACAGAAATTCGACTGGCAAAGATTGCAATTGGGGAAAACGGGAATACATTCCTAAAAAAGAGAAGTGTGAGCATTTTCTTTCATTCTTACATGAACTAAAATTATCGAATTTGATGCTTTTAATCTATGAAAACGTTTAAAATTCTTCAAATTTGACGTTTTATTTATATATATATATATATCTCTCTTTTTTTACTTTTAGAGGCATTCCAAAGTGGACAGCGCTTGATTCAATGCATTGGAACCGATTTTTTTCTATGATAGTTATAATTATTTAAATGTTTTGTATTGTTATTTTTTGAGCTTTCTTTTTTAAATAAATGATGTTTTTACGCTTAAAACTGATGATATATGTATTAATACAATGAATATTATGTTGAAATCTGTTAAAAGTGAAGCGATATATGCTGCGATTGGTTATAGCCTTCGAATATCCCGTAACAATCCCGTGAATCCCCCGCGTCAATCGCAGGCCTGCGCGTGTTTTGGGGCAGGCCTGCCACATGCCCGGCACACGCCTGCCCAAAATGACGAGCAGGCGTGCCCCAAAACACGCGCAGGCCTGCGCAAAATCTCCCTGAGTTCGAGAAAAATAATTACAGTAACAAGTTTCAAGGCGCATGTCGGAAATCGTAAATAATTTCACGCCTAAAATTTAGCAAAATAATAAATTGCTTCAAAAAAAGCTCGAGAATTTCAAAAAACCGCAACATTAAAATCATTAGTCGTTGATTAAAACGCGTACGCAAAATTGGTAGTGCGTGTTTGCACATTTTCCATAGAATCATTAAGATGTGGTGCAATCACGCCGTATGAATTCTGCGGACTTGAAAATTTTCATCTTTCTTCAAGGGACCACTTAAATTTTTCACAAAAACTGATAAATTTTATGCACACCACAACATTGAACAAAAGAAAAATGATAATTTCGATGGAATTTGGCCAATTTTTTAAAATTGGCAAAAAAAATGCGAATTTTCACATACAAAAAAGTAATAGGGGTTTTTTTTTGAGCACAATACAACACAAAAATTTTTGTACAAAAAAAATCAATATTCGTAGCCTCCAAATTCGTCTTCAACAACCTCGTTTTGCCTGTAAAAACAATACCATATTTGGGTTTTGTGTGCGAATCACATGCAACAAAAAAAATATCATTTATTTCAATGAAAATATGATACAATTGTGGCGGAATGGACAAAAAATGCGCTTTTTGAGGCAAAAACATGCAATAGATCTTGAGAAAAATCTCGAAAATTCAGACAACTGGTGGATTCTTCAATTAATTATGCAATTATTAGGGTATAATTAGTGTTAAAGCTTCTTTTTTTTTTCATGGAAGGGGAATATTCATGCCAGGCAAAATTTGGGAATAATTTAAATGCCTACTGTTTTTGACGGGATGGCTGAGATGATTGGAAAATCGCCGACGACGTCATCAGATTTTGAATGTACTGGCCTAATACTTGATTTTCAGACGACAATTTCAGACTTTCCTCTTTGACCGAATCGACGCGTTGAGACAAATCTGAAAATTGGTTTGACAAAAAATAAATTTGGGCATTGTGGGAACAAAAAAAATTCGATTTTCTCGAAGATTCCGCATTAAATTTGAAATTTTAAAGGCAATTTATCAAAATTTTCCGCCAAATTTGGACATATTTCATTTACCATCGAGTGTGTTTTGAAGCTCGAGAACTTGTGTTATGAGTCGCGCTTTTTCCTCGGGATCCTCCGGCGGCTCCTCTTTCGGAAGCGGCTGAGCAGCTCGCGGCGTTTTTCCGCCGCTGATGATCGTGTCGGTGTCATCTGAAGAAAATTTCGAATCGATTTTTGCCTGTCAAATTTCGACTCACCATCGTCGGCCAATGGAATATCGTCATTCTTCTCGCTCATTTTTTCGGCGTTCTGAAAAATTGAGTAAATTTTGGAGACAAGAAAATGAGGAACACAACCAAAATCGATATGAACACTCTGTGGCGACAGACGACGAGAGCGATTTTCCAACACCAATTAGGCAAACGCGCTCCATCGCACATTAATAACGTGTGCATTTCGCTTTCATTTTCCAACCAATTTTCGTGGAATTTTCGATTTTCTCGCAATTTTCGCGCTTCAGCCATGATCAGCGACGTTCAACTCGGAATTGCTGCCAATATTCTCGGCATTACGATGCTATTGCTCGTCGTCTTCTTCCATTACTTGACTGCCAACCAGAAATCGCGCTAAATGGTAATTAACGCTGATCGCATCAATATTTTAATTGATTTCAGACATCTGGAGTTACTGTTTCAAATGTGATAACCAAAGAATTTGGGTTGCTTTATCTGTTAAATCGTTTTTTTTTTTCGAATAAATTATTTTTGGGGCATCGTTTCAAAAAACTTGAATTTTGTCTGGTGCAGTGCTTGTTTTGCACTTTGAATACTTGAAAATTAGTTGTGAATTTTGCGATTGCGAAACTTCAGCTTATGAGCACACAGCATCGCGGTTTTGGCAGCCAACCAGGACCATCATCGTTTAGCACGGCGACATCGCCATCATCGCTCCGCAATTTTCGATACGAGCCGGCGAGAAGCGGCTATACCTCGCCGGGCGGCTATTCAACATACTCGACTAGGTAATTTTTTCGTCACAATTCCAAATAATACTATTTTTTTAAAATTTAAATATGCGGAATATTAAGTATTCTAAAAAAGGAGCTCGTTAGAATGAAAATGTGCACTTTACACTCTGAGCAGAGGTCAGAGTGTCCACTCTTCCAGTTTTTCTCAGTGTAATAATGCTCAATGACGCCTAGTTTTTACAAATTCTCCTCTCATCGATATTAACGATGTTGCGATTTTCAGCACCGCCGATCGCGTCGGCTGCCTGACGGCTGTAAAAATGTCGGCGTTCGCGAAATTGTCGCGTTTCACTCGCCGCCTCATCCATATAAGCCAAATGGATTTCGAGTTCGCCGCGTGGCAAATGCTCTACCTTCTCATTCAGCCGTCGAAAGTGTTCAAGAATTTCCTCTACCGCAAAAGTGGCGTTTTTTTTTTTAAATTGCTCTCAAAAAATTAGTTGTTCATTTTTTAGGGACCAAGGACCAATTCGCACGCGACGATCCCGCATTTTTGGTGCTTCTCTCGTAATAGACGAACCTTTTTTCCAGTCATAATCTCAAATTCCAGATTATCGCTGTTGTTCTCGTCGATGTTCTACGCGTACGCGTTGGGCCTCGAGAAATTGGGATTCGTCAAATTTTTCCTATGGTCCGTCTTCATTGATTGCATCGGAGTTGGAATCGCGATTGCCACGTGTCTCTGGTATACTTTTTATTTCACCTTCGATTTCTCGTCAAAAAAAGTGTTTTCCTCCCATTCAAGGTGGTTTTCGAATCGGTTTTTGCGAAAAGTGAAAGATCAGGATGTCGAATGGGGATATTGTTTCGATGTGCATTTGAACGCGTTCTTCCCGATGCTCATTCTGCTCCATGTCCTTTTGCCGATCATCTATCCCAGTATGTCGGACCCCTTCCATCCAGAGACCTGTGTGATTTCAGCGCTCATCAACACCCCGTCGTTCTTCTCGATGTTCTTGGGCAATACGATCTGGTTCATGGCGGCCGTCTACTATGTATATATCACATTCCTCGGTTATACAGGTTTGTGGTTTTTTAAAACTATATTTTTTTTTGAATTGGGCATTCAATGGGTGTTCCAACCAGTTTCTAGATAATTTTGAGACACTATTTTTTTGAATTTGTATTTTTTTCTTGTGATTTTGGTTTGAAACACATTAAGTACAAACCAAGAAAAATTGGAGAACACACTAAATCGAGGGTGATTTGTAATTGGAGTGTCGTACTGGCAGAATTTTGTGAGAATTTTTGAAAAGATAAAAAAAAAGAAAAACTTTTCAATTCTTTTTGAATGATTGCCTAAAATAGGCCCGTTTGGATAATGGCTCTTTTCTTTTGCCACATTTATTTGCTGTCGATCGACAATACATAGAATTGTTGACATTTCGATTTACAGCGTTGCCGATACTGCACAAGACGCAGTATTTCCTGTACCCGATGTCATTTATCTTCATGTTTTTCGTGGCGACACTCACAGCTGGCTGGAATATCTCGAAGACGGCGCTCTATTTTTATCATTCGCGTGCCGAGCCGCATCTTTTTGAGCATGTGAACAGCCTTTGAATGGTCCCCCCTTCCTCCCCGCCTTCACTTTAAATTATATTATATCGTATAATCGAGAACGGACGAATTTGTCGATGCAGATGGTTTGAATTGCCGCCTTGATTGGAAATTTTTGGATCCCGCCCAATTTGAATTTTTCAAATTCGTCCGACCACGACTATATACATAATTTATTATATATATATATATAGAAAGAGAGTATTAGGAAGGGATTATGATGTCTTCCTTTGAAATCCGGCAAATTTTTATTGTGACGAGTGATTCCTTCATTTTTCATTTCTGTTGTTCGTAAACCATGTGTTTAATGTGTTTTTTTTCGTTGTTCCCAATCAATAAAGTGCAACTGACGTCGGCGGACCATCGTGTCTCGTGCTCGTATCACTTGGCGGGCTCCCGAGAGGGACCACGTATAATTGAATGCGAATTGTTGGTTGTTTGTTCAGCGCTCTTCAAATGCTTCATCTTCTTTTCGAGAAAAAAAACCCTATAATTTCGGCGTGCCACCGGCGGAAAACAAATTAACCGTTAAGTAGTTTTTTTTGGCTTCCATTCGCCGAGATTTTCTTCAAATCGCGTTTTCAATTTCGTCTTCTAGTTTTCCTATTTTTTCTTTTGCCGTTGAGAAAATGCGCTCCATTGTAAATCTCGCTTTTGATCATTTTTGATAAGCGTTTGAAATTTCGTCGTGAGACCACTTTGAACATGCAGTTGTCCCGATAAAATGGAATTTTCCAGTGGGTGATAGTTAAAGGTGCCTTGTGGCGTAACCCGGAAAAATGTCCGCAGATGTTTACACTGAGAATCTCTCTATTCTGATGTATTGCTTGCTTTGAAAATCGATAGCTGAATAGGCATTGGTGCGTGGCGAGACCATTGCAATGCCCGTAAATCAACAACTACCTGAGAGAGGGAACCATCACCCACACAAAAAATGGAATTGTAGGTGGCACATGAAAAATACCGTCCTATTATTATGCGTTTTTCGTTTTTCAAAAAGGAAAATCGGTGAGTTGCCATAAAAGGCAAAAATTGAATATGTAAAACAGTACGTTTCTGTGTGCTTTGGTTCTTTTGCCGCAAAAAATCGCATTTTTATTCTACATAGTTGGAATTGAAGTTTTTTTTTTCAAAAAAAAACATTTTCAAGATATTAATGGTCCGTTGATGTCAGGTCCTCCTCTTTTTGGTTTGGCTTCCATAAATGGAATAGGGCACCTGTTAATCAATATGAAGGCAAGTGAGAGGAAGAGGCGGAGAGAGAGAGGAACGAGAAGCCTCAGAGTTTGATTGATACATAATATTCATAAGCTAAAGCCCCCCCCCCGTGTGTCAGCTTCATCCTCATATTATATATCATATAGATAGATGATAAACTGGAGGGTGGTCAGACCCCTCTCGTTGCTTGCGTTTTTTTTGTTGCTTTTTGAACATTTTTATTTTTCTTCTGACTAATGTTGATTATTTTGAATTTGGTCCCTTCTGGTTTTTTCTCGTTTTTAAATTTGCCGGCCGCTTTTTTTTTCTGGAGCAACTATTTGAATTTTGCCATCTCCAGACGAGGAAGGAAGCAAAAAAAAAGAAAAATCGAGTGATGTTCGATATTAGCGCTTCTTTCTCGAAATGTCTCATTCCAATTTCCACTGGAATTTTGCCGATTTCCGAAACGAAATCGCATCATTCCGAAAAAACGCCCCGTCGCGACGAATTTTTCATTTTTGCTCCATTCATCAACCAAAAATAGAACATTTTCGGCGAATCCATTTCATCATTTAATCTGCTTTCGTCAATAACGTCTATTTTTAGAAAAAAAAAAAACGAAAAATGGGCTGCGGACAGTCGAGCGGAAGGCCGCCGCCGCCATCCACTGAGTTGAGTAAGTTTATTGTGTGCAATTGTACGTCGCGGTCAACCGCACACTCATCGTCTCTTACCGTAACCAACCCACGATTTTTAATTCATTTTTTTCTCTTGGCTCTAATTTCGCTTTTGCTTCAAATTTTTTATAGAAAAGGCGTCGTTTCGAGCGTCATCATCGCAGATCAACGTCATTCAGCAGCAAAACCAACCGCCGCGGCCAACGGACCATCGAAAATCGCAACGAAAGAGTCGGAAACGCGCGCCATCTCCTCAACCGCAGCTTAGTGAGCATTTCTTTTCATTGCGGTGTTCCCTATGGTTTTTTTTGTTGTTTGGTTTGGTTTTTTGCCCGTCTAATTTATAATAATTGGCATGTTTGGGTTTTTGTCGCAAATTGGTGAATTTGCAGCCATCAAGTCGGCGATCCTCATCCAAAAATGGTATCGACGATGTGTGGCGCGATTGGAGGCGCGACGGCGTGCCACATGGCAAATATTCACCGCGTTGGAGTATTCCGGCGAGCAGGATCAATTGAAGGTGTGAAAACAAAAAAAAAACGGAAATTTGAAAAACTCATCGCCTATTTTTTTCTGCTGTCAGCTGTATGACTTTTTCGCTGATGTCATTCGAGCAATGAACAATGAGAACGGAAGTAATGACGACGGACGCGATTCGCCGCTTCTCAGCGCTCTATCGCAGTACGCCAAGCCATCGGCATCAGGTGCGTCGGACAAAAAAAATTGGCAAAAAAAACACATTTATTTAATTTTTTATGAATTAATCCGCGATTTAGACGAGTCTAAACATCCTGAAAAATGTTTTTCAGCTGACAAATTAATTTAGATCTTTAAAAACAATGTTTTCAAGCTGTTTGAAAGGGATTATTTGGAAATTCTATATAGGAAATTGTCATTTCCCCGCCCACGCAATTATGTGAATTGAAAAAGTGCCCTATGATATCAAAAAAAAAATGTATTATAGGAGATTATCGAATTTGTTTGGTTTTTGTTTGCCCCGGAAGATAATCAAAATCGCTTGAAATCGTTTTCAGACGTCGACGGCGAGACAATCAAACGAATGCTGGAAGAGACCGACTATAAGCAATTCGAGGTCGATCGAAATTACAAGGGTCCGACGCTCAGTTTGCCGCTGACGAAAGCGCAAGTGGCGACGATGATCGAGGCGTTCAAAGTGAACAAGGTGCTCCATCCGAAGTTCGTGTTGATGATACTGCACGAGGCGCGCAAAATCTTCAAGGGCCTTCCGGCGGTGACGCGATTGTCGACGTCGATATCGAATCAGGTGACGATTTGCGGCGATCTTCACGGCAAATTCGACGACTTGTGCATCATTCTCTACAAAAACGGCTATCCGTCCGTCGACAATCCCTACATTTTCAACGGCGATTTCGTCGATCGCGGCGGCCAATCGATCGAGGTGCTGTGCGTGCTGTTCGCGCTCGTCGTCATCGATCCGATGGCGATCTATTTGAATCGTGGCAATCACGAGGATCACATCATGAATTTGCGCTACGGTTTCATCAAAGAGCTCTCGACGAAATATCGCGATCTGTCGACGCCGATAACGCGTCTCCTCGAAGACGTCTTCTCGTGGCTGCCGATCGCGTGCATCGTCGACCGCGACATCTTCGTCGTCCACGGCGGCATTTCGGATCAGACCGACGTCGACAAACTCGACAAAATACCGCGTCATCGATTCCAGTCGGTGTTGCGGCCGCCGAACGAGAAGGGCGTCGGCGGCGGCGGCGGCGAGAACTCGGTGAGCATCGACGAGTGGAAGCAGATGCTCGACATCCTTTGGAGCGATCCGAAACAGAACAAAGGCTGCTGGCCGAACGTGTTTCGCGGTGGCGGCTCGTACTTCGGCGCCGACGTCACCGCCTCGTTTTTGGAGAAGCACGGCTTCCGGCTGGTTGTGCGATCGCACGAATGCAAATTCGAGGGCTACGAGTTCACACACAACAACACGTGAGTGCAAAGAAAATTTGTGCTCCTAGATGAAAAAAAAAGGAATTATTCAGATGTCTTACGGTATTCTCGGCGTCGAACTACTATGAAACTGGCAGCAATCGAGGCGCCTACGTGAAATTCATTGGCAAATCGAAACAGCCGCATTTTGTGCAGTACATGGCGAGCAAAACGCATCGGAAATCGACGTTGCGAGAACGGCGAGTTTTTTTTTTGTAGGCTCACGTCGCGAACTAGTCATTTCTGATTTCCAGATTGGGCGTCGTCGAGGAGTCGGCGGTTCGAGAGCTCAAAGAGAAGCTCTCGTCGTTTCACACCGATTTGCGGCGCGAATTCGAGGCGGCCGATTCGAATCGAACAGGTTGCCTTGTTTTTTTCTTTTTTGTTTGCGATTCGATCGATTCTTAGGCGAATTGCCGATTCCGAAATGGAGCGAGTGCGTCGAGCGAATCACCGGCTTGAATTTGCCGTGGATCGCGTTGGCGCCGAAAGTGGCGACGCTGAGCGCCGACGGCAAATTCGTGTTGTACAAAGAGGACACGGTGATCGCGCAGGTCGGACGAACGCACGCCCAGGAGAAGGGCATCGTCGAGTCGTTGTATCGGCACAAGAGCACACTGGAGACGCTGTTTCGCTTCATGGACAAAGACAACTCGGGACAGATATCGATGCAGGAGTTCATCGACGCGTGTGAGGTGAGCAAATGTGGAATTGCGTGTCGAGAATCGGGTCTCGCGACGAACTCGCCACACGGACAAGGCCATTTGACAAAAAAAAAATGCAAAATATTCCATTCCGATTTATTTTGGTTGTTTCTAGGCGCTTGGAAAATACACGAAGAAGCCTCAAGATTTGAGCTACATCACCCAAATCGCCGAATCGATCGATTTCAACAAAGACGGATTCATTGATTTGAACGAGTTGCTCGAAGCGTTCCGTCTCGTCGACCGACCTCAATAGTCGTTGTTGCATGCTTCTGTTGCTGTTGTTGTTGCTGTTATTGTATTGTCGGTGTCAAACGACTGAAGTGAGACGGAGCCTTCGAATTCGCGAAATTCGTGTAGAATTATACAATTTGTTGATTCTTGAAGCGATTTGAGAAACAAAAATCAGCCGTGGTACTGTAGGATTCGAAGAAACGTGGCCGCGGTCGAGGTTTTTTTATTTTTTCGTTCACTCGTTTGACACTAACAATACTTGTTTGTATTTTTTTGAATTCCCGCCGAGACCAACATTTTCATTTGGTTTATTTCATCTAAAAACGGGTTTAGAGCGAGGTTTTGTGGCCCCCCAAAATAAAGAAATGTCCAGAATTTGAGGATTTTTATCCTTTTATTCATTCTTTGCTATGAAACGCCCTCGATTTTTTTTTTCAATTTTTTACCATTTAAAATTTCCGTATATATATATAGTTATAATAAATTGGTGTCATTTTTGTATTGATTGATTTTTGGTGAGCGCACAAGCTGTTCAAATATGGCGTTGAAGGCCTACTCGAACAATGATTGTGAAATGGAATGTGAGCTCATTGAATTCCAACTATGTTAATCCTATTGTTCGTATTTGCGATTTCCTTATTTGGTAAGGCGATTTTCAGCGAATAATATTGTTTTTTCGAGTACTGTAGTGAAATTGTGCAGATTTGCGTCGCGGTGAACACAGAAAGAATGTATTGATGAAATTTTCCAAATTTTTGAGTGGATCTTTTTTTAATGGACTTATTCATACAATGAAAAAAAAATCAATTTTTTTTTTCATTTGAATTCCCTATGCACGCACGTCGAAAATTACAAAAAGTTGACGCGATATATCGTAATTCTCCGCTATTTTTTTTAAAGTCGCACGCGAAAAGTTGCGCGGGTCACGTCGCGAAGTCGGTACTGTAATTTTTTAATGGCTGTTTTTTTTCGAATTTTTTATTTTTTGAGCGTTTAAAACGTTTTCTTTTGGAAATCTGTATAAGTATATTGTTTAATCAACACTAAAGGTTCATTGGAAGCGGCATAGAGTGAAGTCTGCATCCAATTAACACAAATACCACAATTTTTTTAAATAATAATTGGCATCTAAATAGCGAAAAATAGACTTATTGTTGAGAAATGACAAATGTATCTAGGTGTCGTGGGATCCTGCGTTTTGTACGCAATGCGATGAGCCAGTTACCGTAATCCTCGCAGCGATTTACGGCTTTTTTTTTAAATTTCTTTCAGTTTTTTTTTGCTGTATTTTCTTATTTTCTTTGGAAATCTTTTATTTAAAACCTGTAGAAACCGAGTTGAATTATTTAATTTTCAGAATATGCACTTTTCCATTTGTCTAGTTGAGTTGGGAATTATTTTGAAGATTTTGACGCCCTAAAAATTATTTTGAAAATGAAGAATACAAAAACAAGATAATAGAAACGCATACAAAAAGCAAAACACGATTAAATAATTTTATTAACGACAAAAATTATTTCTTTTTAATCTCTGCTGTTCTTACCAAAAAAATATCGTTTAAAAGTGCTTATTCTGCTAAATAAATTATTAAACTCGGTTTCTGCAAAATTTAAATAACAAAATTTCGAAGGAAAATACGAAAATTGAGCGAGAAATAAAAAAAAATGAATATGCGAAATTTAAAAAAAGCCCCGTAAATCGCTGCGAGGATTACGGTAACTGTCTCTTAGCATTGCGTACAAAACGCAGAATCCCACGACACCTGGATACATTTGTCATTTTTCAACAATATATTGTGGAATTTGGAGTAATTATACCAACAATAATTGTTTTTATTCGTTCTTAAATCTGTAACGCATTTTCTGTTCAAAATTTTCTAAAAATACGGAAAAATAGCACATAGAATGAAAAATAAAAAATTACAGTACCGACTTCGCGACGTGACCCGCGCAACTTTTCGCGTGCGCTTTTAAAAATAAATAGCGGAGAATTACGGTATATCGCGTCAATTTTTGTTTTCATTGCAAGAATAGTCCATAACTTAACGTGTTTTTATTGGAATTTCATATATATATTTTGCATTCGTTATAATTAAAAATCCCCCTAAAATTGATTATGTGGCTATTTTTAGGGTTCCGTGCGGATTATTTTTTGAAAAAAATGAAAAATTATAACTTGACTTGATTTTCTTCCGTTTCTGTAGGGTACTGTAGACGAAATGTGCAGATTTGTGTGTCGGTGAATACACACTAAAATCGGCAAATCGATATTTTGCGGCGTGTTTTGGATGATTTTCTCGTTTTTGCAAAATTCTCAATGTTTAGAATTGTATTTTTCTTGCAAAATTATTAATTGTCACCTATTTCAACCAATTTCTGACATTTTAGGTCCAGTTTGTTGTGTGTTAACGTGTCCGAACAACACACTGCCATTTGATTATCAGGCATGTGATCCGCAATTGAGATCACAGTGTCCGGCAGGGTTTACGTGCAGGTAAGAGACCTACAGAGGAAGACAGAGAGTGATTTTGAATTCGCAGAGAGGCTCGCGATGAAGGCGCCACCGGAAATTTGTGCTGTGAGAGCGGAACGATGACAATCGGCGACTGGCTGGCCGAGAAGAAGATCACACCCGATATTCTGCCGACGGCGCCGTTCTCGCTGATCACCCGGCTCCAATTGGCGCCGATCAATTCGAATTTGAATTTCCCGCCAATTCACATCGGCGACGAGATTGTCGTGTTGAGTTTCGCCGACTACCAAATTGGGATTGTCGAGAGTTTGCGGCTCGCGGCGCCCGCCGAACCCGGATTTTACCATGTGCTCACGATGATCGGTAAGCGAATATCAAAATTCGAATTTTTTTGTGTTTTTTATTGTTGGCAATTTTCAGACGCGCCGTTCAAACCGTTCGCGTTCTATTTCAACTACAACATCGCGAGCACCGCCACCGGCGACGTCCTGAATGTCACCAGTTCTCAACAATTTTTGGCGTTTGTCGACAATTCCACGATTGTTCCCGGCGCCGACGCTTGTGAGTGAAAAAGAAAAGAACAAAATCGATTATTGTCGTGGACGGACCAATTTGAGAAATTTGAATTGCGCGGGCTGCCGTTTGATTGGTCCCGCAAAAAAATCGACTCACGTTCCGCCATTCGGCACAAAGTACTTAAAAAATATGCTTTTTCATATTATGATAATTAGAGTAGGTAAAAATCGCTCCGAAATTTTTTTCCATACGAGACCCAAAGCGGCAATTACACCCCATATTTGTCCGTAGTCGACTATATGTAAATATTGAGATCGTCATCAGTATCTTGTCCTCGTCTACTACACACCGGCGGCGATATCATTCAACGGAAACTCGGCGGGTTTGGCTTCCTTCTCATCGTCGCCACCTTCAAAGGGTGCCGGTTTTGCAGATGAGATGCTTCTCGGCTCGTGCAACGACGCGCGTTGCATGTTCGCGAGTTCGCCGTTCGCGTCGAGACTCAATCAGCCGAACGCGGCGACCCTCTTCTACTTGACGACGAAGAAGAGCGTGTTCGCCACTTCGACGCCGCCCGACTCAGCGATCGCGGCGGCGGTTTTGTCGCCAATCCTCGTCGTTTTCGTTTTTTCCCTTTTATGGTGATGCTCGAATTGATAAAGCAAATTATTCGCACTACGGGTTTTGTCTTTGAGAAAAGAATAAATTCAGAATGAGATCCGAAAAATGAAATGATGGTATGAAACAGAATAATCGAAATTTGCCAAAAAAAAATGACGAAACTCGCTTTTTCGCGTGTTTCCATGCGAGACGCAGGGTTGTCAAAACGGGCCCAGGGCCGGGCCGAGGACCCTGTTTTTTTTTCAACCTTAACAAGAGAAATTTCATTTTAAACATCTGCGAACATTTTTCAGGTTGTTATTATTGCATTAATATTTTATTTTTTCGAATACAAACAGATAGATTTATTGTTTAAAATTTTCATGTCTTCTATTACCATTACTTTCCATACCGCGTTATTTTTAGTTTTTTTCCTAAATTAATTTCATTAAAAAGTTTATTCTAGTATTAGTAATTTTTTCAATACGACGTTAGATTCCATTATCAGTTTCTTCACTACTTCATTATAAAATGTCCTATGGTTTGTAGAATTTCTTGATTTCCGCGTCAACGGAGTATCCATATGAAAATTATTTTATTTCATTGACATTTAATCGCTAATCACATGAGAAAAATTGCAAAGCATCAATAGAATGAGAGAAAAAACGACTAGAAACGACGCTCCGCGTTTACGTTGCTTATTGTTTAGTGTAATTAGCGTCGGCGGAAATTCAAACTGGGCCCGTAGGGCCCCCCGGCCTTGTTTTTTTTTTTGACAACCCTGCGAGACCCAAGGCGACAATTTCGAAAAGTCGCTCAAATCGGTATGTTTTTACACTTTTTGAAAAAAAAAATGCTACATGCAGATGAAGCTGCGACGTCAGATTGAGTGGAACAGCTTCTGGATTGTCTTTGCGACTTGTGATACTAATTTTAGCTGATTTTAATGATGTTTAAATATTTCACAATAAAGATTCTTCGCGAAATTCTCGTTTTTCAATTATTCGACAATATAGCGAATTATTGATTTTTTCACTATGTAATTTTTCTGACGAAAAATGAATTGAAAACAAATCTGCATTGAGGTCGGTGTTTGCAGAATGCGCGCCAACTGACGACGATATGCACACAGATTTAATTCAATCAAAATTTTGAATTTTCACCTAAAAACTGCAATTCTTCAAAAAAATTTTATCAGGAGACGAGTGCGCGCGCGTAAATCGACACCCATACGCCTCATGCGCCTTTGAAGTTGTCGCGACCCTCTCGATTTGCCATCATCTCTAATTGTCTTTGTTGAACGCGAAGAAAAATCAACGTTTTGTTGCAATTTTCGCCGGGGGGAGTCAAAAAAATTTGATATTTGGACAGCTTTTGTCTGAACCAAATAAATATCGAAAAAAAATGATGAAAAAATTGCGGTAAAACAAATGCTGCTCGTCGTCGCGTTTGGCGTTTTCGTCGCGGGACCCGTATTCGCGCAGACCGTCTCCGATGAGGCCGCAATTGCGCCACAGTCGAATCCCACAGTTACACCAAATCAATGGGTAAAAAGAGCTGAAAATTGCCAAAAAAGTGATGGGTTGTCTGCAATTGCGCGTCAATTAGCGCGCAATTTCTGCAAACACCGCTACACATTTCAAGCCTAAAATTTTCATTTATCATTTTTTTAAAATTTTATTTCAGATTTTACCCACTCTTCCTACGATTGATCCGAACGCGTGGCTCAAATTGATTCCGAGTTTACCGCCGCTTGATCCAAACGCGATCCTCGTAGGAGATTTGTGTGATCCGCGTTTGATCCAATTCTGAAATTTCCAGGCGAATCTACCCACATTGCCACCGATTCCGACGTTGGATCCGAATTTTTGGGCGAACCTTCCAACGCTGGCACCCCTACCAACTTTGGATCCAAATTTCTGGGTAAGTCATAATCCAGATGGATCAGTTTGGATCATTTTGAGATTTGCAGAATAATTTGCCAACATTGCCAACTTTGGATCCAAATTTCTGGGCGAATCTTCCAACGCTGGCACCTTTACCAACTTTGGATCCAAATTTCTGGGTAAGTCATGATCCAGATGGATCAGTTTGGATCATTTTGAAATTTTCAGAATAATTTGCCAACATTGCCAACATTGGATCCAAATTTCTGGGCGAACCTTCCAACGCTGGCACCCCTACCAACTTTGGATCCAAATTTTTGGGTGAGACATAATCCAGACGGATCAGTTTGGATCATTCTGAAATTTTCAGAATAATTTGCCGACATTGCCAACATTGGATCCAAATTTTTGGGTAAGTCGTTTTGAGACCATTAATTGAAAACGCCGCTGTGTACTCCGCACGGACAAGGCGGCCCTCAAATTTTCCTCGAAAGCTACAGTACTCCGTTGGGGTATTGACGAGAAACATTTTCAGAGCAATTTGCCAACGCTTCCGCCGTTTCCGACCATCGATCCGAATATTTTCGTGAGACAAAATTCGATTTTTGGGAAAATGTTCACATTTACAGAAAATCGTGCCGAGAGCCGAACAGTGCGCCTTTAAACTGCACGAGGAGATCGCGAAAAACGCGGCTGACTTCAATTTCACCAACATTCGCGCGCTTTTCGACGATTTGAGTCGAAAAGTTGGCCGGTTTTTCGTTTTTTGCTTTCGAATTTCGCTTTTCTAGATGGCAATCGTGTGCAGCGTCGAGCAGCGTCGAAAATTCGGCGAATTTTTGGCGAAATATCCGGATTTGATTGAAAACGCGCAGAGCGTTCGCGAATTGCCGACGGTGACCGACGAGGAAACGCGAAATGTCGTCGACGGTGTGCTGAAACCCGACGGTTTTGCCGTTTTGCAATTTTTCCTCAAAAAATCGATGGTAAATTGCCTTTTTTCTATCGAAAATATGCACATTTTTTTGGAAATTGTGATTTTTAAGCAAAATTTGCGATTTTTGATGAAAAATTCAACAAAAATGCATGAAAAAAAAATAATTTTTCAAAAAAATTGTCGTCAAATAGTGCGCATTGAGGTGTCGGTGTTTGCGGAATGCGCGCGACCTGACGACGAGCTGCACACGTTTTTTCGGTCAAATTTTTTTCCCACCCTATTTTTATCGAAAAATCTCGCATTTTAAGCTGAACATGTGCAATTTTTCAGGAAAACCTGCAAAATCCGACGGCCACTGCAATTCTCAACAAATTATCAACACAATTGTCGATAATTCAACTCGATTTGCTGTTTAGCCCAATTTAGGCGATTTTCGTCGAAAATACCTCATTGTTGTCCAATAAATACGCGAGTTTTTTCAATTGAATTCGAAGAAAACGAGGTTTTTTTTTTTCTAAAATTGTCTGAATCATCAATTAGTTTGCTCGAAATCGAGTTTTATTTTTTTTTTAAAGTTTTTAATTTATCGATTTTTACGCTCACAAGTTTTCTAGGGACCATCAAAATTAGCGGAAAAGAAGATTCCAAAAAAAAAACGAAATCGAAAATCCCATGGGGGTAATCCAATATTGGTTGTTCGAAGAAGAAGAAGAAGACGAGCCATGTTTTTGCGCGGCCCAGCTTCTCCTTTTCTTGTGGTGGTCCAACGCACACGCACAAAATGTCAAATTTGAGAAGCGTGCGAACCCAAAAAGAAAAAGCGAAAGAACGAATTCAATTCTTGGCCATTTCGTCGTCTTCATCGTGTTTTTTTTTTGTCGCTGAGCCATTGGAATTTCAGGTTTCTCTTGGCAGCCGCCAACCGGATTTCCGGCTTTTCTACCACATTCCTTGTTGTTTTTTTTTTGCTTCCTCGCTCGCCATTTTTTTTTGTATACTTTTTTTTCGCCGCTGCAACAATTTCGATGATTTTTGGTGGTTTCCAATCAAAATTGAATATTGACAAACCAAAAAAGCGTTTCGATTTTTTTTTTCAAATTTCCAAACTCAAAATTTTTTTCAGAGAATATGGATTTTTGCATTTTTTTTCTCTGCTCCCTCCTCGATTTTCATGATATATCATTTGATTTGCAGAATGAAGAACGCGTTTGCTCGATATTCGCTGACGATTTCGAGTATTCCTGAAAATGTGATCGCCCATTTGCAGCAATGGAACGATTGGTGAGCGCGCGAAGCAGAAATTTTCAAAAATTTGAGCGAAAAGTGCGCAAATCATCGGAAAAGGGTAATCGCCTTTCGGATTTTGCGCAAATTCCGCTGAAAATTCGAAATTATTCGATTTATAAAAAAAGGGTGTGCAATTCGTCGTCGGATGACGCGCATTCCGCAAACACCGACACCCCAAATGCGCGCAATTTCACGCAAAAATGTTTGATTTTCTTTGATAAAAATCCAATAGCGCTAGAAAAAAATCATTAAAATTTACCATAGATGAGAAAATTGCAAGAAGAAGAAAAAAAACAAAACCCCCCAACGAAAAAAAATAAATCGCACGAAAATGACGTAAATCGCGCCCCGATGTGTGTATTCCTCTTGGCAACGCATAATATATAAATAAACCGCTAACTATATACGTATAATATATAGATATGCCATCGGGAGGGGAGCTTTCATGCATTTTTCGTCTGCGTCTCTGACGCCTCTCACACTCTTTTCGTGTGCGCGCGCGCGTGTGTTTTTTTTTTTGGCTCGAAAATTTTCAATTGCCTTATTTGGTTTTTTTTTTCTTCTTCTTGGCTCGCGTGCTACCGAATTTGTGCATTTCTCCTCGTTCTTTTTTGTCCTTTCTCGTGCCCACAAAAACCCGCTGAATAATTTAATATTTATTGAAAACGAGACGACGTTTTTTTTTCCCCAAAAATCGATTTTTTGGCTCCAATTTTTCGGGTAGAAAATCATTTTCTTTTTTTTTTCCAAAATTTCGACATTTTCTGTTTTTTTTTTTCCAAGAAATTTTTGGAAATTCCAAATTTTGCCGAATTTTTGCGGCATTTTTACATTCACAAAATTTCTCGCCCCTCTAATTATAGGGTATTTTAATTGCCAACCTTTTTTTTGGTAAAAATTTGAAAAAAAAATGAATTGAAAAATCACAATTCTTCTCATTTCAATTGAATTCCTTCGGTCGGTGTTTGCGGACAATGCGAAATTCGACGCGAATTCTCACACAATTTTTTTTCATTTTTTTTCGCATTATTTTCGGCGATAATCAATGGCAAAATAGCATTTTTCTAAAAAGAAAATAATTAAAAAAAGATTTTCGGTGTTTTTCCCTCGAAAAAAAAAAACAAATTTTCCACCCCAACAAAAAACTATCAAAATTTCATGAGAAAATGCCATTTTTTTTCCACCTGCCATTCTCATTTCTTATGAAAAACGCGTACAAATGCAAGATTCTCATTGAATCTGAAATTTTTTGCCGTTTTTTTTCGTCTCGGTGTGGTCAAATCCGCCAAATTTTTGCTTCCGATTGTTTTCCAAAATTCGCGTTTCGCAAAATCTCGGATTTCGGCCAACTTTGTGCTTTTTTTTTCATGAAACCGCGCGAAAAAAAACGATTAGTTTATGTTTTTTCAGATTTTCATCGTTTTTCAGCAATTTTGAACGCAAAAATTCAAATTTTCGCAAAGTTTTTCAAAATGAATGACGCAATCAATTATCCAATGGAATTGAAATTGAATAAAAAAGAGAGACACGCGTTGATGAGCAGAAAAACGACGGGGAATAATTCATCATGGTCGTGCTCGCCGACGAGCATCAGGAGGGCTCCTCCAGCTCGCGTTGCCTTTTCTTTTTATTCGATTACTTCAAGGCCATCTCGCTTTATCGAATTATTCATCCACTCTTTTTTCTGTCCAAATATCGCCAAAACTGACAATTCCCTATTGATTTTTCAATTTTCTGCTCGCAAAAATGCCAAATTTCGATTTTCGTTTAAACGCAAATTTGCAATTTCGCAAAAAAAATCAGCTCAACAAAAAAATAATGCTGTTGAACTGCTTGATTTCTCGGATTTTGCACCTGAAAATTGGCGAGTTTTGTTCCGAAATTGAAAAACTAAACAACTATTTCAAGAAGCCGTCAGAAATCCACGAATAACCATTTTTCCTATTTCAGGATGGTCGGCGAGGGAAGCAGCAATTCAGGTTCATCATCGATTCCCCCAACGGACCGCCGAAGCCATCTGAGTGCCGCCGCGATGGTCCGACAGCAATCCGACACGACCGGCGTCCGCAGATTGGTTCGAACACGGGCGGTGCAAGAGGACGATGAAACCGGACCACATACAAGCAATCATGTAGGCCTTTTTTGGAAATTGGATCGCGATTATGATTTTTGGGCACAAGATCGTATTAAAAGTGCAAAATATGCTCAAATAATGCGGAAAACATTTTTTATGCGTGCTTTTCGATAAAATTTGATTGAGATTGTATTATTAATTCAATATTTTTGTGGTCGCCGACAAGAAACATCATTTCTCATTTAAAATCGCGCGAATAATTCATGAAAAAATAGCTACTAGTGAAAAAAAAATATTCGTCGCCGCCGTTTTTTTTTTCTCGCTCATTTTTTTTCGTTTCTCTCCCGAAACGAAATTGAGAATTTCGCCATTCAAATGACACCAACATTTGGATGTTCTTTATTCAAATTTCGCACCAAAAAAAAAGAAACAAAAGCATTGAGCAGTTTTTTTTGTGGTGAACACGATTCGGTAGAAACTCGCGCGAATTTGTTGCGTATTAGCCAAAAAAATCCAATTTTCTCCTCGATATTTGGGTAAATTTATGAGCACTGCCGCCGCATAATCGACTTACGCCGTCGACGCCTAATTTTTGCAATTTCTATTTCTGCAAAAAATTTTTTTCTTGACGATTTCCAACCCAAAAAAAACTCACGGGTGCCTTGAAACGCCTCCTCATAAGAGGTTGCGATTGGTCCCACGGGACCATCCACACCGCCGTCCACCATTCGCCATTCTTCCACGTTGTTCGTCTCGAGAAACTTTTTGAAGAAGATGAAGAAGGAAAATATATAGCTTCGCTCTTCCGCCGAATCGTTTTTTTTTTTTCTATTATTATTTGAAAATATCCGCGCATTTTCACTTTATCTCAAGAAAAAACAACGAATTCGGCTTTTCAATTCATTTTTTTGAGGAATGAAAATATAAGCCTCTCAACGCTATTTTTTCGAACTAACCATAATTTCTTCCACCGAAATTAAATTTTCATTTTTAATTCATCAATTTTTCCTTGATTTTCCTGAAAAAATGCGATTTTAATTGAAAAAATTTGAGATTTTGAAAAATAAAAGCGCGGTCGCACAGTTGACAATAGTGCTACAGTACCCGCGCGCGGCGAAACCATAACACAATTTTAATGTGTGCGCCTTTAACTCCAATTTATCATATTTTTGGTGTTTTTGTCAAAAAAAAATATATATAGAATGAAAGTCAAGAGCATTTTTCAATTTTACGAACAAGTGCTCTTCAAAAATTGACGGCGTCGCCATTGAAACGCTTATTTTCGCTCATTTTTTACGAGGCCGCGCGCGCGATTCCCCGGAGATGAAAAAAAAAAAAACAGAAAAAAAGGAGAAATAAAAAATAAAAGGCTCATAAAAATAGTGTGGACCCATTTTGCCGCCAATCTTGGCGTCACAAAGCCAATATGCACTAAAATTGGAATTTATTTTTCCCTCTTTTGCAGCTTTCCACAACGATGTCGCCGAATCTGTCGAGACCCACCAGATATGTGAAGGTATGCTCCTTTATTATTATCGGGATTAGCTGAATGATTTGTTTTTGAAGAAGGAAACCCTTTTTTGTTGTTGTTGTTGTTTTTTTGGAAACGAATTTCGAAAAACAAATTGTTTTTGTCGATTCAATGCATTTTCAGTCGGTTTCTCAGCAACGCAGCGAGTCTTATATTCAATTGAATCAGTATAAGCTAATGGAGGAAATTGGACAGGTTTGTGCGTTTAATTATTTATTTCTTCCGCAAAAATCGATAGGAAATTGCGTTTTTTTCTAGATTAAATGTGAAGGAAAATTGCAAATTTGGTGAAGAATTTAAAATTCCGAAAAAAAACACGACTTTTTGTTGCAAATTTCGATCGAATTTCAAAAAAAATTTAAATTTAGCAATAAAAAAAAAGAATATAATAGAATTCTTCATATGTGATTGGACAATGCTATTTTTGTTGAGTTGCTCGGCGAGCCTCAACGGCGATTTTCCGGATTCGGGGGGTTTTTTTTGCAGGGCTCCTACGGAATTGTGAAATTGGCGTACAACGAGGAGGACAAGAATCTGTACGCGATGAAAGTGCTCGACAAAATGAAGTTGCTCATGAATTTCGCGTGTTTTCGTAAGAATTTGGCTGGCAGAGAAAAAAATTCAAAAAAAAATGAATTGTTTGCAGGACAACCGCCGCCGCGGCGGAATAAAGAGAACGCGGCGCCGTCGGTGCTTCGGAATCCGCTTCAGCTTGTTCAGAAGGAGATTGCGATATTGAAGAAGCTCTCACATCCGAATGTTGTCAAATTGGTCGAGGTTGGTTGGCGAGGCACGCAATGCGCCTTTAAAGAAATGATGGAGTGGCACTCATTAATCTTTTCTTTTGGTTGCGAAAATTGATTTCCTGAAAAAAAAGGAGATTTTGAAAATTCGTGGTCGCACAGCTGACAATAGTGCTACAGTACCCGCGCGCGCAGTTTAAAATGCGTTTCCCTTCGTCTCTTAAAAATTGTGTTAAGCGAGTCAAAATGAGATTGCTTTCCAAAAATGAAATGAAGTATTGATAATTATTGCAGGTTCTCGATGATCCGAGTGACAATTACCTATATATGGTATTCGAGTTCGTCGAGAAGGGCTCGATTCTCGAGATTCCGACAGAGAAGCCACTCGACGAGCTGACGGCGTGGAGCTATTTTCGGGACACGTTGTGTGGATTGGAATATTGTCAGTTTGTTTTGTGTGTCTTGACGGGAAAATTGTATTCTAGCCAGGCGTTGCGTATGCGTCGCGGTCGGCAACGGTTTTCAATCAAAATTCGTTGAAATTTAAAGAAATTGACAAAAAAAAGTGTAAAAAATGATTTTTTTTGTAGTTTTTTGATGCAAATTGATTAGAAATAGCAAAAAAAATATTTTTTGCAGTACACTACCAAAAAATCGTGCATCGCGACATCAAACCGTCGAATTTGCTATTGTCGGACGCCGGACAAGTCAAGGTCCTTTTTTGTCGTTTTGATGGGTCCGACGAATATCGCCATCGTTTTCAGATTGCCGATTTTGGAGTGTCGTGCGAGTTTGAGGGCATCGACGCGTTCCTATCGGGTACGGCCGGCACGCCGGCATTCATGGCGCCGGAAGCATTGACCGGTAAGGAGTGTCGTTTTTCTTTTGGTTATTTTTAAAAAATTGCGAGAAATTTTGAGATTTTTGCGAAATACGATAAAAATTGATGGAGTTTTGACGTTTTTCAGCAAAAAATATCTTAAAAATATCATGGAATCTTGAAACTTTGTTTTGCAGAAGGCGCAAATCACTTCTATTCGGGTCGCGCACAGGATATCTGGTCGCTAGGAATCACCTTATATGCATTTGTGATAGGCACCGTAAGAATTGCGACAAAATTTGTGCGTCTAATTAGCCGTTCCCCCAATTAAGGTGCCATTCAATGATAATTACATAATTGCGTTGCACAAGAAAATCAAGAATGATCCGGTCGTGTTTCCGGAACAGTGAGTTTATTTTTTTGCGCGAAAGAAAAGGAGGAATTCCGAGATTTTAGGCCGATTTTAAGCGAAGAATTGAAGGATTTAATCGAGAAAATGCTCAAAAAAGACCCGGGACATCGATTAATGCTCAATGAAGTCAAGGTTGGTTTTTTGTTGGAGGGAAATTTGAAATTTCTTTGATTTTTCGATTTATAAAGCGGAAAAAAACTCTTTTTTTGAAGACGATTTTGAGTTTTGTTAAAAACTTTGACGCAAATATGTGGTTTTCAGGCGAAAATTCCTTTTTTTCGCCAGATTTTTTGTCGAAAAATGCCAATTTTCAAGAAATCGCCACCCACTCCCCCCCAAACGTGTTCCAGATTCATCCGTGGGTCACCAAAAACGGCACATGGCCGATGGCGAGCGAACAAGAGAATTGCCATCTGGTGACGGTGACCGAAGAGGAGATCGAGAATTGTGTGCGAGTGATTCCGCGTCTCGACACGCTCATTCTCGTCAAAGCGATGGGCCATCGGCGGCGTTTCGGAAATCCGTTCAGGTTCGTCGCGAAACAAGCCCGAAATTTGATTTTCCTTCTTTTTAAAGGAACCAATTGACGGCACAATCGAGCATTCGTGATCGCCGAAAATGCTCGTCCGTCAAAGATCCCACCTATGTGCCGCCGCCGCCGATTTCGCCACCGCCGGCTGTCAATCGACAAGCGTCCAATTCCGAGTAAGCAAATTTCTATTCCAAAAAACAATTGAGATTTACAACAAACACGAAAATCATTGCAGAACGGATCGACCGGAATTGAATCTGACGGGTCTCACGCTGAATGTCGACGATTCGACGACGCCGAAGTCGAATTCGGCTCGACAATGATCGATTTTTCATATTTTTTTTTTGTAAAAAGAAAGTGCCTCTGAAGAAAATACATTGTGTTGAATGCGAAATGGAAACACCAGTGTTGAAAAATAATATAATTATGAGACCCGCGCTGAAAAAATTGCGTTTTTTATACGGACAATCCAATATTAATATAAAAAAAAATAGACAACAACAATTTGAACATTGTGAAGCGCGACAACAAAATGAGATCAATGAATGGGAATAGGAAAAACAAGGAATATTAATCGAAAAATTGCAACTACATATGTATGGGTGGCCTTGGAGACCTAACAGGAGGTAAATTGCGTCTTTGGCGTCGTTTCAGTTATTTGTCGTGTTCGCCGACGTGTTCGGAGCGTTCTGGTTGTTCTTCTTACGGCGGCAGAACTTGCGATGCGTTTGCCAATGGCCTTGCTGGCACTCGACGCTACAGTAGGCGGTATTCCAGCAGCAGTGGTAGATGGCCTCGTTCTCGCACTGCCAACACCATTGCTTCTTCTTCGACGCCGCGAGCTCGCGTTTGTGTTTGTCGTTGATTTTGGCGGTCTCCGCTTTCAGCTGCTCGCGATATTTTGTCTCGAGGTCAGCTCTAAAAATCATTCATTTCCATTTTTTGGAATGCGTTTTTTTAAATTCAATGTTCCTACCTGGTCTGCTCGAGCTCCTCTTTGAATTGTTGAAGCAGATCGGAGCGGATCTTCTGCTGATCGGCAAGAAACTCCTGATGAAGCTGCAATAAAGAGCATGAGCATTTTCCTGCACATAATTTCGAAAAAACCTTCTCTGTCAACTCGACGAGCGCTTTTTCTCTGGAATTGTGATAGTCGTTGAGCCAATGTCGCTGTAAATCAACGATGACGCGCTTCAAACGATCATCGAGAACCCAATCCACCTTTTAAAATAAGAAACAACATTAGCCGGCCAAACATTGGCGACGATTACCGGTGCTTCCTCCTGCCCTTGAGACGACGACTGCGGTTGACTTGAAGATTCGCCTTTGTCCTCGACAAAAGCGATGGCGCTGGGTTTATCGGCGGCCGGCTCGGCGGATAGCGGTTGTTCGGTGACAAGCTCGCTATGAGATGTTTCGGGCATCATTTCTGAAAATTTTCGTATTTTTTTCGAAAACGCTTCACAGATTTACGCGATTATAGAGGTTTTCGAAGTAAAACATGATGAGAAAATAAAGTTTGAATTTAATTAGTATTAATAAACCAAAAAAAATGAGAAACGGGCGGCACGGAAGCGAAAAAATTGAAAATGGATGATAAGAAAGGCGACGAAAATTCAAAATGTTTGTGTAACGACACTCCGCCGTTTACACCGCCCGCGTTTTATTCAATCGATACTTCGCACAGCCCGCTATTTTTGAGCCCCGATTTTTGGCGTTTTCTCAATATTTGATCGGATTTTCAGATTTTTTCTTCTATTTCACTTATTTTTTCAATTATTAAACTTGAAAACTTATTTTTATTACCATCTACACCATTTTTATGGCACTTTATCCAGATATTAGGCCTTCTGGAATTTAAAAATTTCTAATTAATTTGTTGCTCCTGTTTTTTTTTTAAATTTTCTTGCAATATCATACTCCATCATTATTTCTTTTAATGCATTTTATTGAATTTTTGAATAAGGTTAATTTCAGGATGAACCGCACTGCTGTCGCCCGTTTCTTGGCTATTCGCCGCTTCGTCCAGAAGCGTAATGCTGGAGGACATCATCATGTCAGTGCTTGGATTATTTAAATATTTATTAAAATTTTCAATGAAAAACGGCCTCGAAACACCTGGGAAACTAGCCAATATATACATATTTTTAAATTTCGTTCAGTCGTTTAACGCCGACAATGAAAAATTAAATAAAATTGTTTATAATTTCATAAGGCTACGCGTTTTGTTGAAAAATCCACAGGCGTCGTTATTTCTTTTAAATTTTCAAACTTAAAAGTATCTCAGAAGTAATAAAAACTTCCATAAATTAAAATACCATTTCCAGAGAAGTGGAAAATAAATTCAAATTGCAGGTTGCCAACCCAGGACCGCCATGCACCTTCGACTTGATGCCGGTTCCATTCCAGCCATACCAGAAGGTCTACTCCGAGCTTCAAACCAAGTTCAACACCTATCTCATCATCTCGTCGGCGATCTTCGGCTCTTCGGTAAGTTCAAGTTATCCAAAATTCTAACAATTCTATCTATTTCTTTATAGTTTGCTCTCGCCTTGTACACCAACTTGTTCGCATTCGAGGAATGCATCAGACCACCAAAGAGCTACCGCAACCGTCAATAAAGCGAATTTTTCGGCGTTCTCTTTTTGTGTGTCTGTTTTTTTAGTGATCGTCGACTTATTCATTTGTCAGAAAGTTCATCACCGTAGAGCGAAATAAATTGTTTCTCGAAACAAATTGATTTTGTATTGCGTTTGTCATTTGCATGGTTGTTCTACTAGGCTCAGTGTATTTTTTGTTTTCCAAAAGCGGGCATTAACACATTTGGGCGAATTTAGACACTGGAATGCGATGAAAATTCGAGAAAATGCTGGGTTCACGCGCAATTAATATTGTGCCACGTGGAATTCTTCACAGTCGATTCGCGCCAGCGATTTTGAGGTTTGATTTTATTGCTAATTTCATTTTATTGCTAATTTTATGATTATTATTATCATCATTATTTTCGACGATAAAAGGCGAAAATTCTCAGATGTCAGCCGAAAATGACTGGGCCGCCCGACGACAGCGGGCGATATAAGCTGGCAACGGTGCCGAATGCGATTTGTGTTGCTCGAATCGCGTGCACGCCGATCATTGGCTATCTCGTTTGTCAGAATCAATTCACACCCGCGTTTGTCTTGTTCACCGGCGCCGCACTATCAGATATTGTTGGTTTTTGTTTTAAATTGGGAATCGGTGGGTCTAAAAATGACCGTTGAAAAGAGTTTTTTCAAAGTCTTTTATTCTAAAAATTAAAAAGAAGCTTTAAAAAACCTATAAAAACAGTTTTTCTTGATTTTTGCTTGAAATCGAAATTTCGCAAATTTTGTTTTCAGCTTGACGGCTGGATTGCGCGGAATATCCGAGGACAAGCTTCACTTCTTGGATCGGTCTTGGACCCGATCGCCGACAAATTGCTAGTATCGACAATGTTCATCACGATGACATATTCGGGATTGATTCCGCGTAAGGCGCTTCCGATGCTGTCGATGACGAGATTCGCGAAATTGCAGTGCCACTGACGGTTGTCGTCCTATTAAGGGATGTGCTGTTGATCGTTGGCGGATTCTACAAGCGCTATCAGACGATGGAGCCGCCGTATTCGCTGAATCGCTTCTTCAATCCGCAAGTTTCTTCGATGCAAGTTGTTCCGACGGCGATGAGCAAGGTTTTTTTTTTTTCGAAAATTTTGAATCAAAAGAGATGTTCGCGCATATTTCTAAAAAATTGCAGAATTTGTTTGAAATCGAAATTTCCAGATCAACACTCTATTCCAATTGTCGATTGTTGAATTATCGCTGGCTTCGCCGGTTTTCGATTTTTCCGCCCAAGTGAATAATGTGATTTTTGGGCTTGGGTAATTCGAAAAAAAAAGCAAATTGTCCTAAATGGCTGATTTTTTTCAATTTTCAGATGTGCGACTGCGTTCACCACGATCTATTCGGGTCTTCAATATGCCAGTGGGCGTGCTTTCAAGAAAATTGTTTAAATTTGTTGCTTTACTGTGATAAAAATTTGGAAAATAATTTAAAAAAAAAACAGTGAATTTTTGAAATTTTTGTGTGCATTCACCAAGACGCGATGGCGCACGACGCGTGCATACCGTAAACCCGTCGGGGTATTTTTTTGTACTTTCATTGCGAAATTGTAGTTATATGTAGTTGGTTGTTTGGCTAAGATCGTCGTCGTCGTCACCGCCATCGTTCGATGACTCATTTGTCTGACATCTCTAGCCGCCCTCCACCGCGTTGTGTGCTCTCTCGGCGCGCGCCGCTTGCTGACCGCAATCTCGAGGTTTTTTTTTCCACCGACGTTCCGCCGCCCCACTGATTTTCTTTTGGTCGAAATTGCTTCTCACTTATGACGCCGCCGGTGCCGAAGCCCAGAACGAAGTTCAGCGAGCCGAGCGTTGGTTTTCCGGCGTCGCCGTCGCCGTCGCTGATCGAGGAGGTCCTAAAAAGGCCGGATGAAATTGGTGAGGCAGTGTTTTGTTGAGATTTTCCAATTTTTTTTTTGACAAATGGTTCTTTTTGTTTTTCTAGAAAATGCACCGAGAATTGCCGAGCAGGAGGAGATCAGCGAGCTGGAGCAGGTCACGCCGACACAAGAAAGTTGGTCGAAATCCGAAAATCAAATATAGAGAATTGACGATTTTGATTTTTTTGGGGTCTCTTGAAAATCGATTGAAAAAAATATCAATTTTTTTGGGAAAATTTTTGTCGTAAAATTTGAATAATTTGTTGGGAAAAAAATTGAAAAAAAACGGCGATTCGAAATTTTTTTTTGACGAAAAAAAAAAATAATTTCTAGGCATCCATCGCCCACCACCGCCACCAATTCCACCTCGTCCTCCCGCCAAACCGGCACGAACATTCGACAGCGTTGTCAGCGAGCTGCGCGCGAATCTGACTAATGGCGAGACGACGTCGACGGCCGTCAGTCCGCCAATGCGGCACGCGCCACCGCCGCCACGACCGCCTGCACCCGGATGGCGACCGGAAATTTCCGAATCTTACACCGAAGTTCAGAAGCGACCCAGAATTCCGGATAGAAATGCCAAGTTAGTCGAGATTTAATTGCGAAAAAACGAGATTCTCCATTAAAATTTCTTATTCTAGTCGTCCACTTCCTCCGATTCCCGTCGAGACCCAAACAGGATCGTCGAATCGAATCGAGAATCCCTTGTATTTCTCGTTGAGCGAATATCGAGAGGTTTCCGGACTGTCTCCGAGCTCATCGCAAAGTAAAAATTGAATTTTGTTTAAAATTTGGATTACGGTAGGCTGATTTGGTGCAAAATTTCGTCGTGGTGTCCACAGAATAGTTTTGTTTTCAAATTTTAGAATTGAAAATTGGTTTTGTGTTTCGAATTCTTTCAAACAGTTTTATTGATTTTTTAAAATATGTATTTATTTTTTTGTAGGCACAATTACTGAAATTGAGCAGCTCAAAGAGTGGCTCAGCGAGGAGGACAATGCACAATCATCAGGTAGATTTTTTTGAATGGGACCATGAGAAAAAAAGATCAGCTCTCAGGAAGCGACGACGCCGACATTGACACGACAATGCGTCCCGAAGAGCTCTCGACGAATTTGCTGGCAATTCGACGCGATCAAATCGCCGACGAGAATCCGTACACGCCGTGCCCGTTCCAGGAGTCGGTCGGCGATCCGTTCGACGACGATTTCTTCAACGAGCCCGACACCGAGCCGCATCGCGCGCAAAACATCTATGTCGCGCCCGAGGAGGTGTTCAAACGCACGTCGCCCGATTACGCCGACGTCGTCGAGGTGTGTTCGACACCAGCGGCGGCGGCGGCGCCACCACCCGCCGCCCGTTACATCAACGTTGAGGATATTCGAGATCACGGTAGCCTACGCCAATTCAAATCTTAATTAACTAAGCCCAATTAATTATTTTCAGAGAGTCTATCGCAATTGGAAATAATGAAAGACGGCACGCCGAAGATCGACGGAGCCACGGTGAGCTTCTTCGGGTTCGTCGTGCTGACGAGCTCGCGTCGCGAGAAGCGCCTACATTGTAGGCTGCGAGACATGCAGTTGAGCTTTCATGAGAATGAAGAGGTGCGCGCCCAAAATGGGCAATTGACAATGATAGTAATTTTAGACGTCTGAATGCGCTCATGGTCCCTATCAAGTGCAAGACTTTCATTTATTCAAACTTGTTAAACATCGAGCGGCGTGTGACGTGGCGTCGACGTCAACGCAGGCGGCCGCGTGCGAAACGAGCTCGATACTGATTCAAATCGGCGACAAGAAGAGTCCGATCGTGTTTCGGCCCGACGACGCGGCGACCATCTGGATGTTCTTCTTGTCCGAAGCGTGGCTCTCGCTGATACCCGGTCTGGCGTGCGCGCTTCGCGACGCCGACGATCTACAAATATGCGGAATGTTTTGGGTGCGACAAGGGACGACCGGCGAATGGAAAGAGGCGGCCGGCGGTGTCCGACAATTGAGCATGAGCTATGTGCTCAAAGATATGAAGGAGCGCGTCATTCGGCGTGCATTCGCCGTCGTTGACGACATGATCACGGTGGATTTGAGAAAGGTTGGCAATCAATTTAGATTTTTTTTTTGGAAAATTTAAGTCCCTCTCGAATTTCAGGTGGTCAGTCTTCACGAGAAAACCGTCGACAAACTCCACTGGTGTCCGAGTTTGAAGCACAAACGCGGGCCGTTTATGATCACACTGAACGGAATGTGAGCTTCCATCCCGCGGCCAAATTATCCAAATCAAATTTGCAGCACGTTTTACGTCGACACAAAAGACGAGCACTGCACCAACTATTGGTTCGAGGCGATCGATGAGGTGCTGAGGCAGCCGTCGGCGAGCCTCGAGAACGCTCGCCTCACCGCCGACGACACGCCGGTTGTCGTCGACAAATGTGTGCGATTCGTGGCCGCCTACGGTCTCAAAACCGATGGAATTTATCGACGGAACGGAAAAGTCTCGGAAGCCAAAACGATCATGACGAAATTGATGGAAGGTGCGTCGTGAATCTAGGGACCAACGAAATCATTTATTAGTCGTCGTTCCAATCCGATTTCACATTCTGTAGTGTCGGATAATCGCGAGCGCTGACTTTCGCGCCGGCCGCAATCTTCTTCTCCTTCTCATTGAGCGGTATCTGCTTCGGCTGCTAAAAATTGGCTAGCTAATTAGAAGTTTTTTTGTTGCCATCGCACCAATACTGCCGCTTCGCCGTCATCTTTGTCGTCGTCGCTCGATTTCTTCTTCTTCTCCGATCGTCCGCTATGCGTGATATTCTGAATTGATTTGGTTTTCTAGCGATTCCCAATCGTCAATTCACCATTTTCGAGTCGCCGCTCGTCGATTTCGAGACTTTTTTGAATGTGGCGCCACCGCCGCCGCCGCCACCTGGTGGTGCTGGTGCTGGTGCTGGTGCGGCTCGTTGCGCCCCGCCACCTCTAGCTCCATTCAGCGAATTGCTCTTCTCATTGGCGATCGGCTTTTGTCGGTTGCCGCACGCGACGACGACGACCAACGATAGAATAAGGCAATCTGTGGTGTGAATTTCGAGGCGCTCATAATTGCGGAACCTGCTATCAATTGCAGTAGTAAAATAGTTGAATCAAAAAATCGCATCGTGTTGGTGTGCAAAATTGGGCTAGGAATGAGATGCGATGGCGAGATCTCGATGCGTTTTCACGTCATTGTCAATAGCGAACGAAAAAAGAAAAAAAAATATTATCAACGCGAAAAAAAACTTTGCATAATTGTGGACCATCGCACTTCAAATTCGAATTTCAACCGAGTACCGTACTCTAATTTTTTTTCTTGCACTTGTCATCAAGTTATAGCATTCCTGAAGATGGGATCAAGTTTTGGTTTCATAGCTATGGAGGTCGTTAGTTGATGAGAATAATATTTTTTTTGGCAGAACCATTCGGCTATCACATCACACCGGAGAATGATGAGACGGTTTACGCGGTCGCCGACGTCCTTCGGCAGTATTTTCGCAAATTGGAGAAACCACTCATTCTGCCCGACATTCATTCGAGTCTTTTCGAGTTAGGTTCGTTTGTTACACGAATTTTTTAAAAATAGATTTTCCCAATTCGAATGCCTAAATTCACCAATTTTTTTAGGAAAAAATTCGAAAAATTAAACATGGTGATTTTTGGCCACAATTTTGAAAATTTTTTGATGAGAAATTCGAAAAACATATAATAATGGATTTTTGATTGGCAGAAACTTGAAAAAAAGAAATGACAGAAATTTTGAACATTTATGAAAAAAAAAATAGAATATTGAGATTAAATTTGGGTATTTTGGTTTGTTTTCAGCGTGCCAACCGGCCAGTCAAGAATTATTCGAGGCGTACGGTCGAATCATCGCCGAATTGCCGAAAATTCATCGATCGACACTTAAAAAATTGATTGCCCATTTGAAGAATGTGAGCGAGCACTCGGCGGAGAATCGAGCGAGTATTGAGAATCTCGCAAAAGTTTGATTTTTTTTTGTTAAAAAAATACCGTCATTGAGGCTGAACAAACAAAAAATTACAGATTTTCGGCGCCAGCTTATTCTCGACGGATGTGTGCGTTGAAAATGGGTTCACCGAGACGTATAATGATCAGATCAATGTGATGATCCACCTGATCCTAGGATACGATACCATATTCCATGTGAGAGTCCATCTTGGCCTTATTTTGACGTTTTATTTTTTGAAAATTTAGATTACGACAGAGGAGGAAATCAGTAGGCAAATGGTGAACGAAGTTGAGCACAAAAAGCATATTGTGAGTTTTCATAAAAATTCGAAATAAAAATTGAATTTTGAGTTTTTGAAGATGAATTTCCTTGAAAATGAGCCTAGTTTTTCGAAAAATGAAAATTTTGGGCGATTTTCTCTCAAATGGTTCATTCTACTGAAAAAAAACCAACGATCAATTTGTGATGTTTCGATTTGTTTCAGAAGCAAGGCACCCTCTTCTACGTTGCCGTCCACATGTGGGAGAAGGAGAATCGTCCGTTCAACGCGAATGTCGATCTCGTGTGCGAGGAGGTGTGCCGCGAGGCGGTCGCGAAACGCGGTTTCGACGCACCGCCAAACTCGGCCTACTCGGTGTTCGAGGTGATCTGCGGCGGCCAATTGGTGAGGCGTCTGCATTCGAGCGAGAAGCTCTCGACGTCGGTGTTCCGCTGGATCGACTGGAATTGTCGCGACGGATACATTCTGTTTGATCATGACAAATATCGTTTCGACGGCAATGACATGGTAGGTCGACGAGTTCGTCGCGAGACCCACCACACACTGTTTTTTTTTGTTTTCAGTCGCCATATACGGGAAAAGTGAAGATCGCCGAGCCGGGATCGAAGACGTTTCGATCGTACGAGCTCAAAATTGAGGCTGGAACGGCGGTAAGTGGAATTTGTCGATAATTTTGAATTTTGTGCATCGGGTATTGGTACGGACCACCATCTCGAAATTCAAAATCATTCGTTAAAAAAAGAAAATGGTTTTTTTTTTCTCATCGCCCTATCGTTTTTTGAAGGTTTGCGCGTTTCGAAACGAAAAGTTGTGGAAGACGTGGATTCTCGATGAGCACATCTGGTTCGTCGGCGGCGATTCGGCGCGCAAACCGCCGAATCAATTCAACACGACGATGGTGGCGACGGAGAAGAGCGGCTACGCGTCGAGATTCGCCGGCTACTGTTTCTCGTTCAAAGAGGACGTCGAGCGAACGCGTTGGCTCAACGCGGTCTACTATGTGACGAGCGGCGGCCAACCGGACAAGCTTGTGTACATTTGATCAGCATTTTGTTGTTCTTGTTTTTTTTTTCACATATCAACTGGTATTTCTATTTCGTACTTTCCCAATATTTGATGTATACTAAATTAATTGGGAGGCAATTAACTAATTAATTAAGTTGACGCTCTCTCTCTATTGACGGAGATTGTCGTCATTTGGGGGGAGGGGTCTTCTGAATCAGACGATGGTGCCATGAATCATTTATTGTGGAAACAATTTTCGGAAAAAAAAACATTGGCATGGAAAAAACAAAAACTGTGAATTTTTGCGTGACGGTGTATGCACAATGGCGCTATATTTACGACAATTTCAAAAAATTGTCGATTTTTTTTGCAATTAGTGAAATTTTCATTTAGAACCCGTATAAAATGAAAAGTGGAATTGTGAGAAGAAATTAGAAGAAAATAATCGATGCAATTACGCAAATAATTACCGTCAATCGATTTGTGCTGCTGCGTTGCGCGTCGGCTCCTGAAAATAGGAAATTTCGCACAAAACTCAATTCGATAGGGCAATTTCCACGCGGGGAACACGCTTTTTTCGAAAGAAAAGACACAATTTCTTCAGTGTTTTTATCAGAAGGAAATTTTGTTAGAGTTTCGAGAATTTTCGTGAATTTCCAGCAAATTGTTGCGATTTTTGTTGAAACAAATTTAATTTGCACAAAAGTTGAAAACATCTCTAAAAAAATACACTAGAAAAATGTCAAAATATTTGAAATAAAAAAAGAAAAGAAAATATCTAAATCTCGAGCAATTTTATAATAAAATATGGAAAATTCTAATAATTATCATTATTTTGAAATTAATTTTTGAATTGTAAAGTTTCTGTCAAAAATTGGGAATTTCTTACACTTAAAAGAATATATATATATTTTTTAATTTAACTATCAGCCTTTATCAATATTTTGCCATTTTGAAACAATAATTATCAGATTTTGTCAAACTTTTCGATTTTTTTTCATAATTTTCGAATATTTTTAATCAAAAACGACGAGCTTTTGTCAAAAATGTTCAATTTTCCACAAAAAAATGCAAAAACCCACGATTGATGTGAACAATTTGATTGGCTTTCTGCTGTCGATGCTCGCACGCATAATTTCCATCGTCGTCCATCGTCGCCTTTCGAATCCTCATCGTTTCGATCACAACACCCGCATCTCGTTTCATTTTGAGCACATATTCTATAAATAATATTCGTTGTTGAGTTCAAGTGCTTCAGCTTCTTCTTCTTCATCGCCATCGTCAAACACAACCACTTATGAATTAATTGGCTCACTTTCAGTGTCGGTGAAATTGATCTTCTCGCCGTTTCGCGTCCACACGACGTCGATCGGCTCCTCGTCGCTGGAGATCACCGTGCAATTCAGCACCACCTCATCGCCGGACATGTTGGCCATCAATTTGGTCGATTTTTCTGCAAAAGTGCATTTTTTTCTGGTTTGAAATTCGGGAAATTTGAAAAATTCTCAATTTTTTGTTGCTAATGTCGTAAAATGTAATGCAAGTGTGCATACACCGACACCCAACAATGCACAAAAAATTCAAAATTTGTTCTCTCTTGAAACATTTTTGCATCAAAATGTTGGAAATATTCAATTCTATAGAAATTCATGAGAATTTTGCCAATTTTTTTCGAGCTTACTGTGAAGCGAAGCAGGCGATGGAAGAGGCGGATCTGAAAATTTGAAAATTGGATTAAAACTCGAACCATTTTTGGGTGCCCACCCAAAACTTTGAGAAAAACCGCGTAAATCGTGTTGTGTTTGTCGTTGACCTCACAAATATAGCAGCCGGTGTCGGCGATTTCAGCGCGTCTGAAATGCTTCCAATTTTCGTTTTCATTTTTTTTCCACAGGACAGAATGGAATTGCCGAGCAAGCAATTCGATTTTGCGCTCAATTTCGATTTCAATTCGATTACGCAGCGTCCGAAGCAAAAACAGGTGGTCTCAAGAGGACCCCCCGCCATTGGGTCCGGCGATCACCAGAAAATCAAAATCGCATTTTCCCCCAAAAATCCAATTATGTCTCGCGCTCAATTTTTAAATCAAATCGTCGAGAGGTTTAATTAGTCAATTATAAAATGTTGGAGCCCCCCCCCCCCCAATTCGAATGTCCTAATTGAGTATTGCTCATCTCTCCGCTCCCCCCCCCCGATATAAATAAATAATAGGGACCTCAAATTGAGTACCCAAACATTGGCGGACTTGCGCGACACCTGCCAACGGGGGTCCCGCGTGAATGTCCGGTTGCCGGCTGTCAACAGCGCGCCGTCGGAGACTCGTGTCCACGCGATCTGCAATTATACCGCACATTACTATGCTAACTATACATCCTCCATTGTTTATTATAATAATAATAATATTTGGTGTTGGATTACGGTTCGATGGTCTCATCACGAATTTCTATAAAATCTCTCGTCGTGCGCTTTTAACAAACAAGAAAAAAGGCAATTCTGATTGATTTTTGCGCATCCGCCCCCAATTAAGTCAAGCATGCCTCAACTTTTTCGGCATTTGCTCGCCGAGCACACCCCCCCCCCATCCATAATTGGGCATTTCCGGCAATGGGTGGCGGCGGCTTGAAACAACGGCAAAAGTGGCTTCTTGACAAAATTGCCAACAAAAAAACATACAGAGATAGAGAGATAGAGAGAGAGAGAAAATGTGCGGAAAATTTGGGTAATTTGGCCGGAATATTTAGAATTCTCAATAGAGCGCACTTGCATTCTTTTCGTTTTTTTTCTAAAAAAATTGTCTAAATTTTTTGATAATTTCTTCGAAAATTAAATTTGACGAAACGAAACATCCAGTGATGCAATCGCGCTCTATTGCTAATCGCGATGAGACGAAACCTCATGATCGGCATCGGGCGGCACACTGCAATGAAGATAGGCGGGATTCTCGGCGATGACGTTGACGATCGTCTGCGACGGATTCTCGACACGCGACTTCTCCTGTCGGAGGCATTCGAGCACTTCGTCGGAAATCGCGGCGACTGCAACAAAATTTGCATTTTGATTGGACGGACGCGACGGCGGTCGCAATATTTGGAGCGTCCCAACGGACGGCGTGCGTCGACCGAACGCTTCATCTTGTCTCGTCGCCGCGAGTGTCATCTGACGTGCCCAAAAATTTGGACAAACGAAAAATTGGGCGAAAAACTTTGGAACAACGCAACACAAAAAAAAAATCTATGGACCCAAAAGTGATGGTTTGATTTTGTCGGGCCGAAAAATTTGGAGGAGCCCAAAAAAAATGTTTTATGCATGACGGCGTCTCGTCGAGAATCAGGAAAACCGCATTACTCGATTTTTTTTTCGCGACATCTCCCTTCTACTACAAAGATTCGCCGCGATAAAACGCCAACGTCTAGCTGAATTCGTTCGATTCTCAAAACTTGTACACGTTGACCAACCAAAAATTTTGGTGGGTGGAGGAGCGCTCGGACCCCCCCCCCCCCCTCTTCCGCATGGCTGACTGACTGAATAATTGAGCACTTTTGATGACTTGTATGAATACATTCATATTTATGCGCGTATTGTTTCGTGCAATTTTTGTTGTTCTCAAACATCAAACCAAAAAAGTTTGTATTAATTTTTTTTTCTCTCGTCGCCGTTTGAAATTCGATGACATCGGTGGGCCGCCGCTGCACAGCGGGTGAGCGCCGGTATATTTGTTTGTATATTTGATCGCGACGGCAGACGCTTCGGATTAATCGAACACCAGCGATGACATCAAAATTGCGTTCGGTTACGGGCGAAAAACTCGTGGACAAAACGAAATTAGTTGATTTAATTCAAAAAAAAATCCAACGCTACAGTAATGCATTATTAAAGGCGCTTAGTGAAAAAGTAAAGAAGGTCTTGCCATGCGCGAGGGGGTACGGTAGCACACGTTTCAGCTGTGCCTGCTAAAAAAAAGGCCTTACCGTTTTCCACAAAAATACTAAAAAGTATTGAAAATTGCAGGAAACTCTTGACGATGAATGACAAATTGGCGGGCATCATACTCGAAAAACAACAACTCGATTTGCTTCTGCTGCTGCTGCTGCCTACTGAGCAAGCGGCCGACCAGCGCGGAAGGGCGGGATGCGGGGTCCTCTCCAAAAAAAGTGGGCGTGGCAATTGCGAGACGGGCGGAGACACGGCCGGTTGGCGGCAAATCACACGAATTCCGAAACACCGGCGACGACGGCTACAAAAAAAATGAAAATAAAAAGAAATTCGTGTTCGTTTTCATCATAAAACATCCATTAGCTGGTCGTTAAGCGAAAACGTAAAACACAAATTTCTTCAAAAAAAAAAGGTTTTTTTTTCGATTTTTTCGTTGTTGTCAAAATTTGATTTTATTCAAATTTGTAGATCCCGACAAAAATTGCGATGAAATTGCCAATTTCCTACAGGAAATCCAATTTTCGCCGAGATTCTCGACAACGAGTGAAATACAAAAAAAAATAAGAATTCAAGTTTTCCATTACCATTGGAAATGCAAAACATTACGGGAGCCAAGAAAAAAAAAACAAATACAAAAAAAAACAACAACCAAAAAAAACCGCGCAAAAAATTGCTGGGCGATTTTTGAGCGAAACCTTCTAAAAATCGGTGAAAAATTGGCTTTTCGACTGAATTTTGAGCGAAATGTTTAATTCCATATTTAGAAATCGAAAAAACAACTTTTCTATGTCCCAAAAAGCGAGTTGCATGCATTCTGAACTTCATAAATTCAAATTACACCATCGCAACATTTTACACTAAACAACAGTCTCACTGTAAACATCGGAGTGTCGTCGTCAAACAAAAATCAATAATTTTTTCGCAATTCAATATTAAAAATAGTAAACAATAAGACATAATTCGAATTAAAAAAAGACACATGAGGTATTCGTAAAACAAAATTCGACAAAAATTCGAAACGAATTACAAGACAAAAAAGTGTATGGGCAGTACAAGAAGAAATTCAAAAAAAAAAAAAGAAAAGCGTATTCACAACAACAAAACAAAACACGGAATTTTTCGCAAAAATTCTCCGAAAAAATGCGAAATTCGATGAAAATCAATCAAAAAATCAAATACCTGCAAATAATTTCGGATAAAATTTCAAAATATTGAAACATCGCTCTTTACAAGGCAACACGATGAAAGCTCTAACAGGTTTACAATGGCTCTAGCGAAAAATGCGCTTCAATTATGGGGAAACATTGTTCCAAAACAAAAAAATGCGCATTTTCAACCGGAAATGCGATTTGCAATTCAAACGGGCATATGGCACTGATTGCTTCTGGCGAGTATATCGTGGATTCTGACCGCGTCGGTGAATCCCATCGGCTTCGACGAGCTTCCATTCAGCAGATTCGACGTCGTCGTCGACTCGAATGTTCCAGCTCAAAAATTAAACCATTCATTGGACAAAAATTGAGAATTTGAATTTTGTGTGCAAATTGGCGGGTCGGTGTATGCACACTAGCATCATATCTTACGACAATAACAACAAAAAAATTAATTTTTTTGAAAAAATACCTAAAAATCGCGAATTTTTTGGGGAAAAAGAGGAAAATTCAAATTCAAATTTGAAATTAAATAAAAAAAAACTCACATTTCGTGGTGGTTTCGAGTTCGGCAGTCGGCGTGTTCGCGCCGCGCAACGCTTCTTCGACGCTCTCCTCGTACGACATTTTTGCGTGCGGCGTCGTCGTCGTCGTCTCGCCGCGCTTCAACGCCAACTCGCTTCGTACGCTCTTCATCGATGGCTCGCGCGACGGCGATTGCGCTCGCGGTGTGCCGTGCGCCGACTCGAACAGATTGCACGACGAGCCGTCGCGTTCGTTCGTCGATATCTCGCCGGTCAACGACATCGACGTGCCAACCGATTGGCTCTCGACCATTTTCAGTTGTTTCATCTGAAATCTTTTCCAATTTTTTTTAATTTCTCACTTTCTTTGGAGTGAATGTCGAAAAAAAAATTCAAATTTTTGCGCAAATCGTCGAAAAATTGAATTTCAGAAATTTTCACCCAAAAAATCACGATTTTTATTTTTTTTTTTAATTTTCATTCAAAAATCAAACTTTTTATTGGAAAATCTTTAGATTTGATCAAATTTCAGCAAAAAAAACCTGCTCAGAACTTAGCACTTTTTGATGTATTCCAAGGCAAAAATGCTCAAAAGGAAAATCAATTTTTTTTTGTCTCTTAAAAGCTTAAAATTTTTGAGCATTTCGGTCAAAAATCGACAATTTTCGGCCATTTTTTGTCGGCAATTTTCGATGTTCGCCTCCGTACCCGAATATGCCCTCCACCGCAGCCCTTCTCGTCGGGAATATACAACGCCGTCGTCTCATCGGCGTCCAAATCGCCGGATTCTTTCGTCTGCTGCTGCATTGTCGCCATCTCGCGCTCGAGTTTTCGACGCTTCTTCGCTTCGTCGACGTATTTGGCGAACGCCGGAAATTGGCTCGGACACAGCGTTCGTTTGCAATTGCCGACGCAGCCGATCGTGAACGGATTGTAGCCGGATTGGAATTTGCCGGTCACCTACAATTGAAGGCGTATCGGAGTTGAAAAGGGGCGTGGCGTTGGCCAGTTTAAAGGCGCATAGGGAAATGGAGGGGGTGTGGCCTCGACTAGTTTAAAGGCGCATGAACTTCACCTCGTAATACTAATTTAAAGGCGCATAGGTAAATGGAGGGGGTGTAGCTTCGACAAGTTTAAAGGCGCCTACCTGCTCATTGGTGGTCCTGCCTCTGGCGACCAACACCAAATGGAAAATGGTGAGACCGACGACGGGCACCGCCAAAATGGCGCACAACGCCAACAGCACAATCGAGCACAAATACGGCGGTGTGAGCATCGTGTCGGTCGATCTGCAATCAATCGACTCCGAGTGGTCCCCACACGAATTTCAAACCTTCCCGTCCACACATAGAAGAAGCACAGTGTGAACACGTAGATCATGTGAAGGCTGAGAGCGCAGAGAAAAAAGAAGAAATATCTGGAAATCGCGATTTCAGCCCAAAATTTTTTTTTTGAGGAATTGCAAAAGAAATTGAAGATTTGTTGGGATTTTTCAGAAATTTTGAGGCAAAAAAAATCATCATTATAATGAAAATTACCTATAATTACGCTTGCCGACACAATTATGAACCCATGGGCAATGATGGTCGAAAACGTCGATGCATCTGAAATGAGCGAGTGGGAGGAATGCGGGGGGAACGTCGAGGGGAACCCACTGACCGATTACAGACGCTGCAATGGCTCGACCTCGGCGGACGGTAGAATTTGCACGTGACGCACCATTTCATGCGCACCGTGATCCCGTTGATGTCGACATTCTTGTACAACGGCGCGCGTAGATCATCGACCTGCGTCGGCTCTTCGGATCCGATGGCTTCAAACGAATTCTTATTTTTTTTTTGCTAGGGAAAACCGCAACTCGGCATTTCTTTTTTTGGAAAAAATCGAGAAATTTTTGATTTTTTTTTTGGCAAAATCTCACAGAAAAATGAAAAAGCCTTATTTTTTGTGGAAAATTCAAAAAAAAGCGAAATTTTTTTAAGCAATGCTCAAATTTTGACGAAAATTGGCAAAAAATTAGATTTATTGATAAGTTTTCTTCAAAAAATGATAAAAACTTCATTTTTTTGCAGAAAATTTTTAAAAATCGAGCAAAACTCGAGAAAAGCTGAAAAAATTTTTGAGAAGAAAAAAAAAAATGCAAAAATTTCGACAATTTGGTTGCTTTTTTAATCAAGACTTGACATTTTTAGCAACAAAAAAACTAGAAACCGGAAAATTTTGATAGGAAAATTAGTTTTTTGATTAAATAATCGGAATTAAGCGTTTTCTGTCGCGATTTTCCAATAAAAATTTGCAATTTCGCGATTTTCCCCACAAAATTAAGACATTTTTAATGCAAAAATTGAATTTTTCGGCAAAATTGAGAATTTTAAAACGGCAAATTCTTACCATATGGATGGATTGCCGGATCGAGGCACATCGCCATTGCCAAATTCGAAATGACCATCATAAATATTAAAACATCGATGATAATTAGCGCCAAACCGCATCTAAATTCTAAAATTTTAGCAAAAAATCGAGACAAATCGCACTCACAACGCCCATTTTTCAACCAAAGCCGGCGCTAAAAAATAATAAAAACACGCCGAGCATATGATAATTAGGGACCATGCGATAGCGGCCGGCAATAGAGCCGATATCCGTTTGCACATTGATTGACGTTCGCGTCTGAAAAAAAAAACCTGAAAATAGGAATTGCCGGAAGAAAATGAGAATTTGATGCCAAAGAAAATGCTCTTATCGACATTGAGGCGGTGCAATTGCGCGTCGGTTGGCGCGCCATGTCCGCAAACACCGACGGTGTTATGGATGGCCAGCTTGCAAGAAAAAACGAAAGAAATTGATGAAGAGAGAGGGACGCTGGCGGTCTTCTTCTTTTTTTGAATAAATGAGGTTCATTATTATTGCGAGCAAAAAATTGTCTGAATAAGCGGTTAATGCGCGATGCGAATGAGAAATATAATAATTTTTGAAAAAAATTTTTTTTTTAATTTTTTTTCTGTAGAAAAAATTGCAGGTATTTGAGCAGCTTTTCGTCAAAATTAAGGAGACTCTGAAAAATTTGCAGGAATCCATCATTCTTGCCATCCGAAAACAACAATAAAATTGCTGGCCGATCGAGTTCCACACATTCACTTTCGATTCATCGCGAAACTGTATTGATTCGTCGCGTATGCCTATATTACGAAAAGCGGAGACGCCGACGAATGCAACAACACGCAGTCAGTCAGTCGGTTGAATGTGCCGACCCCCACCGGATTTAATCTTTTCCGGCTGCCCCCGGCAACCAAAAATCCATCGATTTTTACTCTCTATTTACACAGTTCCTCCTATTGTTTGCTTCCAATGATTTCTTTTCATTTATTGTTTTACTTCCGTCTTTTTTTCTCCTCTCGAAAAACAATTCTTCAACCATTTTTTTTGCTTTGAAAAAAAATGTTAATAAGAATTTTCTTTAATGTCCAACATATTATGGAAAACTCATTATTCAATTGTTGCATTCAAAAATTGCATGTTGCCTTTAATATTTATCCAGTGACACCTGAAAATATGAAACATTTTACATAAATAATCAGTTTTAAGCTATTTCAGCTGCAAAATTATGAAAAAAAAAAAAGAATTTTCAATTATTCCATGGCAAAAAACACGAGCTCATTCTGCAATTGTGGACCATTCTATTATTTCGGGTCGGAAATTCCAATTTCGATTTGAATAGTGGCAATTCGGTTAATGTACTACGATTAACCTTAAACTCACTGTAAATCGGCGCCGGATTTTTTTGGCGAATGTAAGATAATAATTCTAGCACCCACTATTGAACCAACATTTAAAAATTACGATAAATTTTTCCATTGAATATCTGTTTAACAATCTGAAATAAATTATTTTTGTTTATAATTTTTGAAAAAAAAATTAAAGAATAGCTGAAAATCATCAGGAATCTTAAAAATTACGAAAATTGAAGAAAAAAATTCTCAAAAGTGCAATAGAGCGCATTTGCCGCCATACATGAAATTAAAAAAAAACGGAATTTCAATGAGATAAAATTGATAAGGAATGATAAATCAGATTGCGAATGACAACAAGGAAATAATCAATCATCAAATTTTCGCAAAAAGAAAAAACCGAGAAATTATCGCAATTTGAAAAGAAAATTAAAAAAAAAGAGAAATGACGCACGAGAAATGCGTCAGTGTCCTATCACTTGCGCCAATTTCAAAAACAAATATTTTTTTTTTCAATTGATACAATATCGATTTTTCGTATCTCTCAAATGGAATTTCCATTTCTCTTCGATCATTTTGCGACACGTCATCTCCCCCAATTTTCGATTCAACAATTTGTGGGCGTTGACATTTTTCTCGAATTTACTCGAACCAAAATAACTAGCTATAAACTATTTCAATATTCGTTTACTAGGCAGTCCATCTCATGATTGTTACCAAACAGTCCATGAGAAAAAAAAACCGGTTTTCTATCGATTTTCTGTGATCATCGAATTTCCCAATATGCGGTGTTTTTGTTTTCAGGATGTTTCAACATCTGCCAACGATATTAATATGCGTATGTGTGCTTTCGACGGATTTAACCGAAGCTCGCCGATCGTCATCAGGAGGCGGAAGCTTCTCGGGTCGCGGTTCGAGCGGAGCGCGATCGAACGTCGCTTCCGGTGGTGGTGGATTCAATAATGGACGTGGTGGTGGATTCCAGACGCACAATTCCGGCGGATTCCATCCGAACAACAACAACAACAATGTGCGGCCGCCGGCTGGCGGATTTTCGAACACCAATCGCAATAATTACCCGAATCAGAATTTCCAGCCGCATGTCAATCCCGGGTAATTTTTTTTCCGAAATTTTTACAAAAATGCCCATCTATTGGCTAAAAGTGCATTTTTAGAAGATTTTTTGTGCGAAAATTGTGCATTTTTTGAATTTTCAACCATTTTTTGCTAAAAATTTCTCAAAAATGTCTCATCTGAAAAAAAAAACGTTTTTTTTTCTTGAAATTTGTAAATCTTGAGATTTTTGCCAAAAATTATCGTAAAAATTTTCTGTGTTGATGATTTCGGTCCTAAATGGAAAAAAATTGCAAAAATTTCATAAAACTTGATTCTTTTTTTTAATTTCCTGCAAATTTCGAGATTTGAAAAAAATAAATTGCAAAATCTAAAAATTTTCTTGAAAAACTCATTTTTTGTTGACACTTTCTTGGGAATTTCAAATTCGAGCAAAAAAAATGAAGGCAATTTCAGCTTCCACCAAGGAACTGGTCTCGGCTCAACGTCGAGCCGCAACACGTTCACCAAAGCGCTCGTTGGTGGCGCTTTGGGTGCCGCCGGTGGCATTTTGGCGTACGAGGCCGGCAAGGCGATCATCAAGTCCGCCACCGAGCCGTTCAATTATAACGGCCGCAATTATAATTGGGATAATCATGGCCACGTGGCGAATGGCGAATTCCAGTGCTCGATTCCGATGAGTCAGCTCATTCCGCAGGTTCGCTTCGAAGGGGGTGCTCAAATTTATCCATGGGGCTCATTTTCAGACACCTAGCACAACCACGACGACGACGACTGGTGCTCCAGATGCCACCACTGATGCTTCAGCGACGACGACGACGACGGTGGCACCGGCGAGTGTCCTCCAGAACGTGGGGATTTTTGGCACTTTTTCTCAAAAACCAAAATTTGCCATTTTTTTAGATTCAATATCCTGATGGAACGAGGCCGAAAACGATTGTCTGGACTTGTAAGGTATCAATTTTTGTGGATATTTTTTTTGCAAAAATTTGAAAAGAAAAAATTCGCCGATTTTCAATTTTTTTTTCAAAAGTTTTGACGGTTTTTCGAAGGAAAATAGCGATTTTTTTTATGATTTAGATTTAAAAAGCGAAAATTTTTCGATTTTTGACAATTTTCGGCAAAAAAAGTCGAAATTTTGAGTTTTTTCCCAAAAATGTTGCCTTTTAACATTTTTGCAATTTTTAATTGATTTTGCAAAAAATGTCGAAATTTTTAATTTTTTTTGCAATTAAAATTCGAAAAAATGTAAATTTTTTTTCAATTCATCAATTTTTTCAAATTTTGGCCTAAAATTGCCGATTTTGCCGAAAAAAAATGAAAATTTCGGCTTGTTTCAGGTTGGACGCGAATCGTGCTGCGGAACCGATTGTTGTCCGCTTCCGCCGCAACAGCAGACGACGAACGGACCATCGACGTCCGGAATGAGCACACTCGGCACCACCGCTCTCATGTACCTATTTTTCCGAATTTTCGCCTAATTTTGTCCAAAATGTTTTCTGTAAATAGTCCGCGTCACAATAAATAAAAATATATATGTGGTCCGTCCTTTTTGTGTGTGTCTCTGTGTGGTTTTTTTCAAAATTTCAAAATTTTTCCAGAATTTTCGTCGTGATTCTTCTTCTTTGCTGCGGTGGCTGCCTTTGCGTCTTCTTCTGCTGCAAATCGGCGTTTGAGAGCTGCGTTGGTGATTCGAAACAGCACGATGGCTATGATGGTCCGTTGTTTTTTTTTTTTTGGCAAAATAAAAATGTATTTTGCAGAAGGATACCATCAAGATCAATATCAGATGCAGAACTATCCTCCACAGCAGAATCAGTACTATCAGCAGCCGCCGCCGGCTAATTACCAGCAACAGCCGCATGGTTACCCGCAAACTGGCAATTATTATCCGCCCAATCAGTATCCGGCTCAGCCGACTTATTAGATTCAATTGTAATTTTCTTTTCAATTTTGAAACGGGATTTACTATTTTCGTTTATTTTGTGCATTTTCACTTTCGAATAAAATTTCTTTTTTTTTTTGCTCCATCGGATACCCCGAAGAAGCGGCTGAAAATTTCGGTTATAGAAACCCACATTCTTTCGAATGTATTCTCAATAGTTACCTTCAGGAACTGGGTATAAACCAAAAATGTCTGTGATTTCATTTTTCTTACATCGAATCAGCTGCGGACAAATTTGCGGGACACGATTTGAAGTGGTTTGTGTGGAAGAAGCGCGATGTAATGAGAGAGAGAGAGTACAGACGGGTATAGATTTTTAAAGAAATTTGCTTTTCAGAAATTTAAACCAAAAATTATTTTAAAGAGTTCCAAAGAATTTCATAGAAAATGGTTGTAGAATGGGGAAATAAAGAAAATCATGGAATTTTTTTTTAATTTTCCGAGGATATTTTTTTAAGAAAAAATTGTTGGGAAAGTTTTAAGATCCAAATGGGCAAAAAATTTCTGTTAGGATTGACGCATATCATTTAATTTTATGAGTCACTTTGAGAGAAATTGAAGAAATTCATTTTTATGAATAAAAATGTGTCTTTAACAGTACTAATGATTATGTTAACGCGAATTTATTGCATCTCACATCGAAAATTATTTTTATTTGCAATTAAATCTCAAAATTGGGATCCAACCCACATGTGCATGGTCCCTCACAAAAACCGAAATGACCTAGTAGAGAGTTCAGTGAGTGAAGAGAGCACAGACGGCTAGAGGACAGACAAAGTGTGCTCCATTGCGAATCGCACATTAAATTTTTAATTTTTCTAATTTTTGCGCATTTCAGATGGAATTCACGCGGGTAGCACTTCGAAACCTGAACACCCGCCACTGGAACCGTCGCGTTTGGGAAATTGGTTATCGCGGACCGGTGTTGGCACAGCAGAAAGCGTGAGAATTTATTTTGAAATGAAAAAATGCGAAATTGAATTCAGAACCGGCCGGCCTGATTATCCAGTGTCCGCTGATCGTGTGAACATCCTTCGCGAGCGATTGGCGCGCGAGAAAATCGTCATGGGACTCCTTACAAGGCCCTACACCTCGAAAGCCGCGGAATTGGCGTACCTGGCGACCAAGGGTGTTAGCAGTTTAGAGGAGCTCAGAAATAAGGAGAACGCCGAACTTGATGCGAAAAGAATGCCAGGAAAAGTATCTTGTGCTTATTTTCAACACATTTTTTTTTCAAAATTCCATTGCAGGAGAAGAGAACGGACGGCTCAAAAGCGGCGGTGCGCCGACGAGCCAACATCGGAAACCTGTTGCACCAAAACGCGACCGTTGAAGATTCACTGGCGAGCCTGGCGAACAGAAAACGATGGGATTAGAGTTTATTGTTATTTATTGTTGTCATTATTAGTAAATTGTTTAGATTATTTCAAAGTGAACACCCTCCCACAAAAAGATACCCCCAAGAAATGACTAGGAATTGAATTATTTTTTGAGCGAATCGTCATCATCCTCCTCATCCTTGATGCTCATGCTCGCCGCAGACAAGTTGGACTCATCAATAATCTCCTGCTCATACTCTTTAGGTTGACACTTCTCCAAATCAACTCGTGGGAAGTCCATCTAGAAATTTAGTTGAATGCTTCCCAAATACACAAAAAGCGAAACCTGCTGTTCTGGAACAATCCATGGCTTCCAATTGGGATGATGCTTCTCCTTCCACTCTTCATAATGAAGGCATGCTTTATGAAGCTTCTTGACCACCTTCGGCGCGACAACCTTGGTGACCCGATTGACCAGCCACGTCGGAAGTTTGCCTTTGGGATCGGTATGGCTGATATAGGTGACTTGGCATCCTTCCTCGTCATGATCCTCAATCAAGTAGCCCGACAGCAACACCGTCGCTCGTATGAATCCCTTCGCCGGCGGATAATCCTCATGACACACCGAATGACTGCAAATGAGCTTCTCGTGCTTCGTTTCCAGCCAACTTCGTTGCAGCACGAAATCGCGCGCGCGCACCGGCGACATTCCCGACACTGCAATTCAAAACGAGCCGCAAAACAATGTGAATTGCGTTCACACGGAGCGTCGTTTCGGCATTTCAATGACGTCACGAATGGAAACTTACGCGCATAATAGCCGACATCGTTGTTCGGATTGATCATTCCAATCATTTCCTGCGACAGCATATGCTTATCCCATTTCGAGCGGAATGCTGTAAGACTCGATGGCTGTCAAGACAGCGTTGACGGCGACGAACCCGAATCATGAAGCACGTCATAGACGAGGCTCGAAGTGACGTCGGGAAAATGGGCGACAGCCTTAATCATTTGAAAATGACTATTGGCGACGTGCTGCGTGTAGACGGCTATCGATTTCTTGTTGTAGACCTCCGTCCAGCCGTCGGACGATTTGCACAAATTGCGCACTTTGTCGTAATCGGCGTCCTCCCAAACGCGGGCGACGTTCACGCGCATTTTCGCTGAAAAACCGAGGCGAAACGAATTAAGGGCCAAAAATCGAGCGGCGAGAGTGCGCGGGATTGGCTAGAGACGCAGAGTGTTATACATTTTTGAGCAAGTCCAATGCCCCAAAAATGGGAAATTTCGTGGAAGAAGGAAAAAAAAAGCAGAAAAATATAATAGGAAATATTGGGAATCGATGAGGGCGCGCGCGCGCGCGCATCAAAAACAGTTTATTGGCCTTTTATAGAAATTTTTCGTGCCGTCGGCGGGCAGCCTCGCCGTTTTTTTTTCGGTTTTGAGACCGGCCGGGGGAGGAGGCGAAGAAGCGAAACGCGGTTATCACGGAGTTTTCCAAAAAATTATTATTTTTTCTGATAACAAGGGCAACGTGATTGAATGGCATTCGAGTGGCGCCAGTTTCAGATTGGATTACGGAAAAAACCGGTAGCAAACAGCGCGCAAATTAATTGTTTATTCGGTTGGTATGTTGACTTGAATGCGATGCTCCGCGGCGGTCCGCAGAGTTCGTCCAAAGTGTTTGCACCAATTTCCGTTGAATAATTGAGATGTGGTGCAAACACGTTGTATGAACTCTGCGGACTTGCATTATTAAAAGAAAAAAAAAAACAGATTTTTAATGATTGTTGGGCACTTTAGAAGGAATTGAATAGTTTAAAGGGACATGATGAGAAGAAATTGAGAATTGTTGGATTTTTTCTATTTGAACAGCTTTTTTTTCTCGACCTGAACATTATTGGTCGGAATTTTGCAGAATAGAAAATCAAACCGGTGTTGAATAATGTCACGAATCACCGAAACGCCATCAACACCACCAACACCAACGACGACGGCGGCAGCAAATTATGACGAGAATCTGACGAGTTCAGGTTTGGCGAGAATTGCTCACTGAGCCTAGTTGGACTGATTCCAGGAATCTCAGGATCCGGCTCGTTGTCGCCGCCCGTCTCATCGCGACCATCGTCGGGACACGTGTCGCCGCTCGGCTCGAACGGCTCGCTGTCGCCGCCGCAGTTTGTCGATGCCGCCGCCGTCGGCACCTATTCCGATTCGCCGCGCGACCTCAGCCCGTTGCTTCTTTCGGTACGACGATCAATGCGCCTTTGAAAACGTGCGTCGATTTAGGAGCTCGCTTGTTTGAATATGCGCGAGGTCGTCGCGAGACCAGGCGTCGGAAAAATCGGACGACCGATTCCGGTCAAAGCCAATTTTTTTGCCGTCGATCTCAAAAATCCGAAAATGGTCGTAATGCAGTATCACGTCGAAATTCACCATCCCGGATGCCGAAAATTGGACAAGTAGGCGCCGAAAAAAAATATTGGCTACAGTATCGTGGTGGTAAAGGCGCAGGCGATATTTTGAAAACGTCTCGCGTGGATTATTGCGATACAGTAAACTTGCGCTGCTATTTTAACTCGGAAATTTCAATTTTAAAATTTGATTGCATTTAAACAAAACAACGCAATTGTGATGTTTAAAATGTGAAAATGACAATGTATTTTCTTGAAAACTCAATTTACTCTTTGAAAAATGATGTCATTTTGCATTTAATTGAATTTTTTCCTTTTTTTTGCTCATTGTCGCTGCCAATATTTTTGTTTATTTCTCGCCTCATAAAACCCCCACGCGACCTTTTGTCGTAAACCAATTTTTACGATCCGCCCATATTGTTTTTTCCTGCCTGGCGATCTCGAATTTTGCAATTTTAATTTTTGAACCGGTTTTTTCTCCAGGGACGAGACCCGCATCATTTTCTGGAAAGTCGTCGCCGATAATCCGCTCATCTTTCGCAACAAATTCGCACTCGCCTATGATGGAGCGCATCAGCTGTACACGGTGACGAGATTGGAGTTTCCTGATGATAATGGATCGGTTGAAAACAATTGAAAAAAAATTATAAAAGCAAGAAAAAATTGCAGGTTCGAATTGAATGTGAAGCAAGTTTGCCAAAAGATAATCGCGATCGCACTCGATGTGCAGTTTCCATTCAAAATGTGGGACCAGTTCTGCTTGAAATGCAACGAACGCGAACGAACAACTTGGACGAGCGAGTGCTCACTCCCATTCAAATTCTTGATATTATCTGCCGACAGTCTCTTACATGTCCACTTTTGAGAAATTCCTCCAATTTTTATACATGGAAATCGTCTTGCTATCGCATTCCAAGCGGTGGCGGTCAGGCTCTCGATCTCGAAGGCGGCAAAGAAATGTGGACGGGTTTCTTTTCCAGTGCTCATATCGCCAGCAACTATCGCCCACTTTTGAATGTCGATGGTAATTTATTCAAATTTATGTCGAGAAAAAATTGAATTATTTAGTCGCGCACACCGCATTCTACAAGGCTCGCATCTCGGTGCTCCAGCTCATGTGCGATGTGCTCAATGAGAAGAGCGGCAAACAAGGATACGGACGAAGTCCGCCGTCGCGAGGCGGTGGACCGCATGTGGGCGGCGGTATGGGAGGCGGTGGATATCAGCGAGGTGGACGCGGTGGCGGAAGAGGAGGATATGGCAATTTTGGGAATCGCGGAATGCATCAACCGCAACGCGATGAATTTGGACAATATGGGCCGCCGATTTTCACCATGGACACATTGACAAAGGACACCCAGCTGTCAAGCTTTGAGGCTCGCGTTTTTGGGGATGCGATTCGCGGAATGAAAGTTGGCATTTGTTTTGGGAAAAAATGTGAGAGAATAAAAATATTTATTTTTAGATTCGAGCTACCCATCGCCCGAACGCTATTCGCGTCTACAAAGTCAATTGCCTCCAATTGCCCGCCGACAAGCTCATGTTCCAAGGAATCGATGAGAACGGTCGGCCAACAATTTGCTCGGTCGCCGACTACTTTTCTGAGAAATACGGACCATTGAAATACCCGAAACTTCCTTGCCTTCATGTCGGACCGCCGAATCGCAACATCTTCTTGCCAATGGAGCATTGTGTTATTGACTCGCCGCAAAAGTACAACAAAAAGATGACGGAGAAGCAAACGAGCGCAATTATCAAAGCTGCCGCGGTGGATGCGACCCAAAGAGAAGAACGAATCAAAGCTCTTGCTTCACAAGCGGCATTTGATGTGGATCCGTTTCTCAAAGAGTTCGGAGTCGCCGTGTCGTCGCAGATGGTTGAAACTACTGCTCGAGTCATCCAGCCGCCACCGATCATGTTCGGAGGAAACAATCGCGCCGTCAATCAGATCGTGTTCCCCAAGGATGGCTCATGGTCGATGGATAATCAGACGCTTTACATGCCAGCAACGTGCCGCAGCTATTCGATGATCGCTCTTGTCGATCCTCGCGATCAAACTACTCTTCAGAACTTTTGCCAAGCATTGACCTCAAAAGCCACGCAAATGGGAATGACGTTTCCCAGATGGCCGGATCTTGTGAAGTATGGACGAACGAAGGAGGATGTTTGCGTGTTGTTCACTGAAATCGCCGACGAATACCGCATCACGAACACGGTGTGCGATTGCGTCATTGTTGTGCTCGTTTCGAAGAACTCGGATATCTACAGTAATTCCTAAGCTTATTTTTTTTTTTAGATTTTTTGTTTTCAGTGACGGTGAAGGAGCAATCCGACATTGTTCACGGAATCATGTCGCAATGCGTTTTGATGAAGAATGTGATGCGTCCATCGCCGGCCACTTGCGCGAATATTGTGCTCAAGCTCAACATGAAGCTTGGAGGAATTAATAGCCGAATTGTCGCTGATCAGATCACCAACAAATATCTCATTGATCAACCGACGATGGTTGTTGGAATTGACGTCACTCATCCGACGCAAGCCGAAATGCGCATGAATATGCCGTCTGTGGCTGCGGTAAGGCTTGAGGAATTGATTTTTAATGAACGGTTCTGAAAATGCAGATTGTCGCCAATGTCGATTTGCTCCCTCAATCATACGGAGCGAATGTGAAGGTTCAGAAGAAGTGTCGAGAATCGGTAGTTTATTTGCTCGATGCCATCCGTGAAAGAATTATAACTTTCTATCGGTATTTGTGTTTATTTTGGTGTAGAAATTGGTTTCATTTCAGACATACGAAGCAAAAACCAGCGAGAATCATTGTTTATCGCGACGGCGTCTCGGAAGGACAATTCGCCGAGGTGCTCCGCGAGGAGATTCAATCGATTCGCACCGCATGCCTGGCGATTTCTGAAGACTTCCGTCCTCCGATCACCTACATTGTTGTCCAGAAGCGCCATCACGCTAGAATGTTCTGTAAGAACCCTGGTGATATGGTCGGTCGTGCTAAGAATGTGCCGCCGGGCACCACTGTCGACACGGGAATCGTCTCGCCTGAAGGATTTGACTTCTACTTGTGCTCGCATTATGGAGTTCAGGGAACTTCGAGACCGGCCAGATATCATGTGCTACTTGATGAGAGCAAGTTCACCGCCGATGAGATTCAGAACATCACCTATGGGTTTGAACTGTCAGGTTTTTGATGATTGATTTTTGTTCGCAGCATGTGCCACACTTATGGTCGATGTACTCGTTCGGTGTCGATTCCAACACCAGTTTATTATGCGGATTTGGTGGCGACGCGCGCCAGATGCCATGTGAAGAGAAAACTGTAGGAATTTGCACTATTTCAAACCATATTTTTGTATTTTAGGGGTCTCGTTGACTCGATGGATTGCGATACGAACTCGTTGACGTCTTCATTGGCCTCAATGATGCACATTGGAAAGCCGGGAAAGAAGAAATCGCAATTCCACAATGAAAATGAAAGTAAGAAGGCGTTGAAAATCTTTAATAATTCAGAAAAACAACTTCAGTGTTCATGCGCATGGATGTCAGTTCGGACCAAGTCCTTCAAGATTGCGTTTCGGTTGCCGGCGACTTCAAAAGTCGAATGTATTTCATTTAAGCGTCCCATTTTTGGCTTGTTTTGATTTTTCTTTAAAATAAAAAATTCGCATGAGGTTTTTTTTTGGTTCGTGTTTGTTCTTTGACGGGGCTGCTACACTTCTCCCCTCACTGTTGTCTATATCTCTGTTACTCTCTAATGTCATCTGCTTTCTCTCTTTTTCTAATTTTAAATTGCCGCTCATGTGTCTCGCGGCGAATTGCGTCTACGCCGCCCAACAAGTGGACGCGCCTTGAAACGCCAAAGAACGTTTAGCGCCACCAGTGGCGCTTATCATTTTTGTCTTGTCGTCGTGTTTAGGTGTTTGAAGGGAGGAGTTAATTTGGATTCTAGTCTCAAAATGATGACGATCAGTAAATAATGTCGGTTTTTTGATTAAAAGTGCATTGTTTTGTTATTTTTTTTTACTTCATTCAAAATTGAACATTTTTCTCGATTATTCTACTCAATTTTTATTCATAATCATTCTGTGGGTTCAAATTATTACGTGACTTTTGCTTGCAGCCTCTAGAAGTTGACCTATTTAATATTTGCCCACTATCTCTTTCTCTATGTCGTCCTTATCAGTCACGCAACTCGCAATGTTCTTATTTTGCTCTTTTAAAAAATGTCTCATTTTAGAATGGCTCTTCCAACCAAGGCGATTCCAGTTGCTGTCAACGCTTCGCTCCGCTTGGGCGCTGTGCGTCATTCGAGCTCTCAGCCAAAAGTGGCACTTCTCGGAGCCGCCGGTGGAATTGGACAACCATTGGGACTCCTTTTGAAGCAAGACCCGCTTGTTGCGAAGCTCGCGCTTTATGATGTTGTCAACACTCCGGGAGTTGCCGCTGATTTGTCCCACATCGACACCAACGCCAAGGTTCGATTTTTTTCGTCAATTTTTTTTCATTGTAAAATCTTTCTTGCCAGGTCACCGCCCACACTGGACCGAAGGAGCTCTACGCCGCTGTTGAGGATGCCGATGTCATCGTGATTCCGGCGGGAGTCCCACGTAAACCAGGAATGACGCGCGATGATCTGTTCAACACCAACGCCGGAATTGTTCGCGATTTGACGGTGGTTATCGCCAAGGCGGCGCCGAAAGCCTTCATCGCCATCATCACCAATCCGGTCAACTCGACGGTCCCAATTGCTTCGGAGGTTCTCAAGAAGGCCGGAGTTTACGATCCGAAGCGTGTTTTCGGCGTCACCACTTTGGACGTTGTTCGATCGCAGGCTTTCGTCGCTGAGCTCAAGGGACTCGACGCCACCAAGACGATTGTGCCGGTTGTTGGCGGTCACGCCGGCACCACCATCATTCCGCTTCTCTCGCAGACGAAGCCGGCTGTTCAGTTCACCGAGGAGGAGATCGCCAAATTGACGCCGAGAATCCAGGATGCCGGAACTGAGGTAGTCAACGCCAAGGCTGGCGCCGGATCGGCGACACTTTCGATGGCGTTGGCTGGAGCCAAATTCGCAAATGCTTTGATCCGCGCGTTGAAGGGTGACAAGAATGTGCAATGCGCTTACGTCGCCTCCGACGCCGTCAAGGGAGTCGAATATTTCTCGACGCCACTTGAGCTCGGACCAAATGGAGTTGAGAAGATTCTTGGAGTTGGAAAGGTACGACGACAATCAAATCGCTTTTGTGAATATCCAATTTTGTAGGTCACCCCATTCGAGCAGAAGCTCATTGATGCCTCGGTTGCCGAATTGAACAAGAACATCTCGAAGGGAGTGTCATTTGTCAAGGGAAACTAAACTAAAAACAAATCTCCGGTGCAAAATTAAAACAATTTAGTAGCAGAGGCAATATGTGTATTTATATCAAATTATCTATGCAATAAAACTGAGAGGAGAGACCCGTTTGTTTTTCTAGCACTCATTGTTTGAAAATGTTGAATTAAAGCCGAGAATTGTGTCGGGAACCGAGTTGAGATTGAAGATCAGCATTGTCCATGTGTTCATGTTGAGAGTGGTGATTACGATGCAGCAAATATTCAAAAGGAATCCGACGGTGATCTGAATGTGACGATCGACAAACGACAAAGAGCGCTGAAAAGCTGACCATTTCGAGCATGGTGATCACTCGCGTATCATAGACGATCGCGTTCGGCGGCGTCGAGATGGGCAGCATGAAGGCGAACGAGCAGGCGACTGTCGTCGGCAAACTCAAATACAACGGGTGCAGCTGCATTGATTCGGCGACAACGAGTGAGATCGGAATGAAAATGCGGGCGGTGGAGACGTTTGAGGCGAACTCCGTCATTATTACGATAGTGGTTGTGATGGTTACTGTAAGGTGTGGAGTACGGTAACAATTTTTTTGAATGTGTCAGCACCTTGGAGTGGAAGCGCCTGCATTCCATTGAATAGTTTTCGCATTGTGCAGGCGATCAGATGAGAGAGACCGGATTTCTGAAAATCGATGTTTGCGTGGGCGAAGTAGATGGTGGGCGGAGCTTACGTCAACGCCATCGGAGATTGCGTAGCCGGCGCCGATAAGAAGTGTGCACGACCACGAGTACTTGGCCTTCATATCGGACCACTGAAGGATGGGCCTGAGCGGATCGACGGCGTCGAACGGATCGCGCGGCCAAATGAACATGAGGCACGCGATGAGAATGCCGACGACGCTGTCGGAAACGAACGCGGCGTCGGGCAACGATTGCGACCAGCCGGGCGCGAATCCCGGATCGCGTGTGATCCACGCGGCGATGAGAATGACGAAGAAGGCGAAGACGGACTTCTCGGCGAACGTGATCGCGCCCAACTCGGTGTACATGAGCGCGATTCGTTTTTTGATGGACGCGTTGAGCGCGCGATTCGGCGTCGAATTCCACAACGCCGATGGTCCCATGAAATAGCACTGAAGTTTGGGGTGGATGTCGAAGAGGCTAGAATCACACATTGCTAGCTAGCTCACTTACCACTAGAACGACAAACGAGGCGACGAGATAGATCAGCATCGGCGGCATCGCGAACACCATCCACTGCAAATACGTCATGCCGACGTCGGCGTTCGGATAGCGTTTTTGGAGGTTCTCGCGAAACACCAAATTCGGGCCCGTCGACGTGATGATGGCGGTGCCGCCGATGAGGGACGCGTGCGCGCACGACAGCAGAAGCGCTTTGCAGAAGGCGCGATCCGATTTGCACATTTTGGCGAGGCCCAATTTGTCGGCGACACTTGCCGACGACGACGACGATGATGATGATGATGCCGTCGGCTGGCGATGGTCGACGTCGTTCGCCGCCGCCGCGTCGGCCATGCTTGTGAGAAGCGCGACGGCCGTCGGGCACATGAGCGCCGTGCACGCGGTGTCGGAAACGAAGAATGAGCTGCAATGAAAATAAATTGGTTGGATTCTATTTCACAAAAAAAATAAACGTCGAAGAAAACTCTCAAAACGCTATGCAAATGCGCAAACCAACAATTTTTTGAATTTTCTTCAAAAAAAAACCGATTTTTAATTAAATTCACACCGCAGTTTTGCGTGAGGTGTATGCACAGTTGGTACTGCACATTTCTACGCCTACAGTACTGTAAGTTGATTTGTGAATTTGAACATTTTGAAGGAAGGGTTTGTCGCGGGAATTCAAAAATTTCAAAGAGCGAATTTGCGCTGGAATTTGAACATTTTTTTAAAGAAATTCTGGATGGCTTTGCGAATTTCTCTTTCAGAATCTGCTCCAATTTCAGGATTCATTGCGAAGAGGACGAATTGAATTCCAGGAATCTATGACGAAAAAATGTAACTGGAAAAATATGCATTCTTATTAAAAATGATTTTACTTTTTGAAATTGCTACATTGTAGCCGAGATGGCGTAATTCAAACCCCGCCCCCAGCGTTTGTTTCGTGAGGCTATTGCGCTCTAGCGCAACACAGCGTCGATCGGGAAAAGCGCGTCGATGAGCAGAGAATGTGCACTGTGGTGGCAGGGTTGATTTCAATTTTGTATGAAGCGAAATAAAAAAGCGTTTTAAAAAATAAAATTTTAAATCAAGAAGCGTTCTTTCGGGCATTTTTGCGAGAAGAAAGCACACAATAAAAATGGATAAATTAAATTTTATAAAATATTGCGAATATGTCAAACATTTATTTTAATACATATTGTCTTTTAGTATTTCTAATATTCGTAGATGCAGATTTCATATTAAAATAGTCGAAAAATCAGTGAAAAACTAAAAAAAATCCCTATAAAGTGTGAGTTTTCTACAAAAAAAAATCTGTTTTTTTTTCATTTTAATATAAAAATTGAAACGTGCAAAATTCGTACGCGATGTTTGCGGACTTGCAAAAATACAGTAACACAACATTGACGAATTCTGATTTGAGGAGATATTAAAAAGAAATGTATTTTCTATTTTGTAATTCTACAAAAATTTCGGTAGAAATGCTAGAATTTTTTGAACAAAAATGACTCACATGAAGCACGTGACGGCCATGAATCCGAAAAGCATTCTAAAAACCATCAAAAAATCGCAATTCTCACAGAAAAAAGAGCCACTTCTTACACTGGACGACTCGTTCCAACTTTGCTCAAAAGCTTCAGCGCAATCCGCCGATGAAGGCCGGTGGCTTCGACCGCCATCGCCATGATCAATGTCGACATGAAGAGGACGATGGAGTCTTTGAAGTAGACCTGCGAGATGCTCCGCGAGCTGACGACGTGAAGCGCGGGGAACATGACCAATGGTAGAAGGGATGTGACGCCGACGGGAAGAATCTCGCCGATCCAGTACGTCGATAGCACAATAATAATGAAGAGGCATCGGTATTCGGGTCCGAACGCGATTAGAGGTCCCGCCGCGATGAGCGGAACGACAGCGATGAGGAGTTTGCGAGCAGCCGACATTACGCGCCTTTAAAATCCAACTGAATGAAAGAGAGGCCGACGAGGAAGAAGAAGTCGAGATTTTTGAGAGATAAGAAGAAGAAGACCCGGTTTTTCGTCGAAACACACTCACACCGTATCATTTGTTTTTTTTTATTTTTATTTTTGCTGCTGCCGACACACGAATGGGTTGCGTCTAGTGTTGATTTAATCCAAATTCGATGCTCGCCGAGCATGCACTTGAAATTCTTTTTGTTTGCCTTCGAATGAAAATTGCGATTTAAATAGCCAAACTTTTGGGAGAAATTTGAATTGCCGCCGCCGCCGCCGTGGCGCATTTACGCTAAAACGAGGGCACTCGCGGAATATCGTTCGCCTAACATTTTGTTGCATTTTTTAAATGTATTTTTTTAGCGCTGTTAATAGAGCGATTCGTTTGTAGAAAAGACAGAATCGTTTCTTTTTTTCTATAGTGTAAAGAATTTCTTAAAAATTAATTATTGCAGATGCCTCATGAAGCCAGAGAGCCGGTTATTGTAAGATTTGTGTTGGGCGAATTTCAATTCGAAATTGCAGAAAGACGCGATCAATTTTGTCGCACAGCAGCAGCAATCGCTGGAAATGGACGAGGCGCCCTATCGCGCGAGACTTTATCAATTATTCGGGTTCATCGAGAAGGAATTCGACGCGTTGTATGCCGAAAATTGCGCGCGTGAGTGTTGGCCGGAACAGCGACTAGCTGAAACGAACTGAAATTGCAGTACGCAATCGGGTGGCGCAGTTGACCGAAGGCAATGAGCCGCTCTCGATGCCGGACCCGATAAAGTTGCCGGGCAGTGGGCGAAAGGCGATACTGATGGGCCAGAAGCTGCGGACGGCGTTCCGCGGTCCGCCGGTGTTTCGCGACGGCGCCAAATTTCGTCTCATCAAACATCTCGACGGTCACAAAGACGGCGTTTGGCACGTCGCCGGCGACGGCGCGCGAAATTTGGCGGCGAGCGCGAGCGCCGACCAAACCGCCAAAGTGTGGTCGTTGGAGACGGGCGCGTGTCTCGCGACGTACACGGCGCACACCGGCAGCGTCAACAGTGTGGCGATGAACGCCGACGACGGCGTGTTGGCGACGGCCAGCGGCGATGAGTCGACGCACATTTGGAAGGTGGCGAGCGGAAGCGACGACGAGAACGCGGCCGACGACGGCGTCATCATCAGAAGCCCGATGCTGAAACTCACCGGCCATCGAGCGCCGGTGATTTGCTGCGAATGGCTCGGCGCGCAAATTGTCACCGCCTCGTGGGATCGCACCGCCAACATTTGGGACGTCGAGCGAGGCGAGGTCACCAATATTCTCAACGGACACGAAGCCGAACTGAATCATTGTTGCGCGCACACGCATCAGAAGCTCGTCGCCACCTCGTCGAAAGACTCGACGTTTCGCCTTTGGGATTTCCGAGAGACGATTCAATCGGTCGCGGTATTTCAGGGACATCAGGAGTAGGGCCAATTTTTTTGCGTTTGTCGAAAAAAAAATAGAGATTTTTCTTGAGAAAAATGGTCTCTTTAAAACGGAAATCAAAAAAGAATCATAAATTTTTTATGGATTTTGAAAAATGGGCAAAAAAGAATTGATAGAAATATATGTATTTATTCAAATGTTTTTTTTTTGTCACCTTCCAGATCCGTCTCATCCGTGTCCTTCACCTCATCGGATCGCATCGTCTCATCCAGCGACGACGCCACCGTGAAAGTGTGGGATTTGCGAAACATGCGAACCGCGCTCACCACAATCCGATTATCGGCGGCCGCGAATCGAGTGGCGGTCAGCCAGACGCACGGCATTCTCGCGATTCCCATGGATAATCGACACGTTCGAATTTACGATCTAAACGGCAACCGATTGCCGAAAATGCCGAATCGACGGGTAGGCCACCGAAAAACATTGGAATTAATTTCGCGCTTCGGGTACGGTGGACAATGCAAGTCCGCGGTACACCGAAGCGTATTAATGCGGACATTCTTTTTTTGAATTTTACTTTTTTTAGTGCCATTCTCGCATTGTAACTTGTTGCGCGTGGCTCGACGATCATCCAACGCATAATCTACTAACTTCGGGCTTTGATCGCCTCGTGTCAGCCTGGAAAGTCAATATATCGACAAAGGATTAATTTATTTGCGAGTCAGCAGGAAAAGAAAAAATAATAATAAATTGACTAATAATTATGCACCGGGATGGAGGTTGGGAAAGCATTTTCGCGACGAAATTCACTTTTTCAAATTCATCACTTCCGGATTGAGGCGATCCGACGGTGTGCCGTATTCGCTCTCGGCGCCGTTCACACCATGCAACTCGCCGGTTTGCAAAAACTCGAAATCGTCCGTTTTTCCGGTATTGATGGCGGCTAGTCTGCAAAAATCCGTTTTTTTTCGTTTTTTTTTTCTTGAATGAAATTGAAAAATTTGCTCACTTCTTCTCAACAGTGTCGATCATCGCCTGAAAATCGTCGGCGGTTTTCGGCGACGTCGCCGCCGGCACTTCAACCTTCTTCGGCTCGTCGGCGCGCGGATCGAACGTGTCGTCGAACACGTCGTCGCCGATCTTCAATCCCCTCAATTCGTCGGCGGCTGGCGCAGGCGGTGGCGGTGGCGGTTGGCGTCGTGGCGCAATTGGTGGCGGTGGCGGCGCAATCGGCAATGGTGGCGGCGGAATTGTGGGCGCCGGCAATTTTGGCGCCATTTCGATGGGCGCCGCTGCTGCTGCCGCCGCGTCATAACGCGGACTCGAGTAGATGCTCGCCGGCGGCGATTGCGGCATCGGCGTTTGCGGAAGAGCCGGCGGCGCGCCACCGCCATGACCTTGAATCGCCTCGGCGAGCCGCTCGCTGAGCACCTGATTCTCCGATTCGAGTTCGGCGATGCGCTTCTTCAAAATGTAGACCTGCTTCTGGTTCTCGAGTGTACTTCGATTTTTGTCGAGGAATCGCTTGTAGGCCAAATCGAACGCCTCGCCGATCGTCAGCGTGATCTCCTCGGCGAGCTTCTCCGACGTGAACGCGAAACAGCTGTGCTTCGCGTTCGGCTCGCCGCCGCGCGCGATAAACGAGAACATTCGTTTGTCCTGCAACAACAAAATTGTGTGCATTATTGCGTCGCGGTGCTTACGTCTTTGTCGTCGGCACAAAACGAGATGCGTCCCAACGGGAATTGAAACATCACCAATTTCGTTTTATTATCCGCTATCGTGACGTCATCAATCGATATTTGAATGTCGACTTTTTGAAGTTTCGCGCTCTCGCGTGACATTTCCGAGCGTTTCAACTGCAATTTCAGCGTATCGCCAGTTTTTAGTGGATTTTGAGCAAAAATTCAATCATCTACTGCTTTAAATTTCATTTTTGTTGAAAATTACTTGAAAAGACTGATTTTTTCGTAAGGAAAAAATTATTATTTTTGTATTTTCTTTAAAAAAATCGCTTACATCAAGCTGAAATCGAATCGCGTGAATCGCTTCTTTCGCAACATCGCTTCCATGCGGCTTCGACGTCTCCACACATCCCAAGAATCTCGCCGTGTACTCGACTCGTCCGTTTATCAAAAAATCCGGCGGATGAATCCACGTGCGTCCGGTCCCGCCGCGATATTTCACATTCTGATGGCTGCTTGTCGACGGCGATGATGATGATGACAACGATGACGACGACTACAGATTTACATTTGACTATATCGCATAATCAATCGAATTTCAATTATGCAATTTACCTCTCCGTTTCCACCAGTCACCGCCGATATCGATTTTTTGAACGTCTTGTAAATATCCTTGGCCATAATTCAGCTAAAAACACAACAAATGATACAAAATAAACAAAAAGCCCACGAAATAGAAGGCGTATCTGAGGAGGGTGGGGGGTCGAACGACCAACCGACCAACTTGTGGTGGTCAAGGGCGTGCCACCGCCGAGATAGTAAACAAATCAAAGAGGGCGTAGAGAAAAAACGCACCGAATCGATTCATCGCTATCCATTTATTCGTTTTTTGCTTTAAAATCAATTTCATACTACTCTAAATATTTTAAGACGACAAAACAAAAATACATAGATGAATTTAAAAAAAATGTTGAAGAAGGGAGAATAGATGGGTTTGCACGTGGAAAAGAAACAAACAAATTTCTAAAAAAAACGTCTCTTTTTTGTGCAATTTAGAAGCGAATATTAGTTTTCCTTCTCGATTGTGCCATCTACAAACGCCACCACGACATACCAGCACGGACATGAGCATAGTTCGGGAATGCTTCAGTGCGGCCTGGAAAATAAAAAAAAAATGATTGCTGAGTCATAAGATCCGGCCAATTGACCGTGTAACAGTGAGTGATTCATCGATTACACTTTTCATCAACATTATAACAGAAAAATCTGCCAGGACTCTTTTAAGGCTCAAAGTTACTCACCAACTCCGGCAGCGGCCAAGTCACGATCGTATACATGTCTCGAAATCGCCTCTCTCACAGCAGTAGCGTCGATCTTCTGGATTTGCTCTTCGAGCTCGGAGAGTTGTCGCACATTTCCGGTGTAAAGAATCTGAAATTTGTTTTTTCAACAAATAAGGAATTTTACAGCAAAACGCTTTCTAAAAAAAACACATTTTTTTTGAGGTGTACTTTCTCGCAAAAACACATTCGGACCCACCTCCTTGGCGTTGAATCCAGCCTTTTGCGTGTTCGTCTCCAAATTCTGATAGAATGCGGTTCGCAATTGGTTCTTGGCCAACGCGATCTCATCCTCGCTGGCAGCCGACGCCAAATGCTATAAAAAAATTGGAAATTAGGTTAGTAATTATCACAAAAATCATTCTTACTTTCCATTCGCGCGAGACTGACTTCATGACACCATGGGTATCATTCAAATCATGAGCATCAGCGACGAAATAGATTCCGAAAAGTCCGGTGTCCCTTGAAAAAATGACAAAAATCGATAGAATAAAAACTAATTAAAAATGGACAAACTTGTAGTTGATGTTGAAATGTTGAAGGTTGTGCAATCCGTGATCATGTCCGATTTTCTGGACCAAGCGGGATGGGGCGGTACGTGTGGTGGCGTGGGTAACATCCCATTGTCCTACAATGGACATTTTCGAAAAATTTGAGGAAATGAGAACAAACCGATGAATTGGTTGGCAACCTGGAGGGCCAACGCGTCTTTGTGTCCATATCCGACGCCCTAGAATTGATAAAATTTCTAAATTTTAACGAAATTCTCAGTAAGTTACCTCGACAGCGAAAGCGGCGTACATGTGTGGGATGTTGTCATTACGATATCTGTACTCCGATCCGGTGAATCGGATTCCGGACACCTCTGGCACCTTTCTCGGGTACTCGTTCGACAAATCTCCGAAATATTTCTCAGCGAGCTGTGGCACATTGGCAACACCTCCTCCAACAGCGGAAAGGACCATTCGAACCGGACGATAGTTGTCCTCCTGCCATTCCTTAAGTTGTTGAGCAGTGATATTTGGAATGCTCGAGCTTGTTCCAAGTGGGCTCTTTGCCAATGGTGTTCCTTGGAAAGCGGCGGCATGAAGGTTGTCGAAAAGCACGAGTTGATAGTAATCATCGGAAGCGTCAAGGGTCTTGAGGATATTGGCTCTCTCGGCTTCTACCGCGGAAGGGTCGAGTTTGCTGTTGCGAAGAACGTCAGCAAGAATGTCGACGACTAAAAAATTTAAGAAATATTTGATTTTTTAAAGTATTTTTTTATAAATGAAATTTATTTACCCTTCTCAACATCCTGGGAAGCAGCTTGCACGAAAACGGCGGTTTGGTCACGCTCGGTGAACGAGTTCAATTTAGCTCCAATGGCGTTCAATTCAGATTCCAAAGCAGCGGCGGCACGCTTTCCAGTTCCCTTGAAATTATTTAAATACAAAATAAAATAGCTAAATAAATACCTTGTGGATGAGTCTTTCGAGGAAATGAGCGACTCCATTATTTTCCTCAGTCTCGAATCGCGATCCGGTTTCAATCCAGACGCCGACAGTGGCGGTAGCACGTCCATTATCTTCAGTGACAACGCGGAAACCATTTTTCAAGGTGGTCACCTCGCTGTGCGGCGCTGTCGCCAAAACATCCTTCACAGAAAGTGCCGATGCATTTCTCACCTTAAAATAGGATACTTTTAATAATAAAAACATGAAAAAAATCAAGAAACCTGGGTGTTAATGGCTGGCCGAACAGCGGCATTGATAACCAGACGAAGAGACATTTTTCCTCAATTTCCCCTTGTTTTCTGGAATATATTGCTAAACATTATGTGAATTTTGGATAATTTTGCACGCCAAATTTAATAGTGGCAAGAAAAACGATCGAATTTGATGAAGAAATGGCGAAAAATTTGAATAAACACAAAAATTTCATGCCGCCCAGTAAATAGAAATGGAAATACGGGGAGTTCGCGGCGAGACCCGGCAAGCGGGATTAAAGGCGCACCGCGTAAATCGACTAGGTGTGCGTTTCGAATTATCGCACATTTTGACCGTTTTCGCCCGTTATTTCACCATTTTGATTGCAATTTTTTTCAGAAAAATGTCGTCTCGACACAGATTGGATCTCGATGGAAGTGGCAGAGGCGACAGACGCAGGTAATTTAGCGATATTTTCGCGAAAAAAAAAATAATTCGCAATTTCTCTAGATCGCCGAATCGACGAAGATCGCGCTCGCGTTCACCCACTCGCCGCACATCGCCCGATTCAGCGAAACAGACAGCAGCCATCGGCAACATGAAAGTCCAAATCAATCCCTATAACAATATGCCGTATAGTAATCGATATTGGGCGATTTGGGAGAAGCGCAGTCAGTTGCCAGTGTGGGAGTATAAGGAGAAATTCATGGAGCTTCTACGCAACAACCAATGCATCACATTAGTCGGCGAAACCGGATCCGGAAAAACGACGCAAATTCCGCAATGGGCGGTCGAGTGGGTGAAAATGCAGGGGCATGGAGCTGGACCAGGTCGCCTAGTAGCTTGCACACAGCCGAGACGAGTCGCCGCAATGAGTGTGGCGACAAGAGTCGCCGAAGAGATGGACGTGGTTCTTGGGCAAGAAGTCGGTTATAGTATTCGTTTCGAAGATTGTGTTAGCGAGCGGACCATTTTGAAATACTGCACCGATGGTATGCTGCTGAGAGAAGCGATGAACAGCCCGCTTCTCGATAAGTACAAGGTTTTGATTCTCGATGAGGCTCACGAGAGAACCCTAGCCACTGATATTCTCATGGGACTAATAAAGGCAAGCTTTACGAACATTTTTAATTCGAAAAAATAAGATAATTTCGGATTTCAGGAAATTGTTCGTAATCGCGCTGATATTAAAGTGGTCATCATGTCAGCTACACTGGACGCTGGAAAATTCCAGAAATACTTTGAGGATTGCCCGTTGCTTAGTGTGCCGGGAAGAACGTTTCCCGTCGAGATTTTTGTAGGGTTTCAATGTTTCGCAACTCTTCAACACGTTTGATTTCAGTTCACGCCGGAAGCCGAGAAGGATTATCTGGAAGCGGCGATTCGCACCGTCATTCAGATTCATGTCTGCGAGGAGACCGAAGGCGACATTTTGCTATTTCTCACCGGTCAAGAGGAAATCGAGGAGGCGTGTAAGCGGATAGACAGAGAGATTCAGAATCTCGGCAACGACGTCGGTATTCTCAATTGCATTCCGCTGTATTCGACATTGCCGCCGAACGCGCAACAGCGTATCTTCGAAGCACCGCCTCCGAACCGGCCGAATGGAGCGATCAGTAAGGTTTTTAACAAAATTTCGTGTTTAAAGCGCTACTCTGTTTAGGTAGAAAATGTGTGGTTTCAACAAATATCGCTGAGACCTCGCTAACCATTGATGGCGTCGTGTTCGTCATTGATCCGGGATTCTCGAAGCAGAAGGTCTACAATCCGCGAATTCGCGTCGAATCGCTGCTGGTGTGCCCGATCTCGAAAGCATCGGCGATGCAGCGCGCCGGACGCGCCGGACGAACGAAGCCGGGAAAATGCTTCCGCCTCTACACGGAAGCCGCGTACAAATCGGAAATGCAGGATCAGACGTATCCCGAGATTCTCAGGTAGGCTGAAAATTCCACCCATTTATGTTTTGCTTATTTTTTTTTTAAGATCCAACCTTGGCTCTGTTGTGCTCCAGCTTAAAAAACTCGGCACTGAAGACTTGGTGCATTTCGATTTTATGGACCCTCCGGCACCGGAAACCCTCATGCGAGCATTAGAGCTTCTTAATTACCTTCAAGCAATTAACGATGATGGAGAGCTTACGGAATTAGGATCACTAATGGCCGAATTCCCATTAGATCCGCAATTAGGTATCATTTTTGATTTGTTTTTTTTTTATTTCGACATTTCAGCGAAAATGCTCATTACGTCGACTGAATTGAATTGTTCTAATGAGATTTTGTCGATTACTGCGATGCTTTCAGGTGAGATTTGAGATTTTTTTGGCAAAAATAAAGTATTTTAGTTCCACAATGTTTTGTTCGGCCGAATGAGATGAAGAAGGAGGCCGATGAGTCGAAAGCGCGATTCGCGCACATTGACGGCGATCATCTGACGCTTCTGAACGTCTATCACGCATTCAAACAGAATCAGGAGGATCCGCAATGGTGCTATCAGAACTTCATCAACTATCGGACAATGAAAACCGCGGATACGGTCCGAGTTCAATTGGCGAGAGTTATGGATAAGGCGAGAACATAATTTTAAGCGTGTTTCCCTTCAATGAAACGATTTTCAGTATAATTTGCGGCGGGTGTCGACCGACTTCAAATCGCGAGATTATTATTTGAACATCCGGAAGGCTCTTGTCGCCGGCTTCTTCATGCAGGTCGCACATTTGGAGCGAAGCGGGCACTACGTGACCGTCAAGGACAACCAGCTTGTCAATCTTCATCCGTCGACGGTACTCGACCACAAGCCGGAATGGGCTCTTTATAACGAGTTCGTGCTCACCACAAAGAATTTTATTCGGACTGTTACCGATGTGAGACCGGAATGGTAAGATTCAACTTGAAAATGAACAGAAAATGAGAATTCGGGAAATTGATAGGCTTTTAACGATTGCGCCTCAATATTATGATTTGGCGAATTTCCCAGATGGTGATACTAAGCGGAAGCTCGCCATGGTGTACAACACTCTTCAGAAGACGTCGTCAAGTCGAGGATACTGATTTTCATTCGTTTATATATTTTTTTGGTCTTAAAATTCTGATTGCGTGTATTGTGCTGATCTATTCCATTGTTGCTGTTTTTGTTGGATTTTTTTTGAACAATATTTTTATCAACCAAAAAAGGAATTAATTGATGCGAATAAATTTAATATTAATAGTGGTTTTTAGGTCGTGATTTTCATTTTTTTTGTACTTTTTGTATGGGAAATTTGAATTTGGCGGGGAACATCGTCATCCAGCTTCAAGTCTGTGAAATCAAAAGAACGTTGAGCGTAAATCGACACCCCTCACGCGGTTCTAGACCAATTTGACGGGGAAAAGACCGCCTAGAGATATTTAAAGATGCATTGGAACTTTCAAGACATGAAATAAATTATTTATGGGCCTATTCAGTTAATGTAAATTAAACAAAAACGATAAAATTTCATTATACAGCGATGTCGGTTTTGTCGCAATAATAGCTTAATTTTACCTATCTCTAAATATTCTGCAAACGGAAATGATAATTCCAGTTCCAGATCGAGCGTTTTGTATTCGCAACACGTCTATTGAAATCGCGTGTTATCCAAACCCTCAAATTTCAAGCCGTCATTCCTAAAATTTAAATTTTGCCGTTTTATTTTGAATATACCATTTGGTCTTCCGGACCACAGAAATTTCTTGCACATGTTTCGATATTCTATAGTCCCAAATACTTGGCAACTGCTCAACGGTCTTGATGAAGTCCACAATAAAGTGTTGTGGAGACTAAAAAAGTTTAATTAATTTATAAAATACAACAATTCACTTTTAAATACTCATCGCTTCATTTTCATCATCTACAAGCGGCTTCTTTCTTCTCGTGCGCGTAGCTTTTTCACGCTTTTCAGCAATTGGCAAATTTCTTGGAAATTGCATGACTTCATCCATGTGCCTCGACTATATCAACGTCTTCGACAAAAGAGTCGTTTCCTTCTAACTCAACAAATGATATGCAGAAATTAGTAGTTTTTATGAATATCACCAAGTGTTACTCATAAAAAATAAAAATTATTTTAAAAAGCCGCGAAAACGAGAGAAAAATAAGAAAATTCCAATATTAAAAATCTTTAAAAAATCGATATTCAAGGAACACGTGCCAATGTTTTTGAAATATCGACTCGCGATCTACAGTACCCCTCAGTAAAATTAAACGCTTATTGCGACAAAAACGACATCGCTGCATAATGAAATTTTGTCGTTTTTGTTTTAAATACATTAACTGAATAGGTCTATTAGATCCATTCGAACTTATGGCTCTCAGGCAAGGATCTGAAGTAGAAGACAGAGTTGCCGGCTTCGAGCTGGATAAATATTTGAAAGTGTATTATTGCTTATATCAATCATACACCAGCTAAGCATACAACCGCGAAATGGATACTAGTATTATTTTAATTGAATCAACGTCAATTTATCTATGTTTATTCGAAACACGAAACCTGTCAAATCATTGATACTTTGGATTTCTTTCGGTAAAGAATATTTCGTTTCGATTTCCCATCGATATTTTCAGTAGGTGTTTGTTTTTATATAATTCGCGTCAAAAACGAATTATCCATTGGGCTTCAAATTTCGGACGAAAAGTGCAACGCATTATTGAAGTCAATCGAGACGAGCTACAATGAGAAGCTTGCTTTCACTCAGGCGAAGAGTATTCAATATAGAAGCGCGGATGTAGAATACGACTGAAAATGATTCCGACTAAAATAAATAATTGAAGGCTTGGAAACCAATAGCAACGAATAAATCTGTGGAGACAAATCTGCACGCTGTAAAGTCGGGCGGTGGACTTGGTGAGGCAGAATTAAGCAAATAGAATAATTGAAATGTGATTTCTCAAATTTAGGAAACATTTTGTTTGAATTAACATCGCTTATCGGGATTTCGTCGCAACTTAAAAGGAAGCCAGTTATAAACGCTTTAGAATTTAACACTATCGAAAGAATTTCAACAAAAGTTCTTCCAGTTTTTCCGGCGTTGGTCTCACAACTTCGAATTGAATTATTGCAGGTGAAAATTGACGCGAATTATTAAGGGATGATTAATTTTGCAGAAGCACGCAATAAAATCGATCGAGTTAAATTACAAATGTTGTGTTTACCACAATATCACGCAATATCTCAATGAATCGGCAAATCATATCAAATTGCTTGGAAATTATTTTCAGGTTAGATGAAGCAAAAAACAAACGCTTATATGGCTATATTCATGAAATATAATAAAATTAAAAAAAACTGTGTGCTAAAGCGTTACGCGATACTACGTACATTGCATTATAGCGTACGCGCATTTAATATTCAGTCAACGATTAACTTAAATTTGTGAATTTGAAGGTCCCGCCTCATTCAGTCATTTTAATTTTTACATTTTTTTTGTTAAAATTTAATTTTATGAAAATAGGTCTCCAGGTGAATAAAAATCAATTGAATCCGAAGAAAATGTAAATTAACATTAATCGATTGAGAATGCATTTAAATTAGATTTGAAAACTTTTTTTTTCGTTTCAAAAAATTTCAAAATCGGTTCAATTATTTCTCATTGTCAATTTTGAAATCGTTTTCGAATTAAATTCTCGCTTTCTTTGAAACAGAATGATTTATATTCGATATCGATTCAAAACGACTTTCGAATTCAATTGATTTTCATTTCCCACATAGTCTGCTTGAAGTCGACGCCACTTTTCCGCGTTTGCTCGCAATGCTCAAAGTTTCAGAGTTACAAGTACTTTCATCATTTGCGAAACGAAATACGCCAATGGCTCACACCGGATTCAAGCGCGTTTCTTCGAGCCGAAATGATGATTCCAATCGATCACCGAGGGCACTTCATGTATGTTTTCTATTCAACTATAAAAAAAAATCCAAAAAACCTTTAGTGTTTGCACTCATGTTAGAAGAGGAGATTTTGCCGAAGAAGGACATACAACTCATACGCCATCGGACCCAAAATTCACAAGAGAAGCTACCGAATTTCTTGTTAGAAAATGTAATCGTTTGTAAATACACATTCATATATAATTATTATAATAGCTTTTAGTCGGTGTTCATCAAACAGTGGTAACCGTAATAGTGCTAGGCAATGACCCTGTGTGGGCGCATTCGGTTTTTCATGGTACGTCGATATTCAATTTGAAAAACGAATCGAACATTTTGTAGATAAAGCATGGCCTTCGAGTGTTCTTCAGACACCGAAATACTCATTCGATCATTCTATCAATACATTAAGCTACGGAGTGATTATAACACCGTCGACTGCTCCTGAAATTGATCTTGCCTTCAGTAAAACATTCTGTAGTGCAGTTCTTATTACAGGTATGCATTTATTTTGATGAAATATCTCAAAAAACTAATTTCAACCGGTTTTTTTTCCCAAAATTGGCATACATGAATAGCTTGGTAAAATATGAAAATATTCAGCACCGTCTTCAACATTTGGATGGTGGCTCGGCTATATGTCACAACGTCAGACAAACGTCTTCTATAGAGACATTTATGAGTCGAGAGACCAAGTGTGTCGTTTTTCTCTATTTTGCGCTCATTTTCTCATTTTAGGTTATTCAAGAATTATCACCATCAGATTTTTATCCACCTGAATGGAACATGTTAAGAACTATGCCTAATGGAAAAATTGAAATTGCAAAAAATGTATAAAACGATAAATTGCCCATTAATTGCTCGGTTTTGAATCCTATTATGCCCATATATGTATTGAGCAATACTGTCTTGCCAAATAAAGCGAAAAGGGTGAAAGTTAAAAAAAAAATATCATCATTTTTTGTCTGGATTTTTCCCTTAAAATACAATGCAACATTTTGCCAAACAGCAATGGGGCTGTCGGAATATTGATTTTGTAAAATCTGACTAAAAATGATTGGCTGAATGTTAGTGGTCTTGGCGCAAAATTAAAAGTGTAGATATACTATGCATAGGGATAGATTAAAGGCGCGAGGACTTCTCCTTCAATTTTTTTCGGCGTTTAGCCAATTGTCCGCAATAGCATTTTAATAAATAGTGCTCATTCAAGTAATAATCGATATTTGGTTTTTTTTTTTCAAATTTACTCTGTTTCAAAACTATTTAAAGTACAATATTTATTTAATTATATTCCAATTAGAAGAGTAGAACAAAGGTGTGCCGTTTTTCTGGAAATATCCAACAATTATTTCAACTGGGCCATTCAAAATACGTCTATTTTCGCTGGATCCAAGTAATAGACTTGTTTTCCTTTTGCTAGAAATGAGATCCACCAACCAAATGTTGAAAACGGTGCGGTGTTCACAACGACATCACAATACTGTTGCGATAATGCAAAATCGTCTTCAATATTCAAGCCATGTGTCAGGAATGCCTGAATATCTACAATATGTATATATGAGATATTAGGTCCCTGCAGAAGAAATGCATCATATTAAGGCTCAACTTCATTTTTTAGAATTTTCTACGCCGATTTACGGTGAGTTTGATTTGCATGTTATCCAGAGTACGGTAGCTGTCTAAATTCGAAATACCGTCTCGAAAAAGGAGCGATGGTCCGCAATTATTCAATGCTCAAAACTCAAAATTTGTTGCAAACGCGCTCTACTGCTAAAACCGTTTGGGTTTTGTTGCAAACGCGCTCTATAGTGAGAGAGCTTTGCAAAAAATTAGACAAAAATAGCAAACGCGCTCCATAAGAAAACGCGGGTATTCTTGGATTTTACAATTTTTCTTTTTTTTTTTTAACTTTATATTAACCTGATAATCCGTCGAATTTTGCGAAGGATGTGATATATCCTCCTTAATCGTTAATATGGAAGGCTTGGCGATTTTATCTAAATTCGACCAAATATGGTGTACTGCCATTTGCCTACCGTTGAATACAACATTAGCCCACATGGGATCATCGCCAATCACAATCACCGCAATGCTGCTCATGCTCGTTTCTTTATCTGAATCAAAGAAGCAATCAATTCGGGTCCGTAAAAAGTCGTTCTACATTTTTTGACAACAATTTCAGTGGCCATTCTGGTCAACGAAGCATCCGATCGAACCGAATTGCCATTTCGTTGAATGAAACAGCAAATTCTAAACAGTGTCGCAATTTGCTAGCGATTATCTTCGGCCTAATTACTTTAAATTGTCTCTAAACTCTTCTGGCAGCGTTAGTTCGGCTCGAAATTGGGCGTCGATGGTTGGCGTCAACAAATCGGCAACGGATTGAGACAGATTCGAGAAGAGCAGTGGATTCTGCGAAATGTTGAGCACATTATTCGTAGGTGAGCTCTTACATTGAATTGTTGGCCCGTCAATAGCACATGCTGCGGAAAGTTTCCATTTAATTCTTTATGAGCCGAAAAATCGAAACGGTAGATCATTGACATCTAAATTTCAACGTGCAATTATTAGAATATTGTGTCAATCACCAACAGGAACTGGAATAAACGCAATTTTATTCCGGAGACGCGGAAATTTCGCAAAAACTTCATTTTCAATATACAACATCGTATTGATATTCTCGGTGTTCACTATTGGAACTCGACGAAACTTTTCCGCCAAACCAATTAAACAAAATAATTCAAGTAGAGTTGAGCCTAAATTATTTCTAATTATTATTTATAAATTAAAATTGGCGTAGCTTAACTTGTGCCGTCCCTATTATCGATTGAATTGAATGGTATTTGTAGAGTTTGAGGCACGTATTGAACGTTTCCGTCAAGATCCTGAAGAGTTTATCGAAAAAGGAAACTGCAATTTTTGGAATACCGAAGGCTTTATTCCGTTAATGTCGACTATATTATTGTACGAATAGTAGCCATAAAGTTGAATGGAGAGATAAAGAAGGATGCTAAAAGCTAAACAGAAGCATTAATTGCATAAAAGATATTGTCGAGGAAGAGCGAATTTGATAATTATAATCAAATTAGACTTTCGAACTAATTTTAGCCACTCCTCGATAATATGTATTACCTGCGAATAGTGCCAAACACGGTTTTGGTCGTTGAAACATAGCTTCTCTTAATTTTAGAGCTGACTTCCAGCTATTTTGAATTTGAGTCCACTATTGGACAATAATATAATATGTACTCAAACGTATTCCTTGCCATTTATTTATTTAGCTGCCCTTGTTGATATATGTATCATTGAATGGAATCGGCTAACTGAAATCGCATTCACAAAAACCAAAAGATGATAAAAATTACCATCGCAAAAAACGAGTAATTGTGGACTATTGCAATTTTCGAGGCGGTAATTCAAATCTCGAATCAAATTCTTCAAACAGAAATTTGTTTGAGCAAATTTCGCAAAATTAACTTGAAAAAAAAACCCCCGAACGAAATTTTAAAATTATTGATGCCAATGCGTTTTGAAGCAGCGAAAATTACGCGAGATTGCGTACATTGCATTATAGCGTACGCGCAATTTAATATTCAGTCAGCGATAATCTCCGTTCAGCCAGTTTGACACCGGCAATTTATTTTTGACTCCGCGTGTATCAACATTGTTTCTTGGGTCCAATATTTATTTTTTAAAAATTTTATTAAAGGCACGCTGCAATTAGTCGACAACGAGGCCACAAACGGATCCACGAACCATCGCACTCCCTCTGGAATCGATACGGTTTAGCGAGGAATTCATTCTAGCAATCCTACCCAACACTGACAAGCCCATTGGGTCCCAAACCGACTAGCTCGTAGGCAGCAATGCTACAAATGTGAAAATGATGAAGAAAAATCGAAATCGAGAATAATACACTGGATGTGCTGGATCCCATTTGTTGACAAACGCATAATTCGATTCGGTCTCTTCGTCAGTCCAATGGAAGGCCGACTCGATAGGGCAGCTGGTGCCGAGGCATTCATGGTTCCGTCGTCCCGCGGTGAAGTATGGAAGGCTATCCGCTGGGATGTTGCCGATCAGACTGATCAGATAGTTGTACTCGTCTTCGGTTTCGATTCCAAACGTTCTCGAGCCGTTGATATTCAACGCGCAGAATCCGTCCGACCCATTGATCGGACGCTCGCCGTAGGTGGTAGTGAGGACCTGAGGAACAATTGGAAGGCCAGCGACGCAGCGAACCTACCTGAAGGCAAACGGTCTTGCCGTTCGGCCGATGGAACATCTTCATTGCGGTGCTCGGACACCTCTTGGTGACACCGCCGCCACCGCATCCAGCGGCCATCGGCACCGCGACGAGCATCACCACACAGAGTTTGAGCAGCATTTGCGAGTTCCGCGTTCGTATACAAACCGGAAACAACACCTCGCTTTTATAGCAACGAAAAGTGGTGCTCATAAAAATGAAAACGTGCTGAATAGTCAGCGATTAAGGATTTATTACGACTAGCGGGACGTTTTAACTAGAAAATCACAAAAATCAAATAAAAATCGTCGCTATTTTGAGATCGTTTCATCGGTGTTGCGCTCGACGTCGCCAATTTTGCGAGGATGGCAGCATTCAGCAATTTTCTGAAATTTTTCGGTGATCGCTGTGATTCGATGATGCCCACCTCGTGTATGATATCGATTGTCCATAGGACGATGGCGATGATGTGAATGGCGACGACGAAGAGGCGATGAGTGCCGGCACCGATGTGATCAAACATCAGCGCTGCGTAGTAGATGAGAACGCCGAGGCAACGCACGATTTCGATGTGCCTCGCGTACCATCTGCAATGCGCCTTTAAGCTACAGTCATCGGCGAGCCGAGTTACCGATTATCGAAGAACGCAGAGAAGCATTGCATGGTGACGATGAAGAAGGCGATCTTCAGAGCGCAATCCGCATATGACAAATTGATGCGGTCATACTCAAAATGGAAGAAGATTGAGAGGAAGAGCACAAAATAAATGGCAATGTAGATTTTGTAGATCAAACGAATCGGCGGGTTGTACTTGATCACCGGCTTCGTCGGCTCGGGCACATTGTGCGCCGGATTCTCCATACTCATCCAGTGGAAGAATGGGACCACTGGCACGCCGGGCTCCCAGCCAGGCGGCCACAGCGCCGCCTTCACCTTGTTGATGACGCCAGGAAACACTGGCTGCCCTTTTGGGTCCTTCCTCATTCCTTTAAAGATGAGCATTTCGAATAGGGTGTGAAATTGAAGCCATAATTGATTGAAGGTGTTCTCGTTCGACACCAATCCATAGATTGGCGGGTCCTCTTGGCGTTCGGCCTCGAACGTCCCAAACATTTTGTCCCATATGATGAACACGCCGCCGTAATTTTTGTCGATGCAATAGGGATTTCGGCCGTGGTGCACTCGATGGTGCGATGGCGTGTTGAACACCAAACCCAATGGTCCCATGGTGTCGATGAGCTGGAACGATTCGAATTAGATTGAGAAGGGACCATCGAAACGCGCCAACCGAAGTGTGCATGATGAATTGGAAGATTTCCGAAAAGTATCTATGCACCAGAAATATTGAAGGCGGAATGAAGAACGCCTGAAGGCAATCGTAAATCGCGAGACCGGCGTCCTGAATCGCCGCCTGTCGAAGTGCCGTCGAGAAATTGTAGTATTCCGAGCTATGGTGAATGGTGTGAAGGCCCCAGAAGAAGCCGGCTTCTGCAATTAGTATGAATCGTCTCATCGGATTCTCGTCGCGCAGAATACCATGAACCGCTCGATGCCCCAAATAGTACATGAAGTCCTGGAAGAACAGACAGCATATCCATGTCCACGGAGAATCCCACGGCAGCTCCAGAAGGCGGAAGTTGGTCCAGATGAGCACGTAGTGGAATATGGCGACGGCGCGACCGCCGAATCTGGAAACCGCTACTTGTGCCGCCCGCCACAATGGAACACTCACTTGAAGCACTGGCTCAAAATTCCGGCACACACTGAGGTGATTGTGTCGTTCAACGCGAATCGATCGTCGTGGGCGGAAATGAAGAGCACGAAAAACTCGGTGATCAAGAAGACGAACCACCACGCGGATGTCTGAACGAGATTACGGTAGAATTGTGATGAAGCGGCTAGAAAGAGGCGCACCTCGGCGTTATAGTTGGGCACGTCCTCCCAGTTTTCGACAGTTGTTTCATACGGTGAGATGAGATAGAATGCGTGACGCAGATTTGTCAAGGTTAACCTGCGAATTTGCATAATCGGCAATCGCGTGTTGAAATTCGTACCTTTCAAGAATTCGATGACCCAGCGAGGTGTTGGAAAAGATTCGATCAAGCCATATCGTGTCGTTCATTGCTCATCTGGAACGTCGAGGCGATGAATCGCGATTTAGATGAATGACTACGTGGGAAAAACTGACTAGAATGATGTCTTAAAGGGAATGCAAATTAACCCAAATTACTTTTGATCGGATTCTGTTTGATGATTGGTCCAATCAAAGAGGATACGAGGAGAGAAAAATGGAAAACTGAATAAAAGCAACATTTTTATTAAAACATCACACATGGCAATTCATCTTCGCCTCATATCGTCGTCAAAAATCTCGGGCAGAAAGCGAAACTTGTTAAAACGGCCTCCCGTATTTGATACAAGATCGAATGAGATGAGGATTTATTGAAATCGAGAAGCACGGCGAACAACACTGAAATTGGAATAAATGGAATGTAACAAATTTGCGAGTGTAAGCCCATTCAAACAAATGCGAGAATGGATTGACGAGATGAAACTTCGGAGAGGGGGGTGGGCGATGAGGTGTGATCTGATCGTACATCCATGGATCACACGCTATCTAACTTGCCTATTGTCTGATAATACGCATTCTGAATGCGGGAAAGCGGCCAACCCGAAGGGGTTAGCCGCTAACATCAGCCAAAAAGAAACTCGTTGTGCGAGTGAAAACGTGATCGGATCAAGATTACCTTGAAAATATGATATATGAAACGAAAGAAAAAAGAACTACTGATCCTGAAGCCATTAAATTATCGAAGCGTGGTACTACGAAGACGTTCGGAACTGGATTCTTCAACTTTGGAGTGAAATCGAGCGTGGAATCGAGGTAATACCGAGTTTGGAAATTCCGTTTTTTGAGTTAAGCAGACCCACTACAAACTACAAATCTTCTAAGCAGACCACTTTTTGTGTGAAGCAGACCCACTACAAACTACAAATCTTCTAAGCAGACCAGTTTTTGAGTTAAGCAGACCCACTACAAACTACAAATCTTCTAAGCAGACCACTTTTGCAGAGCCAATGCGATAAGAAGACAATTTTTTGAAATTTTTTCACATGGGCCTTATTAGCACAATTAATGGCGATGAGTTTCCGCAAAACCATATTTGGTTGGGATTGAGGTCAACCGGCCAGCAAATCTACTTGAAATACTTAATCGCTTGCGAGATTCTTCAAACAAATCCCTCCCCGCCCTCATCCTACACATTTGTCACTCTCTCTCTCTCTCTCTCACACACACACACGCACAGAAACAGGCAATAAAAAGTATATTGAAGAGGGAACGAAAATATCCGTTGGCTTTATCAATTTTTCGCTTCCGCGTCATGCGAAATTTCTTGATTCTGATTTTGCTTCAACAATGCGCCGCTGAAATGCCGCTGGCTTGCTATTACAAGTTTAATTAATTGGAAAATTAGACAATTAATTTGTTTCAAATTGTGTAGATTTGGTGAGCCCGATGTCTCAAAAATTCCGGCAAATTTGTGCAATTTTGTCATATTGATTGGCTCGGTGAGCTTAACCCAAGACGGGAGTCTTCTTGTGAAATCGCGAGGTCTCGACGCGAACCGCTGAACATTCGAAGATCAAATTTCAGATGAGATGACGAAATTCGCCGATCTCAAAAAACTTGCAAATCCACCGAAGCTTCTCATTTGCATGCTGGCTGAGAATCCGAGATTCTCAAAAATGGCAAGGGCGAACCACCCCCTCCCACAAGTGATTCTCAATTTTTAGACCTCCACCAAATCCCTTATAAGGAGATTTGTGAAAGATTCACTAGAATTGATGAATTTTTATGGATTCGATGGAATCGATATTGATTGGGAGTTTCCTGTGTGGAGCAGCGATTCCAAAAAGACCGATCGAGCTCAGCTAGGCAATCTTCTAGAAGTGGGCCGGTTTTTCTGAAAACAAACACATGTTTAGCAAGTAGATCAAAAATCATCATTTCAGGAGCTTCATGAAGCTTACAAACTGTCGGCTAAGCTTGTGTCGATTGCGGTTTCGGGACCACCAACAATCACCAAAGTCGCCTACGACGTTCAAGCGATTTCCGCGTTCGCGCTTTACCCATTCCAAAAATGCAATTTTTGATCTACCCATTTTAAAGGTACACCGATATGATCCAAGTGATGAACTACGACTTCCATGTCTTCAACAAAAAGCACAACCCGTTTACCGGATTCAACGCGCCGCTTCACAAAATGCCGTCGGAATTCGGCATTCTCGGCCAAATGAATTCTGAAGCTTCGATGAGCACTTGGATCGATCTCGGCCTTCCAATGAATAAGACGTTTTTTGGGATCCCGATGTATGCGAGAGGCTATCAATTGGCTACAAATTATTTACACAAACCATATTCACCAGCAACGAGGGCATTGGATCAATACACTAATTATCCAATGGTAATTAGATCAGATTGGATAGCGACTCATAATTGGCTATCAGGTTTGCCCATTGGAATCGGATAAAAATTTTGAAAAAGTTTGGAACTCGGCAGCATCTTCTCCATACCTATACGGTATAGTTTAAAGGCGCATAACGTCGATTTTAATTGTTTCAGGCTTGAAGACCAGCGTCTGGGTGTCGTATGAGAATTCGAAAAGCGTTTCGGCGAAGGTCAACTACGCGAAATCGATCTCCGTCGCCGGCATCATGACGTTCGCAATCGGTCACCATTTTCCTCCTCTCATTTTTGGGCTTGCGACGTCATGAAAACTGTCACATAGCAACCACATATTACGTTGTTTGCTCTTTTCCAAAAATTTGCCAATTTTTGAGATTTGTGACTTTCAAAAATTCGCGGTCCTCCTATGATTTGTAGTTGGTCGCAGGGAATCGCTTAAAAAAAGAAAATGTAGCAGCTTTGCAAGACCCATCGCGACACCAATTAATTTTTTTTCTTCCAGGAACTGATGATGTCAATGGGTCATGCGGCTTCGGCGAATTTCCACTACTAAACGCAATTTCAAGTGCCGCCAATTAATAAATTCAATTTCATTCTTCTTTTTTTCAACTAGTCAATCAAGAAGGAATCTAGCATACAAAAGGACAAAAAAATCGATGGGGTTAATCTGCGAAAATCACTGGAAAAATAAACAACACATGTCGGTAGAGGTGTGGGCAACCCGTAGAAAAAAACTGAACAAAATATATGAACACGGCTAGTAGTCGCTAAACATGGTCAAGAAACCGTACACAAAAAAGACATGATAGAAATGAGATTTTTGGCGAGAAAAAAGAAACACTAGAACGATAGATCATTGTTTGATCTACTCGAAGTGGGAAAAGGGACCCGAAGCGCGCGAATGTTATGGCAGGGGATATGTCGATGATGAGCTCTAAAAATTGAAAGAACACAAATTGACAATATGCACAATGGTCAGATTATAGACGTACTATTGAAACCTGTTTGTGGTGCTCGCCGGCGTCGACCGCGTTCTGTTCCAGCCGCTTCGAATTATTCCACGGCAATTCCATTCGGTTCTCTATTCTACAACAATGGGGAAAACAGTAAGAAACAAAATCAATGGGGGTTTCGCCACCCACCTTCCTGGAATAATGCTCTCCTCGAGCCAATCAATAATTTTGCACGGCCACCAGGAGTAGAGAATACTTTTGCGTCGCTCCATGCACATGTCGACTTCGCAGTAGGCGTGATAAACGCGAAACACAAAATTCGACAACCAATACGCGATGACGACATCGATGGAATAATGCGTTCGCGAGATCACCATGCACGCCATTCCGACGAGACACGCCAAATGCGCCACGTACTGTAGGCGTTTGATCGAGCGCGGCAGATAGTAGGCGATCGACAATGAGCACGTCACCATGACGAGCGTGTGGCCGCTGAACAGCAGATCGCCGCACAGCATCGCGCGTTTGCCCTGGAAACCGACGCGGATCGTCTGCTCGACGAGCCGCTCGATGAATACGCCGAATTTCGATGAGACCTTCTCGCGGCAACGCTCCTCGTTGTCACGATAGCCTAGAACAACATTTTTTTTTTCTTTTTTTTTTCCCGACATTCAACAATTACCTGATGGCAATTGGGTGATGGCCAATGTGACGGACCTCATTGAATAGAGGCACGCGGCGATGAACACAACCCGCCGCAGGATGATGAAGCGATGCGCGTGAATGAGAAGGCAGCCGGCGAGCAACGCGAGACAAACGGCGACGCAAATGTCGCCGACAATCGATGCCCATTCCTGTTCGGCGACCAAACTGAATACGACGTCGGGCAGCGGTTGCCTAGAAGAAGCTCAACATCGAAGCACGTCATAGGGGAAGGGAGGATCGTACCTCGGCACAAAATCATGCGTGTACGCGATCACCGCCCAATTCGAGACGCCGGCAATGAAAAGGAAGACGAACAGGAACACGCATTTGAGGATCTCGGATTTCGACGAGGCGGCTCGGCGACTCGCCGAGCCCATGCTGCTCTGCGATTCGGTGTTGCGCTCGCACAGTGACTCGTCGGTCTGCAATAATTCCATGAATCATGATTATTCGAGTCGACATCATTCTCGACGATTTTGTCTTATTGCACCTGATGATGATTACTGTAGCGCACACTGGCTGGCACAAAATCGTGTCGAAACTCGACGTTCTTGCCCATAGGAGGGGAATTGAGCGGCGAAGATTGAGGGGAATTCTGAGGGACGCGAAAGAATGATGGGCTTGCTGCTGGAAAATCACCAATGGAAACCCGATGAGGTGGCGGCCAAAAAAACGAGAACAACTAAACAATTGAAGGAGAATCGATTTTTGGCGTTTTAATTAAAATGACAGAAACTAGTTTTTTCTCAAATTAACAAAAAAAATTGGCGACAACTTTAATTTACATTATTTAGTGAAAAAATATGTGAAATTGCGTTGGAATTTCTCGCATTTTACGACGGTTCAAAAGCATTTTTGATAAATGTCGGAACAATAAAATGGGACCATAAAAGTGTTCCACAGAACAAGATATGAACTTTTTTTAAGTTGAGACGTTCAGAAATTTCGAAAAAAAAGAGCATTGTGGATCAAAAATTATAAAAACTTCTATTTAAAGGAGCAGCAATAGCTAGTTAAACTATAAATCACAAATTTCTTAAAAAATAGAGAAATGATGAATCCCATGGAAAAGTAAATAGAATAATTTGTCGAGAGACACCTAGTTAGCCTAACTATTCATAAATGATCAATGAAATATGCAAACGGATATCCGAATTGAATATCCTGTCATCTTTGCAGTGTTCTTCAATTTAGCGCCTCCCGAAACGAAAAATAATAAATAAGAAACTACTAGAGGGAGAGAGAGAGAGAGATCGAAGACGGCTCGTGACTCATATATAACAATAAAATCTGAGCAGCACAAGTGAGACGGGAGAAAATGAAAAAAAAAGTTGAGCGGGTCCCTTCGCATCGGCGTCGAGAAGAATCGGGTGCGAGGAAAGGTCAGAGGGCGCCAGAGAAGCAGAAACGGACCCTCAACACTCTCCAAGGGCACGATGAATTAGGTCAGACGAGCTATTTCGGAGCATTGCCCCACCAAAAATGAATGTTTTTATTTTTCCACACACACACACACACACATATTTATATACAACAATCAAATGATGGGAATCGAAGGGCAAAATGACGCGAGGAAGAAGAGAAACCAGAAAATGCGGTAGCGGCGGCGTGCGGCGAAAAGAAATTGAAAACGCCTATCGATTGATTTTGAATTCATTTTTTGTTTCAAATAACGAAATAAAAATACTCACCGCTGTCATCGGTATGAGTGGCGAATATGAAGGCGAGGTGGCGAGGTCTGAAACAATAAAAAAATGAGCTGATCCACACGGACTTTCAATTTGATTTCATTTTTATGTTTGCATCGCAAATAAAGCAGAAAAGTTGCGCAAATAAGTTGATAAATAAATAATTTTTGCGAAACTGGTTACGGTAGTTTGGAAGTTGTCGGTGTTTGCGGACCCGACGGCACAATTCACTCGCCGTGTGGTTTTTATAGGGAAAATTGATTCGATTTGCATATATTAAAAACTAGGTTTTTTGTTGGCGTATTGTACTTGCATACCTGGCGACTGCCGCATTTGAACCTGAAATTTGTTATATTAATTTTGAGTGTCGTTCAAAAGAAATTCAGTTTTTTTGAGTTTAACACTGAGCGACACAAAAAAACGAAGAAATAACAATTGATAAGATAGTATGAGTCATATGGGAAAACACACAAACAGAAGCGGCGGTCGTGGTGGCGCGCGAAACACAAAAAAATTCGAAACAGTAAAACGGGCGAGAGATAGCGGCCTAAGTGGAGACAGCGAATACTGCGCGATTTGTGTTGATTCTCGTCGGTGTCTCGGGTTAAAAATTTGAAAAATCCAAAATTAATATTAATGTTTGCAAAAAAAAAAACCAAAAATAAATTGATGTGGCATTCTTGGTACGGTAAGTTTGAAATGTCCGTGGAACACCAGCACGCTAAATTGCACAGCGTTTTCAATTTTTTTTCTTTTTGAATTTTTTTCATCTGTATATCTTTAGTTCAAAATTTGAAGAGATGCTGATAAAAATTGGAATTTTATCGTTTCCAATATATTTTGCGATGATTCAAATCGCCGCCCGAATCGTCGTTGCCCCGGAAATGTGCGAAGTTGCTCCTGGGAACAAAACGGCGTCGTTTTCACCAATACAAGTTGCACCAACACCATCATTGTCATCATTCCCTGCCAAACAATGTCGACGTACTACAATTCGTTCGATTTTCTCAACGATTTTCAAAAAAGCGGCAAGATTATATTAAAAATTCGCGATACCCGAATGTCGGAATCGGACATCAAATGTGCCACCATTTGCGGAGTCAATTGGTAATTTTATTTCAATTTTTATTTATTTGTGTTTTTTTTCAGGCGTCTTTCCACCGAGCCGATGGATTTTTTTAACGACGACGGCGACAAGTCGTTCAGCATTTCTCTTGATTGCTCCACTCCGCATTTGATTCGCTGCGAGACCCACATCGAGTTCAACTTTTACTTGCAATTCTTCAACGAAGTACAACAGATTGGGAATTCCTACCACACCAGTTTCACATTTTCCGAGGAAAGCCCAACACTTGATGTGCCCGATTTCGCCGGCGCGCCATATGAATTTGAAAGGTACTTTAATTGCCCTTGGATGTCGTTGTTAATTTCGAAAATCGAAAATGATCGACTTTCCTCAAAACAAATGTGCTTCAGATACGACGTGACGGCGATTTTGGAGGCTCATATCAAAATTGTCTCGTTTTCTGGAACGCCGATAGAGAAACCAGTCAATCCACTAGACAATTTAATCGATTTCCATTTCGAATTTGACGGAAAATTGCTGGCGACAAATAAAACTGTAAGTGCTTTTCATTTCATTCAAAATTCGCATTTTCTGTAATCATTGCAGTTACTTGCTTTTTATTCGCCAATTTTGAAACAATTGGTTTCAAATGCTTCGAACAATGTGCTGAAAATTGAAGATGCTACGATCGAAGAGGTCGCCGCGTTCCAGAATATTCTATTAAATATCGCATCTAGCCTAAATGGTAGAATTATCAAGAAAAATGCATTATTATGTTTTTTTGTGCAGACGAAACGGTTGGAGGTGTTCTGAAACTCGGCGCGAAATTCGAAATAATGAAGGTGATGCGAATTTGCGAGAAATTTTTGATCTATTCGAGCAATTTGACGGGATTCGAAAAACTCAATCTCGCGAAAATGTATCGGCTTAAATCTCTTTTAAATCGGATTAATTAACGATTGAAATAAATATGAAAAGTGTTGTGGGCGTTGCCTAAAATTTGCAAAAGGCGCACGGTTATCTGCCAGCTTGCGGCACAGAAATGAATTAAACGTGACCCAGCCAACTCAAACATTTCAAAATGAGTTTTCGAATCAAATCGACGAATTTGGCGAGATGTCCGGCTATCGGAAATTTTTTGGAATTCTTCTAATGTAAATATCTGTTTTTTTTTTAAATAAAACTCATGAAAATGTTGCCGCTTTGTGTTTTTAAATTTGAAAACCACCAAATTTTTTTGAATCAAGGTCTCGCACCGATCGCCCTTATTTCAGCGTTCTCGCGAATGCCAAAAACTGCGACGATTATCGAGACATTTGTAAACTGGCAGTGGAAAATTCCGAGCTTGACAGAATAGCACTTGATTTTTGGGCCAAACCGAATGTCCTTTTCATATATCCGGATCTTGTAATCGAATCGGCCCTTCATAATTAAACGATTTTAATTTGGTTTTGTTTTTTTTTTCAGGTAACCACTGACATCAAAATTGTCTGGAAAGAATACCTATTAACTGATAATTGTGATCTAACCCGGTTTATACTAAATCGATTATATTATTTCAAGCAATTATTATTCGAATTGTGTTCAGGTGCGAAAATGAGCTGAGTTTGTATCGAAAAGCGCAATTAGTTAAAATTCGCGGTGCGTATGATGAAAGGGAAATCGTTATCTTCTATTCTCTAACTGGTGAGCTTGACAATTTTGAGACGAACGCTCTTGATTAGATTTCAATTTGGCGGCGAACGTGCTCAACGGCGGATGCGATCAAATTCTGAGCGAGTTGACCGATGAGTTGATAATCGCTCGATTTGTAACATGGCGTTTTTGAATTTGACGAATATTATTCAATTTGCAGAAGTCGTTTCCCTACATGATCAGTCGGTGCTTCCAAGTGATGCGATTCGCCAAGGGAATTTCGAGTCGATACGAATTGGAGATCGCCAAACAGGAATTTTTCGGCCTCGACGTGATCTACATGACATTTGACGAACTACGCGAATATTTCTATCAATTGAGAAGAATTCTATTCGATATGATTATGGTTTGTGAATTTCAGCGTGCGCCTTGAATGTTGCTTACTGTAGTTGTTTCAAAGTCAAAAAATTGCTCGAACAAAATTTTTAAAAGGGTCTCAGTTTTTTGCTGACTTGAAATTTTGTCTATTTAAAAAAAAAGCAATGCAGATTTCGCGAAAAATTAGATTATTCGAGTTTTTTTATTCCTCAAAAAATCTCCAAAAACCACCGTAAATAATTTTAGAAAAAGATTTTGTTTGTTTGCAGAATAGCAAATTGACATTTGAAAAAACGGAATTGGGCGAGAGGCTCACTTCTATGGATATGCTCACACTGAACGATCTCAATTACGAATATGAGAAGAATTATAATAAGCTCGATCATCTCATCAAACAGTTTCTATTCAATTACAAGGACTCGACGTTTGGTTATGCTAGCATAACCCGACATAAGCTGTTGCGCATTCTCGAGCTATTCTTCGATATGACGCACGATACCGAATGGTTTGACGGCAACGTGGATTTATTGTATCTGGTGAACAATCACGGATATGCGTTCAATTTCAATATAACATTAGGCTTTCCATATGTGTATGTTGATTTTTTGATGGCAATTGACAAAAATGTGAGTTGTTGTTTTGCGTTTTGAATTGCCGCCTCATCGGGCACAACAAAAGTTGGTGATTGTGGCGTGCGAGCCGGAAGCGTGTCCGCAGATGTTGACAATCTGAAATTGTTGTTGTTTTTTTTGTTGAGATTCCCGGAGAAGAAAACATGAATGTTATGTCTCGACGAAGATAATTTTGATTTTCAGACGGACGGCGCATTATTCTATATGGCTCGTGAGCTCGCGCGCAGCGTTATTATGCGATTGAACCCTAATTGGAGGACCTATCGAAAATTGGTGGCGAACGCGAGAAAATGTGTGGAATTGTATCATAGGAATGACGAGAAATCGGTGAGAAACCAAACAAAAAAAAAAGACGAAAACAACAATAAAAACGAACGTGGTCGAGAATTGAAGAATTTTGAAGAAAACGAGCAATGCGAGCTATCGTGAAGGATTGATTGATATTGTCGCGTATGAGATGATGAGAATTTTGCGCTCGCGAAACAATGAGCAATTCGATGGGATGATGTTCGCCAGAAATATTATCATGTCGTTTTGCCATGGACGATTGGGCGACGTCGAAGAGACGAAAGCGAGGCGGCGAACGCTAATCAGCCAATATCCCGATGATTTTGTCAATTATACGTGCATCGAGCCGCCGGAAATTGCCAATTATAAGTGCAATTTGTTCGATGATGATCATACGCCTGATGGTTATCTCGTTAATGCCAAATTTGACGAATTATTCGATAATTCCTTCGGCTAATTTTATATACATATTTTTAAATGGTAATTCTTCTGGGTTTTGTGGTGCTCTTGTATTATTAGTCACGCTTGATGAGTAGGCTATCTGAACTCACCATGGTCCACAATTGCTCAGTGGTGTTTGTTTCTTTTCTTTTGCTCTGTACCATAAATTTTCAACACTTTCAGCTTTTTTCCGACTTCGAATATTGCTCAAAAATGTGTTTTTTGCAAATATGACACAACTAAAACTATAGCTACAGTAGCTCTTTGTTATCAGCGTTTTTAAATTTCAAATATGATTTTATTTTTGGCTGGAATTAGACGAATCTTGAAATTTATTCTAATTGATCAATTTATGCAATTTTTAGGCCTGAAATTGGTGTATTTTTAAATTTCTATATGCGCCTTTGAACCGTGTTACTGTACTTCATAACTTTTGGTTCAATAAAACGATTCGAAAAGCTTAGGGTCTCGTGACGAAAACACGTTTATGCCGATGAAAGAAGTGGATATTTGACAATGAAATAGAAATCAAATATACATACAAGTAAAGCATCGAATTCAATCCAAACACGATGTGTCGATGCCGGTCACATGGACGAATTTTCCGGGGTTTCGCAATTTTCCGCCCAACTGCGGCTCTTTGTACGAGCTCACCTTCAATTTCGCCGATCTCGGAGGACGATGAAGCTGGAAAGTCATTTTTTTTTGTTGCGTGTCGCATTTCCAAAAAAAAAGAAATTGAAGACTACCGTAGAATTGAGTTGAATTGGCGTCGACGGACGCTCGAATTTCACAGGCCGCTCGGCGTCTTTGATTTGCGGCTCATTGTCGATTTGCTCGTCGACGGGTCCCGGCACGATTCGCAACGGCGCCGGCTTCGAACTCCTCGGCGTTTCGGCGATATGCCCAATTAGGGCGCTTCTTCGACCCTTTTTGGGCCGCGCGAAGAGATTCTCGTCATTGTCGACGTCCGTCTCTCTCGATCGTTTCGATATCGGCGATTCCTGAAGATTCTCCAAATTCGGCGCGGCGCTGAGCTTTTTGCGTGTCGGCGGAGGTGCCGATGGCTCGGGTCTGAAAATGAAATGCCGAAAAATGGGACGAATCACGAAGCGCATACTCGATTTCTTTGACGGCCTCTTGTAAACTGAGGCCCGCGGTTTGAAGAAATTGAATGGTCCGTTGCGAAATCGCCGAAATGTGCGCCAATTTGCTCTTTAGTCGCTGGGCTACGATGATGTCGATTTTTTCCTCGTCGAGACCTTCACGCAATTTTTGATTTCTACAAAAACAAAAAAATTCCCAAATTCGCTATTATTCTTTTCGCCTTACTGTATCCGCAACTCGTTATTTTCTTTTTGAAGTCGCTCAATCGTCTTCTCCGATTTGGAATTGAGCGCTTGCAATTGCAAAACCTTCTTCAAAAGCGACTCATTTTGGTGTTTGTAGCTAATTTTGTCTGAAACGAAAAAATTAATTTTTTAAAAACTGAAAACCACTCCTACCGTTTTGCGAGATTTTCTCCTTTTTCTGAACAGGTTGGTTGAATATTTGACGAGATCGCTCAATTTCATCCATCCGCACCTCAAGAAACAATACAAATAAAAAAGAAACGCGATTTTTGAATTGGCTCGGTTTGCATTGTTGGCAAGTGCGCTCTAATACACATCGACGAAGGTCACCAACGAATGCTCACCATATTTATTTTATTTTTCAGATGGTATGATTTTCAGCGCTCCATGCACTTCAACTTATTCTAACAAGGTAATTAAGGGCATAATTAGGGTAATTAGCTATTAATTAATTGTAGTCGCTAATTAGCGGAGCGATATTCGGCGGTGCTGCTGCAGCGGCGCTCGGCTACTTTTATTGGACGAGTAGCTCATGTGTAATTAGTGAAAAATCGCGAAAAACGGTGGCGGGGTTGGCGAATAAGGGCAATACGTGTTATTTGAATTCGCTTCTTCAAGCGCTAGCCAGGTAATTTATATTATTAAATAATAATAATGAATTTTTCGAAAAATCAATTTTTTTTTCAGCTGCCCGTCATTCCTTGCGTGGCTGCACAATGTAAATATCGAAGAAGCCGGAATCAAAAATGGGTTTATTCATTCGCTACGCAACATTCTCAACGGTCTAAACGATGAAAACGGCGGGATTTTGAATGCGCAAGATGTTGTGCAATCTCTATCGTCTCACGGTTGGAATATCACTTTCGGTACGAAAATTTCTCTGCAAAAATATAATCAAAAAACGCGTAGATTGTCGATTATAGGCGTCGAAAATGATCTCTACGAGTTGTTTAATGTATTTGTGACGACTTGGGAGGAGGAATTGAAGAACAGTCGGAGTACGCTGCTGCATCAGGGAATCGAAAATTGCCAGAGCGCTGAAAGCCTGCAAACAGCGAACCGGAAGCTGTTGTCGTTCCAGAGGTGTGCTGATGTGGCGAGGTTAGACGCCAGACTTCGAGCGCCTTGCGTCGGGCTCACAGCGACCGAATTCAGATGCTGCAATTCGCAATGTAGATATAGGGTAGGAATTTTGCGAGTCTCAAAAATTATAAAATATTTTTAGACAATAAAGTATGAATCATTCACAGCTCTCACGTTATCTATTCCGAATGTTTTAATGGGCTCCGCGACCAGCATCGAAGCCCTATTAAGGCGATTCTTTTGCTCGGAGATCATTCGCGACGCGATTTGCGACAAATGCAAACAGGCGTCGAGGAAGCAGCAGGGATTCTTGAAGAAGCACGGAATTGTCAAATTGCCGCAAACGCTGATGATTCGAATCGAACGCGTCGGAATGCTGCCGTCGGGAAGTCTGAAGCTCAGCGAGCACGTCGCCTTCGGCGAATGCTTGTCGCTTCAGGAGGTGTGCTTTCGAAAAAATCCGAGGCTCAATCAGGTTCGTCGAATCTCGCCCGTAACTCATTTGCGTGTGTTTCTCTGTGATTATAGATCTCGTATGAGACGACGAGCAAATGGCAATTGCCGGACGGCACGTCTCGCGTCGTAGGTGGTGCCGAAGAATTTAAACGTCAAATTAATTCTCCTGTTCATCTAGGTGGACCATCCGGATCCGGCTATCTTTCCGATTTCGCGTTGATCGAGTAAGTGTGTTTTTTTTCTTTTTTGTTGCGAAATTCCTAGCTCTCATCGATGTCTCGATTTCAGCGGCGGCTCGTTCGTTTCGGAGCGTCGCGAGACGCAAAAATACGCGTATCAATTGCGGGCGGTGAGCGAACATCGCGGCGGTCCCTACTCTGGCCACTTCGTCACCTATCGTCGTGGTCCCGCGCCGAATCATCACTCGTGGTACTGTACGAATGATGCGAACGTGAGCCGAGTGACGTATTCGCAAGTCGCCATGTGCCAGGGATACATGCTCTTCTACGAGCGAATTCGACCCCATCGATTCTATGATCGAACTTGATTGATAATTTTTTCATTCTTTTACAAGTCTTTCAAATAAATCATTTTATTGCCTTAAAAAAATAGTCGCATGATTTTTCATTGTGGAATTTCAATGGTTTTGTCCATTTTTTAATTTATTTCTTTTTTTTTCGAACTTTGTGAAATTTGCTCCCCAAAAACATTTTTAGATGGAGGAGAGACTTCCGGAAAAAGTGGACGTTGTGATTTTAGGCACCGGATTGCCTGAGGCGATTCTAGCTGCGGCATGCGCCAGATCCGGACTTAGTGTACTTCATTTGGATCGGTAGGCCACGCCCATTTGTTTGATTGCTATTTATCTCGTTGAATTTAGAAATGAATATTATGGGGCCGAGTGGTCGTCGTTCAATATGTCGAGCATATCGGATTTTATGCAAACGACGAGCAAGTCGTCCAGCTCGCGAGAAGCTGCACCAGACGAGATGAAGCTTGGCGATCGGCCGATGTTTAGCGACATTCAATGCGAATGGATTGAGTTTGTCGCGAAAAAAAAGTGCGAGAAAATTTTGATTTGTGATGAATTTCAGCAAAAATATGGAAGAGACGCTGAAGAAAGACTATCGCAAATTCTCCATCGACATTCTGCCGAAGGTGCTTCTCTCGAAGGGAGCGATGGTTTGGGTCCCACAACGAACCACAGTAATCGGTATTCGCTTGCTCAGGTTCAAACTTTGTGCGACTCTCAAGTGTCACAATATGCCGAATTCAAGTTGGTCGATCGGCAACTCTGTCCGACGCTGGCTGAAAATGAGCAAATCGATATGAATAAGGTGCCATGCAGTAAAGGAGAGATTTTCACCAGCACCGTTCTATCGTGAGCGACTTGTCCATTTCAAACGGAAAAAAAGATTCTCAATTTTCTTTTTGATTTCAGAATGATGGAGAAACGCGCTCTAATGAAATTTATCACATTTTGTACGCAATGGCGAAACAAGGACGAAGCGGAAGGCAGAGAGTTGCTGAAAGAGTACGACGGAAAAAGTTTTGACGAGTTCTTGACGTCGATGGACGTTGGCGAGAAGCTTAAAACGTTCATCATAAACACAATTGGGATTCTGGAGCCGCGTCCGAGCACAATTGAAGGTATGAAGGCGTCGTGCGAGTTTATGGATTCGGTGGGACACTTTGGCGCCTCGCCATTCCTCTATCCGCTGTACGGATGTGGCGAGTTGGCGCAATGCTTCTGCCGATTGGCGGCAGTGTTTGGCAGCTTGTACTGTCTGGGTCGGCCGGTTCAATCATTGATCGTCGAGGAGGGAAAGGTGGCCGGCGTGGTGGCTGATGATCAGACGATTCGGTGTGATCGCGTGATCATGTCGCCGAGATATGTGCCGGAGCAATTTGAAGTGACATCGGAGAAATTCATTGATCGCATTGTGTATGTCATTGGTGAATCGGTGCTGCCTGAGGAGAAGGAGCATGTAAGCTGTGGTTATATCAAAGAATTTAATGGACAAATGAGTTTCCACTAGATTTCGCTTATCAATCTGGCTGCTCTACGCCCGGAAGCTCGAATTAGTCGCGTGATTGAAGCTGGATTCGAAGCCTGCACAGCTCCCAAGGGTTACTGTAAGCGAGCATGAGGCTCTAGCAAGAAGGAAATGTTTGTTTTGTTTTGAAGACTTGATGCACATCACCGGATCTTGCGACGACTCGCCAATCGGCGTCGAGCAAATTGCTCGACAAATATTGCAGCAGAAAAGTGAGCGCGACATGTTTTGAATTGAATCATAATTGGGTCTCACGCAGATATTGAGCCGATTTGGCGATTGGCGTTCCGAATGAGAGTCGTCGAATTCGAGCGTGAGAACTTGGCGCCGAATTTGTCGGTTTCGCCGAGTTTGGATGATGACATACATTATTCGGCGGTTATTGAAAAGGTGAATTTTTTCGAAAGAAACTTTTAATCTATTAATTTGGCGATTTTTTTCAAATATCATGCTAATTACTTAATTATCCGCTCGAATTAATTGATTTTATAGTGTAAGAAACTATTCTGCGAAATCTGGCCGGATCGCGATTTTCTACCAAGAAGCATTCGAGTCGAAACTGAAGATGACGATGATCAGGAGCATGAGACACCCGTTGACCAATAATTTACCAATTTTGCAATAAATTATTACTATTGCTATATTATTATCTATGTAATTAACTAATTAACCGTTTCGACAGACATTGATATTTCTACACCAATTATGTGCAATTAATTAATTGTTGTAGGATGTCGGATGAGGCTTTGAATCTTGCGACGAATCTCGCGTTGAAGATGTTGATGGAAAATCGGGAATTTCTGAATTCGCTGGAAGAAGCCGTTGAGAAGCATTTGGATGAATTGCAGCCGGGGCCTTCTACAGTAATCCCGTAAAGATATGGTTTTTTTCAATTATGCGATTTTAGGGGAACTCGGCGATAAGGGACCTTACTAGTGCGTTAAGAACTGCGTGCTCTATGTTTTCGCTGGAAAATGAGAGCATTAAAGAAAGCGATCATTCCAGTCGGGACCTTGGCAGCTTATTCGAAGCTGGCTTGAAGGTTGAGCAAGCTGCGGACGAGAGAGGCATTGAAATCGCGTGCCGACGAGTATGTCATGTCATTCGACGGTTCATAATACGAATCTCGCATGAGGTTCACGTTCGGAATTGCTACACCATGTCGTCGAAGATCGCCGAGCTTTGCTACACAATTGCGGCTAAATGTGGCGGCGACAACTCGCGACTTCTTGATGCGACCGATGAGTTCAATGCGAAGGTCGTCGGCGAGCTGCAGAATTTGCTCAGGGATCGACAGCGGCCGAAAAGCGCTGGCAATTCGGTGTTGAGGTCGTCGGCGAGAGATGCGATGGTGTTAAAAAGAAGAACGCATGCGCCGGGATCGATTGCCACGTCGATTGTGACGAGAAATAAAGGATATTTGATGAATGATGGCCTTTATAAGGTAATTATTACCTAATTGCTTTAATTAGTTTGGAATTCGTTTAGGCGAGACATAAGTTGGCAAAGAAATCGAAGAAGACTAAGCAGCAACACGCGAATGAGGAGAATGAGGATGTTAAAAAGTGAGAGAATCCATTCTTCAATATTCTTTTGGAATTTATTTCGTTGCAGGACCGCGAAAGCCATAAGCCAGGAGATAATTGATGAACTTCGTGCCTCGCTTAAACTCAAAAGTGATGATCATTTGGTTTTGCTCAGAGAATAAAATTGCACATTTCCGTTTTTGTTGACGTCTTCTCCAATTTTTTTTCGAAACGACACCGCCAAAGATAATCGCGAAGCGAAATGATTGAGTGCATATTGCCGAAATGACAAATGGGCGGGGCTTATGACAAAGAAATTCGCGCACGGATTAGAATGGGGCTTTGTTCACTCTCCACCACCACCACCACCTCCTCGTTTCATACGGTAGTACATATGCACCAAATTTTGGTGAACACTGATCGCCTCCTCATTTCGAATTCTTTTATTTTCTTTTTTTTTCTAGCGCAACGCTTTTAGTTACATTCAAATTCTCACCTTTTTTTCGTGAAACGTCATTCAGAGAAACGTTGACAACGGAATTAATTTAGAATTTCGGATGTGATGCATTCGAGTGGTGTTACGTTTCACGCGTCTCGTGCAAGTTTAATGAAACATTTTCCATTTATGGCTAAGCAGACCCACTACAAACTACGAAATTGTTAAGCAGACCACTTTTTTTTGAGTTAAGCAGACCTACTACAAACTACGAAATTGTTAAGCAGACCACTTTTTTTGAGTTAAGCAGACCCACTACAAACTACGAAATTGTTAAGCAGACCACTTTTTTTGAGTTAGGCAGACTCACCACATACTACAAATTTGCTAAACAGACCACTTTTTGAGTTAAGCGGAATAATATGGGATATCAGCTGCGGACATGTTAAGCAGCTTCCCCCACACACAAGCTACAAAATTGCCCTAATTGGACCACTTTTTTCAAAAATTCTCTTCTGCCAGTGCTCTTTTTTAGGGTGTTTGATGCTTTTCGCTGTAATAATGCATCCCGTTTTTATATGCGATTTTTTTCTAAGAAAATCATATGGTTTTTCGAGGGTGCGTGACTAAAAATAAAATAAAATAAAAACAAGGTTCACACACGCACCTTTCCCGAATTTTTATGGGTCAACTCTCGAGAGGTAACCGAGTGGAAAAAGTTCGTTTTATGCCGATTTCCTATGTGTGTGTGTGTGTGAGTGCGAATTTTCGTTTTAATCAAAAACACGCACAATTTCTCATTTTTTTTCCTTCCTGCTGATGTGTTCGCTCATCCGCTCGATTGCCTTCGAGATTTCGTATCCAGATTGTTGAAAAGACACTTCCGGGGGCGTCTCAAGACAATGCGCCGTAATTCGGAATGACATATCGGTGTATTGTGTCACGTATTTCGTCATGGTACCCCCCACGGCGATTGGTTTCCGGTGCTCCCAGCGAATTAAACAAAACGAAAAAAAAACAAGATATGGGTAGTAGCAGTAGTCATTTTTTTGTGTTTGAATCGCTTCTTTTTCCGAGTTTACGAGCCAATTCGCATCCAATTCTCCTATTTTTTTCGCTGCTCTTCTCAAACCAAACGGGGTGGAGCACTTGGGAATCAATTAATTTCTCATTTCAACATAGTGGTTTTGAATTGAATTAGTGTTTGGCGTACTTAAACGAGGCTTGCAGATCCACACCTCCCAAAAAGGTCTGCCAGCCATGTTCTCGACTCGGTTCACTGTTCTCATCGTTCTTCTCGCCATCGTCGCCGTCACTTTGGTGCACTCGCGCAACATCCAATACGGTAAGCAATTTCGCTCTATTAAAAATAAAATGCTATTCTAGAATTTGACGACGCTTCTGCGGAGGCGTTCCGATACCCGCAATGGGCCGAGATGCCGCATAAGCGTGTGCCATCCGCCGGCGATATGATGGTTAGAAATCGCTTTACTGAAAATCTCTATAAAATTCAAAAATTTCAGGTGCGCTTCGGTAAACGAAGCGTCTGAGCTCGAATTTTAAAATCGTCGCATTGCACAATAATCAGTTGAATCGATCTCTCCATCTCTTCTGAATCTCATCACCTCGTCCATCATCAACGACTAACAAATAATTTTCCAAAAAAATAATATCACCAATTTGCTGCGACATTTGAATAAAAATTCGTTGTGTGAAGTACGTCTTCTTTTGTTTGCTTGGATGAAGTGCATTCGCAATGAAGCGACACTACCAAAAACACTCGAAAAAAAGGACGCGATTTTTGAAAAATTCATGAGGATGAGTTCGGTCGAAAAATTTCGACGAATTTTTTTTGGAGTACACCTTGACGCCATTATTTGAAAAGTGGTCTGCTTAGCAACCTTGTAGTTTGTAGTGGGTCTGCTTAACAGAAAGATTGGTCTGCTTAGCAGTTTTGTAGTTTGTAGTGGGCCTGCTTAGCTGGTCGTTTTCCATAAAAAGAATACCCAATAAGGAGATACCGTAACCCATTGCAGCGAACGTCATTCCTCCCCGATTAATGCGCATTTCGCGATGTCCCTCAGAATAAATGTCAATCAAATCTCAAACCAAAGCAAAATGTTTTATTGATGTGAGTGGTCCCATTTCAATCCGAGAATCCCGGCAAAAAAACGAAGAGCGGGATGGTGTTTGAACCGAACGAAGTCCATAAATGGAATTATAGTTTAATCGCCTCTTTTCAATAGATCTAATGTCAAACAAGAGAAAATGTTGCTGCAAATGCACAATGTTGTATAAAAATTTAAAAACGTTTTTGCGAACAACGAGGAATGAAGCCAAAATACACAAAATATGGGAAATCAAATGTTGAAATGCATTTTTTTCTTAATTTTCATCTGGCTAGTATTCTTTTCTTCTCTCGATCCAAAAAGTTCACATAAGGAATTAGCATTCAATTTCGAAGGCAAAAATCGATTAGGTGGGAATTCAAAAAAAAAAAAAAAGAATTTCTTAAGTTTCGTATTCAGCAAATCATATATTCGAGTTGGTTGCCTTTTATGGAATGGCTAGGACCCTTCAAAGAATCCCGACAATCTATATCACTTCAAAACGGGGCGCACAACGTCTTGAATATGTTGAGCAAGTGATGCCAGGTCTCATAATGAAATTTAAAGTCGAGTTTGACACAATTCCAAGACAAGCTGAAAATCTGGAATTTGGTGCAAATTGCTGCCAGTACTACAACATTGACGGGTACCTTGGAAGATCAATTCCCGTTCTGCGACTTACCGGCAAATATCATCAAAGTTTCAAATATTTCGAGAAGTACAAGGATGAGATTTTGAATTTCGTCGCGGGACCCAAACAATTCAAAACACTTCCAATGTCAAGCTCCTCCAATTTCATGTGAGCTTCTTCTTTTCATTGTCCCACCGAGGAGTTCGCATTTCATTCAGATCCTGCATCCACGTGCGTCGTGCCGATTTTGTGTCACCCAATCGACATTCAACAGATTTCACGCGCGCCGCGTGGAAAGCATTCACGCGCGCCGCGTGGAAAGCCATTCGACAGCATTCGGCAGCTCGCGAATACCTCACAGTTGTTATGGGAGATGATCCGAGTTTTGAGAAGCGACTATTTCCAGGCAACACATTTTATTCTCATGGTTACCGTAGAAGCTTTAGAGTCGCATGTCTCTAATAGTGCCAAACCTGCTCCATTGAACACCACAATTTGGATATCTGGCAACTCGCCAACCGACGATTTGATCTACTCGCGCTACAATTGCGACTCCCTGCTGATCACAGCGCCTTCTTCAACATTCGGATGGTGGTTGGGCTATATTTCAAAAGGACAGACGGTTTATTATATGGATATTCAGCAAACTAACGATGAAGTTTATGTAATTAGACTAGTTAGTAGATCAAAATGTTTTTCCCTTCCAGAAAACCGGAGAAATGATTGTCGACGATTTTTTCCCGTCAAGATGGTTCAAAATGCAGTACAATAATGGGGAAATTGTGATACGCATTTAATAATTACTACCGTAACCTAATGAGAGTAAAAATAATAAAATCCATCTCGCGTGTTCCGCTTCAATAATGCATAAACGGTTTTTATTTTATGTGTATTATGACACACTTATAATATTATTCGTCAGTTTGCATGTATACACACCCTTAGAATGTTTGCCTTCTGGGAAGCATAATAGCGCGTTTGATAAAAATATGATTGTTCTTCGGGTGATATGCCTTTTGAAGCTAGCTTGTAAAACACAAACACTAGGATTTTGGGGGTCTGCTTAAACTACAGTGTAGTTTGCAATTAAACCAGTTGGTTGAGAAACGTGGTCTGCTTAGCATATTTGTAGTTTATAGTGGGTCTGCTTAAATGTTTCATTAACTTGGTGCCCTGCATAATTAAAAGAAAACAGTTAAAACAATTATTTCGTATCAATTTTGTAGTTTGGATTGTTTGCTATGATCCCCTTCTATTGTATTTGTGCAAATAAGCGTTTGTTTGATTTCGGATCGAAAATGTGGTTTATTTAAGCAATACGGTATCAAATATTTTATTCCTATATTTTTAAAGGCATAGTTATGAAGACTCATAAGTTCTTTGTTCTCATAGCCTGCGTCGTTTTCTCAATCTGGATATTCGACCCGACGACACTTCAGATGTCTGTTACAATGAAGTCGTCCGAGGAAGAGACCAAACCTCTCCAATTTTTAACATTCAATTTTGGTGTTGGAGCAAGGCTAGGTAAATTTTTGAGTTGAACAAAGGAGTTGCGATTCTTTGTGAAAGAAAACGAATCCTTCAGCGAATCACGTATTCGAGTTGGCTTCCGTTTACGGAATCGCTCGAGAGCTCCAAAGAACACCAATATTTTATATAGTGGAGAGGAACTACGAGGATCAGCTGAAACAAGTCGAAGAAGCTTTTCCGGGTCTTGTCTCTCAGTATAAAATTGAGACAGGACTGGTTCCGAATGACGCCGAGAAGATGGACATCGGCAGAAACTGTTGTCAGTATTACGACATTGGGGAATTTCGGGGGAAATCGACACGCCATCTACACCTCACCGGCCAATTTTATCAAAGTTTCAAATATTTCGAGAAGTACAAGGATGAGATTTTGAATTTCGTCGCGGGACCCAAACAATTCAAAACACTTCCAATGTCAAGCTCCTCCAATTTCATGTGAGCTTCTTCTTTTCATTGTCCCACCGAGGAGTTCGCATTTCATTCAGATCCTGCATCCACGTGCGTCGTGCCGATTTCGTAGACAACAAACATCAAGCTACCGATCTTGAATTTACCAGAAATGCCTGGAAAAAAATCCAGCACGATGTTTTTGCTGAAGGTCGAGAATACCTCACAGTTGTTATGGGAGACGATCAAAAGTTTGAGAATCAAGTGTTCCCAGGTAGCTTAACGCAATTGAAACAAAATTAATACCGTGCTGTATTCAGATGGACATATATCAAATAGCACCAAATCTGCTCCATTGAACACCACAATTTGGATATCTGGCAACTCGCCAACCGACGATTTGATCTACTCGCGCTACAATTGCGACTCCCTTCTGATCACAGCGCCTTCTTCAACCTTCGGATGGTGGTTGGGCTATATTTCAAAAGGGCAAACAGTTTATTATATAGATATTCAGCAAACCAAAGATGCGGTTTACGTAAGAAATTGCATAGGAGACCGAAACAGTAGGCAGCGTTTTAGGTTTCCGGCCAAATGCGTGTCGAAGATTTCTACCCGCCGAGCTGGCACAAACTGTCCATATCAGTTTGATAAGTGCAATGCTTCTTGATATCAACCGGTTTCATATTCTTTGTTTTCTGCTCTGGCAGTTTGCATTGTTTTACTGTTGTCAGCAAATTTTCTCTGTAAGTTTTGAATTCCGGTTAAGCAGGATCCACTACAAACTAGAAAATTGCTAAGCAGACCGTTTTTTGAGTTAAGCAGACCCACCACAAACTACAAATTGCCCTAAGCAGACCACTTTTTTTTCATGCAGATATTCTACAACTTCACACCGGAATTGGACTGTGCCGACAAAAATTTCACATTCTCAAAACCGAAATGCGAACTATCGAAAGAGGAAATCTGCTCGCAGCTCTCTTCGAACTGTTCGCAATTCGTTGTGGGACCATCGCCATTCCATTCGATGGTCATGGACTTTGGGATGTTTTGCGGTGACGCCGCCTACAACGCCGCCTGGGTGGCTACAATTCAGTTCATCGGCGTCCTCGTGGGAACAATCGTCTACGGCCATTTGGGCGATCATTTCGGCCGGCGACCGATCTCGCTGATCGGAATTTCGATAGGCGTCGCGTTCGGCGCTGGATCGGGATTCGCGCCGAATTGGCAGGTGTTCGCCGCGCTGCGATTCGTTTGCGGCACCTCGATCGCCTGCATCCTCGTCGTCTTCTACGCCTACATTCTCGAGTTCATTCGGCCAGAGCAACGCGTTTTCCTACGAAGCTTCTTCAACTGGGTGAGATCAAAGAATAGTAATCGAAAACGTGACTCGTTATCAATAACGACATCGAGCAACGTGATAAAAAAGATCATTATGATCAATGTGCGATCAATTATTATTTGTGTACTACCGTAATCTGGGAAAACTGTGGACTACGGTAACCTTTCCCTATTCAGGGCTATGCTCGTGTGGTATTCACCTTCGTCTGCTGGCTGTGCGGATATTGGAGATCAGCAGCCATCGCCACCTCCCTCCTAGCGTTGCCGATCATCCCAATCGTGATTCTCGTGCTTCCCGAATCCTCAAGATGGTATTCCATCAAGGGAAGGCACGAGGAGGCTCGTTCCGCCGAACGCCGCATCGCATTCCTTAGCGGAATCCCAATCCGAAAGGAGGACGAGGAGGAGTCGGATCAGAAGCTCGATAAGCTTGACGACAAGGTGTACACGATTCGCGATTTGTTCACGTCACGCAAAATTGCGTACCGCACAATTGTCGTCGGCTCGTTGTGGTTCTCGACAAGCTTGTCGGCGTTCGGCTCGGATTTGAACTCCGGCAATTTGGCGGGCAATTTCTATCTCAGCCAATTCGTGTCGGGAGCCGTCACGGCGTTCGCCAAAATAGTGAGCCCAACGACGTCTCAAAAAACTCAATTGCTCATTTCCAGTTCGTGTTCCTCCTCGACACCTTCCTTCCTTCGTTTGACCGCCGACGCCTCCACCAGCTACCCCAAATCGCCATGCTCATCTGCTACGGCTCCATCATGCTGCTCATGTTGCTCCCAGAGTCTGACTGCTCCCATCAAGGCGCTCGCGATCTAGCAAGTAATCCAGCAATTCAAAGACTACACACACACGCACATAAAAAACAACTGTTACAGTAATCCTGATAAACATTGTTGGCGTTTCATTTATCGAGATCACATGGGATGCCTGCTATCTGGTCGCTGTTGAGTGCTTCCCAACTCGAATCCGCACCATTGGCATCGGAACCTGCTCGCTGCTGGCGAGGACCGGAGCCCTTCTAGCTCCACAGGTTGCTCCCCTCCCTCAACGCGATCCTTAAAGTCGAAAACCTTCAGATGGCCTACCTCTCGGATCTGTTCGAACCAGCGCCTTATGCTGTCGTCTGTACGATCGGCTTCCTCTCCCTCCTCATCTCCTTTATTTTTCTACCAAACACCAAAGGAGTCGATCTCGCCGAGCTCGACAAGGATGAAGCATAATCGAAACACCAACACAAATTTTTTTTATGTGTTTTGAAGAAAGAACCAAATCTTAAAATTGTCTTTCGTGTCCTATGACGAGTGCACGGTGTCGGTGGTTTCTCGCGTCTCGACATCCATCATCAGATGCGGAATTTCATCGAGAATTCCGGGCGTGTTCGCCGATCGGCCCATTTTCTCGAAGCAACGTCGTCCGGCGGTCCGAACCAGCCAACTCGACGCGATGCCGGCTTCGTGATGAGCCGACGTCCAATCGCAACCGCTTCTGAAAAATTTTCAGAATGATAATGATGAGCCCCAAAAATTTCAATTTTTGACATTTTCTCCAGAAAACCATTGAGAGGAAATCTTACTTTTTCGCCCAAAACAGGAGAAGAGCCAACGTTCCTGCGGTGAGATCGCCCTGTCCGCCGCATCGTCTCAGACTCGCCTCGGTGGCGCATCTCGACACTTCGCCATTCGTCGTCACCACCAAATCGGCGACGCCTTTCATGTAGACGCTCGTCCCCAATTTCCGGCTCAACTCGACGGCGAGCTGCTGGAGTTTCTCCTCTTCCTTGATGCCAATCACCTCATTCTCGTTTAGCGCCGCCGCGCAGAGGCGCGAGAACTCGACGAAATTCGGCGTCAGTATCGTCGAGCGCATGCCGCGCGGGAATTTCGCGACGCGCTCGGCGACGAACCAAAGTGCATCGCCGTCGATGACGAACGGTATTTGACGCTCGGCGACGAACTCGTACAGCTTCTCGATGAGCGGCCAAAGGCTCTCGTTGCGACCAAGACCGGGTCCCAGCACGATCGCGTCCATTCGCGAAAGTTTCTGGAAATTTCAGCGAGCTCTCTCCAACAAAAAAAAACAGCATATTTCTTTTTACCGGTATTACAGTTTCGGGCTTCATTCCTGGATGCACAATCAAATCCGGCGAATAGCCTTTGATGACCGACGCCGCTTCGTCAGCACAAAACACATGAATCAAATCGGCGCCCTTGAAAGAAAAAGAATGATTTTTGGGTAGCCGCAACGCGACCGCGACGCGTCTCACCAATATCGCCGCCGATTTCGCGGCAAAATACGGCGCGCCGGTGTACTCGAGGCTGCCACCGATCACCGCGATCTTGCCGCAATCGCCTTTTCGCAAATGATGCGACAATTTCGGGAGAAGCTTCAAAAAATGCTCCATCCTCCTGCAAATGATTGTGAAAAGCAAAATTCCCAAAAAAAAAAAACGAAGAATCGACAAATATAGTAATACAAACATTGCAAGAGAAATGCTCGAAATAAAATAAAAATCGGAATTCGAATCGAACATGAAACAATTTATGTACAAATTTGGTAAAATATAGATTAATTGTTTGTTAGATACATCGATTCAAGGCCGCATTCCGTCGAGAATCGCCTAAAATTGCAAAAATTCAAATTTCTAGGTGAAAAATATGCAAAAACCTATAAATTTTCTGCTCAAAATATGTTTTATAATCGACAAAATTCAAGATTTGCAAAAAAAAAAACTCGAACCAACCTTTATAACATTGGGCTGATTGTTCACCGGTGGTTGACAACACTAAAAAAAAAACGATCAAACATGATTATGAGGGGGCACGGGGAACAACAAAATATCAGAACCGGTAATGTCGCACCGAAAAAAGAAAACGAAAACAAGTTGCGAGAGAGAGAGTTCAAACCTTACACTGGTGTCAGCCGACACTGCCGTCGTCTCGTGCTCCTCGAGCGACTTGCGCATCAACGCAGCGAGCTGCTTCACCTCTCTGCCCTTCATTTCCGTCCTTCAATTTATTCAACTTTTTTTTCTTCGATTTTTTTCTGGACGGGGATGGGGGCCGAGCAATATCAAAATAATTACTTTTGCAATGCCTCTCGATAATTTGGGTTTTGCAATTTTCGGAGGAGTTTCAGCGTCTCGTCATCCATTCGCTCGTCTTGCCGAATCCGGTTGACGGTCTCCTGCAAACATCATGACGCAAAAATGCGGAACAAAAAAAGAACATTAAGCGATCTTAAATGTACCTTCATTTTCTGAAACGGTTTTTCCAGCTGCGCAATGCATTCGAGAAGCGTGTTCTGCAATTTCGCGTACTCGGCGCGCTTCTCCACCAACGTTCTCGCCAATATCAACGAGTGCGCCAATTTCGACGGCTTCCCATCGAAAATCTCTTTGAGAATGTTGGTCCGCAATTGGGCACAGCGGCTGGCGAGCTCCAACGAGTACTCGCCGGTCGCCAGAATCTCGTTGCGATCTTTCATCCAGAAGTCGGCAAGCTCGTCGCGGATTCCCGCCAGTTCGGTGTCTTCGATTTCTAGACGCGACGATTGCGCTTGAAACTCTCGACACATTTCTCCGAGTTTGAAGAGCTGATTCAGATGGACGACGACTTCTCGGCCGATGTCTTTCGCGCACTTCTCGCACTCTTTCACGTTGGCGCCGCTCTTTAAAACCAATTTTCATATCTAATTAGGCTCGCTTGATTTGAGGGCAATTACGTGAAGCTCCGAGTTGTTCATAATCATCAACGGAATGCACGCGGTCTCGTTGTAGGCGGCGAATCGGTGCACAATCTGCAGTTTCTCGGGCTCGCGGCACAGCTCGTCAATTAGCTGCAAAAACCGAATGCTCGACGGCGATATTAATTCAAATGAATCACCAATTGGAATTGTGTGTCGAGAATCGTCGAGACTTCGCGAAACACGCGCCGAAACTCATCAGCGTCATTCAAATTCGAGAGCGCGTTGAAAATGCGCAATTTGCGCGCCTCAATTAGTGCGACGTCGGGTCGTTCTCGGCTTTCTGCAAAACGAAAATTAAAAAAAAAACAAACAAAATTTGCGGCCGAGACCATCGAAATCGACTCTTTTCGTCGGAATCGCGCGACACGGCACATCCGAAATCATGGGCACGACGAGATAAATCGAATCGCGAAGAGCATCGATTGACGTCGCGTTCGCCGCTGCGGTGCTCATCGACGTGGCGCTGATAAGCGTCAAATCAGTTCCATCAGGATATCCAAGGCATTTCGAAAGTGGCGGAAGATTGACTCTGAAAACAAATTAATTATTTTTGAAAAGTCTGCAATTTCGCGTCGCGGTGTACTACTACAGCCCCCAACGCTGCCTACAGTACGCGCAATTTCTTTTATTCCATTTTTTTTCGAAATAACTACCTAACAATTGGATCTGCGGACATGTCGGAATGATCCACAACCGATAGTTGATCAATGGAAACGAAGACGCGACGCGGCGCGGCTCTCATCGATTTAACAATCGCCAAATATTTTTCAATCGACGGCTCGTGGAAGAACATTCGAAGTAAAACGGTGAGGAGGTGCACAAACCATCTGAAAAAAAATAAAATCGAAAAAAATAATAATTGGCAAGCTTTTTTCTCAACCTCGGATGTCGATTGGGTCCCGTCGGGATTTCGAGAATCGGCTCAAACGCGTAGCGAAACGCGCCCGAGATGCCCTCGCGATAGCTGCCTTTGTGCGTCATGCCGATCGCGTCCGAATTCAATTTCAGCGCCGTCACCGCGCGATAATACAAATTGCGATCGTTGAAGTCGTATTTGAACGGAAACTGCCCGGTGCAACAATAGAATATCGTGCAGCCGAGCGACCATAGATCGCACTCATCCGACGTGTACTCTTTGCGCGTCTTCCAATTGTGCTGCTGCCGACACAGCTCGGCGGCGAGATTCGGATGGAGCATGTTCGGCGTGCCGACGAGCGTCGTCATTCCGCGCTCATCGATGACTCGCGCGCCGCCCAAATCGCACAATTTGAACACGTGCGTCGATCGTCGGCCGCTCGTCGGACTTCCGGCGAACGTCAGAATGTTCATGTGTTTGATGTCGCGATGCGCCGTGTGCTTCAGTCGGAGCGCTTCAAGCGCCGCCGCGCAATCCGCCACCAAATCGATGAGTATCGCCATCGGCAGCCCTTTGTGATGGTCGGGCTTCGACATCAGCGACTCGAGACTCCCATCGGCGATCTCCATCGCGAACGAGAACGTCCGCGGCGAGTCGGACGTGCTCGGACGATCCTCATAGCCGATTAGCTATAACTCATTTATACATTGTTTTATCAAAAGAAAATGAGCCGCCAACCTGCACAATATTGAGAACTCCTATGAAATTTTTGAGCATTTTCACCTCATTTTCGGCCGCCTCGATTTCGCGCGGCTTATTCGCGAATTTCACCGCCACTCGACGTCCACCAATTGTGCGGCCTTCGAAAATCTGAATTCCACAATTTTCATTCATCATTTTTTTTTCTTGCTGGACTCTTTTCTTTCAAAAATTCAATTCAAATTCGCTTGATTTTATAAAAATCCCATAAATTAATTTTTTTTTAATAATAAATTTCGTAATTTTGTTATCTTCAAAAAAAAAAACGAAAAACCCACTGAAGAAAATGCGCCTCGTCCAATCTCTTTTTCAAAATTAATTGTATAAGGAGTCGACATTTTCTAAAAAAAAAACACTCATAAAATATCCAAACCCAGATTTTTAAAAATAATGAAAAGATTGAGAACTTTGATTGCTGCTGGTGGCGAAATCATTGCTAAGGTGCGAGATAGTGAGAGAAAAAAGGAAGGAAAGATATCGATATGAGACATAACGCATTTATTGCGACAACAAAGCAATTAAATAATTAAGCGGTAATTAAGAAATTACAATAAACCCGGTGTTGTTTGAAGAAGAAGAAAGAAATAATGAAAGCTGGTAGTTCAGTACTCGTCAAATTCCATGATATCTTCATCGCTGACACTTCCGTTCGTCAAACTCGTTGGTGTGTTGCACTCGCGCGTGTTGATATCATCGATTTCCACAATTTGCGAGCTCGGCGAGCTGCACGAGCTACCCATATCACTGTTCGATCCGTCCGATGAGCTGAATTCAACGATGCCGTGGCTCGCCATCAGCTCATTGATTTGCTCATCGTCGAGCATTCCTTCAGTTTCGATGAGTTTCCTGCGATTCTCATCTTCGATTTGCTTCTCGTCCTCCTCGGAGATTTCCTAAAAATTCAATATTTATGAGAATGTTGGGGGGTCATGCTTACAGTGATTCGTCCTGACATGTTCACCTCGTTCTTCGGCGTCAGAATGAGTCGAGGATTCCATAGAACGACCTCATCACCGCGCTTCGGCGATTTATGAGGAAGGAAGGCGTCGGGTGATTGTTTGGCTCGTTCGAGGAACGACTTCAAACTGTCGTCGAGCTTGAGCTTCTTCAATGTGAGCGGCTCGTCGTCAGGCTCGGATATAATCGGCTCCGATTGTGAGGTGCAAGCATCGATGTCGATCATCTCCTCTTCCATACCATCATTGTCATCGTCGGAAGAAGAGTCCCTGAAAGAAAAATTGAGAAGCTCGAAGATCGATATGAAATGAGCTGCTTACATTAAAAGCTCGTTGGTGTTCGTCGGAGTCTCTTTGGAAATCGAGAAGTTCTCGAGGCACGCGCTGATTTTATCGAATCGTCGCTTCGCGCGTGGCACATATTCCATTTCCTGGAAAAGACAAATTCAACACGGTTGGCTGGAAATTCTTGCGGCGACAAGAAAATGAACTCTGAAAGCGCGAACAAAAGTGTGAATATGTTTGTGCGGCTAGTCGCCTGCGTCTCGTACGCCATCGGTGAACTACACCCAATGCGCCGAATTATACGCGATCGGTGGAAAACGAAATGCGAAAAACGAATAGCACGTAAACAATAATTGTACGAAGGTTCTGGCAAATTGATAAGAAAGGCTCCATTTAAATAAGTTCAATTTAATGCAATTTCGATAAGAGCTAAATTTCTAAAATGTTTCCACCCTTCAAAATTCGTTTCACACTAGTTTCGCGGGCCAATACAAATCGTTGTTGTTGTTATTTTTCTCCAAAAATTTTGCCCGCCGTTTCGCGAAAGCAAAAAAAAATCGAAACCCACGTTTAACTCAATTAATTCAAGCGTCTCGTAAATTACTCACCGATTCCAAATCAGAAGGGAATGGCCGCTTTCCAAGAGGTTCCTGCACCAAATAGCGATTCGTCGGTTGAATGGCGACGCCGAAATTGTTGGCGAATGGTTGCGCGAAGCCGGCGCCGTTGGCGAATTGTGTCATTTTTTTGAATAACGATAGTAGAGTGGTGCTAATTAGTCTGAAGCGAAACGATTCGATGGCAATTATAAAAACTATAATGTGATGAAAGAGGCGGAATTTAAAAAATTTCGGCGTGGGCGGGCGCACGGCACACCAAAATTCGTGAATAGCGTAAACGCGAGGCTGCCGGAAAACTCTAGAAGCATCTCGCGCTGGGTGACGAAAAAGCGCGCGGAAACGAGAGAGCGACGACGAGACACGCCAGCGCCGCGTAGTCGAGACGCACAGTTCAATATTGAAAACGAAACCGATGGAAGGCGAGCGATATTTGGACAGTTGAAATCTGTTTCTCTGGAAATTTCGAGCGGCTTCGAGAAATTTAGTGCGGTTTCGCGTCGCCGTGCGCGCACACATACGCCGAATATTACGCAATTAATTTGTGAAAATTTTCCAAAGAAAAAAATGACTCATTTATTTTTGAATACTGCATTATATTTTTGTTTCTCTTGAAATTTCACACCACAATTGATTAATTAATTAGTTATAGATCATAGATTGATTGCGGACATGACTGCCCGCTGAGCCGATTCGTCGCGATTTTTGATGCGGTATGAGCTCGACGATGAGCAATCGAATTCCTTTCGCCCAATTCGAGTTCATCTCGACGGGAAACATTTTCTTCATTGTTTCGAAGCTGCCGCGCGCTTCCTCGAACGCGCCGCGATCCAAATCTACAGAAAATATCATCGTTTATTCGAATTTCTGCTTGAAATCCTCACCATCAACAAGATAATTCAATTTATTGATGCATTGTTCGGACAACTGATCGATGACCTCGGGAAGTTCGCGAAGCCTTATTTGAACGCCTTCCGCTTTCACCGGCGGCAAACGCAGCGAGGCTTTGATGAGGAACGGCGTGATCTGCTTCCGGCTGAGGCTCACATCGCCGGCGGCTTTTGTCGGCGGCGCGCCGCCGTTTCCCCACGAGGTGCTCGGCCGCCGATCGTCGTCGTCGTTGATGCAGTTGGGCGGCGAGAAAATGAGCGACTGACGTGAGAAATCCGTAGGCGTTGAGCTTGACAGCGACTTGTTCAATCGAATATTGTCTAATCTGAAAATTTTTCAGCAAAAAAGCCAACAGTTTCGAGTTTCCGCGAAAATTACACTGTCTCTTTCATCGGCTCTTGCATCATCGAAGCCTCCGTCCACGCGCTTATCGTTTTCGGCGTTCCCGTTGAGCTTGAAGTCTGCGGGCGGATCATGAACGGATCATCACGCGTTGCTGTTGACGGCGTCGGCGAATTTGTGGCGCTCGTGCTGCCTACAAAAAATAGCAGACAACCATTTTGTAGGCCGCTGACAACAATCAACAACTACCGTACCAATTGTGAAGGCGTCGTAGATGGCACGATGCGGTGCGTGTCCTCCATTTTTCAAGCTCATTCAAAAACGAGATGCCAGCAAATAATGAAGCACACACTGAAGAAGTTTGAGAATTATGTGAATTGCACATTTTATTCGAGGTTAACTAGTCTCATGGGAGAATTCGTAATTTTAATGATTCAGAAAATAATCGAAAGTGCATGAAACATGACTAGAAGGCTTTCTGAGAAGGTTTTCAACGAAAAAAAAAAAGAATTCCAAAATTCATGGATATGACCAAAAAGGGCAGAATGTTGAGGGGATTTAATTGCAGAGTACATCACGACATGGGGAGATGATCGTTAAAAAAAAGGAGGGGCGGAATCATTTCCCATTTATGGCTCGACTACGGTAATCTGGATGATTAGAACCCTATTGTTATCAATGAAAAAAAAATGCCTAATCCATTGGTGAGCCATAAGAAATAGAAAGAATAAGAAAATCGCGAGCACGAGCTACGCTTCTCCCTCCCACCTCTCAGCACGTATATATATATTATATATTCGTAATCAGGTTCTTTTGTCACCTCGCCACTCTCCGCCCTGGGTAAAATCGATCGGCGAAACGTCTCAACAATATTGCTTCTCCAAATATGGATGAGTATAAAGGAAAACATTGGAAAATTCTTAGTGAAATAAAATAATCTAAAGGAAAAAAAGAAAATCAAGGTGTATATATAAAAGGAATAAAAAGAGGGTTGCGTGTCACCTGCCGCGCGACGAAAAAAAAATTCTCACATTTGCAAACCACCTACAATTCAATTATACATATAATTTATATTTAATCAATATATTTCTTATATCACAGGCATTGAAATTATGAATTTGGATAGAAAGACTACATTTGACCAGTGTATTGTTGCTGATGTTGGGGATAATACCCAGGGTACCCTAAAATTATTTTTTTTTAGAAAAATTGCCAAAAAACTATTTTTCAGTTTTTTTTACCCTGCTGCTGTTGCTGTTGGGATTGTTGTGGTTGATTATACGCATTGCCATAGCCAGTGGCCATTGGCGCGGAATTCCCAGCTCCCTTGAATAAATTACTTAATTAGAGCATAATTATGAGTAATTACCGAAATTGATGGGTCGACAGGCCTTCGTCGCATATTGGCTAAACGATTTTGTGGAGTGCCGGTCGGCAGAACCGATGGCGGATCGTTCCAGCCGGGCGTCACCGACGCAGGTAGCGTTGATTGATATGAAGGCGTCGAATTGACGCTGGCATTCTGCTGGTAGGTCGGCGCTGCCGGAGAATAATACGCCGGTTGTGCGGCTCCTTGAACAGGAGCTGGACTAGCAGCTGGCTGGCCTGGATACTGCCCAGCAGGATATTGTTGGAATTGCGCTGGCGGGTTTTGCAGTTGAGACTGACATTGTTGAGCTCCTTGATAGTAAGTGTTGGTCATAATACCTGCAATTACACGAAAATATAATTATTTAATCTCATTTAGAAATAATTTCCAGAAAATTACTAATAAAAATTAGAAGAATTCATTAAATGTTCAAAGAAAAATGTTGGAGGGCGGAGCTTAAACAACTGGCATGCAACTGTGCGGCGCTTAACAAATGCAATGCGATCGCACGGAATTGTTGAGCGTTCAAATAAGGCCGCCGATCGAGTTCATCAGATTTTCCATAAAATCGATGGTTATGAATTGAAGGCCGCAAAGGATTATTAATACCCAAAATGGGACTAATAGAATTATGACGATGGCATTAATTATCATGCAAATCCGTAGCTGAAAATTGAAATTTTGCCATGAGAATTATGAGAATTGTTACCACTCCTGTGCCACTTTTTGCCGGAATTGAACTTGCTCCTGGACGATTCGAATTTTCCGATTTTCCCGGATCTGACGGATTCATCTGTCGCTCGGTTCCCGAATCTGAACCGAGCAGTGGTGCATTTTCCCTGGAAATCTCAAAATGTTAGCGGGGCTTGTCTCTTTTAAGGGCATACTGTTTTATACTGACTGATTGTACAGCTGCTGGCGGGGCCAGGGGAACCGATTGTTGCGCTGGAGGAGGTGGTGGAGGCGGAGGTGGAGCTGGAGCAGGACTGCCATCATTCAGATCGCTCAGTTGGATATATTGATCACCCACTGAATCAAAAATTCTATTCAATTTTTATTAGAATACAAACTTAAATCGAACGCTATTTAACTTGCTAGTAGTTGGACAAATAAGAAAAATGAGCAAAATTTCAGCGTGAAAAAACATATAATTTCATAATTTAATTTTCACGCAAGGCCGATTTATTTATTTCCTTCATTTTCGAGATTAGTGATCGGCTAAACCATACCAGCTTGAAAACAGTAAGTTTTTTTGAAATTTGGGTATAGTCGGCGTCCGGCGACTCCTGTACGCGGGTAGATTTACGGGACAGCGTCTTTCGAAATGGTCTCGCAAGGACTAACAGGTTATTTCAAATTTTATGGACCGGTTCAATAATTTTTTAATCGAATGAGGTTGGAAATTCAAGAAAATGCGAAATTCATCAAGAAAAATAAAGCAGTTCACGTGAAAACAGCAAAATGAGCATTCACGCGTGGCGTGACCTTTTCAAGGCGCATGCGCGTAAATCTACCCGCGTACGGCCAGTCGCCGGATGCCGACTATAGTTAGAAAGGAAAATTAGTCTAATTAAAAGATTTGTAGTTTTTAGTGTGTATTTATAATTGAAAATAAACAATATTGTAGTCTGTAGTGGGCCTGCTTAATAGAAAGCGTGGTCTGCTTAACAATCTTGTAGTTTGTAGTGGGCCAGCTTAATAGAAAGCGTGGTCTGCTTAACAATCTTGTAGTTTGTAGTGGGCCTGCTTAATAGAAAGCGTGGTCTGCTTAACAATATTGTAGTTTGTAGTGGGCCTGCTTAATAGAAAGTGTGGTCTGCGTAACAATCTTGTAGTTTGTAGTGGGCCTGCTTAATAGAAAGCGTTTCTCCATTAAAATTTACCCAATTGCTATTTTAGTGGGAGATCAGTACATGAATATAGGGGACTTGGGCGGCGGAGCTGGAGGAGGTGCACCACCTCCAGCGGCCCCACCCCCACCAGCCGCCAAACCACCGCCACCACCACCACCAGCAGCGCCAGCAAAAGGAGGTGCGCTTAGGTGAGAAGACCGAACTGAGAATATGCAAATCTCGCACATTTTTAGAGATGATGATGATCTCAACTTGGACTCTGACATTAAGTCGCCGAAGAAGAAGAAGACCGACAAGGACTCGAAATCCAATAAAAAGAACTCGAAACCCAAACACCATGGTGATGCTCCAAGCCCGACAGTGGTATAAAGATCAACAATTCGAATCCACGCGAATTCGCATTTCAGCCAAGGGCAATCTTATTCGTTCTACTACTTCTGTTCATGATTCTGACAGCCTTGTGGACATTGACATTGTTGAGCGGACTGCAATTAATGAAGATCGAGTTCCTCGAGAAGTTGTTCTACAAACTCGGCCGCTAAGAAAAATCCCCCGTCCCAAAATCGAGAAAAAAAACGAGCTGATGCATCGATAAATCTCTTGTGAAAATAAAATGATGAATAAAAACTGAATAAACATTGGTTGGCGGTGGGGGGGAGGGGGAGGGGAAGTGGGCAGTGGTCGAAAAGTAAAAGAGAAGTGTCAAATCGGTCGGCTCTCTTCGCACAAAACACATAGATAGATATATTGTGGCTCGCGATACAATACGCAATTGATATAAAGCACCTAGCGGTACAGGATTGCACCGAGCACGATTCTCGTGAACAAACCTCCCATTTTATCATCCCCTCCCTAGATCCTCATTTGATTTGACCTTTCTACTCCGCGCTATGCGTTGGCTCATTTTTTTGTTTTGTAAGTTACCGTAATCCCACCGTAGTCCATTTTTCTTCATGCATGTTTCAGTAATAAACCATGTAAGACCCTATTGTGAAGAAGGCGCGGTCTGTGAGGATTGCGAATTGGTCATCGTCGGACAGCCGTGCAACAGCTTTGATCGACTCCCCGTGTATTACTGTAACAATAATACTAGGTAATATATTGGTTACTGTAGCTCTTTAATAGTTACTGTAACGAATCGCATTCGAATAGTTTTTTTTTCGATTTAAGGAGAGTCATCTACGAGCCGTCGAAATATTTCATGTGTGTCGATGGTGAGGTGAGTCAGACCCCCTTCTCCATTTTTAACCAAAAGAATCTTCTCTCACACCCTATTATGCAAACAGGTCATCCAATTCGACTGCTCTTATCGGAATATGCCGGCGGCGGTGTTCAATCAGATCACGCGCGAATGTGTTCAAGAGGAAGAGTTCAAGAGGCGACGTCGCGCCACCACAGGTTCGATTGACTAGGCATCTACAGTACACGTAGTGGCGGATTTCAGGATCGGCGAGGGTTGGCGATGTGTGCTCGTTCAACACCGACTGCCAGCGGGGGATGTTCTGCGGCGGTGGCGTTTGCAGCTGCCTCAGCGATTTCGTCTCGATCTCCCAGCACTGTTGGCCCAGTAAGAATTCATTCCCATGGATAGAGACAAAGAGAATGAGAGTAACCGATTACAGAGGTGAATCCTGGAGAGTCGGGATGCGTCGAGAATCGGCAATGCGAGGCCGTCTGGCCAGGGACCACATGCAATTCGGCGGGACTCTGCGAATGTCCCAGAGACACTGTGCCGAGTCGCACTCGCGATGGAACCGTGTGCATTTCGTCGAAGATCCCGCCATCGTGTCCGCTTCCCGAGCCGCACAACGGCAATCCGAATCCGGCGACAGTGTTGGCGAATCCAACAACCCATCCGCTGAATCCCGGAAGCTACACGCCGGTTCTGTGCAATAGCCTCTCGTCGGAAACCAGAGTGTCGAATGGCGGCGACGGGTCGACGTGGTGCGTCTATCCGGACGGCGACAACGACATCTACATCGCCGACACCTACAATTGCATCTCGCATCCGCAAGTCAACAACGAGCTTTTCCCCGAATACGCGGAGACCGTCGACGGCGTCTGCTGTCATAATCGAGCGTTTGTGTGCATTCAGCCGCTCGAGTCAGGCGACGAGCCGTCGGTTCCGCGATGGTGGTACAATTCAGCAACAGGCACCTGTGTGCAGTTCATGTGGGATCCGGACACCATCACGAACGCCTCGCCGAACAATTTCCGAACCGCGGAACACTGCGAATCGTATTGTCGAGACAGTAAGTTGTTCTCCGGGGGGAGGGGGTTCTAGAAAAATGCCTCTTGATTGCAGCTTGTCGTCGTGGGGCTCCCGAATTCGCCGGAGCCAAATACTCAATACTGGATGAGGTGCCAAGAACGAATTGTCTTGCGTCGACGTCGCGGTGCGATTCCGAGCATCAATGCACACTCATAGGGTCCCAGCAGACGTGTTGCCCAACGCCTGCCCATATTTGTAGTGCTCACGGCGGCCGGATGATGCTAACGAAGCCCGTCGAGAATTATGATCGAGGCGTTCAGATTGCCGGATCAAAGGCTTCCACAAGATACTACTATGATGTTGATCAAGGCAGATGCGTCAACTTCCTCTATCACGGCCTCGGCAACTTCAACAACTTCCTCACCAAGCAGGATTGCGAATCATTTTGCTCCAAGTGTACGTTGGCCTCTTCTGGAGCGATTTAATCGGCGCCTGTTTCCAGTGGTCTGCGAGAATGGCAATCCGCTGCGTATCGGCGAGGAGTGGCAGCGTTGCGAGACCAACGCCGATTGTCCGACGTCGCACACGTGCCAGGGAAGCCACAAGGTGTGCTGTCCGACAGCTCGTAAGTTTCACGCGCTGCTCCGAATTCAGCATTTCTCTTTTCTTCGAAAATCCAGAATCGCTGTGCACCCAACCGAAGAGGCTCGGCGATTGCACGTCGTCGGTTCGCCGCTACTGGTACAACGCGGCGACTAGGACGTGCGAGATGTTCCAGTACACTGGCTGCCAGGGCAATGACAACAACTTCCCGACGCTGGTCGCGTGCCAGCAGCGATGCCGCGGAATCAATGGTAGGCGCTTACTGTATTCGGCTACAGTACTCTGAAGGTTGCAGTCGAGCCGAAATGTCAACACGGTCGCGCGTTTCGAGACCGCAACGGCAGCTTCCAACAATGTTCGGACAAGTCGAATGGTCCCAAGTGCCCCGTCAACTATGTGTGCTCGTTCGACGGCACCACGCATGGATGTTGTCCGACGAAGGCGTTCACATGCTCGCTGAACCCCGACAAAGGCGTCCAATGCGGATCAGGACGATCCTACAGATACTACTTCAATTCGAACAAACAATCGTGCGAGACATTCCAGTACGAAGGATGCGATGGAAACTCGAACAACTTCCTGACATCGGAAGACTGCCAGTCGTATTGCGGCGTTGGTGGATGCCCGAACGGTGGGATGCCGTTGCGCGACGAGAAGACCAACCGGCCGATGCAGTGCTCCGAGCTCAAAACGTGCCCGTCAACTCATGAGTGCATCTCGATTCCGATCAACGGAAATGTCGGCAATCGGTGTTGTCCGACGAAATGTAACTGAAGTGATTGTGCTACACTAATCATCGAGCGCATCGAATTTCAGCGCACATTTGCAGTCAGCCGCCGCAACAGGGCAATCATTGCTCGAAAATTTCGGTGGCGCGATATTACTTCAACATCGTCACCAGAGAATGCGCGAGTTTTCAGTTCAACGGCTGCAACGGCAATTTGAACAATTTCGCGACGCAGGCCGAATGCAACAATTTCTGCAGCTCGGCGGGATGCGCCGTCGGCGAAGTCGCTTATAAGGACGTGAACACTAAAAAGGTCCGAGTCTTGACGCGATCCTCGACATCCTAATCATCGCTGGCGTTTAGGCTTATGATTGCAACAATGTGCTGATCAACAGCTGCCCGGCCAACTTCCAATGCCGATTCAACTCGCTAACCTCCGGCTATGTTTGTTGCGGCTCGACGAGCATGGACGTGTGCCCGCCGGAAGAGCGAGCCTTCATCAACGCGCTAGACGAATCGGTTAGAGAATGCGCCATCAACGTCCCCGGAAGTTGTCCATCCGATTTCCTCTGTCGATTCAATGCTCAAAGGAATCGATATTATTGTTGTGCACCGACCACGGAGAGTAAGACACCCTCTCCATATTAGGCATGTCTTAAACCATAAAGTCTTTTAGATGTGTGCCCCGACGGGCGTGCTCTCTTCCGTGCCGCCAAGACGCATCTGCCGATTCGGTGCACTCTGAACACACCAAATTCGTGTCCCGATGGATACTCATGCCAAAGTCGCGCCAAAAATGTGCTTCAAGGATTCTGCTGCTCGGCGAGAAGTGAGCCAGAAGTTCTTTTTGCTGTTTGAAACGACGAAATCGGTTTTAGACGTTTGCAAGGGCGACGCCGAATTTCTGATGGACGAGAAGACGAAGATGCCGCGCATTTGCACGCCGGGCGCGTTCATCTCGTGTCCCAACGGCTACCGCTGTCATAAATCGCTGCCATCCAGTGTCAGCGGATTCTGCTGCAAGGGCGAAATCAACGCGATCTCCGAAGGCTGTCCGCCAGGCGAGTACGCCTATGCGAGAAAGAATGAGATCATCGCGTGCGATCCGTTCAATCCCGAGAACAAAGGGTGTCCGGCAACGTTTAGCTGCCAGTTCGCGGTGGCCTTCCAGCGGTATCAGTGTTGCGGAAAGGATCCGATAGAGGAGGATGAGATCGAGCAAGAAGGTGAGCCAGCTCTAGGCGCATTGAAATCTCGAATTGATTGCAGAGCTCGGCTGCCCGCACTCGCAAGTAGCACTGGTGGAGGACAATCATCCCGTCGTCTGCACGGCTTCAGCCAACACGTGCCCCACCGGCTACTTTTGCCAGTTTTCCGACAAAAACAAACAGTTCCAGTGTTGCGGCCACAAGTCGGGATGTCCCGGCGAGTCGGTGGCGTATCTCGATTTGAGCGGACAAGCGCAGGAGTGCTCGCGGAAGCTCGGCAACTGTCCGAGCGGCTACTCGTGTCAGTCAACACGAGCCGGTAAAACGGTGTGCTGCACGGGCGGTGTCACGCGCATCAGCAGTCGCGATCGTCCGATGATCACTGGTAATAGTAGTACGGTACCAACGACAACGCCGACGGCGCAGAATAGTACGGTAGCGGCGGTCACGACGACCACGGCCAAATCGTTGTGCCCGCCGGATACGGTGCTCATCAATGGGGAATGCAAGTACGATCCCAATGATCTTTGACGAACCTATCTAACGGGGCCCCTTATAGGGTTCGAGGAGCTGTCGGATCAGTGTGCCTTCTGTCGTCCCAGTGCACTTCAGGAGCCGAATGCTTGAATCAATTCTGCTCGTGCTCGAAAAAGTTTAGACAACAGGAAGGACGATGTGTGCAGATTCTTGACGAGGAGAATGAGTGTAAGAAGGGCGAGGTTAAGGTAAAATCTAGATTCGCTCGAGAGCCGAAGATTCTGAGGGCTTTCAGAAGGATGGCCGATGCTATCCAACGTTCGGAATTGGCGGCGGTGATTGCCAATTCGATTCGCAATGTCTGAATGGGACCATTTGTACTGAGAATGTGTGCAAGTGCGCACCAGGGAGCTCACCGTATAAGGAGCGATGCTTAAGTAAGTTCGCTATGCCCCTTTAAAAAATGATAAGCTTGATTTTTGCAGATAACGTGAATATCTGTGAATCACCCAAACAGCCGGTGATTTCCAACAATTCGCTCATTATCTGCGCCAAACAAAAATGCCCAAAACCATCTCAATGCCTCTACTCCAAATTGATCTCCTCATATGTTTGTTGCTCGGTTGCTCCAGTGCCTGTTAGGCCTGCGACAGCAAGGCCCGTTGTACGAGGACGGCCCGTTCCCAGCAAGAAGTACACGTGTCCGGACGGCAGGCAGCCGATGATGTTCCCGCAGAATCACATGCCTTTGGTGTGCAACGTGATCAAGGGATGTCCGCAGGGCTACACGTGCATCGCGAAAATGTGCTGCCCGAACACAAGGGTCAAACGCGAGCCGTGCCCAAGAGGCTATTTGGAACTGGTGCGAAATGATGGAACAACGACGTGCGGTAAGAATGCGACGAATTCGATTTTGAACAACTCGTTCATTTTTTTTTCAGCGCCGCAATGCTCACAGAACCCGGTTCAGCCGTGCTCATTAATACGGCGAAAATGATTCGTGTTTATCTTTTTTTTTTCATTCTATTCACACCATCCCCCTGTTCTTGTCAATTCCAATCCAACGGCTGATCTTTCATCCATGTTTTTTTTTCACTTTTCTGTATTTACCTTTTTTTCCAATTTTCTGTTGTACACGAGGTTTTTTAGTCAACCTCCGTCTCGTTTGGAGATGCTGTTTCTTTGCGAAATTCTTTCTTTTTTATTTTTTAAAAATAAATAATAGTTTCTCTTTTGTGCAAATAAATGCCGGCGAGCTCAATGGAATGGTTTTAAGACTAATAAGCAGACCCACTACAAACTACAAAGTGCTCCAAGCAGACCATTTTTCGTGATTAGCAGACCCACTACAAACTACAAAATGCTCCAAGCAGACCATTTTTCGTGATAAGCGGACTCACTACAAACTACAAATTGGTTAAGCAGACCTTTTTTCGAGCTAAGCAAACCCACTACAAACTATACTCTTTCTTAAGCAGACCATTTTTTTAATCATGTGGCTCGACATTTTTAATATAAACAGCCGGCGGCATTTTAAAATGAGAATTGCAGGGTGTCGAGTTTGATTCCCTTCGTCGTATGCGTCTCGCGGTGTCCAACGAACTATAGCAAGGGTCGCCAATGGCCTCTAAACAAGCCGGACAGCATTCTCTTCCGTTTTCTCCTATTTTCATTTTTTTCAGTGCTTGAAATGCATTTAAATTTCACCGCCTTAGAATGGGTGAAATGTCCCGAATATGAGAACTATCCGATACACATCATCGCCGCCATCGTAGCGATTTTCGCGATCATCGCCAATGGGGTGAAATTTTCGAAAAACAATCAATAAAATTGTTCAATTTCAGTATATTATGAAATTGTTTATTGTAAAAGAGGCTATTGGATTGTTTCTTTTGGCAATTTTCGATTTTATGTTCGCTTTCGACTTCATCACAACCGCCACCTTAAAATCATTGGCATATTTCTGGAAAAGCTCTGAGCTCAATAAATGGCAGTTCCACTTTGGAGGCTTATCCGACCGATTTGATGAGCAGGTTCGCAATTTGGTCGCTGTTACTCTTTTTCTTCTCGCTGTTGAGCGTCTACTGTGGACATTCGGAGAGCGCACAAGGTAGGCGCCATCCTTTAAACCTTCTATGGTGAAATTGCAGGCAACGATTCGGATTGTTTACCGATGATCGGTCCAAGATCCGAATAATCATAATACCTTTCATAGTCACGATAATCTTCAGATTTCTAGATGACAGATTCAACGAAGTACTTTAATCCAAGATTTAGCAATTGAAAATTCCTAAAATTTCAGAAATCATTGCTGAACCAATGCACAGAGTTTCATTCAAGAAATAAAAATATCTTAATAAAAGGTGTGTTTCGGATAATTCTACTCGCAGCAGCATTTTTTTTTTGAGGATTCGACAAATTCCTTGATACCACATATCCATGGATCAGTAGAGCCTTCTACGCCCTTGCTCTGATCATCTCCCTGATCTCAGTGGTCCGCAAATCGAAGACTGGAAAAGGGGAGCTCGCTGTGAGCCAATCGCATCAAACGCAGACAACAAATCAGGATTCCGAAACGTAATTCAAATGGAAAAGTGATCATTGGATAATTTTTTATTTCAGTGGAATTCGCCTTGTGAACAGATCCATCTTGTGCATGTTTGTCATTATTCTGACATATCTCGTCACCTATTCCGCCAATGAATTCATTCGATATGATTTTCCGCCGAAAGATTTGAAGCAATTCGGATGTAAATTTCAACGAATTTTTCATTCAAAAGCAATATTTCAAGAAATTTCAGACCGATATTTCATTGTGAAGCTCATCGAGCTATTCTTCGTCGCCGCGCGATTCTTCATTTATTTTGCGCTGACAAAATTCCAGATTGTCTACCAATATTTCGGAATTATTCTTCACACTTAAACGCTTATTTGTTTTAATTCTTAATTGTTTTCAATTAACGAATGATAAATATGTATCTACCGTAATAAAAATTTTCTCATTAACATATTTATCTTAAGCAGACCCACTACAAACTACATAGTGAGTTAAGCAGACCACTTTTCTTCTATTCGACAACCTACAATAAGCTGCAAATTATTAAGCAAACCTCTCTTTCCGTTAAGCAGACCCAACTACAAACTATAACATTGCTAAGCAGACCACTTTTTTGCAAATATTCTGAAGACCATTTTTATATTCTCAGTCAGAATTCGATCGTTTCATCGTTTTTTGGTTCTCTGAAGTGTCTGCCAGTCTCGACGTCTATATTTGTCCATCCCATTTTTCAAAAAAAGCGACTCGCATTTATTTGCGTGTATGTAGTTTGTCCTCTTCTCCCAATTTTTTCGTCTGCGTTTGTTGCACTTTCACTCGACAACAAAACCGAAGGGTCTAAAAGTCGAGTATTGCACATAAAAACGAGGACGAGTCGGCTGGTCGTTCTCACTTGTTGGAAATCGAATGAAGGTCAACTTTACCACTTTACCCTGGCCTGAAAAATGCGACGAATATGACATATGGCCGGCTCATATTGTTGGAGCATCACTGGCCTTATTTGGAATTATCGGCAATGGGGTATGTCATCAAAATCGCACGGAATCTCTCTTTTGTTTTAGTTCCTCATGAAGCATTTTCAAGCCAATGGAGCATTATACATTTTCACCATCGCAGTCCTCGATCTGCTCTATTCAATCAATTTCCTCACGTCAGTCTCACTGAAGGCAATTGCGATTTTTTTCAAAAATCGAATTGTCAGCGAGATTCGCTTCAAAATTGTCGATCAAATGGAACTTCTTAATTTCATCATCGTCAATTTTGTGCCGCTTTTCCTCATTTTTGTCGCAATCGAGCGAGTTCTCTGGACCTGCGGACAACGTACGAGGTTGGCCGTCAGCTCGATTAGATGTGTCTAGATAAAAATTGTAGGGAAACGTTTGGAATTTTCACAAACGTCCGCCCAAAGCCATGGATCAGAGCCTTCGTCATTGTGTATGCGTTCATCACCGCATTTTTCGAGACGAGACCGAGAACGGTAATAATTCGAAATTGTTTAAAGGGAGGTGGTCATCTTTTTTTTTAAAGATGGGCATGGCAAATCATTGTGAAGAAATTTACATAAACGACACAAAAAATCGAAGTCAAGGTAAAGGTTTCAAAGGATTACTGTAGCTTTTATAAATTTCCAGCTCTCTCCCTATATCTCGAAGTAATCAATCCATGGCTGAGACGAGTCTCATTTTGCCTAGCTCTTGTGATCTCCCTGATTTCAGTGATCCGTAGAAAGAAGACTGGAAAAGGGGAGACCGCTGTGAGCCAGTCTGACAAACATCCAACGTCTCATGAGCCTATTGAAAAGTCTGAAATTAATCTATTGGATTACGGTAACACGATTTATTGCAGTGGAATTCGCCTCGTGAACCAATCGAATTTGTGCATGCTCATTATTGTTGTGCAATTCTTGCTGAAACACGCTGCCGATGAGGCCGTCTCCTATCAATTCGCTGCCAGAAAATCCAGCCAATGTCATTTCTCTAATTTCTCAAAGTTTTCCTTTCAAAATAATCCCATTTTTCAGTCGAGCAGCTCATTGTGAAGTTCGTCGAGGTCACGTTCGCCGCCTCACGAATCCTCATCTATCTGGCGCTGACAAAACTGCGAGTTGTCTATGAGTATGTCGACGTCGTTCGTCACACTTAATAAGTGCCAAACTTATTGCATTTTTCTAATTTTTGATCACAAAAAGATATGGCAAAAAATAAAGGAATAAATTAAACGACTGGACATTTAATTGGAGCAATTAATGTTCAATTAATGTTTAAAAAAATGCGTCCTGATGTCTCGAGTGTTGCACAGGAACATTTCGATGGCTTAGCTTCTCCGCTTTTAAAGTTGGGAGCGTCTTGTAGAATTCACAAACCGCCTTCTGGAAATCATGGTTAGAATTCTCGAAGTTAGTTGTACTCTCATTGGTGCTGAAATAACTTTGAGCTAAGCAGACCCACTACAAACTATAAATCTGTTAAGCAGACCACATTTTTTTGAGTTAAGCAGGCCAACTACAAACTACATCTCTGCTAAGCAGACCAAATTCTTAACTAGAAACCGTAATTTATTCATCATTTGTGTTCCGTTCATAGTGTCGAGGGATTGGGTTACTGATAGTGAGTGGCGATACGGTAGGAACCCAGCGACCTACTCCATATGCAAAGGGGAATGATAGAATGAATGTTGGTCTCATTTTCGGCCAGCTGCATCATCAATGGGCGGAGTCTATCGGTCAGCATGTAACAATAGAAACAGTAGAAAGGATATTATTGCTTAAAAAACCATCAGTATTGTCCGAGTAAACTCGAATACATTCTGATTGCTGCAGTTGTAACAAACCACGCTTCATTCAGGTCTAATATGTATTCGATCCATCGTGATCGGCTCACTAAATTCCTAATTTGTAGTTGAGCATCGTCGTTTTATTAGTATGCGGAACGACATCAAAAAAATCGTGCAAAAAAACTCGCGAGGCGAGACACAACGCAACGCGCGGAGGGTGCGAAACGCGCAGACGTTTCCGCACCGACGCCGCTTCGCACGACCACTAGCGGTCGGGGCGGCGGTCCAAATATTTATTTACAAGTGACAAAAACAAATAATTTATTATTGGAATGTGGTGCACACGCACCTACAAATAGCAGTTGACAATTACTTTGGCAACTCGAGAAAAAAAGGAGAGAGACAGAGAAAATGGCAAAAAGAAAAGTAAAAATAAAATTCGAAAATGGGGAGGAGTTATTTATATCACAGATTTTGAAAGGCAAATCGCACCGAAAATATTCGATATCCGGTTTTTTTTTCTTAAATTTCGTTGTTCAATGGAGCATCTGCAAGGTATTTGTCTCGACAAATACCGCGAACAGCGACCTGCAATTCGAACAATTTGTTCATCTCCATAAATGGCGATTTGAATTACCTGATGTGGTGGGCACTTCTCCTCGCACTTCTTCACAATCCGCTCGCCGACGATTCGAAGAACCTGAACCTGTCCATTGGGACATGGTCCTTGCGCGACGCTGCTCTCCTTCTTGATCGGCCTTCCCACCGGTCGTCCTCTCGTCTTCTCCTCGGGCTCCTCGTCGCCAGTGCTGCAGCACTGGTACCTCGGCGACGTCGTGCTCTTCTGGCACTTGTATCCCGCCGGGCACGAGTTGGCGCCGGTGTTCGAGCACTGCACCGGTGTGCCTGTCGATGGGAACAGCAGCGCGTTGCCGGTGGCGCAACCGTTCGAGCCCGCCGCCGGCTTGCTGATCAATGGCGGCGATGGTCCCGACGAGCAGCAATAGTAGTTCTTGCTCTTCTTCGAGAACGTGCACTTGAAGCCGCTGGGACACGGCGAGGCGGTGCACTGCTTCGGCGCGCCGTTCACAAAGTAGGCGTTGCCGCGATCGCACACATTGTCGTCGACCTTCTTGTCGCCGGTCCTCGAGCTGAACGTTCCCTTCTTCTTCTCGGCGTCGATGATGCTTGACGCCTTGCCGCCTCCACAGCAGATGTTCTGCTGGGCGGTCTGCGAGAATTGGCAGCTGTACCCGCGCGGGCAGTTGGGTCTCGATGGATTGCAGAATCGCGCGTTCTTCGTGCGCACCTCCAAATAGGGAATTTGGCCTGGGATGGGGCACGTCGACATTGGGCGCGACATCTTCTTCATGCACACGTCTTCGACGGCTTCCTCTCCTTCCGGACACGTGCACGATCCTTCCTGACACGAGCTTCCCCCTTGGCATTGTTCGTCGGCTTCGCAGGCTTCTCCGATGAGCGCCTTCGGAATGCATTTGCCGTTAACCTCGACCTCCGTCTCGGCGCAATCCGCTTGGCAGATTCCGTTCAGCTGATGGTGTCCTTCAGGGCAGGAGCACACCGAATCACGGCACACGGCTCCAGATGGGCATTGAACTTGATTGCTGCAGGGTTCGCCCAGCGACTTCTTGTCAAGGCAGGCGCCTTCGACTTCAACCTGCTTCTCGCTGCACTCCTTCTTCGGCTCCTCATTGGTGGTACAGCACAACTGGGAGCCAGTGATGCTTCTCTGGCAAGAGTAGCCTGGCGGGCAGGTGCTCTGTCCGATGGCGCACGATTGCGGCTCTCCAGTGATGCCGATGAAGGCGACCGAGTCGTTCGGGCAGCCGCCCGACATTCCGCAACATTGGAATTGATTGTTGGCAATCGAGAATTGGCAGAAGTAGCCGGTCGGACAGTTCTGCGAGGCGGCCGTGCAGATCCTTGGAGCGTTGGTCGCGTGCTCGCGGTACGCCACTTGATTGTTCGGGCATCCCAACGCGGCGATCGATTTGGGCGTCGTGATCGGCGTCGCTCCGCAGCACTGGTAGCGTTGATTGGCCAGCGACCATTGGCACGAGTATCCATTGGGGCACGGCGCGTTCGGCGGATTGAACGGATCGCACGGCGCGATCTGATTATCCTTCATGTAGACGTACTCGTTCGGTGGGCAGCCATCCGAAACACTCGCCACCTCACCCTTACAGCAATAGCCAGTCGTGAACTCGTTCTGTGTGCTCTGGCAAGAATAGCCGTTCGGGCACGTGATGAACGCGCCGACTGTGCACGATCGCGGCATCTGCGACGATTCCTCCAAATAGAATTCGGCCTTGTTCGGACACAAATGGTTCGCTGAGCAGCAGTATCCCTGGAATGCGCCAGGCACGTCCGATTGACACGAATAGCCGTTCGGGCATTGATTGCTGTTGCTGCTGATCGTGCAGCGAATCGGGCTCTTCGATGACGGCTCTCTGTAGAGCGCCTTGCCCGATGGGCAGAGGTCGCCGGTGATGGACGCGCAGCAATAGTAGCGATTCTTCATGGCGTTGAATCGACACAAATAGTTGGATGGGCAGCTTCCTTCGACATTGATCAAGCATTCGCGAACGCCCATGTCGGCGGCGTTCACGTACGCCTTCTCGCCTTCGGGGCACACGTCCATATTCGTCGCACCGCAGCACACCGAATTGCCGCTGAGTTGATCGTAGGTGCACGCGAAATTGGTCGGGCAACTGTTCGACAGCGCGGCATTGCACTCATACGGCATGTTGGTGTTCGGATTGACGTAGGCGACGTCGCCCGGCGTGCAGGCGGCCGACAAACAGAAATTGTTGCACTGTTCGAGGGTGGCGAAGTTGTTGAGATTTCCCGAGCAGCCGTTGTAGGTGAACTGGGTGCACTCCTTGGTGACGATGTTGAAGTAGAATCGCGCGGCGGCCGACGATGAGCACGACGAGCCTTGTTGTGGAGGCAGCGAGCAGATGTGGGCGCGAGTTGGACAGCAGCGATTCACGACGCTTGAGCCGGAATTGACCGACGTGCACTCGTGGGTTCCTGGACAGATTTGGGTCGCCGAGCACACCATCAATTGGCCGAACTCGTTTCGCTCGGGGGTTCCGCCGTTCGGACATCCTCCGACGCCGCAATATCCCTCGCAGTCCTCGCGTGTGGCAAAGTTGTTGCTGTTTCCGTCGCATCCGTTGTACTGGAACGACTCGCATTCCTGCGTCTGCGAATTGTAGAAGTAGCGGTACGAGGAGCCCGATCCGCACGTGACTCCCTTGTGCGGCGACAGTGTGCACGTGTAGGCCTTCGTCGGGCAGCAGCCCCACACATATCCGTCGAAGTAGCATTCATAGTTGACCGGGCACGAGTTGCCGGCTCCCGAGTTCGAGCACACGTAGTAGTTGCCCTGGTAGTCCTTGTAGGCGTCGCCTTGCGGACACTGCGGCTCCGGAATGATGTTCTCGCACGTGTTCTGGCATTCGAGCAGCGTCTCAAAGTTGTTGTCATTGCCCTGGCAGCCAGTGTAGTCGAAGATCTCGCAGGCTCTCGTGACGGCGTTGTACCAGTAGCGTCGCACCGACTGCTTGCAATCGCCCAGGCGAAGTGGCTGCGAGCAAATTGCTTCTGGAATTTGGTTGGCTTATGATTTGGATGCTCAGGAGGTCTCTTACGTGGTCTCGGACAGCACACATTGTGATCGCTTTGGCATTCGTGTGTGCTCGGGCAGTCGGCGTTCGCCGAGCATCGTTGATTCGACGCGCCAATCTTCAGCGGCGTGCCGTACTTGCATTGGAGCTTCGCGCAGAACAGCTCGCAGTCCGCTGACGATTTGAAATTGTTGAAGTTGCCCAACGCGCCGTTGTAGGTGAACGCGATGCATCGGCCCTGTTCGGCGTCGTAGTAGTAGCGGCTGCTCGTCGAGAATGTCATCGAGAACGTGCGCTTCATGAGAACGCCGGCGTCGAAGTTGGTCGATCGGATGAGGTCCAAAGGTCGTCCGCCGGAATTGCTGCACACGCTGGCGACGGTCGGGCAGCACAGCTGCATGCTGCCGATCGAGGTGCACTCAAAGTTCGAGGTGCAAGAGGAAGCCGTCTGGCAGTTGTTGACCGGCTCGTCCTCGTTCTGTGTGGCTCCTGTCAGGTACTGCGGGCTTCCGCGCTTGCAAGCTGAAATTATTGAAGTCTCGAATCTCCCGAGTGGATTTGAACTTACTGTCTCTACAGTAGGATTCACAGTGCTCCCTGGTCTTGAAGTTGTTCGGCGATTGCATCTCCGTCTCATCCCACGGATCCCACATGAATTGTTCGCAGGTTCCCGTGACAGCATTGTACCACCAGCGAGGTCTGACACCGGCAGGCGCGGCCGATCCCGAATCAGCTTCTCTCTTTGGTTGAATGCAAGTGAACGCTCGATTCGGGCAACAGATTCCGTCAGCGGCTGGATGGATGTCGTAGACGCCTTCCATCGCAGTCTTCACATTCGCCATTGACGTCGTCGAGGTGACGCAATCATAGATGTCAGCGATGTAGATGCCCTCTCCACCATTGTTGGCGTCGGTTGCGTAGGCGCAAGCACCGCCACCATTGGCGACGAACGTGGTGTAGTCGGTGGATTGCGACGAGCAGAATTGAAGCGGATTGATGTGTTCGCCCATCTGAATGTCGGCGTCGTCAGGATCGGTCATGTGTGGATTGCGAAGCTGCGAGACGGGCATTGTGAGAAGGTCGTCGTCGTATTCTGGCAGCGGGCACTTTGGCACCGGATCGCCGTCTTCTCCAGAATGAAGAACACACACGACTCCGTCTCTCGTTTTGGCTTGAACGTATGGAATGCCGTTGACGTCTTCAGGGCATTCGCAGCGTGACTTCTCGCATCGTGATTCCGGCCAGACTGCTGAACATTGTTCGGCGTACTGGCAGCCAGACTCGCCAGGATTCTTCTTCAGATAGCAATAGCCCTGGATGGCGACGAAGTTGGACAAGCATGTGCATGAGCCCGTCGAGCAGAACATTCCCTAGAATCATTGGCATTCAGAGCAATTCACAGACATTCCTACCGTAAGACAGTCGGTGTTGAAGCTGCAGAAGTCGCCGACTCTTCCGGATCCGGCGACACCTTGCCGCTTGTACCGAACGTTGCCGGTTCGACATTTGCCGTCGATGAAGAATTGGCCTTTAGCGCACAGTTTGCGCTCAATCTCCTTCTTCACCAGATTGCAAATCAAAAATGCGTTCTCATGCATATCCGTCTTACTGTAATTGGTTGGGTTTTGAATCAAGGGACCATTGAGTTCAGGGCTTTTACTTAGTGGCAAGATCGCAGTACAACGACTCGATGGTCGTCTCATCGGCGCACGCGTCGCCCTGCTGCGGAATTCGGCATCTCGCCGACGCCGCGTCGCAATCATCGCCGATTCGGCATAACGGCGTCTCGGCCAATAGGCCTCCTGCAACAAATCAAAGGTTATGTGTCTCGTCACGAAATGTTTTTGTTGCATTATGCGAGTTTCACGCGTCTCAACTTTTTTTATTTGCTCAATGACAAAAACGGCGGAGTGACCTATTCGATCAAAAATTCTCGCCGAAGCCGCCGCCGCCACAAATTTATTGTTTGCGTTTCGTTTCGAGGAGGTTCGCGTTTTGTACATAAACATTCGATTATTATTTATTGTTGTGGTTATTGTCATTATTCTTAAATGGCTTCTATTGTTGCAAAATCTCTAAAAATAGAAGTATTGGGAGTTATTGCTAAAAGCTTCTAAGCAGACCCGCTACAAGATATAAAATACTCTAAGCAGACCACTTTTCTAATATAAGAAGACCCACTACAAACTACAAGAACATTAAGCAGACCACTTTTTGAGTTAGGCAGACCCACTACAAACTACAAGATCATTAAGCAAACCACTTTTTTGAGTTAGACAGACCCACTACAAACTACAAGAACATTAAGCAGACCACTTTTTGAGTTAGGCAGACCCACTACAAACTACAAGAACATTAAGCAGACCACTTTTTGAGTTAGGCAGACCCACTACAAACTACAAGATCATTAAGCAGACCAGTTTTTGAGTTAAGCAGGTCTCTCACTTTATCATACATCTGCATTATTTATGCTAATTATTTGAAATATTTTTTGAAAATCAGCAAATTTCAAGAGAATTTGAAAAAGGCTCGCTTCCAAATTCTAGAATTGGGATTCTGTCGACACTCTTACCTGCTAGCAGGAGTAGAAATAAAAGCTGGCGCATTTGTCACCAATGGAAAAACAATGCGAACGAAATTGAATACAGCAGATTCAAAATAGAGTTGTGGTGTGGGGATGCCCCAGTTCCACGAAAAATCTCTTATGAATAGAGTTGTTGGAAGGCGCCGCCTTTTGGTGGTCAACGCGCAAAAACCACTAACGGTTATGCAAAATGAGCAGTGTTGTGTGAGCCGAGCCGCCGATAGCAAAATGCGAATTCGGTGTATGTGAGTGTGTGTTGAGTGTGTGTATATTTGGGAGAAGAAGCAGCGCGGGATCAATCCCCCCTCCCGGGCCGCCAACCCCCTTTTGGTCACTCCGCCGCTAGGGGCGGACGTTGTCTGTTTGCTCGCTTTCGATTCAAACCTTCTTTATGCGTCCGACTCGCCGAAATAGTACGGTATTCGGCGAGAGCCGGTGGTCACTCGAATTGTTGGTAATGCGATTTACATGTGTGTGGTGTTCTTCTCCCTCCTTCGCTGGTGGGGTCTCAACTCCGAACAACTACAGTTTGCTGAGCACGAGTGCATATAATGTTGCAAAGCCGATTACCATCTATATCGTTTAGTCGTGCCTCTATGTGTTCGTGTGTGTCAGTGGACTCTAATTACATAATTGTGATTAGGTCGATCAAACATTGGGAGAAGTTTCCGAAAGAAAAAAATTAATTCCACTCAAGAGCCTTTATCGGTGTCTATTTTGGGCGATTTGCCGCCGCCATCAAACAATGCATCGGTTTGATGGTGAGTATGATAATACGATAAAAGCGAATCACGCATCTTCGGACCGCCGCGGCGAGGGTTCAAACTACTCAGCAGAAGCGCGCGCGCGCAACACCTCAGCCATTCATCCAAAAAAAGACATTATTTGCTGAGTTTTTATTCGCGGCGAGCAGCGATACTCAAAACACCCAAAATAAACCAGTCTCACACATTTTCTTGAATAATCGCAACCCCCCCCCCTACGCACAAAATATTTGGAATGATGACAATAAATGCACGCTTCTCGAATATTGCACACGAAAATTTTTGGCACAAAATTTCAGAATGAATTCGCCATTCAATTTGAGTAGAATCCGTTGGAGGTTTGCAACGAATAAATCCAAGTTCGCTCTCTCTCTCTCTCTCTTGAAATCAACATAAGAAAAAAAATGTATTTTTAAACTCCTCATTTTGTAATCGAAATTATTGGACATATAAACCAGCAAAATTGCTATATAATTAGTGAACAAGTCAAAGGGCGGTCAATTTTTTAATGTTTAGTGGGTATGCGTACCTATGAAAACTGTTTGGCTCCACAATTTTTGATAGGTCTGAATAGCTGCGGACAGTGGTCTGCTTAGCGCGTCTTGTAGTTTGTAGTTGGGTATGCTTAGCTCAAAAAAGATGGTATGCTTAAAAATTTTATAGTTTGTAGTTGGGTCTGCTTAACGGAAAGAGAGATTTGTTTAATAAGCAGATTCTTGTGGGTCTACTAATATAAAAAAAAACATGGCCTGCTTAGAACGTTTTGTAGTTTGTAGTGGGTCTGCTTAGTTGAGAATATTTATCTGCTTAGAAATTGTATAGTTTGTTATGAATCTGCTTTTTGTCCGCAGCTGATTTGGGATATCCAATGTCTCACTCTCAAAACCGCTCGTCGCGCCGCACTCGCTCACCATATTTGCTCTCGAAAAATTCCAAATAATCAGCATTTTTTGATTCACCAGCTTAATGCGGAGCATTCCTAGCCAAACAGGGCCGAACCCCCAACAACTAATACACAACTTATCATCGCCATGGCTCTCGCGCACGCTTTGTTTGTTGTCGTTCGCCGTCTCAGCTCGGTGTCTGCTCGTGTGCACGGCGCGTCGGCTTTTCCTTCCGCGTTCCCACAAAATTGGAGAAGCACACCAATTGGGGGGGGAGGGGAGGGGAGGTGGAGGAGAAAGGATACACGTACCATTCGACGGGATTACACCCGTTTTGAGACAAAAGTACATTGTCAACATCACACCACTCGGAAAGGTACTCAGCTTTTATTACATGTATACATTGGTTTTAATTGATCCCTCAATAGGGAACAACCCTTCTAGGCAAAAAAAAGGGCACAAAATAATTTTAGAAGGAAAAAATCGTTTAAAGGAGCATTAATTAAAATATTTATTGTTTAAAGGAGCATGCAATAAAAGTGGGCCTACGCGAATAAACCACAAGGCGATATAAATGAATTCGGAGGCGCCTCTTCTCGGCTTTTTGACATGTTGATTCAATTGCGTCATATTTGACGACATTTCACAGACACACAACAAAAACCAAACTAATTAGTTATTGTTGAGGAACTGCTTGATTTTCGATTTCGCATGAATCATATTGAATCGCTCGGCGAGTCGCTGAACACACCTCAAATTTTGATCTGAAACCAATACGGCTAATTACATATAATGGCGGATAATTAACCCACCGGTAATTGGCGCCGAATTCGGCAGAATGACATTGTGAATTTCGGCGAACTCGTCGCATCCGACGTCGTCGATCACAATTTCGGCGTCGCTCTCGCAATTGGTGAGCATTTCCCGAAATACGGGCGAGTGAATCGCGAGCAACTGAAAATGGTAGATCAAAAATAATATTAAACGAATCTCTCACAGTTCGATTCGAGACCAATTTGTTTCCACCGACGACCAGCACGACGTCGCCAATGTCGGCGTCCTTTAAAGGGTCCCTCGACAGCGCGACACCTTTGATCGAGTGAATTCGAATTTCGACGGACACTTGAATCGAGCCGCCAATTCTGCGATACGACAAAATTAGAGTAGTCGGAATTACGGTAAAAGCAAAACCTGAACAGTTGAGCGCACTTGTCGGCGGGCAAATTGCACGAGAGCTCTTCGACGCGTCGCGAGCGCCTGAAAATCGGCATCGCCCAGCGGAGTCCGTCGAAACGGCCGCTACCATCCGGCAACGCGCATCGGATTTTCAGCGAGACGTCCGTCTCGCACTCCCATTCGACGCACTCATCGGGATGTGTGCACTCGAGGCGAATAAGCGGCTGCCATTGCTCTCGTTGTCTGCGCCAACGCATTACGCGCATTTTCCTTTAAACATACATAATTTTGTTTTTGATGAGTTTCTTCTTTTCTGGTTGACAAACAGAAATTACCAGTGAAGATTGGCGAAATTCGAGTCGGCACTTATCCAATTCGTCGATTCGGCTGATCGCCGCATCATTTTTTCATCGGTTATTTGGGAAATTGTTATTATTTTCGGCCATTTGTCCGAAGAATAATGGAAATTGGACATATCAACGAGAAAAATGGTGACGAATGGTGTAATTGGCGTCACTTTTGGTGGACGCGTGCACATTGCGACGAGAGCGTAGCGTGTAATAGTTAAGATGGAGAGAGTGCAAACAACTAGAACGCGTTGCAAAAAGCCACTTATAGGCTGACGCGGCGCCTCGTCGCCGTGCCGTCGATAGCTCAGTTGGTAGAGCGGAGGACTGTAGTGTTGTTGGGTATCCTTAGGTCGCTGGTTCGAATCCGGCTCGACGGAATGCTTTTTGCCAACATTTTTTTCGCTGATTACACGTATTGATTGTGGCCCGATACAGTACACAATTGATAATAAACAATATATTGTTTGAACAAACCAACCGATTCCTTCCCATCGCCAGCAATCGTCATCTTTTGATTCCCCGACATGATAAAAGTTTATTGTAGTGGCAGTTCAGCAATTGATACAAAGAGATTAACGAATTTGAATAATCGGTGGCCGTTACAAAACGCGGAAGAAAAAGAAGAAATGATCGAACTACAACCACAATCACCACTGATGGAATGCAAAACAGACGAGGCGCGCAGTCTGCAACAATTGTTGGAAAAAACCAGCGGGTACGTTTTGTTGTTGTTGTTTTTTTTTCCTTTTATTAATTGTCGTTTATCACGTTTCCATTACAAATTGTTCTTTTTACAGTGCAGTTTCTTCACGTGGTGTTTTTTTTGTCAAATCAACGACACAATTAGAAAAAACGCGATCTTTGCTTTATATCGGCGATCTTTCGATCTCTTGCGATCATACGTTGTGCAAACAAAAATAAATGTAATTGGCAGATAACCATCAAAACATATTTGACACATCAAAATTTCGTTTTCAACTATTTTATAGCTTCTAGTGGCTCTGTTTCGTTTAGAAAAATGGTCTGCATAGGGCATTTTGTAGTTTATAGTGTCAATTTTTACTCAAAAAAATAGTCTGCTAAAAAAATTATAGTTTGTAGTGGGTCTGCTAAACACAAAAAAACTGGCCTGCTTAGAACGTTGTAGTTTGTAGTGGGTCTGCTTAGCTCGAAAAAAGGTCTGCTTAACCAATTTGTAGTTTGTAGTGGGTCTGCTAAACACAATAAACTGGCCTGCTTAGAATGTTGTAGTTTGTAGCTGCTTATCTCCCCCCACAACATATTTCTTGTGAATTTCGCTTAATAGATTTATTTATTAGTCCCTAGATCAGCTTCTAGCAATATTGTATAAAACTTTGGAATGTAGTTGCTCTAGAAATTTATTTTATAGTTGGTCCCCCACCGTCAGAAAAAAAGGAGTTGCGATTTTCCGAACGCATTAAAACAGACGCAAAAAAAAACGCGAATATTCCCACGAGTAATGAGCGCCACTCACGCCACCTACCGTAATCAAAACGACGAGTATTCAGATGGCGGCCGTATCCTTTGTTCATCACGTGCTCGATGGCGTTTTTATGGGCGCTGTGCGCCCTCAGCGCCATTTCGCCGGCGTTCACCGCACCCGCCGAACCGTGTACGACGAATTGCACGTTCTACACGATTCATCAAGATGTAAACAATAAACAAAATTGGCAAATCATTTCGGATTTTTGTTTTCAGTTCAATCTCACTAATTATGCGATTGATCCCGCCGAGTTGAGTAGTTCGATCTACTTCTTCGGCAATCTATGCGTTGGACAATTCTTCGCCACACTCGCTGATCGATTCGGAAGGCGGCCGATCATTCTGGCAAGTTTGATGCTCACCGGAGTTGCCGGCTCTCTAGGTGCACTTGCTTCAAATTTCCCGCTTCTCCTTTTGGCAAGGTTCGTGCAAGGATCCTGTTATACGGTAGGGTAGATCAAAATCTGCGAATTCGCTTCTTTTCCGTTTTAGCCTTTAACAATGGTTAACTATGTGCTATGCAGCGAATGTATTCCAAATAAATCAATGTCGCTGGCTTCGATGTTCTTTGGAATCTCCTGGGTCCTAGGTATCACCGCCCAGCTCAAAGGACCATTATGAATATTTCTATCATATTTGTCAGGTTACTGTTTTCTCGCCCCATTATCAATTCTATTCCCGACGTGGCGTCTTCTTCAATTAGCAACCGCGATTCCCAACGTGGTAATCGCCGTTTTTCTATTTTTGTAAGTCAAAACGAAAAGGGGCGTGGCCTAATTGAAGAATCTGTTACAGTACGCTACCTGAAAGTGTCGCCTATTCGATAGAACGAAAAAATCGAAAATCGGTGAAAAGATGGATCAGAATGGTAGGCTTAAAACCATAAATTCCAGAATTACAGTAATACAATAAATTTCTCTAAACCTACAGTAATCTAATATGTTTCGAGCCGAGACCTTTTTTCCTAGAGACTAAAACTATTGAAATGACAGTATAAAGCCTCCACTGAAAAATTGTAGAACGAGATGACGTCACGCCGCGCGATTCCGCACAATCTCGACGACATCATGAGCAACGCTGAAAAACATCAAGAGCAAACCGAGCAGGCCGAGTTGAGCATCTGGCAAATTCTGCGACGCGTCCGACACAACTCGAAAATTCTGAAGTTGATGCTCAACGAGACGTTCATCTGGATTCTGACGTTCATGAATTATTGCGCGCTGGCGTTGACGTCGACATCCGTCGGCGATTCGAATCCGCTCATCTCTTTCCTCTTCTCCGGCATCGTCGAGTTCCCAGCCTACATCTTCATACCGATCATTCTACGATACTTCCCAAGAAAGCCGATTCGAATATTATGTCATGCTCTGGGAGCTGTAGCACTTACAGCAATGTATTTTCAAGCAACAGGTATTAGGTCCTAACTGTCCGCAGATGGTATTCAATGAATTCCAGACTCCCCTGCCCATTTGACCATCTGGCTACTGGGCAAGTTCTCGGCCTCGTGCTGCTACATGTCATGCTTCATCAACGCGTCCGACCTGTTCCCAGTGTTCTGCCGAACGTGTTGCATTGGTGTATGCTCAACACTGTGCAACATTGGTTCAATAATTGCACCCTACATTTTCACCCTTGACAAAATTGCACCAAACTCGCAATTTATTTGTATAGCGCTTTCAAACTTGATCTGTGTCATTTTAATAATTCTTCAATACAAAATGAAATAGGAAAGAAATTTATTGGGGGTCGAAAAAAAGATTTCTTAGGCGGTGGCTGACATTGGCAAGTTGACGGTCTGCGCTCCCTGGACGGCTCCGAAAGCTGCTTGAGCATCGGTCGCGTCGGCTGGAGCATTTCCATAGTGGATCACAAGCTTGTCCTCCTTTGGAGCTCCCGCGAGACGGGTGATGTTGATTTCAGTTTGACCCGATGGATCGACGAATCCGAATACTGGCTGGATACGGTACTCATTGTTGTTCGACGACTTGATCTGCAAATCATCCGAATAACCCATCCGCCTTTAAATGGTTCTGACGGGTTACCTTGAAGACAACCTTGTCGGTTCCATCATTCTTGAGCGCATGCTTCGAAGCTCCGCCGGCAGCTGGGACGGTGCACGCTGGTGGGTCAACAGTGAGTGGCATCTTGTTGTTTTTGAGGTGATCGCACAATACTCAAACTTGAGGTACTGATGGCTTATTTCGGAATTTCGATCGCCTTTTATACCGGCGATTCGCGCTTCTTATCTTGATGTAAATCGCGATCAATCGATAATAGCGGTGGTACACGCCGAGTGATTTTTTTCTTTCATTTTATTGTTTGCACTTTTTATTATTCTGAGATAGGGATGATAAGATAGTGGTGAGTTAGTTAATAATATGAGATATCAGCTGCGGACACGTTAAGCAGACCCGCTACAAACTACAAAATACGCTAAGCAGACCACTTTTCGAGCTAAGCAGACCCACTACAAACTACAAAATGCGCTAAGCAGACCATTGTTTTTCGAATAAAAATTTTGAAAAAAAAAATAACATGAATCATTCATATATATTGTATATATATTTAGTCATATATTTAATTAAAATAAAAATTATCATAATAAATAAATAAATATATGCTATTTGTGAAATAAGTATAGGGAAAGGCAGAAGCACGATGTGAAAACCGGGATCAAGCTAAAAGTGACAAACAATGAAGTGCGAATGATGTATATGAATAAAATAGGAAAGGACGAGAAACACACAAAATTTTTAGAAAAAAAAAAGAGTGTGATAGAGAGAAGTCGAATCTAAATCGAAATATCAATTCTACTGTGCCATGGGTCACAATTCGATGATTTCGACGAGTTCGCCGTCAAATTTGACCTCGTGGACGGTAGAATTCGATAATAAACGTACGAAGTCACCAGTGGCTTGATCCCAATCATGCTTGAATATTATCTGGAACATTTCACACTACAACACCAAACTCTATGCGAGTATTCCGCAAAATACCCGATCTTTTTCATTTCGCTTCATCGCCGGCAGCGTGTCCATTCGTAGGATCTCCTCGTCCAGCTCCTCCACCTCCAGATTCTGATCCTCCAGATTCTCCTCCTCCTTCTCTTCCAATTCCATCACCATCAGCTCCATTATCTCCTGATCGCCCTCCATCACAATCTTGCCTGGAATTGTGCCAAAATTTAGAATCGACTTCAATCGACATGGATTAGTCGCCAGGCTCAATTCGATTAGGTTACCTTACAGAAAAAGAAGCTCAAATCATTACCTACCGTACATAACCTGATGTTGCTCACCAGGAGCACTCATCGAGGTTCCAGCTTCATTGCCATCTTTCTGCAAATTTTTTTTTCTTTTCTAGTTTAATAATTTACAAAAAATCAATACCTCATCACTTTCATTGCCTTCCTCTTTCTTTTTCCCATCCTCTTCTTTCTTCTCCTCTTCCTCCTCCTCGTCCTCAGGCTCTTTGCTAACCTCGTCCAGCTCCGTTTCCTTCTTCTCTTCCTCTTGCTTCTCCTCCGCCTCGACTGTCATTCCCTCCTCTTTGCTTCGTCGTGGCGCGCGGCGCGATCGCGACGTGGTTGGCGGCTCCTCTGCAATCAGCTATTATACGGCGTTCGCTATGCTCGGGGTCGAGTGCACCGTTGGCGCAGTCGCGAAAAATTGCGGCGCGCGCGCGCGAGTCCACTTTTTGGCGCTCACCGTGGTCACTACTGTCGCTGCTTTCCGAGCGAACTTCGCCGCCAGCGAGTCGTCGCTTCTTCGTCGGTGTCGCGACGGGCGTTGTCTGCAACCAAACCAAACCGTACGTACACACAACGCAATGCAGAAAAAAAATCGATAACCGACTCACATCGCTCTTCTTGCTGCCCGACGAGCCGCGCTTCTTCGCCGTCGCCTTCTGTTTCGCCTCGAACGCCTCGACGAGCCGATGATCAAGTACATTCTCGGCGGGTTCCCATGTGTTGTGTTTACTACTCCACCCTTGCCATTTCACCAAATATTGGAGTTTACCCTTGACTTTGCGCGATTTGAGAAGCTCCTCGACGGCGAACACACCGTCATCATCAAGGGGCTCCATTAATCGAACTGCAAATTTTTTATATTAATATCATATCGTCCGAAATTGAAACAACAAAAAGAGGGGAGGGGGGAGGGGGAAGGGGAGAGGAAAGGGGGGGGAAGATAAGTAAATGAGAAAAAATGTGGGAAAGGTAGTGAGAGAGAGAGGACGCCGCTGTTTGTGTGTGTGTGTGTGTGTGTGTGTGCCGTCTCGTACCCCCGCCGCCGTCGTTGTCGTCGTCGTCGTCGTTATCGTCGCCACACTCTTCTTCTTTTCCGCTCGTCAGACATCGAGAGGGTGCCAGACGGCGAGGGCAACACTAACAATAACTACCACCATCCAACTCGACCTCCCCCCCACACACACCCTTCTCATTTTCTTTGTGTGTGCAGTTTACGAGGAGGAGGAGAAGGTTGGCGGGGTTACTGTAGGCGGGCGGCCTCCCCCCCCCCCATCTCCTACCCGACGACAACAAATGTTGATTGACATACGCATTATATAATTAATGACAATTCGCATTTGAGATGGGATTACGGTAATTTGGTGTCTGTTTTGCGGGATTACGGTAGAGTGAATTGAAGGCGACAAATTTGGGGGATATTGATTGTAGCTATTGAAAGTGAGCGATGCCCTAATATGGGAAAAAATGACACAAATGATTTTTTTGAATGAAAAATATAATAGACAGACATTTTTTGAGCGATTCCAAAAAATAGAAAATCAATTTTTTTTCTTCCAATTTTCAAGACCCCCTTTTTAAATTTTTATGATGGGCACCTGCAAAAAAATATTTTAAGCGCTAATTATTAATTTCTAACTAATTAAGGGTAATTAAGCGAAAAAGAAAGTGCAATTGTACTTTACGCTTTCGGATTAATGATTAATCTAATCGAGAGCTGACATTCTATTATTAATGCTAATTGGCGGCAAAATTTGTCGGCGCAATGTTCATTTTTGCAGAAAACATTTGAATTATTTTTGTTACGAAAAATCGTGTGTAGTTGCCACGTGGATTGATGACGTAATTGGAAGAAGAAGAAGAAGAAACTATGCGATGGAAGCTTTTCACAAGCACGTATGGCCTAGAAAAATTATTGGACGACACTTTTAAAAAGCAAAAAATGCAAGTGCCGCACACTAATTTCCAGGCGAATTTTCAAAATTATCTGTAATGCTTTGTTAGTCACCATTTTCTTTTATTTCTGATTTTTATTTTGATATTTGGTTTTTGAAATCATAAACGCACTCAATATATACATAATCATTTAGTTCTACTGAATTCGATTAACAAATCCATCAAGTGTAGCCGTGGCCGAACCTGAGTTTTGAGGACAATATTTCTAGGCCATTCATCTTTTTGTTCTTATTTTTACCTGCCGGACCCTCTATTGTTGAAACACTTCAAAAAGTGCTTAATTCTAATGTGGAAAAAATTATTACTTATATTCTTTTTATAATCGCCAAGACTGTAATACCTAAACATTTAATTTGATTTGATTTTTTTTTAAATTTTTTATTGTTATGGAAAAAAAAAAACAAAAAAAAATTTTTGTTCTTTCTATTTTCAACGATTGAATCGTTTCATTTAATTCCACGTGGAATCTATTTCCACCAACAAATGTGGCAAAAAGAACAGTACCTATTTTTGGTGTTTTCTTTCTTCTTAAATTTTCACATACATGGATGTATCCTGGAACTGTATAAATCGACTTCTAGGGAATTTAAGGAAGTTCATACATTTTCAGCTTTCCAAATTTCTTGAAATAAAAAAAATGGTAGAAGAAACAACGAACTATTTTGAGAAAGTTAAATGGTTACACGAGTTTATATGTTTCGATTTCAGCACGGTTTCTCATGCGCCTTTAATTCCTACTGTAATATTCAATTCATTTTATACTACTTAAATTAAATCGAAAATTATTGCAAGACCGTGTGGCGCCAAAAGTTTTTCATAAGCAACACCCCTTTAATTGTCCATTCTTGACATTAAAATGTCCTTTTTAAACCTTGCGGCTTCACTTTTTAAACGTCATCGTTTCCTTCGAATCTTTAACGTCTCTCTTGAGCGGCTTCGAGAATTGCTCGAATAATAATCAGCGAATGATTCATTCCAATTAACCGCGAATATTCTCTAATGTGCACTATTTATGCTTCATCGCCAAATTGGGCGAACGCGCGTAAATAAAACGTGCGCGATAAAATCGGTTCATCGTGTGTATCGAAAAAAAACCGAACAAGACGAACCATTAATCGCGCCGCGAGACCCATTATCATTCATTTTATGCGCCTTTAATGTTGTACAAACAACTCGGCGGATTCGAAGGAGCGCGCCCATTTTCTGCCAAATACGGTTCGAATTTTAAAAGTGGTCTGCTTAGCGTAATTTGTAGTTTGTAGTGGGCCTGCTTAGCTTAAAAAGTGGTCTGCTTAGCGTAATTTGTAGTTTGTAGTGGGCCTGCTTAGCTTAAAAAGTGGTCTGCTTAGCGTAATTTGTAGTTTGTAGTGGGTCTGCTTAGCTTAAAAAGTGGTCTGCTTAGCGTAATTTGTAGTTTGTAGTGGGCCTGCTTAGCTTAATAAGTGGTCTGCTTAGCGCAATTTGTAGTTTGTAGTGGGTCTGCTTAATGCATTTCGTAGTTTAATGTGTGACGTTTTAACTCAAAAAAGTGGTCTGCTTAGAAACATTATAGTTTGTAGTGGGTCTGCTTAGCAAATCATTATTCCGACATTGAGCCCAAACTATCAATTTAATCCGCCATTCCACATGCATCCATTTAATCCCGCTAAATTGTCGGCAGCTGAAGCCCACATTAGAATCGACAGGTGTAAAATCTGTCGCCAACTCTCTCCCCCCTGCGCCCCCCCCCCCATTACTCCGTTTCCCACCAATAAAGCCACCCGTGTGCTCCTCTTCAAAAAAAAAATAGAAACATTATTCGACTTTGATACCTTTTTTTCGTGAACCCCCCCCCAGAAAAAATTGTTTCCTTATCTGGCCGTCTCGCAAAGATAATTGTTTGATTTTTGCACGGTGGCTCCCGAAAAAAACAGAATTGTGCGTGCAATTTTGATAATAGCGTCGATCGAAGCGATGCGACTTCTTCTCGCCGTCCCCCCCCTCTTCTTCAATTTTCTTATGCCCGCCGTCAGAAAACAAGCCCGAATCCTACGGTATATAAAAAGCGGGGCGCTTGCGCGCGCGCACACACATACTCACACAAGTCGTCATCATTATTGGCGGCGGCCCCCGACGAAAGAGTAGGCGAAATGGAGAGGGCGCGCGCGCGTACGCCAGAGACGCAGAGGCACACCCTACCGCCTTGTGTATCGGCGAAGATTGATTGTGACGTCTGTGAGTGTGTCTGTGTGTGAGTGTGCGAGCGCCCCCCCCCCCACACCCTTCCGATCAATGCGTCCCACCTCGACTACCGTAATCCGCCCCTTCGATGGGCGGGCCCAATGCGCGATTGGTTAGGCACCGCCCCGCCTCGCGAAATAGTGCGCGCCGCTCGGAGTGCGCCAGACGGTCTCGGTGCGGGCAGCCGTCGTCGCCGTGGTCGCCGCACATTCGCATTTTCTCTCTTTTCCCCCCGCACCCCTCTTTTTTACTCCTCTTCTTCCTCCCTCCCCCCCTTCCCCCAACCCCCCCCAAACGACACATATTCGCTTCTCACACACTCACGTTCGTTTCGATTTTGTGTCGGCACCAAATACCATATTTGGAGAATCAATTTTCTAATTCCAGTGATCTTGTTTGGACCGCGCGATTTCCGGCGACCGCCATTCTCATTATGGACTGTAAGTGCAATTTTTTTTAATTTTTCCAAAAATTCTACTTTTCAATATCTCACTTTTAACGTTTTTCTTCAAAAAAAACTTCTATTTAATCAATTTTATTCCCAAAAATAATTTAAAAATCACATTTTCCGTTTTTTTTCGCTAATTTTAGAAGAAAAATCCCAATTTTGATTTTTATTCTCACTAAAATTGCCCTAAAATCGATTTTTCGTTCGAATTTAAATCGGTGTGCACACACCGCGACGCACAATTACACTGAAATTCAAAATTGTAAACATTTGTTTAAAAAAATTTCATTTTTCCTCTTAATTCCAAACTTTTCCCTCATTCTTTTCGCAAATAATTGCTTAAAATCAAGTCAAATTTCGAATTTGTATCGAAAATGTCTGAAATAAATGCATTTTTATTGGAAAAAATTTAAATAATTGAAATTTTTAGGCCCACCAGCAAGTCTACATTGTACATACTGCAGAAATCTGCTAACAGATCCTATTATAACGGCATGTTGTTTGAAAAGACGTAAGCATTTCTCGTTGTTGTCGTTTTTTCTTCTAAATTTGGAATTGCAGATTGCCATCCATGTATGGTAAAGGTTATCAATGAGCGAGGCGAGTGCCCAAATTGTCGGAATCCAATGTCGGAGGTGAATTTGTCGATTTTGGTATTCAACAGAAAAAAATTGTTCAGGAGCAAATCCCAAAAGTGGACGCGAAAATCAAACGAATCGCCGAAAGGTACACGCCGAGAGGAATGCGCGAGAGATACACGGCCGCTTTCGAGGCCTACCCGCACTTGCAGACAAAAGTGGCGCAGGTGAAGCTTCGCAATGATCTGATGAACATTATCGAGTACGATGAACCGATATTCTTCACCGTTCGACATGTGAAGATTCGCGAGCGGTCCGAAAAGGGCGACGTCGTGAAAACCTTTAAGAAAACGGTACAAGTTTGTTTAAAATAATTGAATTTTTAACTTTTTTCCTTCTATAGACGGCCTATAAGGTTCGGGCGGATATGACTATCTCAGTGGTCCGACGACTGATCCTCAACAAACTTGGAATCGACGCCGACTCATGCTTCGTGAGATTCAAATGCGGAGAGCATGTATTGCGATGTTCGCCCATTGTCTTGGCAATCAATCTGAAATTTGCAGCGACTTTTCAATACGATGACGATGCGCACGGTGGCGATGCTGTCCGGCAAACCGTTGGCGCAAGGTTTGGATTTGGAAATGGCCGTGTTGCCGAAGAGCGTTATCAACAAACCGCCGCCGCAGCCGCCCGAATCGCACGTCGTCATTGACGACGAGCCGATGCCCGCGTTGAGCGCCGAAGAGCCGCTAGCCGCCGAGATCGCCGAACAAATCGAGAAGGTGCAACGCGAGCCCGAACCCGAACCGGCGGCGATGGCTCCTCCGCCACCGCCGCCGCCACCACCACTACCACTACCACCAACTCACGCCACTATTGGAATGGGCTTGATGAATCGACAGCAGCAAGAGCAGGTGCTCTTCCAGCTTCAACAGCAGCAGCTTCGACGGCAACAGCATCAAATGCAAGTGTCGCCATCGACGGAGAATCGCCGATCGATGTCGACGACGCCGCCACAGGCAGCCAATCTCATGAGGGTGTCTCCCAATGGGCTGAGGTATCACAATCATCAGGATCGCGCGGCGCCGCCCGCGGGTGAGCGGGTTCGACGGGTTCGACGACCGCGGATGCGAACCGCGCCGCCGCCACCGGCACAACCGAGTGTCACGTTCAATCAGGCGGCGACGAATCAGGCGTTGGAGTATTACTTCATGAAGGCGCTTCAGCATCGAATCGCGCCATCCAAATTTCTTGACGAGTACTTTCAAGCCGGAGTTGATCAGAATCGTCAGTTGCCACTTCCCAAAGAGGACATTGATCGGATTGCGTACCGAAAACATTTCGACAAGATCGGCGTCTTCATACCGTATATCAGTCCCGAGCTTCAGGCGAAACTTTACACTCAACTGCTCGAGCAGAAGCACACAGTGGCGATGGAGAGGGAGATGTTGAGACAGAAGGCGATGCAAAAACCGCATCCGGTGATGATGAAGGCCACGGCGCCGCCGAGCAAACAGGCGGCTCGGATGCCTTCGAACGCATCGGAGCACGCGCAGAACGATGAGCCGGTGTGCAAGAAGATGAAGACGTGCGAGGAGGACGTCGCGACGCAGCCGAAGATGATGTCCGAGCCGAATAAGAACGATGAGCCGGCGACGGCGATCACTCCGCCTCCGGTGCTTCGCATCGAGAGTCCGCCGATCAATGAGCTGACGCCGACGCCGGAAGAGCCGACGATGAGCCCGAAAGAATCGGAGGCGATGCTGGGCACGCCTGAGCCGCTGATACCGACACTCCAACCATCGGTGAGCCAACCGGAGCCGCTTAGTCCGATGGAGCCGGAACCAATGAATCCGAAAGAGATGGAGCCAGTGAATCCGAAGGAGCCGGAACCAGTGGGCCCGAAAGAACCGAATGATCTGGAGCCAGTGAATTCGAGAAAGCCGGATCCAGAAGGGCCGAATGAGCCGGAACCAATGAATCCGAAAGAGATGGAGCCGGCGTCAAAGAATCCGAAGAAGCCGGAGCCAATGGATCCGAAAGAGCCAGAGCCAATGAATCCAAAGGAGCCGGAACCAGCGAGCCCGAAGGAGCCGGAGCCAATAAATCCGAATGAATCGGAGCCAGCGAACCCGAAGGAGCCGGAGCCAATGAATCCGAAAGAACCAGAGCCAGTCAATTCAAAGGAGTTGGTGCCTGTCAATCCGAAGGAGCCTGAGCCAGTCAATTCAAAGGAATCGGAGCCGGAGCCAGCGAACCCGAAGAAGCCGGAGCCAATGGATCCGAGAGAGTCGCAACCAGAAGGAAGCCCGAAGGAACCGGAGCGATTAAGTCCAAAAGAGTGTGAGCCGACGACTCCGAAGGAGCCGGCGCCGAGCTCACCGGACACAACAATCGCTGTGCTATCGTCGCCGAACTCGGTAAGAAAAAGAAAAAGGGTGTTCTATGAACTGATCTTGATTGCAGGCAAACAATTCGGACATGATCGACGCGTTGACACTCTCACGGCAATCGTCGAAATCGTTGGGCAAAACACTCGCCGAGGTGATGCGACGGCCGCCGGCGGGCGCCGCCATCAATCGAATTGGCGCAACGCCGCCAAACTCGTCGCCGAGTGTCCCGCCAACGCCATCCTAGTCACTTTTTCTATTGCAAAATTCTCAATTTCGTTTGTTTTCGCTGTTGCGGGTCTCTTTTCTAATTTCTTTTTTAGCGAATTCGCTTCCGGTCAAAAAACTATGTCGATATTCATGACTTTATTTATTTATTATATTCTCGAGTAGCTTTATTTCACTCATGAAGTAAACAATTTTAAAATGTGTGCATTTTGTCGTCAACTATAATACCATATGGTGCAAACATCGAGAAAGAAAAAATAATAAATTTTTTCTGTTTGCTTTGCAATTTGTTTGGAACAAAGCGGGCGGGGGTCCTTTTTTTCCGAATAAAGGACACCGAACACGCAACATTTTCCTTTTTTCTTGTTGTCGCTGCGTTTTCTCGTTTGAATTTCAAATACAATTCCCCGAAGGGATTCATCCTAATTGATAATGCTAATTAGCGCGCGCGCGTGTGTGTGTCTAATTAGGCCCGTCTACCGTAATCCGCAAAAAACCGGAAACTACCGTAATCCATAAAAGGGCACGTTTTGTAGTATCCACCTGTGCTTCGACAATTCACACGCGCGCGCGCTTTTCTCTACGCTTCTCGTCTCGGATCCACTCATAATAAATATGATAGATGGGATGATGTTGAAGAGGCGGCAGACGACGAGAGTGGTCATCAGCAAGCGCGGGCGCCGACGACGAGCGTGCGCGCGAGACAGTGCGCTCATCGTCGGAGCGGCGGCAGACCATCAGACGGACGGCTCTTTGTGTTGTCCAATCAACGCGTCGAGTTGGAGAATATGTAGGTTTGGGGGCCGGCGAGCGAATCGCCAAACGAGCTTCATCTTCAAGGCGAGACGAGCATTTTCAAACAAGGTGGCACGGCGAATCAATTTTCGAAATTGTTGATCTACCCCTCGTTTTTGAAATTCGCGCAGATTTTGATTGCAAAAAAAAAACGAAAAATTCAAAATCGCCAAGTTGATTTCTAATCAATCAAAAATTGGTAGGCAATATCAAATTTCATTAAGCTCCGGTAATCAATCAATCAAGGATTATATTTCTCACCAATCGGGTCAAATGTACAGTAATCCGGCGGAGAGAGGGAAGGGGGGGGGGTCCTAGAACAGACTGTGTCCAACCGCATCCGGAATTTCGCTTTTATGGTCCTTGAGTTGAGCACGTGATTCGTACGTGGCAATTGCGATCTGAAAATGTCGACATGCGTTTTTGCCCCTATTGTGTCCGTCGTCGAACAATGCGAGCCGAGTGGGCGTGGCTTTTCGCGACGAGACCCCCGAAAAAAAACAACGCGAACCTTTGAGCGAAACTCGTGCTGAAATTCACCGCGAAGGCCGATGTAATAAACGCGCGTCGCGTCGGCACCGAAATTTTTGGCGACGTGAATCGCCAAATGGTGAATGTTGGCGAATTTCGACGCCTTCAACGGATAATCGACGACGCCTGCAAAAAAAAAACAAATAGAACGAATTATTTCGAAATTTCTACCGTTCGCATCCATTTTAAGATCAATCTCCTGATCGGCAGCTATTCGGCAGTCATCGAACGACATCTAGGTAGCGATAGAATAAATTAGAATCCATTTTAGGCCACAAAAAAGAAGATACCGCTTCTCGATCCTTGAAAATGCGAATTTTCGCCGGATGCGTCTCATTCTCGTCGCCGCTTATCGCCAATCCGCTCAATTTGACGTGTCCCGTGAATGGGATATTGAAGAGAAGCTCCTCGTCGCAATCGCTGTCGACGAATATCGTGCTGAATCGAAATTGTCGTCAGGTGTGGTGTATTGTGTGCATTCACCGCACACCGCCACCAACCGGTCATTTCTCGTTTCCATCGTCTTGAAGACCTCTTTGCCGGCGTCGTCGACGGCCTCGTTGAGTACGGTGACGCGATCAAAGTCGATATAGCTGCGTAGATCATATCGGAAGTGGTCGGACGCCGTCGGAGTGTCGGACGACTCGTGCGAGCATCCCGTGTGATTGTGACCGTGGTCGCACATCTCAACAACAAAAAAATCGAAAAATTTCCCAACGAGACCACAAAAATTTCGAATTTCCAGGTAAAATTGGTTCAAAAAACCACAAGAAAATGAAATCGGACAAAAAAAAGAAGATATGTTTATAATGCCAAAAAATAAAAACTATTTTTTTAAAATATAAATGCGATGAGTCGAAGAATAACAAAAAAAAACAACAAAATAAGCGAGAAAATACAAAAAATAATGGAAAAAACAGCAATTTCGGGCGCCAAATTGATCCGTAATTCGAGAATTAAGCAGAAAAAATAATGTCATTATTATTATTATTAAATTATTAATTAATTATAGCAAATTGAATACATATATTATATATATAAATAATATGGCACACCAAATTAGGAAAGCACAACGGGTATTCTATTCTCGCGGAAAATGCGCTCCGCTGAGAAACTTCGTTTCGGCGCCACCGAATGGATTTTATCCTCGTATACACGACTCGACGCCTGAAAATGATATTCAAAAAAAAAAATAATAATTTCATTTTCTTGATATTTCCATCAAAATTCCCTATTCTTATGCAATTTTTCATATTTTTTACTTTTTAAATTGTTAATTTCGAGTTGAATTTTGTGATCTTATCAAAAATTTCAGCTTGTCAACTAAATTGATTTGTTTCAATTCAAAAATTCCGCAATTTAACAAATTCTCTTTTTTAAATTCAAAATTCATTTAAATTAGACCTCAAATTTCAATTTTAACTTAAATTGAGCATTTTTCGTCTAAAAATCTTATTTTCCTTTAATATTTCATAACATTTGATGTAAAAAATTTACCGTTTTTTAAAGATTTCAAAAATTGAACATTTTGATGCCAAATTTCAAGAACGAAAATTGAGAATTTAAAGCCAAAAAAATGTTTTTCTTCAAATTTGACTTTCTTTTTAATTAAAATCACCTCGAATTATGTGGCCGATTTTTTTTAACTAAAAATTTGCATTTTCAGTCAAATTTACAAAGAATTTTTTATCAATAATTTTTTAAATTTTAATTCTGGGTTGGCAAAAAATCATCTTTAAAAAGAAATAAAAATCCGTCACTTTCGCACATTTTTTCTAATATATTTTTTAAAAAAGCAACGAAAATATTGCAAATGAAGAAAATCGATGGAATTTTCACAAAAAAAAAACTACCTCAAGCCTTTTGGCTCGCTCTTTATAAAGCGGCTGCATCGGTAATTGAAGATCATTGGCAAGCGCAAGAGTGCGTAGATCAAAATAATATTTCGCGTAGACCGACGACGGCACTTCGATGTTGAAATCAAGACATTCCAAAAAGCGGCGCTCCAATTCATTCCTAAAAAATTGGGAAGGCATTATTAGCCAAAAAATTGGATTTTTAGGAAAATAAAGATAAAACTGGTTCTTTTTCGGTGCTATAAGGAATACTTACATATCATCAACATTGGTATCTTTCAAAATCTGACAATAATCGACATTCCACACCGCTTGATCGTCCCAAACCTTCGACGCCAGCATTATGGAGCCGAGAACGACTCGTCGCCAATTCGACGGGCACAAATCCATTTCAGCATAGTTTAAAAGTCGCTCAATATATACCTGAAATTCAAATTTTTTTGGTTGATGTCGTGTGGAAAGTCTCTAAAAACCTCTTACCAGTGTGATAATTGCGCATTCTGCGGTGAGTTGCGCCGAATGGAAAAGTGTGCGCACGAATCGATAAATCGTTTTATGGTCCGGATCTCGCGTCATCATTTCCGGTATAATCGGCTCCCTCTAGAATTCGCGCATTGCGCCACCATTTCATTGAAGCACTATTAAAGCCGCATACCGTAATCGGGTGCAATCGTTCCTCGAAAATCTCCATCAACCTCTCGTGGCCTCGATTCTTGCGATTCGCAATATGATAATAAATCGCCAGCGAAATGCACTTGATCGTATTTTTCAAATTCGGCTGACTAATTGTCGAATCATCTAGATGGGCAATTAATTAATTATATCGGAAAATTAATGATACCCATGTAGATCGTTGAGCAGCTACTCGACTTCCTTAAGCTTCTTGGAAGCACTCCAGGATGTCGGCCACCAGCGGCGAGAGCGTCGAGCATATAACATGAGCGTCGATTGTCTTTGACTGAAATTCCAGAAGTTGGGAGTTTAAAACAAAAATGAGGTTGTTGCTCACGCTTCATCTCGCTCTTGCTCCGCTCCATAAAAGTTGGACGAGCTGTGGGATGAGTTGACGGGTCCTGCTCATAATCCTCGGCTTGCTCCCTTTCGCTGATGTGCGGCAAAAAATTTGTAGAGGTCTCGTCGCGCGGGAACACTTGATTCACGTATTGAAACTTAAAAAGACAATTCGAATTTTGGTTTTTTTCCTTCTTTATTTTTTTCAACCAACTTCGACTTGATTCGTTCGCATGTAATGGCCTTCATGACTGCATGACTTATCATCGCCGCTCGTTGACCTATTTCGCAAACAGCATGAAGAATTTCCCATGATTTCAAGGGAATCTGCAATCATTCAAAATGTTACTTCTTTAAAAAAAAATTAGGAGAAATTGAAATTTTTATTACGAAAGAAAAAAAAATTGGTGTTTACCTCGATAGTTCCCCTAGTCAATTCATTCGTTGTTCAAATGGATTTATTCGAAATTTGAATTGCCGCGTAATTTCTGAAACGCGATTCCTGTAAAAAAAATCAGAGAAAATTGCGCGAAATTGAGCGAAACGTAAAGTCGTTGGACGGCAAAAATCGAAAGAAATAATGAGAAAAGTGGGCGTGGTTGGTGTGCGCGATGTGCGGCACGGTGTTTGGCAGTCGCGCGGCGCGCCGCACGTTTCCCTATCTCCTATTATTCATCAGCAGACCCCCCCCCCTTCCCAGTCCCACCGATTTTCCACGTTTTTTCATCGCGTCACATTCAAATTCAATTTTTTGCCCTCAGAGAAATGCAATGGTTTCCGGGATCGGTGGACACGGCGATTCAGATATCGCGCAAGAACAAAGCGCTTCTCATCGTCTACATCGCCAGCGACGACGAGAACGGCAAACTCATGGAGCGTCTCTGGAACGAGATCGACGCGCCGAATTTCGCGTGTCCGACGGTCGGCATTCGAATGCACAAAAATGACAAAGAAGCTCAACAATTCGCGCAAGTTTGTGAGTGGCTCTTGATTTTTGTCTTCTTCTTCCTTCTTTTTTTTTCCCGTCGCGAATTTCGCAATTTTTCAGATCCCACACCATTTTTGCCGGCGAGCTATTTGATTGATCTCCATGGAAAACCGCTGGAAGTGATTACCCACTTAATTGGGCTTAATAATGATTCGTTCCGAAGTCGCCTCAACAAGGCGGTTGATCAATTTGTCAAGGATAATGGGGCGAACGTCACGACTCCAATTGTAGCGGCTCCGCAAGCTTCTGCTCCAGCTCCGGCACCGACGTCCAGCCAGCAAGAGATTGCTGAAAAAGTGCTTCGCGCCAAGAAGCTACTCGAAGAGAAGAAGAAGCTCGACGAGGAGAAGAAGATCGAGGAGGGCAAGATGAAGGAGATCGAGCGAATCAAAAATCTCAAAATGATGCAGAAGGCGAAGGAGGAGCGCGAGGAGCGCGAGATACGCGAAGCGGCGAAACAACGCGCGCGCGAGAAATTGGAGTCGGAGAAGGAGCGCGAGCGGCTCCGCGCGCAAATCAAAGCCGATCGCGAAGAAGCCGAATATCGGAAGAAGCGAGAAGCGGCGGCGGCGAATTCGAGCGGCGAGTCGGCGAGAATCGACGAGACGACGACGACGACGAAGGCGATTCCGACAGACCGTTGCCGAATTCGCGTGCGAATGCCGAATGGTTCGACGCTTGACGAGGAATTCGCGTCCGGCGACAATCTGAATTCGTTGATTGAGATTATTAGACAGGTTTCGCTGGAATTTTGACTGAAAATCATTTATTTCTGATTTAGAAAACGCAAATTCAAGGCGAATTCGAGTTATCGCAAGCATTTCCGAAGCGCATTTTCAATGGTGACGATTTGGACAAGAATTTCATTGAAAATGGTTTGACGCCATCGAGTTCGTTGATTGTTCGCCAATCAATGGCGCAGAATCAACTATCAAAGCCGTCGAGCTTCATGAGCATTCTGTCATGGCTCTTTTTGAGTCCGATTCAGATGATGGTTGCATTGTTCACGAGCTGGACGAGCAGCGGCCGAAGTGGCAGCTCGAAGAAGGATGATGAGCCGGAGCCGGCCGGCGGCGATGCTCAGCCGCGTCGTCGCGGAATGCCGAGAAGCGCGGAAGTGCGACGACGCGGCAACTTCGCCGCACTCGATAATCCGAACGATAGCGATCCTGAAGAAGAAGCGAGATATAATGGCAATTCGACAAGTTTCCTTTAATTACCCACCATAATTAATTGTTCCTTTAATTATTCCAAAGATTTACTGGTCCATTGTTTTCTTTTAGTAGTTCAAAAATGAATTATTGCGTGATATTTAGAATAGTAATAAAATTATTATTTTTTTCTTACCATTTTGTTGGGTTTTCGGTTATCTTTACCCGATTTTTACCTTTTTTTGTTTTTTTTTAGGATTGCTTGATTATTATTTTTAGAAAATGGATGTTCGGGTAGAAATCTGCATCGATAATTTCGAATCGGCGCAAAATGCCGTTGAAGGAGGTAGGAATCCTGAAATTTTAATAATTATTATTTAAAAAACTAGAAATTTCAGCTAGACTTTAATTTATCGACTTATTTAAAATTGAAAATAAAATCTGGTGTCGATTTTGCGTCTCGGTGATTGCGGACTTTTACAATTAAATTGACGCCGATATCATTTTTTGGCGTCAAATTTTCGAATTTCTTCGATTTTTTTGAATCGCGTGGCATTTTCTTTCTATTTTTATCATTTCCAATCAGTTTTGTGGCAATTTTTGCTACGAAAAACTGATTTTTCGTGTAAGTGCGGAGATTACGAATAAGCAGCTTAAAAAATTCATTTTTTTTCTCGTTGCATTTCGTTTTCCAATCATGTTGCAATAGTAGTGGACCCCTAATCGCACACAATTTTGCAGGTTGCGATCGCATCGAAGTATGCAGCGCGTTGGAGCTCGGCGGTCTGACGCCGTCCGTCGGTTTCGTCTCGAATTTGAGCCTCAAATTCCCCGACACGCCGCTGATGTGCATGATTCGGCCGCGTTTGGGCAATTTCGTGTACATGCAAGAGGAAATGGAAGCGAATCTCGAAGACGTCGAATGGCTCAAAAAAGCGGGCGCTTCCGGCTTCGTGTTTGGCGCGTTGACCGCGTAGGGGCGGCGGCCGTCGTCGTCGTACTCCCACACTGTAACCATGCGTCATTTTCAGCGAAGGCGATCTCGATCGCTCCGCGTGTCAGTCGATCATCGACGCCGCGCGTCCGCTGCCGGTCACACTGAATCGCGCCATCGACGTGTGCTCGGACTGGCGCAATTGTCTCGACGAGGCCATTGAGATCGGCTTCAAAGCGGTGCTCACCAGCGGTCAGGAGCCGTGCGCTCTCGATGGTGTCGACGTCATCAAGGAGATGAACGACATCGCCAAGGATCGCGTCGATATTCTTGTTGGCAAGTGAAACGAGACACCCATTCCCATCGAAAAACGGCGTCCGATTGCAGGCTGCGGGGTGAACAGCTCGAACATTGCCAATTTGATCGAATGGACCAAATGCAAATGGTACCACGCGTCGGCGTCGGTTGTTAAGAAGAAAGAGGTACCCAAAGGGTCCCAAGACCATTTGTTTTTTGTTTTCTTTTTTTTTCAGGTGAACTCTCTTGCCATGGGTCGTCGAGACATTCATCCGCTTCGAATCGCGTCGCTTGAAGAGGTGAAAGCGCTAAAGGACCCGAACAATTATTAATTTTTTTTTTGTCGCATTGAGAAATACGCATAGTTCCCTCGCCCCCAATATATGCCGTTTTTTTTTTCTGGAAAAACTTTCTGTGATAGAGCCGCCAATCTTGTACCCTTATTTGGGCGGAGCCCGATTGTTGCTTATCAGCCAACCACCCCAAGCCATCTGTCTATCTATCAATTGCAAAATGATTAGATAATACGATTCTTCATTTTTTTTCGACCTTTTTTTTATTTTTGGGTCTTTTGATCCCTGGAAATATCTCCCCTTTTTTTTTAGCCAAAATGCCAATTTTTTGGGTTCCAAAAGGAAAAACTCGATTATTTTGATTTTAGGATGGCCCAATTCGTCATCCGGCATGGGTTGCAGGTTGTTGGACGTGAAGGACTCACCGGTTTGGTGATTGTCGGCCAGAAGCGCATTTTGCAGAATTTGCAATTCGATGGCGCTTTGAAAGACGTCGCCGCGAATTATTCTTTGGGTACGGTAGAAGGGCGATGTGTACACACCGCGACGCCCGTTTTGCGGACTTTTTTTCAAATTATTTTTATTTTGATATTTATTTTTTTTTTGTTTGAAGACGACAATTTGTGGAGAAATGCGGTCAGTCGAGTACAAAAAGCGGGACGTGTGGCATTAAATCTCGATTTGGCGCACATGATTTCGATTCCGGACGCGAGCGGATGTTCGAGATTCAATTCGCCGTCGGGAAGTGTGAATATCTACAAAGAGATGAGAAGTGTGCAATTCGCCGACGATGTGAAGGTGCGAAATAAAAAAATTGCGGCGATTTTTTTTCCGTTCATTTTTTTTTCGCCGATTCTGTTCTGCTGATAAGGGAGTTTTGTGATTGCAGAATGTGCACATCGTGTTGTACGCCGACTACGAGCACATCCAGGCGTCGGTGGCGGCGATCGCGCGCACACTTTATCGGTTCTCGATGAAATCCGGCAAAAGTGGTCCGCCGGACGTGATTCTTGACGTTGTTTGTACGAACGGAAAGGTGATTTTTTTAAATGATGCGATGAGCCAGCATTTGCTAGAGAAAAACGAAATACACCAATTTTTCAGAGTCTCGTCTCGAAAGATGTCGCGTTTTTGGCGGCGATGAGCGACGGCATTCGTGAAGTCGGCCGCTTAATCGACACACCCGCCAATATTCTCACGACTGACGCGCTTGTTGACGAGGCGGTTCGTGTGGCGTCGATGATTGGCGCCAAAGTGAGCATTCTACGAGTGAGTTGATTTTTGTTTTTTTTTTTTTTTTTGATTCCTCAATGTCTCATCTTTCCCTTTTTGAGGGTGACGAGCTTCTTGAGAAAGGATTTGGCGGTATTTATCATGTTGGCAAAGCGGGTCCCACACCGCCGGCGTTTGTTGTGCTCTCGCACGAGGTTGAAGGGTCCGATGAGACGATCGCGTTGGTCGGAAAAGGGGTTGTCTATGACACTGGCGGCATGCAGATAAAGACCAAAACTGGAATGCCGAGTGGGTTTTCGTTGTTTTTTTTGTTCTGCTTTGGTCTCATTATTGGGCATTTTTTTTTGGACAAATTTGAAATTTTTCCAGAAAATGGAAAATTGTCAAGAAATGCGAATTTTTTGGTTGAATTTTGTCGAATTTTAGAATATTTCAAATTAAGAAAAATTCCAGAAATTTAAAAAATCAAATAAAAAAAGAGAGATGTGAATTATTTATTTATTTTTTTGCTTCAGACATGAAACGCGATATGGGCGGCGCGGCTGGAATGCTGTTCGCGTTCTCAACGTTGGTTCAAAGCGGATTCTCGAAGAACCTTCATGCTTGCCTCTGTATCGTTGAGAACAACATCAGCCCGGCGGCAAAGTAATTTGAAATTGTTTTTTTTGAATTTTTCTCAAATCTCATTTTTTTTAGCAAACCTGATGATATCATCACGATGTTGAGCGGAAAAACTGTCGAGATCAATAATACGGATGCTGAGGGACGATTGATTCTCGCTGACGGCGTCTACTATGCGAAGGAGTTTTTGAATGTAAGACACACTTGATTTATGAGTTAATGGTGTCGTCGATTGAAGGCGACAATTATAATCGATATGGCGACGTTGACGGGCGCGCAAGCGTATCTGTCGGGTCGCCTTCACGGCGCGGCGATGACGAACGACGAGGCGCTCGAGCAGTTGGCGGTGCACGCGGGACGACGCAGCGGCGATCTGGTGGCGCCGATGATGTTCGCGCCGGACCTTCATTTCTCGGATCTGAAATCGCCGCTGGCCGACATGCGCAACTCGAACCTCGGCAAAATGGAGGGACCGCCGTCGGCGATCGCCGCGCTCTTCATCGGCTCGCACATTCGCTTCGGCGACGGCCTCAAATGGATGCATTTGGACATTGCGGCGCCGGCGGAGAGCGGCGATCGCGCCACCGGCTACGGACCATCGCTGCTCGCCGCGCTTTTCGGCAACTTCACGTCGGTGCCGTTGCTTCAGCAGCAACAATAAGTCGAGTATTTTTTATTTGGTGTATAAATGTTGGAGGAATCATAAATGGAAAACGAGAACGAGAAACGCATTTTATTCGAGGTATTATTATGGGGGGATATAATTAAGTAATTAGTTGATAATTATTGACGAGATCTCGCTGTCCAGACGCAGCCGGCAAGACACGCGCACAGGCAGAGGAAAAAGCCGATGCAGAAGATGACGAGAAAAACGCTGTTGAGTGGATTTTTGTGGAAATGTTCGGTTTTTTGTTTGGCGCACTTACACAACCCACGTCTCCAACTCGAAACAGCATTCGTAGGGACTGTAGGTGCAGCAGCGCCAGTGATAGAAGAGGTTGTCGGCGCCGCATCGTCCGTAGGCGCCGTAGCCGCCGGCGATGCCGAGCACACTGCCGAGCACACCGCCGCCGCCGCAGCCGCCGTACCCACCGTAATACGACATTGCTCCTTTTGCGGTTTCTTTTCTTTTGTGCTGTTTGAAATAGGACTACTGTAACACTTGTTTAATGTTTGGCGCGGCCGAGAGAGGTGTTGTCGAAGCGACGAAAATGGAATGTGTTGTGATGATCGCCGAAAAATTGAATGGTCAGCGAGCCATAAAATTTGATACAATTTCTCCGCCTATTTTTTACGTTTTTTTTTTCTGTCGCAAATATTGAATCAATTTTTGGCGCGCTCAAAATTCGATGATTACTGTAATCAGTTGGGCAGAGGGATACGGTAGCTATTGTAGGAACTACGATGGTCTAATATCAAAGGTTACTGTATGCGTAGAGAGTACTGTCATAAATCTGTTTGAGACCATTGATGAGATTTCAGAACGAAAAAATTAGGGGGCCTTGCATTTACAGTACACCGTGTAATTGTGGCCTATGGATTACGGTAGATTTTATGACTTTGGAACTTTGCTTCAAAGCTTCGACTCCTTTGGGATACTGTAGGATACCGTAAGAAGGTCCTTCAGACATCTAACAAGAGCAAAATTAGAAATTGGGGAAATGTAGTAATTTTCGAGGGTCTCATATAGCCAAATATGGGAAAAAATAGTCCATTTTTGTCGAAACCAAAACCAACTAATACCAAAAATACACGGCATGTTATTCGAGTGGACGACGAATTGTCGCGTCTCATGTCATCTCATATTTGGATAGTACGACTTCTCCTGAATCATCAAACAAACACCATATATGGAATAGGAGAAGGGGGGGGGGGAAGGCACTTGTGCGACGATCGCATTCGAGACACACGAACCACAAACAACAACAATCAAAAATAATAATAATAATAATAATTCGCTCACGTTCATTTTCAGATGCTCCAAATAGAGGGGGGGGGGAGGGAAAAAAATTAGAGGAAATTTTTAAAGAAAAAATTGAAATTAAATGGAGAGAGAAGGGGAAAAAGACACGATTTCAGCGACCCATTCATTTGTTAAAAAAAATATTCTCTTTTTTTTGCTGTTGCTTTTTTTTAAATTTTTTTTCGGGAATTGCGAGGGGGGGGACCCATTCAAGGAAATACAAATAAATATATGGTAATAGACAAAAAAAAATGAAAAATAAGAAAAATGAGTGACACGTAGTGATTCGAAAACGGTATAGAGAGAGAGAAAAAAATAATGAGATTGTCGTTTTTCGAAATGGACAATTTTTTCCAATAGAAAAAAATAAACCCACTCCGAAAAATCCAATCCAAATGCAATCATTAAGTAATATGATGTAAAAACGGATCGGATCGGATCGGATCCAATCCAATATTAGCAATAGGCACGATGAAAATCGTTGGCGCCGAAGCCGCAATTGCACTTTGGGCATTTTCTTTGTCGAGTGTCGTACCTACAAAACACCAAATAAATAAGATATCCATCAAATTCCATTTTCGGGTTTCTGAAATTTTCCCATCAAATATTGACGTCGCCGGAATTGCATTGTTCAGCGAACCGTCGAAATTTCAAACATTTTATCAGTTTTCAAAACGAAAAATGCAAACACCAACTATTCGCGCGAGAAAAACTGGAATTTTGGCGAAAAAAAAAAAGAAATTCTCAACGCTCGAAAAACCTCGAATCTATCAATTTTCGTCAAAAAAAGACAACTCACCTCAATTTGATGCACGTCTCGCAAAATAGATGAAAACATTTGAGCAGAATCGTGTCCTTCGGGTTCACCTTGCACGACGGACACTTTTGCGACTCTTTGATCTGTTTGAGCTCCTCGTAGAGCACCGCGTCGGTGCTGCCGTACTTCTCCGACTTCTGGAGTCGCTCGTACTTCTTCCGAAGCGACGACAACTCCTCTTCGACGCGTCGAAGTTTGTTCGCACACGATTCGACCTGACTTGCCTTCTTTTGCAGTAGCTGAACGTGAAAAAAAAGATTAGTGAAAACCAAAATTTGGCTATTTTTTCTCAAAATATCATGTTTAAGACAAGACAATTCAAAAATGCGTCTTTTATAGGGCATAAACGCCTAGATTTTTGGTCTTGCTGACGGAAAATGAAACGAAATTCCACCAAAAAAAATGAGCGGAAGGTCTTGTGGCAAATTTACATTGAATTTGGCGCCAATATTTGCAAATATTTATTTTCTAACTAAAACTCCAATTTTTAATTTGAAAAATGGGAAATTCCCAGTTTTTAGACAAATATTTCGAAAAATCATAAAAATAATCTCACCTCTTGCGTCGTTTTATATTGCGCTTCAGCTTTTTCGAGTCGCGCCTTGAAACTATCTCGCGCGTTTCCCAATTCAATGATCGTCTTTCGATTCTTCTCAAGCTGAACCGTCAATTGCCTGAAACCGAATCAATGGCAAATGTGTCAAACGAGAACAAAACAAAAAAATAAAATATAAAATAAGCCCTACGCGTTCTCGGCCGTCTTGTGATCAATGATCTCATTGCTCTTCTGCGTCGCCAATCGCAACGTCTGAAGCTCAAACTCGTTGACTCGCACCTGCTGCTGCATCGTCTTATTATGAACATCTTGCGCCGTCTGAAAAAAGTTGACTTAAACCCCAAATTGTTCATCACATTTTTTTCGTTAAAATCCATAATTCTTTCTTTTTGTAAAAATCCCAAAATTTCTTTCCGCCCTCGTCAAAATCGTACCGTGCGATCTTGAAATTTCGCCGACATCGCCGACGTCACAATTTTCTCATTCAACAACTTGATCTTCGCATCATGGAGATCGTTGACTTTGGCGAGCAGTTGACAATTCTGCTCTTGAAGCTCCTCGACGGCACTTCCAATATTCTCGAGCTCGTCGCTCAACGCCTTCTCCATCATTTCCGTTGTTTCTTTCTCTTTTTTCAGCCGCTCGACCTCTTCAAGCGCATGTCCAATGCGAGTTTGAAGTTCTTTCTGAAAAAAAAAAGAACAAACATTTCGTCTTTCGGAGGAATTTCGCAAATTTTTTAAAGTTTCATTTTTTTGCATCACAATTATCGTAAAAATTTCAATTTGCGTATTTTTTTCAAGACGAAAACCCAAACCAATTCTCTGTAGAAAAAAACCGTCTCTCATTTTTCAGATAGCCATTTCATTTATGTTTTCCCGTAAAAAAACCGCACCTCAAAATATCGAACTCGTTCAGCTCGATCCGCCTTCCCAAGCACCTTGATCTCACTTTTCAGCGTCTCATTCTCATGCCGCAATTTTCGCAGCTGCAAAAAAAAGAACAAAAATTTCCGATTCGCCTCAAATTTCGCTCACCTCATCCACCGATCCATTCGTCAATCCATTCGTTTCCGATGTTGAAGATTGTGTGGTGCTTTCAGCATCGTCCAACGACACCACAACGCTATTATCAATCTTTTTCTGGAGCACGTCCAGCTCTCGTTGTGTCTAAATGAAAATTCAATATTTTCAAAGCAATTTTTAAAACATTAAATACCTTGGCGACCATATTAACAGCATCCTTCCATTTCTTCTTATATTTTGCGACGTCTTGCCGAAGAACATGATTCTGGACCTTCATCGCTCCACATATCGTCTTAATATCCGTATTTTTCGAGTCCTGAAACCCCCCAAATAATTTTGGTTTTGCTCAAAAAACCAAAAACTCACATCCATATTCTGCACCGCCGCCGTCGAGCTTTCAAACTCGGTGTGAAGCACATCGTAGTCCTGTTTGAGCCGACTCAGCTCGTCGTTGAGATCCTCGTTCGTCTTGCTCATCTTCAACAGGTTCGCCTCGTGCTCGGCGTGTATCGATTCGACCCGTTTGCTCCATGAATCGCGAAGGCGATCGCGTTCCACCGTCACGTCTTCCAAATCTTTTCTGAATTCAAAAATTTCATCAATTTTTAGCCTAGAAATGCGATTTTCGTTGAACAACTACAAAAAACTCACGCCAGTCGCTCGCATTCCTTCATCGCCAAATTGAAATACTGCTCGACTTGCTTATATTCTTCACTATTCACTATTTTGTCTGTAGGTAAATGAGATGTCTGAAAAAAAAATCAATTTCCAATGAAAATGTGTCGATTTTTGCGAAAAATCTTCAAAAACCCAAATTCTATCAAAATTTTTTCGATTAAAAAATCTTTGAAGGATTGTTCAATAAAACTAATCATATTTTGAGCAATTTCTAAAAATCTAGGTTCAAAAACTCAAAAATTTCGCGATTTTTCGAATAAGCCCTTCAACAAACCGTCGCTTGAAGTGTGGCCACCTCGCCGAGAAGCCTTTGCACCTCCTGACTAAGCTCATTAATCTCGTGAAGCCGTTTATTGGCAACATCAATTTGCTCATCGCGTTCCGATCGAATCGCCTCGATTTCTTTGACGGTATCGCCGGAAATCGGCGACGGCGAATTCTGGAACACCGGCTGCTGATTGTTGCTCGTCGTCGGCGCCGCGGCAACTATATTTTCGGTGGATTTGAGCTCCTAGACAAATTTCGTTTTCAAGAGACCAAAAAAATCACAAAAATCCAACCTGCATCAAGCTTCCCATTCGATTTTCCAGCTTATTCGCCTGCCTTCGGTATTTGTCGGCGGTGAATTCCAATTCGCTGATCGCCTTCTTCAGCTCCTCGTTTTTCGCTGTCAAAAGCTCATTCTCATCCTCTTTTTTGGCAGCCTAAATAAAAATGTTGACGATGAAGCTCAAATAGTTGGCCGACCTTCATTCGAGCCTCAGAAGCCTCCTGTTGGAGCCGCGCGTTCTCCTGAGTCAATCGAACGTTCTCATCGCAGTGTCGTTGCGCTTGAATCGACATATCGCGAAAAATCGGGCAATCTTTGACAAATTTCGAGTCTAAAATTGGGAAAAAATTGAATTTTTCCAATAAAAATTTCAAATCAACCTTCCGAATTTGACATCTGCTGCATCAGATTGCGATACCGCTCAGATCGCCGCTGACGAGCTCGGATGACCTCGGCGAGTTGGTTAAAACTAGAAAAAATCGCATTTTTAGACAAAAAAAAAAGTTGAAAAAAACCATTTTTTGAAAGTTTTTTCATATTTCGCTTCAGCTTCACCCGGTGGAAGTTGTATAATTTCCTGAAGGCTTGGAAAATTGATAGCTTCTTCGTTTTCGCGATTGCTTTCGACGTCGGTCTCGCCACGAAACGCGCTTCGAATATGATATTGCATCTAAAATAGCAAAAATTATTTTTTTGAAATAATTTTATTTTTTTAATCAACCTCCATAAATTGGCGATGTATTAAATAAAAACATTTCTCATCGGTTTCCTGCCTTCGACGAAGCCGCTCATTTTCTCGCATCAAATCTTTATATTTCCCTTGCTCATATTTCAATTGTTGCGACAATTTGGCCGCTTGATAGACCGCTGTTCGATTTTTGATGTCATTCTGCATGAAAATTGATAATTTGCCGGACAAAAATGCCGAAAACACGAACCACATTGCTGACCGCCGGTAATCGGACGGTTTCGAACGCGATTTTGTACCGTTTCACCTCATCATTGCCATTATTCGACGATGTTTCGCCGTCCGACGGTGTCGCGCTTGCGCGTTTCGACATGCCGGTATCAACGGCGTGCAATTATTCTGCAAAAAAAAAGAATTAGTGAGAAAAGAAAAAAATCGAGAATTTTTGCGCGCCATTTCATCGAAAAATTCAAAAAATTCGATGAACGCGAATCGAAAAAAAAGCGCTAGTGGGCGGAGTCGGCGAAGCGTTCCGACAGCGTTGCCGCTGCAGGACCCGCGTGCGCCTTGCACTACGGTAGGTGTCGATTTACGCGAGCGCGTGTTTAGAATTTTTCTCGCCAATTTTTTAGCATGGTCCGACGCCTTTTTGTCACCGGTTTAAGTCCGTTCACAACCATCGAGACATTCCGTGAATATTTCGAGCAATTTGGTCAACTCTATGAATGCATTTTGCCGCCGGTGCCGCGATATGAGGTGGGCATTTTAAGGATCGTTTTTTTTTTCCAATTGAAATTCCAAATTTTTCTTTAGATTTTCGATTTTGCGCCCGATGACGAGCAAATTGAGACGAGAAGTGCTATCAAATATGTGCCGATTGATGAAAATCGAGAAATCGACGACGATTTCGACGCGGAGCGTTTCAATCCCGAAATTCACGCAAATTTCGATGACTATATGAGTAATTGTTCAAAAAAAACAAAAACAATTGCGTGATTTTTTGTTTCAACACTAATTTTTTGCAGAAAAAATTGGCGAAAACGAGGGATTTGTGCGAAAGAAGCGCAAAACCAGCGCCGGCTACGGGTTCGTGACGTTTGTCGATCGCGAGAGCTATGAGAAGTGCGTCGGTCAGCACGGCGGCCACGAAATCGACGGCGTCGAGTGCTCCGTCGAGCACGCGCGCGTCGAAGACGATCAATTCGCCGCCGACGTCGTCTCGAAGCGATTGTTCGTCTCGTTTTTCCCGCTCGATCGGCTCACCGAGCAGGAGTTGCGCCAAACGTTTGGCGGTTTCGGCAAAATCACCGACGTCGAGTTTGTCAGCGTAAGTCGTTCGCCATTTCACCAATGAGTATTGTTCGAAAATCGCTTCAGGACCAAGAGGGACCATTACACTTCTGCATCATCACTTATACGAGTAGCGAGGCGGTCGATAATTGCCTAAAAAAGACGTTTTATGTTAGGGTATCGGCAATAATTTTCAGCCAGAACAATTGTTTCAAAAAAAAATTGCAGAATGTTCGATTATTTGTGCGGCGAGCGATATTACGAGAACAATTGAAAATTGCCGAGCAGAAAATTCGGGAAAACGCGAAAATTGTAGGTCAAATGTTGGTTTTTGCCAGGAAATTATTGAGAATTCAGGCGGCCAGCGCTCCACGAAGCGCGCAATTCATACAGATTCCGAGACAGCGTGAGTTCCCATTTTTTTTGCGGAAAAAAAGTTGTGATAGATGAAAATGCGCGATTTTTCGAGTATTTTGAGAAAAATCTCAAATTCTTTTTTCGAAATTCCGCGAAATTTCAAATTTCAGCAATTCGCGTGAATCGAAACATGCCGGATCCGAGTACACTTCAAGATCCGAATTCCGCCTACGGGTATGGCCATCGACAATGGTGACAATCGTCTCGACTAATTTCCGACCCCCCCCCCTTCACCAAATGAATAAAACGTGTCATCGTCTTCCATGTTTTTGGTGTTTCGCAACAATTTCAATTCAATGTCGTCCTCCGTCTGAGCCGAATGCATTTGCGCGCGCCGAACCGACCCAATCGTTCGACGAGAGACGAATGAGAAAGCTGAGGTCAGAGAGCGCAGAGGACGACTCTCGTCGCCTCGCCGCCAGTTTTGTTGCGCGTCTCGCCACTCCGCTCAGCGCGTTCTCCTTCGTGTGTGTGTGCGAGATCGGACAACCTACTCGGCAGTCCGTATAGCAAGCGCCACCAGTACTGATGCTCTCGTTTTCAATTTTTTTTTTAAATTTATTTTAATTTGTTGCCAATGGCTACTGTACACCGACGAATTGTGCATTTTCGCGTGACGGTGTTGACACGCAACTGTCTTTTTTTTTCGTTTCTTTTCACAAAAAAAGTCAACTGACCATTTTTTGCAGTGTGTTTTTCTCCAATTTTTGGGTAATTTCGAATCATGGAGCCGCGTGCCGATGGTGCCGAATGCGGCGTACAGGTATTTTCGCGTTGAGATGAAATGCCCCAAAAAACAAATAAATGTGTCGCTAGGTTTTCTGTCGTATTCGTCCGCTCAACAAAACCGAAGAAAAGAACGCGGATCGATTTTTGCCGAAATTCCCGTCGGAGGATAGTATATCGCTTGGGGTATGTCGATATATTTATCTAAATATGGCAGATGTGCATACGTGTTTCGCGCGCCGCCCGTCCGTCCCATCGTAAAATGACACGAACCGGAGGGGGGGGATAATGGGGGGCCCTGTCGTCTGGCGTCTCGCCAAGAGACGCAGAGCGCCAAAAAAAAATGATTTGATTGCGAAATCGGGACCCATGATGTTGGTGTTCAGGGAAAAGTCTACGTGTTCGACAAGGTGTTCAAGCCCAACACCACCCAGGAGCAAGTCTACAAAGGCGCCGCCTATCATATTGTGCAAGATGTGTTGTCGGGCTACAATGGCACGGTATTCGCCTACGGTCAAACGTCGTCGGGAAAAACGCACACGATGGAGGGTGTGATTGGCGACAGCGGCCTTCAGGGCATCATTCCGCGCATCGTCGCCGACATTTTCAATCACATATACAATATGGACACCGAGCTTCAATTCCACATCAAAGTCTCGTATTATGAGATTTACAACGAGAGAATTCGCGATTTGTTGGATCGTAAGACGCGATTTTTTCGTTTTGCCTTCTGGAATGATGATTTGCAGCTGAGAAGGTGAATTTGTCGATTCATGAGGATAAAAATCGTGTGCCTTATGTGAAAGGGGCCACCGAGCGATTCGTCGGATCGCCGGAAGAAGTGCTGCAAGCGATAGAGGACGGAAAGTCGAATCGAATGGTGGCGGTAACAAGTAATTAATGTGGCGTTTGAGAACCCATCCCTCATTTTTGCCATATTTAGACATGAATGAGCATTCATCAAGATCGCACTCAGTGTTTCTCATCACTGTCAAACAAGAGCATCAGACAACCAAAAAACAATTGACAGGAAAATTGTATCTTGTCGATTTGGCCGGTTCTGAGAAGGTTCGGAACACCGAATTGAAATAATCTCGTTGATTACTGTAGGTCAGTAAAACTGGAGCTCAAGGAGCGGTGCTCGAAGAAGCGAAGAATATCAACAAATCGCTTACCGCACTTGGAATTGTGATCTCGGCGTTGGCTGAAGGAACGGTAGGATTACTGTAGCATTGGTTCAAATGTGTGCGTTCGTTTTTTTTTGGTTTAGAAATCCCATGTGCCCTATCGTGATTCGAAATTGACGCGTATTCTCCAAGAATCGCTTGGTGGCAACTCGCGAACGACGGTGATCATTTGCGCGTCGCCGTCGCACTTCAACGAGGCCGAAACGAAATCGACGCTGTTGTTCGGCCAACGCGCCAAGACGATCAAGAACGTCGTGCAAGTCAATGAGGAGCTCACCGCCGAGGAATGGAAGCGGCGATACGAGAAGGAGCGCGAGAAGGTCACGCGTCTCACCGCGCTTCTACAAGCCGCCTCGCTCGAGTTGTCGCGTTGGCGCGCCGGCGACACCGTCGGCGAACACGAATGGATCAATTTGTCGGAGACGACGCAACTCGCCATCTCGGAGGTGTCGGGCGGCTCGACGCCGCTCATGGAGCGCTCGATTGCGCCGGCGCCGCCGATGCTCACCTCGGGATCGGGACCGATCACCGACGAGGAGAAGAAGAAGTACGAGGAGGAGCGCGTCAAACTCTATCAGCAGCTCGATGAGAAGGACGACGAGATTCAGAAGGTCTCGCAAGAGCTCGAGAAACTCCGCCAACAGCTTCTCATGCTCGAGGAGTCGATTCAAGGAATGCGCGAGAACGAGGAGATGATTCGCGAGGAGAACGCGCGAATTCAGAAGGAGGCCGAAGATAAGCAGCAAGGTGAGTCAATGAGTCGAATTGTATTCGTGGTGCAATGCTTGATTTCCATTTTCCAGAGGGCAAAGAAATGATGACCGCTCTTGAGGAGATCGCGGTGAATCTCGACATTCGTCAAGCCGAATGCGAGAAGCTTAAACGAGAGCTTGACGTCGTCCAGGAGGAGAATCAATCGCTCGAGGATCGAATGAATCAGGCGACGTCGCTTCTCAACGCACATCTCGACGAGTGTGGTCCGAAGATTCGGCACTTCAAAGAAGGAATCTACAACATCATCCGAGAGTTCAACATTGCTGATATTGTGAGTTTCCCGCTCTATTGTTTTTTTTTTTGAATGACTCATAATTTTCAGCCACATCAGAATGATCAGCTTCCGGATCACGACCTTCTGAACCACGTCCGAATCGGAGTGTCGAAGTTGTTCTCCGAGTACTCGGCGGCGAAGGAGACGAGCAGCGCTGCCGAGCAGCAGGCGGAAACGAAACTTGCTGCCGATGTGGCGCGCGTCGAGAATGGACAAGACGCCGGCCGAATGAAGCAGCTTCTTGTGAAGGATCAAGCGGCGAAAGAGATCAAACCGCTGTCGGATCGCGTCAACATGGAGATCAACACGCTGAAGAATTTGAAGAAAGAGTTCTTGCGGGTGATCATGGCGCGATGCCAGATGAACCAGGAGACCGAAGGCGAGGATCAGCTGAGCGGACCGGCGCAGAAGCAGCGCATTCAGTTCCTCGAGAACAACCTCGACAAATTGACGAAGGTGCACAAGCAGCTCGTTCGCGACAACGCCGACCTTCGCGTTGAGCTTCCGAAGATGGAAGCGCGTTTGCGCGGCCGCGAGGATCGCATCAAAATGCTTGAAGTGGCTCTTCGCGACTCGAAGAACCGCAGTCAGGCGGAGCGAAAGAAGTACCAGCAGGAGGTCGAGCGAATCAAGGAGGCGGTTCGACAGCGCAACATGCGGCGAATGAACATGCCGCAAATCGTGAAGCCGATCAGGCCGGGACAGGTTGGAAAAAAAAGAATTGATTGTGGATTTTGAGACGAAAATATAGCAAAAAAAAAGGATTGCATTCAAATTTTTTGGCAATATCATAGATTTGTTCCGTCAATGCAATTTGTCACCTAGAATGTATTGCAGGTGTACTCGGCGATGTCGCCAGCCGCCTCCGCCGCTTCAACGCCGCCAACTCAAAATGGTACGCAAAAAATGACAATTTCCCAATTAATTGCCGAGATTTGAAGTGTGGACTAACATGAAAAAAATAATGAATGTTTGCAGCGCAATAAATAGTCCGTTGACCGTCCAGATGGTCCGTCGTCGTCGTCGTCGTCGTGTGAGCTTCATCTTCGTCTTCAGCTTCATCCTCGTTCTTTTGATGCCTACCCTTTTGTATGGAATAATTCCCTCAACCCGCTCTCGAATGAGAATAATAATTTCTTGTGTGTGTGTTTTTTTTTTCTTCTTCAACGCCTGCATTTTTCATGTCATAATTCAACAACAGCAAAAAAATAAGAAAGAAATTGCGTGCTTTTTGGGCTTTTTGTGATAATTTATATACTATATATAATATAATTTATGCTTCTTCTTCTTTTTTTTCTTCTGGTTGTGTGTGTGTGTAACTAAGCTCCGCCTCCAATTCCCCTCAAGTCAGTTGGCCCCGCCCACCGCGTTTTTTTTAATTGCTAACACGAGGTTTTTTCTTTTCTTTTTCTCTGCACCCTCCTCTTTATTATCTATATTTTTTTGTCTCTTGTTCATTTTTTCTTTGAAATTACGAATAATGATAAATGGATTTTCAATTAACTGCATGAGTGAAGTGAATTTTTGCCAGGAAGCTTGTCGGCGATTTTTTTTAAATACTGAATTATTGTGTAAATCAATTATGTAATTTTTTAGTAATTTTGGACCAAATTTGATATTTGTTTTGCCGGATTTTGTGATTTTTAGACGAGAAATTGATTTTTGAAGCATTTCGAGACGAAAATTGGAATTTTTGAGCAATTTTAAGAGAAGATTTCGACTGAAAACCGCTTATTTCCAGGCGTTTTCCCTCAAAAAACCATTTTTACTAACATATCTGTCCCAAATAAGGAGTTTATTCTCAAAATTTGTACATTCGACTGTTTATTATTATTGTTGTTAATATTTGTATAAATTTTTGTTCAAAAATTAGTTTTTTTGAAAATTTCGCGGTTGAAAAAATCCGTTATTGATTATTTTTTGCACATTTTTTTGTAATTCTTGTTTTAAATCGTAGGTTAAGCTCGAAAAAAGAGATTTGCTGAGAAATTATGGTCGCTTGGAGAGCCGCTGGCATCAATTATGTGCGATTCTCGCAGATCGCTGCTGAGGTCACTCGCAAATGCGTCAAGGTGAGCAATTTGGCATTTTTTTGGCGAAAAAATGGAAATTATCAAGGAAAAATCAATTTTTCGCCAAAAAAATTGAGTAGAAATTTTCAAAAATGCGAATTTTTTTTGGGTTTTCGGGCAGAAAAACGAAACGATTTTTTGAATTTCCCACATTATTCTCGCGAAAAAAAAGAATTGATGGCCAAAAATGGAAATTAGTTGATTGTGTTTTCAGGCATCGGCCGGCTCGGCGAAAAAATCGGGCGCATCGCTGAAGACGACCGTGTGGGAAAATGGCAAGCAAGTCGGCAAGACCGCCTAAATTCCAATTCAATTCGAATAGTTTCATTATTTTATAACGAGAAGAAAATTGAGAATAAATTAGTTGCTAGAGTTCATCGTGCAATGAGGCTTCTTGAGTTTGACCTCGCATGAACGGACATCCTCCAGCTTCATCGTGGCGAGTTGGACGAGGCGCGAACGGCTGCAAAATCGGCGCCGTCGATTTCAAAGGCGCATACCGTAATTGCTTACGTCGGAATCCAAGAATAGCGTGTGATCGGGCAATATGATGGAGTCTTGGTGGCCGAAAATCTCATCGACTTGTCGTTTCTGCAAAATTCGCAACGGATGCGCGCGCTTCGTCGATATCACATCTGAATTTGGCAAATTTTGAAAACAACGCTTCTGGTTACTGTAGATTACTGTAGGGCTCGGCGTCAGCGGTGGCTTCGATGAGTTTGAGAAGATGATCGGCGCAATAGGCATTCGCGATGTCGATTTTGTGGACGCGATCCTGAAAGGGATTTGAAAATTGCGGACACGCGCGCGCCACATTTGACGCAATAATGCAGACAAGCCTAGCCAACCTTGTTCAACGCCACCAACGTCACCATTTGCTCATCGAACTCCAATCCCAACGCTTCGACAACATCGCGAACGGCGGGCTCGACGGTCAGCCGTGTGAACACGAAACGCGATTTGAGGTTTTGGCGAGCGGCCAACTTCGCAAAATGCTCGTTTTCGCCGGATCTCGGCGCGATCTCAATCAAAATCGTGTGTTTTCGACGTAGCAACACGTCGGTGGTGAAGCCGTGCGAGATGTCAATCTGAAATTGGTCAAATTTCGGCTGATTTCAACGACGGTTCGCCGCAGCGCCAAGGTGGCCTAGAAAATATTCTCTCAAAAATTCGGTTCGGCCGCGGCCACACTTGATGGTTGTAATGCGTACCATATTTGGAAGGCTTGATTGCGTGATGAACGCCATCATCGTCGCCGGATCGAATTTGCCGTCATAATTGGCGCGCTTCTGCTTCTCATTTGGCCGATAGGTGTTCAAACTCGGCGTTTCGTCGGCGAAATGATAGCACAAATAGTATTTGCCGGCCAATTTCGAGGCGGCAATTTGAAAATGCTGAAACGCCGTGTCGTTGTCGCCTCTGAATATTCCGAGCGTCAGCGACGACGTCGTCGCGTCGAGAATTTTGCCTTTTTTCGCGTTCGCCACCTCATCCGACGATTTCAGCTCGATTAGCGGGCCGTTGAGCATTCTGAAAACCACAATCACTTGAATAATCGCATTTTTTTGATCTACATTTCGATCCAATTAAGGTAATATTGAACGTCGCCAATGTTGTCAGTTTTTCCAATATTCTGACCGTCCCTGAAAAGATAATTGCAAAATAATTGCCTAGCGGCTTCCAGCTTACAGTACCTGTAAGCGACGATTGTCTGAAAATCGACTGAATTCAGTCCATGGCAGAAATCGGCGGAATCGTGGCACGCGACGTGCGCCATCACGAGTCTCTCATCGGCCGCCAACGCGTCACCAACTCTCGACCACAATTCGAACGTGTGCAGGCTCACCATTCGGTCTGAAACGAGACGCGTGAACCTCGGGCAGGTCATCTTGTTGGCATATAGGTCAGCGAATTCATTAGCAATGAGCGCCAACCAAGACAATCGGCAGGTTTGATTTCATTTTGCTTTTGTTTTTAAAATGATGTGCGCGAGGCGGGGCGCGCGCAAATGTATCGTGTCCCTCAGGCCATTGCGCAGTGTCAGAGTGGCGCAATGGGTTGCGCGCGCTCTCCTTGCGCGATACCCCACCGCATCGATGCCGTTTTGCAGGAAGCTGCCGCCCTAACAAACCTCTTGGAGATTTGCCATCAATTTCTCACCGAACACGCTCGTAATCAGCGAGCCGTCGACACGCATCCGACAATCTCGCGCCTATTGAGCTCGCCGCCATCACAATCGCCACCAACAAGCGGCGGCGCGACGAAATACCGAAACATTCGATGCGTCGTATGCGACGAATGGGTGTGCGCGCGGAATCGCCGCAATCACATCGAGGCGCACTTCGACTATCGGCCGTTCGCGTGCGCGATTTGCGGTTTTCGGCGACGCCGTCAGATTTTCGTGCAACACCATATTCGGAGGGCGCATCCGGACGTCGGCGGCGACGACGCGCTGCTGATATGCGAGAACGCCGAAATCGCGAGAGAGTTTGGTTCATTCCTTTTTCGTCATTTTTTTTCCTTTTTTCCACCTTCTTCAGAGTCGATCGATTGGCGCGCGAAAGCGAGACGTCGACGCATCGTCGCCATCAACTCGTCGAAAAAATGCCGCTGCTCGTAAGGCGACTCCGCCTACCGTAATCCTACCGTATTCCAGAAGCGTCCGCGCATCGAAAACCAACAACGAAGGCAGCGAACGCGACAACTCGATGATTGATAAAAAAAAAAAAAAACAACGACTCACTAAAATTCCAGAAGAGCACAAATAAATGTTTGTTCGCCTCGAGAGCCTTGTCGAATTCGCGTTGAGACGCGAGTTTGAGCAATTTTGGCGAAACGCCAACGCCAAGCTTCTCGCCGGTCCTTAAAGGGACATTGATGGCAATCGGGGGGGAATCGAGCGCTCACCGAACTTCCAATAGTGCGGTGTCGATGAGTCGCAACTCGTTGGGTCCGAATTTTTCGAGACGCAATTTTTGTTTTGGCGTTTTGCCAAGAGTCTGAAAATGATTTTGTCAAAAATTGACGAGGGGGGCGTTTTTTGTTGAAAAACCGCCAACTCGTCGACGGACAATGCCCGTATATAGCCGACGTGCTTCTCGGCGGCTTCGGTGGCAAACGGGATGAGGCTTCGCGGAGCGTGACGCGAGTAGGCGCTGAAATTTGCGATTTTTGCCCCCAAAAAAATGAAAAAATTCCACTCGAGAAGCGCCATCTCGATGGTTTCGTCGTTTTTCTCGTTGTACTTCCGCTCGAACGTGTAGACGGAAGCGCCGGATTTGCTGGAATTGAGAAGTGTGAGTGGAAGACAATTGAAATGAAACGGACTCATCCTCGATGATTAGATAGTTGTAGGCGCCGGTTGTCGGGTATTCGGCGCAACGATAATGGTCCGTTGGACGCGAGCACTCGATCTGAAACAATTTTCAGCGTTTTGAAACTTCAACATTTCTCACGTTCTCGTTCTCGATTGTGAGCCGAGCGTGTTTGGCGAGATTCTCGCGAATTGTCCGCAGCACGTTGACGACGCGATTCGCGAAATTTCGCTCCAATTCTACAACAACAACCACAAAATTTGAGAATCACCGCGTTTTCTTTTTACCATTCGGACACCTGTAGATGTAGGTGCTTTGAATGAAATGCGGCTCGGGGAGTAGGCCGGGAGCCGCACCTTCGTCGTAGTCCCAACCGTTGTCGCCGTCGGGAATCGCGGCCGGCGCGCTCGGCCCCGACGGCTCTTCCGTTTTTATGCCCATCATGTGCGGGCAATGACATCTGCAAGATGGTTTTTTTGCAGCGCGCACGCGCGGGGGATTGAACCCGTGACCATTCGCCCGCCAGACAAAATTTGGAACCACTCCCCTATTGGGAGCTTTGAGCTCCGGCGGAAGCGGCGCGGTATAAGAGACCGCAACGCGAAATTACCTGGCAATTTGAATAAAATTGAGAATTTGAAGAAGAAAAACGAGCGACGCGTTCATTTTTGGGGTGACCCACACCGGCCGATTGAGGTCGATTCTTGAAGGCGGCGACCTTGAACGGACGATGGTTAAGAGACGGATGACGAGACAGAGATCAAACCGTTTGGAGCGCGTTGATAGCATTTCATATTTAATAAAGCTTTATGGGTTTTTTGGGAAATGGAGGAAATTGATTTTGTCGCCGGAGGATCACTGAAAAATTCGGTTCGAAAAAAGATTTTGTTGCTGCTAGCAATTTTTCTGACAATTTTCGTTTCCAAGCCCTTTTCGCACAATTGGAATTGTTATAATGTCCATATATGAATTGATTCGCTCGAAAACTTCCCACGAGCAACCAACGCGCAACGAGCGTCGTCGAATATGGTGTCGCGTACGCAACGCACCCGACGCACACCTCGCGTACACCCATAAGTTTGCAATTATTGTCGCGCCGTTTGGTGCAATCGCTTTTTTTTCGTGTTTGCGCGTTGTTCGCCAAAATTCGCCGTTTTTCAGGAATGGTATCACTTGGTGGCGAAGTTTGCGCGTTCCCGCCAGGCTCGATGGTGCAATTCAAGACGATTCACGATGTGCAAATCGAAGGCAAAGTGATTTGCTTCGATCCGAGCCTTAAAGTGCTCGTGATTCGCAGCATTGACGACACATCGAAGAAGCCGATAATGCGTCTTTATAATCTCTCAATGATATCGGAGGTGAACCATTTTTGGTGGCGGAGAATCCAAATAAAAAATTATTTTTTTTCCAGATTAAGGAGACTGAGGGTCCGACCGGCGTTGAATCCATTGAGAATATGCTTGCCAATTGCAGTCTAAATGTGAAAAAGGTGATTTTTTATTGTTATAAAATTTTGATGACGCTAAAAATTGCAGACAAATGAGCGAATCGGGACGATGCTTGCGGCGCGAAGTCAGGAAATCATGCCGTCGGACAACGTCGATTTGAACGGCCAACGAGCGTTCCTTCAAATTAAGCGCACGATCGCCGACACACGCTGGGAAGGTCCCAATATTCGTGTCGTCGGTCTTGTGATTGTGAGAAGCCCGTATACGGGCGAGAGTGCCGAAATTATCAAAGCGGTAGGCCGAATATGAAGCGCAACGTTGGTCATATCGGTTTGTTGCAGGAGATTCACAACGACGCCGATCAGACGAAGGCGAAAACCGCGCTGAATCAGGTGAAGAAGATATTGTCGAAGCCGTTCAATGTTGACGATCGCCTTCGGTCGGAGTTCACCGCTTCATTGGACGCCTAAATTGAGAACACTCCGCCCATTCCTGCATTTTTTTTCTCTCTCTCCGATATTTAAATATATATTCGCATTCTTCTCTATACATAAAGACACTTTAAGAAATTTCCCTTCTTGTTTTTTTTTCTTTAATGGTAGTTGATTGCCATTTTTTATTTATTTTTTTTTTCAAATTACTTATTATTAGTTAATTAATTCGCGTGATTCCATTGGGAAAAATGGTTGTTATGAATTGTTGCAGTGGATTTTTTTTGTAAATTTGTTTGAAGAGGGGTTCCAATGTCGGACGATGAGATGCCCGAATTGTCGTCGACGGCGTTGGCAGCGTTGGCGGAATTTCGCGAAGAAGAGCGCCGAAAAAATGAGGAGTTGTTGCGCGGCGACACGAAATCGGCAAAGATTGATGAGGACTGGCAGGTTCGCATTCAATTCCTCGTTTTTTTTATTGATTCGCACATTTTTTTTTCCAATTGCCAAAAATGCCAATGGATTTTAAACATTTCTTCACTTTTAATTGTCACAGCGAAAATTCAAAAAAAAATATTGAAATAAAAATAGCTTTGCCTAGTTAGGTTGTTTCTTTTTGGAAAATTTCTGTGGAATAATGCTTTAAAGGGAAAAAACTGACCGAATTTTTTATTTTTGAAATTATTTTTTGTTGAAAAATTTCAACGAATATCGATTTTTTGAATTTTACCTGAAATTTTGATATTTGCTATTTAATTGTTTTTTTTTTTTGAAAGAAGCTTTCCAAATTTGGTAATATTTTTCAAAAATTTGAATAAAAATGTGATTTTTAAACAATTTTCTCAATTTAACCAAAAAAAAAGAATACAATAGAAGTTTTTTTTTTTGAAAAAATCACCAAATAATCGATTTTTGGTAACATCCAATTCAAGTTTGTTAATTTTGAAACCAAAATTTCAAGATTTTTATCGAATTTTTGGTCGGAACACAGAAAAAAGTTGTCATTTTCAAAGACGAAAAAGGACAAACGGCCAAGTGTTTTCCTTTTTGATGATTCTAATCGCGATTTTCATTTTTTTTTTTTGAAAAATTTCAGTTTTCTAGATAAAACTGCGAAATTTTCGCCAATTTTTTTTTCAAAAAACTTGTCGGAAGAAAAAATTGATTTCCAGTTGAGCCAATTTTGGTACGACGAGGCGACGTCGAGACGCCTCGTCGACGAGGCTCTCGCAACGAAATGCTCAAACATCGCTTGCGTCTCATCGCCGACACTCATGCAATTCTTTCACGAGACCCAGGTACTGATTTATTTATTTTTATTGTGTCGCTCGGCCACGCCCCCTCCCTTTAAATTGCATTACAGGAATACAAAAACGGCGAGATTTCGTTGAAGGTGTTCGAGTTTGACACGCGATTCGGACTCAAATTTCCCGACGAATTTGTGTTCTACGACTACAAGAAGCCGACGGAGATACCGAAACAGCTTCTCGGTTGGTTTTTTGGTCTCGTCGAGATCGCGTTGAGACTCGTGTATGCGTGCGTGAATATTTCAAGGCGCATTCGATTTGGTGATTGCCGATCCGCCGTTTTTGGCCGCCGAATGCCTTATAAAGACGTCGCACACGGTTCGACTCATCGGCAAACCCGATGTGAAGGTGATATTGTGCACGGGAGCAATAATGGACGATTATGTGCGTTGGAATTTATTTATTTTTGTTTCTTTTGAAAAATTTGCGGATTTTTTGGCAATTTTGACAACCAATTTTGCGAATTTCTCGAATTTTTTGCGGTTTTAGAAAGAATTTTAAGATGATTTTTAGGAATTTGATAATTAAAAGCACTTTTTGAACATTTTTAATGAAAAATTGACATTTTTTTTGTATTTGCGGAATTTTTGGTAAATTTTTTGCATTTTCGCCCATATTTTTGGGAAAAACTTTAAGATTTTCACGAATTTGTCTGTTGAAAGCATTTTTTGAATGTTTTATTTGAAAAATTGGAATTTTTTGCGGTTTTTTTGGCATTTTGGCACTTTCTTTGAAAAAATTTCAAGATTTTCAGGAATTGCCGCTTTAAATGAAAAATTGAGATTTTTTTTGGTGTTTTAAGCTCAAAATTACAACTTAAATTTTTTTTGTACTTCAAAATTGGCATAATTTTGAGATGTTTCAATTAATAACAAATTTTTGGGCGAGTTTTGAGAAAAAATTGGGATATTTGGAGATTTTCCGAAATTTTCAGGCGTCTCGACTATTGGGAATGCATCGAACGTCGTTCGAACCGCATCACGCCAACAATCTCGCCAACGATTTTGCGTGTTTCGCGAATTACCCGACGAAAACCTTATAATTTTGTTGATTTTCCTGTTTTTTTTTTAATGTTGACACGAATTGAACGATTTCCATCGAATTTTTGCACGATTCTCGCAAATTTTGGCGTTTTTTTTGTCGCCAATACGATTTTACCTCAACGTTTTTTTTTGCTAGTTTCAATTCAACCGAATAATTTCTTGTGTTATCAGGTATTTCGCGAAATTCCTTGAACATTTTTTGCCGGATTTGGTGAATCGACGGCAAATGTGACGAGGCGAACGCATTTCCTTCCTCTCTTCAAACCCCCCGCAATTTTTTTTTTCAAAATTTGTGAGTTTGTGTTTTTTTTTGCATTTTTAAATTTTTATTTGGAAAAATTTTACATAATTCTCAATTTTTGGCGAGAAAAATCCATTTAAGTTGAAATTTTTTGATGTAAAATTGCTATTTAAGGAATTTTTTCCTTCTTTTGAGGGAAAAATTGCGAAAAAAAATGCGTTAGAATTGCCAATAGAAACTGGATTTTATTTAAAATTTTAATGAAAATTAAATTTTTAATTTTAAAAATTCTATTTAACGGATGGTTTTTTTTATTTTTAAAGCAAACTTTTAATAAAAACTGAAATTTTAAAAATTTAATTAATAAAAAAAATATAATAGTCATTATTTTCAGAAAAAAATCAATAAAAATTGAAATCTTCAATTTAAAATCGAAAATGTTGAAATTGCGATTTTCAGTGTATACCGTGTATACCAATTTATTCGCACTGTGATTCGCGATGGCACCAACGGGTCAGGGCGGCCAATGGCAAGACGTGCTCTGTTGCACACAATGCTCTCAAGTATCTTTTTCGTTGTTTTGATCTACCGCCAACCATTCCAAATTGTGCAGCATTTCAATGAGACGACGTTGCCGGTGAATCTGATATGCGGACACGTGATTTGTCGAAAATGCGCCAAATCGCCGACGATTCAGGCGAAGCCGTGTCCGAACGATGATGTATGTGCCTTTAAAAGAGTGCCGTGCCCCTCATGCGCCTTTTCAGTGGGAGCCGAGCATTGCGATTCAAGAATACCCGACGAACGTGGCGCTGTTGTCGTTGGCGATGCCGCGATTCGACGTCAAGAAATTCTCGAACGCGTCGACGGTGAGCCGACGCCGTCTAACTCGACAGTTATGTGGGGTGTTTTTTTTGCAGGACGACGAAATTGCGGTCGATGAGACGCTCGTCGAAATCGCCTCGTTTTTTCGAAAAGCCGAAAGCGAACGCGGCGGAACGGTGTACAGTAATGTAAAAGGAAAAATGCTTGGGAGTTGGTGCGAATGAGAAAAATATTTTGTAGAAGCTCTCGCGAACCCTTCAGCGAAAAGTTGTCGCGTTGTTGTGCTATCAATGGAAAGAGATCGACGGGCAAATGAAGTGCTTCAAGGCGATTCGAGCGATTGCCGAAAGGGTTATGATGGAGGTTGGAGATGATTCCAGCAAAAAAAACAAGAATATGATAAGAATTTCGAGCATTTCAGGTGCTTCTCGCGATTCAGAGCAACACGCACGTGAGCGCCCAATTATGGACGGCGGTTCGCTCGCGCGGCTGCCAATTCCTCGGGCCCGCCATGCAGGAGGACGTGCTTCGTCTGATATTGATAACGCTCGAAAGCGGCGATATGATTGCGCGAAAGAATTTGGTGATGTACGTGGTGACGACGTTGGCGCCCGATTATCCGCAAGTGTCGAAGACGTGCGTCGGACACGTCGTCCAGTTGCTCTATCGCGCCTCGTGCTTCAACGTCATCAAACGCGACGGGCAATCGTCGCTGATGCAGCTCAAAGAGGAGTTTCGGAGCTATGAGAGTTTGCGGCGCGAGCACGACTCGCAGATTGTGCAGATCGCGTTCGAGGCGGGCCTCCGAATCGGACCCGATCAGTGGAGCGCGTTGCTCTACGGCGATCAGAGCAAACGATCGCATATGCAATCGATCATCGGTGAGGCGCTTGACGGTCGGTTTTTGGTGATTGGTTGATCTTTTGCAGACAAGCTCCAATCGGCTAACGTTTACTCGCAGTGCGTCGACGAGCTTCGGCACGCCGTCAATTCGCCGTCGGCGAGCATGTCGATGAACACGAAAAAGTTGGTCAACGAGATGTTGCCGATTCTCGAGATATTCGAGGAGTTCAACGCCGAGAATGGAACGATCGAGGAGCTCGCCGAGCAGCTCAAATGTCTACTCAAAGTGCTGAGAATGCACGCGGAGAACGATCGACGACAGCAGAAGCAGCAGCAGCAACAACAACAACAGCGGCAGCAGCAGCAAATCACGACGACGTTGGATGTCGAGACGAGACGATATCAGATGAATCGATTCAAGACGAGAATGTGCATGTGAGCGGGAATTCGACAATCCGATTATTCATCACATCATTTGTTCTTTTGCAGAAATTTGGAGAAGAATGGGCGGTGCGAACGCGGAGTGAAATGCTCGTTTGCTCATAATCCGGAGGAGCTTCGCGATCAGCCGACGACAGCGTCGACGCCGTCGCAGAAGCAGCACCACCATCAGCAGCAGCAGCAGCAGCAACAGCCGGCTCCGTCGGCGCCTCCGCAGCCGCCACCGCCTCCTCCGGTCGCCTATCAGCCGCCATCACCGCACCATCCACACCCATTCAATTATCATCATCGGCGAGCTTATGGTCCGCCGCCGCCGCCGCCGCGGGCCAACTTCGGCCCGCCCCCGCCTCCTCATTTCTATCATTGTCCGCCGCCGAATCTATCGCGGAATCCGGCGATGACGGCGCCGCCGATGAATCCGAATATTGCGCATCCGCCTCCGCCGCCGCCGCCGCCTGGCACACTGCTCTATCGATTCCCGTCGGCGGACGCGTCGGCGCCTCCGCAAAACGGCGTTGTGCTTGTGCCGCAGCCGGCGGCTCCCGGTTCAATGGTGATTATGCAGGCGGCGGGCGCTGCCGGTCAACCGGCGCCTCCTCCACCGCCACAGCCGTTGGTGATTGCGGCCGGTGCGCCACCGACGTCACAAGCGCCGCCGCCGCCACCTCCACCACCACCACCGCCGCCACCTCCACCTCCGCCATCGGCGCCACCTTCGCAGAACGCGACGATTCAGCCGCCACCACTGAACGCCATTTGGGCGGCGCCTTCGCCAACCGGCGGTCAAAATTTGATATTCTCCGGCACTTCGCCACCCCATCCCGGACAGACGTTTTGGATTCAATCGTGAGTTTCGAAATGGTGTGCGATTTCCAAAATGATCGAGCGAGTTTAGCCCACAAGCTCCCATAATGCACTCGATGGATTCGTATGATTATAGCCTCATTTGGGGTCCGCCGTTTCCGAGGGATTCTGGAGCTGACGCCGAACAGCTGCTGATGAAGAGGAACGAGATTCTCAAGTGAGAGACGATTGATTGAGCATTCTATTGTTTAGTAATTGAAATTGTTGCAGCCGACTCGCTCCGCCGTCATCGGTCGACGATGAGGATGTTGAAGACGGCGGCGGTGTCGGACACGTCTCGTACACGGTGGCCTCATCGGTTCTCGATGATTCGGGCAATCATCCGATCACGCTGCTCAGCTTGAATCCCGGCGCGCCGATCGATCTGCCCGGCATTCCGGTGACGTTCGCCGCGGTGCCGACAGAAGAGACGATGTAATGAATACGCCATCGGAGAATTAATGTGTCGATGGTTTTTTGTAGGACACGAATCGGCGAGATGGTTCAGAATCGACCGCGCGCTGGCTCGCTCACACAACCGACGGGAATTCTGGTGCCGCAACAGGTGATGCCGACATACGACGCCTCGCCGGCGACGGTTCAGTCCGATGGCTCGACGATGAGCGTTCGCGAGAGTATTAGTCAGCCGATTGCGACGCCGACGGTGGCCGCTGCGATTCCGCTGACGACTGTCGTCGCCGCGCCGCCGCCGCTCATCGTCGACGGCGCCACCGGAATGCTGACGCCGATGCGGCCGATCATGGTGGCGGCGTTTCCGCAGGACGTCGTGTCGAGCTCGCTGGACAAAATTGTCGACGTGAAAGAGCGCCTGAGCGAGGCGCAGCAGGGAAGCGCGCCGGAAGCCGTCAACGAGCACCTTCGGATGGAGTTGCGAATGGCCGAAGGCGAGATGGCGAACCTCGATCCGTTCACAAAGAAGAGCTGTCTGCTCAGAGAGCTGCGGCAGGTCGACAGAGAGCTGCAGAAGTTGCAGATCGAGCCGAATCAAATGTGAATTCGCACATTCCTTTCGAGTTGGTGTCTCCAGCCCCGCCGCACATTTTGATTATTTTTATTATTATAATTAAAATTATAATTATTATTATTTATGCATTGATACGAATAAATATCGCGATAGTGTTTTTGTTTATTTGTTGATTCTAGTAAATGATTTAATATTCATTTTTAATATTTCAAATCTTTCCGCCTGACAAATTGAATGGATTGATTTAGATGGAGAGCCTATTGGACACTTCCGAAGCCTCGACGAACCCGTTGATGCTTGCGCACGCTGCTCAGCAGGACCGGCTTGTGGTGGCGCCGAGCACCGAATCGGAGCTCATCGGCGTGCCCGACCTCAGCGATGTCGGCTATCAGTGTATTCGATATATGGGTACTATTTTTTTGGTCATTCAACCATTTTGAATAATTTATAGATGATTTTTTTTGCGATTTTGAAATCAAAAATGGACTTTTTGAGGATTTTATGGAATTTTTTTTGTTGAAATTCAATTTTTTTGGTTTTTGCAAACTCGAATTTTTTTAGCCGTCAAAACTACAGTATACTTTTCGCCCCAAAAGAAGTAAAAATTGAATTGAATCGAAATGATTAAGTCTTTGAAAAAAATGAAACGATTTGAAAAAATGTGTGCGAACACCGTGACGCAGAAATGCACAATTCATTAGAGCGCTTATTCTTTTTGAGTTGACAATCTAATTTTTTTGAATTGATGGCAATGGATTTAAATGGGCGGGGCTTGACTAATTGCCATTTATAAATTATTTGCTATAGTATTTTTAGCTTCGTTAAAAAATATACTCTTAAATTAAGCAAGCCTTCGATTCTAGTGAGATCGAAGGCGGCAATTCAAATTGATATAAATATAGTGATCACTTTTTTTTTTGCAGTGAATTGTGTGAACGGATATGTGTATTTGGGACGAAAACGCAAAGGATTGCGCGATTTTGTGGCGATCAAACGATTCATCGCCGACGACGCCAACGAATACGAGCTGATATCGGTGGGTGTCGAAATGGCGACCACCAAACCAACCAATGAAACGCCGACATATTTCAGACAGAGGCGTCCAACATGCGAATGCTGTCGCACAAGAACATTCTCGAGCTCGACAATTGTTTCGTCTACGACAACTCGATCTATTTGGTGACGCCGGCGATGCATTTGGGCTCGATGCACGACATTCTCGGCAATTACAAGACGTACGGGGTGAACGAGCGGGCGGCGGCCGGCATAATGCATCAGCTGTTGAACGCCGTCGAGTACATCCACAGAAAACGATATATCCATAGGTATGGGTATTCGGCGGTTCTTCACCCAATCTTGAGTATTCCACGATTTAGGGATATCCGACCGCAGCATATACTCGTTGATTGCGATGGCAATGTGAAATTGAGCGGATTTCGATTCATGATCGAGCTCGACATGCGATCGGATCGCGTTTTCGATTTTGACACCCACTTGAGGAATCAATTGTACTATTTTGCACCGGAGGTTCTTGCGCAGGTCAGTTTTTTTGCCAAAAGATTCTTTTTTTTTTATTTTGAATCGCACACGAATTTTTTTGCGTCGAAATAGGGGATTTTTGAGAAAGAGAGAGAGAGAGTGGGTGATTTTGAGAGACGCAGACATTCTGTGATAGTGATTGGATCCGAATTGGAGGGATATTACAAACGGACATTTAAAATTAATTTGAAAAAAAGCGAATCGGATCCGAATAAATCCAAAAAAACCCTATCGGATCCGGTCCCCCCTGGCTTGTATTTGAATTGCCGCCATCGCTAATAGCAACGAAGAGACTCCGGAAACTGTCCGCAGATGTTTACACTGAAATTCCGCTTGTTGAGATTCGAAGCCTATTGATTCGAAGCTTAGGGGGAACACTTGCGATATACAAAAGGACGCCGATTCGGAGTTGTTCGCGTCGGGTCTCGTCGCGAATCGTATCAAATTTCAAAAAAAATCCGTTTTTCGTTCAGAAAGTCGCCGAAATTTTCACGTAAATGGAAAATTTGTTTGTAGAACATGCACGGCTACGGCACAAAATCGGACATTTTCATGATCGGCATCGTTTTGTGCGAACTTCTCAACGGCATCGTGCCGTTCGACGAGTCGTATCCGCTCGAGATGCTCTACCGTAAACTCAATCGACAGGTGCCGAGACCCGTCGACGCCAACTCATTGAAGGACGATGCCAAAAGAGGATTGGATATTTGTGAGTGGATCATTATTTTTCTTTTTTTGGAGGGGAATTTTAGATTCATTCATTTTTTGTTTGATTGCAGCAAATCGACCCGAAGAGCATCTGACGCGAGTTTTCAGTCGAGAACTGCACTCGTTCGTCTCGATGTGTCTGGCGTTCGAGCCGGAAACACGGTGAGTCCGCACCATTGTGCTATATACCGTAACCGATTACTGTAGGTTGTCGGCGTCGGAACTCGGCGATTTGCAATGGACGCGGAATGGTGTGCACACGGAGCTGCTCAAAGAGTTGGATTTGAATCCGATCGACTTCGACTTTGATCTATGGGATCAGGAGCCGGTTTTGCCGAAGGCCGACGAGCAGAAATTTGAGAATGTGTTCGATTTCACGACATGATTATTTATTGTCCTCTTGTTGGCCATCGAAACCATATATATATTTTTTTTATTTAGATTTGTGTGTTGTTTGATGGTGTGTGATGATCACGGGCTCATGTAGATGATGGCGGTGTCCTTGTGCGCGGTGCCGTACGGATTCTCGGCGACGCAGCGGTACGATTCGCTGATTGTGGTGCCGTCGCCGATGACGAGCAGATCGCCGTTGGGCAAGAGCTGCAAGAGATAGACGATGATGATGATGACGACGACGAGACGTCGCTTACCAGATTATGGTCGGACTGCTCGACGGGCGTCAGTGTCATCTCGTCGTCGTCGCCGATTCGATACCATCGGACGCGGGGTGTCGGCGAGCCGCGCGCGCGACACACCAACTCGGACACCGCTTCGGGCAACTCGATGCGGCTCATCGTGAACGCGGCGATGATGGGCGGCGTCGGCGTCGACGGCGACGGGCACTCGACGGCGTCGGTGTTGGCGGCGATGGTGACGAGCGAATGGGTGACGACGGGCGGCGAGCACTCGCTGACGGCTTCGCAAAAGTATTCGCCGATGGTCGACTCGTCGAGGCACGGAATGCGCAATTCTGCAATTGGTGGAATTGACGCGCAATTGCGGACTGGGCGCTGGATGTTGAAGCGCGAATCGGATGGTATACTGTACACTATAACTGACGCGCAATTGCGGACCATCCCTTATAGTTGAATTTTGCGCTTGAAAACGTCATCAAATAGGCAATAATTGGGAAAACAATGAGATTTACGACTATTTGCGGTGATGACGCGCAATTATTTACAATTCATCGAACAATTGCACACAATTTGGATTTTGATGCGTCACAAATGACGACATATTGCGGACACGAATCGATGCGCCATGTGTTACGCAATGTTGCGGACAAAACGGAAACATTGCGTTTTTTGATCTACTGCCCCGAATTTGGGGGATTTCCTGTGGCGATTAGTCACATGATAATCGGCTAACGTCGAATTTGGCGCCGCCCGCGCCTCGTACCTGACTCAACGATCGTCTGCGACAATTGACGATTGGCGAGGATGGCCGAGAACGGTGAACTCGAGTGCGAATCGATTTTGCGGCCGCGATGATACCACGCGATCGACGGCTGAACAATGATCGATGGCCACATGAGATACGCGACATGGTGAATGGATTACCTGCGGTGAGCCGAAGAAGGCGCATGTGAGCACGAGGGGCGAGCCGCGCGCGGCGCGCACGTTCGACAACGGCTTCTCGACGGCCAACGACGACGGCTCGATGAGCGAGGCGCACGGCGACGCGACCGCCGACGCCGCCGTCGCGCACTGGACCCAACAGCCGAACAGGGACGAGGCGAATAGCAGCAATTGAAGCATCCTGCTGGAATTGGGAGTTGGCCCAAAAAAATGATGGTTGCGGACGTGACGTCGCATCCTACGCGCAACATCAAAAAAGAGCGTGCATGGCATGATATTGCGGACTAGACGCTATACCTTACGCGCAAATTTTGACCATTCAAAATGAGCCGCATTGCGGGGCAATGCACTCTATCTTACGCGCAAATTTTGGTATTTCCGAAAGCACTGTATTGCGGACTAGGCGCTATACCCTACGCGCACATTCTGATATTCCAAGAATCGGTTCATTTCGGATAATACACTATACCCTACGCGCAAAAATTGGCATTCCTAAAATCACTATATTGCGGACTAGGCGCTATACCCTACGCGCAAAAATTGCAGTTAAGCGACAAATTCACAATTTTTTTTTGATCTACATAGCAGGATTTTCCCGTTTTACGATAAAATCGATAAAATGGGAGAAGGGAGGGGGGAGCTCAATGAAACAAAAGGCGTGAATGGGGGGGCAAAAAAAAAGTAATAATGAGGACGGCGAGAAATGTTGTGGTTTTTTCGAGGCGGGGTGCAAAAATGAGGGGCTTAATTAAAACGGCGGCAGTCGGAGCGCGAAATAAAAAGAAGAAGAAGAAGAAGAATGAGTGGAGGGGACGAGTTGGGCAACGGATTAACTGGACAAATCCGGTGGTGGTGGTGGAAGCGTCGAGCAAAAAAATCGGCGTGTGATTGACGCACAATTGCGGACAATGGGCGCAAAATGACGACGAAATGGTGAAATTGCATTTTTCATTTTTTTTTCTGTTGGGGGATTTCATTAGAATTGCGCGCTTGATGTTTCAATATGATGATGAGAAAATGAGCGGCGGAAACGCATCGGCGATTTCAATTCGCTATATATATTTATATATATATATAATTTTCTTTTTCATCTTTTTTGGCTTAGCGAGAGCTGTTGGCTGGCGAATCGAATCGAATGACGAATTTCGCACACGCACACAAATTCGCTACCGTAATTTCACGCAAAAATGGTTGGTTGAGCGATTTTTGCGCGAAATGAGTCAACTTTGGAACGTTCCGCCCATTATTGAGCCCGGCTGGGTGGAAAAATTGCGGAAATTCTTGACAACAAAACGAAAAAATTTCATTGTTTTGATTATCCCTACAAGAAATCCGATAGTTGTTGACGTCAGGCGCGCATTTTTTTTTATTTATTTCAGACGGCCCGAAAAAAATTGCTGAAATTCGCGAGACAGCTGAAATATCAGCTCTTTTTGTTGTTAGCTTCATCACCTCATTTGTTTTTTTTTTGAAATTTTTTTTTCGCGCGCTAATGAGATTGTGAAGGAATCTGATGAGCCAAGTGCACGTCATCACTATTTTTAGGCGAACAATTTCATTCGAGATGATTTCACATGGATTATGAACTTTTTACGGGTTCAATGAAATCTTCTTAAGCTATCACGTTTCATAGAAGCGGATTGTTCAAGAAGGATATAAAATAGTGGGGAGGACTCGAACCCGCCAAAATAGTCGGCGCACTAGTCGCGCAGCATAACCCCAAAGCCATTGGGACACTGTTTTGGGGCAGCGAGATTTGCAAGGAAGTGCTGGAATTTAAAATTTACCTAAATGTCAACTGTATGATCTGAAACTACGTAGGCAAGATGTGAGCACCTGCTCTGAAATTTCAGGCACAAATTTTATTTTATGAAAATGTGGTGGGCAGACAAATCGAATCGAGTACAAATCGACAGACAATCTGAAAAAGGTATTAAGCGAATATTTGAAAGATTTCGAATGTTGGCTTTTGTTTTTAGAATGAGAAAAGTAACAAATGTCTTTATAATGATTGCACCAAAAAGAGGTCGACCTGACCTTGACTGTTAATCGCCACCTGTCGGTGTAATTATCTCCCATTAAACAATAGAAAAAGCCTATATCATTGTGAGAACAAAAGAAAGATACTCTCATGGGGGGGGGGGGCAGAGCAAGCGGATTAACTGTATGTGCCGATATTCGCGGAAAAAATTCAACTTCATTTTATCGAGAAATGTGTCAACTAATTGACGCCTGACATTTTTTTCGTGATCATATTGAGGGCAAGGGCTATTCGCTCGATTTTTTTGAATTTCAACATCATCCGACGAGGCGAATAGAATAGAAGGTGGCTACATTGTAGTGTCGGATTTGGCAATAACTCAAAACTATTCGGATTCATCGAAATTCGCTGCGATTTTTTGTGTTGCACAAAATCTGCATTTGTGCGTCGAGTGTTGGCACGTACCGACGTCGCAAAATTCAAATTCATCAGTCGAATTTTTTTTTCAAATTAGGTTTTTGCAATGAATCGTTCCATTATTTAAAAAATCAAACATGATTGATCAGAATTCGATTGGTGACAGTAATTTTGCACCAATGTTAATTCAAGCTCGTTTGTCAACGGCAATACATGGATTTTTTAATTTATTTGCAAAAAAAAATATATACATAAAATTACTTATTTTCTTTCATTTCCTCTATTACATAATCAGTAATTCCCAGATTGATAAAAAAAATCCGATATAAATCTGATTTTTAAAATATTTTAAATATTCCACAGTGGCCGACAAAATGTCACGGCCGCGGCCACCATTAAAATTTTTTTTTTTCGAAACACAATTTTTTAAATTTTCAGCTCAAAATAATGGCTCCGCGCGTTTGTTCGGCATGCACAGGACAGGAATTTCGACTAAACGAGGGATTCATGTATTGCATCACATGCGGCACACTATTCGAGGTGAATCGCCCGAAAACGCGAAACGCAAATGAATGGATTCCAGCATTTCACCGAAATGGACGACGATGATCTCGCGAAAGTCGGTCGAGCAAAAGTGAAAATCAAAACGAAGCGCAAAATCGACGCCGAAAAAACGCTAAGAAATTTGAAATTGAAGCCAAAAACAATTGTAAGAGGGGGGCGAGGGGGAATTTTGAGAGAAATTGCCAAATTTCCAGTTGGACACGATGAGAGAAGAGGTCAAATCATCGGAATGCGAGTTTTTTCGCGATCAAGCTTCAACATCGTACAAAAAAATGTAAATTTCCCTTTATTTTTTGTCTGTTGAATAACTGAAATTGGCCGTCGCAGATTCGCGCTCAATCGCACGCCGGCTCATATCTACCGGCTCGGCATTCGTCTCACATGCTTCGCCGAGCTTCTCGCCCGATGTGCGGCAATCATGGTCGACGAATTCGGGTTTCCCGAGGCTTTGAGGGTATCATCTTGATTGACAACCAAAAATTTCTTGTATTTTTAGATGGCGCCGTTGGCGATATTCGAGAAGTATCTTCAACATTGTCAAGTCGCGTTCGGCGATTCGGAGACGACTGATGATCCCGACGAGCAATTTGTGGCGATTCTCGAAAATGAGAACTAGTAAGTGAATTTTTGAAAAAAAAAGAAAGCAATGAGCCCGATGGGATTTTGAAGCGAAGCCGAACGAGAAGCCGAACGCCTTCGAAAAGCGGCCGAGCGAAAAGAGAAGGCGAGACGAACGCTGATGGAGACCCAAGATGCGTGGCACCTTCTCACCCAGGGCAATTTGACCGAGAATCTCGAGCTAGATGAGGATGACGATGAGGATGACAACGAGATGGAGCTCGATGAGACGACGAATCATCCGAATGATCGGACAATGGGAATTGTGCGGCGAATTGAGACGAGAATGTCGAAGCGCGCCATGTTCTTGGTGGGTGGTGTTGGTGAAATATTGGGTGTGATTGTTGGTGTGTTGAGGCGTCGCAAGTGGTGCTCAACGTCGAAATTCTCGCCGCCATCGTCCATTTGGCGTGTCTGTCGATCGGATGCCGCAACGTGATGCTGTCGGACGTCGTCCGATGGATTCGCGAGGATCGATTCCACATCTCCGACGAGGCGCTCGTTCGAATTCAGCGCGGCGGCCACGAGAAATGGAATAAGCCGCTGCGGCAGGGCGAGTTGGCGACGTTTCTCGACGCCCACGCCAAACATTTGGTATTTTCTTCGTTTTTTTCTGCACAAAAATTGCGAGAAATTGCAATTTTGGCATTTTTTTCTTGAAAAATTCCATATTTTTTGGTGAAAATTTCAAGAATAATTTTTTAAAAATTATGAGGAATTGCAAATTGTTCTGAAAAATCCCCAATTTTTACCTCAAAAACCATTTTTTTTATATTTTTGTCTCTAAAAATGCCGAAAAAAAGAAAGATTAATTTTTTGCAATAAAATTGTCTGGAAAATAAAAAATCATGCTGGAAAATTTCATGAGAAACGAAAAAAATTTTTATTCGCAATTTTTTTTCATTAAATCTTTCTTTTCAGATTTTTTTTGTATGACTTTTTGTCTGAAAAAATCATTATAATTTTTCTGCGAAATTTTTTTTTGCAAAAATTTTCAAATAGAAAACCGAGTTTTTGCAAAATTTGGCATTTTTTTTTTAATTTTCAAAAATTTTTGATAATTTTTTGGCAAAAAATCAAAAAATTTCAACTTTTTTTTCCTTTTTTTAGATTTTTTTTGAATATTGAAAAAATTTTGAGCAAAAATTTTTTTGTGCAATTTTGTCAAAAAAAAAATTTTTCTAAAAAAAAGTTGATCTCAAAAAATTTCCAGCAACTTCCCCTCTACGAAATCTACCGTACCGAATTGTTGCTGGTGCAAAGTGTCGATTTACGGGCGAACGTGTGCGACGTGAGTTTCGCGAAAATCGCGGCGAGACTCATCGACAATTTGAATTTGCCGACGCACTTGATACGCCGTCTCATTCTGTTGGAGAGCATCCTCAAATGCGATTTGTCGACGGTGTGCCGACGGCAGTTGGACGTGAGAAACGGCCGAAATCTGTCGGAATTGACGAGAATCGAGCCGCGAATGCGCTTCGACGACCTGATGACATGCTTCGGGCGAATCGATTCCAACTTCAAGGACACCATGCGCGATGAGTGCGTTTTTTTTTCGCCAAAAAATGTCCAAAATTGCATATTTTGCGATTTTTATGCAAATTTTGAAGAGAATTCTGGAAAAAAATTGCAGAATATCCAAATTTGAAGAAAATTTTGCGACTTTTGATTTGAGAATGTCAATTTTTTTTTGAGGGGAAATAAAATTTCATATTTGAAAATTTTTTGCCAAAATTAAAAAATGTTATTTTTTTTGTGATTTTTTGAGTAGAGAAAATCAATTTTTTGGAGAAATTTGATTTTTTTTCGAACTGACAAAGTTTGATAGAAAAATTCAATTTTTTTCCGAAAGACAAGAAAAAATTGATTTTTTAAAATAAAAATGCAAATTTTTTTGATTTTTGATCAAAAATTTCTGGATTTTTTTTTGGCAGAGTCTTGCTCACAATCGAGACGAAAGTGATGGCCTACATTCTATTGGCGCTCAGATTGACAATCGACGTCGACACGGAGCACGTCGTCGATTACGACGACGTCGACGGCGACTTCGACATCGACACCTACATTCATCAACTCGAAATGCGGATTTCGTGTCAACGCGGCCACGCGATCGCGGCGATCATCAAGACGAATGAGATTGTGGCGGAAATGCACGCGAAGACGCCGTTCGGCGACAACGTCGTCGGCCAACTTCTGGAGACGTCGTCCGTCGGATGCGCGCTTCACAAATTGCGGCGGAAACGCGGATTCGAGCAGTGTATTCCGAGTCGGATGTCATTCAATTCGGTTCCTTTTTCTTAAAATTGATTTTTTGCGAAAAAATCTGACGAAAAAATGGCCATTTTAGGGAATAATTTGAGATTTTTGAGAATTTTTTTTTTTGAAAACATAATTTTTTGCCAAAAAATCTGAAGAAAATGATAATTTTTGAGAATATTTTGAGATTTTTGCAATTTTTTTTTGATTTTGAGACATTTTGAATTTCCCGCTTGAAAATCTTCAAAGTACTTGAAAATTGAGATTTAGCCTTCAAACAAAAATTTTTTTTTGACTATTTTTTTTTATTTCAAAAATTTCCGAGGAAATATTTTTTAAAAAATGTTCTAGCCGAATTTTGCTCAAAAATATTGAAATTTCAAATTTTTTTTTGAGGAATTTTCAATTTTCGACTGAAAAATGCTGAAATCAGATATTCTCAACAAAAAAAATGCGTGAAAATTGAGATTTCGATTTCGAGTGAAAAACTCTGCGATTTTTTCGCGAAATTTTCAGAAAATTTGCTGAAATTCGCCGTTTTTGAGATTTTTTGTTTCGTTTTCGAGAAATTTTGAATTTTCCACATGAAATTCTGCAAAATTCTTGAAAATTGAGACAAAAAATTTTTTGCAAAAATGCATTTTTTTCCAGTTTTTCAAGTCAGACATTCTCAGCAAAAAAAATGTGCGAAATTTGTGAAAAAAAATGTAAAAATGTTTGATTTTGGCGGAAATTCAAATTTTTTTTTTACTTTTCACTCAAAAATTTTCGCATTTTGCAACAACAACCAAAAAAATGTGGAAATGAATTTTTCGGCCAAAAATTGACATATTCAAAATTTGCGATTCAAGCAAAAAAAATTTTTTTGTTGGAATCGAAAATTGCCGATTTATAATGAGCGCATATTTGAGACGCAAAACCTGCCGACGGTGTTCATGATTCGGCGAGCCACCGACTCGCGCGAGCCGTCGGCTCTTCTGAGCCCGCTCAAACATCAGACGAGTGTGCTCCGCGAGGAGATGAGCAAAAACGCGGAGCACGGGCGCAATTGCAGTCAGCAGTCGCTCGAAACCTTCTTCAAATCATTTTCGGTATCAATTTTTTTTTTTTCATTTTTCATTTATTTCTTTTTTTTTGTATTTCAGAATTGCAAACTCGGCGAAACGTCGGCGAACTTCTCGAACGTGTTTCCGGCTAGCAATAATTATCCGGTAATTAATGAATTAGAATTAATTATTGAATTTTGGTGTTCAGCGCTATTCACGGCCGATTTGGTTGGCGAAAGTGGCGTCGAAGACGCGCAAACGATTCGCGGTTTGTTTTTTGTTGATTCCCCCAATTAGGATTGGTGTTGATCGTTAATTGATTGCTAATTGCAGGAGTCGGGCAATTATCGAATTCATTTGACGTCGCAAGTGATACGCGATGTCTATTTGTCGGCCGAATCGACGTTCTCGCGACGCTTCAAATTCATTCTCGAATCGTTCGCGTTGATTTTGGGTAATTAAACTGTAATTGGCTACGGTAATTGAATGCGCAATTAAAGGCGAGGACGTTGAAGCGCTCTACGCGGCGTTTTCGCTATTGGAGACGGCGTTGATTGAAAACGAAAAATTGATGGAGCTCAAGAGGGATTTGCTCGAGTCGACGCCGATTCCCGTCCGATGTCTCAGTTATTCGGTTCGACTTAATTACACGATAATTAGTCTAATGCTAATTGAGTTCCAAATTGATAATTTTGTTTTTTTTTAGCCATTTTCTTCTTTTTTTGTGCTAAAAAAGGTCAGAGATTCCCAAAATTGCGGCCCAATTAACAAATTAATTATGATAATTAGCGTTGCGATCAAAAATGATTTCAGAAATCGGGCGATCATGTCGAATCGCGCGCTCATGTGATGCCCGCCGAGCCTCTGACATCGATCGACGATCTCGATCAGTTCGTCATCAGCTTCTCATCGCTCGGCGTCGAGCTGCCCGACATGACGTCGTCGTCGGATTCTGAATTCGACGACGATGACGACGATGACGACAATCTTCGACGTCTTCTCAAATCCGCTCGATTTCGTCATTCGAACTCGCGAAATCGCCGACAAACCGACGACACGAATCGGACAAGAAGCGAAAAGGTTCGACTAATTAGCTAATTAATTAATGAAATAATTATTGCAGCGCGTTTTCGAGTTTGACACAATTTGGCGATTACTGTATATCAAATATTGGTAGTAAAAATCGGGTTTTGAATAAATTTTACGGTTTTGCTAATTTTTTTGTCCCGATTTGGGTCCCGCCACGAAACTCGAGTATGCGGTGGAAAATGGCGGTTTTTTGGGATTCATTTTTTCCAAAAATTTTAATGTAAAAATGAGAATACGTGAGAAATCGAGTTATTTCTAAAAATTGAATAATTGAAAATGAGAATTGACCAAATTTGGATTCTAACGCTGATCATCGAATGTCGTCCGTCGACGGCCGACGCCGATCTCGACGCCTCGCTTCTATGGTTGAAGCCGATTCGAACGATGTTGTTCAACGACGTGTTTCTGGTAATGTCCGCAGATGGCCTAACATTTCCTTTTTTGGTTTCGGTTTGAAGAAGATGGTCCACCAGCATCTGCAAATGGAATTGTGGAGGCATATCGCCGACCATCCGCAGTCGACGACGATCCCACTGAGATACGACGACGCGCCGGTGTTGCCGTGCAATAAGAAGCAGGTGTGCAATAATGGGCGACGCGTGTTTGCGGACCTGGTGCGCTAGCGCGCGCCAACCGCAACGCGTCTAGAATTGCGATGGTCGGCGTTGCGGTCGATTGATTGATTCATATGTATATTTTTTTTTCGTCAAATTTCCAGGTGCCCGGCTCGTTAGCGGAGATTTGCGCGATATGCGAGCCAATCATTCGCGACAGAAATCGAATATTGAGCAAAAAGTCCGAATTTCGGTAAGCGATTAATGGAATTAGGCAGATTTCGCGAAAAAAAAAACGCTAATTATATCGAAAATTGTAAAAAAAAAATTGCGAAATGTTACGGTTAAAGGCGCATATGAGAATTGCTTCATGATTCTTGCAACGATTTTACTAGAAACTGTGATACTGTAGGGCTTCGAAAAATGTGGCCGTGGCCGAGTTTCTAGCGATCTTTTTGGATTTTGTTTTTTTTTGTGTTGCGAAATCTGCATAGTTTTATAAGAAAAACGAAAGGAACATTGAAGGAATGGACGCGAATCGAGCGAATCCACATCCACCTACGTTTCGTTTGGCATTCTATTCGTCATCCTCATCGTTGCGATCGGCTCGGCGGTGAAATTGACATTTGTCTTGCGCGACGGTAAATTTTTGTGTTTTTTTTTGTTTCCCCCCCCCTTAATTATACATATATGAAATATTATATTATTTCAGAATTGCACAAATTGACGGTGGTGAAAGAGGAGCAGAAGGAGAATGCGCGGCTCGAGATGCTCGCCGAAGAGGCGAACGATGAAATTCAATCGGGTCGCAGTTTTGCGAGGAATCGAAAACGACAATCAAAAATGGAGGTGAGCAGCGTAACATATTTTCGGCGAGTCCCACCAATCGCGAATTTCAAAGATCGACGAAGACGAAAAATCGGATCCGAACATTGCGCACAAAAAAGTCGCCGTCGTCTCGAACATCAGAAATAATGATGTAAGTGATCAGGAAAATCAAAAAATGTGTTTTGAGAATCAAATATTCAACATTGTTAGAAATTCTAGTTTTTTTTTTATACTAAACTTTTTTTTAATTTAAAGGCTTGACAGATTTCCTCAAATTTATTGAGAAATTAAAATTGAAAAAATCGCAATTCATTATAAAATCTTATAAAAATTCTAATAAAAGTGGAAAATATTATAGAGAAACTAGTTTATCAACGGAAAACTTGCAGTTGAAACGCGCGATGAAACCGTCGGCGTTCGTCGAACTCCAGAAGGTGTTCTATGATCCGACGCAAAACGAGGTGTTCGACATTGGCACCGACGTCGATTTGATGGACGACGAGATGGACGACGAGCCGACGGAGAAGAAGGACGGCACGATGGAGAGCACGGTGGCGACGATGGGCTCGCAACGGAATCTGAAGAGCGCCAAAGCGAATCAAACGGGAAAGAGGAAGATGAAGAAGAAGAAGAAGAAGGAGGAGGAGAAGACGAAGAATAGCAAATCGATAATTAATGAGCCGAAGACAGTAGTTGGTGGAGAGAATTCAAATGCGCAAAATTAGAAAGTGATTTCGAATGGAGTTGTGCATTTTTGCGTCGTGGTGTACAAAATTTTTCGTTTTTTTTTTATTTTTCGAATGTTAATAAATCAAAAAAAAATTTAAGGTGAAAATGCCTCTTTTTGTGTGCAATGAAGTTTAGATAAAAAATTTGATGGCAAATTTCGCCAAAAAAAAACAATTTTTTAAAGGCTGAGAATGCTGAAAATTTCGGGAAATTTTCGGGATACTGTAGCTATTGATCGTTGGTAAATCGTTGCGAGACCCAATCCCCTAATTTAGAATTTTTTGAATTCCATCTCATCTATTTGGAATCGCCGAAATTTTGAATAATTTGGCAAAATGCCAAAAGACGAAAAAAGTGAGAAGAACACGAAAAACATCTACTTGAAATGGCGAAGAATCTCAATGGATTCGCAATCGACATTCCATTGTTCTCATCAATCGCGTCGAGATTCACTTTCACCAAAAATCCCATCATTCTCATTATCCATAAATTTGGAATACATAGTGATAGCGGCGGTCGTTTTCATCATTCGAGTCGGACGACTCAAACAACAAAATTGCCTTTTTTTGGTTGTATTTGCGTTTTAATTCCTAAATACGGCATTGAAACTCGTCGAACCGGCTAACTAGGGCAGCATACCAGTTACCAGTTAGCGAACATCGCTCGCCTTTATCACTTTTCCCTTTTTTTGTGCGCCGAGAGATATGCGGAATCGATTTGAATAATAAATAGATGATCAATGCCTATCCTCCCCCCCCCCGTATGGCCTCGCTTGCGGCTTATCACTCTATTCCAATTTCAATTTCGATTTCATTATATTATTTATAAATATATCCGGATTTTGATTTCCTTCCAACTAACCAATCATCAAAACCTCGCTATTCCAGCTTCGTTCATTTTATAGCGCGATGAGATGATCCCGAGAGCCGGTTTTCTATTCATCGCCGTTGGGCTCATCGGCGTCGTTGGTTCGAATCCAATTGATAACGGTTTGGTCGATTCGGAGCTCATTCATGGTGTGTGTTTTTGGATTTTTAGGAGGAAAAAGAAAGAAATCAATAAAATTGCGAAATTGTCCTCAAAAAAAATCAACATTATTTGGGAAAATTAAAATAAGAAAAAAAATTGTGGGCGTGCCACTTGTTTGCAATTCCTGCGCGGAGTTGCGCAGGTGTGCGGCACACGTCGAAATTTGACATTTTTCACCAAAAATGCACATTTTTATAAATAAATTATTAAAAATGAACTTAAAAAATTTGTTGATTTTCAATTTTACGATAAAAATCATTGAAAATTGATAGATTTTTGTTTTCAGAATGCATCACGCACAAAGCCGTCGAGGTGATCGTGGTGCTCGACGCGAGCGGCTCAATCGGCGGCGAAACATTCAAAAACCAATTGGATTTCGTCATGCATCTCGCCTCGCGTCTCAACATCTCCGAAGACGGCAGCCATATGGCGTTGATCCAGTTCGCCGAGAATCCGAAGCTCGAGTTCAGCCTCGGCCAATTCAATCATCCGACGCAATTGGAATGGGCGATTCAGCGCATCGAGTACCAATCGGGCGCCACCAACACCGGTCAGGCGCTGAGATTGACGTTGGACAAAGGGCTGAGGGGCGCGCGAGCCGGTGTGCCGAAGGTGGCGATAGTGATCACCGACGGTCAGAGTCAGGACGACGTTTCCGAGCCGTCGCAACTTTTGCGCGACGCCGATGTCATGGTGTACGCCATCGGCGTCACCAATTTGGTGAATGTGCACCAATTGCACCAGGTGAAAACATTGGCGAAATCGCCATCATTTTTTTTTTGCGTTCAGATGACCGGCAATCCGGTGCGCGTGTTCACCGTTGAGACGTTCGAGCAACTCGACAAGGCGCTCGCCGACTCGCTAACATGGAGCATGTGCAAAACCGAATTTCGTGAGCGACGTCGACGATGATCGTCGAACCCAATCAATTTCAGGTCCCGGCACGCCGGAAATCATTTGCGGTCCCGATCGCATCGGTGTGAAAGCGTCGACGAAGGAGCCGTTCGAGGGCAACGTGTTCGTGCAGGACCATTTTCACGACGACGAATGTCGAGCGGGTCCCGAGAAGTAGGCGACGAGCGCGCTCGAAATCACGCGTATTTTCAGATTTCCGGACTCGCGAAGCATCGGGCTCACCGTGCCGTTTTCGGCGTGCAATGTGCATCGCTATCGATCGGTAGGCCTCGTCATTTTTTTTTGTTGGAAATTTTTTTTCAGCTTAATCCAAAAGGGATTTTCGTCGAAGTCACGATTGTCTTCATGTTCCATAGTCTGTTCATGACGAAAACCGACCAAACCGTCAAAGTCCAATGCTTCTACATGGAAGCCGACAAGCACGTAACCGTTCCGTTATCAGTGAGGTGAGCATCAGAAAGAAAAAAAAAAGAGGGCGGTCATTCAAACCAACAAATAACTCAATGGCTCAGTATGATAACGACAGTGTTCCGCGAGCAAATCTACCAAATGCCGCAATGCGCGTACACCCTTCGAAAAGGCAGCGCCGATGGTCCGATCGTGCGCTACGCGACACTCGGCGAAAGCGTCTACCATCGATGGGAGTGCATTGAGGTCGAAGGCGTCGACAAGGACACGTTCGGAATGTTGGTGCACTCGTGCTACGTCGACAATGGATTCGGCGATCGTGTGGAGATTCTCGACGCGAATGGGTGAGCGGCGTTTAGGCTGGTCCATAGGTTTGCAAGCTCTTCTTTTTTTTTGCAGTTGTGGTCTCGACGCGGTGCTTCTCTCAACGCCTGATTATGATACAAGCCTAAGGCTTGCGACCAAGCCCTATCATGTATTCAAGTATGCCGACAGGCCGGTCCTTCAATTCCAATGCCAGGTGACGCTGTGCCTGAAGTATGATGGAGGTTGTGATGGTGTGACGCCGCCGAAGAATTGTAAAAAGCTTCCCGGCGAGGATGCCCATCATCATCATCATCCTCACGAGCACAAACTGGTGAGAAGTCGAAAGATTCTGAGAAATTCATTTTTTTTTTGAATCTCGTCTAGGTTCGCCGCCTTGCCGATGGCGTTGGCACAATCGACGTGTTCACAGAATCGGTGACAATTCTCGAACAGGAGCCGATTTGTCGAGATGAGTCCGCCGAGGTGCCGCAAACGTTGATGCTCATATTCACGATTGCCAATGTGTTGGTGTCAGGCGCCACCATCGCCATTTGGGTGTTTGTCGTTCGCCGGCACACCAAATCCAACTAATCGATGAAAACTATAAATAATTAATTATGATATTCCCCGACCCCCGCCCCATCCCAAAAAAAAATACGGTGTACAGAATGAAATAAATTATTTAATGGATTTTCGAGGAGAACGCAATGAGAAAAAAGAAATTCAAAAAATTGCGAGGAGCAAACGCGCTCCATCGCACCGACGAAATAGCGGGCGAGAGCGAGAGAGCGCAGAGCGGTTAATGTAGCAAATTCGACGAATTTACATTCGCCGCGATTAAAAGCATCTCGTTTTCTTCAAATTTTTGCCTATCACACATTTTCACGGATTAATTTCGTCGAATCGGCGGCATTTCGAATGAATCGGCCGGCATTTTCAAGTCGCGTTTCGTGCGTTTTACTCGTTTTCGAAAATGCGCATTTCTTCTTTATTTTGTTTTTGCAATTTTCAGGCGATTCTCGCTTCCGTCGCCGAAACACAATGTCGAAAGCGAAGAAAAAGTTCAAATACGATGCCAATGATGGCCTGATGCCGGTGAATATAAGCGAAATGAGCGATAACCGCGCGAAATTTCGGCGTTTTCCCAAAACGCGCCAATAAAATCGATAATTTTCAGGAGGTGCTGCGACTCACCGCGCCGCCCGAGCCCGAACTACCAACATCGTCGCGTAATTGGCAATTGCTAGTCGAAAATTTAGCGAAAATTTCAGGTCGTGAGATAGCGGAAGCGAAAAAAGCCGAGCAAGAAGCGTGGAAAAGCGTCGAGTCGCAAATCTGCTCATATTGTCGGGTAATTATGATGCAATTAGCGATAATTATATCGGAAAAATGTTGCTAAAGACATTATTAATTATCAAAATTGTTTTGTTGGAAGAAAATTGCCATTTTTTTTAAATTTGAGATATTTAGCTATTCGAATTAACAAAAATGTTTCGCAATTTAATAGCGCTCAATAATTTTCAACGCTTAATTAGTTAATTATTAGAGCTGAAATTGAATTGAATAAAATTATATTCTAGAAGTTTTAAGCAAATTAATGGTTGATTTTAAAAAAGAAAAAAAAATGAATTGCAGGCCGGCGGCAACATTTTATGCTGCGACGTTTGCCCGGCGTCATTCCACCTCATCTGCCTCGGAATCAACGAGAACGACGTGCCCGAAGGCCAATGGATGTGCAATCGGTGCGCGCACACGCCGGTGTCGCATCGATTCCAGCACACGCCGTCGACGTCGGGCATCGGCGGCTCGATTCCGCATCCGGAGATTCGCGCCGAGAAAGAGCGCCTACGAAACGAGGAGGCGTTTCGTCTTCAACTCTCGCGCGAGACCGACAAATTCACCAAGAAGCTCAAATGGCCTTGCAAGGAGCTGCTGAACGCGCTTCGTCGCGTCAATCCCACCGAATTTGTGCTCGACGCCGACATTGTCAAAGAGCATGTCCCGCTTCCCTACGATCTCATCGATAAAGCGCGAGACGAGGTGTTCAATGAGGAATGCTATTATTGCGGCGGGTAAGCGCTCGAATTTGATATTTAAAATGCGAATTTCTTTTCCAGCAAAAATCCCTACTCGCCAATGCTCAAATGCGATTTTTGCCCGCTGTTCTGGCATGTCGATTGCGTTCGACCGCCGTTGACGATCAAACCGACGTGGAGGCTTTGGATGTGTCCGGCTCATGTGGAGCACACGATAGTAACAGAAAAAAACTATGGCTAGGTCTTATTCAATGTTTTTTCTCACAGGATAAATTGTGCGGCGGACGATTGATGTCGGAGACGCTGCGAATGGACCTGTGGAAATCGTTCAAAAACATTGATATGAGCAAAGGTTGGACGAAGGAATTGTGGAAGAAGACGGCGATGCTCGCCTCGCAGGTTCGACAGCAAAAGATGATTGAGAAGTTGGAGGAGACGATTCAGAAGCCGAGAGTTGTCGAATTGAAGTACCCGTGAGTTGATTGAGAACGATAATCGAGAAAATTTGATTTTGCAGAAAAATTGAGGAGCTGGACGATGAGCAGAAGACGTCGCAGCTCGCGTGCGTCGCTGAGTTCCTCGTTCTGAAGCCCGTCTACAATTTTGGACGGCGATCGATGAAGGGACGAAGGCAGCGCAAGAAGAATCCGACGCATCGGCTAATGGATCAGGTGTATCAAGTCAAAGACGACGAGCAACAGCAGCAGGTGGCCGAGAAGAAGCGGAAGAAGAGTCAGTACGACGACGAGACGGTGATCGACGCGGAGCTCGATGAGCTCGACCGTCAGCGTAGCATTCCGTTCACCGATCAGGAGTTGTACGAATCGATTGCCGGACCGTTGCCGGAGCGTCGACAAGAATTTCTGGCGAACGTGCTGCCCGACGAGGCGATCGATAGTATGCGGACGATCGCGCGCAACAACGAGGCGGTGTTGGGACGAAACGCGTTGTGGGCGCAAATTCAGGACCCCCAGGAGCATATCAATAGGAATTGGCGAAATTTGAATGTGCACAGCACGATTCGAAACGGCGGAATCGAGGCGTACCGTCCGTTGGCGACGGTGGAGAAGGGCCGCAAGAAGGCGGCGACCGACGGCGATCTTCAGCTTCTCGCGTTTGGCTACCCGAACGACAATTGGAATCGGCGGATGAGCTCGCAGGAGACGGAGGCGTACATCGCGCGATGTCCGCCGGTGCCCGCCGCTCGACATCTGACAACTCGCGCCGAGCTCCGACTGCCGATGTACCATAGTCAGCGCGAGTTCGCCGACACGATCGGCTCGTATTTCGATTGCGAGCCGAATTATGATTCGACGTTGGTCTTGGTGTTCCACGATCACTATTTCGAGACCGAGCGTCAACGATTGAGTTTTCGGCCGTCGGGCGCCTCGTGGTGGTCGCGCGACACGTTTCGACGGATTCTCGCCAAGCGACAAGCCATCGTCGACGATTACCAACCGGCGCCGTTCTTCGACAATCGCGAAGACGACGAGACGGTGGTGAACGAGATTGTTGGCAAATTGATTGCGCACGTGGTGCGGCGGAATGCGCGGCGACCGAAGGTGCCGAAGATTTCGACGCCACCACCACCGCCACCACCGCCACCTCCACAGTGGAAGCAGCAGCAGCAGCATTCGAGGAGGAAGAGTCAGGGTGAAGTGGAGAAGGAGGGCAAGATTATGAACATATTGGCGATGGCCAAAGAAGGTTTTTTTTGTTTCTGGTTGTAATTTTCAATCAAAATATCGCATTATTTAGAAGAACTCAATCAATCGTTGCCGCCAACGATGACATCGTCGACAATTGCGCCAACGTCGGCACGATCGGCTCTTCTGATACCGCCGTTGACGCCGGCGTCGCGAGAGAATTATATTCATAATTTGGTGCGTTGGGCGAAAATCGCCAAAAAAAAAAATAAAAATAACAATTGGTTTTTAATAGACGTGGAGCAAAAAAGCGAAAAATTTGATGAAAAATGGCGCGAGGAATGGCGAAGTGGCGTCGCCGTGCTCGTCGTCGGATTCGGATCGTTGCGCGCCGTCGGAATCGTGTTGTCCGTCGGCGGCCGTCGTCGATGACTTCAATCAATCGGGACCATTGATACCGGAGATACCAGTCGGCGAGCATTGTGTTCAGAATGGGGTAGCGATGGGGTTTTTTTTGTGAAAATTTTGCCGATGCGAAATTGGTCTCAAAAATAGGCATTTTTTGATTAAATTGGCATCGAATTTTTGCGAAAAAATGAATTTTTTCTTAAATTTTTTGAGGATTTATCCTTTTCAGCGAAAGCGAAGTCGTTCGACGTCGGTTAAAGAGCAATCACCGACGAAATCGCAACCGAATGGGACGATCGATTCGAATATCGAATCAACTATAAATGAAGTTGTTCAAAACGCCAAAAATGATTTGGTATGCCAGGTTTCTCTTTTTTCAAGCCCAAATATGGCTTAAATTTCAGTTGGATGACACAATTCGAATATCGACGAAACGATTTATAACGCTTGATCCGCATGGTCCCTATGTGCCGGCGAATGTTCTTGTGAAAAAGGCGAATCCGTGGATTCGAGAGAGCAATGTTGTATGTTGTTGCGAGTTTCTTTTGTTGTCAAACTGCCCATGCGCCTTTAAATTTCGGTTTTCGACAATTACTGATTTTGAGGGCTACTATCGCGAAATGGTGATTCGAATGCGGAATCCGGCGCCGCACACACGCGACCACGATTATTGCGCGCCGCCCGAATTGGAGACGTTCTGGCTGACGGAGATACCGCCGCGCTACACGCCCGATCCCGTCGATCCGAACGTGATCATCGCGATTCATCATACGCCGACGTCGGTGAACACGTTGCCGTCGACGTGTGCGCCATCGGCGACGCCGACACCGTTGCGCGGTGTGAATCCATCGAGGAAACGCGGCCGGCCGCCGGGATCGCGCAACAAAAAGGATGGGGTGGTGCCGACGGCGAGCGCGGTGGCCGCTGTCGGCGTAGCGATCGCCGCCAATGGCAACGATGAGGCGACGACGACGACGACGACAACGGCGAGGAAGAAGCGAGGAAGGCCAAGTGGGTGATTTGAAGCGGAAATTTAGAAATTGCGTGATTAATCTAGAGGGATTTGCAAATTTTAGAATAAAAAAAATATCAATTCTCTCAAGTCCAAAATTTCTAGAAGGCAGCACGAACAAGCAGAATTCGATGGATGGAAGCCGTCAGACGACGCCCGAAGTGGTGGATGGTCCGTCGACGTCGGCGCGGCCATCGCCGCCGCCGCCGCTGCCGCCAGCACCATCGGCGACTCAACGAGGCGAATCGCCGTCGAGATTGTGGAGTGCCGAGAAGCGCGACGAGATGAGACGCGAAGCGGAAGCGATCAAAGAGAAATACAAGTTGAAAATCATTGCGAGATCCAAAGAAATGTGTCAAGCCGATTGGTTCAAGTGAGATTTTTTGTTTCGGCCAGATTGTTTCGGATTCAATTTTTCATTTCTTCAGCACACGTGATCAGTTTTTTCGCGCCGGCACGATTGCCGATTTCGAGTACGTGCGCGAGCGTGTCGACGAGGCGCGTCGTCACGCCGAATTTCCGCTCGAGACGCGCTATCTCGTGCCCAACTATGAGATATCGGCGATTGTGCGAGTTCGAAGTGGCGGCGGCGGCGCCGCGCGACGAACGAAATTTGCGATTCAGCGAGGAATCACCAAAATCGGTTTGTTTGGCGACAAGAAAACGAACAAACATTAAATTTATTTATTTTTTGAAGGATTCTCGCGAGAATGTCATATTTTGGCGGATCGATATACTACACACCATTGTCCAGCAATTCAGGATCATCATTGCGACTTAATATTTGATAAGGTGGGTATCGAAATTTTTTCTTTGCAAAAACGTTGAAAATTTTGGGGATTTTAGACGAAATCATGATTTTTTATTGGATTTTTGATTTTGAGCACGAATTTTTGCCTTCTTTTTCGCCGAAAACACATTGAAATTCGCGAAAATTTTGATTGAATTTGTTTTTTTTTTTTGTTCTCGCTAAAAATTTGCCTTATTTTCAGATCGAACACCGCTTTTATTTGTCGGTCGTCGCTTCGGCGAGAGCAATCGTCGATAATGTGGTGATTTGTCGAAAAATGGGAGCTCTTGAGAAGGATTGGCGCGCAAAAATGCAAGGTTGGCGATTTGTTTGAGCGGAAGCAACAAAGAAAAATGAATAATTGATGATGCGCCTTTAATCTCGTTTTAGTGATGCGGTCATTGAAATTTAAAATTTGTGTTAAAAAAAAATGTATTAAAATTTAGATTGTTTTCAAAATTTCGAAAAATTCGCGTGCTCTACTGTAGAGTTGGGTCTCGGTTTGAAGCATTGTCCGCGTGGAGTACACAGCGAGACCATTTCTCATCATTTATCCACTAATATTGTCGGCGTGGCCTTCAAATTCGCGAAATCATTGTAGATTTAAATTGTTCGTTGACTGAATATTAAATTGCGCGTAGACTATAATGCAATGTACGCAATCGCATTGGCACATAGCCAATAATTTTTAAAATTTCGTCAAGTCGTTTGACTTTGACAATATTTTTGTGCAATTTGAGTCGGAAAAAAATGTTATTTGATTTTCTTTGTTATTGTTAAGTAGAAGAGATCTTCTTGATATGACCCTTTATTTTAAATGTCCTACACAATGTTTAAAAACCAAAAAAGGTTTAATTACCCAAGTTTGAGGTAAATTGACCTTCCCTGATGATGATCTAAAGATCGAAACGTCGGATAAACATTTAAACATTGTGCAAGACCATTAAAATAAAGGGCCATATCAAGAAGATCTCTTCTATCTAACAATAATCCACACGATGCACTCAAAACAAGTCGCTCCACAAAAACTTTTTTTTTTGTTTTCAGCTAACGATGAAGCCGAGCCGCGTGTGCGCTGCGAGTGCGAAGTCGACCTAAGAGCGTCGAGTTTCGAGCAGAAGTGCGCCGGTGTTCGCGTCGAGACCGGCAGCGTCGAATTGCGAAGCGGCGCGGTGTTCAAAATCGGTTGCGCCGAATTCGAGTTGGTCTTCCCCAAATTGCGGTGATCTATTTTTCTCTGTGTGTGTGTCTCTCTCTCTTTCTCTGTACCACTGAGCGTATTTGATCTCTCTCTCTCTCTCTCTCTCTCTCTCTCTCTCTTTCTCTATAATGCTCATTCCTTGCCCATAATTTTATAGACGAGTCGAATTGTTTTGTATTGTTTGTTTGTTTTTTTTTGCCGGTGGGCGGAGCTTTTTTGGCCACGCCCTCTCTATTTTTTCTTTTTCTTCCTTTTTTGTTTATTTTTTTTTATTTTTCTAAAAAAAAAAACACACAGAGAAAAGAAACCAATAATAAGTGTACATTTAATTTTGCTCGTATTATTTTTTTTTTTGCTGTATTGCAACTTCATAGAAGCAGGTCAGAAACAAATAAATTTTTGCGAATTTTCGCGGTTTTTTTTTTGGTTTTTCATTTTTTTGTTTAAGAAATGGTCTTATTGCTGGGCAAATGTATTTGGATTGAATTTTTGTTTTTCCGATTTCCAAAAATGGGATTTTCAGATTTTCTTCTTGATCTCATGGAGCGGCGATGGCTTGAACCGGTAAAATTAGAATTTGGTTTCTTTTTTTTGTTTCTCGAAAAAAAAAATAAATTTGAACAATTTTTGGCGGCAATTCAAACAATTCTAACCATTGCATCGAAATTGAGATTTTTTGTACGCGAACACGCTGACGCGAAATTGCACACATTTCAAACTGATGGCTGATTTGAGTCCAGAATTCCGCAATGGAAAGCGTCGACATTTTCGCCACTCAAACGCGAGACCATCACGAGTCGACGACGAATTTGGCCGACGCGATCAAATGCGCCATCGACGACGACGACGCGATGCCGATGTATTGGGATCGATGGAGACCGCCGACGCTGAACATGGTAGGGTGGGGGGAGAAATGGAGGAACTTGAAAAATTGTCGAGTAATTTCGAGACGCGCGACGAGACCTGGCGGCTGTCATCCGGTGCGAGTTATTCAACGTACACCGACAATTGGAGTCGACAATGGACGAGTGAGAGCTCGAGCTCGAGCTGGAGGCCGACGACGTCGACGCCGCCGCACACTTCCAGCTCGTTCTATCAACAATACGCGCCGCGACGAGCTGATCCGACTCCAGCTCAATCGGTTGAACGTCCGACGAAACGAAAATCGAGCTGCTATTTCGACAAATGGAAATTGGCGTCGTCGAGAGAATCGCAAAAGTGTTCCGACGACGACGTCGACGATTTTGTGGCGAATCCGTGTCGCCGAAAGCGGCCGAAGCAGATTCGAATCGACGATTATCTGTTCAAGGCGAGACGCGTCGATAAAGGCGCGCGAGTGTTCGGCCTCAAAACGATACAGGAGCCGAAGCGCGGAAGCAAGAAGAAGCGCAAATCGATTGGCGAGTTGGAGGTGGTCGATTCGTCGGCGGATCTCGACAAATCGATTGGAGGCGACGAGCTCGGCGAGTTGGAGCCGAACGAGATGCCGTCGGCGTCGGCGGCTTCGAGTTCGTCGGCGATCTCGCTGCATCATCGACGAGTGCTGTATGAGAAGTGCTCGCAAGCTTCAGATGTCGATTTGAGAAATGCGAAAGTCGACGACAACAACGTTGAGGTATTGAAAATGATTTTGAAAAATTGGAGGCCGCTTTTTTTTTCTTTTGCAGGAATTGGACGAGACGATTCGACTGGAGACGCCGAAAAAATTCGAAAATTGTCGATTTCAGGTTTTTTTTTGATTTTTCTTGCTGAAATTTTGTTTTTTTTTTGCAGGAATTGAACGAGACTATCGCTCCAACGACGCCGACGAATGGGAAAAGCCCGAATTCGGAGGTATCTTTTTTTCGATATTTTTTTTGGGATCTCAATTTTTTGAAGAACTTGGATGAGACTGTGCGGTTGGCGACGCCGAAACGGCAAAAAATTGAGAATATCGAGGTTTTTGCGGGGTTTTTTTTTCACAAAAATTGGATTTTTTGCAGATTTTTGCTGAAAAATTGCCGTCATCGACGCCGAAATATGAGAGGAATGTAAAAATTGAGGTTTTTTTTGTTTTTTTTTTTCGGCCATTTATTGTTTATTGGTAGACGTTCACTAAAAAAGGGCCGACTTTTGACGATAAGCTCGAGCAGATTAAGAAGTTTGAGCCGGCGAATCGCATATTGGAGGAGGAGAAGGCGAAACGCGACGAGCGCGAGATGAAGCTCGTCGAACGTCGCGCGGCTCTACGCGCGATGATCGACACGCAGTTTATTGTCGAACGCGAGAAAGTGGCGAAGAGGGAGCTGGACGAGGCGCGAGCACGACTCGCCGACGGCGAGGTGATTCGCTCGAAGGCCGACCGACGCCGACTGATGCACGGCGCCGATTGTCGATGCTGTCGCGGCTACTACGATCAGCTCGGGTTGTCGCCGAACGCGAAAAAAGATTATATGGATAGGGTGCGATTTTTTTGTGTTCGTGAGCGGAAGAATTTTTGTTTTTTTGGCTGAAAATGACAATTTTTAAACAAATTTAAAAAAAATTTTTTAATTTAAAATTGCCAATTTTTTAGTCTTTTTTTTTTTGTCAAAAGCTACCAATTTTTGAGGTTTTGATATTCCTTGAATTTCCTTGAAAAATGAAATTTTCGATTTGGAGCAGCATTCTTGGAAGGTTGAAATTGCGATTTTCCAAAAAATTGCATAGTTTTTGCATTTTCAGCATCAGAAATTGCGATTATTCGTGAAAATTCATCAATTTTTGACCGGAAAATTTTGATTTTTTGGTTTTGATCGTCGAGATTTTGAAAAATCTCTAAAACAAATTTGAAAATGTCATTTTTTCTAGCGAAAAGTTTTGAAAGATTGATTTTTCCCGAAAAAAATAGTTTTGGAAAAAGTCATTTTTTGTTAATTCTTGAAATTGCAGAAAAAAAGAAATTGAAAATTTTCCAGGCTTTGCGTTTTAAAATCTGAAAGAGACTTGAATTTCCAAAATTTTCGATTAAAAGAACGTCATGGGATCGGAAAAATCACATTTTTCAGCTCGGTGAAGTTGCGACTCGATTTTTGCACAAATTTGTATATGGAAATTGATTTTTCCCAACAAAAATTGTGAAAAATCTCAACAAAATAGTCGTCATGCTTGTTTTTTTTAGTCTTTATCCTTGGAAATGACGAATTTTCGAAGCGCGCGTCAAAAATAGCAAAAACAAAAAATTGGTTCGCATGAAAATTGATTTGTTGCGAATTATTTTGGTCGCGCGACGAATAATAATAATAATAATAATAATGTGCAGGTGTCGCGCCATCGATATGTACATAGAGCGTTGCCGGACACACCGGAACGATATTGGGATTTGACGTTGGGTCCGAGCGACGAGGAGCAGCAGCAGCAGCATCAGAAGGTCGACGAGAAGCCCGCGTGGCGGACGCCGCCGAAGCGGGCCGCGACACTCGGCAATTGGGAAACTCGATGATTTTATTGATTTATTTATTTTTCTATGTATTTTTTTTATTGAGTCAATCATAAATTGGGGTGGATTAGTGGCGAAGTCATGGTTTTCGACGAGGCCGCGCACGACGAGAGAGTGCGCGATGGGTGGAGAGCGCAGGCGGCGAGACGGCGTTTATTCGTTTTTTTGCCTGCTCGGCCACGACGCCGTACGCGAGCAGGCCATTTTCAGAAGGCGGACGCCTATTGATTTTGTTGGCTGAGCGACGCACTCGCCCTGCGCGCGGCTCACTCTCACACACGCACACACACACATACATACGCATATTTCATTTGTGCTCTTTATTACTATTATTATTATGAAAGCCGATCATCAACAATCGATGTCGCCGGGTGTTGCGAGTTTTCCGGAGACGGCGCCGCGTCCGCCGCCGGTGTCGAGCAACGGTCCGCCGGCGGGAAGTGTGAGCGAGTTGGAGCTTCTCGAGAAGGCGTTCATCACGCCGGAAGATGTGCTCCGATTGCCGGGAATCACGCAAGGTTTGATTTTTTTTTCCAACTGCTATTAGATGAATTCGATTTGTTGCAGATTACCTATGCCATCCGTCGGCGAACGTCTATAACATCGAGTTCACGCGATTCCGAATTCGCGATCTTGACACTGAGCAGGTGCTGTTTGAGATCGAGAAGCCGGAAGACACGAGCAATCAGGAGAATCGCGACGTGACAATTCAGCAGGCGACGGAAGCGGCGCGATACGTGCGCTATCGATTCTCGCCCGAATTTCTCAAATTGCGTCACGTCGGCGCCACCGTCGAGTTCGCCGTCGGAAATCGGCCGGTCAACAATTTTCGAATGATCGAGCGTCATTATTTCAAGGTAGATCGCTCTAACGAGACGCTCTCATCGCGTGTACTGGAGTTTTAGGATCGAATGCTGAAATGCTTCGATTTTGAGTTCGGCTTCTGCATTCCGAACTCGCGCAACACGTGCGAGCACATCTACGAGTTCCCGAAGATCAGCGACGCGCTCATGGAGGAGATGATCAGCAATCCGTATGAGACGCGCTCCGACAGCTTCTACTTTGTCGACAACAAGCTTGTGATGCACAATAAGGCTGATTACGCCTATGATGGATAATTGAACGAATGCATTCCGCGATATTTGCATTTTCTTTTGTTTCGATGAAAAAATCTATTTTTTTTTCTTGGAGGGAAAAAGAACAAAAACAATAAATTACGCAACAAATGGGAAAGTTGGGTTTTTTTGTCTAAACTAGAGCTAAACATTTACACATATTACCTAGAATCGAAGGAAAAATGGTGGGAAAAAATGGGAACGGGGGTCCTAGAAGGTTTGCGGTTTGCCACTAGCGATAATCTCGTCGAGATCCTTCAGTTGCTTCTCGAACGCGTCGAGTTCCTTTTGCAATTGCCGCTTTTTCAGTACGCTGTAGTAATTGACGCCTGGAATTTTGATTGTTGCTTTTTTGGGCGAAATAAAAAGAAATACCGTTAAAAGAGAAATAAATTTTGAAAAGTTCGAAGCCCGCGCCGGCTGTTGACCCGATAAGGAAGAGGCCTTCCCATTTTGAAGAGAGGCCGGTGAGAAGGCGGGAAAATGAGGAGGAGCTCATCTGAGAAAAAATGAGCGGGATGAATTTGAGGGTTTCTTATTTTTTTTTTACTTTCTGACAGCAAATCCTGCTTTGTCGGCTTCGATCAACTCGCGTTCAAGGATTTCGCGCTCCTCTTGTCGAATAGGGCGTACGAATCTGAATGTTTTTTAGATGTTTTGGCTTGATTGGCATTGAAATTGATTACTTGTAGTAGATTCCCGCGTTTACCAAACAGTAGGAGGTACTGAAGACGATGAAGCCGAGAATCGAGCGCACGATAGCTGAAAATGGAGAATGTGAGTCGTTTTCGATTTTTCATTGATTTCGACTTTTATGCGCGATATCGAGACGTCTATTGGTGAGGATTCGTCTGTAGAGAGGCCTTCTGTCTTCACGTTTTCTGGCCGCTTGCAGAATGGGCGACCAAAACATGAACTGCAAAATGCGATTTTTCACTTTGCAAAATTCCAAGCGATTGTTAGGAACCCATACAAATTCGCATGGATATTTCAATGGAGCGTAATTTTCTAAATCGGATCAAGAAAAGAAAAATAAAGAAAGCTTTGAATATCACGGAAAAACGAGCAAAAAACATAAAATTCAAGAATTCAGGCTCTCCGTTTTCGCGGTGGAGCGCGTTTGGCGCCCAATGTTTGTCCGAGTGGACTACACAGAACGGCACAGACCTAAATTAGTGATACCGTAATTTGGAATTTGAAATTTTCATTTAAAAAAAATACAAATGGAATTTTCTTATAATTTTTGAGTTTTTGTTGATTTTTGTGATTTTTGCAGTTTTTTTTTGCAAGAAATTTAAAAATAAACGAAATTTTGAGGTGTATTATAGTTTTTGTTTTAAATATTATGTAAATTTTTCCGAAAAATCTTTAAAAATCTTTAATATCTTTAATATGGTCTTTCCTTTTTAGTAAATGGCCAAATTCGAGGATTTCTTCACACCTGTCTCTGAATTGGCTGAAAAGGAGCCACAAACTGGAAAATCTAATATTGGCAAATATGAGGAAGACGTGAAACCGAGGAATAGCATCGAGACCTTCTTGACCGTAATGATGAAGTCTGATAAAATTTTAAATGATTGAATATCGGAATTTGCAGAAAACGCCAATGTCGGTGATGGAAGAGGGCTCGAAAGCGTCATATCAGCAATCAATACAATGGCAAACCAGGGAGCTTCCATTATCGAATAATGTGATTCAAGAAATGGATCTCATTGAATGAAAAAAAAATCATGTTTAGGCCATCGAATTCGAGATGATTTGCACACTCGCTGAAATTAAAGCATCAGGAAGGGGCAATAGCAAAAAGATAGCGAAACACAGAGCAGCAATCAAGTATTTGCACGAAGCAATCGATAGGGGACGTAAAGATGAATTTTTTATTCCCGGCGAGACTGTGGCAGACGCTCACAAGAATGTGTATGTGTCTGCGAAGCTTTAACATTATTGGTTTTCAAATTTTTAGGGATCAACTCGCCGAGCTTCACGATGACAAACGGTCTATTGTGGCGGCGTCGCAAGAATTTTCGGTGAATTTGAACGACGAAATTCCGACGGCCGACAAAATTCCCGTTGAAGGGAAAGCCAATGAAAATTGGGTTGGAAAATTGCAAGAATTGTAGGTTTCTAAAGCGATATTTTATATATTCTCAATTTTTGAGACTTTCAGTCTGGCCAAGAACAAACTGCAAGCGGCAGAGTATCTAACGACCGAAGAAGGCACTCCAAATGACAGAAGGCACATTGTGACATGCATCGTAAGAAGAATTTCAAAATAATTAGAAAAAGAGAGAATTTTGATATTTGAAGGTTGGAAAGCAAAAAACCCGTGGAAGAACTGGAAAAAAGATGGCGGCGAAGGCGATTTCCTCGTACTTGATGCTGGAAATCTTGAAGAAGAATGTTGAAGATATGGATAAGGAGATGTGCCTAGGTAGCCAAAATTGGTATGAAAATTTTGTAAAAATTGAGATTTAGAGGGAGAAGTTGAAGAAGAATTCGTTGACCTCGATGAGAAGCGACGAAGCGAGTTGGCGGAGCTTGAAATACAAGAGAAGGATGCGCAGGCCGCGTTGGTGAAGCTGCTATCGGATAGCAAACGATTCTCATCGTTTAATTATCAATACCTATTGCCATCGGTCAATGATATCGGTAAGGAGACTTAGAAGCAATTTTGCACTGGAGGCGCATTTTCAGGAGTTCATCAAGTTCTTCTTGAAATCAAGGTTGGAATTGTTTCACAGGATGAAGCTGAGGAGCTTGAAGTTGGAGTAAGTTGGAGGAAATTTGGCTTCTTCTTAGAAATTCTTCATTAATCTGAAATTTTAGCCTTTTCTTTACTTTAAGAAAATCGATGTCGCTGTTTTTTGCGTTAAAAAACAATCTTTTTTGAATTATGATCTTGACAAGCATGATAGATTTTGAAATTTTTAGGCAGAACACACGCAAACTGAGAAGATCGCCAGAAAAGACCGAAGACGAGACCTTGACAGTAGCCCGTTTGTATTTTGCGGTGCGGGACCCACCGAAGAGGACGCGAAGAATTCGGCGTGTCAATCGGCTCTTATTCACTTCAACACGTATTCATTTTAATTGTACATATTGATTGTCGTGGCAGAATCCCAGATGTGATCGGTTCCGCGACAACCTACTTTTGTTTTCCGTGTGAATAATAATAATAATAATTTAAACTTTGCATGTTTAATGTCATCATTTGTTTCAATATCAACGGTTTTGTGTATTCCGTTTACTATTTCTCTTGCGTTTTGCAATTTGCGCGTTCTTTGAATTCGCTGCGTCGTTATCGCCTCGTGGCCAGTTTGTATGTCAAACCGTTGCCGCCGGCGATCAAAGTACTCATTTTCTTCATTTTTCTGTTTGTGTTCTTCGTTTTCAGTTTTTTTTCATTTCTCTCTCGCTTTATTTAGATCACTCGTCATTGCGTGAATAAGTGGTTGTTATTTTTGATAAGATTTCAAAAATAGGTTGTTTTATTGCCCATCAGGTTTTTGAGCGTTTTCTAAAGGATCAAAGTTGATTAAAAAAAATAATAGGAAGCTTTTCAATGCATAGAAAAATCCCGATAGACCTATACATGAAATGTATTTTTTTTACAGAAAATGTTTAAAAAGTTCATTGGAATTTTCAAATTTGGCAAATGCGCAATTTTTTGAAGCATTTCTTATTGTCTTAATGGGTCCATAAAAAATGATAATTTTTGAAATTTATTATTTTTATTTTCTCTGAAATTTTTTTTGAAAAAAAAATTCTGTTGTTTTACTTGTAATTTAGAATTTTAGCGCCAATTTGTTGGATTTTCTAAATTATCAATTTATTTAGAAAAAAATCAACTTTGACAAAAAAAACCAGTTCGAATCTTAAAAAAACATGTGAATTGCTAAAATATTGGATTTGGATATATCCGATTTTGGAATACATGTTTTTCTCTCCAAAGTCCGCGTATTGAGGCTTTCAAGAAATTTGGAATCAAAGAACGCTTGAGTTCAACCGGTTCCTACCACACGTGATCCCTATGCATCAATCAAAATCGGTGTATTTGATAAGCTGAGGAATGCCTTCTTTATTAACCAGTAGGAGTTGGACAACCTCAAACTTGGGTAATTAAACTTTATTGTAAAAGAAATAAATTAAAAATAAGTTAAACATGAATTGGACATAAATTGAATATAAGTTGAACAACAACCAACGAAGGGAAAGAAGTGAAAAAATGGGCGTTGAGGCTCCCTTTTATAGGGGCACACGAATGCAATATAAAGGTTACACTGTGTGCGTAGGTGGCTTTGGCGGTACAATTTAATAATAGTTTATCAATTTTAAACTTTCAATAATGTGCTTCAGATATTGAATTGTGATGGCGAGGAATGATTTGTGATGGCCTTTAGACTACTTTCCGGTAGTCATTAATGACACTCCCCCTCAAGGACGGTGACGTTGGGGAGTCGACAAATGGCCGTGTGGTGGGTCTTTGCTGCTTCCATCCTTCCGTGGGTTGAGCAGTAATAACATTTCGAATGGCATATTCCTCGATGGTTCCGCTTCACGCACCTCTTGCATCTATCCGTTTTCTCCAGATGACGCTCTCGGTCCTTGGCGTTTGTGATTTCGAAGCATTTGTCGGAAAAGTGCGGTCTGTAGCAAAACGCACAATTCAAGTCGTCTCCATCGCGGGTGTTTTCAGTGGCTATCCGTCGTATGATGAGTCCGGTTTTCCCGTGATGGCGTTGATCGTTGCGGTCTTCTGATTCTCTTCGATGGCGTTGATTGTTGCTGTCTTCTGATTCTCTTCGATGGCGTTGATTGTTGCGATCTTGTGATTCTCGTCGATGATGTTGACGATATGTTTTTCTTGATCGTGATTGTGATCTTGATTTCGATCGTGATCTCGATTTCGTATTTGATCTCGCATATGACTTGGGTGTTTCACTGCTGCTTGATCTTGGCGAGCGGGATGACGAATTTCGGGATTTTGCGTTTGGCCTTGGAGATTTTGTCGTGCTTCTGGCTCGACCTTGGGCCTCCGGCGCGAATGACTGGCAAGTGTTTTCAATGTTTTTGGCGCATTCTCGCATTGTTTTTTGAATGGCCTCAAATAGTTGTTGGTTATGATCCATTAGTAATCCTGTCATTTGTTCCTTGTCGGATTGATGTCTTCGGAGGTATTCTTTGATCTCCTTGATTTGAATCGTAGCTTCCATGGCCGTTGTTCTCCATTCGTTAACTTCTTTGTTCTGGGCAATCAATCTTTCCTGTGTGTGTCGGTCGTGTTCCAACTTTGCTGTCTTGTAGGCTGAGCTGAGTCGGTTCATGATTCCCTCGAATCTTGCTTTGATCCTGCTTTTCTCCATTCCTTCGTTCTCTATGCGGATGGCCGTTTCTAAGGTGTCTATGTCTCCCCGGATTAGCAAATCTGTGATTTTGTCCATGGCTTGAGCGTATCGATTGAAGGAGCTTTGCACTGTGATGATTGTGTCCATAATCTTGTCCCGTGCTTCTTGTTCGGTTCTGAATCGGTTCACGGACCATCTGTTTCCGATTGCATTGCTTCGCATTTTTGCTACATCCTCAAGCGTTTTGTCTGCCGTGTCCGCTTTTTGTTCGAAGACATGTCCTGCCGCGAACATTTCATGGAAGATTTCTTTGATTCTATGGCATCTTCTTCTGGCCAAATAGTCTGTTCTTTCGGGTTCAGTGTATGAGAAGTTCATTGTTTTCCGGGCTGAAATCAATGACGTTGAGATTGTGTAGCTGATTGTACATGCAGTTGTCATGCGTATGGTTAGATACATGATGGTGATAACATGCATGGATCTCCAACAATTTCGTGCGATTTTGAATGGCAATATTATGATAAATAATGCAATCTTTATGCATATGATGATTGTGGAGATGACAATTTGGCTGCCATAACGGGCTATGGTGGTATAGATGATGACTGCGATTATTCCGATGACGATGATCAGGATCAGTAGTGTCTTCATGTAGTTGAGGTACGTAGTCCAGATATGATTGAAATCCGGTAATTTGATTTCATCGTAAGTTTTCGATTTTCCTTCGATAATTTTCCATGATGCGTCCCACAAATTTCCGTGAAATTTGAGTAATGCAATCACTTCAAATTGAGTTGTCTGGTTTCCTCCACAGGTGGTCTCGCAGTTTCTTCTGAACCGCGCAGTTTCCGATGAGAATCGGATTGTGGATTTTCGTCCTGCCGGTGAACATGGAATCGCGAATTTTTCGGAGCTGCAGTTGATATCTGCCATGACGTCTTCCTTTTCGGATTTGCATATAATGTCGGTTTTTATTCCTTGCTCGCATTGGTAACATCCGATCGTTGCTTCGACTTGAACTTTACAGATTTCATGTGATCGTAGAATTACTGGAATGACATCTTGATTTATATCGATCGTGATTGTTGTTGATGTTGTCGCATCTGTTGATCCGATGATTGTGTTTCCTACTCGTCGTAAATTCCAGATACTTGTTGAGATTGGTAGAACTTTCTCTAGAGTTTGTAGTTCATTACTGAAGTTGTAGTTGATGCAATTGCACTTCATTTCTTCTTCAGCTGCTTCGCATTTGCAATTTTCGGTGAAAGTGCATTTCATTAGATTTTTTGCTTCTTGACGCGATGAACATTTGACTGGTAAATTCAGTTCTTGTTCTTCCATGATGGTGTGATTCCTTGATAGAATGAACCAGCTTTTCAGAATTGGCGAAGGTGGAATATGAATGGATGATAATCGTAATTCGAAGCCTTCGAGTTGAAATGGTTCGTTCAGTTTTGTGAGAATCTTGTATTGTTTGAAATTGTTCTCAGATGTGTGTAGATTGGCGATGGCCACTTCTAATTTCAGTCGTTCATCCCATGATTGGCAATCCATGATTTCAAGGATTTCGTCGCTTGTAGGTTCTGCATATAACCTGTAGAAGAGACATGCGCTGCTGGGGTAAAAACAATCGCATCCTAACGATCCGCAACTTGCAACACATCCTGTCGTTCCGAGGTAGGTGTTGGCTTCGCTTAGTTCGGGAAGGATTGAGTTTCTGTTGATGTCCATGCACTTCTTTCCGGTGCACGATCCCATATGTGGGCATCGCTTTGCGCTCAGTACCTTTTGTTCTACTTCACGTGAGAAGTATCGTGGGTTTCTTAGGCATTTTAGTTCGATTGATTTCCAGTTGATTCGAATCTCACGAATGGCTTGTCCATTATGATTGAGTCGTATGCATGCTTCGCGTTTGAGTGGATTCATTTGGATTATTTCTGATGTCCTTATATGGCAATTTGTTGATCCATTTGCGTATTTCGTGCAGATTTGCATCCTATTGTTCATCATTTCAATTTCTTGGCAAGCATTTGTCGTCGATACAATTAATATGATCATGATGATTGGTTGAACTAGGCTGTATATTTCTTGGCGATTGCCTCTTGCTCTTCGTCTCCACTTTTTGATAGTTCTCCACATAATGCTGGCGAGATTTCCCATGAATATAACTATCACGATGACCAATTTTATTAAAATCCGGATGAGCTTGATAGCGAGGAGACATGGTCCTCCGAGTCTAATCGGGACTGTGCTGATCACGTAGAGCATTGTCAAGATCAGATAGAATGTGATGACTCCTCCCGTGATGGCGAAAATTGGGTGACATTCTGGGTTCGCTAGATTTGGTAGACACCAAGTGCAGTCGATCGTTTTGCAGAATGGAATGGCTGGGCATGTCATTTGGGAGATTTCTATGTCCTCTTTCTGCAGTTTCTTCATTTTTATGAGTTGCTCTTGTCGTTTGAGAGATGGAGGTAACCAAATATCCTTCCATTTTTCCTCACTTGGGCTGTCCCTGGTTGTGCAATAATGGTTTACACAGACTTCAACTTTCTTGAATTTTTCCATACGAATTCTGATTCCGGCGTCTGTGCATATGTCTTCTTGTGATATTTGACTTGGAGTTGTGACAACAGCTGCTGTAGATCCTTGGGTAGCGATCATCAAAATTATCATAGCCATAGATAAAGTTGATATCTTGTTCGTTCTGAAGGATGATTTCCGTTCTGATCCTTCTTGATTGGA